CAGATCGATTCGCGTCCCTCAACAATCTTGCCCTCGTCCTTCGCGACAGATTCCAGCAGCGGAGCCTCCCATCTGACCTTGATGAGGCCATTGAGCACAATTGGGCTGGACTACTACTCTGTCCACCCGGTCATTCTGATCGATCGATGTCTCTCGAAATCTTGCTGCCTGCCTTGAAGACAGATTCAACCAGCGGGGCGTGCCATCTGACCTTGATGAGGTCATTGAGCTCATCGGGCTGCATTGCTACTCCGCCCACCCGGTCATTCTGAACGACCTTCGTCTCTCAGCAATTTGCCCTCGCCTTCATAGAAGATTCCAGCGGCAGGGTGTCCCATCTGACCTCAAGAGGCCATTGAGCTCAATCTGGCTGCAACTACTCTCCTCCGCCCCCTGGCCATTCTGATCGATCCATGTCTCTCAACAATCTTGCTGCAAACCTTGAGGAGAGATTTGAGGCGCAGGGAGTCCCATCGACCTTGATATTGCCATCAAGCTCAATCGGGGTGCATTACTCCCCTCCGCCCACCCTTCATTCTGATCGATCTATGTCTCTCGACAATCTTGCCGTCAGCCTTGGGGAGAGATTCGAGCAGTGGGGTGTCCCATCTGACCTTGATAGGCCATTACGCTCCATCGGGATGCACTACTCCTCCCCAACCACCCGGTCATTCAGATCGATCCATCTCTCAGCCATCTTGCCACCCCTTGGAAACCAGATTCATGCAGCGGGTGTTTCATCCGACCTGGATGAAGTATTTCAACTGTTTTTGCAGCTCTCCCACCCATCACATGCAGCATCTACAGACAGTCTTAGTGTTGCCAAATCATGGGGCATCTGCCGACGGCATGAGCACGACTCTGCATTGCTTGCCTATAAGACTGCACTGAAATTCCTCGATCAGCAAGTTGCTCTCTTGTCGTCTTCTTCGCGTCATTTCGACGTCATCAGTAAGGCTGTTTCTTCCCTTGCCACAGATGCTTTTTCGTGCAGTGTTCGTTGTGGTGCGCTGACGACTGCTGTGGAATTAGTGGAGCAAGGCCGTGCAGTATTCTGGACCCAGTTGGCACGCTTCAGCACACCACTTGATGAACTTTCTGTTTCAGGTGACACCGGCGCAGCCTTGGCGGAAGAGTTCAAAGATTGAGCTTTCGCCGTCGTAACGCGTTTGATCAGTCTACTGAAGACCAGTCTCCGCAAATACGGAAACTGGCTATGCAATGGGATGACGTCGTCTCACGCATTCGCACACTTCCCGGTTTTTCCCGTTTTCTCCTGCCTTCCCTGTTCTCCGACCTACAGAGGGCGGCGGAAGATGGTCCAGTCATTATTGTCAATGCAAGCAAGCATAGCTGTGATGTCTTGATTATCCTCGCTGCCCAAGATCCCATCCACGTTCCACTCAATATCGCGCAAGCCGATGTCTCTGAGTTGTCCTCCGAATTTCAGTCCCTCGCAGAGCAATTTGGTTCTTCTGATCATCAACACAAGCTTGTCGGCATCCTCCGCAAGCTTTGGGATTATATTGTTCACCCCGTAGTCCAAGTCCTTGAGAAGTCTAAAATTCACATTCGCTCGCGTATCTGGTGGTGTCCCACTGCTGAATTCGTGCTGCTCCCTCTACACGCAGCAGGACCTTACGAGAAGAAGAAAGACAATTTGTCTCAGATTTTCATCTCCTCTTACACCCCAACTTTGGCGACACTCATTCGGGCGAGACAGCAGGTTTCTCGACCTGCGTGTACGCAGCATTTTGTCGCCATTGGTCAAGGAAACCCGGACGCAGGGAAGGAACTGCGTTGTGTCGCTCCCGAGTTAGCGGTCGTAGCTCAGCGTCTCGACTCCGTCGTGTCCTTCACATCGCTTGAGGACGGCGATGCAACAGTCCAGGGTGCACTTGATGTACTAAATCATAATCAGTGGCTCCACCTAGCCTGCCATGGGGTGCCGAATCGACAACAACCATTTGAGTCTTCCTTTGCAATGCGCGACGGGCCCCTAATGGTCAAAGACATCATCCGGTCTCACTGGCAGAATCCGGAGTTCGCTTTCTTATCAGCGTGTCACACTACCGTGGGGCATGAGGGGAGTCCCGATGAGTCGATCCATCTCGCTGCGGCTATGCAATTCTCTGGATTTCGCAGTGTCATAGGTTCAATGTGGTCTGTGGACGACGAGGTTGCGCGCCAGGTTGTGTCTGCTTTTTGGCCACCTGGTTGATGGTTCAGGGAGATTGGATTGCACACGGGCTGCGGTAGCGTTGCACAAGGCTATGAAGTTGTTGCGCAAGAAGATTCCACTGGAACAGCAAATCGTATTTATTCACATAGGTATCTAGTTTTATGGGCTGTATTGTCGCATTCCTTCAATAATCTCTGCTTGCTTTCATCCACTTTTACTTCCATCCATCCATGCGCATTTACATCACACAGTGTTACCACAAACAAGTGCCATATGGCATGACTGTACAAATTGATACAGTTCCTCCCGAAACCACCTCATCAGCTCAACTCCGAACATCACCGGCATGGCCTAGCATCAAGGTTTCGCTGAAGACAAAAACATCAGCGGGACTGCTACAATCACAAGAGTCGAAACGCACGTAGGCGATGTTGCAAAGTGAGTTCAAGAATCGTGTTGATTAACTCTGCTTTCCTTTGAGAGTCTTGGACAGATCTTTTCTTAAACTTCGCCTTCCAAGGAGAGGAGTTTCTTGGTATTTGCGGACGGCAGTGCTCAGAGCATCCTTGACAGCAGCCGCACTCGGAGACGACATGTACAGCTCGATTGCAATACGAGCAGGGTGAGTGGAATCTTGCTGGGACTGAAGATAGCGCCGCTGGTCCCAGAGATGGAACGAGTGCTCGAAAATGATGACAGCAGCTGGTTAATGAATGATCAGCAGGCACGTTTAATCTTGCCTTGAAATTCACCAGAACTGAGTTGAACAATTTGTTCCAATGTCGAAGAACCAAAGGCCTAGCCCAATGTAAGCAAAGGGGAATGCCCGAGGTCAGCAAGGGGTGACATCAACAGAAGATCAAGACACTGACTAGCTGTTAACAGATCAACAGTCTCTTCTGTCAGTAACGCTCGAGCTCGACGGAGTATTAAAACACTGACTAGCTATAAGGATAGGAATGTTGCCGGTCAGTTGAGCTCGACGTCGACGGAGGACTCTGGCACTTACACCCTAATAACAACAATTAATTTAGTCAGCAAGGCTTGACGCCAACACAGGAACACACTCACACCCTAACAAATCAGCGATTGCTTTAGTTAGCAAGGCTCGGGGCCGACAGACAATAGGCACACTTACACCCTGAAATCAGATCGTAATTGCGTCAGTCAGCAAGACTCGAGGTTGATGAAGGTCGACTACACTGACTAGCTGCCAACGGATAAGCGATTTCTGCGGTCAGTAAACCTCGAACTTGCTGGAGGATCAAGACACTGACTAGCTGTAAAAGTCAGAAATATCGTCGGTCAGCATTGCTCGACGCTGATGCAGGTTCCTGCACTCACACCCTGAGAGCAGATCAAAAGTTCTTTCATTCAGCATGGCCCGAGGCCGACAGTTGATTGACACACTCACACCCTGACAGGTAACAGTTGCTTCAGTTAGCGTGGCTCGAGGTCAACAGAGGAACACACTCACAACCTATCGAAGGATTGGAAAAATTCTCCAGTCAGCATGGGTCAAGGTTAGTGATGGATCAATGCGCTCACGTCCTGCCAATCAGCGAATGGTCAGGAAGACACAAGCTCAATGAAGGGTTAATGTACCCACATCCTGTCAACGGGGGAAACAAACATCTTCAGTCAGAAATGCTTGGGCAAGACCGAGGATCAACAAACTCACTCGCTGTCAACAGATGGGAAATTTCACTAGTGAATAAGGCTCAAAGTCTATGAGGGTATGTGCGCTCACAACCTGTCAGCAGATCATCAAATCATTCAGCCAACAAGGCTCGAGGTCGACGGATAATCGAAACACTCAACAGCCTGTTCCACAGATTAGCAGTCTTTTCGGTGAGCAAGATGTCAACAGAGGACGAGCACACTCACATCCTGACAACGACCAGGAATGTCATCGGTCAGGAGGACTGGAGCTGGATGGAGGATTTTCATACTCACAACCTGTCGACGGATTGCCAACCTAGTCAGTAAAGCTGCATCTTGGTGGAGACACACTCACCACCTGTCAACGGAAACGGACGCACCACTTGTAAGGAAGGTTCGTGTTTGATAGCAGAGTGACACACTCACTTCCTGTTAACCGATGCGCCACGACGTTGGTGAGCAATCATCCACGTCAATGGAAGATTGATGCGCTTACATCCTGTCAAACGATGGGAGATATCTTCTGTCAGCATGGCCCGAGGGTGGACAGACGGGGAAAAACTTACTCGCTGTCAACAGATGTGCAAAGTCGTTGGTGAGCAAGGTTCGAGCTTGAGGGAAGAACAATGCTCTTACTCGCTGTCAACAGATGTGCAAAGTCGTTGGTGAGCAAGGTTCGAGCTTGAGGGAAGAACAATGCTCTTACATCCTGTCAATGAATGAACAATTTTATAGGTGAGTAAGGGTTCGACAGAGGATGAACACACTGACATCCTATCAACAGATCGGCAAGGTCATCGGTAAGCAGGGCTCGAGATCAGCGACAGTCAGTCAGAAAACTCACGGCCTGTCAACAGGTCAGCAGATCTCTGGGTGAGCAGGGCACGGCATCGACAAAATGAATAGACTCGCATGCTGTCAACACATCAACAATGTGTCTTGTTAGTAAAACTCGAGCTTGACGATGCATGCATACACTCACAAGCTGTCAACGGGTATCGGCAATTCATTGGTCAACAAAGCTCAGGCATAATGGAGATTCAATGCGCTCACTTCCTAAAACAGAGATATCGTCGGTCAGCAAGGCTCGAGCTTGACGGTGAACACACTGACTTCCTATTTGAACAGATCAGCAATGCCTTGGTCAGCATGGCTTGAGCTCGACGAAAGGATTGACACACTGACTCGCTGTCATCGTATTGTAAATGCCATTGGTGAGCAAGGTTGAGTGTTGCTTGACGGATCATTAACATACTTACAGTCTACCAATTGATCAGTAATATCTTCGATCAGCGTGGCAACTTGAAAGGAGACGTACTGTCTGCAAAGCAACCGCCCAACATGAATGAGAGGGTTTTTTTTTGTAATATTTCTACAATCTCACCCAAATGTTTGGAAACCAGGCGCCTAACTTGCCTATTACCACATCATGATCCTTAGATGTCCCAAATATGCGGGATGAGATTGTCTGAGTAGAGTCGACAAGTCCTGCAATTGTCCTGCAGAGAAATCCAACTTGTTAATCCTCGCCACAATAAATGAGATTGTGGGTAGTCACCTTTCGACTGCATATTCATGCATAACTCCAAGTTGGTCTGCTGAGTCGAGATGAACAATCGCTTGAGCGCTTCATGGTCCAGATTTTCAGCCGTGCATTTGATAAGTGGCCCGCAGTCTGCATCGTTCATGTTCATGTCTAGATGCCGAGGAAGCTAAGCACCCAAATCGATAACCTGATGAGCGACCGGCTTACCAGCAAGGCAAATATGACAATTCGGAGGACGTCGCTTGCCCTCGCGGTTGTACAAAAACTTCACTTGTGGCCCGTTCACGAACGACGCCTGGCACGCATGGATGCCAGTCGTTTAGCATTCTCCCTCGATTCCCCCTTGCTTATTAGCTCTGCAAATTCATCGTCGTAGAGGGCGTCAAATTTAGTGAACAAAACTATTACTGGAACTGAAGATTGCGAATGAGTCGATCCTATAGAGGAAACGGTAGATTCAAAGGCTTACTACTTCCAGTCACATTGAGAGAAAAATTTGACCTCTCCTTCAGTGAAAGACCTACTTTCCTCATCCATTGGAATACAGTACCTATTTCAAGGGAGTCAGCTAGTGTATGTTGCGAACTTGATCAATTACGATTACCATATCGCATGTATTCGATCCTTTATACCTCTTTTCTGCGAACGACTTGTTATAAATGCCTTTACCTTCACCTGTACTTGACCGTGTTATGCATAATCATGGCTTATTAGACACGGGCCGTTATGCATGGTTACCTGTAGTCTTAGACATTATGCATAATCCCCTCGACTGTATGTATAGTAGTTCACATTATGCATAATCCCCTCGACTCTATGTATAGTAGTGTTCTCCGTAATGCATAATGCCCTCGGATCTTCTCTTTCCATGTTCCTGGCTGCATCCTTCTACGATCGCGATCTCGGAGACTTGCCAATCAAAGATTATATATAGTGCTACTAATACATCCTTCTAAAATTGGAGACTGATGCAATCACTGATTATATATAGCGCTACCCCACACATCGGAAAAAGAAGCCTTGCGAATAGATATGTTATCCTACTTGTATTCAGGGCACCGCTACTGCCGGGGGTAAGCTCGCCGCAGGAACTGCACGCCATTTTCTTAGGCAGTTGTCCCGCATCGTGATCCGAAGGGCCGCCTGGCGCTTCGCATATGCTTCAAGGCCTTCTAACTCTGCACCTTCCAACCCGATCCTCCGGCTTGCCTGATCCCTCCACCACGCTGCATGCCAGTCGAAGAACGTGCACACGCGCCGCATCTCCTCCTGGAGAAGTTCTACCTCTTATCCAACGATGTGTGCGCGCCCGAGATTTACACCACTCGACACGTAGCGCTGTGTGATAGCATTTTAGCTCGTATCAATCTAATAGACGATTTCTTACCATCAGCAAGAACGGTCTCTCCTTCCCTGTCTCCAGTAGTGACGCCGCGTGCCTTCCAAATCCATGATAGAGTTCGATTACCTTCGGATTGGCCTACATAGCCATCAGACATTCCCCGAACATGCTCAGGTTCTAGCTTGAGTAGTTCATCTCTCCAGCTTTGTTCGTGCAAAATGTCGCCAAGGATAACTAGCGCAGTCCAGGCCCGACGGTACCGCTCTGCATCTGTCTTGATGCTAAGCTCCACCTTAGCGAGAACTCCCGCTGCACGTGTATTGGCCCGTTGGCCACGCAATTGATTGGCTTTGAACTTGTATAGGTGGCTGCGCAGTCGGAGGTGTCGACGGAGGTCATCGAGAGCATCATATGCTTGTGCCTGTCGCAGCTCCCATTCATATCTGCACAGACGTTCCTCACAAAACTCGTTTGAAGCCCTTTTGAGCTGGGACGGCAACCACAGTTTGACCTCGTAGGGTTTTTCTTCCCGTGAGCTTATGGTACTAGCTGTATCGGATGCGCGAACACGGACGACCGTAGGAATGTATAATACCTGGACCTTGCACCATTGCTCGATTTTGCGTTGTAGCGCATTGCTCCGTTCTTGCAATTTTGTAAGCTGAAGGTCCGTTGAGTGAGGTCCCAAGGCAGCATACTCTCTTTCCAGCCGGCGTCTAAAAACATTGGATAAAGATGCAAGGAACGAAAATATAAACTTACTGCTGGTCCTCTATTTCAATACCCGATGACACGAGAACGCTTGGCGATACCTCCATATGCAGTGAGTAGTTGAGGCCGTGTTCCAGGTCTTCTGCTTCCTTCTGCGAGAGACGCAGTCGTACCGCTGCGAGAGACATAGCTGCGAAAGAATGAGAAACATAAGATCAACATAAAAAAACTAACGCACTTGTAGTTGTAACCTCGAAGGGATTCGTCTGTGATCTATCGGCTTCCCAGCCTTCAATAGCCAGCTTCCACCGAGCGACTTCCTCTGGTCGTTCTGCAATTAATGTATCATTGAAATCATTGAAGTCGATGAGGTGCTGATCACGTTGAGGTATGGCTGCCACGAGCTTTCGGAATAGACTGATGTCTTGACGCCAAAATGTTAGTAAGAGATTCCGATCACATGATGTAGGTTCCACTCACGAAAATTGGTCACTTTCTTCCAGTTAAAATCTCCGAAGTGATCATCGAGGGTGTCGCGGCGTGAGCCAGGGCCCATCTCGCGAGTGCTTGTTGCTACAGGGTTGATGTTCGCCCACCCGCGTTCCGGTGCCTCCCCATCAGTGCGTCCCATCCCTTTGATAAGGTTGTGTGAGTACGTGACTTGGCAGAATGCGATGTGCGCGGGAAGATGGAACTTAGGAACGAGGAACACGAATTCCTTGGTACTGCGTTCAACATGCATTTGATGTGGGTATGTAGCCATACGATCCCATATATTCTTGCTCCATTGACACGCGATATCGTAGGACACGTTGAGCGTGACTACATCCTTCGAGTATTGCAGGGTAGAGAAAAATAAATAGTCCATATTAATATACCTATAGTACACGTTGAGTGTGCAATGATGAAAAGCTCTCGCCTACCTCTCGCCCTTCTGGAGATCGCCAACGCCGCAAGGACGCTTCATGTTGTGGCGTGAACAATCGACAGTGCCCCCCCCGTTGCGCCAAACCGCGAGAGTTTTTAGTCGGCCAAGTTTACAGCGTTATGGCTCGCGCAACTACTTTTCTGTATGACAAGTGGGTGAGCGAGTATTATAGGCTAAGATGAGGGCGCACCTCTTGCGGCTGCTTGCCAGTGTCATGAAGAAACTCTTGAATGCCTTCTCTCGACGAAGTATGCCCAGCCTTTGTTAAGACCAGGGTCAGTCTTGTCGATGATACATTTTTGCGCGCCAGTCGAAAATTAGCATCAATCGCCAGAAATAACGAATATTTCCATCTAGATCATTCCGTGAGCGAACACGCCATGTGGACTAGACCAATACACGACATACCTTCCTCAAACGGTGTATCTTCCCAGCCATTGGGAAGATTTTTGCCCGGTGGGGGCAAGCAGGACATAGCACTGCGCATGCACCATGTTGTGTAGCCTCAACCCCACCAGGGTCATGGCCCCGTCCTGAACGTTTGAGTAGGGTGAGGTGTCGCCATTCCTTTACCATCCGTAAGAGCGCATTATAGCGATCCTGTGAGCGAGCCGTTTGCAAGCTGTTATTAGGAATGAACGAGTCAATTCAAATTGAGAACTTACCTTTGGTGGGTTAACGCCTGTGTTGTTGGTCAAGCGTGCGAGCGTTTGCCAATTACTCGAAAGTGGAGGCCTTTGATTCGAACGAAAGAATGTGGAAGTGGTGGAGTAGTCGAAATGTTTGCGGTAGTCTTCGGATCCAGTGTAGTTGCTGGGAACCAAACGCATGCGAAGGAGGTGCGTCGTACGAGATTGAGCTGTTTGACACTCGCAGAAGTGGAGTGGAATATTGTGGCACTCCGTTGATGTCGAGAACCACGAAGTCGTTATGAACCAATGACGGGTTAGAACAATGTTTCACCAGGAGGGTGTCCAAGTTGAACTTGCAGCCCAAGATCCCGCAGGTTAGTGTCTTCGAAATGTTGGCTGTTCCAGTACTGTGCAAGTCAATCAGCGCGAAGTAGTGAGCACTGCTGATTCCCACCTACCTCAATTCTGTGGGTTGGATTTTCTATATGCCTTTCTACCGTGCACGCCTTGCAATAGAGCTCAGTACCAGACAATCCTCACATCGAAATTCAGGGGCATTCATGCACCTGCAGAACCTCGACATGCTTCCTGAAGTAAGAAATCACCCGCGACCCCTCCAGACGGAGGAGTTCTAAAAAGAAAATGATCCCGATCATCCTCCAAGTCAACAATGGGTTATCCTTCAAAACAACACGTCAGTAATTGTATCCAAGATAAATCATCTTCACTCACTCCTAAATGTCGATTCCGCTGTGAAACTTTCACTTCAAGTGATGTTTCAGCCAAGTGTTTGATTGTAGACTTTGTCTTCGTTAGAGTCCAGAAGAGCCTCAAAATCAAAGGCAAAAGTATCTGAAGTATGTAAAGCAGATGGTGGTGGTGCCGTGTGAGAGCCTCTTGGAGCACCAAAGTACTCTGTCTGAGTCGAGACCTGTGCCGGTCCCTTCAAAGTGTAAGATTGATGTTTGTGAGTTGAGACTTGACTGTTTTCTGGATCCTCAGCCTGAGTAGTGTTTTGCATTCGCTGCTGAGATGCCTGATTTTTGCATTGAGAACATACCAGTCACGCGTAAGCTTGTCGTGCTCGCGGCGTCTTTTTCCCATGAGGACTACAGCATTGAACGTTTGAACAATGAGGATACACAACATACCGCACAGTGATCACGTGATGTTCAACACTAGATGCAAAATACATAGACTACAGTAATCACTTGCCAATGCTAAGCGCTAATTGCCAATCAAGTGTCCCTTTGCGAAGAGCTTCAAAATATGAGTCTACACATAAGTCCATCTTCTGGATCATTTGCTCACATGCCTGGATGCGAAACTGTAAGATGCGAGTCACCGAACATACCCCCACTCGTAGTTGCTCGGTATAAGGACCCTCTAAGCTCCCAGCTGACGTGGATAAGCCATGTGCTTTCTCCAAGAGTTTGCATACCTCGCGAACGTCATCCTCATATTCTGGCTTCAGTGAATTCCATCCCTGACGGTCAGCAGCACAGACAGCATTCAATCCTTCAGACTCCAATCGTTGATACAGATCGGAACCTGGTTCATAACCAGAATTGAACCAGATATCGTCAAGCTGATTGAGTAGTTCGAGTGTCTCCTACAAACAGTGTGTATTAAAATTTGACAAATCAACCAAAAACGATTGACTCACATCTGAAGCTCCACCCCGGCGACGCCAGCGAGTGCGGGATTTGACACGTTCTTGCTGCCGATTCCTGTTGATTGTGAGTTCAGTAGTGGACGCGCAAAGAATGAACCACATTACTAGACTTGCCTGGCATAGTGTTTTTTCTTGGATTTTAAACGAGCTTGATGGGACTGCTCAGTTGTTTTGTACTTGCGTTTCCGAGTCATGCAAGGCGTCAGTCAACTGGAATGTGTGAAAAGGCGTAGGTAAGCTTCCGCACTCGAGTTAGATTTCATGTAATGCCTCAGCCACCACTTCGGGACACATTAAATTGTAGCACATAAGTCTCATTGCAGCTGCAAATACAATAGTTTCAACAGTCTGGTTTATATCTTGTGGACAGGTAAAATGAGCTACTGTATCAGAAATCTCCCGATATCACTATGTTATAGACTTGCGACCCAATAGAACTGAACTTCAATGAAATCATATTGTACAAGTAAAAACCTCAGGAGCAAACAAAAGATCACGACTTTGGGACGGCTGTTAATCGATAATCTCCCCAAGCTTGACATTCACAATTCTCTCAATATATATATGTAAAACATGCGCTGGAAATCTATGTATCAGTCCGAACATCGCACAACTACAACTACGTCACAAAAGTTGCTCCCTCTCTCCTGCGCAGTTTCACTTTCTGTTGCAGATGCAATAGCGGTGGAATGTGTGGTGCCAGTGACTGGTATAGTGAATATATTAATCAGTAAACTCCGGGGTAGCACTATGAAAACGTACCGGTAGTGTCCGACTTGGAGAGGCCTGTTGCAATGCGGCTCGAAGTGATTGGTATACCACAAGCATAGCAATGGCGGCGGTGTGCCCGGAAAATGCATGCCTCGCATGCTCCATATTCAGTCAGTGGACTTGGCAGCTCCGCTGAATCATGTCCATCGTGTGCAGCAAATATGGCTATTGATCAGGAGTGTGATGAGCCGAGATTCAGATCAATTGAAATATTGAACATACCATTTTGGTCACTAATTAACGTCAATGCTCCTCCCAGCTCACGCAATGTGAACGCTGGGGGGTCGCCATCATCATATCCCTGGTCTGCAGCAGAAGGTCTAATGAGCCGTCAGATGAATGGTTGAAAATAAAATTTACGGCTTTGATCCCTAATCAACTTCAATGCTGCAGCCAGCTCATTTATGGTGAATGTTAATGGGGGTGGAAAACGGTAAGCCGTATTGTTGTTCCTTGGGCTCTGCATTCCAAATGAGGTGGGTAGAGTGTGAGTAAAAAAATAGCAGACGGCAGTAGTTACGAGGCGATTTCAACTCCGATCCAGCGAATACACTTGCTGATTGGTTGAAGATGTGTGGTCAGCATTAAATTTTCAGGCTTGGCTTGCGAGGACCGCACAAAACCTAAAATCACGCTGCTATTCAAAAAAACGTGTACCTCACCAAGGCAAGCGGTGACAATTGTGTCTCATCGAGTGATCATTATTAATTCAGCTCAGATAGGATGGCAGGAACAGTCTGGACCACACCTGAACAAAAGGCGTTCCTTGAGACATACTATAGTGGGTTTCTGTTAGCGCAGCTACAGGCCAAGGTTTCCCAATACTGGGATCCAATATACCTTGAATGGTTCAAAAGATGGCCTGAAGAGGATGTAGTGTTTAAAAATACTCCTGCCAGCGATCCCCGTACAGACGAGGAAAATAAAGTTCTGGGGGCAGCACTTCAGAAGCGGAGACAGGTAAGCACTGCCCTCATGATGCCCTCATCGATGATGTACATACTGATATTCTCAAAACAGCAAATACGAACCTGGTTTAATTATAGGTCCCAACGAAGTGGCCGTTCCGCTGTGAACTCAATGACTAGAGTAATCCAGAAAACGTTAACCAACAAAGCAAAAGGAACTCGGGTTCATACCCCTGCCGAGATCTTTTCGACCATTGCCTATAAGGAGGAAGTAAAAGAGCGGGTTCAAGACGCCATTAAGTCCGGCGAGCTCGTTACTAAACAGGAAAAATTGACAGCTATTCGAAAACTTACACGCGAAGCATATGAAGCCGCACCGCCAGAAGTCCAAGCTTTGTGTGAGGAGAAGGTCCGAGAAGAGCACGAAGCGAAAGTCACACTTATTGAAAAATCCGCACCTACCAATAAACAGTATGCAACGTAAGTTTCGGCTTTTGCCCGTACACCAATTTCCCATTGCTTATACATTATTACCAGCGCTCTCCAGGAGTGTACTGCTCCCATTGCGCAGTTCTTGCAAGTCATCAAGGACATGACAGGGTGGGAATGGACTGTTATTGGTGCTGGGCCTGACCCTCATCTTGGTGGCAAACTAAATGCGATGAGGTGCGTCTCATATTCGCTCATTCATTTTCAGAATGCTCAAGACTTCTTAGTTACCATACAGGAGTGAATGGAGATGGACACAATTGGAGGCAAGCCACCCCAAAATTCATTGAGAAGCATCTCAATCCATACTTGGAATTTGTTGGAACACTGTTTCGTGAGTAACATTTCCGTTTGATGGTCGGTCACACATACTCATTGGATTCAATAGCCGAGCATGTCAGAAAGTCTCGTGCCATGGACGTCGTCGCCCCACTCACAAACAGTCTATCACCCACAACTTCACTTGCAAACGGTCTACCACCCGCGATTTCATCTCCCTCAGGTGAAGGATCTGGGTCACTGGAGGGTGCGTCATCGACCGTGACTCCAGCATCACATGGAACTGCCCTGCATGCCCCCCTCACACTCTCGGACACCCTGCGAGGTGTCGACTCGTCTCAGATGCAGACACTCTCGGACACCCTGCGAGGTGTCAATTCGTCTCAGATGCAGACACTCTCGGACACCCTGCGAGGTGTCGACTCGTCTCAGATGCAGGGACCTCTGCCTTTCAGCAACCCCCTTGGCCTTACCTTTGATAACGAAATGTCCACCAACTTTGGCACTGACACCTCCATGTCCCTCAATCCATATGACGCCAGCTTCGCCAGCACATCATCATCTAACTACAATTTCGCTTTACCTGCCTGCTCCTTGTCATCCAGCGAAAATACACCGGCATCCACTATGGGAGACACAAGCGCCGGCCTTACCTTTGACAATCAAATACCCGCTGGCTTTACCACCGACGCCATGTCTTTTGATCCCTATGGCACCAGTGTACCCAGCACCCCGGCATCCAACTTCGATTTCATTTTACCTGCCCACTCCTTATCATCCGGTGCAACCACCCCAGCGTCCACTATGGGAGACTCATTGCCAGATCTTACCTTATCATCCAGTCCAATGCCATCATCTAGTCCAATGCCGGAAACTCCCATTACCTCATGGAGGAAACAGATGTACAGTACATCCACGTCTGCCCTCATGACACCCCCTCGCCTTCGCTTCCGCAGTACATCCGCTATTGCCACCCCATTACCGTCTTTTGCCCCCTTCCCGGTATCAACGGAAAAGTATAACTTCAGTTCCTCTACACACCCGCCTGATCCTCCAGTGGTTACAGCTGCTGGAACAGCTCAGGTTTTGGCGCCACCGGTAGTATCCTCTGCTAGTGGTTCCAGCTGTGCCAGGGACTTGGATTCTGCTCTTACACCCTCCACTGTTGAGGTTGCCCAGGTTTCAGAACAGCTGGCGCTCCTCCCTTCTGATGTCGGTAGTGCATCGGGCTCCGCTGTGCAAGCCGATGACGTAGTTGTTCCTGCTGTTAGGAAGACAAAGCGCGTGCGCCAGCAGACGACACGTTTGGCACAGGCTGATAGCATAGGTGGCCATTCTCAAAAGAGGTTTGTGATTTTGAGTGTTTATTATTTGCAAGCGCGAACACTAACTCAATTCTAGGAGGAGAAAGGCTATGTGATACTACCTACATTTTGTGTTCCGTCGATGTTTACGTGTCTTGTGTTGTTGACATATTGAGAATATGAGCATATTTCTTGTTGAGACTTCGCGTTTTGTGAGATGAAAGGCAGATTTTCAAGGCAGACAAGACATAAGCGTGAAATTTTGCATGATCAGGCACAAGAGCAACCAGTCTTATTAATATTTTCAAGGCAGACAGGACATAGCGTGAATATTTACATATCTAGGCACGAGAGGAGCAGCCAGTCTTAATACTCAGGCAATACCGATACCTAGAAATGAATTAAAATTCCGCTGATGCGCAGAGATCGATGAGGGCTAGGCCATCAAAGGTACGGCAAATGTAAAATCTCGATTTCCTGCCAATTCGGGGTGCGGGGAACCAGGGGATATAAGGCGTGTCCCGCTGAGGGTGTACAAGAAGGGGGATGGGCTAAATCAGGCTAAGAACTGCCAAATCGGGGTGCGGGGAACCAGGGGATATAAGGCGTGTCCCGCCGAGGGTATACAAGAAGGGAGATGGGCTAAATTAGGCTAAGAGCTGCACAAAGTGGGTACCCGAATTGAGAAATGGTGTGGCGGATCATCTCTGGCAGCATTATGCATGGTGGGAATCTATTATGCATAACGGCTCACCCATCTAGAACTACAGACAACCATGCATAACCATGCAGTTTCTTACCACACATGGTTATGCATAATTTGGACAGTATAGCCTGACAAATCCGTCAGGCTCTTCTGCAGAATTCAAGACGTACTGGGACTGCTTGAGTGCCGAACAGATATCGGTATGTTTTCAAAAACATTACTGACTTGACGCTAACAAATACTGTCAGAAATATAGTGCAGAGTGCGCACAATTGGTGAGTACTAGATTATCTTACACTCTATATGCTAACTCGCTCCTCTGGTAGATTGCAGATGGGATGTGGACGCATTGCAATGCTACGAACATCGCGAAGTTGTCGGGTGGGTGTGTCTACTAGCTGGTGTAGTAGGAGTGCAGCCAGGTAGCAGGAGGGGAAGCGTGTTTCTTTCGGATCCGTATCGCATTGTTTTCGCATGTACCTGCTCTCGTCGAAATGCATAGTTTTCAGTATATCTGGTCAGCAAGAGGAGAATGATTAGTTCATCTACTGAAATCTAGGTACAGCAAAGTAGCGCGAACTCAGATCATCCTAGTAGATTAAGGTAGTAAAAAAATGTACTGTGTGTCTCATTTGGCTACCAACAACTATGGAAATCTAGCAACGCCTTTTCAGTACACCTCGGTTGATTCCAGTAGGTCCGATTCTCACTGGGCATAAGTAACCAGGCCACCCTTGAACACTGACACTCACTTCTCGAAACGCACGGATGGCCTCGCAGACATTTGCAAAGTCGTGGCTGATGAGTGAGTTACTCTCAGCTATATCTTTGTCTATCCTTAATCTGCCCATATAGTACATGGTGCACCGGTGAGGTGCCGGCCAGGGAGCGGTCCAAGTGCCATTCTGTAGTAAATAGCCGTGAGCAGCGCTCCAAGCGGCGAACAGTGATTGGTGTGTTTGAGGTGCAGTAGTGATAGAATTTTGCAAAGGATAATGATTATCAAATCGAGTCAGCGTAGCACTGCCACATTTTTTGGGCCTCCTACCCGCGGAGTGACTACCCTCGACCTTTCCACAATGTCACGCCCAGCAAAACGCGGACCTCCTAGCACGATCGTTATTAAGCTTGGCGAGTATTAGCAGTATCCTCACCCCACATCCCGCAGATGTGTGATCTGTAAATCCCAATAGGAACATCCTCCATCGTCCATGAAGAAACGCATCAGCCCCTCCTATCCATACTTTCTGCGGTTGTCGAGACCGTCGTAAATCTGCGCAGCCATGGACACAAAGTGGTGCTTGTCAGTTCTGGGGCTATTGGAGTTGGGTTGAGGACAATGGATATCCCACAGAGACCAAAAAGTCTGTCTAAGAAGCAGGTGTGTCTTCCTTCGCATCTTTTGAGATTAGGACTGATTAACGGAAGGCTTTGGCAGCGATAGGACAAGGACGTCTCATTGCGCTATGGGATAACCTCTTCGGGCAGTTTGATCAGCGAACCGCTCAGGTTCTGTTGACGAGAGGAGACATATCTGATGTTAGATGCTTTCTACAGATACCCTGTTCACGCGCTTAACATATCCCAGCGCACACGATATTTGAATGCTGTCAATACACTAAACGAACTCTTGTCGATGGGCGTGGTACCCATCGTGAACGAAAACGACACCATATCTGTCAGCGTACGTATTACAGTTGTGATGAGTAGCAACGCGGGTGGGCTAACTGGTCGCAGGAAATTAAATTTGGCGACAATGACACGCTATCGGCCATTACGAGTTCTATGATTCATGCCGATTACCTTTTCCTCCTTACAGACGTCGATGGTCTGTACACGTCCAACCCACGAAAAGATCCCTCTGCAAAAAAGCTTGATGTGGTCATCTCTGTTGCTGCCATCCGAGCACAAGGTGCGGAACCAGAGATACAGTGATGATTTGGTCACCTAACTCCATGCTCCAGTCAGCACATCGACTCTAGGATCCAGCCTTGGAACCGGTGGAATGGAAACAAAACTAATCGCAGCTGAAATCGCAACTGGCGCTGGCGTAACGACTGTTATCGCATCCAGCAAACAGCCCTCAGCGATCGTCGATATCATCGACTATTATACAGCACTGAGAAGCACGTCAGTACCCACTTCAGGTGCCGCTAGCCCCATCACTCCGCAAAAGCTCAATCAGGTCGACTTGGATGAAGTCGCTGCATCCCTCAGTTGGCCGAGGCCCCCACATACTGTCTTCAAGCCTGCTTTGATTCCCATGCGGGACCTGAAGGCATGGACGAGTCATACACTTTATCCAGCAGGTAGCGTGATTATTGACTCTGGGGCGCATGCCGTATTGTCTCGTCGAGAATCTGGTGGCCGCCTGCTGCCAGCTGGGGTGCTCGGAGTTCGAGGCTCATTTGCCTCTGGCCAAGCAGTCCGCATACTAGTCCAACGCCGTGCTGAAGGAGTTCCAGTTGAGGCTAAGGAAGTTGCGCAAATGCCATATTCCAACGTAGCTGCAACGACGCCATGTACACCGATCCTAGAACCTGGGGCGTCGGTGACAGCCTCAGTTATATCACTTGTTCCACTCTCGCGTTCTGGATCGTCCTCATCTTTGGCAGATGATATGACATCTGATTCTCAGACGATTACGGATGATGAGATCCCTTTGATCGAGAAGATGGACGAATGCGAAGTCTGGAATTGTGTAGAAGTAGGACGGGGCTTAGCGAACTACAATTCTGCACAGATATCCCGAGTGAGGGGCCTAAACAGGTGGGTTCTTTGTTTCTGGTTTCCGATATGTTTTCATCAGGCTGTCTTCAGTTCCCGGATAGTTCAGCTCATCGGTTATGCAGACACAGAATATGTTGTAGAAAATATCACGATCAGAGTGTCTGCTTGATGTGGCAGTGTAGATGTAGATTATTTGTGCTGCACAAACAAGATGATTTAATCGATGAATTTTTTTGGCGAGCAAAGCTATTGTGCCAGTCACCCAATTGCAACAGTCACCCTTTTTCTTCTTCATTCATCCTGTTCTATGTTATAAAACCATCCAGCAATTTCTAAATTATGTATCACGGAAATTCTATCAGACTTCTTGCGGGTATGTCCATTTAGCACCAGTGCTTTCCTTCCGCTGATTGGAGGCTCTCCAGGCAATAGTCACCCAGAGCTCGCCCATGCCGTGGCCGAGCGGTGAGCTGCCGCTTTACATGATGCAGCAAAACAGCCCACGGACTAGTGATTCACTCACATAGGCTCGGAGTGCCCCTTACGCCATGCATGCCCAAAAAATTCTCCAACGGCGAGATCAACGTCAAGATCTCCGAATCCGTCCGCGAGGAGGACGTGTTCATCATCCAGTCGGGGTGTAGCGATGTGAACGACAACCTGATGGAACTCCTGATCCTCATATCCGCATGCAAAACCGCTTCCGCCCGCCGCATCACGGCTGTCATCCCGTGTTTCCCGTATGCCCGCATGGACAAAAAGGACGAGTCTAGAGCACCGATAACAGCAAAACTAGTGGCGAATATGCTTGTAAGCGCGGGATGCGATCACGTTATCACCATGGATCTGCACGCCAGTCAAATACAAGGATTTTTCGACATCCCAGTAGACAATCTTTTCTCAGAGCCGTTGATGGTTTCATACATCAAGAGACACATCGACGGGTGGCAAAATGGCATTGTTGTCAGTCCGGATGCTGGTGGAGCAAAGCGGTGCGTATTTGTTTGAGTCTGACGTCGGCTCCACTGCTCAGCTCCGGATAGGGTCACAGCAATGGCAGACAAACTTGGCGTCGAATTCGCCCTTATACACCGGAAACGTGATGGGAAGTCTCAGAATGCTCCAGAACGCATGGAGCTTCTGGTAGGAGACGTTAGAGATAAGGAATCAACTGCTTCTTATAGTCCGCCCGGAACTTTATTGACCGTTTACCCCAGGTGGCTATTCTGGTGGATGACATGATAGATACTGGCCACACGCTCACGCTTGCTGCTCGAACGCTGCATGAGAAAGGCGCAAAAACAATTTACGTTCTCATTTCGCACGGTGCGTGTCATTATAGAAGAATAATTGCCGATCGCCTGACGATCCCCGAAGGACTCTTCGCAGAAGCCCACATGGCTTCTTTGAACAACCTCCCTATAGAGCAGCTTGTTGTAAGTCGTTTTTCGTTTTTCGTTGGGCTGCTAATGTGCCTCTCAGGTCACGAATACCGTTCCGCAAAACGAGCACAAGGAACAATTTACGAAGCTAATAGCCCTGGATATTAGTTCTACTATCGCTGAAAGCATACGTCGTACGCACAACGGTGAAAGTATCAGCCTCTTATTTGGTGAATGGGCCGAGGGCAGGGGTCTTGACATGATCATTTAGTTTGTTTCCTCGCTCCGGATCCTCTCGTGTCGGTACATACTTGTATCCTAGAAACGACGCAGTACATTACCAGTTCCTGGCAGCTGGCTCCTTCCGTGTGCGACCGCTCCTTGCAGCTCCGATCATTGGAAGGTTTGTTCTGGCAGAAGCTCCGCGGCCTAACCCACGATCTAACATCTTCTAACGCTGGTCAAGCGGAGTGGGGGACTGCGCAACAAGCATTGCCGCTCGCCTTTTTTCTCATTCTCATCATTCTGATATAATCGAATGCTTGGTGTTCACATGGCTATTTGTGATCCGAGTGTAAACCGGAACAAATTGTGTGAAGACGGGGGGCATCGAGTGTGAAAAATCTGTGTGGCAAAGGTCGTTCGACTACTCATGTATTTAACCAGGGGATGCAATGATGCAGTGCATTCATCCCGTCTCAATCCAACGTCTCTCTCATGTCCACGATGACCCAAAAGCTCACGTTTACCACTGCTAGCGTGCAGAATCTTGTCATTTCCAACCCAACTGACGCACTCTACTATGAGGTGTTAACCCCTGAGTGGGACTCGCATCAGACGACAGTCCGTCGACTCGACACTCACGCAGACCGCTATGACACTGTCGGCAACATCCGAAACCAATCAGGCAAACCCGTCGCAGTCAGCATGTACAGCGGAGGATTCATAAACCAGGATTTGTGGTTGCGGAAGATCGAGGGAGAAAACCGAAAGAGGTATACTCATCTTCGTGGGTGCTGAACGCTTGCCTTACCATAATGTGCAGTCGATGGGAATTTGATGACGGCGAGGGAAACTATTTCTCCTGGGCTGTAGCAGGTTCCAATTTGGAGGTTTGGAAATGACACAGCAAGATGTATAGGGTGTAGCTGATGATCGACAGCTTCGCAGCATTGACGAGCGTGGGGTGCAGAGTCCGAAACCAATAGCAACATACTACCCGCACAAGCGCTACGTCATGGTGGGGATGATATCGCAGCAAGCATTTTTGGAGATCGAGCCATCTGTGGTGGATTCCCTGGATACAGTACTAGGTGCCGTATGTTGAAGCAAGGAAGTGAAGACGCTGACGATATCACAGTTTCTCTGCTCGTGCTTGCACGGAAACGAAGAAAGCACAGTCTTTGAACAGGGCATATGAAGAGCTTATAGACACTTGGACATTATCAACTAGAATCCACACGTTTAGTGCACTTTATGGGGCAGTTAATAAAGGCAAAGGTGTCTTCACCTCTTCGATTCCCTCCATCCATCATCCAACGAGTCTTGAATGAGGAAGTCGTACCAGAACTTTGCGATAGGGGCAGTACTGAGGTGCCACAAGGCGTGGGCATCGATGATGCGACCCCACGGAGGGAAGTCGAAGAGCTCGAGAGCAGTTGCAGCCGTTGTAAGCGCGACAAATACGGCTGCCTTATATGCGTATGGTGGTCTGTACGTCTTTGGTTTGTAAGGAAAGCGCCGAATGAGGGGTAACGATGCAGGAAGGGAATATAGCAGCCATAGCAAATTATGCGTGATACCAACAGTGAGGTTGAATGCCATATTGTATGAGTAGTCAAACCGTGGTAGAATGCTGAGATAGGTGACATGGGTGACATAGGTTACAGCGCAGATGGATGACCATAGGAGGAACACGGGGGTGCGCTGAATACGGCCATCCTCACTACTCCGAATGGGGTATTGATTGAGAAACCGTAGAACCGCGTAATACAACGCATACAAGATGACTAGAGCAGCGGAGAAGTAATCCAGCTTTTCCGTCAGAGGCAAATCTTCAAGGCGTCTATAAGTAGGAGAGAACGTGGTCATGCATAATTTAAGGGCAGACCTCTTGTGTGAAACACTGCCGACCAGAGCCAGGTGTTAATGCTCACTATGGCCCATGTTAAATAGTAAGATCGCAGGGGGTGGTCTTTTGGCACTCTGCTGCGAATCTGGCGCCATCCTTGGATGTGATAGTACATATTCCACAATGAGAACGCGACAGAGGCAGGTTCTTGCATTCCGAAGAGCCGCCAAAAAGGCCACTTTCCATAATATTGATGTATCGTCGATCTTCCGTGGATTGCAATATCCGTGAGCATGTGCATGCACTGGTACTTGCAGTCATCTGTACACGTCCAACGCGTTAGTCTGAGGGCAAGTGAAAGTGTCGTCTGATGCTGGCACTGGTTCCCATAACATGCAGAGATGCAATTTTGAAAATTTGATGATCTGTCACCGGAGGAAGCAACCACGAGAACGAGAAATGGCAGGATTGCTAACACCCGGCGATACACGCCCAGCATGATGATGACTAGCAAGCGCTAAGCGAGAGAGCTGTTAGTGAACACGGTCCTAGCATTACATAAGCAAACATGGATCTCCTTCAAGAAGTTCCATCTTAACTTGGACTACAACTTCAAGAACCCGTCGGTCTCTATCAACGACCTTTATACGCGGCAGCGCACAGTTGAATCGCACGAGGAGCCACAGGACCAAAACAGCCCCCCATAGTATTTCAAGATACCGTTGGCTATCTTGCAAGGTCTCGTTTAAACTGTAAGTTTCATATCTTATCCTTGAATTACACCTCTCCACGTACTTGCCAGAATATCGCAGACACAGTTTCTAACACAAATCTACGCAGTACAGCCAGATCACCACATACATCATGGTTCGTGCTTCACAGGCGACTACCTTCTCATCTTCTGCCTACTTCGACGATCGGGGGCCGCACGGTACTGCTCAGCCGATAACTGAGCATGTCAATGTAAGCTACTTCCTTTATCATTGAGCTATTTTCCCTAGAGGTCAATAAAAGCCGCATTCTCGTCCAATAGTTTCTTATTTTTTCCCAAAAGGCGTCGGCGAACATCATTATGGGGTATGTGTCATATTATTAATCTTGCTAGACTTGGCTCTCACCAAACACTGTCAGGAACGCCATCCGATGAAACCACATAGACTGACCTTGACCAACGCCCTGGTCATGGGCTATGGTCTTGACAAGCAAATACATCACATATATAATCCCCGTCCAGCTACTCAAGCCGAGTTAGAGATGTACCACGACCACGACTACGTTGACTTTCTTTCACGGTGCGGAATTTACACTACCTCGTTGATAGCCCACCTTATGGCAGTATACAGCGTGACGCCAAATAACCAGAACGAAATGCGGCATCTTATCGACACGTTCAACTGTGTTGAAGACTGCCCAATATTTTCTGAAATGTATGATTTTTGTCGTATGTATGCTGGTGCTTCCCTTGCAGGCGCAAGGAAGCTTACGGCGGGTGCTTGCGATACTGCAATTAATTGGTCGGGCGGGCTTCATCATGCCAAGCGTGGAGAAGCAAGTGGTTTCTGTTACGTCAACGATATTGTTCTGGCAATTCTTGAACTTCTGAGGTGAGCGGTCGTTTCACCAGGTGATACCTAAAACTGACTTCGAGTTCTACAGATATCATCCCAGAGTCCTCTACATAGATATCGACATCCATCACGGGGACGGCGTTGAGCTCGCGTTTTATCATTCGAATCGTGTTATGACGGTATCCTTCCACAAATACACCGGCGATTTCTTCCCTGGGACGGGTAAGCTCGACGATAACGGTGCAAGCTTGGGCAAGCACTTTTGCCTGAATGTGCCTTTACAAGATGGGATCGATGATGATATGTACTTGACAATATTCAAAACTGTCATTGAAGACACTGTCACGGCTTTCCGCCCGACATCTATCGTCTTGCAGTGCGGAGCAGACTCGTTAGGATGTGACCGACTTGGGGCATTTAATCTATCCATTGCAGCTCATGGCGAATGTGTGAACTTTGTTAGGAAGTTCAATGTACCGCTGCTCGTATTAGGAGGAGGAGGCTACACTATCAAAAATGTCAGCCGCTGTTGGACATATGAAACTGCCGTTCTCGTCGGGGCGACAATACCCGACGAGCTTCCAGCCACAGTTTATGACCCATTCTTCCGCGACTCGCAGTGGAAGCTTCATCCTCCCCTCACAGGACGCGTCGAGAACCAAAACTCCCCTGTATCATTGCAACGAATCACCATTAGCATTCGGAACAAGCTTCGGTATTTGCAGGGTGCACCAAGTGTCGCCATGCAGGAAATACCGCCTGACCTAGAAGGTTGGCTTGCCGATGAAGAAAGGAAACAGGATGAGATTGATGAGGAGAGGGGGACCGCGCTCGCTGGAGAGCGAAGAATTGACCGGTCGATGGCACGCAATGAGTTCTTTGAGGGGGATAACGATGTGGATCAGGACGAGGGCCCTGTATCTGCTGGTGTGAAGAGGACCGTCAGCGCGAGAAAGCCTCGTGCGTCAGGAAAGCGGGGAAGGGGAAAGGCAAGAGCGAGGCCGAGTGCCAGTGCGAAAGAGGACGGGGAGGAGACAGAAGAAACACCAGTCGCGGCGGCCCCTCGCTCCACGAAGCCAAGGAGAACGGCCAAACCCCGAGCCCGAGCCCGCGCAAAACCTGCAGAGAAGGATAAAGACCTTCCGGATGCAGATTTCGAAGCTGCTGCTGATGCAGAGACTGACGCACCGACTCCAGTGGATTTGGAGATTGACATATAGTGAAGCTGCGACGCTCGTCATTCTGTTCATGCTTTTGTGAAAAGGTATACGGATGATTCCTGCTTCTCTTGATGTATATTTCTGACTTCAGAGCCTCTCAATCATAGGGATGGTGGGATAGTCTCGTCTTCTCAGTGGCGTTGTTTATAGCAAAGCTGTACATTTAGCCGCAGGGGTCGGATGCTTCGGCTCTTATCTCGCGCGCCCGTCAGTGCCTCGCGGCCCATGGCTCCGTATGTGGAATTGATCATCATCTTGATTCTGCCCTGGCTGCGTGATCGAGGGACACAGGTTTCATCAATAGCCCTTATGCATCCAGTGTACTTTAAGTATTACTTCTCTAACTTTTGATAGCCTGTGTAGGCTTTCTCATCACATACTTTAATAGACTCGCGCCCAATGTTATTGCTCTTTTGGATCAACCGGTGCAGACCTGGTGACTTTCGACTCAGTGATTTGGTGAAGTTAGGCTAATACCTGCTCTGTTTCAAGGTAGTGCAACAAATACTGGTTTTTATCTCAACAACGAAGCAAGATATCGACAAACTGTAAGAGACAAAAAATAATCAGGCGAAGATGGCTGGCCTGTACATTTAGAAAGAGCGGCCTGATTTGTATTTTGATTGATCCGCTTGAGGCGCCACGCTGCAGCTGGGCGTTGAGCGCTCTTAGTAAGCGAACTTGAAGCCAGTGCATGCATTAACATTTGTTTATTTCGAAAGCCTCTGCCAAACAGTCCAAAATTTTGAAAGAAAAGGCTTCTCGGTCACCCACGACTTGTTCCTCGGCATGGGGAAGACGCATGCGTTTTTCTATCGACATGGACTTGTAGCTGGTTTTTTCTTGATGTCTGGTTAGCGCATCTCCGATATCATCCGTCCTTGTATCTCTGACAACGTAGGCCCACTACATCTTATGCCCTCCATCAGAGAACGCCACCAGTGAGCAATCCTGTGCTCTCCGAGATGTATTCTTTTCGTCAGTTTGGACGTCCATAGTATAATGTTACTATATTGTGGGCTTCCAGACTGACCAAAAATATCCTTCCGATTCTGGAGTCGGATTGTGTTGCATTAAATCCTCGCCAGGTCAATGGCAGTCACTTTCGTAACAAAGTGCTCATATCTCAGTCTCGAGGCGAATGCTCATCCGCTTCTCGTGCAGAAACTTGCCTCGCTCGAACTCGGACATTGCGAGCCTATTCATATGCAATCATTCTCCAGGTTCCGAAGCGAAGCGAAGTCAGTATCTGCTGGCGTGAAGAGGCCTCAGGCTGTGTGCCAGGCAAGGTCGGGGCGAAGGAGGCCGAGCACTGGCAGTGCCACATTTTCAGTTGTGGGGATTAGAAGGATCTAGATATTCCAATGCTAGTGGATCTGTGGGAACAAAAAACATGTGATGCTGTTCACCTGAGAGCCTGTTTATCACAGCTGATAGATTTCCAGCTGAAAGACGTATAATCATGTCCATTCTCAACAATCTTCGCAAGAGCTGTGTCGGACCGTGGCAAGTCCACCACTGCCACGCCCCACCTGATCATTGAAGATACTGATCATCTTAATTCTGTACTGCCACCATGTTTCTGAATCATGGGCGTCCTCAGGCATGTGTCAGTATTTGAATTAATTTCTTCAATCAAGATACTAATCAGGCTGAACTCCTGGCTTTATTCTCATGCGAGTCACACAGCATAGCTGATCACATCTATTTGTCAACTGTTGGCCCTGCATCCTGGTAAAGAATCACCAGACATAAAGCTCGAGGGTGGTGTGATCAGCTTTTGTACAAACACCACTCAAAACACTCATCATGAATGCTTCGAGTATTGCTGCAGAGCTCCAGCAGCTTGAACAATATGAGTTTTATGATACTATTGTTCGTCAACTTGGAGGTGAGATTTGTCAGCGGTTCATTGATACTCGGATGGTTTACTTCTATTTGTTCAGTCTCCGCTGTCGTGCTCTATACATGGGACTTTGGTACGCAGCGACTTGATAATTAATATCTCAACAAATTTACAATTTTATCCAGTTCTGACATTCCAAGACGAGGTCAATATTCTATGGGTAGGTTGTGCATTCTGTCCAAGTCCGATTCAGATCATAACACAGCCAGGGAACGAGGTGGACAACATCTAGGATCTTATTCTTCATTGTACGTGTTTAAATGTGAGTTATAATCTGACATATATCTGACATTTGTTTTTTTCAGAATAGATATTTTGGGCTCGCTACAATCATTGCCTCTACCTTCTGTCAGTTCTCGAATCTGTGTCTTCATTGGTAGCACTTATTGACTTGCTTCTCTGCAGTTGATGTCCAAACAAATCCAGATGTTACCATGTATGTCCCTCGTATTATTGCATTAGCCATCAATCTTATTAATGACCACCAGGTGTAGATATCTTCCTGCCAGCATATCTGTTCACCAATAACCCTTATTTCTTAGGTCATGCATTCACAAACTTCGATATCATTGGTGAGTAAGATCCTTAGTTACTACTAGGCTGCATACTCAAGTGCTAAAATATAGGCTGTCTCCTTGTTGCGAACATCGAAAGTGGGTAGTCACACATTTCAAATTCCAAAACTCACCCTTTTCTCAATAGTCATTCTTCTTCGACGGTTGTTTGCTCTCTATGACTACAGTACGTTCTCACGTGCAAAGAGCTGCTCCATTTATCTGATCTGATGACACAGAAAGAGTGATCGTGATCCCCATGGTGGCATTATTTATCATATACATATGCAGCATGATGGGAATAGCTATTGCAATGAGCATATATGCTCAAGGTAAGAATGGGCTGTCTGGATGCACTTCGCTTGAACTGACACCTTCGTCTAGAAAATGAGTATGTGCTCATGGGTGTATGCGAAGAAGCAATTCCGAGCTGGTTCATTCCGTTCTGGTGAGGGTTAACACACAACCTTTTCATCGTTGAAATCACTCACTTGACATGATAGGACTCCAATCATGGCCTTCGACTTCGTGATCATGGCACTTGCTGGCTTCAAATCTGTGCAGCACTACCGCCGTGTCCCCAACAAAAATTGGTCTGGCGCTCGGTTCATGAAGACTTTGGCGCGAGACTCTTTCATTTACTTTGCATGGTGAGTTCCGCGAATATTCATTTATACATACCGAAGATAATAATCACGCACCTAGCAATTTCTTCAACTACTTGGCCATCACTTTTGTATTCCATCTTGCACCACCTGAGTTCCTCCAACTAGGAGCGAGCTGGACAATCGTGATACCTCCGATAACCGCTAACCACCTCCTCATAAATATGGAACAATCTCGTTTCAGAACCAACGACACTACTACGCAATCAAACACCAGCGTGGAATCCGAGTCTTCGGAGGAAATTGAGTTGGCACATCGTCGTGTTCCGAGTACTCCATTGATCGCTATCGCATAAAAAGTGACATACGGTTCTGCATAGTATGCAGGGTTTCGGGTTACCCTACGAAGATGTTTCGATTGTACATCAAGGTCTTCCGTTATGGCCTAAGTTATTCTCATGTATTACCGGTTGAATAAACTCAGAATGGTTCGAAGGAACATGGATGAGACATCTTTGCAGCAGTACCATTATGGTCAGACTGGCGACATCACTTGGGAAGACATTCAACAAGTGTGGTTACTCAAGACTCATCCCCATATCCCAGAAACCCTTCTCCAGTCGCGTACACCTTTCCCAAACATCTTGCCAATCTTTGAACCTGATAAGCGAAGGCGCATCCGCCGCTGCGCGGCTTTCGAGCGTCTCTATAAAGTTACATGAAGTCATGTGCAGCAAGAACTTTCGTTGCATCCTCACCTAGTCCAGCTTTCACTGCCTTTTGATACACGTCGCCTGAATAATCCTCCATCCACTTAAGGTATGGATTCCCCTCCCATTGGACCCATGAGTCGGGTGCTTGGGCCTCTTCCTTGAGCCACAGGCCAACTTCTCCGTAACCAAGCAGGCAGGCGGCAAGGGCGACGCTTATCTTCATAAAATCACCTAACAGCCAGATCTCGACAAGTCAATATCAACAAGATAGGCCATCGTACCCTGCAGTCCGGTGTCAATGAGGAAAGCCCCATAAGCCGTCAGGGCGGGAGACTCGGGGGTGTTGATCAGTTCGTCTTCTGTGATACCCCACTCGGCACAATAACCCATATGCATCGAGCTTTCTTGAACTATGCTAAAAACCACATCGATAGCTGCCGATATGGGTGCATAGGCATGCGACTTGGCTGCAAGGAGTCTAGAAGAGAGACATTAGGTACAGAAGCGGGGATGATCTGACTACTTACGCGTACGCCCGAGCATAATATTTGAGATAAAGATAATCTTGTCTTTGGGGGCAATCAGATCGTTCTCTCATGTTTGTCAATAAAGTCCTTACTTGATAAAGTGAAGGAAGTTTTCCTTAGGAAGGGTACCCTTGCCCAGTAGTACTACGAACTCGTGTTGAACATACTCTTTCCAAATTACCTTTGAACTCCGTATAAGAGAACTTGTGAGTGGGTATGGGTTCGTCTTGGTTCGCCTACATTCGGAGCAGTCAATTCGTCGTAGTGTGTTCTATGACAGTCACGTACGGAGAGACGAGGCGTGGAGTGATTGAATGGATATGGTTCAGAGGGCCAAAGCCACTCCCGATCGGAATAGCGGTATCAATTCCAACATGAGTATAAGCAGCCGCAAGCCTTACGGCTTCAGTCACTGTGTGAATTATCAGGATAGGTGGTAAAAATAGTCAAAGAAGGGTGACAAACGCGGTGTACCCCTCGCAAGCTGACATGCCAACGCAGCACTCAGCGTACAGCCAGTGCCATGGGTACTTGTTGATTCTAGTTTAGTCCTAGCAAATATGGTGATGCGGTTATCGGATGTGCAAAGCACATCTACTACGAGTGAGTCTACGTGTCTTTCAGTCCTTCCATGAACCCGGAGGATATTCGTGTTCTCGTCCAGAAGATCGTCTCGAATCACCTGTGTGTCGTCAGAGGAAACATTTGCAAGATCTTTTAGAGAAACGACGCAATGACCGCCTTTCACGAGCACAGCTTGTGAGCCAAATGTCCTCAGCCGTCGAGCAGCGCTGATCATGTCTTGTAAATTTGCAATGTGAGAAGGAAAATCGCGTTGTTTGAGGAGGAGTTCCGCTTCTGCTTTATTGGGGGTTATGAGGTCCGAAAGAGGGAAGAGTTCGTCTATAAGGGTATCCACGGCATCTGGGTGCAAGAGAGCATGACCGGAGGTAGAGACACAAACAGGATCACAGACTAAAGGGATGGGCCCCTTGGCATCAAAGTAGCCCTTGAGCATCTGTGCGACTGCCTTTGTGTTCTCGGTATCAAAAAGCATACCAGTCTTGATTGCCTTGACGTCAATATCGTCCAGGACAGAGCTTATCTACGGGAAAGGCTCAAGCCGAATCGGGGACGGCACACGTAATTAGTTACACACCTGCTGTTGTACGAAGTCAGGAGGTACTCCATGCACCGCTTGCACACCAGTGGTGTTCTGAGCAGTCAGAGCAGTAGTTACGCTTGCACCGTAGCATCCGTGAACAGTGAATGTTTTCAGGTCTGCCTTCAGTCAAACAGTCTTGGATTCCCCTAGAGTAGAGAGCGCAAATGCGCACTTGTATGCCTGCCCCCCCGCTGGAGTCGCTTCCCGCGATTGTAAGGACTGGCGGGCTTTCCAGCGTCATGATCCTCCTGGTGTGTAGTAGAACTTCTGCGGCTTTCCGCTATCGGATTGTTTGTTTCTAAAGCCTTTGCCAAACAATCCAAAAGAGGCTATCACCTCATCGACACGGACTCACGGTACGGTAGTCCACATAACAGACATAAACTCAGGAACGAGTTTCTTCCTTCTATTTGGTCTGCTTACAGGAGACTAACCGCAGTCCGTCACTGTTCTCAAAAAATATGTCATCTCCAGAACCAGCGCAATCAGCACCTAAACCCTCGAAAATCAAAATCAAAGAGAAATCAAAGAAAAAGTCAAAAACGCAGCCAGTCACTGTCACCGACCATGGCAAGAATGAAGGAGTGAACCCGAATTGGGCCTACAAACCTCCGCCCGGTTCCAAAGTATTTGACCATTCATTCGAAGCCGATACTTTCGACTGGGACTCCGTTCGGGACGATAATGATATTGAAATATGGCTAATACGGGCCCCAGACTCGGTAGGTATCCGTTAAAATGCATGGTTGTTGGCTTAGAGATATGCTTGTTATAGGTCAATGCCAAACATTTTGAAGGACTGGCAATCGATGCGCCCTCGTCCTCACGGAGCGGTCAGGTCGGTAGCTTGACGCGGAAGGGCACCGTCTATGATATATGGTCGATGTGTGACGACGACACGAATATAGGTGGAGCAGAGGAACTGAGAGGATTGTCATGTTTGCTTCCTAGAAAGAAAAAAATGGGCAAGTTGTACATGGGTAAGTTATTCCTTCCGCGAAACTATACGAATGGATTTTGAGCGTCCCATAGCACCCAAAGAGATTGCACGCCATCTCGTTATTTCAGCCCAGCCACCAAGAGCAAGTACTCCGGAGCACCCATCCATTCTGCACCAAAATCCTCCTCGTCTTTCACATCCAAAAGAATTACTCAAGCATCACTTCGTGCCATATGGAGCCAAGCTTACAATAAACGACGATCATGCGAATATGGATGCTGACTGCCAAGTGGAGGACGGTGATGCTGGTTCTGGGATTGGAGGATCACCCCGCAAGGCAAAGGAGTCGAAGAGTAGGAAACGTAAAGTTGAGGGAGAGACACTTCGTAAGAAAACGGTTAAGAAACCTAAAATAGCGAAGTAGGGGATGAATACTGAGGTTGTGATCACATCTTAGGTGTAATGCTTCTGCATAGTACAGGAGTAATTAAACGCGCATGTAATGTGGAAAGGCAGTGTACAAGAAACAGTGTAATCCACGGGAGAAAATAAGATAGATTACGGTAGGGCAAAGCTCTACTGTCTCCTATGTCATCCAACATCCATCTCATCTCCATTCCCTTGGTTAGTCCGTTGACCTGATGCACTACTATTTGGATGTAACGACCGAGCCAGATCGTGGCGGATAGCGTCCTCAAGCCCTTCATATATGCTTCGTCGCGGAAGGTCCCATATTCGACCAGGGCACTCCCTCTCTTTCTCGTCAAAAACGCCCCCAACGCTTGTCACCCACTGCCGCCGGGTCTCCACGAGTTGCTGCAAGTGATCTGGCACCACAAGATGAAGATCATCATCCGGTCCAAGTCCAAGTGCTGCAGGTGAGGGTTTAGGCGCGCTGGTAACAGAAGTGTTCCCGTTTATGCTCCCGTTAGCCTCCGATAGTTTCTTTTTCTTTTTATTCAGCTTCGGTTCGTCCTTCTTCTGGACTTTCGAGTAGGCGCTCGTTATGCTTTTATCAAGGGCGGAACGGAGGTCCAGATATTCCTGATAACCAAGCCGATCACGAGCAATAGCAGCAAGACGTTCTTTCCTGGCCTTGTTCATGGCTACCACGGTCCGTAATTGCCGTTGAGCATGCCTGAGGGCTGTCGCAATTGGGTCGTCGACTTTTGTCGAATAATCGGGCTACGGCAGGACTATGAGTGAAACACCGATAATAAAACCAGTCAGCGTACTCACCGGCTCATGAAGTAAGCCATGAAACCGCATCGTGTCTTGAACCCTCTCCTCCAAATCAACCACATTAACTTTCTCCCGCTTCGCAGCCGCAGCACCAGTTCCGCCCGGTCTACCCTCCATAGCATCCTCGGCAGCCTTGACACCCTTCCACACTGTCGAATCTGGCATTGGTAAAAGGGCACTCATCAATCGCTCTGTCAATGGCCCATGACTGCGCTCCTCCGTCAACAGATCCGCCTCCATGAGAGTCGATGGGTCCCATTTTGGTGCTGACGTCGAGCTCTCACCCAATCGACCAGACGAAAACCCAGGCAATGGTCCACCATACATGGCCATATCGGCATCCTCCCATACTTCCGAGTAATGCCTGCCCAGTTTCGGTACCACATAAGGCTCAACTTCATCCGCAGTAAACTCAAGAAAACCAATGTCCTCCTCTTTAATCCCTCGTATCCAAGGCTCGATGCTCGTGTAGAAGGTATTGACGAGAGTTTGCGCTGGCGGTTTGAGCTTACTAAAATCTTCGGTTACATCTGTTGCATTGCTGGGACCGGGAACGGGCGGAGGGGGTATCGGAGGACGGGTGGGTAGTAGTGGTGTGGAGGGTGGAAGTGTGAAGTCGGGTGCGAATGAAGACTAGGACACCAATGAAGCGATGGAATGCAAGAGAATGCAGATCAAGTACCTTGACGTGATTTGCCACAAACCCCAGTGATTTCGACGTCTTGAGGGGTACACTGAGAGAAGGACCTGGCAAGGTTTTCACAGCGCGGCCGGAATCTGTACGAAGAATCTGAATCACAGTCTCTGTGGATGGTCTCTGTAGATTACCCTGCTCAAGGTCACTATCTTCATCTCGTTTACGTTTCTTCTTTTTTTTCTTGATGTCATCCGGTATTCTAACAGGATGGTCGGAAATGATGAGACAATACATTCGGAGCTTTGTCTTTGGACTTACGATCTTCGAGGGTCCAGTGATGCTCTGGAAGAGGGCGCGAAGGAAGAAACCGGTATCGATGGTGCTCGACGCTTTCCAGAGCCGTTGATAGAGGGAGAAAGATCGCGTTCGTCCGCATCCAAGGCTGGGGTGACTATGACAACATCATTGAGGCAAGAATATGCCAGATTGGGAGGATGTTTGTCGAGTAATACCATGAGTATGAGATCCGTCAGAACGAACGGGATACCGCGAAAGTTTGTCGTCCGGTGCATGTACAGATTTTTTAGATTTTTCAACCGTCGATTGAGTCGTAGTGAAAAAGTGTGGACCCGGGAAGAGAGATATGATTCATGAGCCAGAATTCAAGTTAAGACGGATAAAGAGAGAAACATACAAGGGCGTTCACGCTTCACCTTCTCTACCGCCTTTGCCTTTCCTTTCTCTCTCTCCTTCATTCGCCTCATAGATTCCTCGATAGTCTTCAAGTCTTCTCCGGCCCTCTTGGCCCGTTCCATTGACTTCTGCCGAAGAAATCTAAGCTCTGTCTGCAACGTTTCAAGTTCATCTGTCGGGGGGACAGTGTCCGAAGGATTCTTAAAGAGGGGAGACCGCGTCGGAGGTGGTAAAGGATACTGAAGCAGTTTGGACGACATAGCAGCGCTTCCGACGAGTTCGGTGGCTACTAGGCACGTCAGGATTTGGCAGCCAAAACCACAGGACAAAGCCAGTGACCGGTTACTGCAGTCTTGCGCGTAACCGATGCAGAGCAGAAGATACTCTGTATGCCAGATTAGTGACGAGCAAGCAGGTGAGAACCAGACCTTGCTAAGGTTTAAACGCTGACACCTTCAATACCAAGCGTTTTGTCGTTGTTTACGTAATATCTTTTCCCACATGATCCACAAATCCGTCACTTTCAGCAAACCCTAAAGTTAGCTTCCACAGTTGCTGACCGTACAAACTGGTTTTCTTTTCTTTTCTTTTGAGGTTGCACGGGAATTGCTGGAGAAACAATGCAAGAGCCCCCCAGAAATGAAATAGAGTCACCTCTGCAACACGTCGACGACAAGGACGACGACGACATCGAGTTAGACACCTTACAGGACATTCTAGTCACGCCCCGGGCAAGCTATAGGACGGCCGAATATGACTCGCAGGACTTTGACGACGATATAGAGTACAGAAGCGATGGCAGCGCCGCTCTACTGGGCTCAGGTGGAAGAACTAGGGGAAACGAACGGATACCTTCCGGCGGAGGAAGGGTCTGGCCACAAGTTGGCAGCATTGTTGCAGAAGTACGTGGATAAAACTTGCAGAGCAGAAATGCCTCTGACTGCTTAAAAAGTGTGCACCCACGCTTCTTATGACTACCATAAGCCTCCTATTTACCGGGGAACTCCTTGACCGTGTGTCAGTAAGTACCGTTGTGACGTCCGAGGTCTCGATTTGATGCGTGTATTCTTGCTTATAGCGTTGGCGGGCAATGCGCACCATTGACGAGCTTATAATGATCGTTCCTGTTGTCTTAAATCTCAAAGGCAACTTAGAAATGAATCTCTCTGCCAGAATGGGAACTGCGGCTAATATGGGCGAACTAGACGACAGGAACGCACAACTCAAAATCGTGGGTGGTAATTTGGCACTTTTACAAGTGCAAGCGACTGTCGTCGCATTTGTGGCAGCTTGTGTCGCAATGCTTCTTGGTCTTTTCGTCCCAGAGCTCTCTTCGGGTCCTGTAGACCCTTTTCCACAGAACAGCACTATATCGCTTACTGCTAGGGTACCCCGGCCGCCGCCGCCTCTGGGTGGGAAACCGAAGTCGGGTTTAATCGAGTATGTGTGGTTTTCATATCTAGCGCGTGGTAGTTAATTTCACGACAGATTCACCATGGTGGCCTCTTCAGCTATGATGTCAGCGTGTCTGTCTAGCATTACCCTCGGTTCCTTCATGTGTTTTCTTGTCATCATCTGTCGACGGTATGGACGCGACCCAGGCAAGTGATGCTGGTCTTCTATTCAAACATTACGCTAAAACATATACACTTCCAGATAATATTGCGCCCCCGATAGCATCGTGCCTTGGAGACTTGGTCACGCTCAGCCTCCTTGGCGCCATTTCCTCCATCCTCATTAATGTCGTCAATACTCCCATTCCTCTCATTTGTGTCGTGCTCACTATTCTCTCCGCCACGTCATGTGTGTTCCTGGTGAGGCGTAACAGCAGTGTCAAAGATCTGGTTTACCAGGGCTGGGTTCCGCTTTTTGGTGCAATGGTGATTTCTTGTGCTACTGGTATTGTACTTGATATGTTTGCTTCTCGTTATCAAGGGTTCCCTCTTCTTGCTATCGTCATCAGTGGTGAGTGGGTCGAATTTTACTATCTATATTGTTATAACACAGGAGAACAGGACTCCCTGGCAGCGTTGGGTCCATATTTGTCTCCCGACTGTCGACTGCTCTTCATGCAGCATCTGCGAACACATCCCTGCACAAAAGCGATCCTTCCCCGAAACTTGTCATGGTCACGTTAATTCTCATCACAATACCCATAGAGATTTTATTCCTTTGTACTCTACGCGCATTTGGGTGGCTAAAATTACCTATCATATTTGCCATATTATCTGTATTGTTCTTTTGTTGTGCAGTGAGTTTCATGTCCTCCTTATCCCGATGTTTACTGACGGTTCACGACAGGTCTTCACCTCATTAGTCGTAGCTCGGTTGTTGACTGGTTTCTTATGGTCCAGAGACCTTGACCCTGATACATATGCACTACCCATCCACTCTGCCCTGATGGATCTAGTGGGGCAACTACTCCTTGTATTGTGCTTCGAGATCGTCTCGCTTTTGGGCACAAGCTTGTAAATACTAAACAAAGCCCGACTAATATCAATGATTATCCAAACGATGACACCTCCCTCACCGGAAACCCTCCGCATTATGAACGCGGGCTCCATGACTTCGTGGTGTATTTCAAAAGCCACCAAATAGCATCTTCCGTGGATGCAGAATGAGCGCTTTCATGCGGTTGTCTGCAAGCCAAACACCTTCAACACGACATCAGCTCACAGGCCTTCAAGGCTCAGATGGCATTTGGTTCGTGGTACAAGACCTTGTTTTTGGATGAAAATCGCGACTCGACTTCCTAGTGAGAACATGAAACTTAGAGAGAAGAAGTGGAGGGTAAAGCTCATCAGGATGCTGAAAAGTCTGGCAGCGGCCATGGCGAAGTCGGCGTCATACAGCTCGATGCTCATGTTAAACTTAACTTATCCTAGCCAATTTCGTTGTTGCGACATGGTTGGGTTTGATTTTCCCTCAGTGACCCCAAAGCATCTTATTACTCTCGCTCTGTAAATCTATGAGCACGGCCTTTGTGCTACTTCAACGGCTGAAATGACGCAAAGGCCGTGCACAAGCGAGCGTGAAAGAGGCTCATATGTGCATGAAAGAGTGAAGATGACAGAGAGATAGAGGAGGATAGAAACATAGAATATTAACGGTGAGAGGGCAGGCTAGGCTTGACCATCGCGAATCGGTTAGGTCCTTGCGGAGTTCAAAACCCTGCCTAGCGGCTCGCACGGTCCGTCTCTTCTTTGGATCCGTGTGCATGTGAGTGAAGGTGAAGTGAGCCCTTTTTGCCTCTCGCCATTGTTTGTGACAAGCATCAGTTTCTCATGAGGTGAGTTTTTGATCGGACTCAAGTGTTGCAAAGTTCAGTGGTGACATAGTCTCCCCTAGCCAGACCTTCAGAAAAAAGACATAGACGATCCTTCGATGGGTGGAGTTACAGTATACGTGTTGCCGCTAGCATTTGCAGAACAGCAGATGGACGCTTGTAAAATATCCGTGGTGGTGCATATCGGTCGGCTGTTTTGCTTGATGCTTCTCAAAATCGATCCTTCGCGTTTGGGACAGCCATCCTTAATGGCATTCTATTTCGGAATTGCGCACTGGAGTCGTATCGCGGTGTAGTAGTATGCGTTGACATCATGTTGATTACCGATTGCAGTGAAGTTGAAGTTCGACGTCACAGCGACGGTGGCCTCGAAAAAGTCAAGGTCTGACTACGGAAAATTAGACAGAGGGAGGGTATGTGTGTCATCTCATTGTTCTCTTATTACTTATGCTATTTCGCATCAGATGTGTGCTCAGATACTTTAAACGCCTCATGGAACTGATTGTCTTGTTCTGCAAATGCGTTCCTTGGCGGCAAGTGATTGTAGCATGGTCATCAATGGACTTCAGTCTACTCAATCCCCGCTGCGTTACCAGTGACGAACACCGAAAGCAAGCTCTCGAGCCATCTAACGTACCCTTCACCTTACTGCGTTTGCGTCTCCCGTCACTTTCTCCTTAATTTGTCTCATGGATTCCTCAATGGTCTTCAAGAGTTCTCGGGCCTTATTAGCCTGCTCCGGTGACTTTTACCGAAGCAATCTAATTTCAGTCAGCAGCGCTTCAAGTTCGTCTGTCGGGGGATGGTCTCCAAAGAATTCCTGAAGAGGAGCGTCCCTCCAGAGCAGGTGTAGCATAGGACAACATATGGAAGACATGGCAGCGCTTCCGACGAGTTCGATGGCTACTAGGAACATCAGGATTTGACAACACAAGGCAAAGCCAGTGACCGATTACTGCAGTCTTGCGCGTAACCTAGGGATAATCAAGCATGTGAGAACCAGACCTCGCCAAAATCTAAACGTTGACACCGTCAATACTTAGTACGTTTTGTCGTTGCTTATGAAATACATTTTCTCACATCGGCCCTGGGATACATGTCTGGACGTTTTCCTAGGTGGACACCCAAATTAGATATTTGGTGCCCGGGCCGCGACCTGTGTGACGCTCAGTTGGATCGATTTTTATCCACATGTCAGCCCGTGTCCCATATGAAAATATAGCAACCTCAATTTTTCCCTCGGCTGCGTAGTTTCGTTGATCAACGTTCAGTTTGGACTGGGACTCGCTAGAGCTCAGAAAAAACCATGCAAGAGCCCTCCAGAAATGAAATAGAGTTGCCTCTGCAAAACCTCGGCGACGACGTCGGATTAGACACCCTGCAGGATATTCTGGTCACACCTCGGGCGGACTACAGGACGGCCGAATACGATTCGCAGGACCTTGACGACGATATAGAGCATGGAAGCGATGGGAGTGCCGCTCTATTGGGCTCAGGTGGAAGAATTAGGGGACATGAACGGATACCTTCTGGAAGTGTCTGGTCACAAGTTGGTAGCATTGTTGTCGAAGTACGTGGCTAGAATTTGCAGAGCAACGACGGACACCCTCTGACTCGGATTACTTGAAAGTGTGCACCCACGCTTCTTGTGGCTACCATAAGTCTCCTATTGACTGGGGAACTCCTTGACCGTGTGTCAGTGAGTACAGTGTTGACGTCCAAGGTCTCAATTTGATGTGTGTATTCTTGCTTACAGCGTTGGCGGGCAATGCGCACCATTGACGAGCTGATAGTGATCGTTCCTGTTGTCTTGAATCTCAAAGGCAACTTAGAAATGAATCTCTCTGCCAGAATGGGAACTGCGGCTAATATGGGCGAGCTAGACGACAGGAGCGCACAACGCAAGCTTGTGTACGGTAATCTGGCACTTTTACAAGTGCAAGCAACTGTCGTCGCATTTGTGGCAGCTTGTGTCGCAATGTTTCTCTGTCTTTTCATGCCAGAGCTATCTTCGAGTCCTGCTGTCCCCTTTCCACATAACAGCACCCTATCGCTCACTGCTAGGGTGCCCCGGCCGCCGCCACCTCTGGGTGGGAACCCGAAGTCGGGTTTAGTCGAGTATGTGTCATTTTCATATCTAGCGCGTGGTAGTTAATTTCATGACAGATTCACCATGGTGGCCTCTTCGACTATGATGTCCGCATGCCTGTCCAGTATCATCCTCGGTGCCTTCATGTCTTTCCTAGTTATCGTCTGTAGACGTTTTGGGCGTGACCCAGGCAAGCGATTTTGGGCTTGTATTCAACATTTATGCTAAAGATATCCAGATAATATTGCGCCCCCGGTAGCATCGGGCTTTGGAGACTTGGTCACGCTCAGCCTCCTTGGTGCCATTTCCTCCATCCTCATTAATGTCGTCAATACTCCCATTCCTCTCATTTGTGTTGTGCTCACTATTCTCTCCGCCACGATGTGTGTGTTCCTGGTGAGGCGTAATAGCAGTGTCAAGGATTTGATCTACCAGGGTTGGATTCCACTTTTCGGTGCAATGGTGATTTCTTGCGCCACTGGCATTGTGCTTGGTATATTCGCCTCTCGCTATCAAGGGTTCCCTCTTCTTGCTATCGTCATCAGTGGTGAGTGGGGCGAATATTATCGTATAAATTGCTATAACACAGGAGAATAGGACTTCCTGGCAGCGTTGGGTCTATATTTGTCTCCCGACTGTCGACTGCTCTTCATGCAGCATCTGGGAATACGTCCCTGCACAAAAGCGAACCTTCCCAAAAACTTGTCATGGCCACGTTCATTCTCATCACAGTCCCGATAGTGATTCTATTTCTCTGTATCCTACGCGCATCTGGATGGCTAAAATTCTCTATAATGTTTGCCATATTATCTGTATTATTCTTTTGTTGTGCAGTGAGTTTCATGTCCGTCATGTCCTGATGTTTTCTGAAGTTCACGACAGGTCTTCACCTCACTGGTCGTAGCTCGGATATTGACCGATTTATTGTGGTCCAGAGGCTTCGACCCCGATACATACGCACTCCCTATCCACTCCGCTCTGGTGGATCTGGTAGGGCAAGTACTACTGGTATTGTGCTTCGAGATTGTCTCGTTTGTAGGCCCAAACTTGTAAATACCATTATCGTACAAACCCTCACAGTTGGACTGACCTCAGTCAAACGATGGCTCATCATCCATCCACCGGGAATTCTTCTTACTCATAAATGCAAGCTCCATGTCCTCGTGGTGTATTCTGTACACCATGTCATTGTTTGTCAGATAACTTCATCGGATGCAAGCGGAAAACAGACCTCAACGTGTCTCTCACAAGTTGCAGAGAAGCCTTTGTTTTTGAAACCATTGTCCAAGTCGGCTGCTCGACGTGTGCCGAGTCATACATGTTAATGAGGAGACGGTTCGCTGATATAGGTGGGATAACTGTGATTGTGATCGCGCCAAGTTGATAATACTCAGAAGGACCGAATTTTCCCAGCAAGGTGCTAAACAGGTATATTAAAAAGTTGCTAGAAATAGCGAGATAGTGCTTTGATCAGAACCAACCCGGTAGATTGCATGTACTCTCACCAGAAGAAATAAAGGATCGAATCTCGCGCGAAGGTACGCATAAGACGCGCACCGGACCAAGTCTTGTCTGGTACCTGGAAATAGTGTTGAAGGGATTTGTAACCAGCCAACACGACAAGAACAAAATCTAAGCCCATCATGGGTACCCTGAAATGAAGAATGAGGGGAGGGTTTGGACGAGATTCCACGAATGTAACTACCAAAAGAGATACAACCAATCCACGGACCCAAGTATACAGCAAGCACCAAAGATCTGGGCTTCGTGATCTACACTGCGGTCAGTGTACATACTCGAGAATATTGATGAGGCTGACCCTTCTCATACAGATATACGATGACTGCCATCACCATCATAATGACGAAGGTCGCAATGAACAGTGCCGACACAGGAACGACAATTCTCTTGTCTGGATATCACTCAGGGATAAAATGGAAGTAACAATTTGTGTTACTCCACATACCATATCCGTACAACGCATATACTCGATGTTGCAGAATCACTTAGACTTCGATGGGTGAATAATACGTTGGATGACTCAGAAACCTTACTTTGGATGTTCGCTACCAGCAACAATGCTGGGACGTGTCAGGGTTGAACGTTGAGTAGACTGGTACCCATGGATGAGCATATTACATACCGATGACACCAAAGAACGCATTTGCAGAACCTGATGTTTAATGAGGGAGAGATAGGAGTCAAGAGTTTTTGAGCTCACATCTATTCTGGATGAGCATAAGCAGAAGAGAACAGTGAGATTACGCACATAGCATAGGTTGGTGTGACGTCGAGCGTCACTGCATTGCATCTCAGCAATGAACATCGATACATAGGTACACCAAACTCCGGTATACAACTCACAGAATGTCATCAGGATGGCTGTTCCAAGCGCGAAGTATCGATTCTGAGAAGCATTAGATCAAAAAACGCCTGACCTATGCGCTCATTCTCACCACGAAAAACAGAGTCTTTGCAATCGTCCACCTGGTGTTCTGCAAGAAGTCGTGGTCACCTTGCTAGCCAATATGTACTTAAGTTAGACATACCCATAGTCTGACCTGTTACCGTTGAGCTTCTACGCCGACAGTTTCAAGCTGATGAACAAACTTACCTCGTGAGGAAAAGTTAGGACTAGTCTTCTTGTTAATGGTCGTGTATAAAACATAAAAGAGGCTCGCTCACTAAGGTCCCAGGTATAAAGCGTCAAAGCAGCAACTACATATCATTTGAATAACAGGTGAGCATATTGGTTTCAATAAATAGACGGGCTCACGGCCGATGTATTTGATTTTCGAGGCAGTCATGAGGTATAGGTCCAAAGCTTGGATTTCCTCTGGAGTGATAGCCGTTGTGGTCAACATGGATGGGTGTGGTATTGCAGCCTGTCACTGGAGAAAAGATTGGGCGGGACTTGCAATGGGGGTCTGAACCAGTTAGTATTAAATATCTATACCTTGATGCCTTCCTATTACTTGAATGAATCGCAAATGAAAGTACCGATGCGGCCTCGGACTCGGAGATTGATACCGATCTCAACCTCGTCATGGGTCTGTGTTTCATGATACATTCGTCGCAAATAGGTGGGCACAAGCCTATCGATTGCCCAGACAATTGATTGAGTGTCTCCTAGCCGGCTTGCGATGGGACTTTGAACCAAACCTACACAAACCCGCACTGGGCGAAGAGGACAACTGCTGCCGTGGTGGCATTGATCATAGACTTTCTGGTCAGGCAGCAAATGCGGCTCGAACTCTTCCCAGTTACAGCATCGGCAGCTTTGTCTATTCTGAATCTTGAATGATTTATGTAAATCAATGTGGTTGAAATCTTTGTGGGATGGGGAATAGTCCGAAACCGGTGAGTAGCTTGAGATATATGAACTCACCAGATGCCATGAAGTATTATCTAAAAAATTGGTGATCGTTACAGCGGTCGCTGACCGAACCTGCATAAAATGGTCATCATTGGCCTCGATTCGATATTACCTACTGACACTGTCACTGGGCCAGAAATGATGTAATGACGTTATTGATGTACCTCAGCCTAGTAACACATATCAGTGGCAAACAGCCACCTCCATCCTCCATCAGAATATGGGGGCCAATGCACCAAAAGAACTCCACAATCGCTGATGGGCCGGCTGACAAGCGTTGGACAAGGGGATGGCCAGAATAGTACTAGAGAATGTAATTCATTTAGTTAGAAATAGATACGGAAATATGCAAAACTGCTTGCCTAGCAACTCTGATTGCTCACGGAGGTCAACGCAACGCCGATCCGGTCAAAGGTCCCATGCACTGGTGGGCTAGACCCTCAAAACCATTATGTGGCCAAGTAAAAATGTGATCAAAGTTGAGCATGTGTAGTCTCGGTTTAGGAATCGGAGAAAACTCCGGCGCGAGCGCTTCCGAACATTGGCCGGATTTTTAGAACATCTGGTGTCGAGACTTAGTCACCGAAGGAGCAAGACATGTGTCGTTAGCTCTCAGGCTGACGTCGCGTCTATGCGAAAGATGCTGCATTCAATCACCCAGAGCGTCCGACATAAATCCTCTCCCCTGCTCGAGACAAGTATTTCGATCATAGAATTAGCTAGGTGAGCTTGGCAGTACATCATCAAACGACTACACCTCAAGCGAACCCTCCATACTTATGGATGCGAGCTCTATGTCCTTATGGCGCACTTTGAGCTCTATGTCCTCGTGGTGTATTCTGAACATCACGTCAAATAAATCGTCGGAGGATTGATGAGAAATACAGACCTCAATCTATCTCCCACTTGCTCGGGGTGTGCCGAGTCATACATGTTGATGAGAAGACGGTTCGCCGATACAGGTGGGACAACTGTGATTGTGATCGCGCCAAGTTGATAATACTCAGCAGGACCGAATTTGCCCAGCAAGGTGCTGAATAGGTATATCAAAAAGTTACTGTAAACAGTGAAACAGTACTTGGATCAGAATAGACCCGCTGAGTTGCGTGTGCTCTCACCAGAGGAAATAAAGAATCGAGTCTCGCGCGAAGGTACGCATGAGACGCGCACCGGACCAGGACTTGTCTGGTACCTGGAAATAGTGCTGAAGGGATTTGTAGCCTGCCAACACCACAAGAACAAAGTCTAAGCCCATCATTGGTACCCTATAGTGGAGAATGAGGAGAGGGTCGCAATGACAGTCTACGGAGAAAGTACCAGAAAAGATATAGCCAATCTACAGACCCAAGGATAGCGCACGCGCCAAAGATCTGGGTTTCGTGGTCTAAGCTTTGATTAGTGTACATACTTAAAACATTGACGAAGCTCACTCTTCTCGTACTGGTATATGACCACTGCCATCACCATCATACCACTGAAGACCATGATGAACAATGCCGACACAGGGAGGACAATTCTTTTGTCTGGATATCATTCAGGTATCAACCGGAATGATTTGAATTGCCACGCACCATATGCATACAACGCGTACAATCGAAGTTGGAGAATCACTTAGATTTTGATAGGTATACGGTACGTGAGATGGCTCCGAGAGCTTACTTTCGATGTTAGCCACTAGTAATAAAGCTGGGGATCGTCAGACTGAAGTCCATTGATGAGCATGCTACACACCGATGACAGCGAAGAAGGCATTTGCAGAACCTGACATTACCATGAGGGGGGTTAGGGGATAAGAGTGTCTGAGCTCACATCTGTTCCGAATTAGCACCAGTACAAGTCAATGGAGAGATAACACACATAGCCCATGTCGGTGCAACGTCGAACGTTACTGCATTATGTTTCAGTAATGAGCATCGATACATGAGTACACCAAACTTCGGTGCACAACTCACAGAATGTCATTAAGATGGCTGCCCCAAGCGCAAAGTATCGATTCTGAGAAGCATAAGGCAAAACGCCCGACCAAAATGCAGACGTTGTCTCACCACGAAAAACAGAGCTTTTGCAAGCGTCCATTTGGTATTCTGCAAGAAGTCGTGGTCATCTTGCTAGCCAACATGTACTTGTCAGACATACCCATAATCTAACCTGTTACCATTAAGCTTCTACAACAGTTTCAATCCGATAAACAAACTTACCTCGTGGGGAAAAGTTAAGACTAGTGTATTGTCAACGGTCCTGAATGAAATCACAAAACAGGCTTGCTCACTCAGGTCCCAGGTAAAGAGTGTTAAAGCAGCAACTACATCACATTCGAATAATCGGTAAGCATAGTATCAGTCTCGAACAACAGAGGGGCTTACTGCAGATGTATTCCATTTTCGGAGCAGTGGAGAGGTATAGGTCCAAAGCTTGGATTTCCTCTGGAGTGATAGTCGTTGTGGTCGACATGGGTGGGTGTGGTACGGACGGGATCCCAGCCTGTCACTGTAAGTACGGGTGAGGCCCGATGATTAACCGAGCAGTTATTAAATAGTGATACTGTGATACATTCGGCTTGTTACTGAGTTAGCAGTTTTATAAATGAAACTGCCGCCATTGATAGCCCTGAGTTAATAAGCGATGCGGATATCAACCTCATCACTCCGTGCTTCATATTCTTCACAGATACGCGGGCGCCAACCTATACATAACCCAGACGTCTGTCAGACTCCTGCGAATCGAATTTTGACTAACCTTGCACAAAATCGCAATGCCCTCATCATCGAGTGAAGAACTCTACGCAGGCTGTAGCAAACGCAACTTAAATGCTGATCGCTCTGGCTTCCAAATTATGTGTTTATGCACGAGGCTCAGCTGACGTCACGAGGAAGTGTCACACTTCCTCTGAACTTTTCCGCGCTTAAGCCTCGTTCTAAACATTATTCCGAGTTCCACACCGAATAGGAATGCTGTGGGTGTACGACTCAGTCGTGGGTGTACCTAGTCTCAGAGGACCTGTCTGAGCCTATATTTAGATTTAGGTTTTTCATGCATCGAGGCCTATTAACTAGCTCACCTGGAATACGTGTTGCCAGATAACCATGTGACAATTTCACGGACGTCGAGTGCCCACTAATCTTTGGTTAAGTAGCTGGAAAAGGTTGAGATATTGATATTTTGTTAGAATGATCATACATCCTTATGTACCTTGCCCCCAAACACAGGATGCTGGAAGCAATGGCAACCAACCAGTTCCGTAATACGCCGAGAAACGAAAAGCCCCACGAATGTCGAAGTCAAAACAATGGAACGGTCGTACTAGAGGAAGAAAGATTCGTCTGATGGGAGATATGCGGGCGCGAGTGTCTCCGCCGGGCTAGTAACTTTGGCAACTTAGGGAGGTCCAAGAAGTGTTATGCCCTTGAAACAAACTGTGTGGCCAACTTGAAATTTTGATCAGTTGTCATGCGTAGCGTGAACACCGGTGGTCTTTGATCACTAAGGAATGAAGACAAGGCTCATCACCTCAGGCTGGAGCTATCTGTGCAACTTGAAGATACTCGGTAGTATTGCATAATCATGTCTCTTCAAATCATCCACAACGTCCAACATGAATCGTTTCATTTGCTAGAGACGAGCATTTCTATCTTGAAAGTCAGCTATGTGAGCTTGGCAGTAGTCATTATATATGGACATTACAAATATGTGCATGCATTGGCAGATAGGGGGTCGAAGAAAATCAACTCTTCATAGGTCAGAAGACTCGATTGCAATATCGATCTTTGGTCCAGACTCGTGCTCAAGGTCTGCAGAAATTTGTCTCTTCCGCTTCTTCGGGCTCCTCGGGGTTTTTGTACTAGCACTTGGGCATAGCCCCTTAGTGCTTAATGTGCATGAGTCGCACTTCGGCCCCACAGGGACGCAAATGGTCTGTTTAGCAAAAGAGAAATTACTACGAGACTCCTCGTAGCTATGATGCAAACATACCTGACCAAATCCGACGAGCATGTGATTGATTTCGCGATGCAATTCGATGGGTAACCAGGACTGAAGATTTAGTCTCGTTTCTTCAGGTTTCTTGGTTGGCCGTTGATGCCACCCCAACCTGTTAGTAATACGGTGAACATGCACATCCACGCCAATACCGTGATTGCTGCAAGTGCATCAGCGAGTTCATCAAAGACGTAGTAAAATCACCGGCTACAGATTCCAAGCGACATGAAGCGTAAGGAACGCCATTTTAGGTCCGACTCCCGGTAATGAGCATAACTCATCCACCGTCTTGGGTACATCTGAATCGAAATCATCCCGTAACCGTATAGCTGCCTTCTTGATATACCTGGACAGAAAATGTGAATATAGCTACTCGCTGTTCTATGAAATATAAACGGACCCAGTTTTCCGTCGCCAGAAGCCAACTTTCGCTATGGCATCTGAAATTGTAGAATCATCCGCGGATATGATGGCCACGATAGATAGCGTGCCTCCTACGGCAGCTCGCAGCTTCGCAACAGCTGCATCTGTGACTTCATCTTTCGTTTGGGAAGATAACATCAGAGACACTAGTACAGAAAACCGTCGGTTCTGCCATAAAATAAATAAATAAGCCAGTCATCGTAAGAAACTGTATAAATATCAACCTTTGGATCTTCCTCGTTGTGGTTGGCTCGGTCGCACCCCATTGTGTCCACAGGAGCAACAATATGTTCACGCATTGCTTTGATCGAGTCATACGCCTCCTTCCAGCGTAGTGGAGCAGGATGTGGAGTATCCAGAAACTGTGGGATTGGTTTAGGTTTCTTGGGGGACTTGGCCTTTACTTTCGGACTCGAATCTTCTTCAGATACCGTCTCTTCTAGCTTTAAACTTCGCGGCGTCTTCCGTAGATTCGTGGAGGGCGTCACATGGTCTGATATGTCTAAGGTCTTGGATTCGACCTCAAGCTTGATACGCTTCGATGGCTTTAGACTGGAAGACATTGAAGTTGACGCCTGATCCGCGGCATTTCCAGTTGCATACAAAGTAACTGCACTGTGATATGGGCTTGCACGCGCCGATAGTCTAGTAATAGGCCTCGATACATGTCGTTGCGGCAAAGACATTGCAGTAATACAGTCTCCCGAACTTGAAGACCTCGATAGAAGAAAGCAAGCGCTTAGCTATTTTTATATTTTCAACACTGAGACATTCTCCCAATAAGGCAGTCACGTGATTGAGCACCAGCCCCTGATTCCGACCCCTTAAGGCCTTAAGGAGCGCCGAGTTGTACTGTTTCTTGTCACAACACCTGAGCTATATCGCGCTCACAGTTTCTTGGAAACTGAAAGGACGCGGAGTGTTGATTGAACGTTCACATGAGAGGATACTCAAGTTGGACAGTCTGGCATGACGTTAACGGTGAGCAGAACAATGCATCATTGAATCTCGCGGAACAATTTCATGCACATCTTGCCTCTGCTTTCAATGATGCAGTGGAGGCACCGTTAGGAGACCTTTGAGTTATAGTTAGATTGTAGCGGTTGATTAGTGGAGTCCGGACTTCCAAAGATAACAATCAGAATTTGCAACCAATGTGCCAAGTAACTGATCTTTATCTAGATAATAATTGGTGAGGGGGGTCAAACCTTTCATGTCTTTACGCCAATACTTGCGTCCTGAGTACTGAGTCACACTATGTATGATAGTTTTGACATCATATTAAGCACCAGTGACTGAAACACGGTGTTCCAGACGAGGAATGCTATATCAGTGGGTAAAGAACAGCACCCAATCTATCGTGGGGGCGCCGAAGGGGATTCAGAGATAACCGGAAACCAAGGATGAACATCCGCATCCCACTTAAAAGCATTTGCATCCCATGTCGTCAAAGCCAGCTCGGTTGAAGGGAGCTGTCTCTGTAAATCGATGCACACATCTAGGAGCTTCTGGACGAACTTGCGAGAGGTGAGACACTGCAATAGGTAGAATCAAAATGTTTTTCTCACCTTTTTCCGTTCTTCGTTCCATCGTCCTGCCCAACCATCGGGTGACGTCAGCAAGCACGATAGAATTTCTTTGGCGAGCGCGATTTTGTCCAGCGAGAGGTATTGTTCATCCTATAATCGATTTAGACAGTTAAATATTGCCAGTTACTTTGTACTGTAAACACTTGCCTTTTGCATAGACTCACACGCAGCAGCAAACTTAGTGAAGTTGGGATGTCCGAAGGGTTGTACATCAATGTCTTCGTACTCGGGCGTGAAAGCCCACTTGTAGCGCCGCAGAAAATTGAGCTTCGTGCGTCGCCACGAGAAGGTCGTTTGTTTGGCCGTGATCTTTACGTCGAGTCAAGATCCAAATTGAGTGACAATTCACCACTACTTACAGCGAAGATAGCTATTGAGAGGGACTGCAATGCTGTGAGGAATTGTGACTGATATGACAACTCGAAGTAGGCATTTGAATCTGGATGAAAATGATTCAACTCTAGCCGTTATACACATCGAACCACGTACCATTCGACATGCCTGGCATAAGTTGATCTATGCAGGACAAGTGCATTTCAAGCACCTGTACGACATACCAATATGCAAACACGCGCTCTTCATTTGTGTACAGTGACAGTTGGAATCCCGATAAAACAACTTCGCGGATTACAGAAAGCCTACACATCAGCACAGCTACCCTGGTGCGACGGACGTGGTCAAGCTTTTTTTGGTCTTGCTAATAGACATCGTCCACTGAGCCAATAAGGTATTGCTTCCTTTTGCTACACTCACCAAGGGTGCAAGGTGCACACACACGTCCATGAACACGGCAAACAGCTCGTGCCAGTCGAATAGCGACTTCGCGCAGAATCGGCGCCGCCGCGATGGGTTGTACCATAACGCCTTGATGTGCGCTATCAGTATCTGTCTTATTGTCAGGACGAATACAGAGTATCACAACTTCAAAACAAACCTGCGTCATGTTGCGTTCAATCTGTGCGAGCGGTGGAGACGCCGCACCCTGCCACCTTGTCATTATGGTTTGTGCGAAAGCGTCATAGGAAATGTCAAGCGTTTCGCGGAAGAACTGGACCACAACATGTTTGAGTGCAAATTTGTTGAGCACGAGAACGCCGTCCCAGAACGCGGACTGATTGTTATCATAAGATCCAAACAGATTGATCGTCATGCTCGAATTACTCGCCTGTGTGATTGAACGCACGTATGGAAACCGACTATGGGGCTGTGGACACCACAGCTGTAGATGGCCAGAAATCTGATGCTAGTTTTAATGTTTATCAACGGAAGAATGTAATAGTGTATACCTCCCATGTCATTAGTTCAGCCGTATTTGCCAGATCGTTCACGTTCTTCAGCGAAGTCAATAGCCCCTCCAGCGAAGCCCAGGTTTGAGCTTGGTCGGGTAGCTGTATGACATGTAGGGGGATGTATGACACGATGACACGAGGAAACTGAGGGTCGAATGCAAGGCGAGCTGGAGAATCTGGCGTGGGCTCTGAGGGAGGTACCGCCATGGTAGAATGCAATAACTGCAGGCTTAGATTGATCATTGTCGGAAGCAAACTAGAATGAGGCTGAGACAATTGCGTCTCGAACAACTCGATCAGTGACTAACACAAATCAGCAGACTGCCATCTAGAAAGATAAAACAGCCCAAACCTTCCTGAACATTAATCGATCCATCAGCATAGCTTTCCAAGGTTGCTGAACTATGGTTATTATCGCATGAACATCGGGTGAACGTTGTTATGTGAGCCATTTCACACCTTTGGCCGAGGTCTCGAGCCAATGACATGCTTCATCAAGCACCTTGCAGATATATTTGACGGGTAGAGCTTCGGAGAGAGGCACGTCACATTTCTCGCTTTGCCAGTCCTCAGCCTAGTCACAGATGAGCATGGCTGGCAACTCAAGTGGTACTTTGACGAACGTCATACAAGTTCCCTTTATTCAGCTCCCTCCAGGACAGGTCACAACACTTGAGAAGGCCTAACACAGCTGCCCTTAGAATGACCGTGATTAGCTCTGGCGGACGCAAGCGGTCTGGGTGCGGTGGTGAGTCTCCGGGGACGAGGTCAGGGTCAATGTCTTTCAAGGAGTGAACGTAAAGGAATGAAAATATGGTTTGCGAAAGAGTGTAACCGGAGTGCCATTCCATCTGGGCGCCAGACAGGGGACAAATGAATACATGTGGAGAAGTTTACACTGTCTCTGATTTACCTCGCAGGAAAACGAGCGATCGATGATCCAGCACACTTCCTCTGGGGTAAGCGGGGCGAGGGGGTTGAACGACGGCTTAGATTTGTCCAGAAGCGCCAAGCCGCTGTCGAAGCGTGGTTCGCCTATCTTGAGGCACTGTCAGCGAATAATTTGGACTCTGGAACGATGCAATTTTTACCTCGAACGACGACATTGCATCCAGTAGTGTAACCCCTTCAGCCAACACGAGAGCCCCAGGTTGCATGTCTTATTAGGAAATGAGCGCTGAACAGGCAGTAGGCTGACACAAGTAATGATGTCTAATTACCTTCGGCAGCATCCTCAAACAATGCAGTCACATCGTGAAAATTGTCGCCGCCAGGAAGGTCCACCAAGGGATCGTACTCCATGTGGCTGCGGTCGCTAGATGAGCCGGCAATGAACGTCAGTAAAGCAGAGCACGAGATCCAGACCCACTCCTTGGGATATCGTCGGAGTTTGAAATACTTTTCTTCAATTTGAGGCTTGTAATTAGCGCTTGCTCAACATATACATGAATATTTCCCGACGCGTCTGCCAGATACGCCCGCGACGTGTGATACTGTCTGGTATTCAACCAACTGGTATACCCCATGTAAGATCGAATTTGGTTTTTGACACGGAACAACTTACATAGTAGTAGTTAGGGAACTACCTAGGCGCACTGTCTAATTGGGTCAAGCTGCAAAAATCTGCGGAGCCCGAGGACAAACTGCTGTTCTCGATTGTTGGATGGCATGCATTGACCCTTCCACAAGATCCTGCTGCCCTACTTGCCGCAAGAAATGATATGCTGGCTGTTCTACTTGCCATAGGCATCGACCCTAACCGGTCAATATTGTTCCACCAGGACCATGTATTTATTTGCTCTATTTGAGCAGACGTTTGGCTAACAATACCTAGAATCCTCATCATACTGAACTCTCCTGGATATTAAGCTGCATGACACCCATGGGGAAGCTGCGCCGGATGACGACATGGAAGGTGCGGTCTTCTAAGTGTAGTTAGAATCAGTTCTTATGTTTCTGAAGTCAAGATTAGCTGCGGCACGAAACTCTAGCTCGGAGGATGAAGTGGACGAGTCATTGCTTAACGCTGGCCTATTCATGTATCCTGTGCTACAAGCCGCCGACGTTCTTGTTTACAAGTGGGCCTTCTTGCGGTTGTCATTTTGGACACAACTGATGCGTTGCTAAGAGCCACCCACGTCCCTGTTGGTGATGATCAACAGCAACATATAGAACTCACAAGAGATCTTGCTGATATTTTCAACCGAACATTCAAAGGAACGCCTCCCCTGTTCCCCCTTCCGACCTATGTCAACAGTAAGTACCCAAGGTTGTTCACATATGTCCGTTAAACCATCCCTTCAGCGCCCTCGAAGCGTATTTTATCGCTCAAAGATCCAACATCCAAGATGTCGAAATCTTCGCCTGATGTCCAGTCCCGCATCTTGCTCACCGATACCGCCTCTCAGATCCAATCGAAAATTCGGGCTGCTGTCACGGACTCTATTCAAGGCATCACTTACGATCCTCAAGGCCGCCCGGGCACGTCGAACTTGCTTACTATCCTCGCTGCCTGCACGGACCGCGATGTCACGCAGGTCGCAAAAGCCTATGAGAGCCAGGGTCACGGAACTTTAAAACGCGATGTCGCAGATGCCGTCGAAGAATTCCTCAAAGGCCCCAGGGCGCAATTCGATCGCATTCGTCTTGAAACGGCATATCTTGATGAGGTAGCACGTCGCGGGGCTGCTCGGGCTATCAAACACTCCGAGGTGACGATGATGGAAGTCAAAACACGGCTAGGTCTAGCATCGCCTGTGGTGCATTAACAAATGTAAATACAATCAAGCCAATGCATTATCTCGTGATGACTTCAAGACAGAATTCATCGGCTCCTGAGTTTGTCATTGCATTTGTCAGTGAACCAGGCACCTTGGTCAAGTCCACGGAGAATGCACTACTAGCCGCCGGCAGTGAAGGTGCTAAGTATGATCGGGCTCGATCACAAAAGCATTAATCAATCCCACCGCAACGAAGACAGTTGACAGTCAAAAAGAACTATATTACAAGCGCAAGCAATATATCATGGGGGAACCGGTAAGGGGGCAGTACGGACTCACAACTTGGCCCTTCTAGCTTCTGAGAACTGCCAGGTTCGTTTCTTGGCGAGTCTTACCTCTGGCGATCAGCGTAGGCGAGTAGACACTGGTTCTCAGCATTGGGGTGAAGCACGTTGCCACCAGCTTGCATGCCAAGGAGCATTTACTCCTGTAACAGTGAGACTTGCTGTCTGATGATGATCCTGATCATCATTGTCCATTGAACGCCTTGCCAAACACTGTCGCCGTTCCACGAGCGTTTTCGCCATTTTTGGCACTGCCGCATCCCGCGCACGTCAGAGCTTGAGCTTATCTGATAATCGAAATTGCCCCATCAATAGCACGAAGTCTGTCGCATGACCCAAGCAGACTTTCTACGACCTTCCAGTGGCTTGGTGGTCTCAGCTTAACTTGAGGTATGCAGGCCAGTCTGATCTATCCGCAAAAATGCTAACACTACTACCCTTGAATTAGTATCCACGGCGTGAGCTAATATTGATCGGCGGGGTATAATTCTAGGAGAGTCACATCTAGATTGTGCTGATCGAATGATGTCTTGGTTATTAATCCATTTAAATTATAGGGACATATCCAAATTCTGTTTTCGTGTTGTTCTTTGGGTTTCAATTATTTCAATTTCCTCGGCCCGAAGACCAGGTTTCAATTTTGATACGACCTGTCGTCGAAAACAACACGAAACTGATCCCCTTCATATGTCTGAGTTCAAATTAATTCAACCTTGGAGCGGCAGCAAGCAATAGATCTGAGATCCACGATAGGTTTGCTGATCTCATGCATATAACATAACACCTCCCTGCCTGCAGCGTCCCCTTCTCCGAACTCTTTCAAGGTCTTCCATGGTCTTCACTGCCCACCCTGTCCTCTGTGGATGGTCTCCTACATCCGTGGAGGATGACCATGATGTTCATCTTCCCGACCAAGTGTATCCCCTGCCCAAACATTTTTTAGCATCCACCTCCTGTATCACTCACCAACCAATGGCTCCTTCCTCTGATCGACGTGCGCAGCGTAATAGGAGCAGGGATCCTAGTTGGATCCCTCGGCCTAGAAACGCCTTCATCATTTTTCGCTGTGAGTACTCGCGCAAGCACAGTCAAGCGGCTCAAGAGGGCGACGAGGAATCGGATGTACCGAATCCTACGGCCAAAACCCTCTCCAAGCGAGCGGCTGAGGCGTGGAAGCAGCTGTCTGCTTCTGAAAAGGACAGCTATAAGGTACTTGCAGATAAGGAAAGGGAGGAGCACGCACGTCTCTACCCCCACTATCGTTTTCGTCCTATGAGGCGGCAGATCTCCGGGCTGAAGAAGCGTCAATACGATCTGGGCATGAGTAGCAGCAGTTTTCCGCTGGATTCTTCAGACGAGCAAGTGGCTACTTATGTCACAGATGCGGATGAAGACTTGCAAGAGGACAGAGGGGCTCCACATCAGCAGGTCATTGAGAAGGAAGGAAGCCTTGAGGCATCCGGACACTCCGCGCCGAATGGCGCTCCTGAGAACTGCGCCGCAGCTCAACGAAGATCGTCGTCTGTTCCGCTGCCCGACGCGTTCCCCACACCCATCCTCCCCTCTCATGCTCCGAAGGACGATTTATGCAGGCCTCGCTCGGCTGAAGGACGAGAGTGGCCACTGCGTCCTCTAGATTATGTGTCACAGGCCGCACATTCTCGGTTTGGCAAGGAATTTGAGGCACAGCCTCAGCAATGGCATGCTGCATCAAACGACACATCTCCCTTCATATCCTTCGGTTTCAGTACATCAACTGGGGTATGTCTTGGTTGCATTTTTTCCCTCGATGTGTGCTTAGGCCTATAATACAGGAGGACAACAGCTCGATAGGTAACCCGCCCGAGTCGCGCTTGCCACTTGAGCTTGGCTACCAATCTCCAGAGAGCCGGAGCGGACTCGCCTATACTCCTTCTTCCTTCGCAGCCATCGCCTCATCCATTTCTAGCTGGAACAACGAGCCCCTTTCTCCCTGTATGCCTGGGCAAGCATCGTTGTCTAGTGATGAGCTGTTAACGCCTTATGAAGATATGGAGCGCGCACAGGCTCTAGAAGCTTATGCCCTTGGCTTACACAATTTCGACTTCTTTACCAACCCCCTTCCCCTTCCCGAATACCCAGATGTTCCCGGTATTCCCTGCGATATCGAATACTCGGCACTCTTTCCAGAGCAAGCCACAGAATCTTAGAATTCTGACACGCAACCAGTCCACAAAACCTGATGAGTCGCGGGGATGGTCTCCGTCACCGCTATGTTGACCCTGTAGCCCTATTCCCACTTGTTTCCATAGCCCGGCGGCATGTTTTTGTGTCGCTTCTTCTTTTTGGCTTGTCGATACTAACATTCAGCCCCTCACTCCGTTTCAGTATCATTAATTGTATGCTCACCCCTCCACCATGCATATTCACATTTCTCTCGGTTCGCATTAATTCATGTGCATAGTATTGCTAGGGATGGATTCGGGTTACCTGGCTGTAGGATATATAATGCTAGCAAACTAGAAAGTCGAAACTCAGAATCCCTGTAAATTAGCATGTCAACTCAAGCTTTACGGCAAACGGCGGCTGACATTGACAACTTCCATGACTCTCAGCAGCGCCTTTCTTGGATTGTTCAAAAACCCCACATGGTCGTTCTTGGCCTCTGACAACGCAGAAACAACGTCAGCCGAAGGAGATGGGTCAACACTTCGAAGGCAGACGGTGACAGTTTTGACAAATGTCGCCCACGTCTCCGTGCCATTCATTACAGTTTTCCTCGTCGTTCATTTGTCCGCACCAGCACTCGCAAACTTCGGAGGCTCGAGTTTGTCTTCCAATGTCATGGTACGTGATACAATAACATCAAAGTGGCACGAAATAGATAACATTTGAATCATGGCCGGCGCATTCAGCTTCTCGGCAGGGAATACTACCAAACTGCTTTTGGAGAGAGATATCTCCTCTTTCTACCTCTGGCAGCCCACGTAGCTTCAAGTATCACAAAAAGAATCATCATTCCGCACTCAGCATCCCCTCGCAAGATTACCAGCACCCTCAGCCTCGCAGCCTATTCAACTCTTCTAATCTTCCTACCTATACATTTCTACACCCATCGCGTCTTCCCTGCCGACCCTTCACCACCAATATTCGCAGTAGGGCCCTCAGAAGTGGACTATGAGTTTGTCAAGACTGGCTTGGCTAGGTTTCCGTGGCGAAGCTGGGTCTTGTACGGTGGACTGGTCGGATGCATGATGTTACATGCAGTCGAAGGCGCACAAATCATCCAAGCATCACGTTTTGCTTCTCGGAAATTCCGTATGCGTTCACGAACGCGCAAGATTGTCGCAGGTGTAGCGGCAGTGCCTATATTGGCAGGCCTCTGGGCGGTCTCGAAAGAACCTCTTATGGTGTTTGCTTCTTTAGCAGAGCGGTACGAGGCCGTATTCACTCGATCTTGGGTGTATAGATTTTAGTCGTGGGTGGGCGGATGTTCATTCATAGGTGCGCATATGCCTTCAGCTCAATAAAACATTCCATGGAAGTGAAATACAGTTTCATGCATAATTTATGTCCAGTTCTAGTCCGTATCGTGACACAATCACCCAAAAGTTGATATTATCCTTTGACCCATATCCAAATATCACTGGATACTAGATTCCTTGACATAAGTTTCGAATTTCATGTGAAAGGAACCCTGACCTGCTTACCTTCAAAGACCACAAACAGAGGCATTAACCTGAACTGAAGTCACCGATACCCTCCCCAAAAACGCAGCCTGATTCCCAGTAAGCGTATTCATCGCTGCCTCCGCAACGTTGAACCCCGCAGTCGCAACATCAACAGCAAGAATTGCGATTGTGTTGCTGCCGTATGTCACTTCGTAGCACGTTCCGCAGTAAGCTGAATCCCATCCCGTGACAGTGTAGACACCACCGACGTTGGGGAAATTAGGCAATTGACCAAGGGTTGTGTAACCCTTGGTGATGAGCCCGTTAGGCCCATCTGAGCAGGCGACGGTGCTGAGAGATTGACTAGGATTGTCGTAAGTGTTGTCATATGAAAGGGTCTCAGTCTGAGCGAGAACGGGAAGAGCGATGGCAAGGAGGGAGATTATGGCCGATGTGAATTTCATGATGGACTAGTGATGAGAGGTTTTACTTCGAGTGAGGCTGGCTGAGGGTAACCGCTGCAGAAGCGTACTCCTTTTATCTGATTCGTATACCCAGCTAGTCACGCTGAAAGATCCTGCGTACGAAATAGACCAGCATTCCATGCGGCCTTCTCGCACTCGGAATACGATGCCCGCACACTTCGGGCGTCTCGTGCAGGTCAGCAGACTGGGAGGGAGCGTGCTCGCCTGGCTAGAGCTATTCTTGGCTCAGGACCTCTGGCTGGGGGGCAGAGTGTTGGTTCGTTGGCATGCTAGAAAGTGGCGGAGCCGGTACGCGTGATGTCTCGAATATAAGTCCGATTTCTCAGGCAGGACAGGATATGCCTTATACCTACCGTCCGTCCGATGCCTGCGCACTGAACTTCCCTGTAAACGGACAAACAGGTTTCAAATAAGGCTAGTGCCTGGATGTATCAGCGGTCAAAGATCCCCAGAGTCACTGGCATGAAAGCGGCAACTACTGTATAGTCCAGCAGCGACATTCACAAGCTTAAAAGCCATGAAATCGCTTACTATTTACTACTTCGTCAAGGGTCATTGTGTGAAAATGCCATATGATTGCAAGTTTATCTATTAAGAAACCTCTCTCTGGCTTTTTGATTACGTCTGAGGTCTTCGTCCTTGAGCTTTCCTTCAAGGGCGGCCCACACATTCCGAGAGTACTTCTCCCCGTCCTGCGAGGATTTGAATGGGGTGACAAAAGTACATGCTGAATGCTTACCTTCAACAAGCTTTTGACCTGAGCAAGGTCCGATGTGCCCGTCCCAAGCAAGCGCATGCCTCGTAACAGTGGAGTCACATCTGACGAGAAGGAGTAAAACACCAGGAGCTTTAAAGGCACAGATGCTTCTTCTTGTAGTGTAGCATCCAGGAAATGCAAGGTAGGTAGCTGTACAAAAGGTCAATCACGTACCAATTGATTTCGAGCTAAAAACGACAAACCAAATTGAGGGTCAGACAAACTGGCCATGCTTGTCTTCCGTCGAGGGGCTCGCCCTCGTCCCAGTAGTCGGGAAGCTCGAAATCAGCCACTTCGATTGTCTGTCGCGTGTCCAGTGCGCTGCCGACATGGGCCGTTTCATCCACGTCCATGTCCATTGCCTGGGTTGCGGAATTGTGATCGCCTTTCTTCGCGCGGTATTGAACGCTTTTTGTTTTGGGCACCTTGGTATCCCATAAAGCAGCGCGTGCAGCCATGAAAATCGCGTCAAATATGTTCCCTGCGTCAGAAAATATGATGACATCAAGGTTGAGCAACCAAGATTTCTTTCCGGGTAAGATATCGAGGTTTTTTGGTCGGATTGTCGGGTGAGAGAGGGTGGCGTTTAAAACGGACGTCATGTCATGCTGCATGTCATCCAAGGCATTTGAGGAAAGAAGAGGGTATGCAGTCGGAGAGCTATCATTCCAGGTTGTCTAGTCTTTTCTTTTAAAAATGTAGCATGAAAGCCGTACCAAGACACAGAGCAAACTACCCTTCCGCCATCTACACCTTCACTATCGCCAACAGTCTCAACTTCTAATTTTGCAGCAGCTACGACTTCTGTGCCTCCACCACCATCCTGCGCGTTTCTACCGATGCTGATACGTGCGCTGCCGTTTGCGAGGGGAGCGATTCCAGACTCGAGGGCTATGGTTCGAAAATCTATCAAACCGCGACCATCTGCTCGTAACGGCGGATCGGACAGCAAGGAGGATTGGATGTAGGCTTTCTCAGCCTTGGATATTGACGCCATGCTTAGTCGATAATTTTCTAGAGCCACCAGACTGTCATCGAAGTAAGTACTCCGCCGAGCTTTGCAAGACAAGCATATCTTATGAAAGATAATCACCTTTAAGAATAATCTAAGCCGGCAGTCAGGAACTTCGAGCGCGTATTGATGTGTGTTTGGCAACACCTTCTGACCTCGCACTCAAGATGCAAGCTGAGGAGAACGTCCGGAATGGATCATCAAAGATACCACAAGCGCTCTCCAAAGCTCAGGAGAGAAAAGCAGTCGAGTATGTTGAAGACTCTTTCATGGATATCACCAGTGCATTTAAGAAACGGTTGGCTGTCTGCGTTCCGGAAATTCCGCAAGTACTGAGATAGTTGTGGACAGCTTAGAACCGTCAATGACGAAACTTCCAACTCTTAGTGCATATCTAGATGCCATGCAGAAACTTCTGGCATTTATTTTGCAGATCCCACCTATAGACCCCTCCACTCACTTACGGACCGCTTTCCTCCTTCGCCTGACTGGCGACGTCATGACTTCAGTGCCAGGATATCCTCCACAGATGAAGGAGCTTCAAACGCTACTGGATTTCTTGGATGACCTTGACCAAGCATGGTCAGCAGTGCTGAAGAACCAAGTCTGGGATGCAGCTGCAGGAGAGGGTATCGACCTCATTGTACCTGTGGACCAAATCAAACCGGGAGGTCCGCCAATACGGTCCTCGCCCGTAAGTCAGACAGAACGAACGAGGTTACGTAGTCTCCTAGTTACAGGCACTGCTGGACTAGAGGAGTGGATGACAGGGCTGAATACGAGCGGAGAGGACTATCAGATTGCGTTACAGAGGGCCGGTCTTCTCCAGGGCTTCGACGATCTTTTCTCGGAGACATTGTCAGTCATGGGTACTTATGACGGTTCTCTAAATGACCCTGCAGGCATGGAAGGAACATGCTGAGCGCGGATATGTGCAATGCAGCAATGAATTAATTTTGAGCATGGTATAATAAGTGCCTCCGGCGAATAGAGAAGAACACAACAAGCCATCATTATCGCCTCCTGCTGGCTCTGCGACTGTCGCCTGAAACGAGGCATTAATTTTGCAAATGCGCCATAAGGTCTCAACTTACCTTTCTCCTTGGCTTTCTTCGGTGCACCCTTCCCTCTCTTCTTTTTGTCCTCCACATCCTGCAGTCTTTCTTCCTCTGCAAAATTTCTCATTTCCAACTCAGGCCATTGCCTCATTATTTGCGCAATATTGGCTTCTGGAGTGTAGTATTTGACCATAGAAGGCCCGCGAAGTCGTGCGCGAAGGTATTTGGCTCCAGTACGTGCTGATGTGGGGTTATACGCAGTTTGGAATATGGAGCAGCGCGATCGCGTCAGCGCAGCAAGTCGCATAGGACGAATGGCGGCGGCGGCAGCTGCTGCCATGGTCGGTATAGCTATGGAGCTGGATTTACGGTTGAAACTTGACAAAGTCAATTTGAGTGCAGTGAACCTTCTGATCCTAATATAACCAAACAACCGCTTTTTTCCAAGACGCCTTATTCGCGGGTACGGTCAACTTTTTCAATGGCTTCATAAAGCCAGCATAGACTTCTCAAACAAAACACTATTTTTCTTAGCTAATATCTGTCGTTATGCTACCTCGCTGTCGCCTCCTCCTTTCGAGGTCCATCAAATCTGAAAGTTGGTTAGAAGCCAGCCAAGTCCACTTTCGTCGGTTTCGCTCCTCCGACCGTCAACGACCGGGAAATTCATATAATATTTCGAAACCACCTTTCCCCGGTAATCAACATCAACGTGGTGGCTTCAAACATGGTGGTCGTTCCAATCCTCAGCACGTCATGAAGCAAAAGAAGGGTCACATCCTGGACGGTTTCTCAATACGGGATGCTAGTGACACACTCCTCATCATGCAGAAACAAGTCCGCAAATGGGCTGATCTTCCGCACGTTCACCGTCGCCTGGAGTCATTCGGGGTACCACGCGCAGACGTCCAGCCCCTTCTTTCAACATTCACCCGAGAGGTCAGCTCCGGGCTCCTTCAAAGTCCAATTGAGCAAAAAAAGTACCACGTGGAGAGATTTGCTCTTACGGCCAAAGAAATGAATCAAGGACTCCGACTAGACCAGATTCTCACTCAGCTTTTCTATTCCTGGGCATCCGACCCCGAGCGACAGGAGTATCTCCTTAAATCAGCGTCACGGAGTACGCTGGAACAAATATCATATCTATACTCCACCGCAGATATGTCGTACCCTGCGGATATGTATCCTAGAGCGCGTTCCATGCGTCGCAAGGTCATCATGCATGTTGGGCCTACCAATAGCGGGAAGACCCATATGGCTCTACGTGCGCTTGCAGCGGCCAAGACTGGTGTCTACTCTGGTCCACTGCGTCTACTCGCACATGAAATTTGGGATCGGCTCAACAAGGGCCAGATCGTGCCCCTCGGGATGGACCCAGACGCCGACTCTGAACCAGACACCTCCACGAACATGGATATCATCGAAGAGTCGGTGTCCAGACCAACCGTGCGGAAAGAAGGGAAGGCAAAGTACGCGCGGGAGTGCAACCTGCGCACCGGGGAGGAGTTTAGGATCGTTTCCGAATATGCCGGTCTTGTGAGTTGCACGGTAGAGATGACGTCTTTTAATATTCCAGTGGAAGTGGCAGTCGTGGACGAGATTCAGATGCTTGCTGACCCAGACCGTGGATCTGCATGGACGGCTGCTGTGTTGGGTCTACCTGCCGAAGAACTCCATCTCTGTGGCGAAGAAGTTGCAGTCCCGATTGTACAAGCGCTCTTAAATGACACAGATGATGAACTTTTCATTAATCGTTACGAGCGTCTAACGCCTCTCACTGTTCAAGACGAATCGTTGGAGGGAGATTTCAGTAGAGTTCAAAAGGGGGACTGTCTTGTCGCTTTCTCGAGGAGCGGGATTTTTGCGTTGAAGCGCAAGGTAGAAGAAAATACAGGCTTGCGTTGTGCTGTTGCATATGGCCGACTTCCCCCTGAGATCCGTGCCGAGCAGGCTGCGCTCTTTAATAATCCACATAGTGGCTACGACGTGATGATCGGAAGTGATGCCATCGGCATGGGACTTAATCTGTGAGCACCCCGCACCCTTCATCGTATCACCAGTCTTATTCGCCTTAGCAAAATCAAACGCATCATCTTCGACAGCTTGCACAAATTCGACGGCAACGTCGAACGACCTCTATCAGTTTCCCAGGTCAAGCAAATCGCGGGGCGTGCAGGACGCTACGGCCTGCATGGTGAACCTGGGGGCTTCGTCACGACTCTCCATGCACATGATCTCCCCAGGCTTCACTCTGTGATTCCGTGCCAACCAGACCCTGTCGTGTTTGCAGGTGTCTCTCCTACCTTGGCTTGGGCTGAGAATGTTCTCCAAGCACTTCCTGTCGATTCTTCGCACCAAACATTAATGGAGGTGGCTCCATACGTCTCCAACGTTCGCCCCCCTTGTCGTGCCTTCGTTCCCTCCAAGGTCGAGGAAAGATCTCAGTTCGTCGAAACCCACGCCAAAGATATGAAACTATACGATAGACTCCTCATCAGCGGCGCACCAATGAATTGGCGAGATCCCCTTGCGGTGGAATTCGCAGCTCGCCTATGCCAAATATACAATGAGAAGATCCGAGTCCCTATCCTGCATGCCCTCCAAGCTGGTTCATATATAGAAGCATTGGAGGATGTGGAAGCGATGATGTCTGGTGGCAAGTCTTCTGCTGGTGCACCATCAAAGGGGCTCGTCACTCTTGAGGGACTACACAAATCGCTTGTGCTGTACCTTTGGCTCAGCTTTCGCCTCCCTGTGGCGTTCTATCAATCGGAGGAGGCCTACACGCTTAAAGAGCGCACGGAGAAAGCTCTTGATTGGTGTCTGCGGAATGTGTCTGGGAGGGTGGCAGTCAGATACCCCGCTAGCTTCGGACTGGAGATTCCTTCAGAAGCCGAGGATGGCGTGGAATATCGCCGTACCCCATACACCCGTCTTCAGGATGAGAGCAACCGAGAGTTAGGGGTGAGGTATGCGAAGTTGTTGAATTCGGAAAGGCGGAACGCTCGCAGTCAACAGTAGAAGTCCGAGGTCGTTGGAGATCAAATCGACTTACATACAGCATTGAAGCAGTTCATCCACTTGGTATCGCGTATGCCGACCCTTTGCCAGTCTGCTGCAGCTGACGCGGCATTGTTCTTAATAGACATGATGCGCACTTCTCGGATTGAATCAAAGTGACCTTTAATCTTCTTTAAGCTCTTCGAGTCCTGCTCACAGCGAAAGTTACATTAATGGGCTACTCAAGTACGCGTGGCTACGTCACTCTACTTTGTCTGTAGGTCACGACCCTGAGCTGGGCCACGTGTGCAACAGCCACCTCCATGACGTCAGGTGCACTCGCATTCACTCCAGGTCAATTCCAGGTGGTTTTGTTGTTTAAATTCTTTTTTCATAAGTCGTATAACCGAACGTGTACTATCACGCATGCTTAAAGCAAATTAACAAAGGTCATGAGGATAATTGCAGATTTCTCAGGAGCTTGCTTAGCCCAGCCACAACCCCCGACTAATGTGCACAAGACCGTGGAGGGCGGCAGCAACAACTCCGGAAGTTGGAAATGCTGTAAACACTGGTAAGGTCTTTGTATCCAGTGTCATTGATGGACATGAGAGTGCTGTGCGGTGGTTTACTGGAATGCTACAGGCAGGTGTTTCGCAACTTGAGGGCGTATGTTTGAACACGTGGGTGCTGTGTGGATATGATGATCCTTTTTTCGCATAAAACTAGCAGAAACAAATGGCGAAGAACTCACTCGTGCCACTTCCCATAGTAGCAGCAGCAGCATTTTGGTCGCTGGCTCTCATCACTCTTGGGGTATGTCATATCACCCGCACTCGGACCCACTGCACGGCTGAAGCTGCCAAGGCGATGCTGGGACCACGAAACACCGATCATGAAGCCGAGATCCGTTCCCGCATCCATCCTCATGAGCACTTCGCTCTAACATCCTCGAGTGCAATACTCGACCCCTCTAGACACGACAGCTTCATACAAGACGCAAGAGCATTGATTGCCTCCGTCAGCCCCCAGCAATGTGCCGGGTGGCAAAAATTCGTCAAATGTGCTGAAAAATGCACAGAGATTTTCCTTCCTAATCGAGAAGTCGACTTCGCCGCTTTCATACAAAGCGTCATTTTCTGCATCATAATTACTGGATTCTACGGTGTCGATCCTGGAACCCTTTCCCCTGTCGATGTCGCCTTCATGACAAATGCACTCAACCGCCATTCGGTTTGCGCCTCGCAGCAAAGTTCCCTTCCTCCTGACGAACTTTACGCGATGATGAGGGAACGTATTTGTACATGGGTCGGGGAGGAGCGCGCCACTCGAGCCCTGGAAACCATTCTTCCCGCATATGAGTCCATGTGGCGTGTCGCTGCTGTCACATTGGCCTATGCAAAAGGAAACCAACACACGTGCAATGCTTTCCTGGATTTCAGCGAAAACCCCACCCAGAAGCAATTCCGTTCTTTCAAAGTCAAAAACACTCGACCGAGCGTAGAAGCCATCATCAACGAAGTCCTGAGGTTGCACCCGCCCATTCGGCGCATTGCGCGCAAAACCAGACACCCTTGGTGGGAGAGGGTGTTTTACCCCACGCAGGAGATAGCGGATATAGGAGCTATTCATCGCTCGCGTGTATATGGCGCGCATCTAGAGACCTTCGATGCGATGCGCTTCTATTCTCAGCATGAACATCAGTACATGCGACTGCTCGCTTTCGGACACGGCGGGCTAAGCTGCGTCGCGGCAGAATGGGCGCCCATGGCTACAGCACTGATTGTTGCCAAAATTATTGACAAAGTGGATGATGTCCGTTATGTTTTCGCGGGGAAGGCATTTGATGCAAGGGTGTGTGAAAATACGAGGATGGGATGGGATGGGTGTGTGGTCAGAAAGAAAGAGAGGGGGATGGTTTCTTGAGGTTCCTCCTGCGGTGTTGCGCTATCAGGAACATTCAACGTCAGCATATGCATATCTATTTAAATCTATATACCTATGACATTAATAGTAGTGGTGAAGCGTAATTATTTTGGCCATAGGAGCTTCCCATGGCGAATTAGAATGGTGTTCCTGTAACTTGTCTGCCGGATGGGAATAGAATCACAAAACGTAGTGCTCACACTCTGATATGCGTCAAGCTGACCATGGTCTCGGATGGCATAATTTTTGTTTCATAGATCATATCCATATCCATATAAGTCAACATCATGTAGGTAGAACGACACCAATCAGACTCTATCACCGCAAATGATCCTCTCCCTTCACAAACGATCCTCTCTCTTCACAAATTCACCGATATACAACCTGCCGAGACCAATCAGCGCCAACTTCCGGAACGATGCCTGTGGGATTGCCCGCGTCAATGATGCGGTGGTAACGGCCATGCGCGCGTGCGTCGAGGGGACGACCTTGTGCCACTGCGGTATGAATGAAGTGGCTGAGTGTCTTCTGTAAGTGATCTGGGTTCTCCATGTTAAAACGGATAGGCTGTAAATGCTTTGACGAATGTTCGTCGTAGCAAGGAGCTACGGGATAGCCGGTGATCATTGAACAGATGACGTCCGGGTTCTGCTCGTCCATATAGTCGCGATAATTCCTGTGAGGCCAGTAAGACTGTCCATGGTCTGGAGCAGCAGTGGATGGGATGGCGACGTGGGATGGGACACGGCGGAGGTTTGCACGTGAGTTATATGGGCGCGGTGAGTGGGTGGTAGGAACGGGGGGGAGCAGGGGTGTACGAGCGACCAGCGCTCGATTTGGCGCGCACACGTTCCGCATGTTGACTGTGACCCAGCATGGGAGCATGACCATCAGTTGTTTTCAGCACATTTGCTACAGCTTGATCAGTGGTGGCCTCGCGCCTCTGTTTGCGGGCGAGAGAGGGGTAGGCCGTGGCTGTAGGGCGGGAAAAGCAGGCCACTGAAGGGGACCGCTGAATGGTTCGGTGTCTGCCTGCCACACGCTGATCGCTTGTGTTGCAGTTCTGGGTGGGTAGTTGAGGCCTGATGCCATTTGAGTGCAATGAAGTTGTCCTTAAGGCGCTGCGAGGGGGCCTCGGAGGCGGCTGAGGGGGACTAGGAAACTGTTCCAGCAAGTCCATGCCCGTGTCAAATTGGGCACGAGTAGGGGGATGGTCCAATTGAGCGCGATAGATGTCCAGCATCCCAGGAGCTTGCTCGACATAGACGATGTCGGAAGTTTTAAGGGGGGTCTTTCCACGGTGTACGGCTTTGCGAGGATCGACACAAGGCTCGTGCATGCTCCCTTGCGAAGATAGACCGAAGGGCATGGACTTGGAGTGTTTTAGAGACGGGTCGTCGTGGGACCTGAGGGGTATTGATTACTATGATGACAATGAGTAGAGCCTGAAAACAGTCGACTCACTTTTGAAACTTCTTGAATAAATTCATGGTTGATATGGGGGAAAACGATGGAGAGTTGCAAAGATTTGTGAGGCGGCCAACTGTCTGGAAAGGTGGGGAATCTGTGTTGCAATATATATACAGGTTTGGCCACTGTCGAAGCACCATGACCGCCCACATTCACAACCTCAAAGCCATTCTTCAAACTCCACAAACTGACGCAAGTGTGGGTGTGATTGCCCACCTAGAATCAACGCCATTGACTTTGCTTTGCGTTACAAAGGCAGAATACGCAACAATCGACCCTATTGGGCACAGTTGCCACAGGCCGGCCAAATGAATGCATCGCGTGTCGCGGTCAATGTTTCTCGAGAGCTCATAGCTTGTGAGGCTTACCGCCAATGATCAGCGCGCCGACTCGAATGCATGGAAAGTAAGGATAGGACATGCAGGCACTGAAAAGAGCTGGCTTCCTCCATTAATTGTCTCACTAGACAAGACCATGCGCCACTCAGCGTGACTGTGAAGCGCATTGCACCCGACCGAGTATATACCAGTCCAAGCTGCTGCTCAACATCAATAAATATCCATGGAGTGCATTCAAGCTGGCACCTCAAGCAACCTAAAGGTGATGTAAACAGTAGAGCAAGTATTCATATTAGTTCCAACGGAATTACACACACGATCACCATGGCCTCCGGCACGTCTAGAGGATAAACTCAGGACCGACAATAGCACTGAATGATGCCACCGTTGATCTCTAGAAATGTCGGTGTTTAGCTTGCATCTGGCAAAGTGGATCGCCCGCTCCAAAGCACTTGATTCGGATGTCCAACTACCTCGGGCTGTTTATGGTCAAATCTGCGACTTAGACTTACTCTAACAGTGCAATCCGAATACAAACGTACGCCTGGGCGCAGTCCAGAGCTAATAATACAGAAGGACATGATCAGTGATCACAATGAAATTCACTTCGGAAAGAAATTCAAAACGTTACAGGCTCCGCCTGGAGCAATGCACCGGTCCAAAAACAACATGCAGGTAAGGGACAGCTGTGGATGGCATTATACTTGAGTGGCATTGGATTCGGCAGTAAAGCGTTCAGAAAACAATGTCAGGCTTTGGGAGGGCGATATTATTATCAATGCTGTGCAATTTTGATCACGTGCATGTTGACGCGGTCCAGACCTCGCGCGGGAATTATGCAAATGTGTTGTAATACATAACTACATGTAACACGATGTGCACCATCCTTGTACTGTATGAACTGCTCATGAGAAATGTAGCGCAATGCGACATTGTGCCGCAGAGGGTTGGCAGCTAGGTTCGAACGAGTCTCGCACGATGGTGCATGATACATCCACAACATATAATCTTATGATGACCTTGGAGCGTCGTCCACCCCGGGGCGTGCGTCTCGCGTGCGCTTACCTATAACAAAACTCCACTATCTTTTTTTTGTTGCCGCGAGCATATCGTCAATTTCGTGGCGACTGCGTCATGTTGCCGTTCGAACGCTCAGTGAAGCTCCAAAATATAATATGTCAACGTCATTTTGACACACCACAACAAAATAAATCTGCCCTTTGTGATTTCTACGAACTTCAAACTAACCTCTGTCATGCTGGTTCATCTATTCTAACCGGAATTCTTCCCTTGACCAACTCACGCCATATCTTCGCTCAGAAGCCTAAAACTGTCACATACACTGTAACAGCCCTTTCACGGATCCGTCAACGACACGACTCGCGCATCCTATTGCCGGAAGACGAAACAAACGTTGATTCCAACACGTCGAATGTTGTTTATAAAGAATTGTTATTAGAAACAAATTATATTTATCCAACGAGCCGCGGCAAGCACTTGTATAGTATAACGGTGACTTCGACCTCGGTAGTGAGTCGTGACCGTCGACTACCATCATGCGTTCGGACGAATCTCGGGCATTTCTGTCACCGGCCGATGCTCCGCATATTTTCTGTCCTTCACCACCACCATATCCAGTCACGAACATTATGTTCTCAAGCAGAAATCGACACTGCAAATATTCAAACACTGCATAAATGTTGTCATCGAGCCCTCGTTCGACAAGGGTGAGCTACATGGAGAAGAATGGACGTGAAAGTTGCCGTCGGATACAGCCAGGCTCGGGAACGACGCCGCAATTCAGATCATGTTGAAGGACATCGACAATGGGGAGTATCACCTTATCCCATCAAGATACTCTCCGTAATAGTACTGCTAGCTCCGTCCTCGACTACGTTGGGCCCATAAGAGCGGCATGCTATATCGCTATCACGAAGTCATCCTTGAACATATTGAGAACATGGAGATTGAGAGACTGGAAAGGAACAAGGTGTGCCAGCAGAGTCCAGACTATCTTCTCTGTGCCCTTCTGTTCTTCACCACCATGCACATGTCCAGCTCGGCTGCAAACATTATATTACGTCATCGAGCCATGCATATGTTTCACTCATTTATTCTTCATCGTCCTCATCGTCTTCTAAAGCTTCATTGGCAACCGCTGACTGCGAACGCTATCCTAGAAACTAGTACTGGAATGAAACTCGACAACGCCCTCGATGCTTGAGGTGGAGCTCTCCGATACTTCGAGTCTTTGGAAGGGTCTATGGGCCCCTACCGTGACCTCCCCATCATGATGCCTGAAGGCTGAAGGCCTGAGCACTGAGCCACTCATCCACACATCGAGCAGGTAACTATAAATTACCTTACAAGGCAAGAAAAGAAAAGTGTTGAGACGCAATCCAACTCACTTGCCTTTCCCGCTGACCGAGTGGCTCGTCCCTTATGCTCAGACCATCGCACACGATTGCTTCACGCTTTTTGCCTTTAAAGGCAGAAACGTGCACCGCAGAAAAGCAATCGTACTCGATGTCCATAGCACGCTTGGTGCTTTAAAAGAAGCGCGCAAGATGTGTGGATTTGCCACAACACACGCGCTTTTCATTCACTCCAAGGATTTAATCCACCCCGCAGATCATTCACAACTTCTTCCTTCCTCTCAAACATTATCACAAGATGCCTGCTGTAGAACGTAACGTGGTACGCTCCCAGCCTACCTTACATCACGCGTCTTGTACTTATCACACATTCTCTACAGACATCTGTTGCCTGCACTGTCTGCGATAAGGTTATAAGCCGCAAGGCAGATCTTCCGAGACATATGCGGACGCATGCTGAAGACAAGGAAGCTCTGTACGTGCTTGTGCCTTATTATACCAGATGGATTCTGAGATGGATTCTGACCTGTTTACTATCTTAATCAGTATGCATGCATGCCCATTCCCTAACTGCGATCACAAGACCCTCCAAAAGTCCAACATGCTGACGCACATCAGAACCCACACCCGTGAATTCTCCAAGACCTGCCCTCACCCTGGGTGCGCGTTTGCCACTACAGATCCAGGCAGCTTGACGCGTCACCGCAAGGTACTACATGGATACGAGCCCAAAGCGCGTTGCAGACCCGGTGGCAAAGCTGCTCGGCGGTCCGCCGCCGCGCCTTACCCCTCTACTCAATTTATGAAGCCAGAGGCAGAGATTCCTGCATCGCTGGATCTCAATGAGCCAGCATTTCCCGAGCTCGCAGGCCTCGTTCGCTGCGATGCGCTCTCACCCGCTGAGTCCAGCGGTTCTGGTATCCCCCAAATCTCAGGCGAGCTCGACGAACTCCCCTGGGAGCGACTCTTCCCCGACATCCCCGTCGAGGCCTTCACCTCCGTTTATGATCAGCCCTCTCAGCTCCCCATCCCCACCTCCAACTACTACCAGCCTCCGACTGTCCCTGCCGGTCCTTCCACTCTCCACATGCCGCAGTTTGACCCGGAGCTGTCCTCCAATGTCAACTATCAGCAGCCCGTTCCAGATATGCCAGCTGAACTGGACGAGTTTTTGCAGAAATACGGCTCAGGGTTCTTTGAAGGCCGCTGCGAGTACCCGGACAGTGCAACGTATTCGATGGCCCAGCCCTCGTTTACGAACGAACACAACGCCGACTGAAATCTTCACTATCATCTTTCATCTCATTGTCATACTACCCCGCATCATCATTAGCATTGGCATCAGCATCACAATCTTATGTGGAATTCATCATTATCATTATTGATCATTTATATCATACCACTTGCATTTCTTATACATATCTTCATCCGGACTTTTAGGATTGCGACCTTCAACTTGTAAATTACATTATGTATATTAATTCACGAATATCATGACTATGGATTGGGACATGCTCAAAGTGTACCAGTCGGCCCAGCTCGATAACACGGCAGCGTGCCACAGTCCAATTTCCATACATTCACCCGGCCAGCGCAGACGGCCCAATCTCTATCATAGTTTGCAACCAGAGTGACTCTTTGCAGACGTCTCCCGCGTGTTTTTGTAAGTATTATTTTATTCAAATGTCCTCATGGCTTCCAACCTTGTATCATATATTTAGTTGCAACGTTGGATATCGTGCACACGCATGCGAGTGACGATGCCAGTGAGAGAAAAATGATAATAACTTAGTACACCAATGCCGAGGGTAGGAGTAAAATGAAGTCATATATGATCGTATTCGAGATATTCCTCTATTTGTTCGCGCTCATGAAGTGGCTCATACCTCGGGACCAGTGTCTTCCGTCTGAAATCTTCAAGGACATCTACATGCACTTCAATGTCGGCTGAATAACAAGGTTCTTGTACATTCATGTGAAAACATATATGAGTGTCTTTTATCAATTCCACGATAATTTTATTCAAGAATCTGGTCGAGGCAGCAAGGAAATTTTTTTGTAGAGAAATAAGCATATCGATCAACTCCGCAACGAACTGCATATCAAGCGGTCAAACACTGTACCAATGCGAAAGTAGAAACGTGACTCACTATTGCGACATGCTCAGTCTGCCAAGCCCATCGGAGGGCTAATGGCAATATGTGATTGAGCCGAACACCTATTGATACAAGGCGCAAAGGGTGAGTCATGGGGTTGAATACCGGATGCAAAGCGAACGACTCATACTTACACCTGTTTTACAAGTAAGGCCTGGGCAGCATGAATCGCCTACCGCGCTGCTCGAGCCGCAAACCCCGTATTCATCAGCGCACTGTGCACTGACAAACATAGGTGTTGTCAAAGCAGCAGCAACAGCGATGAAGAATGAGAAACGCATGACTTGTGCTAGGTTATATGGAGGATATTGAGGGAGATCTCGAATAATAGCACTTATACTGTCAGTAGAAAGACGGCTTGCTTTTTATATCCTAGAAAATATGCAGAGCCACAAGATCGGCGGATACACAACTAAAAAATAAGAAGTGGTTCGGAGATGCACCTTGTAGGCAATGCCGTCAAATGTAGTCCACATGTTGAACCAGGGTTGAATGTATATGCGTGGCATTGCGTTCAGAAGGCGAATATAGAATCTGAGACCCTGCGCAATTCGTGGCATATCATGAATCATGATGGTCCAGGAAAGTCCTGGCGACAAATGCAGAGGTCACCGTGACTGCACGGATCGGAAAGCGTAGGCCCTTATCTGTCGGTTCGACTGCGATCTCTCGCATGAGGATATGTTTATGTCTGCCGGTTGAATGCACATTATTATCCTTGCGTTAGACAAGTCTATGTTTCAGGTGGCCAGGCAAAAATGCCGCAGTTACCGACTGCGGCATTTTCACTTGCACCTTTGTGGCACTACCAAAATATCTCATCCTCTGCGAACAAATAAGTGAGACGAGAAAATCATTATTCCGCGAAGACGCACTTGCGGTGAAGATAATTAACGGCAAGAAGAATTTGCTTGGTCGTGCATTTCGCAACTGACACGGGGAACGTTTCCTTTGGCCAGGGAAATCGAAGGTCCCGAAAAATAAGGCCTAATGCGTCTATGGGAAAGCAGATTTGGTCGCTGGCAGAGTATGCATCAGAGAACTGGTGAACAGAAGATATTGTCATATATCGTAATATATCGTAAGATATAGGAAAGGATTTCGTCACATTGGAATATAAAGCAATATAAGACCATATAAAAGCACCGCAATCAGCATAATGGCCAGCAAGAACTCACCGGTTCACTGATGCCATCTACTGGTAGATGGTCAGTGTGGTGCAAATTAGCAGCTCGGTACCCCTTATATCCCGCGGAGAAGCGGCCTGCAATATATGCGGTCCCATAGACACATCCGTATCACTGTATCAAAATGATATCGCATCGAGAAATTCGGAGATTAGTGAAATAATATACGTGCAGTCGGAGCCAAATTTGATATGTCAGTGGAAAATAGTACCCCACTTGCAGCACCAATACTTACCTTGCGAATTTCGTACCCCGCTCGTACGACGAGCGATGTGCAGAACGACTACAGGGTGGATACCTCGTGGTGCAGGAACAAGAGGATGCTACCGAGGAAGTTGCGCCACGACGGATCAGCCCGAAACCCCGCATCCCACGCTCTCGTGCAGGAATGCACTCAAGATGACCAACTCCTGCGGAAGGATAGTTCCCACCACCCTTTGTTGCTGGCAAAGACAGGTTAACGGGTCCTTTGATTTTTGTAAAAATTGTACTGCGTATCATGATGCGACTCAACTTTGACTCAACTGGTTGTGGTCTTGCAGAGCAAGCTGGGGTCATGTACCCCTATGTAAGAATTGGGGACAAACAAGTGTAAACTGTTCTTTGTGCACCGTACTAGTTTCTTGAGAACGTACAGCTTGTTAACAACCATAATGTCATTCAGCGATCTGGGGACGCAGAACGCTTCAGATACCTACCAATCTTTCTCGTACAATCACCATGTAGGAACGTCCACGACCCCAGCCGAACTTGCACAACGAATGGTGACCTCCAAATCGTTTTTAAGAACCCATTATTTCGAACACTGATTCAAACACAAACTCCTGTTCTTATTCGTTCATCTTAGGATAAATTCGAAGCTGCTGGATTGGCACTCGTAATCCAAATGGAAAGAATGCGCGTGGCGGAAGTTATAGCTGCCAGAGACACTGTTGTCGAACGCCTCGAAGACGCTTACATCTCTGTTCGGCAAAAGACAGCAACGATTGATCAACTTCAGCGTGAGATAGACAATTTGAGGCGCTCTTCCACCCCAGCCGCATCCGTGGAGAGGGATGATGATTCACCCGCGCAGCTTCCCGTGCAAGACATTGATATTCCACAACCAGCTCCGGTAGATGTCACACACGCCGGGGACGTTAATGTTCGGAGTGCATCCGCTCAGGCCTTTCCTTGGCTGGCGCCTCTTGTACGACAGAGCTTTTTGACTTGTGCAGAACTTAACCGATGATTTCTTTTTCTAGGACAGACCTGGAACAGGTCCGCCACTCACGCCACCGCCAGATTTACGCTCAGAAAGCCAGTGTGATTCCAATTCCTTCAGTCCGTCTTTTCAGTCAAACTATTGCGCACGTCTCGAAAATAATTCTGACTCACGCAACTCTGAAACCGTCGACTCCAACCCTCCGGTAAGTCGATATATGCGCATCTTTCTGCTGAATCAAGGAATTTTCCCCCAGAATATCCTCGAACCACTTCCGCCCGGCGATGGACCTGAGGAATTGATTCTCGCAAGACAAGCATTTCTTGCGACGCTTCCTCTCCCTGCTAATATCCCAGATGACGCTCTAAACCCAATCCTCATTCCTCCACCGTACACCTTACATGAATTCTTGAGCAATGCTTCTGGTGTCAGTGTTCTATATATTTATATTACGTGGAAAATTGTGTTCACGTCTGATACAGAGTCTCAAAAGCTCGTAAGATGGTGTACAGCTCATGCACGAAGGGTGACGAATGTCTTTTCTCAGCCTGTCAAACTATCGCGTTCTCGGCCAATTGACAACATACTGGTGCCCAGAGCGCGAAGAACACGGCTACTTGATCACCCCCGTTTTCAAGTGTAGCACCAACCCCCGAGTAACAACAGCACACCGATGGACTGCGGTGGATGTGATCGGCACCATGAGCAGGCCTACTGGTTTGTTGTCTTCCATTCAATCTCATTGTGTTGATGTCGGTCTCGATCTGGTTTAGAGTGCTTCTACAACAAGGACGGAAAGTGGTATTACGCTGGTGTATACAAGGCTTTTCGCATGGACGACTTAACCACGCAAGAGTGGGAAGCTCTATCAACCGAGGTGAAGCAAGATCATTTTGCGCTATTTCTGTCATGGTGACTTGGGCATAGACGACCCAAACTCTTATCAAGGAGACCCTGGCTGGCCGAAAGAACCTCTCACCCCAGAACCTCTACGAGACTGGACAGTTGTATGCTGCTGGCGCCCTTCGCATCGCGTGTATCGGACTGCAGTGTGTAGGATTCAGCTCTGCGATGTATCGCGCGGTCTTGGAACAGGCAACTCTGGGGAAATGGCGCGGAATAGGTTGGTCAGGACCCACCGCGAGCTCGTCCAGTGACACAACAATCGAAGGCGATGGAATTCCTGGACCTTAAGCTTGCCTGGTTTTGCGTCAAGGACTTTTTGCAACTTTGGAATCATACCCCGTTCTGGCTGTTCCGCTTGGTTTGATCATGGACAACAAGGACTTTATGGACAACTAGATTTGTACTGTGGCTGTGGCGAAAATGTTAAATACGAGATTCCACCGTAGACCAATATGTCAATGGATGGTGGAGAGGTATATGAACGAAACATTATGTGCAACAGTGGATCATAGTTTAACCCTCGGTGCGATCCCTTGGCCTGACAAAGTTGCACCACCGTCCAGCAGGATATGTGCGCCTGTGACATGTGCACTGGCAGGCGACGAGAGGAAGAGTGCGAGACCAGCGAGGTCCGAAGGATGGCCGACACGACCCATGGGTTGTCGGGTTACCATTTTTTCCTCGCCTCCGTTCTTGAATCCGAAGGCTGTCATCTTGGTGGGGAATATCCTGTTGAGGGATTAAGGCACGATTCAAGTTATAATGTGTTAGGTACATACCCAGGGCAGATCGCGTTAACACTACGGAAGGAGGTCAGGTCTGGACATCATGAACTGGTGTTTATACATACGTGATCTTCTGAGGTCCTAACTTGACGGCCAGTATTGAAGTGAGGTGATTTACTACAAGATATTTCAGACACGACACGATTTCGCGAATAGATACCTTCTTACCTGCGGCCTTGCTGACGTTGTCTTGAAGAGAACAAGATAGCATCAGCCTGCTCACATCACATAATATGATAACGCACAGCTCCATGTCCCCATTCCATCTGCACTGACTAGGCTTTCCACGTGTGGTGTCACACTTGCAACTGATGAAATATTAATCACGCGACCGGGATCGAACGCGCTCGCATCCTTTGCAAGCCAGGTTGATAGCCTACCAGCTCGTGAGTGTTTAAAATACCGAGTACGGAAAGAACACTTACCCGGACGTCACTGGGTGAACACCGAAACTCAATAGTTACCACCGAAAAACAAGGGCGTCACTCACAGTAAAACAAGCTCTTCACGTTCACAGCCATAACATGATCCCATCCCTTGTCCTCTGGAAAGTTTTCGAAAGACGATCCCCAGGAGACGCCTGAATTATTCACGAGGATGTGCAATCTCTTTGCGGGCTCGCGGACTTCCAGGGCAGATATAAGAGCGTCTGTGCCAGCTTTCGACTTGGTTATTGCGAGTGAGTGCCATAGGGTGATATCATCAGAGGACGTTTACATACGCTGAGGTTTGCTACGATGTAGTCTGCAGATCCAGGGCCTTTGGCATTAAGCTCTGCTACTGCCTATAGGTTGTCAGAACTTTTGGCTGTGCATGGGAAACCGATGCGCGCACCTCCTTCAATTGGGATTCTTTCCTAGCAGCGATATAGACCTTTGCACCGTTCTGTACGAGTGCTGAGGCAATAGTCTTGCCAATACCAGTACCGCCGCCTGTGACGAGGGCTGGTGAAACACGATGGTTAGTAATCCAAATCACACGGAATCAAAACGCAGCACCGCCATACATACCGATCTTGCCCTTCACATGAAACAGCGACTGAACAGAAAGATCTGGAATACGACAAGCGCTCAAGGTCAGTATTTCGCATGTGTGTCAAGAAATGTCGAATACCGGGTGTCGACATGGTGTTTGTGAGACCTGAAGGCAGACGGAACTACTATAAATCCATGGGAGGAGAAACACAGACTTCGGCAAGAGAGTGCTTCGGATGAAGTGGTAGCCGAATACCGGAGAGGCGCTTTATTAGATTTTATTAGTCAGAACAACACTGTATTTATCCTTCGTTCCCTCGGTCTGTCTATAGTACTACCATGTGTATACCCCATTTCTGCAACATAACTAACACCCGTCGAGTACTGTAGTCGGGCTTGACTGAACGACATGTACCCCTTTGACAGCGCTGCAGCTTGTCGTGGACCTCAATACCAGAACTGCTGCTGCTTATTCTTCGAAGAATCGAAACACGCTCATGCTAGTGTTCAACAGACTGATAGCAAAGATCTCGATGTGGTTAAGAGCGTGTGCGTGTTGTCAGCAAGCATAAGTAAGGTGCCATAAGCATGAGATGGCGGGGCGCACCCCCGGCGCAGACAAGTGACAGACAGCCATTTACTTCCCACACATATTGTTCTTGATGACTATTATCATAGCAACGATTGCAACGATGGTAAGTGCAAGGAAGAATAAAAATTGTAGCTTGTTCGGGCTGAGCGAGCAGAGACAACAGCTTTTCCCGCGTGCTGGAGGCTGCAAAGATGTTGAGAAACCATGCGAATAGCCCGTTCCAAGAAAGGCATTTACCCGGCTTCCGTGTCTGTTTGTCAATATGGCTATGTCAAAACCGAACCAAAAACAAGGGTCGACCAAAAGCCGTAGTCAACGAGCCGAACGCCCTGAGATGACACAGGTTTTGGCCAAGGTTGACGTCGGAAAGAGGTTGTGATTTCATCGTTTGAGAAGATGATATCTGAACGTTATCTGTAAGTCACTTAAGCACTCAAAATGAGCCAGGACAGAACAAATTAACGTACCTACGTTCGCGGTGAAGATGAATCGACGGCGACCTTCTGCTAGGCGAGCTTGATTATGCGCTCCACAACTGATGTGTTTTGTTTTGGGTAAATCGAAGGTCCTTCAAATTCATCTGTGAAAAAGCAAAACGGTCGCCAGCAGAATCATCTGTAATGGTGGTGCGGGTTAGCGGACTCTCATATTGCATTTAGTAGCTGTGTACAGGTATAGTGAAAATCCACCTGATAGGGAGCTCGCGGGTCATTGGTTGGTGCATGTTGCCTGTCGATGTCCACAGCAAACCACCAGACACGGTGAAGCCAGAAAGCCGTGTATAATTCTCAGCACTTAGCCTGTACATAAAACACCTTCCAGCCCGTCACTAGCCATCACTGTCACCAAAGATCAACCTATTCCTGATGCTTGGAAAATGGTCAATTGGATGCCTCAAACTCGGGCGAGTACAAGCAAAAAACTCCAGCGGGGTACTGTTGGGCAGTGGTGGGCCATCCACTAGGTACTTGGAGCTCCACCAGGTGTTTCGCAAAATCCGATTTGAATAGACCACTGGCAGAAGCAGCACAAAACAAAAGCAAACAATGAGATACAATGGACAGTGACGGCGCTGGCGTGCTCACCATCTCCTGTTCAGTCAATTGAATTGATCATCATTGGTCCTCCAAGTTCTCCGCCGAAAAATGCTTTGGCAAATGGACAGTTGATTTGATTAGCAAGAACGAGTTTGGTTACAGTATGGTAAGTCCGCAGCGCGTTACAATCATCACACATCCGCTCGACCCCACATTTTCACGTTAGGTGGACCTACTCAGCTGGCGATACCTACCTCGATACCCTAGTAGTATGATTCTGCTTCAAGCTGGAGTAAGCACCTTCGACTACCCAGACCGGCCGCCTGTATAAATACTATTTGCAGTCACTCACAGTTCCCTTTCCGACTTTGCACTTCGTGCACGAGAGACTGTGACCAGCTTCACGGTCCTATCGCGGCGAGTTTTAAATTTTCCCGCTGGCGTCTTTGTCGCCGCACCTATCACTGCAGTCTGTGACAATGTCCGGACAGTGGCGAAGCGAAACACCTACTACCGCCGATCAAAAACAACGGGTTAGGAGAGACACGCAGAGATCTCATTCCCCTCTTTGAATTTGATAGCCGTTACTGCATAAGACCCTCTACACGAATGTAAGTTAGGGGATTCACCCATTCCACTCACAATGCGTTTCTCCTTTGTGTTCTCAATCACCGCCTTACAGGCGTTGGTTGTTGCTTTGTCACAGCCAGTCCCTCTATCAATATCTTTGACGAAAAAATCCAGTCTTAGGACCGCTGACGGATATGTTGACCCTGCCTCAATCAGGGCTCATATTTCCAGCATTGAGGCGTAGGTGACTGCTCCTCTTCAGCGTCGTTTCCCCATTGATAGGATATGTAGAAAGTTGCAGCGGGGCGCTGCTGCATTCGAAAGAAACACTGGCGCAGCTTTCTTCTCCCATTCACTCACCAAGCGTGCGGGATCATCGGGATCTGACCCGCTAGTTGACAGCTCAAACACCAGTTGGTTTGGAGCAATTTCAGTCGGCACTCCGCTGCAGAATTTTACTGGTTTGTCTTTCCGGCTTTGTACCAAGTAGGATGTACTAATGCAAGCGCCCCAGCTGACTTTGACACGGGTTCTGCGGACTTCTTTCTACCTGGACCAAGCTGCGATGTCCAATGCAGTGGACATACGCTGTTCAATCCTAATAGTAGTTCTTCTGCTGTGGCCCTTGGCAAATCGTTCCAACTGAGCTTCGGCGATAAATCCACGGCTGAAGGCCAACAATATAACGACACCGTCTCGATTGGTGGCCTTACGGTGCGTATTTTTTCTGTTGTCCCTCATCTCACTCCATGGAGTATGTCATAGGCCACTGCACAAACGCTTGGTGTTGCTTCGAATACATCCGGTTTCTTGAAGGAAAAGTTTGATGGGCTGATGGGAATGTCCTTCCCGTCGCTTTCCCATTTTCCCGCAGAACCCGTTTTCAACACACTGGTTTCACAGGGAGCTGTCTCGGAATCAGTGTTTGCTTTCAAACTCGCATCATCTGGTTCTGAGCTTCACCTTGGTGGCGTGAACTCTGCGTTATATAAAGGCTCGTTCACGTATGCTCCAGTAACTAAACAGGTGAGCCATCAGTTGCAAGTTTCAGCGGTGTTGCTCAGACAACACTCATGCACTATCAGGCGTTCTGGCAGATAGACGGTGACGGTATTTGGATCAATGGGAATCAAATTGTCAAGACATTCTCCGCCATTGTCGACACTGGGACCACATTGATCGTGGGCAATTCGTCTGTCGTCAGTCAGTTCTACGCAGCTATCACCAATGCAACGGAAGTGCAACCGGGTATATACACGTGTAAGCAGCTCGACAGCTTCATTGTTATGGTTGTCTGAAGGATGTTTGAAGTACCGTGTAACGCCATACCAAATATGAGCATCACCATTGGGGGGAAGGCGTTTCCCCTTTCCACGGATACGTTCAATAAGGGCCCAACCGATTCATCAGGAAAAATATGCATTGGTGGTGTCCAAGGAAGTGATTCCGTTGGAGGTCGGTCTTGGATTTTCTTGGGGGGCTGTCCTCGCTGACTTACCTTCAGATCAATTTCAATGGATTCTGGGCGACGTTTTCATGAGAAACGTGTACACTGCCTTTGATGTCGGAAACTCCAGAATTGGCTTTGCGGAACTTGCGTGAGCTTTGGTTAAGCCTGGCTGACTGCATGGAGATCGCACTGTGATTTCTGTAGACATTGTTTGGACTGGGATATTTTGCTAAACTGACATGTATCATTCTGACTTCGCAAAAAGTTCTTCTTGGACCGTAGTATACTACGCTGATTCGGTAAACAATGTTCATGCGATTATTTGTCTTGTTCAACTTGACGCAATCCCATGTTATACAAAACACAATAAACTCCCTAGCATCTTGTCACATGCAGTGCTCTCAGGATTTTAAGCCGCACTTGTGCTCTGCAACGGTAACAACAACCAGGGAACATTTCAAACCTGTCCATCTGCAGCAGCAATCTTCTGATCCTTTTCTCCGTGTCATTTTCGGCCACGTGGAAGCGCCAGTGAATAGAAAAGACTTGTCACTCCACGCGCAATCGCATGAGATTCAGAATCACTGCCCATTGTCTTTGACAAGTCAGCAGGAGCATAATGAGTGTCACGCAGTCATAGACAACCCTGAATCAGACTCTATCATGATGCTAGGTATATAATAGACAACGGAGCATTATGCACTGTACACCCGCATCTGAAATCTCTGTAATAGTACATCAACTGCTGCAATGAGATTATTGTTAATAAGGTCTACAAGTGTTGATTTTAGTACGCGCGAGGAACAGAAAAGGCTCGAGGGACTCACTAATCTCGGCACTTTTGCCAGTGTTGTCCATGTACCATGCGGCTCAAATCAAGTTCTGCACCCCCTCTAGGTAACACTAATGCGGTCCCAGGACTATAAAATGGGTGTCGAGAAGCGGGTGGTACCCAGAAAAAGAGCCGATGTTTGGGTCCTACAATCCATCCATCATCAGCCATCAGAAAGGGGGTCGGCCTGAAGTAATAATCAATCAGGAAGGGGAAGGTGAAGCGAGTTTCATCATGAGATGCTCCCTCCGTCAATTCCGAAGAGTCGCACAGCGCATGGGTAGAGTTGGACGAGAAGCGGATTGGGTTACTGTTCCAAGTGTGGCTTGTCGTGGCAGCGGTGGCCTCGATGGGATGCATGATACAACATTCATCTGATAATGCTGAATGAATCTTCTCTGGATACTGCTGCAATGGGTGCCTCGTCATTACATCCCACAGCCGGACAGTGGTATCGTCCGAACCGGTCACGATGCGAGTGCCATCCGGCGAGAACGAGACTGAGGTAACTGAGCCAATGTGCCCATGGAAGGGCTCGCCAACTGGCTGTCCTGTCGCTGCATCCCACAGCCAGACAATCTTATCCTTCGAACCGGTCACGATGCAAGTGCCATCCGGAGAGAATGAGACTGAGTTAACTGAGGCAATGTGCCCATGGAAGGGCTTGCCGACTGGCTGCCCTGTTGCTGCATCCCACAGCCGGACAGTGGTATCCCAAGAACCGGTCACGATGCGAGTGCCATCCGGCGAGAACGAGACTGAGGTAACTGAGGCAATGTGCCCATGGAAGGGCTTGCCGACTGGCTGCCCTGTTGCTGCATCCCACAGCCGGACAGTCTTATCCCCGGAACCGGTCACGATGCGAGTGCCATTTGGCGAGAACGAGACTGAGTTGACTGACTCAGTGTGCCCATGGAAGGGCTTGCCGACTGGCTGCCCTGTTGCTGCATCCCACAGCCGGACAGTCTTATCCTTCGAACCGGTCACGATGCGAGTGCCATCCGGAGAGAATGAGACTGAGCTAACTGAGTCAGTGTGCCCATGGAAGGGCTTGCCGCCGACTGGCTGCCCTGTCGCTGCATCCCACAGCCAGACAGTGGCATCGTCCGAACCGGTCACGATGCGAGTGCCATCCGGCGAGAACAAGACTGAGTTAACTGAGGCAATGTGCCCATGGAAGGGCTTGCCGACTGGCTGCCCTGTCGCTGCATCCCACAGCCGGACAGTCTTATCCCAAGAACCAGTCACGATGCGAGTGCCATCCGGCGAGAACGAGACTGAGGTAACTGAGCCAATGTGCCCATGGAAGGGCTTGTCGACTGGCTGCCCTGTCGCTGCATCCCACAGCCGGACAGTCTTATCCCAAGAACCAGTCACGATGCGAGTGCCATCCGGCGAGAACGAGACTGAGTTAACTGAGGAAGTGTGCCCATGGAAGGCCTTGCCGACTGGCTGCCCTGTCGCTGCATCCCACAGCCGGACAGTGTTATCCCTGGAACCGGTCACAATGCGAGTGCCATCTGGCGAGAACGAGACTGAGGTAACTGGGGAAGTGTGCCCATGGAAGGGCTTGCCGACTGGCTGCCCTGTTGCTGCATCCCACAGCCGAACTGTGTTATCGTATGAACCGGTCACGATGCGAGTGCCATCCGGCGAGAACGAGACTGAGTTAACTGAGGAAGTGTGCCCATGGAAGGGCTTGTCGACTGGCTGCCCTGTCGCTGCATCCCACAGCCGGACAGTGGTATCGTCCGAACCGGTCACGATGCGAGTGCCATCCGGCGAGAACGAGACTGAGCTAACTGGGGAAGTGTGCCCATGGAAGGGCTCGCCGATTGACTGGCCCGTCGCTGCATCCCACAGCCAGACAGTCTTATCCCTCGAAGCGGTCACGATGCGAGTGCCATCTGGCGAGAACGAGACTGAGCTAACTGAGTCAGTGTGCCCATGGAAGGGCTTGCCGACTGGCTGCCCTGTCGCTGCATCCCACAGCCGGACTGTGTTATCGTCTGAACCAGTCACAATACGAGTGCCATCCGGCGAGAACAAGACTGAGTTAACTGAGCCAATGTGCCCACGGAAGGGCTTGTCAACTGGCTGCCCTGTCGCTGCATCCCACAGCCGGACAGTGTTATCCCTGGAACCAGTCACAATGCGAGTGCCATCCGGAGAGAACGAGACTGAGTTAACTGAGCAAGTGTGTCCCCTGAGCACGGTTTGAGCAGCTGGCCAGTCCATATGACGTCCCAATGCCACACGAAGAGTATTTGGAAATTGTGTAGCAAATTTAGACAGGGCAGAGTTGACAGGCGAGAATGGCAGTGCTGATATATACAGATGTGGTGTGCTGTGTAAGATGATGCCGCAAAAGATTTGAATAAACCGGTGCACGTCCATGGCAGTCAATGAGATGTTTTTGAATTCGGAATGGCGCTGTGGTTGCGTGTGAGTAATTGATCTGACACTTAATAACTATGGGCTCACCTTTGGCCATTGGGCAATCAGCCGAAGAGCGGTAGCTGCACCGTTGAGTGCATTAATTAGGGCAAGTACCTCGAGCCAGAAAAACAGCCGCTCGTGGTCGAAGAATGATTTTACTTCTTTCGCGAGCTCTGGGTCGAAGTCTGTTGCTCGTACATGTCCAGTCCAAAAGCGAGAGGAATATGATAGATGCGGGAGAATGCGTTGTTCAACTCGTTCTTGCAGTCCAGGATCTTTGCAATTAGGGAGGTACGAAGACTGTAAATCACAGATATTGAAGCGAAGACCGTGTTCCATAACTCGAAGTGACGCAAATGCGAGGTCGCGTTGCTTCTTCGACACATCGACAAAAAACTCCCCACTGGAAGATTGGTCGGTCAGGAAATCGCGGAAGGATGCGTGAAGGGGTCGGATGGGGGTAGATGGGTCAGTGGTGCCGCTGAGGAGGGGTGCCAGATGTCCCAACACGATCTCTACTTTGTAACGCTCGCTTTCGTCTGGAAAATGGTCTCGCATGGTGTTCAAAGAATTTATAGGGAGGGGTTCAGCTGCGCCAAGTATTTGTCCCATAACGGAACGAAACCTTTCTAGCCGTTTGCGCTGAAACGTGGCATTTGCGTGTTTATCCTTCCGCATGATCTCTGTCAAAATGAAGTCGTACATATCGTACAACAGGTTTTCGCGCTCGGCGGGATCGCGGGACACCACAGCATCGAAGGAATCCTTTTGAGAAAATCCAGCGTGGGGTGTTTTAATGTATTCGCAAGCGAGACGCGCCCACTCGAACAAGCCATCAGCTTTCTGGGCTATGGCTGCAAATTCCTCATCTCCAAAATGCGAGAGCCCTTCCAGCTCCTTTGATGTGTAAGCGCGGATGTCGCGCTCTGCGGTGTTTGGCGAAATATCGTCCATGGACATCCGTCGAATGTGCTGAGCACCTGCAAGTTCAGCTTCAATGTCAGGGAGCAGGCGAGATGTAACAATTATCCGCATATTTTTTGGGAGTTCGGTGATCTGGGGAACAGCCAGTTTACCAGCAAGAATGCGGAGAAGGTGACGCCGTGTCTCGACTCCGCCACTCTCGTCCAATGCGTCGATTACAATCACGACGGGCTCCGCAGTTGACGCTGAAAGCTTCCCTAGCGGTTCCGTCAGAAGCCTCTGCCATTGCTGTACAACATCCACGGTGTTCTTGAGCGCACTGTCGTTCTGAACTGCATCCGCCAATGCTCTCCTGATCTCCGGATGACGATCAGCGAGGTCGCGCGCGATCGTGGAAAAAATCTTTTCATGGCGACGATCTGCTTCTCGCTGGCGGTCAAAAGAGTAACACGAACCAAGACCTCCCACGTCGTGGAACCAGCTAGCGATTGTGTGAGCGATGGCTGATTTCCCCTTGCCTGCAGGCCCAGATAGCCACAGCACGCGCTGAACATCGTCTTCAGTGCTGTTGACCCAGTCCGTGATCTGGGAGAGGATTTCTGTGCGCGTTCCTGGTAGGCATTGTTTCGTGGTATCTAGTCCTGCGCCCGCTGCATAAGTCATACCGCTGAGGTCCAGTAGTTCGCCTGAAGAGGTGTGAATGAATGTTAACGCCAGTAGCACGTCTCAAACCTACCTGTGCGATGAACGAAGATGGTTACGTCCCGAATGGCCTGGTCGCGAAAGTTTTGCATGAGTGTATCTAACACGTTGCTGTACTGTCGAATAGTATCATCTGTTTCCGAGACGATGTTCTTTCCGAGTCTCTTCCCTATGATAATGGGGTAAGTTTGAGAGGTGCGAAGCGCAACAGCTTGTACGACTCACAAAAGTTCTTTGTCTCTGAATAATCTCTGATAAAATGGGCACATTGAAGGGTCTGCTGAGAGATCTGTCCGATGATGGTGTGCATCGATGAAATTTGGGCAAAGGTCTTGTCTTCCGTCATGAAGTGGTAGACCTGACCCAATTTCTCGAGAAGCTGAGTTACCGCTTTGTCGCGATCCGCTTGAGCGAGAATAATCTGCACAAATAGTTGCTAAGCAGAAGATAGGAATGACAGCGGGCACTGCAAACATACTTTTGAGGCACAAGACAATACGCCCAGTGCCATCTTGGCATATGGATGTACCTATGGAAAGGAATTAAATCGGGTCAGATCGAGAAGAATAAATGGTCCATACATCCGCGATTTCCCCGATAATATTATCGAATATCCTGAGGGGTTGGAGATAGGTGGCTTGTAAATTGTCTGCGGTATCGAGATCCGCTGGTGCATTTCGAGCAGCAGACACTCCAGATTGCACAGGTCCCCAAAGTGACTCCATACCCTGTGCAGCTGCTTCGGCACCCTGAAGGACTAGTTGGGGATCAGCGCGTCGGTCCACGCCAGACTGAACATCCTGAACATTTGCGACCGCCAGAAATTAGAGAAAGTGTAGAAGTTCAGACATTTGAGCACCTACCTCGATACACGGAGCCGATGAAGAACCTTCATTACTGGCTATCGGGAGAACAGGGTCGGGGGTGCGGGAATCCTTCGAACGCTTTTGCACGATCTCAGCCTTTTTCTGTCACTCAGTGCGCGTGCTCGTCGACTCACAGAAAACCTTTTAGCCACATCATTCTTAACATTCCTTACAAACCCACGGATTTTGTCACGACGTCGACCCTAGACGAAGGATGGCATCACAATCAGTGTTTCAATTGTAATGTGATCCTCGTACCCGTACCGAGCTTCCACCAGCCATTGCTTCGCTGGATGAGTAGAATTCTGGAGTCGAATACTTCAATGGATTGCCCCTGCTCGCCGTGAACGGAGGGTTAGTCTGAAGAGAAGTGGGTCGATAAGAAGGGTGCCACGTTCGTCCACATACAACAGCAGGCCATAACGCAAGCCTCGAGGCGATATTTGCTGCACAATTGACCTCAAACGCGAAACCTTGGTGGCTAGGGTTCGGGGAAGTCCGGACAACCGCCACTGCTAAGTAAACGAGTGCTTAACTTCATGATGTGCGTCTACTAGGATAAACGATAAACGATTTTAATTGGCTGACTACGTTACTGATGAGTCTTTGCAGTCTCCTCTTACATAAGCACTAGAAAGTTGAATCCAAATCGGCTGGTAATGTTCCGAGTCGAAGATACCCCTCTGTCGCAGTCCCCGTACGACTGTGATAAGCCGGGGGCCGTTGGTAAGACAATCTGCATTTATGAATAACTAACAAAACGGAACCTGCCACGAGACGCCTGTTTTCCTAATTGACCGTCCAGATATTCGAACCACTGCACGACACGCAGACGACCACACGATACCCCCACCGCCAACAGAAACAACGATATGTAGAAAGATGCGCTCCAAATACTCAACAGGGAGGTGTATGATAGCACGACGGTGAGAAAAGCTCGGGGGACCCTAAAGACTTTAGGAGACAGTGACAAATCAATCGCTACTTAAACCCTCTACCTACTGGGTAGTGGGGTATCTCGCTCACTGTAATGCGTTCTTTATTGCTGTCCTCAATCGCTGCCTTACTGGTGTTAATCTTTACTTCGCCACAGCCTCAGCCTACCATTAACAAAAAAAATCCACTTTAAGGACCATCGACGGACATGTTGACCCAACTTTGATTAGAGCTCATATTTCCAGCATAGAGGCGTAAGTGATTGCTCTTGTTCAACAGTGTTCTTCATTGATCAGACATTTAGTAAGTTACAGCGAGGTGCTGCTGCATTCGAAAGAAACACTAGTGCAGCCCTCTTTTCCCCATCGCTAACCAAGCGTGGGGGAGCATCAGGCTCCGACCCGCTAATAAACGATGCAAACAGCAGTTGGTATGGAAGAATTGCAGTCGGTACCCCGCTGCAGACATTTACCGGTTCGTATTTCCGCGCTGATACCAAGTAGGGTGCACTAATGCGAGCCCAGTCGAGTTTGATACTGGTTCTTCTGACTTCTTTCTACCTGGAGCAAGCTGTGGTACCCGATGCAGTGGACACAAACTGTACAATCCTAATAGAAGTTCTTCTGCTGAGGCCCTTGGCAAGGCTTTCAAAATGAAGTACGGCGATGATTCCATGGTTACGGGGAATCTATTTACGGAGACCGTCTCGCTTGGTGGCTTCAAGGTGCGTATTTTTCTTGCAGTCCTTCGTCTTAATTCATGAAGCATTTCATAGGCCACTGCACAAACGCTCGGCGTTGCCTCGAACACATCCGGTTTCTCAAAGGACAAATCTGATGGGGTGATGGGAATGGCTTTCAAGCTGAATTCCAATTTCAACGCAGACTCCGTTTTCGAGACGCTGGTCTCACAAGGAGCTGTCCCACAACCAGTGTTTGCTTTTAAACTTGCTTCCTCTCGTTCTGAGCTATACGTTGGTGGCGTGAACTCTGCGTTATATAAAGGTGCGTTCACATACACTCCAGTAACCAACAAGGTGAGCCGTCAGTTGGAAATTCAAGTGGTGTTTCTAAGACATCACTCCTGGATTTATCAGCGGTTCTGGCAGATCGCTGGTGATGCTATTGAGATTTATGGGAAAGGAATTGTCAAGGGATTCTCCGCCGTTGTCGACACCGGGACGACATTCGTCTTAGGCAATTCGTCCTATGTCAGTCAGCTCTACGCTACATTTAATGCGACAGAAGTAGAAAAAGGCATATATGCGCGTAAGCAGTTCGACAGCTTCATTGTTACGTCTGTCTCAACAATGTTTGAAGTACCGTGCAATGCCATGCCAAATGTGAGCATCACCCTTGGGGGGAAGTCGTTTCCGATTTCCGCGGAGACTTTCAATGTGGGTCCTATTGATTCATCAGGAAAAACCTGTCTTGGTGGTATCGCAGGTCATGACCTTCAAGACTTACCTTCAGGTCAAATTCAGTGGATTATTGGCGACGTTTTTATGAGAAACGTGTACACCGTTTTTGATGTCGGACGCTACAGAGTTGGCTTTGCGGAGCTTGCATAAGTTTTTGTCAAGCCTGCCTGGCTGCATGGGAATCATACCAGATCGGTCCTCACTTGAAACGAAATATTCTCCACCTTTCTATCATTTAAATTCGCTGGAATTTCTGATTTTTTATTCGGCGCTCAATCGTTCCAAAAGCTATCCATAAGGATAAGACAATCATGCACGATTCCACTACCGCCCAGATCTGCGTACTAAGCAGTGGGTTCCAGGCGTACATCATGAATACTTTGTATAAGTCTCTACCGACTATTTCTGAAAAAGACCCAAGATCGAGGAAAGTTCCCAGCAAGTTTTTGTAACTCAAGCGTTCAGATCGCATGAGTCCGGTCTGAGCGCACACCAATGCGGCTGGAGTGGGATGGCATTCACGCCACGCTGTACCATCCTGTAGCGGACGTCCTGCATTGTTCACCTGTCATTTAAGAACTTCGACATCTAGCAACACTACTCACATGCAAACGAGGAAGTGCCTCGGTGACGTTCAGTGCAGCGCCCGTGGGCTGCTTGCCGCTCCAGAAAATCTCTGCCGATGATGCAGCGCGTGGCCATATGATCGGATCGACATTTTGGGGACCAGACTGCTCACTCCACAGAAGTTGCTCGCCTGTAGATCAATCAGAAAGTGGCCATTTAATTACTTCGAGAATAGATCGTGTGTACCTCCGAGAACAAGGCTATATTGCGCCTCGGTCAAATTTGCCAACGGATCAAAGGTATAAGCCTAACAAACCGTTGTGAGATGTGTGATTATCCAGAACATTCATACTTACCTCAGACCACGTCTTGAAGGGGTCACACCAGCTGTTTCTGTTGTCCCGAAGCATGTCAGCCCAGATCAAGTGTGATCCTTAAGATTTGGACTAACCCAGCTGGGTCATCTCCCAGCCATTCACCAGCACCACAATCCTAGAATAATACAATAAGGACATTGCATTCTGTGGAAGAACTCGTCCGTCAACTAACCAGGTAGAAGTAATTTGATGGTGCTTGAATAATCCTGAAGCCCCTTTCTACCACTGCTGCAGCATCTGCGGAAGAAATCCAGACCCTTTTGATGCATTTGAATCAGCGGAAACTAGATCATGACATCAATACACTCACATCACGATAGTCTCATTTGAGAGCGTGATATTCCAGTTGAGGACCATTTCTGAATGACCATCTCCATTCAGCATCGACATTCCAAAAGAACAAGCAGGGCGCACCTTCCCATACGACCGGTGTTTTTCCCTCGGCAATCAGTGCGTTGTGAGTAGTCTGCGTAAATGCGTCTAGAGCACCATTCAGCGTCATGCCGGTGCTGTTGAGCTGCTGCTGTGTGGGGTAGTCGTTGGTGTAACAGTTCGTGTTCAGTTCATCACCGCCGGTGCTAAAGTAGTTCGAAGGTAGGGTCTTTGCGACATTGGTGAGCAACGAAGCAGCGAAATTCACGACCTCGGGGAGTGCAAAACGAAGCTGGCCGGCAGGGGGTTCGTTGGCAAACTCAGTCCATGGCCTAGCGTCAAAGCACGCAACGTATTCGGGGTAAGTGGCCGCAATGATGGCAGTGTGCCCTGGCGTATCGATTTCCTGGTGGAATAATGAGGTTTTCTTCGTAGATCGACCAATAGGTACTGACCATCATAACATCGATACCTCTCTGTGGACTACTGTAAGAGGACAAAAGACCGTGATAAAGGGAAAGACGTACTGCAGCAGCATATTGCACGATGTATTGGACATCACTCTCTGTGTAAACTTCTTGAGGAGAGTATGCACCGTTGATAGCAAGCTCGGGGTATTGTGCAACTTCAAGCGGGAAACTCTGGCTGTCCGTGATATGCCAGTGGAGGGTATTGATCTGTCTAGCTTGTGAGGGATGACAAGGCGAGACACCAGGAAAGAACTCACCTTGACCCAGCTCATCGCGTCCAAAGTTCGCAGAATGTCACTAACCGGGTAGTAGTTCCTCGAGGTGTCCAGTTCCAATCCTCGGAAAGGCTACGTACATGAATTCATCCAGCTGACATCGAAGTGTAATTGATAGCCGCTCACATATGCAGGAGTGTCCGTGATAGCAATCGGTGCGAGTAAAGTGTATATTACTCCTCCATAGTAGTAGAAAAGCTGATTGAAAGTGGTGAGTCCTCTGTACAGACCCAACGTCGAGTTCGCGGTCAAAGTAGCAGCCGAACCGTCTGCTGGAATCGTCAGTGCGTACTCCTCGCTGCGGGTGCCCAGGGGCTTCACAGCTTCTGACGAAATGGGCTCTACAGTAGCCCCGCTCGTGAGAGACAGCGTCAACTTTGAAAGCGTATTCGCGCTAGCAAGCGCGGTAGTGTCGTTCGCGCCGCGGCCTACGATGAGACGTCCAAGTTTGTCATTTTCGAGATAGTATTGTGATTGCGCAACCGCGTCACGTAAATCTGTAGGCGGGCCTTCAATCTGCAAGTCAAAGTAGAATGCGGGGGAGATTTTGAGGGCGGCCATCCCGGTCTCGAGAGTAGTTGGGATGGGCCAGAGAGCTAGGACACCAGAAGGTAGGATGCATCCTGCGACAAGCGCTAGGATGCCAACGTAGCGAGAAAAAGCCATGAATCTTGTGCGGGTCAAAGACGCCAACTGCGGCTGTTTATGAAGTCCTGGCAGCTGAGGGGATCATGTGGATTTTGCAACACGCGCGTACGTAACGCTAAAAATATGGAACGAACCGGAATTCCAATGCAGTGAGAAACTTTGCATGCGTCCAGCACTTAGACATGCTGGCAGGTTCAGTTCGAGCTTCGAAATTCACCGGCGCGTATTACGTCAACGCGACTGTCGCGTGACCTAATCATGTGATCAGTAACTCTTTGTTGAATTTTGAAATTACTGAATCAGTGATTCATGATGAACAGCGTACTACTACCAAACTACTACCGTACTACGGGCGAGATCATTTCTGCGTCATGCGAGAGCAAATCATGCGCATGGGGCTCAGCTAATGTAGCAATTTCAACTTGTTTTATGGACTGACTTTGGACAATCGTGCTGTAGGCAGAACCTATTCCTTTAAACGACATGAATTGCAGGTCAGCAGACTTTTTCCAGGACTCGGGAGGAAAATACCTATCTACTTGAAGCTTTCGGGTTCCGAAGTCTCCAGAATTGCCAACGGTACGGATAAGGCCATCGGATACGGTCCTATCGGTGCGGCGTCTGGTGATTGCTAGCCCTTGTGGAAGCGGTCATGTGGTGGTATGATTTACCATCTCCGAGAACCAAAGCCGGGGTGGAGCCTGTAATCAGCTGGTGTTGATGTTATCTCGGTAAAGTGGTAGACCTTGCCGCAGCCTTACTCATTCTCACAGCCTCTGGCAGGTATATAGAAGCCATAGACTCAGAGCCCCAGTGTCTCAAAGATAACAAGCCCAAATGACTGTCTTGCCCGTAGCTCTCATGCATGCCTTGCCTGGCATGACGAGGACAGGGACCTGCTGATGGCGCCCAACGGTTTTGCTAAGGGTTGGCCTGAGAATTGCCAACTTAGTAAAAGTTGAACTAAAAGCAAAGTCCACGAGATCGGTTCAAAAGTTGTGAGGTGACGCACTTGACACTAAGGTCTCGGAATTGCCCTGATACTTGATTCATTGTCACAAGAGGGGTGTGATGCATGATCTGATCGAGGTTGACGATGTGATTGTGTTCGACAAGATCAGGCTGAACGACTGATAAATGGTGGCGGAAGTCCTATATTCACGAATCTTACCAAATCAACGTAGTATACTACAGTCCAAGAAGAAGTCCTTGCTAAGCCAGAATGATAAATGTCAGTTTCGTAAACATCCCAGTACAAAACAATGTCCGCAGAAGCTACTGTCCTGCTCGAGTGCGACTTCCATGCAGTCAGCCAGGCTTAATCGAAACTCATGCGAGCTCCGCAAAGCCAACTCTGGAGTTTCCGACATCAAAGACGGTGTAAACGTTCCTCATGAAGACATCACCAAGAATCCATTGATATTTATCTGAAGATAAGTCAGGGAAGGCAGCTCCAAACAATCCAAAGACCGACCTCCAATGGAATCACTGCCGTGGATAGCACCGATGCAGGTTTTTCCTGATGATTCAATAGGGCCACGATTGAGTGTCTCCGCGGAAAGCGGAAACGCCTTCCCTCCAAGGGTGATGCTCACGTGTGGCATGGCGTCACACGGTACTTGAAACAACGTTCAGACAAACGAAACAACGAAGTTGTCGAGCTGCTTACGCGCGTATACACCCTTTTGTACTTCTGTCGCATCCGTAGCTGCGTAGAGCTGTTTGACTTGGGCCGAATTGCCCAAGATTAATGAGGACCCGGAGTCCACAATGGCAGAGAATTTCTTGATAACGTTTTTCCCATTGACCCCAATGCCATCGCCATCGATCTGCCAGTACGCCTAATAGATGCATGAGTATTGTCTGAGCAGCACCGCTTGAACGCACAACTGATGGCTCACCTGTTTGGTTACTGGAGTGTATGTGAACGAGCCTTTATATAACGCAGAGTTCACCCCACCAACGCGAAGCTCAGAACCAGAGGATGCAAGTTTGAAAGCAAACACTGATTCTGGGACAGCTCCTTGTGCAACTAGGGTGTTGAAAACGGGGTTTGCGGGAAAATTGGAAAGCGACGGAAAGGACATTCCCATCAGCCCATCATACTTTTCCTGTGAGAAATCGGTTGCGTTTGTGGCGACGCCAAACGTTTGTCCAGTGGCCTATGACATTGCTTTGTGGATTAAGACGAAGGACAGCAAAAAAAAACGCACCTTGAAGCCAGCAAACGTGACGGTGTCTTTATATAGATCGCCTTCAGCTGCGGATCCATCGCCGTACGCCACTTGAAACGTCTTGCCAAGGGCCTGAGCAGAAGAACTACTGCTAGGATTGTACCGTTCCTGTCCGCTGCACGCGTTCCCACAGCTTTCTCCAGGTAGAAATAAATCGGGAGAACCAGTGTCAAAGTCAACTGTGGCGCTCGCATTAGTGCATTCTACTTGGTGCCAAGTCGGAATAACAAACTGGTAAATGCCTTCGGCGGAGTGCCAGCTTCGATTGCTCCAATCCAAATTTTGTTCGAGTCATCTACCAGCGGTGCAGAGCCTGACTCTCCCGCACGCTTGGTCGGCGGTGTCGAGAAAAGGGCTTTGCCCGTGTTTCTTTCGAATGCAGCAGCGCCCCGCTGTAACTTACTAAAAAAACTGATTAGCGTAATACAATAAACAAGAACAGTCACCTACGCCTCTGTGCTGGTAATATGAGCCCTAATTGAAGCAGGGTCAACAAGTCCGTCAGCGTTCCTGAGAGTGAAGCTTTTCGTTAACGCAATCGAAAGAGGATGTGGCTGCGGCCCCGGTAAAGCAACCGCCAACGCATGTAAGGCAGCGATCGAAGAAATAAATAAAGAAAGCATTTGCTGTGAGTGAATTCCCTCTGCCAAGTTCCCGCAACCATTGGTCTTATAGAGAGATTTTTGGCTTTTTGGCTTTGCACCTGTGCTGGTGGCGATGCGCTACAACCGCTTTTCGATCGATCGGAGGTTTGTACTGTGTTCTCTCCTAAGTCCGTGGCTCCTTTTTGTCTCGCCGCAGGGCGCTCATACGGCGAAGGTCGAGTCGCTTGGTCGTCCATGCCATCGGCATCGGCTCGTGCATGTCTTGATCAGTGGCCATTTACGAACGCTGGCGAAGCTCTCGTGACTCTGGCGTTTCATTGTGAATAATTAACTCAGATCTGCAAAACGCAGACTGTAGATCGGCGGCAAAGGAAATTTGAATACCCAAGCATATGATATCATGCTGTGCAGCAGGTTGATCACAGTCTACAGCCGCTGAGCTTTTCATATGATACTGTCAGGGGGACAAACTTCAAATAGCATGATACAGCCTGCCACCGGTTTGCGTTAAAATTTTTCATACAGAATGGTAAGTCGAAGGAGACTTACACTTGTGCTGAGTACTAAGTAGTAGAAACACAGTAACACTCTGAAACTTGAAGGTTGTCAGCGTCACCGGCTGTGGGTTCAACGTGTTGAGGTTCAACGTGAAATACGGTTATTTCAACACAACTGCAGCAGATGATAGTAACAGTGCACAAAATCAGCCAGCCAGCTTTTGAAACAGCCTGAACGCATAACACTGCATGATCAGAAACGAATTGCCAAAATCGTTCTCACAAATCAAAAATAGCAACAGATCGTCGATCAAATTCACCGCCAGACTCCGCGGAATCAAACCCTTTAGCGGTCTAGGGACGTCCCTGGGCGAGAGGTGTTGAGTGTTTGGAGGAGCTTGGAAAAATCTGCCGCTGGGAGGTCCGCGGCGCAGGAAATGATAATAGGAGTGATAGAGGAAAGGTTGCTCGGAATTGGCAGTGGAAACAAGAACACGCTCGCGAGATAAAACAATACATTTTTGCTTGTTCTGCTTGGTTTGTAGAAAGTATAGATGGTCGTCTGTATTGAACGGAAGCTTTCAGTAATATCCCAGATGTGTCGGTATGGTGTAGCAGTACGGGACTTGCTATCAAGGGTTCAAAATCAGTAGTGGCTAGTGGTAGAAAGCGAAGAGACGCTGAATTACATAAATAGAACCAAGCTGCATTGATTTCGTATTTGACCTATTTGACCTATTCACAATTCACTCAATCATAGCATGGACATCATTATTGTATAGCACTGCGTAGATCTCGCAAGCAAGACCACAAATTAGTGGCACACGTACTCAACTACGCACTGCGAGGAATTAAATGACTATCAATACACAGTATGACATGTCGTAGCGCCCGTAAAACATCGTGAAAATAGAAAGAAAAAAACATCAATGCCTCATGGCAGATATATGAAACCTCGTGACAAAGTATGAAGCCTCGTGGCAAAGATACGATGCGTCGTGGCCGCGGCGAAGCTATATAATACGTCGACGGTAGATATGATGCGTCGACAACAAGATACGATGCCCGGCAGCAAAGACTCAATCTCTGCCTCATCAGAGCAGGGAAGCCAGCACGCAAAAGTCTGCTAGCTACAAGCCACAGAAAGGGGTGACTTCCGCTCGACGAAATGGCCAGATGACTGTTCAGCGCGGCGAGCTTTCCAGTTCGAGCGCGAACGCGTGCTACATCGGTCGTTGTTTCGCATCATCAGTGTAGCGACGAGCTGAGGCATAGTGAGGATAGAGGGCATGGGGGTGCTTGTGGGCGGTGGGGATGATCGTGGTGAAGGCGTGTCAGAGGATGAACTGTGGAGGTTTAGGACTGCCTCGGAGCGTATAGGCCGATAAGACTCTTCTTGCGCGCAAAACCGAGGAACAGATGCGACATTATCGCGAGGCACCACCGGGATGCCATCAACTACCAATGAACACCCAAATCCATATTCGATCAGTCGTGTCTGGATCCTGCGCGCCAGGAGCACATCCTGCCCCTCAAGGGTCTGTGCATCTACTGGCGCAACATCCTCTCCACGAAAACAGTCCAACGGATCGGTATTGCAGTGGGACACTAGGCTGCGGTGGACGGTAGCGAGGAACATCAAGTCCGCGACTTGGCGCCAACTCTTGCGAGACCGCTTGCGCATGGTCGCTTCTGCACTCCCGGACCTGCTGTTCTCCCTCGACTTGGGCTTTTTATCCCGTCTGGGACCTGCTGGCTGGGAGAGCGTGGCGATAGCTTGGGAACGCCGTTTGCGAAGACGGGTCTGTGCAGAGCACGGGGAAGCGGCGCCGTTACACGATGAAAACGGAGCTGATGGGAAAGACTGCGAATCAACGCTATCGAATGTCCCATCAAACATATTGACATCCATTATGCTAGCGACATCATCTGCGGGTAACGTGGAAGGGAAGGGTATGACGCTCCGGACGTCTGGTAGATCGAGGAGAGATGGTAGAAGTGCCCGGGACTGCGAGGAGCTGGCACATGTCGCTGAAAGGGAGAGGGTAGGTGGGGCTTTGCACGGGCGGGAGGAAAATGGGAAAAGAGGGTTATAGTGCTTCGTCGATGGTGAAGACCTGGTACGACGTTGCACGTTGGTTGCGTCGACGAGGACAGATCCCGCCCGTGTTACGCGCGATGCGTGGTCTCTGACTAGTATTGGGTGTGCTGATATCGTTAAAGCCATGACGCTGATTTTCTCGACTCAAACTTGACTCGAAACTCGAAGTTCAACCTGCGAATCAGTGATCTGATCTGATCGTCGTAAAAGTAGTCCGCAGTAGATAAAGGACGAGTAAGAAAGAGGTAAGCAGGGGTTAGATTCTTCCAGCGATGACCAGCTGTAAGACGAAAGAAAGAGAAGGGGAAGGTCAGCCTCGATCTTTTCGCTACCGGAACCCAGGCCTTTATATAAAGCGGACTCACCGGTCCTGGGGAAAAGTGAAGGGTGTGAAAGACCCTTTTGTGGGGAACACGAGGCGTGCTATCCTCTCAAAGGCGGTTAAAAATAAACACGATCCCACGACGCGTCGGTCACGTGTATCGTGACATTCCGTTATTCGGGAGCATTACTTACTGTTACTGGGCTGCTGGGGCCCAACAGTGGAACAATTGCGGTAGGCAAAACAACAAAAATCGGTTTTGAGCTCTTCGTTCTGTTGTAGAGTTAGTACGGCAATCCATGAGGCTAGCTTCGCGCTTTGTTGTAACCAGATCCGCACATCGTGGCGGTGACAACGGAGTGTACTACATAACGTTGACGAGACGTATGAAACCCGCCACAAGGTCGCAGACAATGTCTCAACTAATAACTAATCCGCGTGTTTCACACCAGCCCGTCTCCAAATTTCCACCGCAGCTCCATTTCCAGCATGAACTGCATTCCGCAGCGCAAGCCCCACATATCCCGCCTCAGTCTCTGTTCCACCAAGATTCGCACCCGCGCTCATAAGCGTATCAACAATGCCAGCATGGCCCTGACGTGCAGCCTACTGACCTCAGCCACTCGAACCACGCTAAAAAATCGCGAAAACTCACATAATACAAGGCAGTGTGTCCCAATCCGTCCCGGAGATGTACCAAAGCGCCGCTCTCCAGCAATTTCTCTACGCACCTCATATTCCCGTTTAGTGCAGCGACATGCAACGGACTCCTTCCGCTCCCCGCATCCAGACAATTCACGATACCTCCTGGGACGACTACCTCTGTCGTTCCCTCAGTCACACCAGAACCTGACGAGGTGCCTGCTGAAGCAAGGCAGAACTCCAGTCCCTCGACATCATCCCGGGCGACGGCAAGATGCACGAGAAACGGCAAGAGAGCAGCCTCTGTACTCGCGCGCTCAGCGGCAGTACGAGTCCACGGAGCCGCAGCGTCTTGCACTTCTTCTCCGATCACAATCTGAGGAATATCTGCCTTCCGCGCAGACGAAGAGAGACGAACGAATTCGGACAACAATCCCGAAAGGTCAGTGTTCACGTCATCCGACGAAGGCGCTGCCGGCAGGGACGATACTGGTGGTGTGAGCTCGCCTCTTAAAGGAAGGCTGATAAGCGAGCGCACTTCGGCTGCGGTAAATTCAGGTTTTGCGAGAAGGTAGCTAAGCTTGGTAAGAGCACACTGAATGATAGTCAGAAAGCTGACACAATAACTAAAAAAAAAAGACACACCTCGGGGGTCATGTCCCCGCCGAGGACGACACCGGCTTGAATTAGTGTTTGTCCTGTCTCGTAATCGCCTGATACAGAGCCTTTGACGCATTGGGATATAGCAACGATAACGACACCTCGGTCGCAGGCGTTTTTAAATGCAGCCAGGAGATCTGGACGTTGGGAAGCGTTGCCAGCACCGAATGTCTCTAGAACAATTCCACGGGTCGGGGGCGCGAGGAATGCGCGAGCAGTGGCGCCTGTCATGCCTGGGAAGAGCCGTAGAGTTGCTGGAGAGTGTCAGATTGAATGCAAATGTGTCTTGTAGGTGCTCACCAACATGGGGACTCATTTCTACACGGAGGCGTTAGTAGGATTGTTAAAAAAAAAGAAAATAATGACACCTTCCTTTGTAGGCTCTAAATCTTCGAAGACTAGTTTGACGTAGGACGTCGTTCCAGTTGACGACTATATCTATTCCGACTGCAAAAAATGACATATGGGTATGACGAGGGTATATGCGCTCGCGTACCGTTTACTAGCGGGGGGAAATTAGGGCTATGAAAGGCATTGAGGTCGTAGGAAGAGGCCTTGGACACTCTGTTACCGCGGTACAAGGTATGGTTGAAATATAAGCTGCATTCTAGAACGAAAGATTAACCACAGCTGCACGATCGATATATTAGAAATACCTGGTATGGTGTAGTTGCCTGCAATAGACAGTGCGCCAAGGAGATTATCGACAGCATCGTTCCGAAGTTGTGAAAGGGGTATTTGAGCTCCAGTTAGAATCTGATATCGCCGCGTGAAGATACACATGCATTAGAAGATGTGAGACGTACAACAGTTTTACCGAGATCCTCGAGCAGGAAGCTGAGTGCACTAGAAGTGTATGACATGGTGTCGGTGCCATGTAGTACTACGAATGCATCAAAAGAAGTGTAGTTTAGCTCAATCTCTGCGGCTATACGGATCCAATCTGTCCTAGGTAAAATTATGAACGGGAGAGGTTTGAAGAGGGATGTGAAAAATGAGCACCGTCCATTTCCATGTTGCTACTGTCAAGCAGTGGGTTCCACTAATTTTACTAAGCTATTGATTGAGTGACGAAGGCGGATGACTGACCTCGAGAATTGCATAGCGTATGCGTTTCGTTTGAACATGTCCAGGAATGACGCATCGAGGAGTTACAAGACTCGGCAGACGTGTCTCATAGACACCATCAGAGACTTTTCTGCATTCCGGTTGTCCAATAACCTTCTGAATTTGTGAAAATATAGACGGCAATAGGGCACTCGTGCTACCAATCGGGCGGGAGGACCTGACGAGAAGGGTAGGTTGACTTCCGGTGGATGCACCTGGAGTGGGGACATTGTCGGAACCACTTGGCGTGGACTTTCCGCTATTGCTCCACTCTCTATAACCCTCTACAGATGCAGCGTTAGAGAAGAGGGAGTCTTGCAAAGGATCATGGAAGCGTTTTTGGCTCCGGATCGTGTCGGTGAGGAAATATGGTTCGGGAACGTAACCTCGCGAGCTGACGAGCATTCCGATGGTTCCGCCCGTGTATATCACCAATACTCTTGCTTCGTCCGAACGTGGTTCCATCGTGCAGTCGCTGTCGACCTACTCGTTCCTTCTACAACGGGGTCACGGAAGCGGCCGTACATTTAAGTCCCCATGGGGTTTTAGTAAGCAAGCGACCCGGATCCTCTCATGGCAACACTATGACCATGAGCGCAGGTTGAACAGCGAACACGCTGGAAGTGGCGAGCAGAGGAGTCATGCTTATGGAACCCAGGCTGACATTTGAACAAAAAGTCACAATCGACTCAAATGATTGTTTCACCCTAGGTTAGGCCCAGAAACTGGATGTGTTTGTTGACGATGACGGATTGTCGCTGACTTTTTCAGGTGCATCATGATCCGTGGACACACCGGGTGAGGAACCAGCTCAAACCGGAAGTACCCGATATGAAAGCTTGACAGCCCTTGTCAGACATAGGTCCTATAGTAAGTGTAGGCAGCAGCACTGACCTAGCTATAAGGATGTCCAAAGTGTGAGTTTCTTCTTTGCTGTTTGACTCCTTTGTATCCATCTTATCCAGATTTCGTCTTGATGGTCACCGACACAGACACCCGCCTGAGGAGAAAAGTATGAACCCACAAACCCTAAGATGGGCCCTCTCAACCCGCAAGGTCTTAAACCGTGAGTGTGTGGCTCGGATTCAATATCTAGATGCGGTTATTATGGCATGCAGTGGTGAGTTCTAGGTCACTTCAATGGGAATATGATTTTGATTCATCGACAGCCCGGTGACCACAACCTGGACACACTTCGTAGACCAAGCAACAGAAGACAACGTATTTTACTCCTTGATTGGTATCGAGAAGCCTCCGCCACGAGGCTGAAAATGGGTCTTCTGACTACTGCTAGCATCCATCGGTTGGTCATATGCGCTGATTGTCGATTCTACGTCATTCGCTGCATAACGTGGTTTCAAACAGGGCTCAGTGATTCATGGAGCTCCGGCTACCTCGGGAAAAGAATCGGACAGAACGCAGGTGCGGGGAAGCAGTCCAGGTAGGTACATGTTAGCATGCGATGCATCGGTAAAGAATGGCCGCACTTGACTCGTGCGTGCGTTTCGCTACATACATACACATACGAGCTCTCTTTTGTGTATCTACAGCCTGGTGTGCGCGTTGCACACTCATCATGATGGCCGTCTATGAGGTGAGGACCTCTATTGGATATTCCCCATTTCACTCACTGCAATGCAGTCCTTAATCGTTGCCTTCCGCAGCCACACCCTCTTTTAATACCATGAATGAAAAAAAAGGAAAAAAAAAACTACTGTGAGGACGGCTGACAGAAATGTATGTTTGTTGACCCTGCTTCGCTGCAGTATATTCACCTTGTTGCGGCATCAGCTACGTGCGCTAGATGGCAAGCTGAAATATGAATTCATGTGCAATGTCTCGCAACCAAGTTCTTTGATGCTCGAACTGAATACCGGAGAGTCTAAGTCTAAACAAATGCTGTGCGCTTCGTGCTCGAACGATAATTTACGTCTTCCCCTCAGAGTCCGCAGGGAATAGCTGTCTGTATCGCATCACCGATCCACTCATCGTCGTCCCTGCATCCATGTTATTGTAATGAGCTGAGAGGCAGCAGCCATTCACTGAAGCCATGCACGTTTTCATTCCGCAGTCCACTACGCGAATCAGGAGTCAATGATCATTGTCCCAGAGCAGAAGAAATGAAAAATACATGAGATGTACGCTACTGATTAATACAAAAATGTGACGTCAAGAACCGTACGAAAGCAAGAGCACACCTTCGCAACACGACAAGCATAAGGAGGGTATCGTGAACACACACAATAGGGAGGACATTGTCACCGTGACCGTGCAGGTGGCACTTTATTAGCTTCTGCAACATGATCTAGTTGTGCACTCCGTTTTTGAGCGAGTTCGTTCTGCCGTTCCAGACTCCTACAGTAAAACATCATCAGCACAAGACCTCGACATGCGAGCAGGAAGAAAGAGATAGAAAAGGGGGAAACAAACCTCATCTGATTCTCCAACTCCAAAACCCTCTCCTTCGCACCCTGCCTCTCCCTCTTGTACTTCTCCTCCCCTGCCTTCAACCTCGCCTCGTACTCCTTCACCCTCGCTTCCCATTTCTGATCAGCGGTAGTCGTCTTCTGATTTATGTTCGAAATCTTCTCTTCGCTTAGGAGGAGCTGGTTTTGAACCACTACCAGGCGTTTCTCAGCGTTTACTGCGCGGGAAAGGAGGGTTTTGGTTTCTTGGGAGTCGCCTTGGGTCGGTCGTCGGGATGTTACCAATTGAGAGGTAAGTTCTGCGTTGGTAGCCTTCACAGATCAGTGTGAGTCAAAGTCAACGCAAATCAAAACCGCAGATCAAAAACCTACCTTCAACCCCTCAATCTCTCCCTCCTTCGCAGTAAACTTCCGTCTCCACGTAGCCTTTGCCTCCCCATACGCCTTCACACTCGACTCAAACTTGTCAATCTGTTTCCACCGCATATCAAGCTGTCTTCGCATATCAGCAAGCTTCTCGGTGAATTTCCCTTCTACTTCTTTGACGCGTTTGTCAAAGTCGAGTTGGATCTGAGAGAGAGCTTTGAGTCGCGTGATGAGGTTGTCGTGGAAGACGCTGAAATTGGTGAAGGGTTTCGTTTCTGCCTGATTGCCTTTCTTCTGCGAAATGGAGTGTATGATGTGAGTGCCAACGCATTAGAGAGAATAAAAGAGACTTACGGGAGTTTTGTCCACGCCGAGGATCTTATCCATGTATTGATATATCGTAAGCAGCAGCGTATTCCGCTCTGTAAGCTGATCACGATATTGATTCTCAGCACTCAGTAACGTCCGCTGGTCCTTAGACAACCGCGTCTCCAGCTCGTTCACTCTTGTCCTGTACCCAAACAATTCCGCCTCAGCAGTCTTGAGGCTGGTCTGCGTGCTGTCAAGCTTCTCAGATAGACCGAGACGCGCTTGAGTTTGGGTATTGAGCTGTGTGGTGAGCTGTTGTACTTCGAGCTGCAGTTTGTGAATCAGATCTTCACGATCGCGGGTTGTGCCCTCTCGGTCGCCGACATCTTTCCTCGTACGAGATAGTTCGTCTTCTAGGCGATCGACATCGCGTTTCAGTCTGTCGACTTCCAGTTGCAACGAGAACCGCGCTGTTGTATGCGTCTCCCCGAGTTCTTTCGACCGCTGCTCCATGTCCCGAAGCGCGTTTTGTACGGCTTCGAGGTCGCCTTGACGTTGGGAGAGGAGGGACTGTGTCCGTGAGAGATCGTCGAGGGCGCTGTGAAGTGCAGAGTCTTTGTCTTCAAGTGCACGCCGCTCGCGTCGGAGCTCAGACTCGTGTGTCCTCTCAACGTCGTCAAACTCGCGCTCAAGACTCTCCCGAGCTTCTTGCTCGCGTTTGACTTCGGTTACGAGGTCTTCGATATGCCCTGCTAACTCTTCCTGACGGGCTCGGTGCGCATGCATGTCTTGGAGAGATTGGTCGTAGAGTTCTTGCAGGTCTTGGAGTTCAGATTTCAGTCCTGAGACTTTCTGTTGTGTTGTCAGATGTTGAAATTATGGGTGGTAACGGGCTTACATCTTTGAGCGCAGATGCGAGTGCTTCTAATGTTTCGCGCTCGACTGCGTCCTCCTCTCTGAGACGTTCGTGATCCTCAGACATGCGATCTGCGTCTTCCTCGAGCGCATACACTTGCTTTCCAAGATGCTCAATCTCCTCGTTTGCAGCGCGGAGCTCGGCATCTTTCTCTTCTGCTTCTTGCTCGAGGTGTGCGAGTGTGGCTTCGAACTTCGCATGAAGGTCGTTAGTGTTGGCTTCGAGCTCTGTGATGTTGAGGCGGAGTTCTCTTGCTTCATTTTCGCGTTCTGCAAGGACCTGCAATGTGGTGAGAGACAGAATGAAAACGAGACGATGAAACAAACATCTCTGAGCTCTTCGACTTGACTCCTGGCCTCTTCGACCTCACCCCTCCACTCCTCCTCGACAACGTCAACGACACGATCATGCTCCTGAATCAATTCGTCGATCTCTTTATTCTTGAGCTCTAGTTCGTCCTCCTTCTGCTGTAGCTCGATAGTGGCGGCAGCAAGCTTATCCCGGATTGCGTTAAGATCGTCCTCCACAGCCTCACGTTCCTCTCTTTCCTCAAGTACTTGGGCCCGACTTTCACTCCTCTCGATACTCTCCGCTTCTCTCCGTCGCTGCAAATCCTCGACCTCCAGTTGCAACCGGTCAGCATGGTCAGCAAGAGCTTCGGTCTCCTCCTCGCGTTGTTCGAGAAGTTGATCGCGCTGGTCGAGCTCACGACGCAGTTCCTCATTCTCCGCACGCAGATCCTCGAGTTTGCGTGCATATCTGAGATCTATGGAGTCGTCCCCACTACGCTCAACGATAACCTGGGTCTTCCTCAACTCCCTGATTTCATGCTCGCGCTCCTCGAGCTGCATCTCAAGATCGCGTTCTCGTTCATGCAGCTGTGTCTCTAGATCGCGCTCACGCTCATGCAGCCGCGACTCCAGATCGTGGTCGCGAGTAGAACCACGCTGAAGACGCTCCAACTCGCGCTCAAGCTCCAAGACGAGCTTCTTGAGTTTCTTGATCTCAAGACCGCGTTGTTGGACCTCGATCTTTAGATTGATGTTCTGTTTGAGAGCAGCATCGATCTGGTCAGGTGCGAGCTGCGCAAGCCGTTCTTCGAGGAAATGAACGCGTAGTTTGATGTTAAAGTTCTCTTTTTTGAGAGAGTCGATGTGCTGTTTAGGTTAGGTTAGATAGAATCGGGTGGCGGGTTTTGAGTTACCTTTTCTTGGTCTCTCAAAGATAAAGCAGCGCCTTTTCCTCCTGGTGCGCTTTGTCTTGGACGTCGTGCGCGTGGAAGGGGTGTGTCCGGGCCATCACCGTTGCTGGGAGCGGGTGATGATATCGAGGGGTTACGGAGTGGTCGACCGGGCGTACTGGGCCCTGATACGAATGACCCAAGGGACAGATCCGGGTGTGTACCAGCAGAGGTGTCTGCACCGTTTAGAACGGCAGACATGCACGTTGGGAGCACGGGGAGAGAGCTTAATTACTAAGCAGTTGTCCTTGGCCTGAGTGTATAACTTAAGTAATGGGGAGCGGCAAGTTCACCGTGTCGGCAAAACCTGTTTGGTCATGGCGCTCGTGATTCATCGTTCATTGAACTCATTCGAACGCAAGGCAGTACAACGGTAGTTGCGCACAGGCCTATAGATGCATAGCCCACTGGTGGTAGACCGGCCTCAAGGTTGCAGCGCTCTTATTGTGGATTTACTGTGTGCACGTTGCACACTCGTTATAATGGACCGTCTGTGAGGTGAGGACCATTCCCCATCTCACTCACTGCAATGCGTTCTTTATCTGTGTCCTTAATCGCTGCCTTACAGGCGTTGGCGATCGCTTTACCGCAGCCACACCCTCTTTCAATACCTTTGACGAAAAGATCTACTCTCAGGACTGCTGACGGTTATGTTGACCCTGCTTCGATCAGGGCTTACATATCGAGCACAGAGGCGTAGGTGACTACTCTTGTTTAGTGTTGTTCCTCATTGAGCACATATCTAGCAAGCTACACCGGGGCGCTGCTGCAATCGAAAGAAATACTGGCGTAGCCCTATTCTCATCACTTACAAGGCGTGCGGCAGCGTCAGGTTCTGACCCGCTGGTTGACGACTCAAACGAGCGTTGGTATGGAAAAATCGAAGTCGGCACTCCGCCGCATACGTTTACCAGTTTGCATTTCCGTCTTGATCGTACCACGCAGGATGCACTAATGCGAGCGCTCCAGTTGACTGCGACACTGGTTCAACGGACTTCTTTTTACCTGGACCAAGCTGCGGGGACGCATGCAGCGGACATGACATATACAATCCCAATAGTAGTTCGTCCGCTGAGCCTCTTGGCAGGTCATTCACAGTGGAGTACAACGATGGCTCCATGGCCACAGGTGATCTATACACGGACACCGTGTCACTTGCTGGATACAATGTGCGTAGATGTCCTGTTGTTCTTCGATTCAATCCTTGAAGTATGTCAACAAGGCCAGAGCACAAACGTTGGGCGTTGCCTCGTTGTATTCATACGGGTTCTCGTCGGAGAACTTTGGTGCGGACGGGCTGATGGGAATGGCTTTCAAGTCTGTTTCCGAGTTTGGCGCAGACTCCGTTTTCCAGACGCTGGTTTCGCAAGGAGCTGTCCCGGAACCAGTGTTTGCTTTCAAACTTGCATCCTCTGGTTCTGAGCTTTACGTTGGTGGCGTGAACTCTGCGTTGTATCGTGGTCCGTTCACGTATACTCCAGTAACTCAACAGGTGAGCGCCGGCCATCAGTTGTATGTTGTGGGACACGCTGCTCATGCATTACTCATGTATTTATCAGGGATACTGGCAAATCGCTGGTGACGCCATTGGGATCAATGGGAAAGAAGTCGTCAATGGATTCTCCGCTATTGTCGACACTGGGACCACGCTGATCATCGGTGATACGTCCTACGTCAGTCAGCTCTACGCAGTTATCAATGCGACAGAAGTAGGTGGAGGTGTATACTCGCGTAAGCATCCTGACAGCTTCAATGACGTGTTTGTCTAAACGTTGTTTCAAGTACCGTGTGATGCCATGCCAAATGTGAACATCACCATTGGCGGGAAACCTTTTGCGCTTTCCGCGGAGACCTTCAATTTTGGCAAGTATGGCTCGTCAGGAAACACCTGCCTGGGTGGTATTGCAGGCAGTGACGGTCTTGGAGGTTGGTCTTGGATCGTTTAGAGCTACCCTCGCTGACATGTTTTCAGATCTATGGATCCTTGGTGACGTCTTCCTGAGAAACGTATACAGCGTTTTTGATGTCGGAAATTCCAGAGTTGGTTTTTCGGAGCTTGCATGAACTTCGGTAACACCTGCCTGATCCTATTAAAATCACACTCGAACACTGTAGCTTCCATGGACACGGCTTTGGACTAGGAAGTTTCCGAAACTGACGTTTACGATTCGGACTTAACAAGGACTTCTTGGACTTGTAGTGTACGAAAGTAACGAAACAATTCTATCCCTAGCGATATCAATATCTAGTACATAATACCAGTATCACGAACACATGATTCTCGTCACTTATTGATCTATACTTATTCTGCCTGATCTTGTTGAACACAATCATGTCGACGCCCTCAACCAAGACTCTTGATCACATCGTGCATCTCACACCTCCCGGCTCAGTGAATGAGGTATCACGGCAATTCCAAGACCTTGGCTTCCAGTGCGTCACCTTTCAAATTTTGAAAATATCTCAGTGCGAATTCGACGTGCAGTGTCATCCCAGGGGGTACACACGCTGGGGGACTGACAGAGAATGTGCTCGTGGTATGATCGCCTAACTTGAAGCACACCACAGCAACAGTCTGCTTACTAACCTTTTGGGGCATATTGGCAGATACTGCAAGACGGCGCATACCTTGAGCTCATTTCCTTCACGCACCCAGCATCACATTACCCACCAGGATCGCCTGCCCGCCAGAAACGGGATGCCAATCCCTGGGCATGGAAAGAACCTGGTTGGATTGACTACGCGTTCCTCGGGTCTTCCAGCTCCTCAATATCAGAGCTTATAAACGCCCGACCCAAGAAGGACAAGAGTAGGATTCGGTATGATCCAGAAGTTGACGGAGGAAGAGAGCGCAGCGACGGCAAGGTGTTAAAGTGGCGAAACTCTGCACCATCCCAGGATGATGGCCGGGGAGTTGCTCCGTTCTTCTGCGGAGATGTGACGCCAAGGGAATGGAGGGTATGTGCCTTGTTTGACACTTATCCGAGGCTTCTGAGACTCAGACCAACGGGTCTTTCAAGGTTCCAATCGATCCCCCTTCGAATGCAGAGCATCCATCAGGAGTAGTTGGAGTCGCATACGTCCGAATTCTGGTGGAAGATCACGATCTGTCGGACATGAAAGCGAATATGACGTCGGTCGTCGGTACATCACCTGTGACTAACACAGAGCGACGAGCAACTTGGGTGCTTGACACGCCTAAAACAGATGTCGCTGGAGGAAAACCCCGACTTATCATCAGCGTGCCAGAGACAGAGGACGAGCGCTGGACATTGAAAGAGAGGGGCGAGGGTATTTATGAGGTTGCGTTCCTCGTTAGCTCAGGAATGAAGCCGGGGCAAGCCTGGACGCCGTACGGAAAAATTGTCTGGTTAAGGGGATAATATCTATCTTCTTGAGGAAGTTTGCTCTGGCAGAGGTGGTCTACCGCAGTGTATCCTTCAGTTGCGATACGCGGGTGAACCGAGAGGACACCCAATTATTGTTCCCCTTAGAATGTAAATGCATCCTGAAACCTGTCATGAAGCCAGATAACCGGACTAAAGAAAACGCATTACAATAACGGTGAGCCTAATTAGCGAAACCAGGTAAAGATCTAACATATGAAGAAAACGCAAACAATTTGTTCAAAGCCGACCATCACCGCCTCTCTCTCATTTTCAACCAGACCACAGCGATAACAGCAACACCAAGCCCAGCTATAAAAGCAAACAGCACAAGAACATCTCTATAATAATGGTTCAAGCCAAAACCAAACAGCTTGTTTTGCCGTGACCAGTCAGTGGTGTGAAGGGGCAAGATGCAGAGATAGTACTCACCAGCTGCATGATGAGGGTCGCCGATACATTGACGGGTACGCCTTGCAAGGTATCCTGGATCATCAGTCCTGAACCTACTTCGTTTACCGAAATAGCTTCAAGGGTATACTGGCGGATACAATGAGCATCCATGAAACGCGAGATGTCAAGTACACGCACATTGAGTGGACAAAGCCATTGCAGCCAACGCAAGACAGGCGGTATCGAAGAGAGGTGGACAAAGAAACCGGCATAGGTCATCTGGTAGAGTGCAGAAAGAGCGGAAAGCAGAATCGCGATCCCGCCGTTGCGGAATAGCGTTCCTAGAAGGAAGTTCTGCGTAACATGACCGACCAGTAATCAGAGGAGGTAGAGTGTGATAGCAAAGAAGACATACAAAGAGCGTCATGACTAGCGTGTACAGCGCAATGACAAGTAGGAACTTGAAGAAATGAACTGCGTCATGCGCAAGCCCAGCCATCCAGTATGTGCTGAGATCCTAGATCAGATCACAGATATAGGTCGTGGAGGTCAAATGACTTACATGGTGCACACAATGATGGTGGGTATAATGCGAAGGGGTATCACGTCGAATATCAAACGTGAAAGAAGCCACGCCGTCGGGCTGAAGGCATTTTAGGAGAGAATCTCCATCGAGAAGAAATTGACAAACCTGTAATACCAGTTTGACCTCTCCCGGAGGAAGAGGGGTCGTATCTCAACGATGTTATAGAGGGCGCTAAGGGACGAGAATGCGATGAGAGACCCCTGAAAGCAGTTTTAGATCGGGTCTATTCACAAGCAAATCATAGGTTCTTGCCATAAAGAAAAGGCAGCCGACTCTGGCCTGGAATCCGGCGATAGTTACACCAGTCTGATAGTAGAGACCACCTGCCGTTACGATTAGCAAGGTCAACAGCGGCACCATTCATGCATACCACAGAATACGCCGAGCACGAAGGCAACGCCCACATGCGTGAAAAATAAGGTCTTGTCTCTGCAAAAGTGGACTGTGTTAGTGGTCATCGAGATGAACTATTAGAAGTGCACGCACCTTCTCAAAATTTTCCATTCGCGTCCGCAGAGCACTTGTAACTGCGTGAGGAATGTTGCCGCATACCTGCCCGCTGCAAAATTTTGTGTAGAGAGCGCTTCAACATCTTTCCCTCCATCAACCTTCTCCTCGTCGCTGACACTTAGCTCTATTTCGTCAACTGCACTGATGCCCGGTGACATGCTAGGGATACCAGGAGACTCGCTCGCAATGTCGAGTAGATAATCTGCGACGTTGTAACCCTCTTCGTATGGTGGGACATCAGCCCCGGCTCCTCCCCCTTCTCGCATGCGCATGAAATATTGTGCTGGTGCTAGTCCGCCCGGCCCCGAATAAAGTGCGCGCCCATTGGAAAGAAGGTGAACAGAGTCAAAGGTGTGGTAAAGCCGCGAACTTGGCTGATGTACACTGCAGATCACCGCCACGCCCTTTCGATGACCATGTGAGCCTTGATGACCTATAGCAACACCACCTTCACGTGCAAGTTCCTTCAGCACATTGACAACCCTCCGGGCGCTAACAGAGTCTAGTCCGCTGGTGGGCTCGTCACAAACAAGAACATCGGGGCATCCAACAAGTTCAAGCCCAATGCTAACGCGACGGGCTTCTCCGCCACTGATACCTCTACCCGTCCCATCAGTCGCGCCGATTCTAGTTTCGGCAACGGCATCCAAACCTAGTTTGGAAATGACGGTAGAAACCAGTGCTGCCTTCGAGGATACTGGAAGAGATTCGGGGAGGCGAAGGGACGCGGCGAATGTAAGGGCTTCGCGGACAGTCAGCATTGCGGGAAGGATGTCATTCTGCGGGACGAAAGCTACCCTTGGATGATGTCCAGGAGAGTATGGAGGGAACGTGATAGACCCGGTGTATTGGCCTGATTTTGTCTTCCCGGCAATGAGTTCGACAAGAGTAGTCTTGCCTGCTCCACTAGGACCAAGGATTGCCATGAGCTGGCCTGATTCGACACCGCCGCTGACACTATCGAGGATGGTCTTTCCCCCGCGCATAGTAGGTTTGGTAATCAGGGAGAACAGTGAATTTTTGGGCGAATGCACGATATATGAAATGTCGGACCACCGAACGCTTATTCCGCCGCTCTGACCTCCATTAAAAGGTAACTTTTTCGCCGCCCGTTGGACATACCAGCCCCACGCAACGACTGCTAGCCCAAACAAAATTATCGCCCCAACAACAGCAAGTCCTGCAATAACTCCTCCGCTAAGTTCGGTTCCACCTGACGCAGCTGCAGCGGAAGAAGTTGCGTTTGTTGTGTCGATGACGGCCTGAGTGACACATTCACCAAAGACGCATCCTTCCATGGATAATCCCTGACTTCCGAATACTGAATTGATGGTATCCTGTTGAAAATGGCAGGTATTGGTGCTATCGCACGCAATTGTCAACGTGCCAGTGAGTCCGTTAATAGTACTTGTGAGGTTTGAGATCGGCACACCACCGCAGAATGTAGCATTTGCGATACATTCACATGAAAGATTCTGGCATGTCCAACTGTCAGACGTGGTATTGCCCGAACTGGTGGTGGAGTTGGATGATGTTTGGGTACACGGCGAAGCAGTACAGAAGAACTGCTCGACGCCGGCATACATAAGTTGGGCATAGATAGAGGAGCTAGTGGAGGATGACAATAACGTTCCACTGGTGTTGTGCAGTGGGGATAGAGAGCTGTTCAAAGTACGGAGAATGTTCAGAGTAGATCGGAGAGGATACAGTGCCTCCAAGGTGGGATTCTAGATAGAAAATATGTCAATTAAGATGCTAGATCATACCCGAATTTAACGATGCTGCACTGACATTGACTTGACAGCTAAGTTCGCCAGCTGCCCATACAGTAGGCGCAGTATTGCAGACCATAGTGTCGTTTAAACCACCAAGCCCCGAGATTGCACTTGCGTTGCCATTGACCGCAGTATACGCGACCTGACATGCTGAGGAGGTAGTGCAAACATTACAGCCCACTCCTCCCCATCCGCTTTCGCAGGTGCAATCGGACGCAGTTAAGTTCGCAAAACCAGCCGATGAGGCAGATGGTTGAGCTAAAGAGCGGCTCGAACCATCGAATATGGTGCCACCGCATGCTGGTTGTGCACACGTAGCACCTCCAAAGCCCGGAGGACAAAGACAGCTCGAGGCATTCGATGGAGAAGTTTCACCGTAGTTCATACATGTTTGCCCGATGACGCTGGCTGAAAGACCTATTAGGACGAGGAGGACGCAGGAGAAGTGATCCAGCGCATGCTTCATCCTTAGACTGGTTCCAAGTAGCGGCTGTCAAAGATAGCATTGGACAACCCTGGACAAGCTTTTTGTCACAGGCTGCCAGCTCAGCGTTCATTACGCATAAATGATTCAGATAGGCCATCATGACAAGGCCCAGTGCTCACTTGGCAAAACGGGTGCCTGCGAAATGTCCGGCAGTACCCGATACTTATTTCATGACATCGGCCCTCGAAACTTTGCCGGTGACAGCCCAGCGCTTGACATAGGCCCTATAGTGAGTGTAGGCAGCAGCACCGACCTGGTTATAAGTATGTTCCAAAGTGTGAGTCTCTTTTTCATTTCTTCCCCTCTTCGCTGTTTGACCTCGTTGCATCCGTCATATTCAGATTTCGTCTTGGTGGTCACCAACGCCGACACCCGCACCCGCCCCAGGAGAAAAATATGATCCCACAAACCCTAAGATGAACCCTCTCAACCCGCAAGGTCTTAAACCGTGAGTATGGGCATTTTTGTTTGCCATGCCGACTGACTTGTCCTGCTTTCGCGTGAACAGATGTTGCGCCTGCCCAGAAACGAAATCTGCTCGCGATGCCTGTTTCCTCCAGAACGGCAGCGAAGAAGGTAAATGCGTCGAGCTACTCAAGAAGCATGTCGAATGCATGCGAGGGCTTGGATTCAACATCTAGTTGCGGTTATTATAGCATGCAGTTGTGAGTTCGAGGTCATTTCAATGGGAATATGATTCTGATTCATCAACAGCCTGGACACACTTAATTCGTAGATTACGCGACACACTACCCCACTCACATTCATACATGCGTCATATTTAACTCGAGACTGGCTGTACCCTAGAGCACCATGATCTAGCGAGCAGTGGTTTCAGGACCATTTGCTCTCTGCTGTTATTGGCTTAGAACCGATTTGTCTACTTGGCTACACATGCGGTACGTTTTCCATTGCATTGACGGGTTCTGATGGCCGAGATGGTGATCTGAAATGGCTAGTCTCTCGCCGCTAATGTTCATTTGCATGTGATTGCAGTAGACCATGCTTGCTTCGAATAAATTTGGCACGGTTCGCTTCAGCGGAAGACTGCCTGCATTCTCCATTATTGGTATCGAGAACCGTCCGTCGCGAGGCTGAAAAATGGGTCTTCTGACTTCTGCTAGCATCCATCAATTAGTCACATGCGCTGATTGTCGACTCTATGCCATTCACTGCATGACGTGGTTTCAAAACAGGAATGCCCATGGCTCACCAATTCATGTAGTTCCGGCCCCCTCGGGAAAGGCATCGGACAGAGCGCAGGTGCGGGGAATTAACCTTGTTGGGGTAATCGCATGCTCATGTTCTTTTTCATTCTTCTCGAGAAGCAGTTCAGGTAGGTACGTGTTAGCATGTAATACAACGGTAAAGAATGGCCGCGCTTGGCTTGTCTGTGCATTTCGCTACATATAGACACCATACGAGAGGAGGTATCTCACCGAAATGATGACATTTTAACCCGACTCTGGCGGGACGGCTTAATTCCAAGTTGCCCTCGGTGCATAAAAGAGCTCATACCGTATGTATATCATTCAATTCACTGCATCCCCATCCTCCTCACTGTTCAGCAAGTTAATCTTCCATTGAAAACTTTACATTTTCCACGATGAAGTTCTTGATCACTTCCACCGTCGCTGCCCTCGCTACCTGTGCCATTGCTACATCTTACAGCCTCTCTTATGACACAGTCTACGATGGGGGATCCACTTCACTTAACACGGTGGCCTGTTCAGACGGCTCCAATGGCATGGAGTCGCACGGCTATACCACTTTCAACTCTATTCCGAACTTCCCTTATATCGGGGGTGCGCCCCAGATCACGGGCTGGAACTCGGCGTACTGTGGGTCATGTTGGGCAATCACCTATGGGTCCACTACCAAATACATTACCGCCATTGATGTCGGTGATGAGGCACGGGATGGGTTCAACTTGTCGCTGGAGGCTATGAACGGCCTCACAGGTGGACAGGCTGAGTTTTTGGGGCGCATCACCGTCACGGCCACCCAAGTTGATGCTAGCTATTGTGGTCTGTGAGACCGTGAAATTAGGGTAAGCAATGATAATCTCTCCAAATCGAAAAGCATGTCGTACTCACTAGCTTGATAGGTGCACGAGGCAAATGGTTGTTTCAGTCAATGAGTTTCCTGGCTACCTTTGACATTCATGTACAACTGGACAATATGGACACTTACAGAGACATTCACGAGTAACATATGTAAAAATTTGTACCTCTTTCTTCGAGCATTGGCAGTATACTGGTGTCGCACGCATAACCCACGCGCATTATGCTAGTCAGAGTAATAATGAATCTGTGGGGGAACGTGTTCTTTGAAGATTTCAGCATGCCCATTTTCGCGTGAGGACAAACTCATGTCTAGGCAAGTTTTCATGCTCTACTTCGTCTGGGTGAGTAAGTGCAGCACTGGCAGCATCATGAGCCGAAGTGTTTACCGATGAGTCACGTGGTAAAGAACACGTACGATTTGAAATTCCATATCATAGAACGCGTTCTGCACGTTTCGCAGTTTCTCTGATCTGTGGTTCAAGTCTTATCTTCCCATCATAACACCATGTCCTCCGCACCATCTGCTCAACGGTTTATCACAAAGCTCATGGCTTCACCGCAAAATAGGACGTTGGCCATGGAGGCCGACAGGATTCGGGGGCTTCTGAGCTTCGCTCGCCAGCTCCAACCTGGGGACCCAAAGCACGCCGAATACCGGGGAATGATTGGTCACATATTGGTAGGTCTGAACTCAGGTTATTTCTGTGTGCTGGACAAACCCGTCCCTGCAGTTCGTCCGGGTAGTCACCATCCTGCCGACGGCAACAATGTTCGACCCCATTTTCCTGTCGGCGGTAGTGGAGATAACCTCCCTCTGCAAAAACTCGCAATGGGTCGGTCTACCCAACTGGCAAAACATCAGAGAGGATGACCCGAGGATCGAAAAGCACTCGCTGATCCACAAAACGTGGTACGTCCATCCGAAGCAGCAGATGTTGCACGTCCGCCAAGAGGGTGGCCTGCCAGTTGCTGATCCACCCGCTGCAACTGCTGGTACTGTTTCCCCACTTGCCAATAACGCTTCCGTTGCTTCGGGTACAGCTGGTAATCGCCGACTGCATGTCTTTGGCCCTAAATCGCAGGCTCATGCGAAAGAGAATGTCATGGATGTACCGACAGATGTGTCGAGGGGCCGGTCTAATCATCGGGGATCCAAGAAACGAGGGATCAGTGAGTCCGAGTCACGAACCCCACTGGCACGAGGTATGGGAGGTGGATCGCGCAAACGAATCTGTGCCGATGTGACGTCCAATACCGTTAACAAGATGAGAGAAGGTGTGCCGAAAGGAGTGATATTTGTGCAGCACCCTGGGGCGAAAGTAAGACATTGGCGATAGTCCAGTTATTTTTCACTAATACGGATTCCAGACCAAAACACCGGCAAGTGCATCTAAGGCAGCTGATTCGGTAAGACAGACTTGCTCGACTTTTGGCAGCACACTAATTTTACGATCATCAGGCCAGCCCCTTGGCAGATCCGTCGGGCGCCGTGAGCACTGTTGATCCCTGTCCTCGTTGTGCCAGGGAGGGCAGAACATGCATAAGAGCCACGGGAAAGACTGGCCTCCTGTTAGTTTGCACTGAATGCAAGCGATCGAAGGTTAAGTGTGAGTTGGATGTCAACCAACCCACCAGGCAAGGAAAAAAGTCAGGCGTGCGAGGCAAGCCTCATTCCCGATCAGTGCAGAGGGCGAGGACGCGGTCAACGTCCAGTCGCCACCAGTCGCCTTCTAAATGCCGCACGAGCACTTTAGCGATGCAGCGAAAGCCTTCCAGAGTCGGTATGTGTATCACTCGATTGACATGCAGTTTGCTAACATATCCAAAGTCATGAGCTATGTGTCAGTGCCCCGGCTTCCAATCTCAGCCCCCGAATCCACAGCCGTGAAGCTGAGGAGCATGGAGAGAAAGATGAGTGGTCTGGAGGATGTGATCGACCTCCTCCATCGGGAGATGGAGACACTCCGCACCATGATCGATGCCTAAAGTTGAAAGAACGATGCCTATGGTGCACGAACGATTTTGATTTTCCATCATAGTCGAAGTATTGCTGATATACCCTCTTTTCAACTTCTTCTTCAAGTGTTAAGCTTGAGCGTATCACTATTCACATCAGCACAGGACTCGCCTGAGCGTGAAATGTATTCGCTTGAGTTACGGGTGTACTCAGTACATCGTTTTAGCCTTCGCCCTTTCTTTTCGGTTTCATACATACGCCCTTGATATACCCTCATTTACATTACCTCTAATTTACGTCACGTATTAATTTCTCTTTGCTTTGCGGGGATATAGGGTTTGTTGTGCACGCTTTTGCATTTCTGTTGAATAAATCAGTCCAGAGCACAGCACCACCGTGACATGGATGCCATGCTAGGCTATGCGGAGGGTGGAAGCCCAAATGTCAGACGTCAAGAACACAAACCGGTTTAAGCGCTCGCACGATGACTGAGCACCACCATGCTCAACAGGGCGGTCAACACCACTGTTCTCATGGCCATCCCCATAGCTCTCACCATCATGACCACGAAGATCAACATAATTTGAAGGAATTCAACAGAAACCATTTTGACGAGCATGCTCATCAGTACAATGATCATCCCGAAGCGCGGGGGCTTGCTCGGCGACTTGGGGCAGCTATGATCAACGCTTATCCATTCAAGGAGGACTCAACATTGGTTTTGGATTATGCTTGTGGCACAGGTCGGTCATGTATATGAAGGGTTTCATAGTGCTCCTTTGAATTTGTCCGTTGTACTCCAGGTTTAATCTCCCAAGAACTCGCTGCACATGCCAAATGCATCGTGGGTGTGGACATCAGCCAGCGTATGGTTGACCAGTACAATCAGAGTGTCGTAAATCAGGGTATACCATTTGAGGAGATGAGGGCTGTGTGCTGTGACCTTACCGCTGCTCCAGATCAGCTGGATGGGATGAAATTCGATGTGGTCGTGGTACGTCTTCACCCACAACATTCCATGCCCTCGCCGTGACAATTACTAGTGTGCGTCATCATACCACCATTTTCCTTCTATCGAAGAGGTCACGAAGGCTCTTGCATCGTACCTGAAACCCGGGGGTTTACTCTTGGTCGCAGATCTTATGAAACCATCTTCTGCAGAATCTGCACAGGAGTTATTTCCCACCAATGCGCACCATATCGTCGCGCACAGTGGTGGATTTGAGGAGGCGGACATCAAAGCCGTATTTGAGGGTGCTGGACTGATTAACTTTGCATTTGTGACAGCTTGCAAGGCGAAGAAACATGGACATTCTGTCCAGCTATTCTTGGCCTCTGGGACCAAGAAAGTCACTGAGGAGGCATAAATTACTCCGTATTAAATCAATCCATTATTTAAGAGATATTGAACCACCAAAGCGTCTTCTAGCAACAGTGTCAACTTTGGCCTTCACTTCCCAGAATGCTTTCCACCAAACTCTCCCGATGCTCTCCGCAGTCGAGCTTCCGTCATGATTCTCCTCCGTGCTGCTCGCGCGTTCATAAACTTCCCAATTCCTCCTCAAGAGGATAAGCCACCACTTCATCACAGCAATGGTTTTCTCCATGCCTGTATCAGCCGATTCTACGTTTCGCACCAAAAATTTGCTGAAGTAGTCGACATCTTTTTGGTTTGGAGGATGTTCTGTGAATCCCTTGACCCACGACTCGATGACAGTCTGAACATCTCCAGTTTCGGCGAAGTACAACTTCTCCCCTGGCTGCTTACCCTGCTGCTTCAAAAGAGGTGGTTCCGGGTGCTTAGCCTGAGGAGGCGGCTTCTTGCGATAAGGTGCTGATGGCCCACGACAAGAAGCTTTGATGATCTTGCGTTCTTGAAGGAGATTTCCGCTTTTCGCATGTCGAGCCATGATCACCTGCTCGCGCTGCAAATCCGCAGGCAAGACAGCAAACACATCTGGGTCGATATCAAGTTTGCGAAGCTCTGCGTCAGATACTCGCATGTACGATGGGACATCACGTTTTGCAAAGAGCATGTTCTTCCGTGGGGATACGCTCGTTCGATTCTTCGGCGCAAGTTGTTGAGTGATTCTTTTGACGTTAACGCCTTTGACCGTGATTTTCGGTCGGACGTCATGAGAGGGTTGGTCCGCCGGCATTGGTGAACGTGATCTGCGCTGGTATTCAATTTCTAGTTCCTTCCTGACATCATCCGGCAACGCGTCGAAGACGTCCTTGTCGACCTGGGAGAAAGAGGGGAGGTCTAACGTAGGCAATAGATTTGAAGGACCGGCCTCATTCTCATTCTGGAGTGGATCATCTTGCGAAGGGGGTTCAGTGATAATCCTAGGCACTGGGAGGACATCTTGTTCAGTGTTCTCCTGTGCAGTCGTCTTGGAGCTTCTGACGTGAAATGGCAGCTTCACTTGCCCAGCATCGGTAGTGTCAGATGCCGACGGCAAATCTAGCTTCTGTATCTGGATTCCAACTCCACGCAGCTCTTTCGAATCAAATCCCCAAGAATTCAGTAGCGTCCATGCGTGGTCACCGATATCCTTTGGATCGCTTGTAGCTCTGCCGTTTGCGCTGCTTAATGAAGTTTGCTTGTTAAACGTCTCACAGATGCCGTGCCCCATGAACTATAAGGTGAACATCTATCAGTACCTGATTTAGATATGGATATGGTCTACAATCCATACTTACCTTGGGTGCCTCTACAGGTGCACTTGGATCGCGTTTCATAATCTTCAGAGTCAAAGAACGTCCACACATGTTGATGGCATTCAATCTCCGAGAAACTTCCTCAGCCATCTGGTAGATGAATGCCTTGGCTTGGTCGTCGTTCTCAAAACGTATTCCATACTAAGTCAAAATCGGAGCTCAGCAACTAAACAAAGTAAACATATTATCAGCAGCTCACGTTGATGTCGCATGAGACAGACTTCCTCGGCTTGTCAGACTCAAGTTTTCGTTCGTCGATGCCACGGATCGCATTGTACAGAGTTTCGCCAGTAGTCTTGCCAAGCGCATCGCACAGTGCAGCTTTGCTTTTCTTAGCGAGTTCTCCGAGATTTGTTGCTCCGAGCTTCTCGTTTGCTTTTTGGCGTGTAGAATGCCCAAAGCCGTGGAGGTCGTCGATATCTAATGGTGCGAGAACTTGTTGCGCATCTTCTGGTTTTAGGTGGAATGATCCAGCAGGTTTGGCCTTGCGTGTCGCAATTCGAGCAAGTTGTATGTTCTCCGCAATGCCAATGCTAACTGTGGCTTATGTCAGCAAGTAGTCGTCAAACGCATCTATGTGAAGAACCTTCGCAACCTGTTCCATCTCTAACCTCGGACCGTATCTGTTCTGCAAGGGACTTTGCAGGATCATCCACGAAAGCTAGGGAAGACGGCCGAATGGCACGTCGGGAAACACTTGTGGTGACCTCAATCAGAGCCTCATCAACGGAGACGGCCTGGATATCATCCGCATGACGCATCAAGATGGTGTAGAAACGCAACGACAGCTCTTTATACCTGATCTCATGTTAAGTAGAGTATAGTGAATGGAAAAATGAATATATACTTCTCGAATTCGTAGGGCATGGTCATAAGATCAGGGGACAATCGACGCCCTTGCTGAAGGCTGAAGAAAGCTGTCACTCTTATATCAATGCGTGAAATAAGTGTAGCATACCTCATGCCGTTCTTGATCCCGAATGACCTGGCCTCGTAGCTCGAGCTTGCTATTTCACTTGTACTAGATGCACCCCCTGTACTCCCTTGCGAGTGACAAACGACAACCGGTTTGCCTCGTAACTCAGGGTGACTCAGAAGGCCGACGGATACGAAAAAGCAATCAAAGTCGCAGTGCATAATGACACGCTTCAAGCCCGGGGCTTTTTCTTTGCCTTTCCATTTTGATGGAGACCTCGCCGCGAGCTGTGCTCCTTCCATGTTGACGTCACCACTCTTAGCCATGTCTTGAAGGTCGCCTATGGCTGAAAAAGACTCATGTATCGGCCCATTTTCAACTGCTTCTTGGGCTTGTTGAACCAAATTTTTCAGCTCAGCCTTCCATGTAGACAGGTAGTGCAGTCGCGAATGTTTGTAAAAACCTTCTATGAAATCTGGTGCCACAGAGGTATGTGCGGCTCTCCATTCCGGATTGGCCATCACGCGCTCTGCCAACGGGTTCGATGTATGGGCAGCGTATCCAGGGACGCGTGCAGCGTCTTCGTGGGTGCCGGGATCAGTGACATAGAGCGATCGAGGCGAATAAGATGCCGAAGATGTGGCTGGGTCGCCAGCCTCAGGGTTGGCAGTACCTGCTGTGCCGGAATCAGACGCTGCGGGGACCTGGTTAGCTGATGGTGGCGGATCATGCTTACGCAAACCAGAACATGCCGCTGTACGTGAATCCGTAGACAGATGACTTTGAGGCGTATGCACGCCTTGAGATTGCTCGACCCTGGCCCCAGGTTTGAAAAGGTAATTCCTCCAGGGAAACAAGGTCCCTGCAGCGGCACTATCCACAAGCCACTCAGGCCTGACAATCTTCATATGCTTCCAATCTTTGATTTTCGCAGCCGTCAATGAGCAAGTGATGATGTGGGTCCTGTGTAAGGGGCGATGAATTTCTGCGAAGTGACTGAAGCGATAAAGAAGGTGCAGACACTAGTGATTTCTTATCCAGGTAAGGCTGAAACACACCCCCATGCGTCACTATCAATTGACGTAGATCTTGAACCGAAGGATTTGTCCATCCGTTAATCTGCGATCAAAATTAAAGCCCTGCTTTCTTGCGGCGACAGTGGAGATACGCACGTATATTGAAAGACCGCTGAAGATCTTTCCTGCGGGACTGATGTCTTGGCTCGCATCTAGGTTTGCGTTCTGTATCTGGAGCTTTGCGCGCTTGCGATGCATGTATTCTCCGAAATGTCCAAAGCGAGATGCGCCATAGATCTCGGGATTGTCTTCGGTGTCACCGAGTCCATGGGTCAAGGTTTTATGTGAGGTTGTCTCAGCTTGCTGTTCGTCACTTTCATCACGGGGGCGCTTTCGACTCAATGAATCAGTGTCAGGTGGGGGTGCTGTGATTTGATCTCCGGGTAGTACCGCATTTCTGAGAGCCTCAAGAAATTCAGGATCATCGGGGCCAAAGAGGTCGGAGGAATCAGTTGACGCAGATGATTGAAGTGGCTTCGCCATCGGTGTTTCTAGTCAATACAAGGATTTATGAAGCGGCATGCATATGATGGTCTCCGCCCTGTACGGCAGCTCGGTGACCACTGAAGCAAGCGTTAATTGTCGTTGTTTGTCAATGTCCCAAAAACCAAACAAAATGCAAATAAACTATGTGCTTAGGTAAACACGGCACATTCCATATGTGGGTTAGCAAATACTAGTACTTTCGGAAGCGTAGAATAAGTAGGCGACTGTCGTCTTAATCCATTATAAACACTGTACAACAATAGACACATCATCTAACCAAGGTGAGTCCATGTTCAAAGTCAGAACACGAGATACGCTCGTCGGATCATTACCAAGCGCCTGCCACAGCAGTCGAAGGGCCAGACTTTTTTCATCAAGCTCTCTTGAGCTGGAACATGCGGCTGCACGCGCCCACTGATCTATGATCGCACGTTGATTCGTGCCACATATATCTGTGAACCCATCTGAGCAGAGAATAAGGTATTTGCGAGGAGCTCGGGGGGATGGATCAAGGGGATAATGCGTGACTTCCGGTGTGGAGGAAATATATGGAGGCGTGTGGTTCCTCATCAGGAATTCTTCCCAAGGAGATGTGTCGTGCTGACCAGGGTATAAATTATAGAGAATACGTCGGGTGAACTCGGGGGGTTGTTTAAAAGGGGTGTCTCCCAGACCTGTTCGATCAAGCAGGTCAGCGAATAGTAAAATCTGAAAATATGGATATAACATGCATCGAAAGGGTGCAATAGCTCCAAGCACACGACCATCCAAAATACACTCCGGCTCACCAGGGTGCTCATTCATGACGCGCTGAACCTCGAGCGGATTTTCCCCATTATGAAATCGCGTCAAAACTTCAACATTCCACCCTTTATGACCTGTCTCCGAGACCATCACTTGAACCAAAAAGTTAGTCGTCACGATGAACAAAAAGTATCATCACGCTCGACGTACGTCCTTGGCAGTCACCTAGGTTGGCGAGCCATAGATTTTTATGATCAGGGTCAACAAGAGCTACGAGCGCAGTAGTACCATACATGCACAGCCTCGCCTTCGTGTAATTTTCCCCTCCCGAAAGTTGGTCATCGAGAACTTCCTGGATCTGAGAGTCCGACAAGCGAGACAGAGATGACAAACCGCCCGGGAAAAGTTCCAGGACGTCATTAGCGATGGCGTCATCGAAAGCGCGAATGGACATCGCAAACATGTCCGCGATTAAGGGCGGTGGCACAGCACGGTCACCGTGTTTCTGAGTTATAACCTCCAAGTGTTCCCGCACAATGATAGGCATGTGACGAGCCACATGCTCAACGGTGTGGCTGCCAAGGTGACCTGTGAATAATTCCTGGTAACGACACAATGGCCAAGCACATTCTCAAAAACTACACCTACCATCAAAAACCGCAGACAGGGTCCAGACGCGTCCCTGAATATGTATCTGTTGGACTGCATAACGGTCTTGAGAGGAGGTCTCAGCGCAAGGTTGGAAGTTGAGGGCATCTGCGCGCCACCGTCCAGTTGGGTCAAATTTGATGCTGTGGAGATTGGAGGCTGCCGCCAGGTGATCCCAGGCGGTGTCATGGTTCAAGTTTCGGAAAGGACGTGGCCAATCATCTGTAGGACTGCACAAATTGCCAGGGATATCACCAAAGGAGGCAAACGAAGTAGGACCAGCATCCCAGGAGAACTTAGAGCCTTCGGACATTCCATCCATAAGAAGGCAGTAACGGATGAGGCAGGCGCGCGAGAAATGTGGGGAAGCGGAATCCCCACTTTGCAGTCGGACCGCTTATAAGTCATCGCTGCTGTCATGTGCAGTACTGAGCGTTAAAGTTCAACGTTAATTAATGACAGTTATCAATAAATATGGTGTGTCTCTGAAGCCGTGCGGATACACGTGGCGTCAGACGTCGCCGTGGTACCACATTGGAAGGCTTGGAACGGAGATGGGTACTTGGCAAGGGCGTGACGGGATATAGTTAACTCCCGCAATGCTGTGTTTATGATCCAGGTTGAAAGGCCATTTGGAGAGTTTCGCGCGGTCATTCGATGCAACACAGGCACAATGGGAAACCTCCGGTCAAAGGATGAACGCAAAGAGGCGTAAACTTATGTAAAGCTGAAACCGCAACCAACTTATTTGCAGACTGCTAGAGACAGCTAATCCTAAAAGTGCTACATTACGCTCCATACAAGGGGTTGCGTTATATTAGAGCAACCAAAATCTACTCGTAAGCTACAGTATAGTGACGAAAAAAAAATGTGTACAATGCGCGTGGTTATATAAACTTGTAAAGATCGGGGTGGGTAAAAAGATCCAGTCTAATCCTCGAGGTCCATGCAGAATTATGAGAAAACATTGCTTATTTACGGAAAGGGTTGCGAGATCCGCCCGTATCTGTGGGTGTTATCCAATACGATGTGTCAGGTTCCGGGGATTGCCTTACGGACGCAGCGTACTCCTCAGCGGCGGTTGGCGGTTTAGAAGGTGTTGGCTGACGTTTCAACACGTTTGGTTTCTTGGGTACCGAAGATCCAAGTGTCGTTGTTGAAAACCGAGAAGACAATAGGTTCGACTTGACAGGCTGCCGAGGTTCAGGTCCGGTACGAACCATCCCCGTCACCTGGGAATACATGGAACCCGCCGATAGCCTATTAGAGCTGTGCGCGTCGGAGTAATCGTGAGATCCGCGACGCTTGTAGTGATGAAGCGAAGGGAGAGGCGAAGGAGACCGGCTCGATCCCGAGCGAGAGTGCTCGTGTGCACCTATGAGCTTATCCATTTCCTTATAGTGCCGCGCCTCCTCCGCAGCGCGCAGTTTCCATAAGGAAATTTCCTCCGTCTCAGGCCGCGGATGTCTGCGGTTGTGCCCAAAAAGCCTCTCTCCAAAGCGTACAAGGTGCCATCTCCAGTTATGCTTGTGAGGAAGGGCTTTAGCAGACGCAAATGCCGCTGTGTCCTTTGCTCGCTGCTTCCGGGCTCGACGGCGCCAGCACCACAAAAAGGCCACAAAGATGAAAGCACATCCAAGTGCCATGAGCAAAATCTCCCACCACTGCAATCGTTGGGTTGTTGTGGTCGTCATAGGAGTCGATAGCCCAGTAATCGTAGGAAGCGCGCCTGAGCTCGTACCAGAAGGTGTGAGTACTACAAGTTCTGAAAGGCATGCCCCAAGACTTGGGACAACACTTGTACCGCTCGTGCAGTTGGCTGAAGTGCAAGTACCCCCACGCAAAACTTGACTGGAACTTGAGCAAGCGAGGCAGCTATTAGGACCAGCGCCTGAACAACTAGCACAGCTGGAATCGCAAGACTGGCATGTCGAGGACGTTGTGTCGAAATACTGATTCTGGCTACAAGTAGCAAGGCAACGCCCGCTTGTGAGGACAGGGAGCGCTTTGTTGCAACTTGTGCATTGATTGAAGGATGCGCCTGAACATGTTGCACAGTCTGGGTGGCAGGGAACGCAGGCCCCAGAAGAACTAAACGTGTTGGAAGGACAAGAATTGACGCATTGCCCGTTCGAAGCAAGCAAATTGTTTGCGCATGTCAAGCAGGTGGTGGCGCTGCCCGCACAGCTAGTACAGGATGAAGAACAAGCTGGATAAATGATGGCATCAGTCTACTTCAGTAATGAATTGAGATGAGACAGCTCGTACCTGTGCATGTCAAATTATCTTGAGGAGAAAGGAAAGTACCCGACGGGCAACTTGTGACACACTTCCCTTGTGACAAGACGAAACCAGGAAGACAACCAGTGCACTGAGCTTGATCGACTGTAGATGCCACATTAAAATTGGATATCTGGCAAGTCGTGCACTTCGGTCCACAAGCTGAAAATCACATGTGAACACATGTTCTGAGGGCAAAGTGGGACATGCTTACTGTCACATTCATGCTTGTTATTATTGGCAATCAAATTGGAACCCTGGCAGACGCCGCCTGTGCTGGTCGTAATGCACGACCCATTAAACTTGTACGTGCCGGATCCGCAAATGACACAATTGTTCGAATTCGGCCCGGTACAGGTCGTGCAAAGCGGCGAACAAATCGCGCAAGTAGACCCAGAACCGTAGCTTCCATCAGGACAAACCGTGCCATTTGACGTAGTTTGCGGAGTGGCATCGCACTTTGTGCGGTCGTTTCCGTCCTGAGTAAACCCCGATGAGCAAGTGATGCAGTCCCCGCTGCCATCGGCACACTGCTGACAGCCCAGCTGACAAACTCAAAACAAAGATGAGATTGGCAAGACAGAAGAAGATGTCATAACTCACTTTCACAATTCCCGTTCGTGTCTAAAAAGAAGCCGGCCGCACATGCAGCACATTGGGTTCCGTTTGACGCCGACGTCCAGCCGGCGATACAAGTACACTGTCCGTTAGAACCACATTCTCCGTTGATACAATTGCAGCTCGATGGTAGGTTCGCCACTACTGGCACCAAGCAACGCCCGGTGCCCGAAATTCCATCATCACAAGAAGTACACCCTGACGGACATGCCTGGCATTTCGGTCCGAAGAAACCAGAGGAGCACGACTCGCAAGATGAACCAGTGAAACCGCTTGGACATTGACACGTCCCAGAAGCGGAACAGATGCCATTCCCGGAACAAGCCGGCGAGCAGGATGATGATTGCATGTTGAGCAACGACAGGGACCCTGATGCGCTAGCAGGGAGCTGGCTGACATCAGGAACAGAGTTCCACAAGATGACACGGCTGTTGCTTCCGGCTGATACAGCTGCCCATACGTTCCCTGAAAGGGCAAATGAGGAAGCAGATATTGGGATGGACGTATTTCCAACGGGGGACGTGGGGAGGCTCGAATATGAGCCTTGACCCGAATAGAAAGCTTGCGGGTAGATCGCGATACCTGGTTGAAGTGCAATATTTAGTGGGAGAGCAACTGAAGATCCGGCGCTCGAGTTGCCGAAGCCGGTAGATGGAGAAAGTTTTGCAGAAGAAGACGTCAACAGTTCATGAAGAAGCTCTGGGCTAGTCGTGGATGTATACTGTCCAGGAAGAAGAAGAACATCGGTCGATATTCCAGATGCTGAGAGTGTTGCTCCAACTTATGGAGACCATGAGTACGACTATGTGTGTGATAGCAACTTTGGACTCACGAGTTACATTAGAAAAACCTTGCAGACATTGACCCGCAACGCATACAACAGAAGACGAAGATTGCGCGACTGAGTAATGAAGAGCCTCGTCAGACATGTTGGGCTCGATATCAAACAGTTTCACACTCACCGACAGACGCGCCAAAGGCGAAAGTAGCAGCAAGTATGCTCGACAACATGCCGAGCTAAGGAACGTGTAGAGAGATGAAAGCAAGTGGTAAGGAAAGAACGAGCGAAGCTCTATCGCGAAAAGGCATGGCGAAGTTGTGGCCTTTTGTTATTTCAGAAGAATAAGGTCGGTGGTTGCTGCTCGACACAATCCCGCTGGGAACAATGCGCCTACCAAGAACAATAGAGCAACTCCATTTTCAGACTTCCTTATTTGGTAATCCGTGCCAATCTTCGCGACAATTGGTCCGGGCCAAAGCTGTAACCCGCTGCGCACTGCGCAGATTAGAACATCAGACGTAAACCGGTAAGCTGGCGAGGCAAAGAAGATCCAGTGTATTCACGACAACATAAAGCCTAATATTCTAGCACATTTGAAATATTTTCGTAATTGTATATGTAGCTGCAAGTCCATGGTTTAACGTTTGACTGATGTACAAGTCCAATACAAATGACTAGGAAATCGCGCTAGGATACCCAAAGAAAAAAGCCTCAATAGAGGATGCCGACAACCTAAAAATGATAGGTCAGCGTCGAGTTCGAAACAACATGATAAAACATGGATCAGAAAATATTTGGCAATAAAGGTTGTCTCCACAAGGATCAGAACAGGTCTGAAGTATTTCATCAAGAGAAAGACACAAGGAAAGACGCTCACATGGTGATCATACAGTGGGTCGACAGGATAGATATAGTACAACGGTTTGCAGTGCGACACTATGAAGAAAAATATTAGCACCAGGTTTAAAACATTACTTGAGAGAGGTCAGAAAAAAAGGCAATATCAAGATGTCCGCATGTAGGTCTCGGAACAGGTCTGATGTGTATCATCCTGAAGAAATGGCGAAATATGAGACATACAGCTTTTATCGCACTTGAACCGGTGGCATGGCGGTTGCCAAAGGTTTCCATCGTAGCCTGGCTGGGGATGGACAACCATATTCCCAGTCCACCTCATGCGCATCATCATCAATCATATCGCAGTCCTCGACGTATACCCCTACGCCTACGCCATCTTCGGGCTCTAATAGAACTTCTCGGCTAGATCGCCTCTCCTGCAATTTCAACTTGCGAAGTGCAGCAATAAGATCATCTGCAAGAGGAGTAGCATTTGGTGGCTCTTCGCGAATTTGCTCCCAGCCGATGGGTGGAGATCCAGGCGGCGAGATAAGGAAGTTCTTTTCGATCGGTGGAGGGCGTAAGAAATTTTCGTCTGACGTTGGTGATGACGACGAAAATATGGGGTTGGGCTCGGAGCGATATACCCTCAAAATCGTGGGCATTCTGCACGAGAAAATGAGAAAAATTAAGAGTACTTGAGTAAGATCACGTACATGTATGGGAGAGTCAAAATAAGAGGATCACAAGCGTTCTTCGCTAGCTCTGCAGCTTCCTCTGAAAAATATACGAGGATGATACGAGAAAATGATGCTATCGGCACCCATTGGTTAATCTCGCCATACGTAGCAAAGTGGTCCCGCAGAGCATTGAGGACTGAAGGTTGAAAAAATGTTCGGGGAACTTGTGTTATCACAAGCGAGTTTGTGGGCTGGATAGACTTGGGCGATGTAAAAGAATTTGAGCGCTGGGTCAGAATCGAAATATCTGGCATGTCGAATCGCTAGGTGGGAAGGTGGTTGTGTGTTTTTTTCGGACGACTTCTAACTTGGAACTTATACTCAAAAAACATCTGTGGTTACATAATCTACTCAGCAGCAGCCACACTGCTTTTGTAGAACCGGATTCCGGAAGGAGAAGCTTATATGCATGGGGACACAGAGGGACACAGGTTGTAATTTGCGGTATACAGGGTTTTGTCGGAAATGCGGTGTTGTGGGCAGTCCTTCACATGTACAGTCCCTCTGTGCCCTCGATCCATGCGAAGACCTTTGTTCCACTAACTGCTTCTCAAAGAAATTCAGTTCGCAGCTGGGGCATCCGATGCATCCACAGCCGCAATCGCATGAACAATACACACGGGTGTTGATGGACTGTGAGAATGCGCACATACAAGTCCAAATGTTTGTTATCAGATCTCCTTTGGAGACAGCAGATCGAGCATCACCAGCGCTACTATTATACACCCCGACTTCTGATAGCCCAAGGATTGTATCCAAGCCGACTTTTAGTCCTATCACATCATAACGATCGTTATGTGCGCAGTCGTTTCTGCACAGCATCCTGTTTCTCCTTGAGTGACTGTAGTTTCTCGTCCTTCGTGGCGTCGTAAGCGATGGTGACCTGATTAAAGCTGTAATGAAGAAAGGGCTTCTGATCAGTCGTCATATTGATGAGGCTGTATGACCCTGACGACTCACGGGTTATCCGGTGATTTCTGAAACTGCTTGTGTAGCAGATCCTGTATAATTCAAACGTTATACATATTGAAATTGGACCGACAGGCGGCACTGACCTGATATTGCTGCAGGCGCAGCCCGGGATGCTGCGGTAGGAAATACTATCGTTAGCCTTGTGTTTCGCACGCCGGGGATGCGTTCGTACCTCCTGTTTGAGATTTGGCAGTTCACGTTCCTTGTAGGCTTCGAACGCAGCCTAGGGGAATATTAAATCGCGTATCCGAAACACGCCATGATGTGAATTCTCACCTTGAATCGTCGCTATTAGGTGATAAGTGTGTCAGATATGTATATAGCCTCGAGAGGAAGGTAGATAATCTTGCCTCTGGATGCCTTTCGATACCTGCAGCTTGCTGCCCTACACTGGCCTTGTCCATCTTTGCGGTCACTACCTCTAACAGATCCAGCGCATTGTCGATGCCGGTTGCAGCATAGCTTTCGACTTCCTCAGCAGGCGGTTCATCCTTGGGATTTGTCTCTGCTGCTACTGCCAGAGCTGCGTCACTCGAGCTACCTCCAGCTGCGATCGCGCCGGGGCCAGCTGGTTTAACATCTTTCTTCTTCTTCGGTGCTGGCTTGGCTTTCACGGGAGCAGATTCCTCCTCTGCAAGCAGCCGCGCGTTCTCCGCTTTGCGGGCGAGTTCGGCGAGACGCTTTGCTTCCTTTTCCTCCTTAGCTTTATTTCCCTTAGCACCGTCGTCCCATTTTTCTGCCTCCTTTTTGGCCTATCAACACCGATTAATGGATCTCGTACAAAAGGAAACTTTCGGCGGTGCTGGTAGACGCACCTTGTCAGCAGCTGTAGCGTCTTGCTTCTTAGCCTCGTTCTCTGCCTTCTTGGCTCGGCCACTCTCTTTCTTTGCGTTTCCACCCTTGGGAGCCATTTCTGAAGTTGCGGATCTCAATCTGGGAGAGAGGTTCGAGATCAAAGGATCTTCTAAGGGCCTAACAGTGACCTAACACTTAGTCACAATCTAATCTAATCAGCGGGGACAGGCCTAGAACACAGCCACAACCTCATGTAATTCAAATAAATATCCGAGGGCACAGCGTTAAACAGTCTCCACTTAAAGCGCTGTTGTACCGGTACTTTCTATAGCCCAACACACCCGTTGCTGCCGCGTGCCGTATCTCTCTCAGATACCACATCATCCTGCTGTATATCCCTATCAATACCTGTTATTACCCACATATCACACGACACTCGCATCAATGGGTGACTCGGTCGTGAGCAAGTGGTCTGCAGGAGTTGGCTGTGAGTGTGATCGTTCGGCTTTGTGTGCTGCACGCAGATCGATGCGCCCAAATAGACGGTCCAGTTCTCTCTCAGACTGACCTTTATCTGCTCAATACCGAGCTGCAGCTAAATCCTATCATGGCTGGTGCTAGCCATGGCTTCCACCTCATGTTCAACCTCGTCACTGGTATGTCACCTCAAAATACTTATCTGATCAAGCTAATGATTAATAAACCCAAGGTTCTACTGGTGGATTCAACCCCAATGACCGAGATCGTGATATCCCATTCTCTGCTAAAGACGAGCCTGCAACGCTTCCCCGCATTCAAGATCTCATCATCATTACCGAGTCCAGCCCGTGGTGCACGGTAGTGCACAATGAACGTGGCGTTACAATGGGTGATGTCTGCAGCACGATTTGGAAAGAGTGAGTATCTGTCCAGCCAGCTTGGCATGCCGTTCTAATTTATCCGATTTAGGTACACGGAGAATTATGTGACAGATGCAGAATTCAACGTTCTCCCTCCAAGGTTGCAGGAACAGGTTAAGAGGGCCGCTGCGCACAATAATTCCTCCGGTGCCGCTTGGAACATGTATTACAATACGCCTGCACCCAATCGGTACAGACGGGTCGGTGAGTTATCTGCGTATCTTTGCTATCATGCAAAATCTCATCAAATCTTTGTAGATTGGCTTCGAGACAAGTACTACTTTGATGGTCTGTCGAAGAAGGAAAACTACTCGCTTCAACGTCTCGGATTCAAGGCCCCCAACATCTTCGTACTGAATCTCACCTCATGATGTATTCTCACGCTTCCCTCTGTGCCCCACGATGTATCATATGTCGTATACTCTATGCTAACTCTTGTCAAACCTAAGGAAGGCCTTACCCCCGCGCTGTGAACGCACTGATCAGCCGATCTTTGTGCGAGCCACCTTGAACACAATTGTGGCACTGATCTGATGATCAAGTCGGAGCTTGATATCCGGGATGATCGTCTTGATCGGATTGACATTCTTTCCAGGATGAGAACCAGGAATAGATTCGCTGGGGACGGTTCACGGGGGACCAGAAAGGGCTCCATGTCAAGCACTGTGACAAGTGTCAAATGCATAGGGTCCCAGCGTTGTCCTCGGAGACCCGACACTGTAGAGGGCCCCGAAAGGTACAGCAGGGCCGAGGGACTTGTTCCTCAGTCCGCCTGATTGGGCACTTGGATGCCAGCCAGCATCCAAGAACTTGTTTCAATTTATCTCGGTACCGCTCATACTTCATAGAACCGCTGTTATTAGAAGGAGCAACTATCCTCTCCCTTCTGCTTCTGGCTCAAACGTCTAGCTAGGGGAGACTAGAGAACCGCAGGGTTGTCAACCGCCAACCGCCGCTGAGGTGTACGCCGGCATCCGTAAGACAGTCCACGGAACCTGATACCATTATGTCGGAATATGTGTCGCAGAATACAGATTAGACGTTTCCAGTCTCTCCTGTAAGCAAGTGCGTCATAGGTCCAGGAGCAGGGGCCCGTTGCATTGACACCAGATACCCCCATTTCCATCGCTGACTGTTCAAATCAGTATCTTGGACCCACAAACTCGTCTGTGTCCAATTCAAGAAATGATTCCTAGGTTGACTAATGGAAATGAAAACCAAGGAACCTCGTGTCGTGTTGATCTGTCACATTAGCTGTCAATACATACCCTTGCGATGCACGGCGGAGACTAGGTTGCGATTGAATTGAGCAAGCTCCAAGCTCCAAGGGCGACATTAACGATAGGCAACCTGATGGAAGTTTCTCACATCATGAGCACAGGGAAGCCGTTGGGCGCGCACGAACTTCCAACGACCGCTAGGCCTGAAGGCGCTTGAGTTGCACCATGCCATCATATTGATTCATAAAACGCGCCCGGATGGCTCAAGCGGATGTGACAAAGTGCAATGTCAAAATTAGCTAGCACAGCCACTGATTACTGACTTGTGCACAGGCCTAAGGGTAGCAGTCAGCCCATCTATATCCTTTCTCATCTCCCACCGCCTCTTTTTCCTTCAGGTCAATCTGCCAGTTTGTTTGCATTTCCTTGAACTCTACAGCAGCAGCTGTGCAGACTTTCGATACCTTCACAGCCTGTGGGATTGAATCAGTACAGGAAAAGTGCTTGGTTCCTGAAATCCGGACCAAGCACAGTCGATTTCACCATTTAGTTCATATTCATTGGAAACCTTTTCTGACATTATCCGCAGGTAAAGAGGCACTCTGGCAATTATCTCGAGATACGGTTGATATGATGCTCTCTTCCCAGGCGTTCTTGGGCACTCAGACCGTAGAGATCGGCACAAATCACTTCAAATCTACACTTTAACGACTTCAATTTGTCTTTTTGTTAAACGCCTGTGCGGCGTGCTGCACGCCGAGTTACCTGTGTATTAATAAGTGTGTCCTAGGTTTCCTTGCATTTCTTGTGAGGCTTCTATACTTTAATGTTTCAGTCATGACTCATGAATTGATGCAGTTTTGAACAGTGACTGCGTGACACCCCCAATTGAATCACACCTATATCTAGAATACCCGCCCAAAATGCTTTATGACTCTCCTGAGACGGCAAACACTCCCTTCATACCCCCCCTTCCCTCACCCGAAAGTCTCGCGCCGCCCGTCATTCCTCCGGCACCTCCAAACCACATCCCGCCTGCGTGGGCTCAACAGCCCCGCACGCCTGGGCAATATCCATACTACCCCGTGACACCGTATAATACCACGCCATTCATTCCTCCCATGCCCACAGCGCATTCCACTCCCAACATGCCTCAAAACTCCTACTTCCCCCCTCCTGCCAGTCTTCCAAACGTATATGGAGCCGCACCTGGGAATGGATTCTCGGCTGATTATACTGGGTATCCCAATGGTAACCCTTCACCTTATGTGCCTACCCAACCTCCTCCAGGCACACCTTGGCCTGCGCCTCCCCAACCTCCTCCGGGTAGTACGCCTTGGGCGGCTCCTACCCAACCTCCTCCAGGCACCCCTTGGCCTGCGCCTTCCCAACCTCCTCCAGGCACACCTTGGACACAGCCAGGGACCGGATACATGTATCAGCAACCGCTACCGCCGGGTCCTCCCGCCTGGGGTCCCCAGTTAGGGGCGTTTACGCCAGCGGGATATCCAATGCCAATGCCAGGGGGATATCCTACCCCTGCAGCAGGGTGGGGGATGCCTCTACCCGGGATGCCACCTGGGATGCCACCGAACATGCAAGGTGGTCACACACCATGGGTACACCAAAATGCACCGCCCCCTGCGCCACCACAGCCTGACACTGCTCGCGCGAACTTCCGCTGGACAAGCAGTGCCGACCGTATCGACCCATTTGCCGAAGGGCCACATTGTATGTACCCCTTATTCAGGTTGAAATTTATATTTTCTGATTTGGCCATTTTATTAGATGGTCCCGTTCTCGAGCCTTTCCTCGTAAGGGCGGTATCTGCAACCATTCGCGTCAATCCCCTCGTATCTCCACCCACAGACTCGCATGATGATTACCTCCGCTGGAATATGATTTTCCCAACAAGTACTTGTTATCGCACAACTGGCCCAAAGCGCTCATGGATCAAAGGGCGCGAAGCACCCGCCACGTTCCCGCGCCTGTCACAAATCCGCATCATCTCACGGTCATTCCCGTGGATGATCACTGTCAAAGCAAGACGACAAAACATTGGTGTGACCTGTGGGGAAGTGGTTGAAGCTATTTCTGCATATTTTCATGGGGACGTCGCCAAAAAGGAATACGAAGGCGTCACGACCCGTCGGCGACGGGAGATTTGGCAAGCGTATCAGTTTAACCGCTCTACGGATAGCAATGTCCCTGGTGGTCATCTGGGAGAGCAGCTAAGGCGCCTTGATTGGCTCGGCAGTAATTCGAGGTGGGGCGGTATTGTCCGCAGTGATGAGTTCGTCAAGGAAGCTTGTGGAGACGTTCTGCCTTGCACTTTCGAGCTCAAATGCATCCCAAGCTACCCGCTCACTCCGGAGGAAGCCAACGAGCAGCAGCGGATTGCACGGCATGCTGAAAATCGTTCCCGTTCCCGCTCCCGTTCTCGTCCGACGTCTATGGCGTCTCGGTCTAATTCTAACGAGGGGCGTGACACAGAGACTACTACTGAAGAGGATGATGAGGAATATGAATGATATTTTTGTATGACATGACACGTTTGTTACGCGGATTTGTTTTGTTGTTTTGCGGGATTTGCCCTTCATGAAGTCGATTTTGTAGCCGTGACCATTTTGGCCCATTTATTCTTCATATATTGTTCTATTTTTGCTGTCCAAACTGCATTGGAGTAGAGCTCACTTCACTCGTGTACATACTGCAACAATAAAGCCAACTGTCTCGGTGGCTTCGACATTGTATTATTCTCTACGCTGGCATACAAGTAAGAGCTACTTCATAAGTTTCGAGTCCCCGAGTCCCGACATACGTTCGAAAGGAACACCTAGGGGTTGACTGAAGTCACCAAAAACGGAACGTCAGAAACATTTGTTACGACTCTAGAAATTCCATCGGGGGATGAGAGGAGGGGTAGATGCGAGAACAATGGAGGTAGCATAAAGACTGAATGTGGCACGATTCATGTAGTCATTGTTCAAGGTTTCAAAATTTCAAGGGTATGGTCCTAGCAGCTTGCCGCAACCGTGACCACAATAGCTTCTCGATTTAGTCCAACATCCACATCCACACCTCAAATAATTTGTGGACATGAGCTGCATGGTATATAAAGCGTAGGCATTTCCTCTACATCATTATCACCTTTCCTCTCTGTCTCTTACTATCACCACCTCATGCAGTCAACTTTTCAGACTAATATGATCATCATTGATCAACAACTTTCCTTTGAATGAGCCCGTGCTCATTGAGGTCCATCCTATACCACCTTCTCCTGGCTCCCTCTAACGTCCTACCTGACGATTTGAATTTCCACGACTTATAGATACAAGTATTATTTATTCTTTTCAACAGCAGTTGCAGGTCTGCAGCATTTTCTACTGCCTACCAATAAAATACGTCATGGTGGAAAGTATCATCCCGAAGGTGATTCACCAAGGTCCAAAGGCTTCGCGCTCTCCACGGCGTGCCAATGTGTCCTCCGACGTCTTTCTTCGTCATGTCCGACACTCGGTCATATCCTCTATTTACCCACAGCTTCTCCGAACACAAAAACACTGTCACCCGTCAGTACTGCCCTAACGTCCCTCGAAACCCGTGTCTGCCTGACGACCTAGTAATAAGTCGTCCTAAAAGGTCTGTGGGCAAACATGGGTTGCGAGGGACTTTAGAGTAGTACTGGTAGGTCACAGTGTCCTTGTGCTCGCAGAAGTTGCCGGTAAATTGAGCATACGATCGAGTGTCAGGCATGGCGAAGAAAGGCGTCACAGGATACATTGGGTGCCGTGGAGATCGACGAGCCTTTGGATCATCTTCGGGATGATGCTTTCCACCATGACGTATTTTAATGCGTAAGGACATTTCATGGCCGTCATGAATCTTGCGGCTCTGCGTTGCTTATGTTATGATTGGACAATCATTATTGCGTTTATATATTCACTACTCTAAATCCTGTCAACCGGGGCATTGTATGTTATAAATGAAATCTATACGGTTGACTCTGACGTATGGTGGATGTTTGGTTACAGTTCGACTTCCCGAGATGCCGCACGGATTTTCAATGTCCGATCAGTGTTTGCTTCGAGTATTACCATTCATTTCATTTATTCAATTTTATTCGATGTATACCTTGCATATATTCTGCGTCTGTGTTCGTCTTCCCTCAGTTATTCATGACACGTGTTAGATAAGTCGGCTCATATCTTAAAGGGATCACACGTCCGCATCAGTGCTTGCAGATACTGCTAGTACAAGTCACTGATCAACCATATGGCTTAAATACCATCATCCCTGTGCATTCCAGACTAATGGACGCTTGTCGTGACGAGTTTCTGCGCCTAGTGGCAGACATAAGTATTCGATCGCTATGCCTCGCAGCCTCCTAAAATCCCAACATATTCCACCGAACGCGGTATGCTGAAACACGACCGATTCAGCGCAGAATATTACTCAATCCAGCGTATGATTCACGACATCGGTACTCCGAGCTTTTTGGAAATAGGACCTCACCCAGCTCTCGCTGGTTATCTGGTCACTCTCGGGGGCGAGACAGCCACCGTCGTCTGTCCTCTGCGGAGACCTAAGGGCAATCAAGGGGAAGTGGTTTCTTTTCTCGAAGCATTGGGGAAGCTGGCGGTTGCTGGACATTGCTGCATCGACTTCAATGTTCTCAATGGATGCACCGCAGCAGACGTCCCAAAACTACCCGCCTACCCCTTTTCCCACAAGAAGCTCTTCCTGTACCCAAATTCTTCTTCCAGGCAGAGAATTCGTCAGCCTCGCAACGGGCCGTTGAATTACTCTCCGCTTCGTATCAACTCGCAGACGTACCCTTACCTGGCTCAACATGTGATCCAAGGCGAGCCCATCATGCCTACCACAGGTTTTATTGAAATGGTAGGCAATCACTCGCGCAATCTCAGAGTAGTACACTAAATCTGTATTTTCCAGGCATTACGCTTAGATATCCAAATATGTGAATTTATGAGGCGGTATGCCACCAACTCTGAACGTTTGCACTTACAGGTCATCCAAATCGAAACGATGGTTAGAGATAAGCGGACAATGGTCACTGGTCACGCAGAGCGAATTGATGGAAAACAGGCTCATATCAACAAGCGGGCACACTTTTTGAATACCCAGTGTAAGCTCGTATCTCGACTTCGTGTCCTCGCCGTCTCAACTCCGTCCAGACCGCATGCCAGTCGTCATTGGAAACTTCATTTCCCATCATGTATACGATCAGAAGTTGAGGACTATGCACGAAATCACCAGCAAGACAGCATGTCGTTTCCTGGATGTCAAAACGGGCCGGGAGGAGAAAGCGGGGCACAGCTGGATAGTACGCCTTTCTTCCTCACCTTTGTGAATGTGAATCTCAGCCTTGCGTCTTTCGTATTAGAATCAAAAGGAGATATCTATGGTTATCCACCTCGCCCGCTTATACGAAATCCAGGGCAAGAAGTTCAAGATCCTCACCCCGTACGATGCGCAGAGGACTACGATTGAAGAGCAACTAAAATCAGCGAAGCTTCTGTGGGAAGATAAGTGCTTCAATGTGGACTCCTTCCAAGGCAGGTGGTTCCTTAACATGCTGGAAGGATCTGGCCGACGTTTGACGCAGGAAACGAAGAGGACCATACAATCATCTCTCTAGTCCGTTCCCAGGGCGTGGGGTTTTTAAAGAACGCGCGCAGGACGAACATTATGCTGACACGATGCAAGATGAGCATGATCATTTGCACGAACCGTGATTTCGTGACGAAGGGTGCAGCAGCACGCACGCTAGTCGGGAAGCTTGCTGCTACCATGTGCCCTGAGTCCTGGCCGGACAGTCATAATATCATCAACGGCATCTTCAAGTGATTTGGACTGTTTACATTACGTTTCTTGGAAAGTGTGTTTGAGTTCCCGCACGACTCTACCTTCCTCAACAACACGATCACCGATGTCCTCCACCTTAATCGCTTCACAGTCAAGAGATACTGCAGTAAGCTTGAGGCTTTCGTCAAGGTCGTTCCTGAGGCGAAGTCTTACTACACTCTTGAGACTGCTCGAGGGTGTCAAGACCAAGGAGAAGAGTTTACTCAAGATGCGCAAGGTCAGCTTCCAGTACCCCATGCAACCCGTCCAGCAACTTTACGACATTAATCTCCAAGAACGTATCGCACTCATGGAGCAGGAGAAGACGAAGGAGAAATGTCCACGTATATCTTCCATTAATCGATGTCGAATAATTGTTTGAGACTTAGCGAAATCCACGTGCACTGCTTTGACAAGGCAAACAGATTCGTACTCCCCCCCGCAAGATGAACACTATGATCAGGCAATTTTATACAGCAAGACTTACAACCCCCTCTGGACCGCTGAGGAGTTTAGATTGTAATTTAGATTGCCATTCTGTACAAAATCGCTCTAGTAGAATATAACTAGGGATATACACGAAGAAACAATATTACTGAAACCAAATAGCAATCGGACATTGAAAATCCGTGCGGCATCTCGGGAAGTCGAACTGTAACCAAACATCCACCATACTGACGCATTGCAATGATCCACCATTAAGCTTATCCCCTAATATAAAAGCCAGGAAGATGACAACGAGAAATATCCGCGCATTTCTGGACCGCCGATACATGGGATGTAAGTGAGAGATCATGATGACTTGCGTGACGTTTCACTCAAGTCAATACCACTGAAGTCTTTGAGATGTGTAGCTTACCGCCCAGCATTATATTCCCGACCATACTCGTTCAACGTAGGGCAACATGTATAACCAGGCCTGACAAATCCAATTAGTGATCAGTCTCGGAGGATCACACACTCGAAACAGACTCGCAGCTGTGGCAGTCATTGTCTTGAACCAATAATCTGGTCAAGAGTCTTACTCACCCCTAGACAGAAACGGTGGAGAATACTCACTACATCTGTCACCAAGATCGTCGGAACATATTCCGAATATTGCCAGTCAGAAGAAACAAACAGTGTATGTAGGGAGACATACACAGTACTCCGAGGCCGATTGTGAGCACAACACCATTCACTTAGCCTGCCAAACACACACATCAAATAATATTCCAAGATAGCGCACCTAGGATATGTTCGTGTTCGCACAACTTGCCGACCGCACTTATCACGACCGAAATACACTCAGATACCAAAATGCCACGAAAGACCAACGTCGTCTCTGTTGCGAATTCATGGTTATTCCGTTTTGGCGTGGGACTCGGCTCACCCAGACCAGTTCAACATATAAACCTGTCATTAGCGAGATGGCCGCTCCGTTATTAGCATCAACATACCTCTTGTCCGAATGTAAATGCTGGAGAGACCCAGAGGCAACGACTGTAAAACCGCAGCATGATTAAATCGAGACATTATTCTCATCATCAGACTAGCTCTCCACAGACCTATAAAATAGCTGTGGAAGAGAGTGGCATCAATGACCGGCTACCAAGATGGATCTTTGAGACTGCGGCCATGCTTTCCAAGAATGGATAGATGTGAGCGGGTGCGAACTTGATCTATGTATGACAGTGGATTCGTCCTAAATATACCACCTTCCAGCAATTTTATCATAGGCCGAAATGAGCGAGACGGAATAGTATCCGCTCGTGCCTTGATCGATTGACCGAAGTCAATATGTTTGCATGAAGTCAAGTATTAGAAATGGGAGTTAATCCGTGCCGGCCTTCAGTTGAATCGAAGTAAGCGTTAGTCGTGAAATGCAAAGCAGTGACTCGTGCGCGGAATGTTGAGTTGTACAGTGGGTTAAGTTGTGCGTGGTGACGGGTCTACCCTTGTCTTGTGGGCTGCCCGTCTACCGTGGGTGAACCACGTCGCTAGAGAGAGTAAGCACTCATTTCCACCTGTTTCTACCCATAAAGCCGTTGGAGAGTGGTGGGGTGCCCGCACCAAACACGTATTTAGTCCACAGGAGTAAGGACCAGCATGCGAAGACGTACTACTTGGCCCAAGAAAGCTAACGTATGGTGTGGGGGTGACAAGTGTAGGGGCCCCGGGTCGTTCGGCAATCATCCGTTTTGCGTCCGTTTCGTCCGTTTTCTGGAATATGTTCGGCAGCGCTGTCGATTCAAACGCGGGTGAGAATGAAACTAACAGTCTATCAAGCAAACTCACCGCCCACCAAGTAATCTCCATTCCACTCCCAGATGCACCGTCATTAAAGCTCTATTGCATGCTGTCTGTGAGCCTCCGCCACCTCTGCATCTCCTCGTCCTCAATAGACTTCATGTCTTTCTTGAAGTCACTAGCCGTGTTCGTGAAGTGTACGACGACATGGTTGATCGAGTAGTCCACAATATGGTACCGCCTAAGAGCGTTGAGGACGCCAGGCCAGACGTTGCTATGGACCTCTTTGTACTCATCCACGCATTCTGGTTTGAGCTGTCATGAACGGCCAGGGAGCTTGGGTAATTATTGCAGAGAGTGTAGGTACCTTTATTATCTGGCAAACACGCTTGGTATGTGGAGCAGACATGAAGGGAGCTATAAACCTCGTCGTTACCACGGGGTCGGTCCGGTGGTAGCTAAAGCATGCCGAGGCACCAGCGCCCTAGTTTTGTGGGATATGAATCATGAATGGAAGAAGCATCAGACCAGACTGGCAATTATAGACTGGCAGTACATTCTTGATTGTCATCTGCCAATAGACAACAGCCTCAAAACACTGGAACGACCTATAATAAATACTTATCAGCCTCCAATCAGACACAACAAAAATCGCATAGTCAAGTCAAAGCTTAAGTATTGAGCGCGGCTGGAACAAGTTCCAAGTCTCTTTCGAACTCTGACCACTGCTTGTACGACCAACGCACTCCTTCGTACTTAGAGCTCTTTAACTACTCAACGCTCCCAACAACTCAACATGACCGAATATGATTATCTCTTCAAGGTCCGTAGTCAACTCACACAACAGTTTTCCCGGCGCTCACCAGTTCCCCCTCCATAGGTTGTTCTAATTGGTGACTCTGGAGTCGGCAAATCGTAAGCATGTTTCATGTTCCATTTATCGCTTCCTAGCTCACTGTAGCCTACAGAAATCGTAAGGAATAGTGTGCTTATCATGGGACGCGCGAACGCTCACCCACGTCCCTAGTTCTCTCGAGATTCACTCGGAACGAATTCAACATGGAGTCTAAATCAACTATTGGTGTCGAGTTCGCGACCCGCTCGATCAATGTTGACGCCAAGACGGTGAAAGCACAGATATGGGATACTGCAGGTCAAGAGCGTTACCGCGCAATCACCTCTGCGTACGTGGTCGCTCTCCGCAGTCGCAGTGTATTGTTTAGCCTAATGTTTTCACAGGTACTACCGTGGTGCTGTTGGTGCTCTGTTGGTGTACGATATCACTAAACATGCAACGTACGTCAACGTAACGCGGTGGTTGAAAGAGCTCCGGGATCATGCAGACTCCAACATCGTTATAATGCTTGTTGGAAATAAGAGTGACTTGAAACACTTGAGGGCAGTTCCCACTGAGGAGGCAAAGACTTTTGCAAGTATGTTTTACATGCACCGACTGTGATTGAATCGCTCATGTACTAATTTTCTGACAGCGGAGAACGAACTTTCGTTTATCGAGACTTCGGCTCTAGACGCATCAAATGTCGAGTCAGCTTTCCAAACCATCCTTACCGGTATTTTTGTTCTATACACCAAATGGCAGTTCACTGACGTGCTCCCAGATATCTACCGGATCGTCTCGAGCAAGTCGATCGAGCAGTCTGCTGACCCCATCAAGGGACCCACTAGTGACACTATCCCTGTAGCGATTGACTCTTCCACGCCCGCAGCAGGTAGCAAATGTTGTTAGATGCGTGGACAGAGTTGCTGTTACCTTTCGTCACTCTAGCCTTTGCTGTGGCACTCAGGCGGCTGTGTCTGTAGTTCAGCGTGTATAGTTACCTTCCTTCTTCCTCTTAACACGTTCTGTGCACATGGATCTGGGTAAGAAACACATGTCAGGGCTTCCGAATGAAATCAACAGCGCCTCCGTTTTACGTCGACGGATTTACACGCGCAATGCTTCTCTGCAGTCTCATACTTGCCAAGCACAGATCATCACCAATAGCGGCTTCTTCATAACGAACATGTTCTCAGTTCTCCACCCCGCTCACACAGACGACTCTCGCTGAGCTTCAGCCCTATGGCTGGACAGCCACCAGTGACCTCTGGTCCGCCTCGCTTATCATGGGGTTCTATGCCCTCCTCACACGCCCAGCCGTTCTGGGCTGAGTTCCATAGTGTAAATTCGACTGTCCTCGGAGGCGCTGACGGTAAAGTTGACCCCAAGTTCTGCCCGTGCTGTGCGCTCATTCTCGTGGGAATATTCTCCACCCCGATGGGAGCAATCCCCTACTACCTGGGCTAACTAGACTCCTCCAGCCTCCCACTACCAGTGCCTGCTGCTACTTTCTACCTCTCACTACACCCTCTGGCTTACCCCTTTGACCTTCCCGCTACCTATTGTACCATGTCTCGCAACCTTGCGTGACCTCCCACTAAGGGCCCTTACTCTGTTAAACTCACCCGGACAACCACTTTAACACTGAATACCGCAAGGCATGGTTTGACACAAGGCAACAAATTTATAGTAAAAATTGGTTCGTAGGAGTAAACTACTTCATAAGATTTAAGTCCCAGCGTACGTTCACAAGGAACAAGGCATACTGTACATGTAGATCCTACAACTTAGTACAAGCGTAAATGAGGGGAGAGCGGACACAAGCACTTCAAACGAATTCTGCGAGACGTCGTATAAATCAAAATCAACACCCGGTTGAGTAGATTGGTAGGTTAGGAACGTTCGCCTCTGAGACGGCGAGCGAGAGCGAGATCCTTGGGTTGACTAAGAAAAGGTGTGAGCAATTAAACTACTGACAACGTGGAGAAGGAAGCTTACATAGTGACCCTCTTGGCGTGAATGGCAGCCAGGTTGGTGTCTTCGAAAAGAGATACCAGATAAGCTGCACAAACAAACATGCGTGAGCGTAAGTGACAGTCCAAAGATGCATCGACTTACCCTCACTAGCTTCTTGCAAGGCAAGAACAGCGGACGACTGGAAGCGGAGGTCGGTCTGCAGATGGTCAACATTTGTATTACATGTAAGCGAAATTATAGACATACCTTGAAGTCCTGGGCGATCTCGCGCACGAGCCTCTGGAAGGGGAGCTTGCGGATGAGCAGCTCGGTGGACTTCTGGTACCTCCTGATTTCACGGAGGGCGACTGTACCAGGTCTGAAGCGATGAGGCTTCTTCACACCTCCAGTGGCGGTGGCCTACGACGACGAGCAAACAAATGTTAATAAGCGTCCTCGAGACATCCAATAGCAAATACTAACCGCGACACTCTTTCTAGTTTGCTTGGTAGCGAGTTGCTTGCGAGGGGCCTTGCCTCCTGTCGACTTGCGGGCGGTTTGCTGAAGTTACCAAAAAAGGAAAGTCGTCAGAAACATATGTTACGACATTGGAAGTTCCATCGGGGGATTGAGAGGGTGTTCCGAAGGGTTGAAGATGCGGATGGAACAGAATGCGTGGTTTCAAACCTCCGTGGTGCCTTCTTTGTGAAAGAAAATCACCCAACACAGGTCTTGCGCCACAGCACCCGGCACATGGCAACACCTCCTTGTCATGCACCCCTCACTCGGGACGATGACCATGTCCCCCTCCCCCCACAGAATTATATACCATAGAGTGGAACAGTATCTACATACCTTGGTACGAGCCATTTGAAAGTTTGTGGTGTTTATGAGTTAGAATTTGGGATTTGAGATTGAAGATCACCGAGATGATGGTGGTTGGGAGGAAAGAGAGTGGGGGAAAATACAACAACACATCCGCTCTCCTTAAGCCAGCTGGAAGATTTTTTTGCTGTCATTTCTTTACTCTGCTTTGCAGTGCTTGTGGTCAGTGCGCATTTCAGTGATAGTCTCATGGCAGGGGCGGAGTCAATAACGGAAACCGTCGACATGTGTAACAAATAGATGTAAACAAGCGCGCATGCGATCCCCGAGGAAGTCAAGTATTTAGTCAATACCAAGTCAATACCGTTCATATCTTCAGCGCTTCAGCCACTGATCCTGCTACTAGCTAGGTCTCCCATTTGCTCGAAACGCGAAAATTTGGACTAGGACTTGGTGCTGCCGACCATGAGCATGGATACATCATCAATACCGATTCTATTACCTTCGAGCTCAATTCCGCGTCCACCTTCGCATCCTCACTTAGAATGGACACCCAAACGATATCTCTCTGATCCTCAGCCACCTCCTATGGATGATGCCAGAGTTCTCGAGCAAGAAATGGCTGCTGCTAGACAGTTGCAAGACGGGAAAGCCGTAAAGAAGACCAGGCCTCGGCGGACTGTGGATTTTAACGCGGGTATGGGCAGGTGGAATATTGTATGTAGCAGCTCGGCCACTACACGATTATATGTCTAACCGAGTGTAGCTACGCAAACACCGACCTAACTCGACATATGTCCCCTCCATGAGACCTGCTCCTCCCTTCATTGTTGACGTACGGCCTTTTCATTTCATGGCGCGTAGCAGCTGAGGGATTGTTTGTCATATATAGCTGCTCCCACCAATTGCTTACCCAGCAAACTCCTCGACGTCCTTGTGCACCAAATTCATTCACACCTCAACCAACAAGATTCGATGTCCAGTCAACGTCGTCACAGTCCGTACCACCGTTAATATTTCTTTCGACACTCTCAAACACTAATTTAGTGGACTCCAGAAGGAAGGCGAGTGCTGACAGGGTCAACAAGCGGAGAATTCACCCTCTGGAACGGTCTCACATTTAATTTCGAGACTATTCTGCAGGCCCACGATTCTGCCGTCCGCGCTTTCCAGTTCACACACTCTGGCGCATTTCTAGCTTCTGCAGACCAGAACGGAATAATCAAGTACTTCCAACCGAATATGAATAATTTAACCGCGTGGGCCGGTCACCGCGAGGCTATTCGAGGCTTGAGCTTCAGTCCAGATGACCGCCGCTTTGCAACGGCAAGCGATGATTCGACTATCCGAATATGGTCGTTTGAAGAGAGTCGGGAAGAAAGTGTTCTTACGGGTATGTAATATTGGTCATCGTTTCACAGTTTAGCGCGTTAATTTTATTGCTAGGACATGGGTGGGATGTCAAGTGCGTCGAGTGGCATCCTAGTAAAGGTCTTCTAGTATCTGGAAGCAAGGATAACCAAATAAAATTTTGGGACCCGCGAACTGGAGCGGTTCTTTCAACACTGTAGGTGCACCAAAATACTTTTATTGCCATCACTAACGGGATAATTCAGGCATCAGCACAAAAATACAATCCAAGGCCTGGCCTGGTCTCCCAACGGCAACCTTGTAGCAAGCGCCTCCCGTGATCAAACTGTCCGCGTCTTCGACATCCGCGCCATGAAGGAGTTCCGCGTTCTCAGAGGCCACAAGAAGGAAGTCTGCTGTAAGCCGTGCCTACTTTCACCACATCCAGACACTGACAATCCACAGCCGTAACATGGCATCCCGTGCACCCGATCCTCGTGTCTGGCGGCTCCGAGGGCGCCGTACTCCACTGGGACCTCAGCGGCCCAGAACCCACGACCTTGCAACCCGTCACACAGCCCCGCGCCACGTTATCGCAAGCGCACGATTCCAACATCTGGTCCATGGCATTCCACCCCATGGGCCACCTCCTCGCAACTGCATCCAACGACCACACCACACGCTTCTGGTCGCGCGAGCGCCCTGGAGACGCAACATCAGTTTTCTCCGGCGGTGGCGAGAAACCTCCTGAAATCACGGACATGAGCGGGCAGGACGACGAGGACGACGCGATGGTTCCTGGGTTCAGCTATGGTGGCACGAATAAGTGGTGGGGCAAGGATGAGGACACGGCGGTTGGTTTGGGGGATAATGGTTATGCCCAGCGTGCGCCGTTTTCGGGCGACGATCCGATGGGTTCGGATGATTTCATTCCTGGGTTCGGTGCCGCGGACAATTCAGGGGGTGGCGCAGGCCCGTCGGCTGTTGCTCCGAAACAGAGTGGGCCGCTTCCTGGTCAGGAAGAGATGTGGTCGTCTGACTCGAGAGGTGGTGAGGATTGGGGGAACCGTAGGGGTGGGTGGACAGGTCGGGGAAGGGGGTATAATCCCAACGGTCCTCGTAGAGGGCGGTACTGATTTCATAGACACGGTGGAATTATTTATATCTATCGTGCTGTGTTCTATACGTTGTCTCTGCTCAAAATATTGTTACCATCATCTGAGAGCTCGAAGATACTTGTATTGAGATATAAGAGCTGACTTGGCGCATTCTATGTCACGGAAATTACTGTCCATCAATATGTCAGAGGCACTACGCCGGAAATGCATTCTAGAAAGTTCATAACGATAGCATAGCATATGACAGATAGCTGAAAAGATAAACAAGGAAAATGCTGTACGATGCGAGAAAACCATGTGCAAGGAAATGTGAAAGAGTGCCATAATGTACAAGTTGTGATGACTGCCACAAGATCGAGATAACTAAAAGTCCGTTTCATGATGTCATCGTAGACGCCAAGCATGTCATGAAGTGCAGCGTGAAAAACCCGTGCCGTTAGTCTATAGGTGGAGTATAAGTTCTGTGGAGGGAGTGAGCGTGGTGCTAGCCGACAACTCGGAGCAGACACTCACAGTGGATCACTGGTGTGGGGCGATCAAGCATTGGATTCCCGCGTGGGGTAGTCGAACCACTGCTACAAGTAGTGACGTTATCCAAGCTACAAGAGCGGGGTCCGTTGAAAGCAGGATCGCGCAAGGGAGAAGAAAAATCGTGAGGAGATGAGCACAAGAACGCTTCTATATTGGAAACAGATTGTGAACGGGCGATTGAACTAGGCGAATGGTCTCTCAGTGAGCCAGGGCCAGTGAAGAAGCAGAATCTGTAATGGGGCGTAAGTCTCAAGTTTCGATTGATCCAGGGCTGGGACTTACTGGTTAAGAAATTGGCCATAGCTGTCATTAAGAGATGGCTTGTCGTCAGAAGCAGTGGGTGTGCTGGGTCCCGGAGACGTAAGTGGAGTATTTAGGGAGCTTGAGTCGGACGCTGCACTCGCAGTAGAACTCGTGCTGTTCATCCGAGCCATATTTTGAGCAGCAAATCTGCTAAAGAGGGAAGGTTGTCCTTGCATAGGGTCACTGCTGCGAGCAGGGGACCGCTCTTCAACCGGACTAAGAAGAGCAGGACCTGAAGGGGTTTTACGCGGCGAGCCACCCATTGATCTGTCGAAATAGCCACGACGGTGGTTGCGCTCGCGTGCGGCGAGTGACTGATGTATTGAAAGTGGGGAATCGAGGTCTAGAGAATCCGACCGCACAATGTGCGCCTGCTCCCGCTTCTCCAAATCCCTAGATGACCCTATAGTAACGGATCGAGTATGGCGTGGTGGTATCTTGTCAACGCGATAAGGAGTATGCTTCGACCAACCACTGGAGAGCTCTGTAGGGTACGTGGGGGTCCGTACACCAGGAGAAGACAGGGGAGGAGGGGCACCACTTTGAGGTACCTTGAGCGCAGAGCCTAAATTATACCTCGCTGACAAAGGCGTTTCTGGCGTCAATGTCGAGGAAGAACGCAGTGAAGGAGACGCCTGGGAATGACCTCTATCCACTTTCGCCGACTCGGCTTTGGAACCCGAACCCTCCACGAGAAACTCTGTCGCAGCAGGTGCCTTCCGCGCCACAGGCTTCCCAACGAACTTGAGCATGTAGTTCGCACCGTGGTTGTTGTCCCAGAACTGCCTGCCTGCGGTAGTATACCGCAAGGCAATAAACATAGTCTTCTCCTCGATACGCGACCACATATCATGCAACCTTATGGTGAACGTGAAGATGTCAAACGTGCCACCGTCCACAGATTCCACATAGTGAGCGGTAACTTCGCTCGTCGTCTGCCACAAATCCAGGGTAAACCGGGCAGCAACCCATTTTTCGTACGCGATGTTGCGCACACGGACTCTTCCGACGATAGTCTTGTCGATTTGGGATAAAGTGAGTGCTTGCATGATCACGTCCACATATTTTGGCGGGATGGGCGGCATGTTGACAACCTGGAGCTCGATTTGTTTCTCGGAGAAGTCATCCTGTAAACCACGAGCGAACGAGGGGAAATCGCTCTCGGTACCGCTGGTATCGGTAGCTGGATCACGATCTCGCGATACTGCTAGAGGCTTTTGCTTCGAGAGAAACAATTTGACATGCTCAAGCTTCGCGTCGAAATGTACTGCCTTCGAAAGGGTAGGCGTCGTAGGTTCGCTCTGCACAACCCCGCCCCCCTTCATTGGAATTGATAGGCTGGGGAGCTTGGCGTGCTTGAGTGATGGCTTGATAGGCTGGCCAGACTTATTTCGAATGGATCGCGTCTGCGGCGATAAGTTCAGAGTTCCGGACTGAGATTTGCCGTGTGAGTCAAAATGGGGAAGGGAGCTGGAGCGCATTTCCGAGGAAAATTGACGAGCCTGTGCCCTAAAGGGGTTGGGCTTTACACTCCCAGCGTTGTCAAATGGTGCCTGCGTCAACCGCGCCGTGTCAGCATCCGATGCATCACTAAGCTCTGGCGGTTGACCACCCTTTTTGCCCGCTTGGTGTGTGCGAGGACTCGGATGGTTCCTGGATTTGACAGACGATGGTGTGGGAGATGATGGGTTGGAATTTTGTCCACGAACTCGTCGAGCGCGCGGCATGACGATATGTGACTCATCGGAAGGCGCGGAAGAGGTGGAAGAAGTGGAACTGGACGAGTCGTACTGATAAATATCAGTGGTAGGAAAGCGTATGGATGACTGATCCATGGTTGGATCGACGAGGCTCTTGTCGTGCTCAAGAGCAGTTGGGTCGAAGAACTCCGTCATGGCGGACTCTGACCATGGAACATGACCTAAATGTGACATTCGTTGCAGGGTCTGAGGCGAAAGACGCCCTGCATCGCTGCCATTCTGCATAATTTTTGGATCGGTACTAGGAAATAAAATGCGCGGCTGAGACATCTTGCGACCCAGCGACAAAGGCTTATTGATGTTCTGATGCGATAACCAAGGACCTGTCTCAGAAACGTAAGATTATATTGGTGTGACATCAAGACGGAAACTTGCTTTTGTGGAATAAAATAGGGTGTCAGTGACTTAGATGGACTGAGACATGAGATGAAGATGATGAGGGGGCTGTTGGTGACCAGAAGAAAATGAAGACAAAGTTTGACCCCACGGAAACTGACGTCACTGGCAGAAGTGATCTCCGCGTAAATATAGGTGAGACTGGCGTGGACACAACAGAATACTGTCGACAGTCTGGATGAAGTTCCATTTGCCAGGTGAGTCCGATCACAGTCAATTGAGTCAAATGCTTAGAACTGACTATGTCGCAATATGTCGCAATGGAAAACGAGCACAAGTCCTAGTGGACTCTACGCAGAGCAACGGAAAAAATCTAGGACGTTAATGAACGTAAGCGTAACCTGGAGCTGGTTGGGAGAAAGAAAGGCGAATTCTTCGCATACTCTGTCATGGCGATACAGTTATATATGTTTGAAAATTTGAGAGTTCGGAAGACCCACTGAGCCTATGTAATATCAACGTTACGCGATTCAATACACACGTGCGAAAGATAAGCCATTTCCGTCATACTGTTATCGGCCAATTCGTTTGGTCCTTCCCTTTATGCAACATCGGTAGTTTGCACCGACAGCATCCCTCCCTTCTATCTTGATCGGCTTTCTTCCGTGGATCAAGGCCTGCCCACGAAGTCAAGTTGAATCATGCAGTCATAGATGCAGTCGGCTTGTACCAAGCGATTTCGGACGTCATCAAATTACCGCTCGAGGTCATCCTGAAACCATCCCTAGTGGGTACGGTATGTTTGTCAAAAACGTAACTGTATCAAATGATAAGCTGCGCGGAAATTTCTGCGCACATAGATTTAGAGAGGACAGCATCCTGGTGATTTCAACTACTTAACGGTCAATAGATATGACCATGAACACGTCACCAGCTATCTGAAATCGCATTCTGGTGACCTGATATAAAACTGGGAGGTGAGTAACATGTCTGGGGCAAGCAGCAACAACACTGATTGTTGCCAGGTTGACTCCAGGGCCATTCTCAACCTACGTGGTGTAAGTTGATCCATTTTATATACTGAATTGTGCGGTTCGGAATGAAATGAAAAATCTGATAGATAGCAACTTTAGCCGCTGTTCTTCTATCAACCTTCCACGGAAAGACCTATCAAGGTTTTCGCATTTCACTGGCGCCGTGATGTTCTCTGCCAGTTTCGAATGATAGTCGCTTTTAACGCCCAATCATCCTGCATACGGAGCCTTTGCGCCACAACCACGGCTCTAACTGACCCAATAATAAGTGCGGCGCTAGTAAACGGAGACATTTTCAACGCTCAACATACTTATCAGCCGAGATAAGCAGACTCGAAATGTGTACCTCGATTTCAAAAGGCTCTATAAGTGTTTGTGTAGCTGGCCCACAATCGCGCCTACAACCTGGACCCATGTTATTCACGGAAAAGTCTCGAATCCTCGACGGTACAGCAAATTTTCCATATCTCGCCTGTCAATTTCCCGGTACTGCGCCTCGGCAGCTCCACGCGACGGCAAGGTTCGGAAAGGGCCCCACAGTACTGATGTGGGAGTTGGGGAACCATTTTGAAACGCAAGTCAAGGAGAAATCATCGCGAATTGATCTTACAATTCATTCGGTATCTAACCCAGCGCTGTGGAAGATTCTCAAGCCTCATATATGTTGAAGATCTGCGGGGACCAGGTGGCTCGTTTGATAGAACAATGAGCTAACCCCTTGAAGGCCTTCTCAGCACACAAAAAAGTTTTGCTCAAAATTAGCTGCGCACCGACTTTCCTTGTTCTGCAGCCGCACTGCTGGATTCAAAAATAGGGCTGCTCCACTCAACTTGTCCGCTAGAAGCTTCTGTCATATGTAAACCGCTTGTCTAGCTACGATATCGCGCGGTTGGAGCGACGCGTCGGCGCCCTCGATACCCTGCTTCTTTGTGGAGTCATCAGAAAGAGGTTTGCGTTTTCTATTTTCTATACGATCTTCTAAGCCGCGCTCACCAAGTAAGGAGCATGCCATTGAAGGTGTTTCATCAGTGTAGGTCAAGCTTCTTTCCCATCGATCCTCATTCTCCCTGTGGGCGCAGAAGGTTGTCAAATCAGGTGCACACTCAGGATCGATGAAATCATACCGACGTCAAGGGTCATCCGCAGTTGTGGTGCCAATCCAGGGACCCGTCTGAACCAACCTTCGGAGTATCCTATTGCTTCACATATTCGGGATACTTTCCTGACATGCGATTCGCCCGTGAGCTGCCAGTCTCGAAGCTCTTCAATGGATTCCGAATTTTATTCTAGCATACCGATGTCTCAGCATGAAGTGAGTTCGTCATCTGTGGAGGCGTTATTATCCTGATATGAGGCACAACAGCGCATCTGTGATATCCTCAAACTCGACAAATGACTTTTATCGCAATTATATTGCTTCTCGTCGAACTGCTAAAGATACATGTCTCTGAGCCCATACTGAACTCCTCGCACGTCCTGCGGCCATATCACAATTACATGCCTTTCATCAAGACAAACCTCTTTTGATAGAATTTGAATTTGAAATGTACGGGCTTCGTGCTATAAGCGGTGAGCTTCGCGACTCAAACAATCACCGAAGATGACAGTCTGCCCACCTTTTTCCAGGGAAAACCCTAGGGAAACGGACCACAACTCAAACCCCATTCCTTCGCACATTTCTTGAACGTCATGTATTATCTGCTCAAGTTGACGACTTCTGAACTGGAAAAAATTACTAGCTGTGACAGAAATAGACGAAATTAATAGGTTAGGTCTTCATCGATTGATGACAGCCGCTGATGCTTATGGGACCTTATTTCTAGAGTATCACGTCGGAAGAAGTGAGCTCGCCTCTACATGACGTCGTTGAGCGCTAATTCGGTTTCGCATGTGCCGGGGCGTATTATGCAAAATTGAACACCAAGAAACCTGAACTTTGCGTGTCGGCGTCGAACGTATTTTTTGTGGAATCGTTCCGTGGGTTTGAAGAGTATCTATCAGGTGCGTGCTCTTGAAGCATGCGATGAATGAATAAACTGCATAGAACTAAAAGACCAGTCCACGGTGGGAGTTTACGGTGCCGTCTGCGACCGGTCGTGACGTGTGAGGAGAAGCCCATCCTGCGATTCATTGGACAATGACTTGTGGCCCGCGCAGGCTTCGAATGACGTCTTGCGATTTAAACGAAGGTCGCAGATTACCGAGACCGACTCGGAGGACTTGAGCCATGTGGAGACGTTCAGCCAACACAAAAGCTGGATATCTATCTCCAGGGAAATTGCAAAAAAACTGCACAACCTGAAATATCGGACGCATCACTGCTGATGATTTTCTGTATGAGCGATACGGACTCCAATGTTCCTGTCTTCGTCAGTATATTTAGCACCATCATGGAATCTAAAGCAACGCCGACGTCATGAAAGAATGATTTTAAATAGGTATAGCTCAGAATGAGAGATGCAGTTCTCGAAACATACAAATGGTATTCCCTTCATCACGGAGAAGTGTGGTGCAGAAGCTACTTTATGATGCGCTCGCTCCCAGATGGTATTTTATCAATCGCACTAAGAAGCACCGGGTTTGATGGACTTGTCTATGAGTCCATTTTCTGAGGAAAGGCAATGGCATGTATAACATCAGCACTGGGGAATCCATAAGAAGAGTTGCGGTGGTGTCATAGGCATCCCATGTATTTCCCGAAGACGGAGACGCGCGGGTGAAAGTCACATATCGTCTTCAAACCACCAATAGCAAGTCCATCAGTACTGAGGAAGAATATGATCTGACACAGCAACGTCGGGCTTGAATGTTCTGAGTCATGCATTGACCGCTCCCTTGGCTTCAAGCCAAGTGGTACATCTTGGGCCAGGAACGCCAGGCTATCACCAATTTATCTGACGGCGCGTTTACCTTCAAAATAGCCCACCCGCCAATCTGCCCCAGTCCATGTCAGGCACGTCAGCATCGACACCGGGAAAATCATTCAACCGGAGCGCCGCCCAATTGATACGCGGACGGAGCACAGGGCCTTTTAGTGGGAGGGGAACGTAGTAGCACTCAAATTATTGTATACGAACGGCTTAGCGACCTCATCGATCTGGAACTACGATGAGTGAGCCCGCGTGGGTATCGCGGCTCTTGAGAAATCTGCATTTTCTCATGCCTAGCTTTGTTGCAGAACTACCATGTGAACAGGTTCGGTGGGGATGGTGATCGGCGGAATAAGGTGTAGGCAATGAATTCGGCGGAACAAGGCGTAGTATGACAATCAAGATCTTGAAGGAATGTGTGCTTAACCCGTACCGCAGCCGTCGTATGCAATGCATATGATGGTGGTGGTGGTATTTGAAGTCTGTGAATGAATGACCCTCTTGTGTTGGTCCTCAGATGAGATTACCCACCTCCAGTGGTTTGGAGTCTGGACCCGAGGGAGAATCGGTTCCAGTGTGCGGAGGTGTTTGATCTGCTTCCACCATAACATGCGTCTCTCGATACGCCCACAGCACAGGTACGTACGACCTTTCACTGGAGGTAGTGCAAGTACGCATGGGGTGCAGATTGTCTACCGCTCGTGCGGGCTTGACCGCGGAACATTGAGCATCCATTGCCAGTGTGTCATGGTGGTTGGTACATATGACCTACAAAGGCCCGGGAGGGCCGCAGAAGATTCTGGATAGAGCGACAGTCGTGCAAAACGGCGAGCACTTCCTAGTAGCTGTCTGAGTACTGTTAGACTCTTGCGGAGAAGTTAGCACACAAGTAGACATACTCAAGTAATGTGTTCACCGTTGCTTGCCAATTGGCATAACAGCCTCTTCAGTGGTATTATCGTGGGAACATATTGATATTACAGACTCTTCCACCACTCACAAACTCTAAGTATAGCTATGATGCGTTCGCCTTGGAGGGGATGAAGTGCACCACGGAGATGTTTCATCCAATGACGACGATATACGCCTGTAGACTCCAGGCTCGAGGGTGTCGGAGACACGTGTAGTCACTGTATTATAACCATTACCCAGCGGCTTCGTGAGTCTGTCCATCTCATAGTCTGATGCAATTATTCACTTTGTTGTACATTTATCATCAGGAACTCGAGCTGCATTAATGCGTATTTCTTCCTGTTGTCCCAGAAATTGACTATCCCCGGAGGAGGTCCTCGACAAGGACATTCATTGTAACATCCTGGTGCACACACGTCCAATATACCCCTCAATAAAGTGCCATATATCGTGTGGAACCTCATGTCAGCTCCTACCTTCACTTTGCCTCGATTCTGCCCCCCGCTCTTGCCTGGCGCTCGTTTAATTTCTTCATTCCGCTTGTTCTTGCCTCATCTTTTCACGGCTCAGAGCTCGCATCATCATTATACTCGTCATTTTCATGGTGCTCACGCTCTCACCACCTTCCGTTGTGTACATAGGCTTATCGCGATCTCATGTTATACAAAACACAATAAACTCCCTATCTTGTCACACGCAGTGGTGTCAGGATTTAAAGCCTACTTGTGCTCTGTGCAAAGGAAACAGCGACCAAGGAACCTTCAAACCTTTCCATCCGCAGCAGCGATCTTCTGTTTCTTCAGCTTTTCCGTGTCATTTTCCGCCACGTGAGGCGCCAGTGAATAGAAAAGACTCACTCCATGCGCAATCGCATCTCACATTACTGTCCGTCGTAACGTGCTCCAATAAGTCAGCAGGACGCATAACAGTGAGTGTCACGCAGTCGACTCTTCAGCAAATCGATCGCTCAGACAACCCTGAATCAGACTCTATCATGATGCTAGGTATAGAATAAACAACGGAGCATTATACACTGTACAACCCTCATCTGAAATCTCTGTAATAGTACATCAACTACTGCAACAAGATCATTGTCACCAAGGTCTACAAGTGTTGATTTGAGTACGCGCGAGGAATAAAAAAGGCTCGAGGGACTCACTGATCTCGGCACTTTTGCCAGTGTTGTCCATGTGCCATGCGGCTCAAATCAAGTTCTGTACCCCCTCTAGGTAACACTAATGCGGTCCCAGGACTGTAAAATGGGTGTCGAGAAGCGAATGGTACCCAGAAAAAGAGACGATGTTTGGGTCCTACAATCCATCCATCATCAGCCATCAGAAAGGGGGAGGCGGAGCGAGTTTCATCATGGGATGCTCCCTCCGTTAACTGCGAAGGGTCGCACAGCGCATGGGTAGAGTTGGACGAGAAGCGGATTGGGTGACCGTTCCAAGTGTTGCTTGTCGTGGCAGTGGTGGCCTCGATGGAATGCATGCTGCAGCATTTGTTTGTTAATGTTGGATGATCTATATCTGCATACTGCTGCAATGGGTGCCTCGTCATCACATCCCACAGCCGGACAGTGAAATCGTCCGAACCGGTCACGATGCGAGTGCCATCCGGCGAGAACGAGACTGAGCTAACTGAGTCAGTGTGCCCATGGAAGGGCTCGCCGACTGGCTGCCCTGTCGCTGCATCCCACAGCCGGACAGTGAAATCATCCGAACCGGTCACAATGCGAGTGCCATCCGGCGAGAACGAGACTGAGGTAACTGAGGAAGTGTGCCCATGGAAGGGCTCGCCGACTGGCTGCCCTGTCGCTGCATCCCACAGCCGGACAGTGTGATCCCTCGAACCGGTCACGATGCGAGTGCCATCCGGCGAGAACGAGGCCGAGTTAACTGAGTCAGTGTGCCCATGGAAGGGCTCACCAACTGGCTGCCCTGTCGCTGCATCCCACAGCCGGACAGTCTTATCCCAAGAACCGGTCACTATGCGAGTGCCATCCGGCGAGAACGAGACTGAGGTAACTGAGAAAGTGTGCCCATGGAAGGGCTCGCCGACTGGCTGCCCTGTCACTGCATCCCACAGCCGGACAGTCTTATCCCAAGAACCGGTCACGATGCGAGTGCCATCCGGCGAGAACGAGACTGAGTTGACTGAGTCAGTGTGCCCATGGAAGGGCTCGCCGACTGGCTGCCCTGTTGCTGCATCCCACAGCCGGACAGTCTTATCCCAAGAACCGGTCACGATGCGAGTGCCATCCGGCGAGAACGAGACTGAGCTAACTGAGTCAGTGTGCCCATGGAAGGGCTCGCCGACTGGCTGCCCTGTTGCTGCATCCCACAGCCGGACAGTGTGATCCCAAGAACCGGTCACGATGCGAGTGCCATCCGGCGAGAACGAGACCGAGCTAACTGACCAAGTGTGCCCATGGAAGGGCTCGCCGACTGGCTGCCCTGTCGCTGCATCCCACAGCCGGACAGTGTGATCCCAAGAACCGGTCACGATGCGAGTTCCATCCGGCGAGAACGAGACTGAGTTGACTGAGTCAGTGTGCCCATGGAAGGGCTCGCCGACTGGCTGCCCTGTCGCTGCATCCCACAGCCGGACAGTCTTTTCGTACGAACCGGTCACGATGCGAGTGCCATCCGGCGAGAACGAGACTGAGGTAACTGAGGAAATGTGCCCATGGAAGGGCTCGCCGACTGGCTGCCCTGTCGCTGCATCCCACAGCTGGACAGTGTTATCGTCCGAACCGGTCACGATGCGAGTGCCATCCGGCGAGAACGAGACTGAGGTAACTGAGGAAGTGTGCCCATGGAAGGGCTCGCCGACTGGCTGCCCTGTCGCTGCATCCCACAGCCGGACAGTCTTATCGTCCAAACCGGTCACGATGCGAGTGCCATCCGGCGAGAACGAGACTGAGTTAACTGAGGAAGTGTGCCCATGGAAGGGCTCGCCGACTGGCTGCCCTGTTGCTGCATCCCACAGCCGGACAGTCTTATCCCAAGAACCGGTCACGATGCGAGTGCCATCCGGCGAGAACGAGACTGAGCTAACTGAGTCAGTGTGCCCATGGAAGGGCTCGCCGACTGGCTGCCCTGTTGCTGCATCCCACAGCCGGACAGTGTGATCCCAAGAACCGGTCACGATGCGAGTGCCATCCGGCGAGAACGAGACCGAGCTAACTGACCAAGTGTGCCCATGGAAGGGCTCGCCGACTGGCTGCCCTGTCGCTGCATCCCACAGCCGGACAGTCTTATCGTCCGAACCGGTCACGATGCGAGTGCCATCCGGCGAGAACGAGACTGAGTTAACTCTGTCAGTGTGTCCCCTGAGCACGGTTTGAGCAGCTGGCCAGTCCATATGACGTCCAGATGCCACACGAAGAGTATTCGGAAATTGTGCAGCAAATTTAGATAGGGCAGAGTTGACAGGCGAGAATGGTAGTGCTGATACATACAGATGTGGCGTGCTGTGTAAAATCATGCCGCAAAATATTTGAATGAACCGGTGCACGTCCATTGCAGTCGATGAGATGTTTTTGAATTCGGAATGGCGCTGTGGTTACGCGTAAGTAATTGATCTGACGATTAATAACTATGTGCTCACCTTCGGCCATTGGGCAATCAGCCGAAGAGCGGTAGCTGCGCCGCTGAGCGCGTTGATCAGGGCAAGCACCTCGAGCCAGAAAAACATCCGCTCGTGGTCGAAGAACGATTTTACTTCTTTCGCGAGCTCCGGGTCGAAGACTGTTGCTCGTACATGTCCAGTCCAAAATCGAGTGGAATATGACAGATGCGGGAGAATGCGTTGTTCAACTCGTTCTTGCAGTCCAGGATCTTTACAATTAGGGAGGTACGAAGACGTTAAATCACAGATATTGAAGCGAAGACCATGTTCCATGACTCGAAGCGACGCAAATGCGAGGTCGCTTTGCTTCTTCGACACATCGACAAAAAACTCCCCACTGGAGGATTGGTCGGTCAGGAAATCACGGAAGGATGCGTGAAGGGGTCGGATGGGGGTAGACGAGTCAGTGGTGCCACTGAGGAGGGGTGCCAGATGTCCCAACATGTTCTCTACTTTGTAATGCTCGCTTTCGTCCGGAAAATGACCCCGCATGATGTTCAAGGAATTTAAAGGGAGGGGTTCAGCTGCGCCAAGTATTTGTCCCATAACGGAACGAAACCTTTCTAGCTGTCTGCGCTGGAATGCGGCATTTGCGTGTCTATCCTTCGGCATGATCTTTGTCAACATGAAGTCGTACATATTGTACAACAGGTTTTCGCGCTCGGCGGGATCGCGGGACACCACAGCATCGAAGGAATCCTTTTGAGAAAATCCAGCGTGGGGTGTTTTAATGTGTTCGCAAGCGAGACGCGCCCACTCGAACAAGCCATCAGCTTTCTGAGCTATGGCTGCAAATTCCTTATCCCCAAAATCCGAGAGCCCTTCCAGCTCCTTTGATGTGTAAGCGCGGATGTCGCGCTCTGCGGTGTTTGGTGAAATATCGTCCATGGACATCCGTCGAATGTGCTGAGCACCTCCAAGTTCAGCTTCAATGTCAGGGAGCAGGCGAGATGTAACAATTATCCGCATGTTTTTTGGGAGTTCGGTGATCTGGGGAACAGCCAGTTTACCAGCAAGAATGCGGAGAAGGTGACGCCGTGACTCGACTCCGCCGCTCTCGTCCAATGCATCGATTATAACCACGACGGGCCCCGCAGTTGACGCTGAAAGCTTCCCTAGAGGTTCCGTCAGAAGCTTCTGCCATTGCTGCACAATATCCACCGTGGTCTTGAGTGCACTGTCGTTCTGAACTGCATCCGCCAATGCTCTCCTGATCTCTGGATGACGATCGGCGAGGTCGCGCGCGATTGTGGAAAAAATCTTTTCATGGCGACGATCTGCTTCTCGCTGGCGGTCAAAAGAGTAACATGAACCAAGCCCTCCCACGTTGTGGAACCAGCTAGCGATGGTGTGAGCGATGGCTGATTTCCCCGTGCCTGCAGGCCCAGATAGCCACAGCACGCGCTGAACATCGTCTTCAGTGCTGTTGACCCAGTCCGTGATCTGGGAGAGGATTTCTGTGCGCGTTCCTGGTAGGCATTGTTTCGTGGTATCTAGTCCCGCGCCCGCTGCATAAGTTATACCGCTGAGGTCCAGTAGTTCGCCTGAAGAGGTGTGAATGAATGTCAATGCCAGTAGCACATCTCAAACTTACCTGTGCAATGAACGAAGATGGTTACGTCCCGAATGGCCTGGTCGCGAAAGTTTTGCATGAGTGTATCTAACACGTTGTTGTACTGTCGAATAGCATCATCTGTTTCCGAGACGATGTTCTTTCCGAGTCTCTTCCCTATGATAATGGCATAAGTTTGAGAAGGTGCGAAGCGCAACAGCGTGTACGGCTCACAGAAGTTCTTTGTCTCCGAATAATCTCTGATAAAATGGGCACATTGAAGGGTTTGCTGAGAGATCTGTCCGATGATGGTGTGCATCGATGAAATGTGGGCAAGAGTCTTGTCTTCCGTCACGAAGCGATAGACCTGACCCAATTTCTCGAGAAGCTGAATTAGCGCTTTGTCGCGATCCGCTTGAGCGAGAATAGTCTGCACAAATGATTGCTAAGCAGAAGATAGAAATGAGAGCGGGCACAAACATACTTCTGAGGCACAAGACAATACGCCCAGTGCCATCTTGGCATATGGATGTACCTATGGAACGGAGTTGGTTCGGGTCAGATCGAGGAGAATGGTCCATACATCCGCGATTTTCGCGATAACGGTATTGAATATCCTGAGGGGTTCGAGATAGGTGGCTTGTAAATTGTCTGCGGTATCGAGATCCGCTGGCGCATTTCGAGCAGCAGACACTCCAGATTGCACACGTCCCGAAAGTGACTTCATGCCCTGTGCAGCTGCTTCGGCGCCCTGAAGGGCTGGTTGGGGATCAGCGCGTCTGTCCACGCCAGATGGAACATCCTGAACATTTGCGACCACCAGAAATTAGAGAAAGTGTAGAAGTTCATACATTTGAGCACCGACCTCGATACACGGAGCCGATGAAGAACCTTCATGACTGGCCATCGGGAGAACAGGGTCGGGGGTGCGGGAATCCTTCAAGCGCTTTTGTACGATCTCAGCCTTTTTCCGTCACTCAGTGCCCGTCGACTCACAGAAATTTTTTTAGCCACATCATTCTTAACATTCCTCACAAACCCACGGATTTTGTCACGACGTCGGCCCTAGACGAAGGATGGCATTAGAATCAGTGTTTCAATTGTAATGTGATCCTCGTACCCGTACTGAGCTTTCACCAGCCATTGCTCCGCTAGATGAGCGGCTTTCTGCAATCGAATTCTTCAATGGATTGCCTTTGCTCATTGGGAATGATGAGCTTGAGGATCAGTCTGAAGCAAAAAAGGACGATAAGAAGGGTGCCACGCCTTTCACATATTTGCGGCAGTATTGTCTTCAAGCGCTAATCCTTGGTGGCCAGGGTCCAGGGAATTCCGGATAACGCACACCAAGTAAACGAGGAGCGCTTAACTTCATTACGTTCGTCTAGAGAAACGCTCTGCTGAATGTGATCTTGGAGTACACGATCGTAAGCTGTACAATGGAAGCTTGCAGTCTCCTCTCAAGATATTTGGAAGAAGAGCCGCTACAGTCGATTCTATCGAGATCGGGTATCATGAAAGTTCGCCATTGCCGAATCTTGAGTCCATTTTGTCCGACACCGCAACGTGTAGCACCCTGAGCTGGGCCACGAATGTCACCTAAGACATCAGCATGTCAGAGTCGGATGGAGAAGGAATTATCAGTCCTGCAGACAACGTATCACTCGCGTGGATGTTCAATGGCAAGGTAAGGTAACATGCGTCAATATTAATGTGAAGATCATTAATTTGTTCTCTAAAGGTACGCTAGAGATATATCAGGAAGCCGCTGTTCGACCAGCCATTCACGGAAAAAGCCCCTTCGTCTAATCAACACATCCACTGGACGTCAGATCAACGCCACCATGGAAAGCACAGAGTACAAGGTATTCATCGGCGGTGCATGTGCTCTGCTCTTGAAATGGAACCCATCACAGAAGCAATCGCAAAGTACTTCAGTTGGGTTATGTTATCCCATAGGTAGGAAAGGAAGGAGCCATATACGACTTGAACCTGGCCGGAACCATCGTGAAGTTGCACAAATTTTGTAAAGTCCCTCGTGATGCTGGGCATGGAGTGGTACGTGTTACATCAACCCGGAGAACGTCGAGCTACAGGAATCAATCAATTCCATGTTCATCTGGTATCACTGTTCAGCACTCACCATCCTATTTGACGTTCCTGCCTTCGTTAAACTCTGGCGCACTCGCAAACAGCATTTGGAACACCCGAGGATGGACCGTTGAGGTGTTCCTCGATCCTTACATCGTTCTCTTCTAACAAGCAGACTAGACCCTACACCTCGACGACCACTCAAGCAACCACAAACAATCTGTCGCTATCATGCAAGAGTTGCAGCGTTCGACTGGCATAAATACCCAGGCGCTCACCCAGGATGAGAGGTGCCCGAGAGAAACTTCTATGGGCGTAATTTGCTTTAGCGTCTGCTAAACGATATATTACAAAGACATACATGAACATTCCTCTAGGGAAACATTAGCTTGACAACTAAGGCTGGCATGTAGATGCCAAATAACACTACAAGGTTCTTCTCCAAGGACCAAGGTCAACGGGTTATATAGCCGTGCATACTAGCCTCAACACCTGCATAGCATCAGTTAATTCTATGTCGATCGATGGGTACTTCACATACAAAGTTTCGTAGACCGCATCCCATCGCAAAAGTACCGCATCGAATTCAAAGAGAGTGATCAAACTCGACAAATCCTCCATCGACTTTAATGCCACTCAATGAATCGATGTTCAAGTGGTCGGGTAGTCGTCGTCGAGGACATAAATGCGCTCAAACTCCGTCTAAAATTTACCACACCCAAATAATCCAATTACGGTAATAAAGAACAGGGAGAGCGCCCATTTCGAAATTTCCACGTCTTCCTTCCCAACTTCCTCGGCCCACTCAAGTTTTCGTCGGTCAAGTTCAAGCTAAGGCACAAGATGGCACCCTCAGATGAGCTCGAGTACCTCAAGCACCTTGTAGCTCAGCTCAATGAGAAAATTCACGCGCTAGAGACGAAAGCGAAAGCTATCGTTCCTTCGAAGACGCCTGCTCAACAGCTTAGGACTATTCTTATGGGTCCTCCTGGTGCTGGTCAGTGTCCCTTACATGGCCTTGCGTGGGGTTCTCCGGTGGGATGATGACGTTGATTGGCGGTTTATAGGGAAGGGAACACAAGCACCACGGATACGTGACGAGTTCTGCGTCTGCCACCTCGCAACTGGCGACATGCTCCGCGAGCAAATAGCGAAGAAAACCGAGTTGGGGAGGATGGCTAAGAAAGTTATGGATGCCGGCGAGCTAGTTACGGATGATATCATGGTTAACATGATCAAGGATCAGCTTGAGAATAACAAAGAGTGCTCGAATGGGTGCGTCGATACTCATCGAATATTCTCTTCTTGTTCGTGTCGTTGACGTTGAGAGCTCAGATTCGTATTGGACGGATTCCCAAGGACCGTTCCTCAAGCCGAGAAACTCGACTCCATGCTTGATTCTCGCGGTGAAAAGCTCAACAGCGTCGTCGAGTTGCTCATCCCTGATCAACTCCTCATCTCCCGCATCACCGGTCGTCTCATCCACCCGGCTTCAGGACGGACGTATCACAGGGAATTCCAGTGCGTCTCACTAACGCTGTGCACTCAATAAAACTAACACATTCTGGTACTAGTCCGCCTAAAAAGCCTATGACGGACGATGTCACAGGCGAGCCCCTCATCCAGCGCTCCGATGACAATGTAGAAACGCTGCGCAAGCGTCTTGTAACCTTCCACAAGCAGACTGGTCCCGTCGCAGAGTACTACAAAGGCAAAGGCTTGTGGCACGGTGTGGACGCCGCTCAAAGTCCAAGTGTCGTTTGGGACAACCTTCGCAAAGTCTTCCGGGCCCCACCGACAAAGTCGTAATATATCGCACGTTTTCCCATACATAGACCTGCCTATTTTGTGCATAGACTGTCTGTCACACAGTGCTTTCCATCTACATATGATTTGCGCAACCAGGGAATTTTGTCAAACAGCATGTACATAGAACACCAAACCTGCGGGATATACACGTAAAGCGACTATCCAATGCTTGGTTTGGTGGGATATTTTGCTTGAGTGAGCGAGCCTGAGCAATTACTCTGCTTTCGATCCCTTCTTCCTTTCGCCTTTGACGTCTCCTGCAAGCCACAGAGCTGCAAAAAGGAAGAACCCAACACTCGTGCTGATAGCGCCTGCGTAATAAGGCCATGCAGCGCTCAAGAAACGAGGGTATTGGTCGTGTCTCGGTGGCACGACAGGGACGGTCGTGCTCGATTCCAGGTATGAATAACTGAATTGCAAATTAGTTCAGGACGTCAAAATGATTATATTCACTAACCCCTTCCTCTTCCAGTTCAAGACGAACTTGAAAACACCGTGTCTGTCAGGTGCGCGGAACTGGACTTGGTATGTACCAGGGGAGCCAGGAACAGGAGGCAGAGAAGTGCGGATGTGAGGGTCGAGCATCGTGAATTCCAATTGCAAATCCTCGATACCGCTGTAAGGTTTCCACGTCGAGGTCTTGCTATCATACGAGGATATATGCGCCGTATACACCTAATCACTACGTCAACCAAATCCCACTCAAAACCAGCAAGCAAGCAACTCACAATCTCGTCATTGGTAGTATACATCTCCGGCGCCTCGGTCTGATTAACCCGATGATGTTCAACCCCATCAATCCTCAACGCCAGTTTTTCCTGGAAAACCCACGCAGCGACGTCCCTCGCGAACAGAGAGTTCCCAGACGGCTTCCCAGAAGGAAGTTCCTTCCTCGCATATTCATCGCTGAAAAGCTGAACGCCACCTGCAAAAATGACGCGAGAGTTCACGTTCGTCTGGAAGCCAGTCACTAAGCCCATCTGGCTTCCCGCCCATAAGCCTTCGCCACCTTTTTCGGTAGCGTCGACGAGTGCATCGCTGTCAGCATCGGATGTGGGGTCAGCTGCGAAGCTTTCTGCGGGTGCGCGGAGGATGGGAACGAGCATTGGAGTTGTGCCTAGTGCATGGGGGGCGCCAGTGAACCAAATTGGGGGAATTCCTGGGGTGAGGAGTGGGGATTGGGGGACGGAGACGGGGATGGTGGTTGGAGGCTCTGAGCGGGCGGGGTGGTGGGAGATGAGTGGTGTTTCGGGAGGTGGGAGGATGAGTGAGAATTCAGTTGCGAAGCTTGTGAGGGGGGTTTGTTTTGGAGAGAGGGCGATGAGGAGGTTTGTGTTCTCTGAGAGGAGGCCAACGAGCGACTGCGGAGTGATGTCTCGTGCGTATGCTGTGATAGAATTAGCAGGTTTGTATCTGGTGGGTGCCTTGGACGCTTACATTTTGTGTCTGGAGCGAAGAGGATGACGTGGTCAAAGTTTGGCACGCCATAGTCGGTGATGGCAGGACTGACGTCTTTGGGGGCACGGAACGTCAAGTTGTACCCTCGTTCTACCAAGGAATCAGCAAACGCTAAACAACATTTTGAACACATACTTTCAAGTCCACCAAAGAAGATTGAGTAGTTTTCCCTGTCTAATGACGGGTCGAGTAAGACAAGAACCGAGTCCCCAGAACTCGAACTTGCAAAGCTGAGCCTTGCAAACGCAAGGAGAGTCACGAGCGCAGAGTTGAGAAGTCGCATCTCTGCCAAAATGGGGTTCAAAATGTTTCTGATACCAGCGTTAATGTCGACCTACTTGCAATTGGTCGAGGTTGCGTGCAGCTTCCACGTCGATAACTTTGCCTATTTTTGGACGTATTTGAGTGTGTGGCTGTGTTGCGTTTCTTGACGACTCGCCGCCAGGGTTTATGATATCATACCCAGGCCTTGGATGGGTCTCTTCATTGGCAACCTACTGCTATGCCATTCTTTCAGCGCATTCGGGGTGATGGCTACGACAGCAAAGGTACTTATCCGGCAAGTTAGCAACTCCACGTCTTCGATTTTATAGATTGCACGAGACCCTGGACATGGAGCTTGACGAGTGAGTAACTGACATCCATGATACTGTACTTCGCGAATCTAATCGTGATTTTTTTCTAGTCAACTATACACAGTGCGCACCGGACTCGCAGATGACGTTTCTGTTGCACCGGGGTACCAGTTCTGCTGTTGCTGCTAGTCGCTCATCTCAGTCTTCAGCTTCCCTAATCCCCGGCCCCACCGCTTTTTGGACTTCTTGTTTTCTTCGTTTCTAATCCCCTGCCTAGATCCTCTCTCATTGTAGTCTCGTTACCATCCGCCTTAGGATTTAACGTGAGACAAGGCCATCTTACTAGTATCCCTCTGCAATCTCCCTGACGGGCGTCAGAAAAGTGACGAAGAGGCCAAGGAAAGGTTGAATACGGATGTGAGCCACCATTTAATACATTTTGACTGTGTAATCACGAGCCTGAATGCCCTGTTTAGGATCCTATGAGACGAAACGTGTGCATAAGCTGGACAGTTGGATGGATTACGAGAATTTCTACATCTAGCTACTCTCCCCAATTGCAAACACAATGGTGCACGTGGGCCTTGGTGACCAGGTTGACAATGAAAGCTATAAACAGCTGCGGTCCGCTGGCTTTGCCATATTTGACACTGTGCTTGCTGGCGCCGATGTGTGGGGTGAACCCCCTCGGGTCCCGACCCGAATATCAAAACCAACCCTTGCAATCACCAAAGCCTTCTTTTGTCAAAAAATCTTGGTCGCGCTCGCGATGGCGTTTCGTTTTCTCAAGGGTCTCATACAATCAGCTAGTTCAAGATATCAAAAACTTAGTCTAGTTGGAAAGGTGACATCAGTGTTGAATCTAAGTGTTCCCGTTATCAACTAACGATGCCGCTCCAGGCTTTGATGTGGTTCATTGTATTCTTCAATGCCTGTTTCGCCACATCCATCATTGTGATCACTCCAACTCGCATTGCTCAATTCATGTATAACGCCGCTCAAGACATCCGACATCTTCCGTATGGGTATGCACTTCTTATCGTTGTCCTGAGTAGGCACACACCTTCATCCGATGAATCCGAACATGCTAATTCCCCTCAGCTGTTATGTCCTTTCCCCCTTTCCTTGGACATGCCATGATCCTTAACTTATTCGGTTTCACATACGGTGTGCAAGGCTTCTTCCCTGCGGCAGTTGGAACACTGGCAGCCTCCGCCATAGTTTTTGTTACACTTCGGTTCATATTCAGCCAGAGGCTGCGTTCATGGTCATCCACTAACGAGAAATGGCAGGCTCTGGAAACTGTGATAGTTGGTATGTTTCATTAGCTTCGGCACACTTGCTTAGTAGAAGACGGCTACAGCAATCCAGAGGCCTTCCCCTGATCATCCTCATCCGCGTCTCTTCGTTGCTGCCGTGGGCTTGGTCAAACTCGCTATTCGCAGTAAGCTTTTTGAGTTATTTACTGGTTCGGATCTAATTCCTTCATGTTAGAGCATAGCGCCGGTTTCGTTGTTCCAGTTCTTCATAGCGACTTTGTTTGTCCTTCCAAAGGCTATGGTTTATGTGTTCGTCGGAACTCGTATTGCTAGACTCTCCGACGGCAAACAGAGAAATCAAATGGATACCCGTAAGAACACGTGTCATGACATTCCGCTTTCATTGATTCATGGCGCGCAGAAACAGAGATTCTCAACAGCCTTCTAGTTGTCGGTGGTATCTTGGGAACTGTCTTAGCCAGCTCGTTCGTGTCCATATTGCTGCAATTAATAACAGCTCTACTCACCCTATACAGGTTGCTCTATTATTTCATGCAGAAGGAGATCAAGCGCCTACATGCCAGCTTGCCGGATCGTGACGAACTCGATGCAGAGGTACTTGAGGCAGCAGAGGAGACGCCTTTGTTGAGATCCAATTCTTTGCGTTCCCTCTCACTTCCTTAGTGAGCTCATTTCAGTAGGCTTCAAATTTTGTGTAAAGGCCGTTGTGGCGTCCAAGATGTTTTTGAGATCATCGACCCACTTTAACTTGGTCGAGGTTTCAGTCAGCCATAACCCAACTCATATATGAGCTTATCGTTGGCTTCATATCACGCTGCTACAGCGTGGATCTCATTTCGCTTCTTCCATCATCTCAAATGCCAGTCATATATCCTCAATTCCTTCATTCGGTGCACAGCAAACCCGCTATATTGAGATGTGTCTGGTATTCTCATGCACCGCAGTTCATTCTGCAACCAGATGTCTATTCTATTCTATTCTACATTTTTGCAAGGTATCCTGCTTTGCCACGAGATCAAGAGGTCCTAGAATAATTGCTTCCTCACACTTCTGATGGGATGCCACATCCGGGGCACGCACCCGAGCGGCACCTCACCGGCCCATATGAACCTCCCTCCATCGTGCATACTCTCGCTGGTGCTATATTTCTGTTGAGAGTTTCCCCCTCCCCACGTGTTTGGACGAGAGGCTTGATGGTCCTCCAGGAATGCATTTGGTACAAATGCGCTTTCAAGAGACAGATTCATCTTCGCTCTCGACGGTTCTTTGCAGTATCGCATGATTGACGTTGGTAAATACAATCTTTGTCTTGGGGATGGTGTATGCTTCTCAATGAAGACTCGCAATTCCGTTTGGGCCCTTTATCGAGAACCAAAATTTGTGTTTTACAGAGACTACTAGTATACATTTCTCCTGAGCTTACAAGCAAATCCTTGGCTACATCACCATTTCCCAGTTCCTGCTATCCAACCAAGCCTATAGTTGGGCATATTTCGTGCACGAATGACCAGTGGCAGACCACTCAACTCTGATACCCGATCCTTCACATGAGACGAGACGCCTTCACAATCTCTAGCATCCTGCCCAGAGCGATTAAACCAAAGCTCTGAACTCCAAACTTGCTCGGTTCTTCCTTTAGGGTATCTTCTGCTACACACCACGCTGCCCAAGAGCGCTTGAATGTTTCTGCCATCTCTCGCTGTTCTGATTCTTCGTGAAAGGTCCAATCCTCGTAATCCTCCTCCTCCTCTTCTTCTTCATTCGTTTCCGTCTCCAATGTCTGCGGATCCTCCCCCTGGAGTTCTTTCCTGATCTTCTGGACGAGCCCATGTGTCTGCAAAATTCGTCAAGGAAGCCATAGCACAGATTGAATGTTAGGCTGACCTGCAAGTTCATCGAAGAAACTGCATTCCGCCGACGTTGATGGTCGGACCAATTCGCCATGATGGTCCCGCTCACCAGCTCTGCCTCGGAGACGTGGATAGCCTTGTTTTTCGAAATTGTATGCGCTTGCCCGACAATCAGTAGCTGTTCGCAATACGCATGGAGTAAATATGACATCTCCTCCATCAACTCTTCGCTCGGATCGGTCAATCCTGAAAGGCCAAGGCTATGGAGGCTCACGCGAGAGAGCGCGACCTCCACAATGGCTCCATCGGATGGGGAGGAGTTCCCGTTCCATGCAGTAGGTATACCCCTCATCATTGGTACCCGACGGTAGAGTTCACCGAGCAGCTTTGGGCTTTTATAGTACTGCTCGCTGGCGATATTAGCACCTTCTTTGGCAAGAAAATCAGGCCTAGCTTGATTCCTCGGAAGCCACGGTATGGACCTGAAGTTGACAGGAGTGCCGCTCTTCGGAAAATCGAGCGCCTGTGAGGCATAATTCGCGAGCTTAACGCATTCGGTGCAACTTGGATCCTTCAGGTCAGAAAACCTGAGATGACTTATGGCAATCGGACCGATGAGGTCCGCTTGAATCTATATTTCACAGTTCAACTTGCGGCTATTCTAGTGGCTATTTGCGACTCACATAGTCGATTATGAAGTCTACGACATCAGAGATGCCACATGCCATTGGTGTCGATTTGATGGTTGCTGCCGTATACGCTCCGGGTACGAAGAGTTTCGTTGGTAGCAACCTCGGCTGCGGAATGATCAGGCATGAATGAATGCATTAAAATATTGGGCTTACATCAAGAATTAGGTTGAAGGTATCGCCATCAAGATCGCCCCCACCCAGACACGATGCAAGAGCTCGTTCACCCCTGTCAATGATGTAATTCAGCGCGCCTTTGTTCTAAACTATTAAACAGGGCTTACTGGCAAGAAAACACGACGACATTCATCAGGTGATCCAACTCTGGTCGGTGTACGGCTTTCACAATCTGCACGTCGCCTGGGTGAATCTGTGGGCTGCGTGTTATGGCAATATTGCCCGTGATGCGCTGAACAAATCCCGTCCTTTCATCAAACACGGTTGCGTAAATTTCTCCCTCCTTAAGGCAGTCCCATTCATCGGAAACGCCAAGCAAGGTATACGAACCTGACACTGCTATGTGCGCACGGTACTTCAGCTCCCGTAGGATTTCCGTCTCAACGCAGTGCAGGGAGCTTTCTATGAGCTGACTGGTCCACCGAGACGGATCACTCTCCGTGTGTCCGATTTCCAATTGTAAAATGGAGGACAGATTTGAAAAGAGAGATGGCAGATGGAAAGATGCCCCCATTCCGTGTTGCTGGATAACTTTTGAGGCATCGGTGCACGACGATCGGACGGATTGGGCTTTATGGATGTCGTCGTCCTGCAGTTCAATAATTCTTTGGGTGTCCACACCCAAGAACTCCATCAAAGAGATGAGTGGACGATTGAGGAACATCAATTTTGGTTCCGCTGATGTCGATTGGACATCAAAAGTGAGGTTCTCCCGTGCATCAAACTTGATCTGTGATGGACGAAAGCGGACGAGTTTGCCTTGAATGGTAGGATCTTGGACGACCATGCCTTTGGCGCCGCCGAGTCGAAATTGGAAGGCCGATGGAACGTGTCGCAGCTTCGCAGATCGCTTTTTGCCCCGCTGCAAAGACCTCCATATGTCCCTGGCAAGCTCAACCGATATGGAGCTGCACCCATCTGTCATAAGCCCGCCAGAAGGCGAGTGTCTGTCGGGACAATGAAAATCTACTTCTTCGGGAAGAAGTGTGATCGATGGATCAGTGCCAGAAAAGGCTTGAGACCACCTTGCAGCTAAACGAGCCGGTTGTTTGTGAAGTTTGGAGAAATCGCCCTAACGGTTGCAATCAGTTGAGGTCGATGAGGGCCAATGGCGACTGACCAGGTTGTCCCGGATCGATTGTGCATTTAGTAGCTTCCCATTTTCACCTTTGAATGGTGTCATAAACCACACCGAATGTTCTTTCAGACCGCTCATCGAATATCCCAAGAACTGGAATTGGCGTCCAGCCACGCGACAGCCATTGAGGAGAGTAGAGCGATATCGCACCCTCAAAAGGTCTAGAATGGAACAATCGACCTCCCGATGAAGCTTTGATCGATTCTCGTCCTGGAAACTGACACGCAGGAAGCACTCAGAATGTCCATAGCGGCGTAAGACACTATTGGACTGGTCTGGAATAGGTCCCTCTAGGATGTCCCGTGTCGGCGTTCGGATAAGATGGTAGGATAAGTATACCCCACTTTGTGGTGGCGGAGCTAGAAGAGGACGCGGCTTTTGATGATCTCTGACAAATTCTTGCGTAACTCGGCGAAGAAGAGAGGGCAAATTCTCTTGGGTTGATTGCCGCTGTGCCCGACGTTTGCGACGTTTTGTACGACTGGCACTACGTCCTGCAAGCTCTGAGGCAAAGGACCGAAAGATTTCTGGCGCATCGTCGCCATGTTCAACTTGCAGCGAGAGGATGGCCTCCTTCAGCGATAGTATGTCCATCCCAGTCAAAACAGAATCTGAAGCGGTCTTTTGCACCTCGAACCCGAGCTTGTACGGTATCTGAGAGTAGAACTCGTGAAGGATATCATCAGAAACGCTGTTCGAGATGTGATTATGAATTCGGATACGGTGTTGTGTGGAGTAACGCAGATGAAGACGATTGCGGCAAGCGTAAACGAACATATCCGCATCTGACTGGCTGCTGAAGGTCAGCATCAGATTATGGCAGCCTGGGGGCATGTAAGTATCACGCCCCAAGCCGACCAGACGGTTAGGGATGGTATCCTCAACTCCATCGGCCTCGCTATCCAAGGAGTACACAGGGGGCGCATCGGCACGAATGAGTAGGACAGTCGTGTCTTCATCCCGGCTACCCACTAGCGTTGCAATACTCTGAAGCGAATAAAATGCGGTGACGGTTGGGTACCCCGCGATCTCCTCCCAATCGATATAGTCATCGTCGTCATACTGGTTAAGCTGTGGACGGAAAGTGAAGCGTAGCTGCCGACGCTCCAGGTCACAGATGATAGAAGCTGTGCCAGGAGGGGAGACTCGCGAAGAAAAAGATCCGTCCCGGAGGAAGCGGCCGAACGAGTACCGAAGAAGCTGGAAAGACCCATGTCTTCTGAAAAGCCTTTCCTGCTCCTTTCGTAATTGTATTGGGTCGCACCATGGAACATTATTCAACCTCTGAATACGGGCCTCATGGATCACCTGCGTGCTCCTGCTGAGGAGGATTGGCCTGCCTTTGATGACAATCCCTGCGTCACCATGAGCACGCAAGAGAGTGACCCCAGCATCCTCTGTTGGCAGAGCGAGGGTGCCTTGTTGCCCGTTAGGCTGTGACTCATCTGAGAGGTGGATTTCAAAATTCAGAAGAGGATTGGTTTGGAAGGGGGGCTTATGCAGTATCTCGGCGAACGCAATTGTCAAGTCATCTGTGGTAACTGCTAGAGCGATGTTGCGCAAGGAAATCTCCATCTATCCAGTTACATGTCAAGTGTACTTATGGATCGTGAAAGGGTCACTCACATTGTGTAACTGTCAATTGGTACCAACGAGAAAGAGGATCACGTCGGCACTTAAATATGTGCTGGGTTTTGATCATGGATTAACACGTTATGGAAGCCAGATAAGATAGCCACCAATGCGGGCGGAATACTATGGCACGGGTCATAGTACTGCGCACCTATCCCTTTCCTGACAATTGCTCAGCATCAGGCGCCGTGCCAAGCTATCGGGTTAAAATGGAAGATCAAAGACACCGCTTCTTGTCCCCAGCGGTGCTCTCCGTTTGCTGTCATATTCTAGACAACTGCGATAATGGGATCTGGACCGCGATGCTCGACCCCCAGATCCAGGAGTATGGTAATTGTGAGTTTCTCTCTTGCGCTCTATCGTCACTGGCGTAGTCTATTCTGACTTGAGCTTCCCTCCTTTGAGCGGCGACGATCAGTTCTATCTTTGGTCTCGTGTCGCCATCATGATACGGTTCGCCTCACGCGCATGATCTTGGTCTTGTGATAGCGGCAGAAGCCAAGGAAGTACGAGATTTTGGATGCCACCAAGCCAAGTATTTTGATGGCAATCTGCCAAATAAGATTTGGATTTGATAGGAGAATATCAGTGAATATCAGTCTTTACCCTTCCTGAGATGCGGACCTCCGCACAGAAGTAACCACTTCCTTCTATGGGTCCACTCTTACCGAACATTGGCCTCGCAAACCCCTGAGTCGGATCCTGATCTAGAAGGTGGATATACTTGGGTTCTATCGCATTTACCAAAGTCCTTGATTGCTTCGGGCAGCATACGTATCTCCTACTCATTTGATTGCTCCGTGTTTGGGCAGTTGGTTCTTCCGGGGCGCAGTACCTTGGAGGGTCATGGCCCTGAAGCTCACTTCAGACAATGCTTGGTCGCCAAATATTATGAAACACACCAAAAAATATCATTTTCCGATTTTTAGGACACTTCTTTGACATCTTAGATAAACCCACGCTGTGAGACAACAATTCACCGTACTTTTGCCGTTTCAGCAGCTTTCCGCTTGTAGGCCAACCGTTTGAAGAGTAACAACTTGCCTTTCAAGAGCTCGTGGCTCCAGCACTTAGGAGCGTTAAGCATAGACGTTCCAAAGTCTGGTGAAGCGCCAGTATGAGTTTCTATTTCTTCGGAATGGCTTGAACAGATTAATGAAAAGTTAGAACAAACAAAGCGGTCACCTGAATACTTGTAGTACTGTGGTGGTCCACAATTGGCCCATCAACAGCAAATATTTCGGATCTTTCGCAGGCAGACCACTTGCCGAAGATAGAGGGAGCATGATAAGATTTAATGGGAGTGATAGCGAAGATATATCATTAAGATTGAGCATCACAATACCAGTAATGCAGGCTACTACTACTGTTGCGGGGAATTAGTAGCGAGTCATCAAGAGCAATGAACGCTTACAGTGTGATGGGCATTCGCAGTTGTCCAGCGCGCAAGTTTACGCCACAAAGGAGAAATCATCTCAACACTTGAGACCTGGCAAACTGATATCAATCTCCACACTTCAGAAAGACCACACCGTCAGAATGACCATGTCTTTGACAACAATGATCTTGGCACCCCTACGGAACTCACGGTTGGGTTACATCCCAACATAGCCATTTAGCGACTTTGCGACGCAGTGACTGTGAGACAGGCGCAAAATGAGTCATTTTGAGACTACTTGGAAGGCTAGGAGGGATCCCGAGGCTTAAGCCATTGTTCAGACAATGAGTAAAGAAAAAAGGTGTAGCGTTTGTATAAGACTATGCGTGCGAATTTCCACGTCACGTTGACAAAGTTATATTTCGTGCAAAGTCGTTACACACTTTTGTTAAAGCGTCTCTCCATATCGTGGTCTGCGCATACCTATTTCGCAGGACTCCACGACTCGCTGGCACTATATGGTTGACTCCGCCAGTGATTCTCCAGTCTCTATTTCTTCTCCTACCGTCTCCTCAGTCCTCGGCATAAAGGGGTCCCTTCGTTTCCGCCGTCATGGTGCAAGTCAGAAGGCACACGTCGTCCTACGACGCGTAGAACTTCCAGAAGAGTCAGGAAATGGTACTGGTAAAAGCCCTGTTGCATACTTTAGCCTTTTCGCGCAGAAAAGAATCGAGGTCAAGCCTGGCAAGGAGATTTTACTAGCCGTAGCTTCCGAGGATGGATCTTTCACAGACCAGGCCGTCATTTTCGAAGGAGATCTTCTCGGTTCAGATACACGAACTGAAGTCGAACAAGAAACGCAAACTAATATCGAACCCGTTGTTGATGTTCCATTTGTCCCTCCAAAAATGAGGAGAACCTGGACCAAGGCATTTGAACAGGTGAGCGTAGTACCAGGTGAGTGATGCGTGCTTGACCACTGGGGGTTCTTTTCAATGTGCTATTTATCGTGTAGATAGCGCCCACCGCACGCCGCCTCCACCTGAACGTGTATCAGTGGGTGTTCAGGCTCAGCCATCATGGGCAGTGAGTTCGGTCCAGGCAGTTCCAATAACATCTCCTGTTCAAATTGGACAACACCTATCACTTCCCGAGGATGAAAAATATTTGAGCCTCGATACAAGCCCGCTGGAGGTAGTGGGAACATCTTCAACTCCTCAAAATTTGTCTTTATCTCCGCCTCTTACTGTTGCTGTGAGTGCACTTTCACTACTTACAAGCGTGATCCTGAGACACAGTAGATAATGGACGAAGATCGTGAACGTAGCTTGTCACCAATGAGTTTAGGCTCTCCTTCTAGCACTCCCCCTCAATCTCCCATTGTCGAGCGCATACCGAATGTTTTCAGAGTTCCAAGTCCTGTAACAGAACCTCCGCGAAGCTCGCAAGACAGCTGTATGGACCTCTCAAGTGACTCACAAGATGAGAAGCAAATTGAAGACGATCTTCGACACCCAGGGGATACTAGCAGTTTACCCGCCGAACCTAGCACTCCCACTTCTGAGACTGCTGACATGGATCTCCAGTCCTCTCCTAGTTCTGCTTCGTCGTCGTCGTATGATATACCCGGTCTCGTAACTGGTTCATCATGGCGCGCGCCTTTACCGAAGACTGCGCCACCTCAACGACCCATGGAACCTGGGCTTGAACAGGAAACGGGTTCACCCCCGAAACCTGTTATTCCCTCCCTTCCCTCTCTACAACCCTCTGTGCAACCCTCCGTTCCCGAGCGAATACTTGTTTCTCCAAAAAAGTCTCCACCTTCTGCGGTGCCTCCTGCTGTCAATAAATCTGCGACTCTGCCTCCAAGGCTGACCATAAGTGTTCCAAAGAAACCAGCGATTGTCAATCCATTCGTTTCTGGTGGATTTATGACAGAGTTTGTTGGTTCGCCCGCCTCGCTCACTGCCCAAAAATCACTACCCCCGAAGTCTCGCACGGGTTCACCGAATATGTCGGAGGCACAGGCGAGTATTTCAGTTCTGATGATGGATCGTTGGACTCACATGTCAATCTTAAGTCAACTCCTACGCCGATATCAACGCCCGCACCCCCACGTCCCAATCCTCCACTTCAAGCACCTACATTCGTTCCTGCTTCTTGCACTGTACCCACTTTCCTATCCCCTTCCGCACCTTCACCTCAGTTTTCAACTAAGCCCCCCTCCCCACCGCTAGCAGTGCCTGCAAGACCATATGCTCAAGAGCAACGTCTCACTGCAGCCCCCCTACCTCCAACCCCTCCATCTGTGCCTCAGCCGCCACGAACTCAAGCATACCCCAGTTCTCTCCCCCCTCGCCCGTCAGAAACTGTGATCGCTTACTCCAATAAGGCGCCTTACAAGCCGGGTTATTCGCCTTTAACGTCAGCCAGTGATGCGAGGATATCCTATAATGCCACCGGAACAATATCTAATCCTTTGAATATTCGCCCTTCACGATTTGCGCCGCTCAAAGCTACTCCAATCCAGTCCCAGCAAGTGCCGAAGAAACCGCTGACAATCGGCAATGGCTGGCCACACGCACGACAGGCTAATGGAAATGGCTCTACGTCTATATCCCCTGTGACATCCAAGGCTTTACCCCCAGGTGGCCATCGACCCCTCACGCCCGAGAGCACTCGCTCGTCAACAACGCCCCCCGGTCTAACGAATTTTGTCTCATATACCTCCCCATCTCCTCCTGGGTTTCTGCATAGGTCGCTAAGGGATAAGCCACCCACAGAACTCTCTCCATCAAGTTCTGGTGAACCCAACATCAAACATGGCAAGATTGTGTCTCTGTCAGAATTTTCGCTCTTCGCTGATGTCTTTTTTCAGAATATATGGACATTCCATTGCCGCCCACGCCCACGACGACTGTGAAGCAGACAATTTCAATACAGTCACCAAGACCTGTGTTGCCTGCTTTAACCACGTCTCCCAATATCTTCCGGTTTTCCAGTCAGTCAAACAGCGCAACACCGCCGTCCGACAGCAAAGGCAAGAAACGGGCAATATCTATAGCCGAATCTGATGCGGAAAGCACGCGTCCGCGGAAGCGCACGCATCCCTGGCCCACACAAGAGAGTATGTATTCCACGCGGATCAAGAGTGATAGCGATGCTGGCGTCAGGGAGATCGTTTTCAGCTCAGATGGTGAACGAATGGCTGTCGTATGTTCGTTTATGCAGTTCCTTTCCCTTTTTCTACTTGGTGCCAATTTGTTGATTGTAGGTCATGACCGAACGATTCGAATATGGAGTGTATCGAATCGAGTCGAAACTGCTCGTCTTGCCCAAAACTCATCAATATCATCTGTTGCTTGGATGGCAGATGACAATGGTATCATCACGCTAGGACAAGATGGCACGATCAGCAAATGGACACGAAACGCAAGTGTCGATCTTTTTGGTCGCAATATCAACTCTAGCTGACTATTTGAACCAGAACCAGAACCATTGGCAGTGGGCGAAGCTCCTCGATGCGGGGAAGGAGGAATCCATCAGCTTCACCTACAACAGAGATCGTCTTGCTGTTGCATTTCCTCGCTTCGGTGTCAAGGTGTGGTTATGGATCAAAGGTTTGTGCTTACTTTCAGGTTTCAGGCAGCATTGTCAGATCCGTCACAGGCACATGGCAACCACAGCGGTCCATACTTCGACAGAATGTGACGTGTATCAGGTTCGTCGAGGACGGCGAGGCATTACTTGGAGGCACTAGCGACGGCGTATTGTAAGTGTATTTTAAAGTGTTGCTCTGGTAACCTCTGATGACAGACCACAACAGATGGTATTGTCAAGTGCCCAATGGGACGCTCCGAGCCTACGCGTTTCTCAAAGCCAAAATGCATGCACCTATTTCTGATTGCCTCGTCTCACTACTGACATGATCTATGCCACAGACGACACCTGGACGTCAGTCCGAACGGAACCCAGGCCCTTGTGTCTCAAGTAGGCGCTCGTGCACATCTTGTAGGCATTCAAGGAATGGATCGCAAAGGCAAAATCGAGCAGGTATATGCGATGAACGGAGACTCGATAAGCGACGCAAAACAATCCCCCCCTGCGGTGTTCGTCAATGGTGGTCGTTCTGTGGTATTTCATAGCAGAGATTCTTCCTGTCTGGTCTGGAACAAAGGGAAAGGCGAGGTTTTGAGTGGTCTGGATCATGGAGATAGTACGTCAATTAGGATTTTTGCTCGGGTTCTCGCTGACTTGATGGCTTCTGATGTAGATGAACAAATCCAGGCAGTCGCAGTCAGTATACTTTGTTTCTTTTTGCTATTTGCGTTACTGAGCTGTGTTGTAGGGCTTTGACCGTGCATCTCATTCATACATCGTCACGGGAACTGCACAAGGCCTTTTGTCGTGGTGGAACTCCCCTCCCGATCAGTGACGTTAGGTAAGAACTTACGGTACTACTTTCGGCGCACTTGCTCATCAGGGACATTGTCTCCGTGTCAAGCAACCTTCTTGATTAAACGGGTGAAACATGCTAATCATTCCTAAATCCCCTCTGGAAGGATGCGATGTACCAGTACTTTGCATGTGCGACCTGCCTAAATTATGATATGAGCATTCTATAATTTCTGTATGGACAGTATGCAACTACTAGTCGTTGTGGTGACCCTAGGGTAATTAATCCAAAACATTTCATTGTCGACGACGAAGGCGGAGAAAATTTCCAAGTTAAACGCTTTAAAGAACTCACAGGAGTGTTTGGCATTATTTGGCTGATTAGGGCCGGTTCGTCGGGTCAAGCGCACTGCATGATCAGAAGTCGTAGTTGAACTCCTTCGTTGCTCGTCGTCGTCGCCAACATCGACACCTTACGTTTCTTCCACCGACGTACGTTCCATCGCTTCCATCGCCTTCGCCACCCTTTTTCGCTGCTCAACCGATCCAACTGACATAGGTTCTGTTCGTAAATTAGAGTCAACCTTCTCTGTCGTGATTGGGTTAATAGCACTTCCCCGCTTCAACTCTCCTCCTTGAATTTTTCGGAACATTTGGTGAGGTTCCTATTCATTTGCACTATTATCCGACAGCCGAGGCTTTCTCCCTCCATGGTTGCGCGGTTGTCATGCAGCCCCTTGCATGCTGCAGGCGTTCTAAAAGCGGCTCTTGAATGCGTGGTTGACGCGTGTGCTGACTGCTTTTTCACCTTGATAGCCAAGTTTGTCACGTAGAACTATCTCAACGACATGCAGACTATTAAGGTTGTAGTGGTGGGAGACGGTGCTGTAGGCAAGGTGCGTGACGTGTTATGTTGGTATACCCTAGAGTTTGAACTGTGTGCTCGATATCGTCAGACTTGTCTGTTGATTTCATACACCACGAACAAATTTCCAAGCGACTATGTCCCGACTGTAAGTTCATTCCGCCAGACAGTCAAGCGCCATATGCTAAATGAGCGCAGGTCTTCGATAACTACGCAGTGACCGTAATGATTGGTGAAGATCCTTACACGCTAGGTCTTTTCGATACCGCCGGTTCGTGTCTTTTTTGTAGTCTTCGTCGTAGTTACGCTTCACACAATCACTCACACATCACTTCCACATCAAAGGGCAAGAGGATTATGACCGTCTCCGGCCACTGTCATACCCGCAAACCGATGTCTTCCTTGTTTGCTTTAGTGTAACGTCGCCTCCATCCTTCGAGAACGTGAGGGAGAAATGGATCCCAGAGGTGCACCATCACTGTCCGGGTGTCCCATGCCTTATCGTTGGGACACAAATCGATTTGCGGGACGACGCTCAGGTGATCGAGAAGCTTTCCAGGCAGAAGCAACGACCGGTGCCAACCGAGCACGGCGAGAGGCTTTCAAGAGAGCTCGGCGCTGTCAAGTATGTGGAGTGTTCAGCCCTGACGCAGAAAGGGTTGAAGAACGTTTTCGATGAGGTCTGTGAAGTCTTTGATAAATCCCATCCGAATGATTGGCTGATAATTCACTAGGCTATTGTCGCTGCGCTGGAGCCACCCGTGGTTAAGAAGACACATAAATGCGTCGTCGTTTAATGAATGATCCATCACGACGGTACAGCTTGTTCTATCTTCTTATGACTCCTTTACGCCTTGTTCTGCCTCATATATCCTTCTCATCTTTTTTATGTCGTTTCTCTCTTTGCGCCAAGACATCATGATTTTCCCCAGTCCAGTTGCATCTGTTCTCTTCCTCACGAGCTGAGTGGACCTTGAGGCTATGCTCGTGCTCTTAGAGAAGCTGATCTCGTCTGTCTTTCTCACACCATTGATGAGTAGTTCATATAGTTGGGAACCATTGGGTGTGATAGGAATTTAATACCCATGACGGGGGGCTTCTTTTGTGTACTCATTACAGATTAGAGATAGTAGGGCAGGATTGTGTTACGGCGAGCCCCTCGAAACACAGATCTGACTAGAGCTTCAGATGCTATTCCGTCATATATAGGACATTTCTCGGTTATAGCAGCGACAGTTCAGGTGCCTTGCAAAGATATGAGAGACGTCCAGAGGCACTATATGATGACTCACCATCCCTCGACTCTCGAATGCAAGCCAATCTCCCGTTCCAGTTGGTAGAAGACCCATAGAACGACACTTCCAGAGGCCAACTGCAAGTGTCAAAAGGTTGCACGCGATATATGCTATCTTCTGGAGGGGAAGAACCTTAAGTGACTTGACACTGGCAGTTGTCGGCGCAAATGGTGCGAATGCTGCCTCAACAATAAGATATGTGACAGGTGCATCATTAAACAGACATACCTGCGTTCATGCCAGCAATATTTTTGAACGGCGAGAGGAGAAGCATGAACACGATACCCATGCTGAAGATTTGTACGCCTCCCCCGGACATGTACAACATGAATGCTTGCATAGGGAGAGACTTGGCTGGCGAGATGGCGAGATCCCAAGCGCGTTTGTCTTTCAGTGATGCATATGACGATGATGGCGATGACGATGCTGCTGTTGAAGCCTTGGCTGGTGCTCTAGACTGTTTGGCATTAGCTTACACGCTTAGCAATATGGGTAGGACTGACGCTGGGAGCAAAGTTTGAAAATCCTGGAGGAGGAGGAAGGTTCCTCCATTTGCTGTGATCTAGGGATGCATACTCCAGGTTGAAGCAGTTTGCCATCTTCGAAAGCGTTGCCCAAGTGGGTGTTAAAGAGTACTACGTTGCACCAACATCCAATAATTTCCAATTAGGCAAGTGAGGTTCACAGCTTGGACGTTTGAACTTCACATCAAAGTAATATAACGGCTGCGACTTTAAATCGAATTCATGATCATAAAAATCAGGTCTGACTAGGAGGAGACTATATTCTCCTTATTTTTCTGACAAGATGTACGAAAAATTCTTTGTTGGTGGATGACTAACTGGAACAAGAGCCAAATGGCAGTACAGCCAGTACTATCAAGTCATATGTTGCGCAGAAAACCAATGCTCATCCAAACTGATTGCAGTTCATGATTAAGTATGCGAAATACTTGCGTATGTACACCCGGATAATGCAATACATTGATGGTCAACGTTGCTTGAAACCGTGTTTTGTCTGTGCCCCCTGCGCTCAAGTAATTGGGCATCTTTACTAGAGGAATGAATGCTATTCCGGCAGACAGTTGCGGTCCCATAGCACTAGTAAACTCAACTCAACTGATATTAAGCCCAAGAACCTCACATGCACAGGGAGACAATCTGCTATATTAGAAAGACTAAATTGCAAAATAAGCGACACACATTCACCAAAGTTTTTCCCATTTAATACTGAGGTACAGGAGGAGGGGGCGGTACCATTGCTCCAGGCACATTTTGCACGGCAAAACCAGGTGGTGGCGGAGGCGGGAATGCTCCAGGAGGAAACATGGACATGTTGGGTGGTGGAGGCGGCATTCCCATCCCTACAGGTGGCATTCCTCCCATCACTGGCATCCCTTGTGGAACGACCGTCTGCGGCGGATTGAAACCGGGTGGAGGTGGCGGCTGAGCAAGCACGCCTGCAAACTGCCCTTGATAGGGACCCTGGAACCCTGGCATTGGAGGACGAGCACCAAAAGCCATCTGTGCTGGAGGAGGGCGGGAGGTGACGGGAAGCGCGTTGTTTTTCCGTGCTTGTGCAGCGAGTAGACGTTCTGCTGAGGTGCCGTGACGCTCGCCTTTGCCATCTTTCTTGAATGCGTACTGCACAGTGATGGCTTTGTTCATAAGGAACTGGCCGTTCATGGACTCTGTTGCGGCGTCGGAAGATTCGAAGTCGGTATATGAGACGAAACCGTAACCCTTTGACAGCCCTGTTCCAGGGTCTCGTGCAATCTGTAAAATCCCTTAATGAAGACGTGGAGTTGTTGACTTACTGGAAACATACCTTTGCTGTCGTAGCCATCATACCGAATGCGCTGAAAGTATCGTATAGCAGTCGCTCGTCCACGTTCTCATCCAGGTTGCCAATGAAGAGGTTTGCTCCCACATCCAGTTGTTTTTTGTCGGATGATGCCTGCGTGCGATGCGTCATTAGTATAAAGTCTTCAGGGTAACGTACAGAACAACTCGCCTTGTTCACCCTGATGGGCTTGCCCCATAATTTTATCTGGTTCATGATTTTGCATGCATACTCGGCATCTTCCTCTGTCAAGAACTCACAGAAACCGTACCCCTGATGGGCCATTGAAATACGGTCCTTTGGAAGATGCACGTTTACTAGAGACCAATCAGTTTCTGAATAGGTGGCGAATTATACGATTTGCTTACCGACAGGTCCTGCTTGCAGCATCAACTCCCAAATGAGCGCATCAGTGCACCGTTCATCGAGATTACCCTGTGATTGACGAATGAGCACGGGAGTCCGTGGCATGAGGCCGAACGGAGCGCATACCAAGTATACAGTAGCCTCCTGGTTTCTATCGTCTTGAGGTCTTCCGGACATTGTCACTCTTGAAGGTGAGGGTCGCGTTTGGCCTGCCAGTCATACATATGGACTTAGTAAGCTTTCCGCTTTGAGCTTCGTGGCTTTTCATGGCCGGCCTCGACTCTCGAAGCCTATTTTTTCAGCTCTTTTCGTTCAATAACAGCCCCAACTTGTTCTAGACAAACGCCAGCCTACGATTCAAAGGAACAACACAGTGCTTAAGTCTTTGGATTTCTTTTCGAATGGCTCATCAAGTGGCTTTGACGGAGGCCGATGATATTCCTCATTAGGCAACATCGTTGGAACTTGGCAGCAGTCAGTGCCGCAGGCGGTGCGCAGCGATGAACTTAGCAAGTCCCACAACTTCACAATCTTCCATGACACCTGAAGCTTTTGTTCTTCTTAACATTCCCGACGTCACATTGACGGCTTCGGGAAATTCGCAGTCCGGAGTGCTTGCCTTGGAATGCGTTACCGCCCAGGCGGGTGGTGTGCACCACGCCGAGGTCTATCTTGTTATCCGACTCAACTCTTATGAATGTCCCATCGATCCAACACAGCCGGTGTACTTTGCATTTGATCCTCAGCTGGGGTCTAGGTCATACACACTTTCTAGTCCTGATGGGAGCACGTTGAGACTTGACCTACCCCTGACTAGTGTGCCACACCTATTGGAAGATCAGGATACGTTTCATGGGATATTGGCTCAGTACGCAGAAATGCGTGACTCTGCTACTGGTAGCCAGGACTCCAAATCCGCCGCTCAAGTTCCAGTTGCCTTATCTGAAGGGTTAGTGTCCGGTGACCACGAAGCTATGCGGGGCCGCCTTGTCCTAATTGATGAGGGTAACGGGGAGATTGTTGGAGAGCTCGACAATAAAGTGAACATAAATGAAGATCCTTCTCTTCGCGCTCAGGGCAGGGAAAATGATCCAGTTGTGATAGAGCTTCCAGAGGATGATATTCACGTAGCTCTCGCTCGCGCAATCCCTCCAGAGGATCAAGACTGGATAATCAAGTCAGCTTCATTGGCCAGGTATTGCGTTTGTTCTTGAGTGAGAAAATCCAATTGATTCTTCTTGCAGCTACGTTATAACTGGTACCACTAAGTTATTACTCACTACGATGACACACGCATCATCGTACTATATCAATCACTCAACACCTCACCCTTCGGTGGCACCATCATCTTCGGGCTCTGCAGCTAGCTCGCTGCCACCACCGCCACCACCTCGGGCTCTCGTCTTTTTGACATCTGAAAATGCCCGCAAGGGTTTATCCGCTGTCCACACGATGAGCGCACAGGCAGCAACTTTGAGTACGAAGACAGTATCCCTTGTCGATAGCATGGTCAAACGTGCCATGGGCACAAAGAAGACCCAGCAGTCCCAGTCTGTGCACAACGGAAGTCCTTCCCTTTCCCCCAGGTCCACCTCCCCGCAACCTCCCCCGTATTCAAGAGGAAGCGCTCTGCCGCTTCCCCGTCAATCCTCGAGCACCTACCTAACACCAGAATCATCTACTCTACCTCTCCAGTCTCGATCATCCTCGCCCTCTTTATTCCCATCGCCGTATCCCTCTAAGAATAAACCACCTTTACCACCTCGACAATCAAGATCTCCATCTCCGCAGCCAGGTAGTGCTCCTCCCTCTTCTCCACGGCCTCCTTTGAAGCTGCACCATCGTCTTCTTCTCTCTGCGGATCTGATACTCTCCAGCCTGGATTCTTCGATGAAGCAATTCGTTGACGTGGGAGGTCAAAACCTTGGCCGAGCTGTCGAACACAAGTGAGTAGAAATTTAAATCAGCGAACTGCCGGTTTACCTGACGATTGCGATAGATATGGTGCAGAAGCCGCACGCAGCGCTGGTTTGATCACGGGCGTGACGAAAAACATTGTGGCAGTCTACATAGATATGAGGGGTATTGGGAGACGAGCGATCGTCAAACGTGCTGGCAAGGAATTTGTAAGGGCAAGGATGGGCCATAACAACCAGGCTCCTCTGGGCTCTGATAAATGTTCTTCGGCGTAATTTCTGATTGTATCTCTGGGAAACCTTACCACTTAAATGAGATTCCAACCGTGTTTAGAGAAATGTGCTCCTGCACATTTGAATCATAGTCTGAGAATGAGACCACGCAATATTTCTGAGATCTCGTTCTAGGCGACGATTGGTAGGCAGCGCTTTAAAGCTAGAAGCTTTGAAGGATGGCGTTTCGAGAAATGTATGTGATCTCCGGACGGCATGACTCGAGAACTCACACAATCAACAAATCTGCGTCTTGGCTAATTTCCGATTGTAAATGGTCTATGCCATGTGCCACACTTTTGCCTGGAACATCTTTCCTTCCAGAATCACCGTACGCACAACTTCTGAAAATCTCTCATGAACAATGAATAATATATATTCCCCCTAAATTGGTAGATCCAAATATTTATCTACAGTCGACTGAAAGCTTGAAAATTTGAAGGACAAGAGTAGCGTCTACGATCAAGCAACTGAGAAGCATTGTAACATATCACAACAAAATGCGCGAGGTACAAGACAAGTCAGTACTGGACTCTGTGGAGGATCTTTATATCTGAATAGATATGGTCACGCGGCTGTGCGGTTGACTTTTCAAAGGCAATAACGGGACAAGCCTGGATTTCTGTATTTCCGAGTCCCCGGTGCCAAAGTACCTGCAATTCCAATCGGGTTAGGACACTGCTCATATCAATGGGGAATTCCTTTGAGTCTGGTAACTTCAACAATGGCTCGCTCGAGGCCAGATTGCTATCCCGTCAAGATACTCCTTGACTAGGATGTCGATGACAGGTCCCCATGAAAGAACTTCTGCAAATGTTGCCCAAGCCATCGCACCACCTCGTCGAAGCTGAGTTCCAGGCGGTAGTGATATCGTTATGGTGTTCGATCCCAGTCGCTTGTTCTTTGTTGTACGGAAGTGTGTTCTTGTGAGGGTCGTTAGCAGGCCGGCGGCCAAACCACGTACTCGATACCACTTTATATTGTCAAAGTGAATTAATGAGAATGTAGTGATGGACGGTCACTTTCACGATGTCTGATGGCCTGTTGGTATCCTTAATTTCCCCGAGTATCTTACTATGCATGAACAACAGTAGGTTGTACATAGCCTAATGGCTTGTTGTTTCTTCAAGGCTGAATGAGACCAGCGAGAATGAATATAGCTTGTGTCGACCTTCGAGCGTAGTATTCCGCCCCGGGATTGGCCCAGTAGCGCTTGTATCGCATACCAACAATGGGGAACACGCGCCTTTGAGTGCGATTGTGTTGTGTGCTAGGATGGCTCCGTAGTTGGTCGCAAATCAAAGCTGATGACTTTGTTGACCACGACTGAACGACCTAAGGATATGAGCAGAACTCCATGGATACCCAATTGCCCTGATACGACTGATGTAGATGTACGAGCAACTTCGAACACAGTCCCTGCCCTTTACTCCACACCTTCATACCGGACCCTTTGGCCGCTTGGTATCGTTACCTTCACGACCCAATTTGCACCTCTGACAAACTTGTGGTAAATGAGGAAGGTGGAAGTATTGGCTGCTGTATGAATGCGCATCAGAAGACCCTTGATCTCCCTGAGGGTCCGAATACTTCTTCATACTTACTAACAGCCATGAATGCAGACAGCACGAGGGCTAGGCCTACAAGCGAGAGGTTAATATAATCCGCAGGATGCAAACAGGCAACGCACGTAGTATAGTCTCGACTCGCAAGTGATTGTGACTAAACTGTCACAATTATGCATTTGGCGGTTTCCGAGTCTATCCAACTTTAGCTAAGTCCAAGTATTCATTGAACTCATGGGGGGCGTAGAAGGCCCGTGCGGACTTACGCGGACCAACACTGCACTTCTTTCATCGATTCCATAGCCATCTATTCATCACCGAAAGAACGCTCTAATCTCCATGTCAGAATCACTGGATCTTCCTGTAGCACCCCTGCCGCTCACATCGATACAACGTGATGAGCTCGAGCAAGCCATATTCAAACGAGTTCGCGGCTTCTTGGGCCCTATGCTCAATCCGAGTGAGGAATCTGAGGATACGCTGGATGAGCAGTGTACGATCATCGTGAGGGTTATGGATGAATCAAGCCGTTTTCTCAAACGCGAGAACCTGAAGAATGTCCTTCGAGTCGCCAATTATAGCATGATCATGGACGAACTACATAAACGCCCTCAACTACGGGACATAATCCGCAAAGCCTGCGAGACGCGCTCAAATTTCAACCGCATTGCTGACCTCAGTGAGTGTTTGTGCACCCCATATTTGTGTCCCTGTCTGTGCTGACAATTGTCGAAAAAAACGCAGAAATATTTCAGATTATACCCGAATCGGGCAACGCCCCAGCTCATGGTCAGAAGGTTTCGTCCTGTGGTATCTACTTCTCTATCTTACGCCGGTTACATCCTAGACAAGGACCAGTCAGCCTTCCTTTACGAATCATTCGTCAGACCTTACATCGGGAAGGCGATGGACGGTTTTTACGAGTACTTGAAAAGCAACAACGAAATGTTCAGAGCACGCGGCCTCGGTAGGCCTTACTATGCCAAGTTCTGTTCGATTGTACAAAGTTCTGGTACGGGGAAATCAAGACTGATGACCGAGGTCAGGCTCGGGCTCACTGGCATAACATGTGTTCTTGTATGAGAGGGCTAAAACATCGAATTAGCTCCGGAAGAAAGGTGTTATTGTGCTGTATATGAACCTTCGTGAACCAAGCGATACAGGCTTCCCTAAGCGAGACCTAGTGCCCGCGCGTATATTAACGGATTACATGGACTGCTCTCAAGCCGAGTATACTGCTCGTTGTTGTGCACTTTTCGCAGCTATATTCCACACCCTCCAGCAAGATCTGAGCCCCATGCTACCTTCACTGGGCTCTGGCAGCGCTGATGCTGCAATCAAGTCTTGGAACGATCAGATGTGCGACATGCGCTCAACAGCTCGTACGGAGTTCTTTGAGAAAGTTCAATCTGAATATCAGTCGGTGAGCACGGGCGATAATGGTCATGACCAACAGACTAAGGCTGAAGTTTTGAACAGGTCCTTGGCAAGATCAAAGAGAGCGGCGATGTCAATTGCGACGCGCCAGTAGTTGAAGAGACCGCTGAAAAACTCGAGAGGATGTCTCTGACAGGTAAATGTTTAGTTTTGCATATAGCAGCCACCTTACCTCACACCAAGGCGCATCATTCGTCATTGCCGCTTACACTGAAATGTTGAAAATGCCACATGTATTTCCCCAGGGCGACGCCCCAAAACTCGTCATCGCATTAGATGAAGCCCACCCTCTGAGCAAAATGAGTAGTAAGGGGTTTCTTCCATTCCATATTCTTGGCAGGACAATCAACGCCTACTGTCACAAAAATGATGCATCAGTCTGGGTCGTTTTTGCATCCACGACATCACAAGTGGCCGATTTTTCAACTCCTCAGGTGATCCGTAAGAACATCTTCTGCGTCACCCCTTTCCATTTTTTTTCACACAATGTTGCAGATGATTCCTCGCGCGTAGCAATAACTGGCCACCTTTTATTCCAGCCTTATACATATCTTGGTTGGGACCAGAATGCGGACTCTCTGTCTGGTATATCGGCTAATGATGTTGCAAAGTTCGATCATATCGTCGGATTCGGTCGTCCGGTGTTCGTCCTCCTGTTTTTATGCTCATGTTCAGTTTCATTGACCAGCATGATAGGTGGAAGTCGTTCATGTACCAACTGAACGCCAGTGGGATTATGGTGCTGGCTGCCCGGAAACTCTGCAAATCCAAAAACTTTAATCCTCGCGACACAAACGAGGTTCTGGCCGTACTGTCTCAGAGATTCGGTCTTGACATTTGCTTCGGTCACGCAAATGCTGTTTCTTATCTCGAAACAGGAGTGGCTAGTCACCTGCGCGTATGCTTTTCGACGACCGAAGATAGGTCATGGGCATTCACTGGTTATCCATCGGAACCGTTTCTATCTTGCGTTGCGGCAATTCTACTCCATGGGACCAATATCAATTTGCCGGATTCTTTGAAGGTTTTGAAGGCAAAGGTTGATGGAGGGATGGTCGAAACAGGACAAAGCGGAGAGCTGGCCAGCAGACTTTTGTTGCTTCTTGCCAAGGATATGTACGTTCGCAGTCATCTTTCCGAAGGCACGATCTCGGATCTATACTATAATGGAACAGCGGACGCGGAATTGATGGACTGCCAGAAAGTCTCTGTCATTGATTTCCTGGAATACCTTTTCGGCGATCAGTTCTGGTCAAATGCGGGCATGGATGCCAAGACAGCTTTTCAGCATGCCTTCATCAATTTCTCACATTGGGTCCCCATGGAAAACTTTATATCGCCGAAAGATTTTAAGCTAGCTGACGATGAGTCGTCGAGGTGAGCTTCTACTCGTTGTCAAGCGGTATTATCTCTTAGGTTCTTCACAGCGCCAGATGCGACGCCCAAGAGTGGACCTTGCGACACTGGCATCGCACGAGTGCGGTGCAATGCTGCCACCTGCAGCCGCTCGTCGATAAGATGATTCCCATCTATTTTGACGATCCCAACCTGGGCTCCAATGATGCCGACCGGATGTCGCAGATGTTTGTTTCGGATAAAGCGGGGAAGAATTGCAACGAGTCAACCTTGTCGTTTATCACGCGCAAGGATACTTCGATCGAATGTTCATCAAACCTCCCCTACATTGCTCTCCTTCTCGACCTCGATGTGGACCCGAAGCTTAGCACCACATTTCCTACGAAGGTGCCAAACCCTCCTGAAACCGACCGATGTCTACGGATCTACGCTGCCGGAATGAGCGACACCACATTTCCATTCTTGCATAAACATTCCGAAGTCGCAAAACTGCTGCATGGGCTTGTCTCGCGGCAGCAAGAAGTGCCGTCGCAGTCATTTAAACGTCTGGAAGCACTCATGAAATTCGGGAGCACTGCTACGTTACGCCACTCGCGGTGGGAGGCACAAGATGTACTGTAATTCATCCGCAACTCGGACTGTAATGAAGTGAAAACCAATGTATTTTTACTGGAACAATTAGGTTGGAAATGTGGAATACGGGTGGTACCAGTTTTTGCCACAATAGACGTCAGTCGCACTTTTTTCTTCCTTGTTTGTTGGAGCTGATGTCGATGCTAATCACGGAGATTGAATATTGAATAGTTGGAATACCAACTGTATATAACATTATGAAGCAAGAATATCGCGATCTGACACCACAATTATCCACTGTAATGCAAAGTACAAACTGTGTTCTGTTCTTCGCGCGCTTAGTAGTCAACGTCCTGCTGAATGAGCGCTACGGCTTTTGCAGAGCGGGCCTTAATAGAACACTTGAAAGGCTTGGGGTGGCTAGGAGTGTGTATATCCAGACCAGCACCGCGGACGCCAGAAGATACGCGACATACCTGACCGTGCCTGTTGAGGGGTCAACCTCGGGGGTAATCTCAACACCGTTCTCGACGACCTTGGAGATATCAAACACGGCCAGTGACCTTACGGTAGATAGCCAGGTAGATGCTTCAGCGAGGAGGAGGCCTGTACATAAAAAGCAAGCAACGTCAGAAGATTTGTGTTTTTAAACTATCGGAGCTTCTGTGACTTGGGCATACCTGGACAGATACTGCGGAGTAGAAAGTTAGCCTTCTACTCCAAATAAACTCCATGCTTACCGTCTTCCAAAGCCGAAGGCGATCGTGCGGGGCTCGGGCTCAGGCTTCTTTCCATTATTGACCAAAAAACGTTCAGGGTTGAATTGCGAAGGGTTAGCATATGTCTGCGGGTTATTGAGCATGAACCTGGCATCATAATCTATTAAGATATCGAATACGGAAAAGTGGGGTACTAACCAAATGTTAGGTACTATCATGGAACCTTTTGGAATGTAGTACCCGTCATGGATGTCGTCCTCGGCGACACAGTGGGGGAAACCTGTCATTGAGATACAGCTCAGCAACTAAAGAATCTAATAAGCGACAAACACGTACCGGTAGGGGCGACAGCATTCCAACGCAGAACTTCTTTGACAATTGCCTCAGTATAGGGGAGGGAGTCGCGGTCGGCGAAGGAGGGGAGACGATCAGGACCGACAACATCATCGATTTCAGCCTGGGCCTTCTTTTGCACGTCGGGGTAAAGAGTCATAGCTAGATAGAGTGAGTAGATTGTAGAAACAGTCTGAGGAATCAGGTGTTAGTCTCGTTGAAAAATGATAATTCGAGATATATAGGGACCAACCGTGTCAGCACCACCGCCATATAAAGATACAGCGGACCATCTCACAATGTCATTTTCTTCCGCAGTCAGGATACGGCCTTCCAACATAGCGGAAGTGAAAGACTTCGGGGCAATGCCAGCAGCCTGTAAAATTTAAACTTCAACGCATGTTCACAAAATTATGAGTGTTGGTCACCATCTGATCCTTGACGAAGTTGAAGGGTGCAGAGGCCATCTCGTCGACAGTCTCGTGCCATTCACGCGCTAGGCGCTTGAAGCCAGCACCAGGGAACCACTCGGGGACCTTGGCCACTGAAAACGGTAAAGTCCTTGGAATCAAACGCCTAAATGCTAAAGCTTACGAGATGGAATAAAATCAACCATGAAGGCACCGGGAGAAGTGGCCCGTGAGAAATTATCCAGAGCGCGTTCTGCAAGGTCGACGAAGGGATCACTGTTATCTTTCACTTCATAGCCATGAGAGATGCGCAGAATAATAGCCCCAGCAGTGCTATCAAACTTCAAGATCATGCCAATCCAAAGATAAATAATACATACTGTCGAATATGTTCCTGTAGTTGGTCGGGTGTCGCAAGCACACGCTTGAGGAATCGGTGAGTCTCGATCTCCTCAATCGGGTTATAGATGGCCAATGCGTCGCAGCTGCCAATGACGCGATGAAAGTTCTTGCGGTACCGGCGAAAACGGTCACCGTAAGGGAGAAAAGATAAAATATGCTTCCAACCAACAAGTTCGCCACTCATAGGGAGAACAGGACGGTCGGAGTAGATCGAGCTCTTCTTGTCCAGCATTTCCATTGCAGTCTTGACAGAGTTCAGCACGAAGATGTGCTGACCCAGAAGCTCGACATGCGATATATTACCTGCAGACAAGACTTTGAAATGGATGATTTTGGAAAAACACGAGACACTCACCATACTTCTTGCCCCACTCAGTGAAGGTGAGCCAGGGCTTGATGTGAGGCATGTCTAGGACATTCCCAACGAGAGGCAACCCTGGAGGACCAGGGGGATATGGTGCAGGGATCTTCTTTTTGAACACCTGCTTTACCAGACACACTCCGACACCAGTAAAAAATAGTGCGTTCAGCCAAGTGAGATTGGTAAGCGCCAACATGGTTTAGTAGTACTAGCAGAGGATGAGCAACTCAAGGACGGAACCACGTGTAGTGCCTCTTATATGCCAGTCGCTCACCACATGATATAACATGCCAGGATGGGACTCCTGTACCCGAGTCCTACATCCTGGGCAAATCATAATGGAACTTCGAAGTTCGTGCAGGCTCCACCCGGGCCACCTTTGGTTATTGTGACTAACAGTATAAATTTCCAATAACGCCAGTGCGCTAGCGCCATATCTATGCCGAGATGAGTCCCCCTACAAATCAATAGTTTGTTTGAGCTAATTTTACACTTACAAAATAAGTCAGAGTTTAGTTTTCCAAGTGAGCTGCCAGTGCCAAATTGCCGACTGGGTGAACACTGACATCGACATGGACCAGCAAGGAAGCGTGCACAGTCACCCCGACGCTCTGCTACCTATGTACAATCGCAACAAGAAGTGTACGGGGCAATTCCGATATCGATGGTTCAGTTTTCAACATGCACATTCAAGCTACGAGCTTTAAGGTTCATCTGTGTTCGCGAACCTATTATGAATCTCGACGTGGACTCCGTGATAGTATGTTATCACAGACTGTATGTGACTCGGAAACCGCCGCCGCCGCTTGCCTTGGGAAAACATTGCTTGATCGATTCGAACCGCGAGTGCGGTGTATTATGGACCTATATGGACCTATATGGACGTGATCAACTCGACAATATAAAATGGCATTGGTTTCAAGGGGTTTCCCTGCGACCCCGAATCACCTTGGAATGTGCGCATCAGGATATCGCGTGTCTGCTAGGTTGCACTAAGCTGTACCAAAAGTCATCCCTTCTGATGTGGCACCAGCAAAGTCGGTAGTAATACATGTCCAAAAAATGTCGTCACCCCAGGCGCGGTCGCGGAGTCTGAAATAGTTGATGCTGTCATCAACACGCTACAAGCTGACTGACACGTATTGTCTAGATCATTGACCAGACATCCGAACCTGCTTCGTTTACGATGCGCACTTTTCTAGACTTCCGACTCGATGCCGCTGTGCTGGTGTGTCCCCAACTGCCAGTACTCTCACGGAGCAATTGGTAGGACCGATCCCCTTGAGTGGCTCGAACTGGAGTCTGCTGACCATATCGCCTGGCTCCACCATCGACCGACCACCACACCAGACCTTTTATCCAATAGTCCAGAACCACATTCATAATATTCGGCTGCTTAAATCCAGTTCCCTTGACTCCACTCCCTGGACCAGTAATCTCGCCGTCTTGCTCCACGCTCAGGAATTGCTCGACATCAAGACATTAGGGCAGAGCACAACTTAGTTGACGTTATCCATGTGCCCTCGGATGGCTTACCCACCCTGCTACCGGAGCTGAACATTCTATATCCCCAACGACTTGTCGCATAAAGCTTTAACAACTTGTAGGAGCGGCGAAGATTAGAACCACGGATGCATAAGAACTGGTATACACAAACGTGCGCTTAAGATTAACGCGCCATTTGGCTTCCTACCTTTGGCGCTCGGAATTTTTTCGAACTGTAGTCACTGGGTATTAACTCTTTCCTATCCCGTTCAAGTTGACACATTCCAATCGTCAGAAGCTAAGTACATCACAATCATGGTGACCGATACAAGTAATCAGGCTTTCCCATGACCTCTAGATTCCACGATATCCGACTGCCCACAACGACAATCTGCTTGCAACCCCGCCCAGCTGTGGTTGGATATACCACTTACACATACGAATGAAGGCATGATGACTTGTCGTTCTAAAAGGATAATTATATAGGTGCCTTGAGCTATCCACCCGCGTACTTCAACATGTCCAAGTTCCTGATCTTCCCGGTTAAAAATTCTCTTGCGCCGAGTATACCTTGCAATACGTGTCCTATGAGAAGTTTCCGTACCGAACAGTGCGGACTGCGTTTCTCCATGCATATCCCTAAATTTGCAGCAATGGTTTCATGACGTCGCAGGAATCTTTGGCATCTCTGGCAGATGAGCCTCGACATCGAATGAGCTCGACCCCATCTGTTCGATCACTGGCTGCTCTGAGAGCAACTAACTAACTAGTCACCTATATACGAGCATTGTACCAACACACTGAGAATATCATTCCAGAACAATAGTAAAGACACACTCATTGCGGCAATGCTGCTACTACCTCTGGGTACTTAAAGTGACAGACATCTAGTACTTGGCAGAGGGCAACAGATATCGCAGGATTATGAAGCACCGAAGCAGGTTGAGGTGTTGCATCAGACCGCAATTGATGAGTGGTCACGGTGTAAATGAGTCAAAGAATATTTGGGATCATCACGTACGTTGAGTAGATCACCGAGGCCTGAATTTCTAGGTCTACTGTACTAGGCTCTATCTAGTCTGCAAGAGAATATTTGTGAGAGGAAAGATAGTGTAAGTATGTTGGTGATTGCGTACACTAAACTGCGCCGCGACTTGATGTGCAGGACAACCAGCTGACACACAAAAATTTCGGATCCTAGGCGCGTAAACCACCTAGTGACTAGCGATGTGTGAGTCGGAGGTATTATCAGCTGGGTTCGCGGTCAGAGCTTCGTGGCGTTCTCTTGGTCCCAATATACGCAGTGCGATTAGCAAGTCGTCGTCTAATACTTCATTCGCGCGATGAGGTAGTAATTAAACTACAGCTCATTAACGACGGCTTTCAACATATCATGTTGAAGAGCCTCCCTCGAAACGGAAGACTTCCTCGACGTCCTATTCACCGGATTAATATTCAAGCAAAAACCACCAGTCTGCCAAGCAAACTCACCGTCCACCAAGGAATCTCCTTTCCACTCCCAGATGCACCATCATTAAAGCTCTCTTGCATGCTATCTGTGAGCCTCCACCACCTCTGCGTCTCCTCGTCGTCCCCGATAGCCTTCATGTCTTTCTCAAAGTCACTACCCGTGTACTTGAAGTTTGCGACGAGCAAATTCAGTGGCGGGTAATGATTGATCGAGTAGTCTACGATGTGGTACCGCCTAAGAGCGTTGAGGACGCCAGGCCATACGTTGCTGTGGCCCTCTTTGTACTCATCTACACATTCTGGTTTGAGCTGTCATGAACGGTCAGGGAGCTTTAGTAATTATTGCAGAGAGTGTAGGTACCTTTATTATCTGGCAAATACGTTTGGTATGTGGAGCAGACATGAAGGGAGCTATAAACCTCGTGCCGAATGTAACAGGGCGTCAAGACCCTTGATTCTACCATCGTGACCACGGGGTCGGTCCGGTGGTAGCTAAAAAGCATGCCGACTCCCGAGGCACCAGCGCCCTAGTTTTGTGGGAGATGAATCATGAATGGGAGAAGCATCAGACCAGACTGGCAATTATAGACTGGCAGTACATTCTTGATTGTCAACTGCCAATAGACAACAGCCTCATAACACTGGAACGACCTAGAATAAATACTTATCAGTCCCCAATCAGACACAACAAAAATCACATCGTCAAGTCAAATCAAAGCTTAAGCATTGAGAAGGGTTCCAAGTCTCTTTCGAACTCCGACCACTGCTTGTACGACCAACGCCGCACTCCTTCGTACATAGAACTCCTTGACCGCTCAACCCTCCCAACAATTCGACATGACCGAATATGATTATCTCTTCAAGGTCCGTAGTCCGCTCACGCAATAGTTTCGCAGGCGCTTATCAGTTACCCCCTCCATAGGTTGTTTTAATTGGTGACTCTGAAGTCGGCAAATCGTAAGTGTGTTTTAGGTTCTGTTTATCGCTCCCTAGCTCATTGTAGCCTACAGAAATCGCAAGGAAGAGTGTCCTTATCAGGGGACGCGCGATCGCTCATACACATCACCTAGTTCTCTCGCGATTCACTCGTAATGAGTTCAACCGGGAGTCTAAATCAACTATTGGTGTCGAGTTCGCGACCCGCTCGATCAATGTTGACGCCAAGACGGTGAAAGCACAACTATGGGATACCGCTGGCCAAGAGCGTTACCGTGCGATCACCTCTGCGTACGTGGCCGCTTTCTGCAGTCGCAGTTTACTAATCAACCTAATGTTTCCGCAGGTACTACCGTGGTGCTGTTGGTGCTCTGTTGGTATATGACATCGCTAAACATGCATCGTACGTCAACGTGGCACAGTGGTTGAAAGAGCTGCGGGATCACGCAGACTCGAACATTGTTATCATGCTTGTCGGAAATAAGAGTGACTTGAAACACTTGAGGGCAGTTCCTACTGAGGAGGCAAAGTCCTTTGCAAGTATGTCTTACATACGCCGAGAATCATTCATGCACTGATTTTCTGACAGGGGAGAACGGACTTTCGTTTATCGAGACTTCGGCTCTGGACGCATCAAATGTCGAGTCAGCTTTCCAAACCATCCTTACGGGTACTTTTTATTCTATGCACCAAATGACAGTTTACTGACGTGTTTCTAGACATCTACCGGATCGTCTCGAGCAAGTCGCTTGAGCAGTCTGTTGACCCCATCAAGGGACCCACTAGTGACACTATTCCTGTAGCGATTGATTCTTCCACACCTGCAGCAGGTAGCAAATGTTGTTAGATGCGTGGATAGCCTTTGCTGTAGCAGCTGTATCCGTAGTCCAGTGTGTATAGTTACCTTTCTTCTTCCTCTTAATAGGATTCTGCTTTGTGCGACTGAAACTGTGGTGATGCGACAATGATTGTTAGTTGGTGTTGACAAAGGACAAAAAGGTTTGCGAGCAGCACGACCCACAGCGCGGCTGATGACATGCCCTGATCTCCTACGACTAACTCGGCAGATCCTGCAGGTTGCGGAATTGCTTCCCTGGCCTATCAAGGACCGATTATTCCAAGTCCGATTACACCTTTCGGCGCAAGGGACATGTGGACACCAAGTTTTCTGGAGGGGACAGTCTTGAACCAGCGCACTCATGGGTTGGATCGCTGGAAAGAACCATCTCGCATTCCCGGTTTAGGGCCATTACAGCCGCTTCGCCATTGTACCATGTTTCATAACCCTGAAATCAAAGTAACCACACACCCACCTCATCCACCTTCCACCCTTCCACCTTTCACCCTCCAGTGTCCACAACGTTGTGGTTGGTGGACATGAGCCATGTCATATAAAACGTAGGCATTTCCTCTGTGTCGTTATCAATTTCCATCTCTTGCTTATTATGCAGTCAATTCAGACTAACAACTCCCCTTTGAAGGATGAAGACCATCCTCCCCCTACCCTTGACGTCCTGCGTGACATTCTGTTCACCACGATCGTGCCCTCTGATATCTTCACTCCCGAATGTCCCAGTCCACCTGGCTTTAAATTTTCAAGTGCTGATGAACTTTACGACGCCCTTAATCTCGACGTTTTTCGTTTCCGCGAACAGGTACGAGTATGGTGCTCTCAACCTGGTATGCAAGCTAAATACACGGTGCAGGAACCTGACTTCTACTTCACTGACCTTTTCACCGCGCAATATGATTCGGAAGAGGATGCCAACAACATTAATGTCAACTTGCACTATTCTCCTGACCTGGTATACCCACCATGGCCCGTGCCCGCTGGAATCAGTGATTTACTTGCACGCGATGATGCTACCGCTGAAGTCCTACCGACTCCCGATTATACCCTCACTTCATTCGGATCGAACGAGCCACCCCTACGAGCCACTATCCCTGCGGCATTCCTCTACTACATTCCGAGAAAATATACCGAGGTGGAAAGCATCGTCCCAAAAATGGTCCATCAAAGCCTCGTCGACCTCCACTGCGGCATGCCGATGGATCCGATGCCTGTCTTTACCATGCCTGACACCCGATCGTATGCTCAATTCATCAACAATTTCTGCCAGCACAAGGACACAGTTACCTACCGGTACTACTCCAAAGTCCCTCGCAACTCATGTTTCGCCGACGAACTGATACGCCCGAGGATCTATCCTATCGAGCTCTTGAAATGGCTTCCCAACTACCTCGAGACATACAAAGATGCGTTCCCGCAGCCACTTCCAATGGTCGTAATTCGTGACAGCGAAGTCATTTCTATGAACCTACCAGGGTGGTTTATACACGGCATAATCTTGCACGTTCTCCCAATAACCGAACATCCATCAAACGACGAGAATTCAGAAAATCCTGAAGATACTCTATGGTCGATGGCTCTCAAGCGCGGCGTTTCAGTCTCATACAGGCCATATACATCGATCGAAGGTCAACCGAGGGTTGTAACGTCTCCAGTCCAATTCGGCAACATGGTTTACTCAGCTGAAGAACTCACCTATTTCAACTTTGCTGTCAACGTATTCATGGAACTTCCAAGTTTGCCAGGGCTTGGATTGAATGAACCTGCAGCGGCGTATAAAGGTGCGTTTATACTTCACGTTATCGACATTCCTATGGACACGGCATGTTGGGCCGAATTTTCCGAGGATCGGAAGATGGACATCTACGACCGCGCACCTCAGTTGTTCGACGGCCTTCCTCCTTTCTTGAAGTGCCCGGATTTTCCGGCTGTCAATCTGCACTTTCAGAATTGGGATATAAATATGCTTGGCGTCTTGGACGATCTCAAGTTTGGGACGGTCGAGGACGTTACTGGTGTGACCGTTGCAACGAATGGGAACTAGGATCGTTACGCTGGACTGGCCGGGTGGGCTTCAACAATCTGTGGCGTGCGTTTTGGATGATCTTGCATTTAGGTCCCTGGAACGCCTGTTAACGACATTCCACCACGAATCTTGTCTCTTCTCCGTTGCGTATGGTTATGTATGGACAGTACCTATGGTTATGGTTGGACTATCATTATTGTTGACCGGACTTTTGTATGTCTATGAATGAATTTGACATTGTTGATGACGCAGCATAAACATCATTTCCTTGAACGGTTTTCGATATACTTGTGTGCTGGCGAAGGCTGCTGCACGATGGTGTCTGACGTGGTAGCTTGTGATATGTTCCGAAATCCGACCGCCCGCGCCAGCTAATGGCTTACTGTTCACAGGCACATGTTCAGAGGCGCTCAGGTGCTGAGCCGAAGGAGGATGTCTCAGGGCTTTGTCCTGCTTGTCCTCAACGTTAACCATTCCTTGACACCGTCATGTCTCTCGAGCCATTCATATCCTTGTATCGATATGCTCTCGAACCGATAGCACCTTTTAGCTATGTTGGCATCAGAGTCTCCTCCATCGAACTGGTAGCTGCACTCCGGCTTTGCAGCATGCTGAGACAGATCAGGGAAAACTTGCATGCCAAGCATCAGCGCAGCGTTGGCGATAAATCCGCGTCTGTGGAGGAGAGGTCCTTCCTAAGAGACGCATGCACCTCGCTCACGGTCAAGTTTGGAGGAGAGGCTATCATAGGTACTTTCCAACTGTCGAACCTGTGTCATGCATACTGATCCCTTTCCACGCCTAGGCCCTCTACTCGGTGTTCCTCCATCTTTCGTGCTCTCAGGTGTTTCCCCTGGTGTGTACATCGCTGCACAGGCGATTGTAGAGTATATCCCTGTCATACCATCCATGTCGCTCACCACTGAGCTTCCGCTATCTATCGTCGACGGATTCACCCGCGCGTTGCTTCTCTGCAGTCTCATACCCAAACCCGTCATCACCCACGCGTCTCCCGTCATCGCGTCTTCCCCATGGACTCTCCTGCTCTCCTCTCTTGTACGTAGTCTTCTCCCAATCTTCTCGATCTCTCTAACCACCCTTCCACACCACAGGTCATCGCTAATGGAGGCTTCTTCATAACCAGCATGTTCTCCTTCCTCGAGCCCACCCCGCTCACACTTACCACCCCTGCCGCGATCAAGCCCTACGGCTGGACAGCCACGGACCTTTGGTGTGCGCCATTCATCACGGGGCTCTATGCCCTCCTCACGCACGCCCAGCCATTCTGGGCTGAGCTCCACAGCGTGATATCCACCGTCCTCGGAAGTGTGGGTGATAAAGTGGAGCCCATGGACCCAGAGTCCGCCCGTGCGCTGTGCGCGCTAATTCTCGCGGGAATGTTCACCACCCGAACCGCGAAGAACTTTGGGCTTGTCTGGAAGAGGAGTGAGTTCCATTAGTTGATCTTATTCTGGATCAGGATCGGTACTGATGACTTTTTTTGACTCATGTGCAGGTGTTGCTGAGAAGATCAAGATACAGTGAATATCCAAAGTGATAGGAAAGAAACACGAAACCTTGGTTTTGTAGCGAACGCGGAAGATGTAGTCATGCAAGATATTTATGAATGAGATAACCTTGTTTTTGTTGCAAAGCGTTAGGAGACTGCTGGCAGCTCCACCACTACTGCACGGAGAGCGTATGCTAACGATTCCTTGGTGCGTATCTTAGCGACTCACTTGTTCTTGAGCTTCAGTGGTTTTGATAACACTGGTATTGGCATAGTTCGTCTGTGACTGCCACTAAACTCTTCACAAGTTTTCGAGCTCAGCTCCTGTCAAATCAGTCGTTTCATAGTGTTTAGGCTTACGGTTTCATCAGCTGCTACTCTGACGATGTCGGTGCTCTGCCGGTATAACACCACGGACTATTAAACGTACCTCAGCGTCGCGCGGTGGCTGAAAGCGCTTCCTGATGACGGAAAGCCGAACATTGCCATCACGCTGATCGGAAATATGACCGACTTGAAAGGCAACAGGATGGTTTGCACTGAGGATCAAATGCGACTGAATCACTCGCTGATGATTTTTGACAGGCAAATAACCTTTTATTTATCGAGACTTCGGTGCAGGACGACTTGGCTGTCGCTTCAGCTTTCAGATCTGTCCTTCAGGTAATTTTATTCCTTTGTATTAAACAGACCCTTCCACTGAGATGTGTTGTCAGAGGTTCACCGCATCAAGTTGCTTGGGAAGGCATCCTAGTAACATCGTCCTCGCATAGCGCTAACATTTCCGCAACTCGAACTGAATCAGGTAAAAAACGTAGCCCCCAATACCTTTGCGCACTGATCAATGAGAAATTTATCGGTGTACTTCTTATGTATCAGGTAAAAACGGAACAGAAGGGTACCAAAACTTATATCATCGTATTCACAGTTTTACGGGATTGCCTATCATAGCGGTCCTTGCAATTGTTAACTCCAGAGTCACAAATCAGAAAAAGCCTGGGTACGGAGCCCGTAAGCCATGGAAACAATCAAATGGAACCTTGGGGTGGTGGTCGTATACTGCGTTCAGCCATACCGAGTTGCTGTTGGACACGTCGAGTTATAGCAGTTCCGTCATTAAAGCTTCGATTTGTCCTGAGCGGAGGGTAAATGTGGTGGAAGAGTATTTTCACAACTTTTCGGGCTCTCAATGCACTGCTGGACAGCTCGGACAGAAAATTCGTGGCCCCAGTAAAGGCAAGTATATATCGTTCATAAATGTCATGTAGATTTGACAGCAAGGGGCATAAACCCAAAATCACGCTGGGTATTCACTGAATCTTGATCTTTTCTGCGACGCCTAAACAAACAAAAAAAACATCAGTAGCGATCCAGCATAGAAAACAACTTATGGAACACACTCTTCTTCCAAAGAAGCCCGAAGTTCTTCGCAGTCCGGGTGGAGAATATTCCCACGAGAATGAGCGCGCACAGCGCACGAGCAGACTCGGGGTCCATCGGTTCAACTTTACCGCCAGCGCCTCCGAGGACAGTCGAAATTACACTATGGAACTCAGCCCAGAACGGCTGGGCGTGTGTGAGCAGGGCATAGAACCCCGTGATAAGCGGGGCGGACCAGAGGTCAGTGGCTGTCCAGCCATAGGGCTGAAGCTCAGCGGGAGTCGTCAATGTAAGCGGGGTGGGCTCAACAAAGGAGAACATGTTCGTTATAAAGAAGCCGCCATTTGTGATTATCTGTACTTGGTAAGAATGGTTAGAGGTACGAAGATGGGCATGGGAATGAGAAGCGATCACATACGAAAGAGGAGAGCAGGAGAGCCCACGGGGAAGATGCGACAACGGGAGACGTGTGGGTGATGACGGGTGGTGGTATGAGGCTGCAGAGAAGCATTGCGCGTGTAAATCCGTCGACAAATGATAGAGGGAGCTCGGTGCTGAGTGACACGGACGGCAGGACAGGAATATACTCTACAATCGCATGTGCGGCAATGTACAATCCGGGGGAAATACTGGAGAGCATGAAAGATGGCAGAATACCAAGTAGAGGACCTGCACATAGGGAGCGGTCAGTATGAGCAGCGCTGGGATCTCCTATACAAAAGGTTAGTAGTACCTATGATAGCCTCTCCTCCAAATACAACTGTCAGCACGGTGCATGCGTCTCTCACGAAGGACCTCTCCTCTGCAGGCACGAGTCTATTCTCTCCAGCGGTTCGCTGATGTTTGGCATACAAGTTTTCCCTCATCTGTCTCAAGGCGACACAAAGCCGGAACACTGCTACCAGGTCAAGGGAGCAGACGTTGGTACCGAACCAGGTAAATGGTGCTATTGGCTCAAGAGCATATCGATACAGGGATATGAACGGCTGGAGAGACATAGCAGCGTGGGAATGGTTGTAAGCGAAGCGCTAAAGGGCTTTTAAAGCTGGGCGTTTCATTTAAGTCTCAAGTTGACAGTCCGCCGGCGTCCAGCGTACTACATGCTTGATTTGAAAAGGTATCTGCAGCAATCTGCAGGTTCCATTCGATTGCCTAGTGAAATGCGTTGGTGCCGTGCCCTCTCAGAAGGACCTGCAGCTCATACGCAACAACTTGACAAAAAATAAGATTCTCACCGACGACGAGAGTGGCTTGCGATGGACGGACTTTACCCCACCTGCTACATCGAAAGGGTCCAAAGAAAATGTGTTTGAGCCCCTCGGTCGCATCATCGCTGAAATTTTGGAAGAAGTCCCACATCGCGGAGTGTCCTTCCTAGCGAACCCAAACGGAACGCCCCTCTCGCAGTGCAACAATACTTCCACGCCTGATGGATACCTTGTACTTAACATCAAAAAAAACCGAGCCCAAGATACATTGGTTCGATATTGCTGTGCCATTCGAGTTCAAGAAGGAAGATACCAGGTCTCTCCGAGATGTAAGTTGTTACAGATCTTGTCGGCGTCCGCTCACTGAGCCTGCTCTAGGACGAAGAGAAGATAGTCTGGAGCCTTCACAGTATCATGCGCGAGGATCTTCTTCGTCGTTTTGTGTTCGGTATCACAATGGAGGACACGCAATTGAGACTGTGGCTCAGCAATCGTGCGTTCCTTGCGGTTACTGAACCTATCAACTTCTTCAAGGTACGCAAACATATCACGCTGTGTGTCAGGGTGCTAACAGGCATGGTACATTTAGAACATCGATGGCGTTATCTCGCTCTTTTACGCTCTTGGATCTGCGTCTGTGTGTTCTACCATGAAAGAGCTCGGATGGGACCCCACTGTCGAGCGGATCCGTGATGGGGAGGGTTTCCAATACAAGTTCACTATCGGGGACGAAGTGTTCACCACTACACATGAACTTGCAATCTATGGCGCAGACTCTATGGTTGGGAGTGGAACTCGCGTGTACGAAGCTACGGACGCCGAGGGAAAGAAAGTTGCCGTCAAAGATTCATGGAGAGAAGCTGGACGTCAATCAGAGGGCGAGATCCTAGAAAACATCTTGGCTTCCTGTGCGGAGAAGCTGCAACCGGAGGAGTTGGCGGATGCCAAGGGGCACTTCGTTGGAGTCCGGATCTGGAAGGATGTCATAATCGACGAAACCCGAGACGAGACGCTGGACCCGATGGTTGCAGACGAGCATAATTGTACCTGGGTGTCCATCGATCTCAATTCCATCTTCTCCGCGACTGCCTGTATTCCCACACAATTGGACGTTATTGCACGAAAAGACACTGGCATCCCACGCAGAGTCCACACTCGCACTGTCTTCCATGATGTCGGAGTCGCTGTCAAGGATGTTACCTGTTTGGCCGATATTCTGACTTGCTTGTCCGGCGCACTTCTTGGTGAGCAAACCACTGTCACTCTCCTTTCCTCAGTCGCTCATTCAATCTTAGCCTTGTATTATATGCACAAAGCAGGCTGGGTTCATCGCGATTTCAGTGTCGGGAATGTAATCTGGGTCGGGGGTATCGGGAAATTGGGTGACTTCGAGTACGCGAAAAAGACAGATTCAAATACTACTCATGATGTTCAAACGGTAAGATTATTTGAAGATGATTTTTTTCGCTATTTACACTTCGACAGGGAACAATGCCTTTCATGGCGCTGGAAGTAGAAAGCCAGCAGTACCTTTTCTACTCAATTCCCGACTCCCTCCTATTTGCAACAGACCTCCCGCCCAAACCTCCATTTCGCATGAATTTCCTGCATGACATCGAATCCGTGTGGTGGGTTTCTACCTGGATCTTCTTTTATCACACAGACACAAAAACGGCGAACACCAACCATTCCTTTGATACTCAGTGGCAACAATTCCAGTTGGCCTTCCCTGGTACGGTCTACTGCGCATTACGCCATGACTTCTTCAACAACCTTAGAGAACTCCATAGGAGTTGCCAAACTGTTCTTTCAAAGACGTGCTTGGATGTTTGCCGTCGTATTCCTCATTTCGCAAAAGCTCTCAAAGATGGCTATCGAAAGGCGGAGGCAGTTTATCCCTTGCTAGCGCTTGACGACACTCTTCTGGAAGATATGCACAGAAGTGCTGCAGAATTTTTCAGTGATGCGCAAGAACGTGCTGGGGTCATAGAACTTTGTCCGCTCCCCGACTTGCTGAAGCAGAAGAGGCTCAGACCGGGAGATGAGGCATCACCTCCGCCAAAAAATCCAGGGAAGAAACCTCGACATGATTGATTTTTTGTTGTTTGTATGAGAAAGAACCGAGAGATTATCTGGAAGGTGATTGAACTGTGCGTCGTCGTTGGACTAGTTGCTAATTAGCATCATGCCGCTAGTAAGCAGGGAGTTTTCTCCCGAACCCTAATTCAGACGTAGTGGTGGGGTCGAGCTGCGATTACGTTGAGGGAACAGTGCTGTCTACAGTAAGGCCCCTCCTATCGGTTGGTTCTGCATGAACTTTTCCATGCACCAAAACCTGCGTTCTATATGATGCACTGGCAAGGGACAATATAGGTGAGGAGTTACGGACCTCTTGGAGACAACTTGCCCAAGGGCCAACATCGTGTTCATGCGTCTCAACCTAGATTACTGGGGCGCGGTGCGCCTTGACACATGTACAAATTACAAGCGGTGCCATACTAATCAATATCTGGAACTATGGGATGCCCATGCGGCTGCTTTTCCAAATATGTAGAAGAACGCAACAGAAAATTGTATTGCGTGTCATCACCCTGAATAGTATCTGGTCTCAGCAATCTGACACAGTATTGCACTGATGTGACTCACGATCATCATGTAAGGGAAGCCGTGTTCAAAAGGGACGATGCTTTCCAAATACTTGATCTGCTCAGGTGTGAGCGAAATTGCCAGGGACTCGAGGTTGGCCTCCAAATGCTCCACTTTTCGTCCACCAATAATCGGGAACACATAGGGCGTCTTCTGCATAAGATATGCAATGGCCACTGCTGTGATGTGCTTCGCACCGACTTCTTTCGCAACCTTCTCTAGCGCTGCACTCATGGCCCTCTCCATCTCATTGCGTTCCCAATTGGCACTCATGATCGTGCGGCCTTTCTCTCCCGTCTGCCGGCGGCGCTCCTCTTCCTCGTCAGTTCGAAGTTTTCCGCCGGCAAGGACGTTCCAAGGGGCAAGCGCAAGACCTGTATGGATGAACGTGAGTTGAGGCACCATAGAGTGAGGAACACTGTTGACCTACCTTCGGAGCGGGCCATTGGTATGATATCCCGTTCAAAGTCTCTGCTCATGACGTTCCAAGCACCCTGGTATATCACAAATGGTGTTTTTCCATGATCGCGAGCATACTGGTTCGCTTTGGACACAACCCAAGCAGGAGTGTCTGAGATGCCCTGCCAACGATATATGTTAGCGAAAGTTGATGCCAGCATGAAAACGGAAACACCCACGAGATACAACACTTTCCCTTGTTGCACCAGCACATGCAGACCGTTCATCACCTCTTCGACGGAGGTGTCCCAGTCCCACCAGTGCACGTACAAAATATCGATGTATGAAGTCCTCAGCTTCTTCAAGCTGGCATTAACGCTGATGTGCATTGACTTGACGTTATTGCCGGTAAATGATACCTTCTGGCGGATGGCGTCGTTGTTGTGCTGGTAATTGGTCGTGTACTTGAAAATTTATGTATCAGCATCGAACAATATTAATCGTATCTCAAAGCTACCTTCGTAGCGATCACGAGCTGATCACGGATGCCCCGTTCCTCTGCCCACTCTCCAATGATTTCTTCAGAGCTTTGATCTTGGCTGCGAAGTATATCAGCGACGACGACGAATTGAATAAAACGCGATACGCACTAGTTATTAGCGGTGTCGATGAAATTCCCCCCAGCCTCGTAGAAGGCATCGAGGAGCTTGAACGAGGATTTCTTGTCCATACTACCCATCCCGTACTTCTCCCACTTGTCACCGATGCTCATGGCACCGAGCTGCAAGGGCGAGACGTGGACACTCGCATGAGGGGACAATGCGCGATACCGCGCTAGCCTAGATGATGGCTTTGGCAAGGGTGCCCAGAACGAGGTTCTTTCACTAGACATGATTGTAGAGTCGATCGAGGTATCTGACGTTGTTAAACTGCAGTTTGTCTGAAGGGCCAAGGCTGGCAACATTTTATATATTCTTTCAGCCTGGCACTTCGTCAGCACCATCGTGCGATCAATGAGATGCCCGAGAAACGCGTCGGTGTTCTGAGTAAGATCAGTGCCGCGTAAAAACGCGAGCGGCCGCGTACTATTAATATTAGAATGTGCGCTAGTAAGATGAGTTATAAAGACATACTTTGTCACAAGCATGTCACGGCTATCACCGCTAATCCGGCATGAACTTAGGTATGTTAGACAGGTCTACACGGAATGCAAAGAGGTCAGAATAAAGGTGTCATGTTTCTGATGGGCCAGAGCAACGAAGAGACCCCGTGGTCATAAGATGCATCAACCGAGGAACACTCAACGCGAGTGTATCGTCTAATAAGTATGTCCATCTTAGCGGTGAAAAGACCGGAGCATCCTCGGGAAAAGTTGTCTTCTAGTTCACCCACCGAGTAACTGCGTTCGCAGCGTGCAGCCTCGGGTGACCGCGGTGATAAGACTACCAGCTCGAAAGGTTGCGTTATCTGAAGCCACAAGATCAGACCCAACGGTGTTGAGCAGCTAGACACTTACCCAGCACATGACTATTTCCTTCTCGGTATGAATGTATTGCAGCTTGAGGTTTCTAGCTTGCCCAGGTATCGCATTAGGTACGATCTGGTGTAAGCAAGCAAAACGAAGCAATGGAAGTTTGCCATTAGTAGGCTCGAATACGTTGCGGAGAGGGGCGATAACGGTATGTTGTTTGCGAAAAGCAGATGAACGATCTGCCTCGCAGAACTATCGGACAACGTGTGATCAGGTTTAGAGCGCGCTGACTTGGATAGCTCAGCTTAATCAGTGCCTTCTGAATTCTGATTGATGGCTTTGACAGTCCGCTCCTGAGTCTCAGCATACAGCGCACATACTAGTAGCATTTCACTTTCAACTTGAATGCGACATGAGAAACGAGTCAATTGATGCGGAATCGTAAGGTATATGCAAAAACTCGACGTCAGACCGATCAGCATCACTGTGAGGCCGAAAACCCAGCCACGGCATTTGGTCCGAGTCTGGGGAATTCAAGAGGAATCTCCAACCACACGGCATTTTGCCTGAGCCCTGGAAGTATTTTCGAGCCCTGTGGAGCCTTGCAGGTGAAAGTGTACTTCTCGCGAGGTCTTCCTCCTTGCTTGCCATTGACACGACCACAACCTGCAAATGAACACTGGAAGACTATACACTTCTCCGATGCGCTGGACTTGATCCGATTCCACGACGTTGAGCACCCACACTGCGGACACTGTATAGGAAGTTCATTTCCCCACGGACGAGCATTGGCATGAGCGAACGAGTAACGAGTGCATTGCAGCGGCGCCGTTGGTTCACAGTCCTCAGTCATCAGAATGACCTCTGTGTGCATACCCAATCCTGATTGATCAAGGATGCCAGGGAATGCTTCACGCACTGACAAAACTTCAATAAGGACGGACTGAGCGAATGAGATCAGAAGGCGGGTGATGAAAGCCGGGCGGAAGTGCTTGGCGGTGAATGCAATTGCAGATGGAAGCTTGTGCTTGACAACAGACAAACGCAAACCACGAAAACCTTCAGGTTGAGCGACGATAGCTCCACAGCCCAAATAAAACAGGGTTGTGTTCTTCGCACGTCGAATCACTTTGCACCACGGGTCGAGTAAAACATCCATAAACTGGGGAAGTTAAGCATCTGACAGTAATGAGGCAAATGAACATACATTAGCAACAGTGGTGGCGATGTAGCTTCCGTTTTTTGCCTTGTTGTAACCAAGAAATGGGTCGCCGTTCTCATCGTTTGTGTAATTAGAGATTGCAATGGACACAGTCTGGTAGTTGCGATCTTCCATTACATCGTTCACAATCGTCTCGCACCGCTGAGAGTAGTCATCGATCTTGAAATTAGTACCAAGGTCAAACACCATCTCAACCATGCGGAGGCCGCCATTTGGAAAATACGGTGAAAGGTAAGAGTGGAGCGCGTCAATTGGGCTCGCAGGGGTCCCCGAGCCAACAAGCTTGAAATGGATGAGGAGGATGGGGGTCGAAGATATTTGGGAACGTTTCGATAATTGCAGCTGGCCAAGAATGGGCAGGAATGACGAGAGAATGGGATTGCCATCCTTAAAAAATCCCTAAGCGTTGATAATTGAGTGGAAGGCAGTGGATAGATGTGAATAAATCCACATACATAATACGGCGTGAATTCATCTGACTTCTTATCGAAGGCGGTATGGCAGTGGATGCAGCGAAACTTCACATCGGGCTGTGTAATATCCTGCAAGCAGTCGTTCGGAATAACCATGCACCGTGTGCACATGACATGAGGACAGCCAGGCTCATCACATTCATAAATGAAATCGGCTGGTCCCATTCCGTCTCGACAGAGCACACACAACTGTGGAAAGGTATCAGTCCAGTCTTGTGTTAAATTGACTATCACTCACATCATTTTTTAGCAGTCCTGCATGGACATCCGAGTAAGATCGCGCCGTTTCAAGGACCTGTGGCAGTGCTGCTACTTTTGCAACTTGTTCAAGTTTCAGGGATGTCACATTTACCACCTCCAATTTGACCCTAGTAGCTGTCATCCTACCAAGCCCTCTTAGAGGCGTTTGCTTGGTACGTGCCATAGCGGACTGCTGAAAGCGAAGACCTGGGGGTGCTTGATCAGGAGACCAAGTGTTGGTTTTTGTTGGCTGAACCGTGACAATGGCCCTATGTAGCATATTGTAAAGCATGGACAAACAACGAAAGCGATTTAGTACTAGTAGTTACCTCGGTCCTCGCCATCTTCAAACAAGAAAATTCAAATAAAGGAGACTCGAGATTCTGCACCTTGTCGGCAGCAAGAGCCTTCGCGTAAAGGTTTCGAGCCAAATAGGCCTTACTTCGGTGCGCAAAAAGAGGGTCGCATAAGGGGTCCAGCCCCGCAGCAACCGAGTACAGTTCAATTTATAGCCATCTCGTGATTACCCACACCAATGGCATCATCTGCCTTTGCGACACATCGCATAGTGCGGCAGTCATGCGTGAAGGCTCATCGACACCAGAATGAGTCTCGATGTTAAAGTCGTCAGAGATGCTAACACGCTCACCGGTAGACCATTCGAGGCAGCTGCTCTTCGCATCCTCGTCAAGCATACGCATCATGTATTGAAGGGATTCGACAGCTTCGATCACTCGATCGGCGCGGAGGAACGCCTCGCAACGTCTTTTGTTGACGGTTTGCCATAACGAATCCAAGTCCCAGCCGACGCACGGCTTCGTTGCGACGCACCACTGCTTCAGTCAGGGTTCCAAAAGTGCTCTGTGAGAACAACAGTCGTCGGCTATACTGGGAATGATATTGTTGAGCCGATCAGCGGCTTCACTGCAGTGTAGTACCGCCCATCCTCGAAAGCAATTATTGCAAGCTGCACATGCAGAAACGACCGACAGTGTATTTCAGGTCGAGCCATCGAGTGATTGCAATGGTAACAAGTCACAAATACATACACATTTGAAGTTTAGAGGTCCCTTTTTGGATTTCCATGATGCTGCCTGAGTTCGCTGGAAATGCAACTCACAAGATTAGTCGGAACTGTATCTAGTAAGATCACTGTCGACTTTCAAGACTACGTCAACACGACTCCCAAAAAATGGACGACGATTGAGAAGTGCGACTGACGTCTATTGTGGCAATAACTGGTACCACCCGTATTCAACATTTCCAACGTGATTGTTCCAGTAAAAATACATTGGTTCTCACTTCATTACGGTCCGAGTTGCGGATGAATTACAGTACATCTTGTGCCTCCCACCGCGAGTGGCGTAACGTAGCAGTACTCCCGAATTTCATGAGTGCTTCTAGACGTTTAAATGACTGCGACGGCACTTCTTGCTGCCGCGAGACAAGCCCATGCAGCAGTTTTGCGACTTCGGGATGTTCACGCAAGAATGGAAATGTGGTGTCGCTCATTCCGGCAGCGTAGATCCGTAGACATAGGTCGGTTTCAGGATGGTTTGGCACCCCCGTAGGAAATGTGGTGCTAAGCTTCGGGTCCACATTGAGGTCGAGAAGGAGAGCGATGTAGGGGAGGTTTGATGAACATTCGATCGAAGTATCCTTGCGCGTGATAAACGACAAGGTTGACTCGTTGCAATTCTTCCCCGCTTTATCCGAAACAAACATCTGCGACATTCGGTCGCCATCATTGGAGCCCAGGTTGGGATCGTCAAAATAGATGGGAATCATCTTATCGACGAGCGGCTGCAGGTGGCAGCATTGCACCGCACTCGTGCGATGCCAGTGTCGCAAGGTCCACTCTTGGGCGTCGCATCTGGCGCTGTGAAGAAGTACCTAAGAGATTATACCGCTTGACAACGAGTAGAAGCTCACCTCGACGACTCAACGTCAGCTAGCTTAGAATCTTTCGGCGATATAAAGTTTTCCATAGGGAGCCAATGTGAGAAATTGATGAATGCATGCTGAAAAGCTGTCTGGGCATCCATGCCCGCATTTGACCAGAACTGATCGCCGAAAAGGTATTCCAGGAAATCAATGACAGAGACTTTCTGGCAGTCCATCAATTCTGCGTCCGCTGTTCCATTATAGTATAGATCCGAGATCGTGCCTTCGGAAAGATGACTGCGAACGTACATGTCCTTGGCAAGAAGCAACAAAAGTCTGCTGGCCAGCTCTCCGCTTTGTCCTGTTTCGACCATCCCTCCATCAACCTTTGCCTTCAAAACCTTCAAAGAATCCGGCAAATTGGTATTGGTCCCATGGAGTAGAATTGCCGCAACGCAAGATAGAAACGGTTCCGATGGATAAGCCCATGACCTATCTTCGGTCGTCGAAAAGCATACGCGCAGGTGACTAGCCACTCCTGTTTCGATATAAGAAACAGGATTTGCATGACCGAAGCAAATGTCAAGACAGAATCTCTGAGACAGTACGGCCAGAACCTCGTTTGTGTCGCGAGGATTAAAGTTTTTGGACTTGCAGAGTTTCCGGGCAGCCAGCACCATAATCCCACTGGCGTTCAGTTGGTACATGAACGACTTCCACCTATCATGCTGGTCAATGAAACTGAACATGAGCATAAAAACAGGAGGACGAACAGCGGACGACCGAATCCGACAATATGATCGAACTTTGCAACATCATTAGCCGATATACCAGACAGAGAGTCCGCATTTTGGTCCCAACCAAGATATGTATAAGGCTGGAATAAAAGGTGGCCAGTTATTGCTACGCGCGAGGAATCATCTGCAACATTGTGTGAAAAAAAATGGAAAGGGGTGACGCAGAAGATGTACTTACGGGTCACCTGAGGAGTTGAAAAATCGGCCACTTGTGATGTCGTGGATGCAAAAACGACCCAGACTGACGCATCATTCTTGTGACAGTAGGCGTTGATTGTCCTGCCAAGAATATGGGATGGACGAAACCCCTTACTACTCATTTTGCTCAGAGGGTGGGCTTCATCTAATGCGATGACGAGTTTTGGGGCGTCGCCCTGGGGAAATACATGTGGCATTTTCAGCATTTCAGTGTAAGCGGCAACGACGAATGATGCGCCTTGGTGTGAGGTAAGGTGGCTGCTATATGCAAAACTAAACATTTACCTGTCAGAGACACCCTCTCGAGTTTTTCAGCGGTCTCTTCAACTACTGGCGCGTCGCAATTGACATCGCCGCTCTCTTTGATCTTGCCAAGGATCTGTTCAAAACTTCAGCCTTAGTCTGTTGGTCATGACCATTATCGCCCGTGCTCACCGACTGATATTCAGATTGAACTTTCTCAAAGAACTCCGTACGAGCTGTTGAGCGCATGTCGCACATCTGATCGTTCCAAGACTTGATTGCAGCATCAGCGCTGCCAGAGCCCAATGAACGTAGCATGGGGCTCAGATCTTGCTGGAGGGTGTGGAATATAGCTGCGAAGAGTGCACAACAACGAGCAGTATACTCGGCTTGAGAGCAGTCCACGTATTCCGTTAATATACGCGCGGGCACTAGGTCTCGCTTAGGGAAGCCTGTCTCGCGTGGTTCACGAAGGTTCATGTACAGCACAAGAACACCTTTCTTCCGGAGCTAATTCGATGTTTTAGCCCTCTCATACAAGGACACATGTTATGCCAGTGAGCCTGAGCCTGACCTCGGTCATCAGTCTTGATTTCCCCGTACCAGAACTTTGTATAATTGAACAGAATTTGGCAAAGTAAGGTCTAGCGAGGCCGCGTGCTCTGAACATTTCGTTGTTGCTTTTCAGGTACTGGTAAAAACCGTCCACCGCCTTCCCGATGTAAGGTCTGACGAATGATTCATAAAGGAAGGCTGGCTGGTCCTTGTCTAGGATGTAACCGGCGTAAGATAGAGAAGTAGATACCACAGGATGAAACCTTCTCAGAGACCATGAGCTGGGGCGTTGCCCGATTCGGGTAGTGTAATCTGAAACATTTCTGCGTTTTCGACAATTGTCAGCACAGACAGGGACACAGTGTACAGTGTGACAAATATGGAGTGCACAAACACTCACTGAGGTCAGCAATGTGGGTGAAATTTGAGCGCGTCTCGCAGGCTTTGCGGATTATGTCCCGTACTTGAGGGTGTTTATGTAGTTCGTCCACTTTGATCATGCCATAATCGACTCGAAGGACATTCCTCAGGTTCTCGCGTTTGAGAAAAAGGCTTGATTCATCCATAACCCTCCTGACGATCGTTTCACACAGCCAATCCAGCATACCCTCAGTCGGATTGAGCATAAAGTCCAAGAGGCCGCGAACTTGTTCGAGTATGGCTTCCTCGAGCTCATCACGTTGTTTCGATGTGAGCGGCAGGGGTGCTACAGGAAGATCCAGTGACTCTGACATGGAGATTAGAGCGTTCTTTCGGTGATGAACAGTCTGTACTACGAGTACCACGAGCAAGAACTATAAGTGCGGCACCAAATAGGATGATGGCACGTGCCATGATTCACGTACTTACTTTTAGGCTCGTGACCAGCCTGGCGTATATCATACCGAGGTCTCGGCGATTTCCTGATGAACATTGCACTTCTTTCATCGATTCCATTATTGTATGCGTTATTTTCGCTGTGCAATGTATGTTTATTGGTCCAGGCAGATGTTAAGGCCAACTAACGATCCGCAGGCTATGCAGATAAAGACGCGGGTCCATTCTGGACTCAAGGAGGCACAAAATATTCTACACAAAAATATGACAAGACATGCAATACAACAATTGAACAGCCAGAGCGGGAAAAACAATTGCAACAATAGCAAACATCAACGATATCTAAAAAAGACAAGTCGTGAGCGAACGGACACGAAAGAAGTGTAGCAACTTCTCGAACATGATATCACAACTCAAAGTATGCCTGTTCGCACCTATACTCAGCAGCAGCTTTCAGAGATGTGAGATGCGTGTTGACTTCATCCCACTCCTTCGTGTGCATCGTAAATCGGTTAACTTGGTCGACGCATGGGAGCACGTCGAAAATGATTTGAGCCACAGCTGCGGTGTCTGATACGGGAGAGAAGGTGTCAAAGTCCACCGTGTTTAGAGAGGTGTGTCGTTTTTGGTTGAAATCGATTTTGGTGTCCGCAGGATCGATGAACATTCGCAGGGTATGCAGGCGTGGACACAAACGGATCGCTTTGAATAATCCGCGGAATGTAACGGTAGAAGGATGAAGAGACGAGCCTTCGATTTCGAGAGTGCGCATGTGCGGCCAATTTGACATGGCTTGCAAGAGAAGGTCATTGTCAAGGTAGATATAGGAGAAACGGCAAACGAGCCGCAGGGTTTGGAGCTGTGTGAAACAAAAGAGATGCGGAATAGCTGTGAAAGAGCTGCCTTGATGATATTCGAATCTGGGACCAAAGCTCGTAATGGTGATTTCGAACTGTTGCAAGGTCTGGCATGCCTTGGAGTGGGAGAGCGGGGAGAGCGCACAAAATAGTCCCTCAGCCTCTGCCAAAGACATAAGGTCGGTTTCCATCTTGAGCTCTACCAGCGAGGGGAACTGTGAGTGTTGCATGACTGCGACAATGTATGCAGCACTGTAAACGCGGAAAGAGAGAGCCGTGACGTTGAGGAATTTGGAGAAACTAACGATACGTAGGCGAGGAGGTGAACTGTAACACTGCACTTCACGGATTGCCACTCTGACTAGGGTAGGGATGTTGGAGAGGTGCTTCCATGCTGCCCAGTCGAGGGCTGGACAAGACAGAGTTGAAAGCTGTTTGCACAGACGGACACTGTCAGACAGTAGAGACAACGATTCTGCTGTGCTCGCATCAAAAGTTATGGATAAGTGCTGCAAAGCGGCACAGCGGGTCACGATCGATTTCAGATCTTCATTGACCTCATATAGAGAACAACGGCGCAGCGTGTGGGACATGAATAGGTTCAAATATTTGCCAGTAGAAACCCTCCACGTCAACGACTGCAACCTCGGGAAGACGCATTTTTCGATGGGGACAACTGAGAGAAGGTGGAAAAAGTGATCGGATGGTACATTCAATGAACGAATCCGTGCAGAGTGACGCAAGAATTGGTGGGCCTCTTGTGCAGATAAAGGTTCGATGCCTTTTGACCAGGAGTACTGGCGCTATTTGTTTGCTCGATCAGCCAATGAAACGAACAGAACGCGACTACTGACCATTGGACCACTAAAATATATCAGTGAATGTAGCCTCGTTACACAGCCTAGTAGTGGTTCTAACTGGTCTACTTTAGCCCATAGAAAATCCATCGAGGGTTCGTGGAAGGATCTGCATGTGGTTGCAAGCGCTGCAATGGATTTCCGAGCCAGTGCTTTTTCGCTTGTAGACGATGGGTTCAGGATATGATTCACATGGGAGAGTATTTCAAGGAAGATGTCGGGAACGAGTAGAGCTTGATGCATCTGTTCTACTGCCGTTCGATGGAGTATGTAGTGCTGATCAAGATGGTACTGTGTCGACAGACATGTACAAACAACTTTGGGGGTCGTTGATTGTAATCGGTGCCCCCTGGATCAGATCGATCATTGATGTGTTGGACTGATACGCCACTACCGTTCTCTACGTGGTAGTCCGCATGGATTTGCGCATGACAGATTGGCATCCCGTGTGATGAATCTAAGGTCATTGTCCGCCGTCGTCACGTATGCAGTGGGCTTTGTTGACGAGCTTAATGCCATGGCCGTTTTTCTCAACCAACCAATTTTGTTTGATGGAAAATGCGCTACCTGTAAGCCCTAAATATTAAATGTCAAACTGTTCATTAATGGTATCTAGTTCACACGGACTTGTTCACTCCTGTTTCGTGTCTCGGTTTCTTGTTCCGAATTAACGGACGAGTCCCGATTCTAGTGCGTCTTTTTCTTGTCTGCGTGATTACAGCAAGTTTCTGTGATCTGTAACGTTACCATCATAGTTGTGTTTTGACTCTGGTGTTTTCCAATATGCCGCATTGAGTGTCATGAGCCATAACGAGGCGGGTTATGCGCGTGCGGCAGTCTGACCCAGTGACTTACATCCACAGAACGGGTTTTACAACCTGGAGGTACATGTATCGGCCACATTTGACGGAAGAGATCTTTCAGCCACCCAAGCGAGTTTCTGTAGTGACTCTGCCATGTTCGTCGTACTGGTAATGGGGCAAGGAAAAGACTTCGTAAATAGGGGCATTCATATACAAGTTGAACCGACCTTCCTTCAATGTTTATGAAAAGTTGAATCTGAACATAAGAAGATTCCTGCTAGTGGCCAGAAAGGTTTGAACATTGCAGGATCCGAGTCGTTCGCACATACTGGCAGCACAACTTGAAGCAATTCTAAAGTTCTGGCGGAACTGTGGGACGCAATGCGTAACGTGCAGACGTCGTGTGCATTACAAGATGCGTGTAACTTATTTAAAAAGAGTTCAGAGAGCATCATGAAGATGATAGAATACTTAAAACGGTGCGAATCGCACTTGGAGAAACGAACAGAAACAAACACCAAAACCCAACGGCTGCATTTTGGTCTTGTGTGGTGCTCGCTCTTGGTTGGGAACACGTACCAGACAAGACTCAAGAGCGAGAAAGCGGGGGACAAGATCGAGGTCGGAGCAGTTTAAAACGCGAAGTGAAGAGACAAATGAATGAACAAAATGTATAAACAGATCACGTGAGGAGAATATGGGTGTTTGCCTCATCGTCATCAAACCTGTGTGGTCTCTCAATTACCTTGTTTTTCACCTCCTGAAGAGCGCGTGTACAGTTTTTCAGGGTTTCTGTGGCTGCTTATATCTAGCACCCGTTCCTCAGAAGTAACGGAATAACGCAGCAGCTGGTTGGCGTGACTCCGTATTTGCCATGGCCAGCTCGTTCTTCAAGCCTTGGAGCGCACAAAGACACCAACCATTACTATCCATTCCAGCATACCTGACATTGACCCTATTGCTGCTCTCGTCACCCGTCGCATCAATATGGCCGTTCCAGCCGAAACGTTTCACGAAGAATTCTCTCATCGATGCGGGCTTGGTAGGCATTAATGACGGGGACCGGATAGTCGCATTTGGAGACTTTAATGGGGACAAGTTGTGCGTGACATATGCGTGTGTCTGTGGATGATCCATTAAATTTTTCGCCCCAATAGTTTGGACGTTCTGTCGATAGACTCGGACCAACAGACGTTGTCTGTGTACCTCTGGCGACACGGTTAGACAATCCCTCGGTGCACCCCATAAATATTAACCCTCTGATCACTCTACTCCCGATAGACGCGTTTTCATTTGAGAAGGTCTCATCAATGCAACATCCGAGGCCAATTTACAATGTCATCCCAGGCGACTTCACGCACGACGGCAAGCTCGATGTGCTCGTCATGAGTGCAAACAGCGCCTCTTCAAATAGGCTAGACATGACGCTCTACATAGGTAATCACGACGGCACGTTTGGTGAGTCCTATCTACCTCACGCCGAACACTCCACCATAATCGTAATTTGTAGCATCAAACACTATTTCAGCCCCATCTTCGACGCTCTCAGAACCTATACCAGTTGACATCGACGGAAACATGCAAATTGACTTGTTGGGTACTGCGTATTCACAAGGGACTTATTCGGGCCCCTTCACAGTCTGGCGAAACACGTGGAATGCGTCGCAGAGCTCCCCAACGCTGTTCGAACTGTAAGTGTCTCAGGCTGCGCGCGGCATCTTTCGGCTGACGGTGAGATAGTACTGACCCTCCATTTACTGGAAACCAGTGCACGCTTGCCAACCCTCATAGCAATGCTGTGATTGATCTCAATGGAGATTGTTTAGCAGGTACGTAGAATGGCTGGTGATACCGTATGTCATCTCAACAATTGTGTTTGAAGATATCTTTCTGGTATGCCAGGATAGTTCGGGAAAGAAGTCATTCCAGATCTGGGTCAACAACAAGGACTCAGGATTCTCGTTAGCCCAGAGTGGTGACCTGCCTTCTGGGACGCAGGGGATATCTTTTGCTGACGTCGGTCTGTCCCCCCTTTTCACCTCTCTGACCCATACCAATCAATAGACAGATAGGGATGGCACCATCGACATGGTATTTCCCTCATGCTCATCCGTCTCCAGAGACGGCGTGGGTTCTGGTTGCTTTATCAACATAGTATACAACCAACAATTGCCACTGTGCTCTTCCCCGACATCCCCCGCGACAGACAAGAAAGGAAATCGAACGTGTCGGCGACCAGAGGAGTTGTGCACCGCCGACCCCAAGTTCAAGTTCGATTTGAGTACAGGAAGCGATAACGACGTTCGTCGCTGCTTATTTTTTTGCATTGCATAGCCTTACTTGGTATACCCCAGGCATACGTACAAATACCACTCTCGGACCTTCTGCCCTCCTCTCCTACGAGCTCTCTTCTAGTCCTCGATACCACATACTCTCCATCCATCCCTCTGCCCATCAAGCTCGGAGATGCAAACCTTGATGGTTTTCCGGACGTCCTATTCATTGTCTCGAACCCCGATTTGTCGCGTACACCCAAGTTATTATTTTCCGAGCCTTGCACCAAGGGCCTGGGAGGATGCGACAAAAAGGGGAATGGCAGGAGAGGTTTCCAGCTCGTCACGAAGGGCGCCGAGCCCTTGGAAGATGTGACGGATGCGCGTGGAGTGGCGTTTTTGGATATGGATGAGGATGTGAGTTTTGATATTTTTCTGGATGGTATGAGGTTGAATTGACCTTTACGCAAGGGTACACTGGATATTGTCGTACAGCGAAGTGGGCACCAGCAGCAAGGCACTGTGTTGTTTGTCCAGAACAACTTTTACTATGATGCATTCTTTTTGAATGCTATAGGTGAGCAAGATGATTTCTTCGTGACTGTCGTGCACTCATCTGGCTCAGTGCTCAATGGTGCATGTAATAATGGTTGGTGTACGGAGTCAAACGGTTCGACGTATTCTGTGAGTGTTTTCCTGATCTGGTGGGGGACAGTACTGATGTACCTGATGGCAGCCCTTCGGCGTGAGCTACTCAGGTGCTTCATATAAATACACAGTTCTCGACACCTCTGGCCGTCGTACCGCTGCTCAAGTCGGACAACTTCCTCAAACTTCTTACCATGCTCTTCTGACGCCATATTCATTCTTCGGACTCGGGCGCACCAACAATTACATCGAGAACCTCTTTGTTGGATCAACGAAGCACACGCAGGAACACTTTATCAATATGGAAGGTGTCATCCCGAACTCGCGTGTCGTTATCCATCCTGCTCTTGGTGATGGGGCATGGCGAAGGGAGCTGTTCCTCCGGCCAGGTGCTTGGGTCCCGTGGGTAACGCTAACAGTCGTGGCCGCAACCTTTATTCTGGCAGGAATCGTCTTCGTTCTACATCTGAATGAGAAGAGGGAGGATGAGCTGGAGCGGAGAAGGGCATCGCATCATATCAACTTTGATGCGCTATAACAGTGGGCGTACTCTGCTCACGAGATCTTCACGTTATGTGTCACTTGTATATTACATTGGATGCACGATCTATTTCATGCTATATTCTTCTGATAGAATGTGGACTGAAATCAGGCCCTCCGCCCTCCTTCACAGCTTCGCTAGCAACTCCCACTTGACGTCCTTGCCCTCGCCCCCAAGCTTCTTCACCTTACCCTCGGCTTGAAGCTTCCCCAGGTGCTGGTCCACGCTTCGCGCAGCAGGCTCCCATAAATTCTGCGGGTAAGCAGAATATATCGTGGATACAATTCCCCACGTAGACCAAGGCTGTCCCTCAGGACTAGGTTTCTCAATGACGCTCACAATCTGCGCCTCTCTCTCCATACGATGCGCGATGTATGCACCGATGAGCTTAGGACCCTCAGCGACGACAGGGCCATGCCCAGGGTACAGAACAGTATAATCAGATTGAAATGCGAGGAGCTTGCGGAGGGAGGAGATATAGGTTCCTAGGTCCTCAAATACCGCTGTTCCCTGGCCGAGTACGGTGTCGGCTGTGTAGAGGGCCCGGTCGTCAGGGATGTGGAGGCAGATGGAGTCGGTGGTGTGTCCTGGGGCGTGGATGACTTGCATGGGCGAGGGGGAGCCTGTTATGGGGAGGAACTGGCCGTGTGCGAGGTCGTGCAGGAAGGCACCGTTGGCGGTAGGGGTGTATGTACCCGGGGGTGGGGGTGTGATAGTTGTATTAAAGCCAGATGCTACATGGGGGAACTTGTGGATACGAGGCGGCTTGAACGGAGCAGGGGTGTTCCGCTCATCCCACATTCTCTGCAAGAGCGAAAGGACGGAGTTAATTCCGCCTGTGTGGTCCTGGTGCCAGTGAGAGATGACGATATCGGATATGTGGGGTTCATTTGGGTTCGTGAGTTTGCAGGTGTCGGAGAGGGCAGATTCGAGTTGTGGGATGTAGGCTTCTTTGCCTTCGCCGGTGTCGATGAGCGTGTAGGGGTTGCGCTCGCCGATAAGATAGGTGTTTGTCCCTGCGGGGTCGTTGGGTTTGAGCTTGGACTTGGAAAGGAAGTGATGAGTCGTTACCTTGGAGTGTGAATTTACCTGGGTTCTGTGGAAGATGATACTCATGAGAATGACTCGTCAGAAGCGTGCTTTTCAAGGATGACACTCACCTGGCCCAATACTCTCACTACGCGGTCGCTCAGCTATCCAGGCGATCGCAAGTGAGACTAGTCATGGAGTCTCGGACGTTTAAACTCACCCTGGTAATGGACGCCAAGACCTCGAGTGTTTCCATGATGGGCGTCTGGCCACTGCCTGCCACTGCCGGTTCGCGGAGATACTCTTATATGTCAAGCGCTCAACTTTGATTCCGGATTCCGGAACTACTTTCACACATGTACACTGCCTGCAACAACCAGGTTAAACTTAAAGCTTAAAGTCTCCTATTATGTGACTCCAGATCTGCTTTCAACGATGAAAGCATTCAGCAGGAAGAGCATGAAAGTGGTCCGTAAGATCCATGCATTGTCCTTCTCTCACTCTAGTTCTTCCGCCAAGGTCACACCGTACATCCATCGGCTGCCAGTGGAAATCCTACAACAAGTCTTCTTGCTCATCGTTCACAACGCGCCAGGCTGTCCCAATATCTTCTCATACGGACGTAATACCATTTCGGTCGACGTTTCCAGCCCTCCCCTAGTCTTGACCAGGGTGTGCCACCTTTGGCGAGTCGTAGCACATTCAACGGCAGGTGTCTGGTCGCGCATCCAGGTCATCCTCCCCGGGAAAGTTAAATCGTACAAACCATTCCTTCCACATCTCCTCCAGTGTTGGCTGGCTCGCTCCGGTAGTCTTCCCCTCGCCCTTCATATTGTTACCAAACCTCGCTCTCGCCGCAAACAATCTTACATACCAACACCAGTGACAAGTGATCTACTTCTCAGTATCCTCCTTTCTGAGATACAGCGTTGGGAAACTGTGGTTATGCCACAGGTGTATGACTGGAATTTTGACTTCGACACGCCTCAGTTGAGATACTTGGCATGTTACTGGTCAAATTTTTGCCAATTCAATGCACCAAATCTTTCCCGCCTGTCCATCCACAGTCATTGTTTCCAAATCACTCCTATTTGCAAAGATCTACGGCATCTGCAACTCCAGACCGTTTCCGCATGTACTATATGCTCCACTATAGCCATGTTCCCTCATCTGGAGATCATCGTGGTTGACAGTATGGTCTATGGTGATGATCCTCCTGCTAGATGTGATTCGGCGACGCTGGAATTGATGACCCTCCCCCTCCCCCCCTCCGTGTGGGATCCCGACTTCCGGAATGAGTTTACCGACATGTTCAATCAACTTCATCTTCCCGTCTTGCGGAAATTGACTCTGGCTGGATTACCAAAAAAAGGACAAGTCAAATGCCTTTTAACGGCGCTGGCAGTTGCACCGTTTCAGGTGCCGGTGGTAGACTTTCAGACGGACGCACCGCTGAGCAAAGCTCAAATGAACAAAATCGCGCCTTTGTTCTCAATTGTGGGAGAGGTTACGGTTTGTGGGTAAGTGCTCTGTTGTCTCGCCCCATACACTTGGTGATGCAAACCTTGTCTTCTCTAGGAAATTGGCGCAGATCAACGAGTATCGGCATTCACGAATGGAAAAACTGAAGCTATGTTTCTCGAGATAACTATACCTCAAGTACGCGTCGATGAATTCTGCCGTGCCTCGAAGTTTCAATTCGCATTTAAGCAATGTCATCAGTCACATCCTTGCCTTGGGGTAACGTACGACAAACTACCAAGTGAATAGTTGACGTTCAGCGTACTAATGGGTTAGTCGATCCACAGTGGTGTTCCTCTAGTGTTTCATCCAGTGTATCCTCCAATGTATCCTCCGATGTGTTTGAAATGGAACTGGCATCCGAACTTTGGCTAGCGATTTTCGGTCGTCGTCTTTCTCCAACAATTCAAGTTCTGAGGGCCTGTTCTACTCGCCTTCATTGATTGTAAGGATGTGTTTAAATTGATGAAAGTCATTTGTTTACTGGAGCTCATGCAAGTATACGCATTGGAATGATGGATGCCTCTATCAAGTCCTCTATATAATATTTCCTCAATCGTGCGCACCTGCAACTCAAGCTCATGTTCCAGCCAGGATTATCATGCCTGATCGTCGACTACACACCAAGGATATTCTACGTGCGCTTCAAGAATCCTGCATTCCAGAGAGGCACGACGGTCATACGTGTGAGCGGCAGAGATGTCGCACAGAGTATACAGTACACGACTGATCGTCATATTGCGAAATCTGCAACAACTAAGTTGTAAGTATCAAGACGGTCCTAGTACCAGAAATTAGAGTGAAGGAACAGGGACGGATATTCTGCTCGCTGCTCATCTTTTTCAACGCTGTACTGACGGCAATCAGATTCTCCAGTGGACAATTTGAGCGTGCCAGGAACGTATTGAACGCCGCCTCATCATGATGGGGCCACGGCCGAACACCGCGAATCTTGGCATAAAGTACGCGTAGGTTGGGCAGTGAGAGAGCATCGAGGAAGTCGGATAATTGGGGCCTTCGATCTGTAAATCCAAAAGTCATACGTAAGGATTGAAGTTTGGAGGGCGTGAATGACTCCAAGGCCTAGCTGTGGTGGAAGGACATGTTAGTCTTTAATGAGGTGAGGTTGGGAGCTAGCTGGAGCAGGTGGAGAACTGCGTTTGCTTGATAAATCGATCACAACATCTGTCAAGTGGGCGCATACAGGACTGAAAGAGTACAAGTCATCGAGGTGGAACGGCGGCCTTTTTACTACTACTTTGAGACAGCGCAGAGTGAACTGCACTTGCGAGATATTGTATGCGATAGTGGGCATAACAGCGTAATCGGAAGTGCACACGCATGTTGCCTGCCCTTCAAGTGTTACGAAGTCCGACAATACAAGTAGGATCGGGACTGTGGAAAATGTTGATAGAGAGACGTTATGTGATTGATGTAAGGCTGAAGAAGGTGTCGGGGCTTGGTCGAGTGATCATGGGAGTAGCACGGGAACGTTAACGAGAGCAGATGTCCTCGAGAATGCTTGAACCACGAGTCATAGCAGAAAGATTGCCCCTGCCAGTCTCCACGGTCAACCCCCACACGCAGCCTGCAGGTTTGATAGACACGGCAGAGACTGTTCTCCTTACGTGGCTCCGAGCAGCGTTTCTTCGTGCAATTTTCTACCTGCACGTACTTCTGTAGCAACACTTTGGTGGGAGGTTGCCTGTGACCAGGAATTAGTTTAGCAACGCAAATTCCAGCTCTGCATTGTGCGACGGTGGTCACAAAGAAAGGCACAGGATGTAAAAAATGTGAGTAGGGATTGTTAGACGCGCCTATTGAATCGAGATTCGATAGTATCGATAACACACAGTGGCATGAGATCAAAGTCGAAAGGAGTCCCGACCATGCCAAATTAATTGCCAATCTAAAATGACCCACTTTCACACACACCTGCTGTCTGCTTAAGGTCTCCTAATATTGTTATCTTAATATTTGACTCCAGATGTTGGATGCTTTCAACGATGAAAGCATTCGGCAAGAAGAGCATGAAAGTGCTCTGTGAGATCCATGCATTGTCCTTCTCTCATTCTAGTTCTTCCGCCAAGGTCACACCGTACATCCATCGGCTGCCAGTGGAAATCCTAGAACAAGTCTTCTTGCTCATCGTTCAGAGCGCGCCAGGCTGTTCCAATATCTTCTTATGTGGACGTGACACCATTTCTGTCGACGTTGCCAGCCCTCCCCTAGTCTTGACCAGGGTGTGCCGTCGTTGGCGAGTCGTTGCACATTCAACGCCAGGAGTCTGGTCGCGCATCCAGGTCATCCTCCCCGGGCAAGTTAAATCGTTCAAACCATCTATTCCACATCTCCTTCAGTGTTGGCTCGCTCGCTCTGGTAGTCTTCCCCTCGCCCTTCATATTGTTACCAAACCCCGCTCTCGCCGCAAACATCCTTGCACACTAACATCAGCGGCAAACTATCGACTTCTCTATATCCTCCTTGCTGAGAGAAAGCGTTGGGAAACTGTGGTTATGCCAGACGGGTACGACTGGAATCTTGACTTCGACACGCCTCAGTTGAGAACCTTGGCGTGTCACTGGTCAAATTTCAGCGAATTCAATGCACCAAATCTTGTCCGGCTATCCATCAGCAGTCATTGCTTCCCAGTCACCCCTACTTGCAAAGATCTACGTCATCTCTACCTCCAGACTGTTTCCGCGCGTACTATAAGCTCCACTATAGCCATTTTCCCTCATTTGGAGACCATCGTGGTCGATATCATATCCTATGGTGATGATCCTGCGTCTAGAAGTGTTTCGGCGACGCTGGAATCGATGACCCTCCCCCTACCCCCCTTCATGTCGGATACTGACTTCCGGAATGAGTTTATCGACATGTTCAGTCAACTTCATCTTCCCGTCTTGCGGAAATTGACTCTGGCTGGATTACCACAAAAAGGACAAGTCAAATGCCTTTTGGCGGCGCTGGGAGTTGCGCCGTTTCAGGTGCCAGTGGTAGACTTTCAGACGGACGCACCGCTGAGCAAAGCTCAAATGAACAATATTGCGCCTTTGTTCTCAATTGTGGGAGAGGTCACGTTGTATGGGTAAGTGCTCTGCTGTCTCACCCCATGCACGTCATGAAAACCTTGTCTTGTCTAGGGAATTGGCTCAGATCAACGAGTATCGGCATTCACGAATGGAGAAACTGAAGCTGTGTTTCTCGAGATAGTATCATGCTTTTCCTGACAATTGTTGTGCACCTGTGATCCAAGCTCGTCTTGCGTACAGTCGGGGGAGCTCACCGAAATGCAGAGGTGGACAGTGACACGCTTGTATGAGTACCGACCGAAGCTCCTGTATGTATACTAACATGTGTGTAAAATATGATCACATAAATGCCCGCGTCTAGCAGTGCCCTATCTACGAAATCCCTTGCCCCCTGTACAATGGCTACCATGTCCAGAGTTTTGGATGATAGCAAAGCAGTTACCGATCGACGCCTCCCTCGTGCGAAACAATATTTCCGTCTGTGTCATCAGCACATTCCGGCCATGATAAACAAATACATCCGACGGAACAGGCCTTCGAGCTCTTGAATAGAGTATCCACGAGTCCTATGGTTTCTTCACTGGAGAGCGCTGGGTTTTTGTGGATTTCATCTTCGTCCGGGAGTTTATCGACAGGCTTTGAATACATTTGTGCTTTTCAGCGAAAAACAGGATGCTGCCCAAACCAAATTATAGGTCAAAGAGCGGACAATCGATTGAGGATGTTGTTGAATGAACTTCTTGAGCTTGCGGGAGTCATCCAACTTTTACTTCCCTCTCAGAGGTTGTGTTTGAGTTAAAGGTCCAGGGGGTTGGACCAAACACAGTACTATCGGCTACCACAACTTCGGACAACCACTGGTTCGGACACTTCGCAACACACACACAATTCTGCCTCAATAAAATATTTTGCCTCACCACATACAATTGTACGCTTATTGTATAGTGCTACACAGTTGAATCGTCGAAATTGGTGCAGAAATGACAGAGATAGTTGTTGAGGTGTGACAGACCGGCTTTGTCACCCGGCGAGTCGGAGTTTCAACATCTTGTAGGACACAGAGCGTCAATTTGGTCAAGGCTGGGCTTGTAACACCAAATTGCCGAGCGGAGTTGGAATAACTACCCTGTGACCTTGTGTGACTGTCCGAAGTTATTGTTGTCCGAAGTAGAGCTGATAACGGACAAATTGACGGTCCTGCGTGACAGCTGACCAATCTGGCAGCGCCACCGCGTCACGTGAAACGGCCACGCAAAGTTCTAAGTCCAGACGCGACCCCAGAAGGTCTTGAGTCCAGCCCACGACAGTTTGAAATCGGCACGGAAGACGTGCGGGACGGATCAGCGGACGCCGTAGGCGACGAAATTCGACGATTTTGAGCTGCGGGAGGGCTCCAAAAGCTGCTGGACGGGTCAGAGGGTGCCTGGGTGTGTAGGTGAGCACAATGCGACATAGCCTAAGGGAAAATGCCGACACGCTAACCGAGAGGACTGCGAATTTCGCACATTAGGACCGTCAATCTTCCATTTGCACCCACCTTCGGTTTGGGTGGTAACTCGACCTCTCCTCCCGCCAAAAAACCGCGCTGCATGCTGCTATACTGCAGATTGACGGTCCTCGGATTTACAGTCCCAGGACCTTTGGCTGGTACTGCCACCGGCGCTTATGTACGCAACCTCGCTATAGGGCAAGGTGAGTCTCCTGTTCTCGTTCGGCTCCCCATCTCCTCCACCTATCTAGCAGCTGTGCTCGTCAGCCCTCACTGATCTATATTTACATTTCTAGCTGTGCTCGTCGTGATGGGCATCAACGACTTATGGGAGGCACGTCCTCCCCATTGTTCACTCGCCTGGGTGCTGACACTCACCCCGTTTTTCAGGTCCTCGAACCTGCTGCAGCAATCGTGCCCCTCATCTCTCTCGCCATCGAGGGCCGCTACGAGGGACCCGCACCGCATGTGCCTTATGTTGTGGGTGTTGACGCAAGGTTCGTGTTCTCCCGCTCGCTGTCTGTGCTCGACTACTCACGTTTCAGTCTAGTGCTTGGTTTGAGCAATGCCAGCAGGGCAGGTGGCACCGCTGCGCATGCTCAGACGGGCCAAAATCCTGCCCTCCGAACATTTTTATTTCGGCCTCGCTCGCCTCGTCCGTCTCCCAGTCCAGCTGATTTTCGCGTTCGACGGCAACCAGCGACCGCAGATCAAACGGGGCCACAGGGTATCCACTAATGACCATTGGATGGTCAAGCCCACGCAGCGACTACTGAATGCGTTCAACGTGCAATGGATCACGGTACGTTTTTTTCTTAATATTCTTTTATTCACATTTTTCATTCAGATCTATCTACTGGCAGGCTGCTGGAGAAGCCGAGGCGCAGCTGGCGCAGATGAACGGTGCTGGTGTCATCGATGCTGTCATGACGGATGACAGCGACGCGTTTGTTTTCGGTGCTCACACTGTCCTGCGCAAGTAAGTTTTCTCTCATTCTCTCGTTTGCATGCTCTGCTAATCCATTTCAAGTTCGACAGTTTTCAATTAGACTCGACGGTCAAACTATATACAGCGAGTGCGATTCAAGAGCACGTGGACTGCCAGTCTTACTGGCGACGGATTCCTCACCCTCGCCATCTGCTGCGGCGGCGATTACGACAAGGTAAGCAGAACCAGTCTGCTGCCTAGCCTGGCTGACGAGACCTGCTTTCCAGAAGGGCCTGGTGGGGTGCGGTCGTGAAACGGCGCTTGGCCTGGCTCGCTGCGTGGATGCTGGCGTGCTTCGCACTGCCATGTGTGGCAACAGCCTTGACGGGCCTCTGCAACGGTGGCGGGATGCCGCTCGGTATCATCTTGTCGACGACCCCACTGGAAAAATGGGACGTTCTCACCCTGCTCTTGCACACTCGCTCCCCGACTCGTTCCCCGATCCGCACGTCATCGACTTGTATGCACGCCCTGCTGTCACTGCAATCGCCAAGCTGCCCATTCTCCAATCCCCCGTCCCCGCCCGACATTGCCCCACTTGCCTCGCTTGTTCAACAGCTTCTCGGCTGGGAATCGAAGAAGGTCGTCAGCACCTTTCGCTCGACGATCTGGCCTGTCGTGGTCTTGCACTGAAGTCCTCGAGGACCTGGCTAACAATTCTCCTGCAAGTGACGAGGTTTGTCGCCGTTCTCCTCCCCACGCGCAAACATTCCCAATTGATGTACAGGTACAGATTGCCCTTGCTCCGGCCTGCACGAGGGCAGTGTTTCAGAGCCATGCTGTGCGCCCGAAAAAAGCCCTTGCGGGTGTTCCAGGGCACAATAACGACGTGCCCACTCATGACCTCGAGCAGTCCACACTCCAGTTGCTCGAGGATTCACCTGGCTGCTCTCATTGTGAGGATCGTGCCCCGCGATCTCACAGATACATTCGAGTTTGGCTCGCCGACAAAATCTACGATTCCTGGGTGCAGACAATGATTCTGCAGTCTCCAAATCATCCCAGCACCTCAAACGCTACTCACTCTTCCGTCATTGATCTCACGCACGACGACGAGGCAGTGGCAGTTAGTGATGTCATTGACCTTACTCAAGATGGGGATGATGTAGTGCCCTGGAGCGCCGGTGCCAGTCATGATTTTATTGATCTTACTCTCTGATGCAATTGTTTTTTTTCAACCTACTGTATCTAGCGCCCCCCATGTATTAGTATTGTGTGGTTTGTTATAGCATTGAAGCACCTTCACGCCCTTCTGTTGTTTCTCCTTCTTGTTCTGTTGCATCATTGAGGTCCAACGCCGCTACTCCTGCCGCTTCTCGTCCTCGTGCTTCAATATCAGACGTTGTGAGGAGAACACCTTCAGCTTCATCCATCTCTTCGACTTCAGTTCCTACGCGGCAGTCTACTTCAATCACATCCATTCGAGTCGGACCTTCAAGAGCTCAGCACTACCTTACAACAAAATCATGACGAACACTCACTGGTCCTTATTCTCCTCGTCCTCCAAGCCAGATGCACAATTTCTTCAATTCTGCGCAAACACCACTGTCTCAACAAACTCCTACTCCTTGTGGTCAGCGCACCCCTCTTGCCGATATCTCCTTCGATGCCACACCCGTCATATACGACAAGCTCCGTAAAATTCTGGATGGGCAAGAGTCTGTCAAACTATACCTGGAATTCTTGAAGCGCAACAATAAGGTAGTAGATATGCTGGTTCTGAGGAACACAAAAGTGAGTATTTTCGTTATAGATTAAATCGTCGTTAATATTTGTCGACAGGACATTCTCGAGGCCCAGACGTCTATATATCATACCGCGCCGGTCACTCTGCAGAACACCTTCATGCACGCTGGAACAACTTCCGATGTGTTCCTTCACGAAAACCTTGAATGGCTCGGTTTAGCATCTAACTGGGCCAAGTTCTCTACGACCGCCACCCTCGGTGTCATTCACAAGGGTTATTTCGAAGAGGGGATGAACATTCTTGGCCCATACCTCCCCCAAGCAGGAGGAGAAAGCCAGATCCAAGGGGCCGCCTTCTCAGAGGGTGGTGCTCTTTATGCTCTTGGCTTGATCAACGCTGGCTGTAGTAGAGGCCAACCCGTCGAGAACTACCTACACGAGACCATGAAAACCGCTCATGGCGAGGTTGTGCAGCACGGTGCGTCAGCCCAGCATACCAAGCGCTGTTTGCGCAGGCAGTCAAAGAAGCTGTTGGGGATAAGCTCACTATATCTCACTCATGCTCACTTCCCGTCCAGTCCTGCAGAAAGCTCTCTTTCGGATGACGATGATGAGGAGGACAACGCTGCCACCGGGCAACATTTCTCCTTCCCAGATCTAGATGAGCAGATAAGACAGACCATCAAAGAATACGGCGCAGTCTTCCCCAAGCTTAATTTTTCTTCACCCAAGGTCAGCTCGACTCCATCAATATCAATCCCCATTCACATCGAACACAGGACGCATCATGGGTACTATCTCCATCCTCGCCTCTTAAATGCACATCTCCATCAGACATCTACATAATGTGAAAATCCTCGGACTATGTATCACACAATCTGAGTATCTACACGGTCTCTTCACACTGGAATCAAGCGCACTTGATCTCCATATCATCAACTCACCTTCACATCCCGCCACGACGCGCAATGCACCAGCTCACCAACACAACATGCTGCCAATCTGTCGGGGCTGTTGGCGCAATCACCGAAGGCAAGATCGCCCAAGAGGTCCTTGACAAAGGTCAAGCCAATGTTGTTTCGGTTGGGTGGTTGTTCCAAAAGAACCCTGGGACTGTTTGGGCGTGAGTGTATATTCCTCGCGAGATAAGTTGATGCCTGATCTTACGATGTATTGGCAGATTTGTGTCAGACCTGAAGGACGCACCTCTCACGCTGCTCAACATTATGGAGAAAGACCTTCCTCACGCTGAGTTCGCATTCTCTGAGGAGCACGAGCGTCAGATTGACGAGACTGAGGGTGAATGGTTGTCGAGGCATCTTGAGCTCTCGGAGGAGATCAAGAGAATCACTTTCGAGCTGGAGGCAAGTCCATGCTTAACGTCTCCGATATGATTTTCTCATGGGTGATATAGAGTCAAGAAGCACACTATGACGCTAAAATTGACGCTGTAAAGGCCGAGCACGATTTTGGGTGCGTCGTGATCATTGTTGCGTTTTTCCTAGCACCACTTATACACTCATTTTCACTCGTCTCGATGACGCCGCTAACATATCCACTTTCATCACAGGGATCTTCAAGCGCAACAGTTGGGGCCGCAGGTGTGGAGACAAAACAACTAGATTATGTAGCGCATACTTGTGTGTACAGTAGTAGATTAGAAAAATTTACTGTTAATGAACTATTGGACAAATGCCCGAGTGAAGATTGAAGCTACCTTACTTATGATCAAGAAAACTGCTCCTCAGGGTTGTGGTCCACCGAAGATTTGGCGTGCCCGTTGTTCGACGATGTCAGGACGTGTCGTCAGAAGCTCGCGCCACTTTTTTGCAACTGGCGTCGTCCTTGCTCGACAAGTAAGCCCTGCCACCTTTTGTGTAGCAAAAGGCACCGCGGGCCAGTGGGTGGTTGAGGTTGCCGCCGAAAAAAGTCGCGCTGCATCTTTAGCGTCTCGGGCAGCAGCAGAGACTCGGTGCTCTGCGAGACGGTTCAGGATCTGTTGGTAAGAAAAAATCTTACTATTCTCGTCACTGAATGCACGCCAGAACGAAGGCATTGTCTGGGTATCGCTGCCGCTTCTTCAGCAATGAACTTGAAGACAGACGAAAGGTCAGATAGGCACTGTGCGACTCGCTGGAAGATAATCATACCTTCCAATTTCCCCATTCTACTCGAAGCGCATCCCATGCTGTAGTCTTGACACCCTTTCCTTTCTTGTAGAACTCGCCCCAATACTTGAACAGGGATTCCGCGACCGTTGACAACAAGTAAGTTCGATTCCTCCCATTCTTCACACAGCCGGTTGATATCTTTCGAGAGGTGGACTGTAGGAGGTGACGGCACAGTTGTCCTGTCATATGGAAACTGCTCTTGGCCAAGGTGCGCGATTCCGAGGTTTTCGGGGGGGATTACCTCTGGAGGCAGAGAAGTGGATGCTGTCTGCGTCATCGTGCGAGGTTTGGACGGCGCGTTGTTGCTGACAATGCGTGCTTCTGCGTGGGACTGGACAACTGTGTTATGGCACCCAGAGCTTCGAGTCTCCATGTGTAAGGTGCGTGTATCTTTATCTTTTGATCCCATCAGTGTTTTCATATCGAGAATGTGCGATGTGAGGACACTGATGTGATTTTCGACGTTACTGAGGTCCTCTCGCACAGACAACATGTTGGAATCCACTTTCCGCATACGAACAGCGAAAGCATCCTGTTGCGGACGTTCTTCAGCTTCGGTTGTCGAGGCAACTTGTTGGTGGCAGCTTTTTTGCTGTGTTTTCGGAGGTACGCTCAAATCATGAGGCATACCGAATGCTGACAGCACTGCATGTGCCTTTTTGACAATATTATTATAGGCTTCGATGGTATGGCACACTTCTGCTCACCCATGCTGAATTTGCAGCTCGATCGTCATCCTGGAGCGCCCGTTGCGTGCGATTTGCGCTCTTCTTGCTTTTGTACGTAATCGTTTGTTCCTCGATTCCGAACACCTCCTCAATCCTTCGTTTCGAAAGGGATTGGCGTGAGGCATGTTCCCCTCGTTTCCGTTTCAGCTTAGGCCTGAATAAGCTTTACCAAGAATTAGGTACACGAGCACTGATTCAGCACACACGCCAGCGACACACCTCAGCCACTCGTCTCGGTCATTGGAAAACTGACGAAGTCTGTCCAACATCTCCGTGCGATTGCCACGGGTCGGCCTGTCCATAGCTCTTGAGCTTCTCATGTAAGTTAGCCTTCGTTGTCTTCACTGTTCTGTTGTATTTTCATGAATTAAATCAAACATGCTGAAAGGGGGAGAAATGTGTGACATACACTGTCCAAATGAAAGATTCAACTGCTTGTCCTGGTGTGTACTGTTTGACCGAGTACGGGCAGTTCGAGCTCTTCTGACTCTGAGTGATGTTGAGACATGGTGACACCATGAACTAGTAATGGTAATGTATTTACGTGTCAGTGTCAATGTTTAATTTGAATCAGGGGGTTCAAGTTGGTTTGTTTCCGTGCCGGCCGAGTGTTTCAATTCTCGATCACTTGGTCTGAACCCAAATTTTCTATCATGTCCGAGTCCTTACTACATGCCTTCAAAGGTGCTGATTTATACTTTGCCGAGTCAAAACACATCAGTGTCGAAGGCTGCAGAAGAGGATCAGATCGAGGAGGAGGAATCTCTCCTCAACAGCTTTGATGTTGATGACCTGTGAAGCTGCCGGCACCCTTCGGTTCAGTACTACGAACACTGCTGGTGGCGAGGACAATGTGAAAAAGAAGAATCCTAAAGACAGCAACAACCAGTTAGCATCTAGTTTGCAGGCAGCATCAGAGGGAGTGGTTATTGGTACAACACTCTCCGACTACCAGAGGTATGGCATGGGACCAGCGAAAACTGTCTCGAATCTCACGCGTGTGATCTCTCCAGATACTGGAATCAGTTTAAAGAATTTTGTGTCACCATCGACAAAGCACAAGTTGCGAGCGAGATTGACAATCTTTTTCCGAACCTTCCGGCTGAATTTCCAACGTGGATCGCGCTATGGATCATGGATAAGTGAGTGCATCAAACATTGTGTTTATTTCAGTGCTAAGCTATGGAATCGAGATGCGACGAAAACGATATATGGACCGGGAAAGCAAAGGATCCCAGTGTTCCACGTGCAACGTATGGCACGGCACAGAAGATGCGTGCCGCCATAAGCCACAAATTCGGCAGAGACTACCAGCTCGGAACACAGCCATGGCTCGGAGCACCCAGCTATGCCAGGCATATTCATCGGAAACCCCTCGCTTTCGGTGACGATTTCACAGTATATGGTCAGTCTTCGTCGGCGGAAGGTATTGGACTTTAGCATCGTGTAAAGTGCTGTCGGTGCTGATTTCACGCTATAGATCCGAGCAGGCGAAGCAGTAATGAGTGCTCGCGCGATGGATGAACCTACCATGAAGAGGCTCTGGGAATTTGCATGGTCCACGGACCGAAAAGAAATCGGCCCGATCTCACGCAAACGAAAGGCAGAAAATCCTTCTGAATGGGCTGGATTTTTGCTCCGCGAGATGCTTTATTTACTCTACCTTCTCTCGATGCTTTGCCTGCTCCGCTACGACGAAGCATTGCGGATCACCTGGGCCGATGTCACGTTCCAGGTTCAGGACTTGCTGATAAAAAACCACTGGCTCGATGCGACTCCCGAGCTTTTCACATCGCAGGTCAGCTACCAACCCGCACAGTTTCGAGTGAAGCTTAGAATTACCCTTTCGAAAGACACATCAGTATGGAGGTCAGTGACTGTATGGGCTGTTGCCCACCTTACGGCTAACCTCGAACCCACAGGCATAGCCCCGTTTTACATCTATGCTGATCCTGACCGGCCGTGGATGTGCTTGCTGCGAGCGTTCGCGATCTGGTGGCTGTTAGCTCACGAGAGACACAGAGAACTCAACGGGTTCATCTTTCGCAAAAAGATTGGTGTGGACAGCATCAGTGTGAGCCCGACGGACTGCATGGTGAGCTCGAGGTTAGTAGTCATCAAGAGAATTAAAATTGATATGTTATACTCAGACCTCGGACTCCTTCCTCGAATGTTTCCGAAACAATCTCCTCGACATAAACGTTGATCCGCGTCCATATGGTACCCACTCGTTTCGTCGCGGCGGGTGTCAATTTCTGCACACGGTGCGAGGCTGGTCGTTTCGGAAGATCTGCGACTGGGGTGGGTGGGCTGAGAATTTCGACAACCCTGGTACCATATTCAAGTACCTCTTGTCTTGGAATGACAATCCAGCAGAGGCTCGCGAACATTACATGAACCCAAACAGGCCAGGCTGTGACCCTTGCTATAGCTGCGGAAGAACTTGTCATTGTGGTTAACTAGATACTTACAATACATGTCTAGTCGTGTCTCAACTAGTGAATAAGCGGTGATATAAAAAACGCAGGCGCGGTGGGGGCAGACCCATCTACTCGTGGTTTATCCGACAGCCGTGGCCCATTGGAGATGCCCGTCTGTCAGGGTGCACAGGTGCGCACGAAGAATATCGTCTGTGACAAAATGATTCCCTATAATTCGATGGTAAGTGAAATACCGGATAATGATAAAAGTGCGACGCACAAATTCGGGGCCTGGCAAATGATAAGTTGCAATACGTTGATAGCAGTCAGGACCTGAGCAGTCTGCTTGGTCTGTTTCCCATCAATGAACGCTTGCAATTCCCTGCAATTCGATAGTAAGCGAAAATTGAGAGAACTCGTCCAATAGAAGTTCATACCTAAATCTAATTTGATCTGCGGCGACTTTCTTCAGGGAAACTACCAGGACGCCGCGCGTCGGGGCAGACCCATCTACTCGTGGTTGATCCAACAGCCGTGGCACATTGGAGATGCCCGTCTGCCAGGGTGCACAGGTGCGCACGAAGAATATCGTTTGAACAAACGAGTTCAAGACGGCCGTGACCCCCAGTGGAGATCACCGGTATATCGGGATGCACCTGCCTCAACAATGCAACAAGAGGTTAGACCCGCGATGAAGAGGTAAGAGGACGCACCAATGCACTCGAAGATGTCGTTGACAAACGAGTTCAGGATGGCCGCGGTCCCATTGGAGACGGGCACATACCAGGGTGTGCATGCCTCAAAACACTGCGGCCAAATTAGACCCGCGACGAGGTCGACGTAGAGGTAGGACGACGTACCGACGCGCTCGAATATATCATTGACAAACGAGTTCAGCCTGAGGAAAGGCCCACCTGCTTTCTTCAAGTCAGTGGTCTTTGCAGGTGCCTTTGAGGCAGTCAAACGACTCTACGTCCGTCGTCGTTCCATCTCTCGGGCTGGTTTTCGTTCCGCGAGATCGTCGATCGTCGTCGATCGTGTCGGTGGTCGAGGTCCAGGCGCACATGGAGCGGTATTGGCAAAACTCAGGTCATCAAACTCAGAAAGGAAGGCGAGCGCTGTGGCTGAGTCAGTCACGTGACGCGTTTGCAGTCTTAGCGAGGACTGCAAACGTCACTGGCAGGACCGTCAATCTTTCACACGAAGTTGTAGTAGCCGATAGTATATTGCTGATTAAGCGCATAGCAAGCAAAGGAACTCCCACGGGTCTAGTTCATCACGGACGACGATGGCGACAACAGTATCCCCCCCCTCAAATTGCTTCAGATGACGGTACTTCTGGACGTAGAAAGAGGTGCTTGAAGATCATTTTGTTGAAACGTCTGACCGCTTATAATGCTCTTAGGTCTCGTTCTGGCTCGCCCGGTGAACCAGATGGCATTCCGCCATCAACTCGCCGTCGTTCGCAATCACCGTCTCGCGTTCATATAGACCTTCCTCGTGTAAGTGATGTGGACCCCATTCGACGGGCCGAAAGGGAGAGACAACTTGCTGCAAATATAGCAGCCATGAACCTCGAAAAAGCGACAAATCCCAAAGTGCAAGACGGCGCACAGGTCCAAGCAGAAAGGCAGGCTGAATTCGCCAAGCTCATAGGCTCGCGTTCAGGTGGCGTGTACATGCCCCCTGCACGTCTACGTGCCTTGCAAGCTGCCGCCAGCAATGACAAAACCAGTCCAGAATACCAGCGATTGTCTTGGGATGCGCTCCGCAAATCTCTTACTGGTATTGTCAATCGAGTCAACATTGCGAATATCAAACAAATCGTCCCTGAACTCTTCTCCGAAAATCTCATCCGTGGTCGAGGCCTTTTTTCCCGGAGCATCATGAAAGCGCAGTCATCAAGTTTGCCATTTACGCCTGTCTTTGCTGCTGTGGTAGCCGTTATCAACACAAAACTCCCTCAAGTGGGAGAACTTGTTCTTACTCGTTTAATCAGTCAATTCAGACGATCATTCAAGCGAAATGACAAGGTGAGCAGTTCCGGACCGTGTCATGAATTTTCGAGATCGCTCACCTCGCCTTTCAAGATTGTATGCCATTCAACAACAACTTTCATCGCCCATCTCGTCAACCAAGCTGTCGCTCATGAAATTATAGCTCTCCAAATCCTGGTTCTTCTTCTAGAGCGACCTACCGATGACTCAATTGAAATTGCTGTCGGTTTCATGCGCGAAGTGGGCGCCTTCCTCGCTGAAAACTCACCAAAGGCCAATGCAACCGTCTTTGAACGATTCCGTGCTGTCTTGAATGAAGGGTCCATCAGCCACAGGGTTCAATATATGATCGAAGTTTTGATGCAAACGAGGAAGGACAAGTACAAGGACAACCCAATCCTTCCCGAGGGTCTTGACTTGGTCGAAGAAGAAGAGCAGATCACACATCAAATACAGCTTGAGGAAGAGCTCCAGATCCAGGAAGGATTAAGTGCGTACTCGTTCTCTGACAAAAGAAAAGCTGGCCTAAATTTCATTTTTAGACGTTTTCAAGTTTGATCCGAATTACCTAGAGAACGAGGAAAAGTACAAGTCTATCAAGGCTGAGATTCTAGGTGAAGGTTCAGATGACGAAGAAACTGGCTCTGAAGAATCGTCTAGCGAGGATGAAGACGAAGGTTCGTTTTGTTCTGCACCATTGTCTTATGTTGTGAGCTCATATCATGCAGTGGTGGCGGACAAAGAAGGCATCGAAGACCGTACAGAGACCAACCTCGTGAACCTGCGTAGGACGATCTACTTGACTATCATGAACGCCCTTAATTACGAGGAAGCTGTACATAAGCTTCTCAAAGTACAAATCAAAGAAGGCGATGAGGTAGGCGGTCGTGTAGTTGACGCTTCGCAGATGATTGACTGTTCTTTTAGATTGAGCTCATCAACATGGTGATTGAATGTTGCTCCCAAGAGCGTTCTTACTCCACCTTCTATGGTCTCGTCGGCGAGCGCTTCAGCAAACTCAACCGTGTTTGGACAGATGCTCTCGAGCAGGCCTTCGCTAATTACTACACAACAATCCATCGGTATGAGACTAATCGCCTACGCAACATTTCCCGTTTCTTTGGGCACATGATCGCGACGGACGCCATCTCCTGGATTGCGCTCGAGTGTGTCAAGATCAATGAGGAGGATACGACGAGCTCCAGCCGTATTTTCGTCAAGATTATGATGCAAGAGATGATGGAGAGTATGGGATTGAAAATGCTCGCGGAGAGGTTCAAGGATGAGCAAGTCAAGCACGCGACCAAGGACATGTTCCCGATGGACAACCCAAAAAACACGCGGTTCTCCATCAACTACTTCACGAGCATCGGACTTGGTATTCTCACTGAGGAAATGAGAGAGTACCTTAAGGTATGTCTAGTCTACACACTTGAGACATTAAGGTGACTCAATTTTTCGCAATAGAACGCCCCGCGCCTCATCATGGAACAACGACGTGCCATGCTGGAGCAAGAGTCTAGTTCATCCAGCAGTGACTCCGATTCATCTGATTCTGACTCGGATTCTGACTCGGACTCGGACTCGGACGCCTCCCCATCGGATTCTGGATCTTCCGTTGACTCTAGGCGACGCCGACGAACTCCTTCTCCCCCTCGCAGAGGGCGGGATGACTCGCGTTCTCTGCCACGCCGCAGTGTGCGAGACGACTCTCGTCGTCCCCCTGCACGCCGTGATGCGCGGGACGACTCGCGCACTCCACCTCCACCTCCACGTCGTGGCGCTCGTGATGACTCGCGCACCCCGCCCCCACCCCCGCGTCGTGGTGCCCGAGATGAATCCCGCTCTCCTCCTCCACGCCGAGGCGGACGCTACTCCTCTCGTACACCGTCCCCGTCCCCTCCGCCGCGACAGAGAGATGGACGAGAATACACTCGTCGTGATTCTCCTCCTCACCGAAGAGATGACCGATCTCCTCCGCCTCGCAAGCGGGATATGGATGGGCGGGATCGCGGTGGACGGGATGGTGGATATGAGCGGCGGCGCAAGGATGACCATCGTGAAAGAGAGCGGAATGAACGATCTCCTGGAGGTGACAGGCGGCGAAGGGTGTCTGACGAGAGGGAGAGAGACTATGGTGGCAGGCGATGATTTGCTGTGGATTTGACCCTACGTGTACTCGTGCTGTTTGGTGTTTGTTTGCATGATAGTGAATAGTTCTGTATATGCAGATCTCATCTATATCGACAGACTTGTATTCCGGCTACAGATTGAAGAGTATGTTGAGACCAACTGGAACATCCTACTCGCTAGTGATAGTAACCGGGTCAAGCAGTTAGCCTATTGTTACTATAGTTAGAATACGTGAACGAAAATAACACAAGAGCAATGCAGCTTAGGCAAGTAATCAAGATAGCATTCGGATCAAGAATTCAAAAGGCCGGGTCAAGATAGTATTAACAAGTCATGTATCTCTGATATGCAAAACATCGTTCTGCTTCTGGAACAGACAAAAACAAGCAACAGGGTCTCTGATATCCGGCATCAATATATCAATCAGTCCAAGCACATGCTCCGGTTGAGTTATGACAACAGCTTCCATGAGAGGGCTGTGACAATCATTAAAAGGACACTCGGTATTGGTGCAGATGCCATAGCACCGCTCGATCCTGGAGCAGGAAGGAAGTTCGCAGCTTCCGTTTTCTGTTCCGACGCAGACTCCTAATATATTTCACCCGTCGTCAGCGCTATCCTGCCGAGGAAAAAAAAGATAGAAACCTTGAATGCAACCAGCCCCACAATGACGCCAGCAGCAAAGAACATGAAGGCTATTATAAGCCAAATGACGCCCCACACTGACAAGGGCATTAGCGAATGTTCGCCAGAGGTTGAGGGTTCTTACCTCTAGATGGGAAACAACCACAAATCCGAGCGAACGCGGATGCATCGGAGCTGTTGACTTTCCGCGCGATGGTATCGTCTGAAGGGGTCTATTAGTCTGACGCGTGCAAACCTTGAGGGTGGACCTGCCTATCACGTCCCACAGCACATACAGATCCGACATTACGCCAACAAACAAGACCTTATTGAGAGGTTTAGCCTGGAATATGAGAGATATCCACTAGTAAAACAACTCACAAAGAAACGCAATGCAACACTGTCGGCCACAAGCCAGAACAACACGATCAAGCCGGACATGCCAAGGATGAGCGCCCATGTCCTACATAATCGGCTCAGCACCCATCCTTCCGCAGTTGAGCAGCGCAGAACCAATACTCACAACCAATTCCTGCGCGCCCACCATAACGTGAAGAGGAAAAATACACCAAGAGCGAGACAAGCGATTTTGCTCGCATTGGTGTCAAATCCGCATGCAATGAGGGCAGCGCCGATGAGTGAGGACCCGAGATATCCAGCAGGAAGAGTGATCCATGATATGCCGCCCGACATGCGGGTCTCGCCGCCTTCGTCAGCTGTCCGAATAGTGACAGAATAAGCAGGGGCTCGATAGTGAGATAAAGACATCGAACTAACGATCGAGCTCGACGGAATGGATAGTAGCGCATGTCAAAATACCAGCAATTGCGTGGCTCATCTAGGAAATAACTTAACGCCTCATGTCTTGAGCAGCGGTGAGGTGAGCCTACCTCATGGAAGCCCACAGTAAGCAGTCTACAACGATATCAACGTACAACATTTTGGACACTAGGAGGAACGTACTTGAAAGGATATACTGCGCGTAGTAGATCCGAACACATTAGGGCGCCGCAGGAGGAAATGACATGAAGAGATACGCACTAATCCAACTCAACACTGGGACATGCCTGTGAACAGGAAGACTCAATCGGGACCATTCCACCGGGAGGCTGGTGGGGGCTCACCAGAGGATGGCGATAACTACCACATAGCAGCCTGCTACAATTAAAGTTGTCCTCTGAGTAGCATTCGGAGTGAGTTGTGTGCTAACGTCTCTAGCATACAAATTGAAGGTTTGGTCATCAAGGTAGGGCATTTCGTGAATCGTAACTTGAGAAAACGGGGCCGTTAGAGTGGAACGGATAAGAAGCACCAAGGTCCAAGACTCAAGTTATAGTTCAAGCTGCGCGGTCACCGCAATCAACATGGCTGAGCACGTGCACGCGCTTATATCAAAACATAAGACAGAGATGCATAAATCCATTATACGAAAATAGTAAACAGGGTACATAAACAACAGACCGAGGGTAACGACACAAACAACAGATGCGGCATGAATGCGAATACATGATGAAGAGCACACAAGAACATATCAACAGCACCGTGACCGGCAGGAAACTTAAAGCTCATCATCGGTGACTTCTTCACCTCGTTTCTTACGAGCCATGCGCTCCTTCTTAAGCTGTGGAAATAATATTTGTGAGCGCAATTCAAAGAAAAACAAAGGGAGTCGAGCTGACCTTGCGCTGTTCGGCGGACGTCAGCTTCTTGGCCTTTTTGTTGTCGATCTTGTTGCCCATGGCATCATATTGAACCTCCTCCTCACCATCCTTCTTGTCAATACGGGGACCTGAACCTTGACCCTCGACCCAGTTGTGGCCGGAAGCCTCGAGGTGGCCATCGCGCATGGCCCAAACCTCGTGGCAGAGGGACTCGGAGAAGTCCCTGTTGTGGGTGATAACGAGCACACCACCCTCGAAGACCTTCAAGGCCTCGATGAGCGCAGCAAGCGACTCACGATCGAGGTAGTCTGCATAGGACGTAAGTAATGGACAGGAAGAAAAAAACAAGAGAACATACTAGTCGGCTCGTCCAAGCAGATGACGTGAGGCCGGCGCCAGGTAGCAGCGCCGAGAACGATTTTGACTTTCTGACCGCCAGAAAGACCCCTCATGGAGTTATGCGATACAAACTCGGGCTCGAGACCGAAGTCAGCAAAGTGCTTCTCAATCTCCCGACGGACAAGAGGGCGCAAGAGACCGAGGCGCTGGGCTTCACGAGTATCCACTTCGAGCACTTTCTGTAAAAATGGTCCATCAGTCATAAGAAGCCGCTAGAAGCGAACAGTACGAACCTTTTCGAAGCCGCGCTTGATGAGTTCATCACGAGGTAACCACACGTTCTCTGAAGAGCTCATGTTCTTGAAAGAGACCTCATACTCGTAGGACTGCTTCAACTTCTTGCGCGCGACAATCTCTTCGATGAACCTCTTCGAACCGTCCTCGTGAACATAGAGGGAACCGTCCTTCATCTTTTGTGCTTCGGCCTCGGAGATTTGGCGGTTGGCCTTCATCATCTCTTCCAAATCCTCACCAGTCTGGTAACGCCAGAGCATGTATTCGAGAGGAGTCTTGTCGAGGTGGTGGTCGATATGGTGGAAAGCGTGCTGTGCAACGTAACCGATGACCAAGTTGGGATGCTTCCAAATTTCACCACCCCTGTTGGCCTCCATGTCGCCAATGAGGAGCTTCACTAGTGTCGACTTGCCTGAACCGTTGGGACCAAGAACAGCAACACGAGACGACAGAGAGACTTGGAGATTGATATCGAAAAGTTGCTGGACGGTTTGCGAGGGGTACTGGAAGCCAACCTTGCGCATCTTGAGCAAACTCTTCTCCTTGGTCTTGACACCCTCGAGCAAAGGTGGGTCTGGGAGCTTGAACTTGTAGTCCTCAGCAGCCTCAAGGGTGTAGTAAGACTTCGCCTCAGGGACAACCTTGACGAAGGCCTCAAGGTTACCGCGGTATCTCTTGACCTTAAAGCGGTTGAGGTGGAGGACGTCGGTGATCGTGTTGTTGAGGAAGCTAGAGTCGTGTGAGACGATGATGGAGGTACATGTCTTCAGGCTGACGAGGTAGTTCTCGAGCCAAGCAACGTTGACAACATCCAAGTGGTTGGTAGGCTCATCAAGGAGGAGAATGTCAGCCTTGAAAAGCATGGCCCTAGCAAGGGCAAGCTTCATCTTCCATCCACCGGACAAGCTGCCGATGGCATGCGCCTGACGCTCATCGCTGAAGCCAACGGAAGCGAGGGTCTCGACAACCTCAGCCTCGTCGGCAAGAATGCGTGAATCAGAAAGGATGAATTGAAGGACCGACGTGTCCGCCTCGCTGCCATCAATATCATGCTCGACATAGAAGGTGCGAACCTCATCGGGAGAGGGGAAACCCTCAACCTGACCGTTGGTGATGGCACGCATGAGGGTTGACTTCCCTGTACCGTTCTTACCGCAGAGACCGTAGCGGTGGCCACGCTTGAGACGGAGGGTAGCGGTGTTCAATAGAATCTTTGCACCATAGGCAAGCGAGAACTGGCAGTTGCACAGGTCCTCACCCTCCTCCTCGTCATCAGGGACAGAATCATCCTCGATGTCGTCACTGGCGGAGCGAACAACCCATTCCCTTGCAATGGAGACAGGGTCAGGAGTGGGGGAAACGAATGCGAGGTAAGACGCAAGTGTGTCCCAATCGGGAACGTCGAAGTTCTTGGCGTTGACAAGGTTAGCGGCAAGGCGAGAGACGTAGACGGTAGAAGCGTCAGTGGCAGAGGGAGCGGCAGCGCCTGCTTTCTTGTAAATAGCAGCGAGAGATGAGGTAAGCTGCGATGCCTCAGCAACTTTGAGCGCAGGGAGGTCGGTGCCATCGCTTTCAGCGGGGACTTCACCGACTTGGCGGAGAGTGGCAATGGCTTTGCCAACCACGCCACGAGCCTCAGGGTCACCAATGGTAGTCTCGACCTTGATCAAGCCGGGAAGGAGCTTGGGCAAGAATGGACGGACAGTGACAGGCGAGTCCACGAGCTTGGCCATGTTGTCGACGATACTATATGCAAAATGAGATCTGCGCCCCGGTAATGGAGAACTCGATACTTACACTGCAACCTTACGCTTCGTAGCAGTAAGCTTCTCTAAGAGACCACGAGACAAAAGGGGAACCATCAGGGAAAGAGTAGCAGAGTCTACTTCAGAAACGAATGTGGTAGCCGAGAGGAGATTAATGGTGTTTGGCACCTCTTCGACAGGATTTATGAGAGCCTTAATAAGAGCTGGAATAAAGCGTTCAATGTCCTTGTTCGAGACCAATGCAGTAGCCTTGGTAAGGGAATCGCGTGCAGCCTTCTTCACGTCTGCCTTGGTATCCCAGATAGCCTCGGCAAGAATAGGGACGATGTCGGGCATCAGGCGAGCGGTTTGGAGGGGTGCAGACACAACGATCTGGTTCAGGACAATAAGGGAGCCAGTCTTCACTTGCCATTTACCGGCAGTTTTGATTTCGTGAAGAAGTGCGGGAAGAAGAAGACCGGTTGCCCAGGGGTTCATGGATGCAACAAACTCCCGAACTGCCTCGACGGCTGCGTTACGAGGGGCAGGCATTTTGTCGGCGAAACCCTCAATGAGAGCTGCGTAGAGACCGGAATCGATGAAAGTAGGTTCAAGGGCCTTGGTAGCGCCCGCCTTGGCAAGGGCGGCTACAGCATCGGCTGCACCCTCACGGGCAGCAGCGGATTTTTTGTCGGCAAGAGCCTTAACTGCGGCTTCAACGAAACCGACAGCGGCAATGGCAGCAGGGCCATCATTTTGCACGGCCGAAGCCAGAGTCTTTGCAGCTGCATCACGGGTAGCTTTGTCAGCGACGAAGAGGGCGGCTACGTCAATTTGACCGTCAACAGGGCCCTTGAGAGAGGCAGGGGAAGCGGTAGCAGGAGCGGTAGCGGTAACAGCAGGCATTTCTAGAATCTAAACTGACTATGAGTGCACAGAAGACAGGAGCGCTCAAGAATGAAAGTACCTTTAGTGGAGACGTTGGAAGTAAGTTTTCTTCTATGATGAAGTATGGATTAGGCAAACAAAGCTACAAGGGCGCGCTCTATGTCTACTGAGTGGCTAAATGCCTGAATGGCGGTCAGTGGTAGAAGAGATGGAGGAGGAAGACGAACCTCTATTGAGATATGAAGAAGAGCAAGAAAAAAGAAGTGAGAGACAAGTGAAGAAAATCAATCAGGAAACGCTCCCTGTGATATAAGGCTACAGCCTTTTGCGGAGTTGGAAAAATTCCAGATAATCTAAATTATCTCACCGCTTTTGTCGGCCGGCGCAAGTTGCGCTCCCGGCTAGATCGCTGATCTTACTTCACAGCCACGAAGCTGTGCGTGGCGATGTGGGGCATCTGCATCCACTCTCAAGTACTGCCTTTACCCCGCATTTCTGAATAATCTAACCGTCCCATTGCTCGATATCATACCTACAGGACATCAGAAAAGAATGTGGGTAACATGTAGTGTCACTCCTTCTCGTCTAGCTTAGCGAAGCTCAACGGCGTGAATGACTGTGAAATACATCAGCATGCGCACTACACGCACATAGAAATAGAATTGATGAAATAACTCCACGTACATATCCCTCTCCTTGGTAATGTTTACTGTTCGCTTCAACCCAGTGCAGACGGAGTGCGTGCAAAAATGCCGAAAGACCCTGTTATGGGAACATGTCATAAAGCATGAGTATATCTGATCCACGCCTGATGGGCACGTTTGTAACACGTACCTCCATGATGCACAGAATGAACACGGTTAACGAGAACCAGAATGCAACCATGATCACAAGGGCGATCGTCCCGAAGATACCGGAACCCCCCAAAACTTTCTCGATTGTCATTGTCCACAGCACCTCAGATAACTGGGCATGTGCCAATGACAGGGCCCACAACCGCAGGTAAGATGCGGTATGTGAAATACAGCCGAGACAGAATTCGATGGTGTGGATTATCTGATGGATTACCACCTCGCTGAAGTCGTGTTGTTCCTGTTGATATGAATCAATAACGAAACCACCCCTATCTGCCAGATCATAATAACGTACATGCTCTTCCTCCATCTCCTCCACAATGACACGACCATTACCTTCTTCCTCAATTTCCAGAACCTCATCTGTACTTTCACGAGGCCCACCATTACGGTGACCAAGTTCAACGTACCCTTGACCCTGGATCATTTGCATCTCCTTCCATTGGAAGTACGGTTTAGTGCACAACATCCAAGGCACGCAGACCAGTGCGAGTAGAAGAAGCACAACCTGAACGAAGGCTTGTCCGGAATATAGCTGTGAAGCAGGATCTACCTTCCCTGGTGACAGGAACATTGCAATTAGCATGTTCAACAACGAGGGAGGCTCCGTTGATCGGGTGGACCAATCAATCGACCACTTGTAAAGGATGCATACAACCAAATAGCCGAAAATTGACTGCAAGAATATCATTTGGGGGACGAAGTTGGTATAAATGTCAAGCGGGCGTTTGAACTTGATGTGATTGGGGAGCTGTAGACAAAGGGCAAATGTCATCTAGAAAAAGTGATCAATTGAGCGTGATGATCGAGCTGCCCTACAGTGGAAATGAGAACACACATGAATGACTCCAAGCACGAGCGACATCTTCATTTTGTATGAATTTGTAAACACGAGCCCGTTATCCGCACCATGCCAGGCAGGGTCCACCCCGAAGGGATAAATATGACCATTAGATATGGCGTATGAAGTTCCATCGGTCTCAGGGAAGTCCCAACCTGACTGCCAGATGTGGAGACTCTTGGAGAAGATGTCGTTGTACATGAGGCCGGTGTAGACGGAAAACAGGCCCATGAGAAGAATGATATATCGACCGCTGGTGTCGATGTTAGCTAAGGCATTGACTCATTTGCCTTAGAACTTACTAGAAGAACTGGCCGAGGATCTGGTACGCACAATCATTAATGTCAGACGCTGTGTGTGCCAACTACAAAAATGACCAACCTCATCAAGTTCCTGTTTTGCCCATCTCTTCTCGTTCAAGATCATGTACAATGCGGCAAAGAAGATGATGAATCCATGACCAATATCACCAAACATCACGGCGAACAAGAAAGGGAACGTGATGATCGCAAAAAGACCAGGGTTGACTTCTTGGTAGGTTGCAATACCGTAAGCGTCCATGATGGTCTGGAAGCCTTCGGTGAACTTGTTGGTACGCGTGAAGGTTGGTGGCGTTTTGTTCGTGCTCAACTCTTGTAAGATAGGAACAACACTCGTTCCGGACTCCTCCTGAGATCAGGTGCGTGATTATCAATTTCATTGAGATCATAATGTTGTCTTACCGTGGCGTGACGAAGTGCCATGTGAATCATGGTCAGGTCCCTTGTTGGGACCCAACCCTCGGCGACAAGTGTCTTCTTCCTGACATCGTAGTTGAAAAGATTCATCGTCTCATAAATGGCCTTCTCCTTGCGGACGACGTCCTGCCACCTAGCCAAATTCTCTCCGATTCTTACCAGTTCGCTGCGTCTGTTTACACCTGTGTTATACAACACAGTTTCCAAGTCTTCCAAGCGGGCGGTAACCTCGCGCAGAGAGTCTGATCGTTTGTCGGCATTGGCGTCGATTGGATAGAGTGTCGCACCCATGGACTCTGCCACCTTTCGGATCTTGGCAAGTAAGGCATCACCATGCGCGAAAATTATGAACACATTCTTGCGCGTCTCAGAGCCAGTAGCAGGATCAACGAAGGGCTCTGCAATGTCTGTGTGATTCATGTATAAGTTACCCCTCAAGACACGCCACAAGACGCGCTCAAACGTCGATATACGGGTACGGTCGATGGTACCAGCAACGAACCTATGTTCATGTCAGTATATTATTTGTAAGGGACATCCACGGACATACTCGAGGTCAAACTGTACGGTGGATGAGTATTGCTGTTCCCGGTCGTCATGTTGCAGAAGAGGTGCAGAGCTGTCATCAAAAGAGGTCCTAATATCAGTCTGCTGAGTCTCAGCCTACATACCATAAGTCAATTCGTGGTGTGCAGACCCGTCAATCAAAAACTTACCTTCTCGAAGAACACAGCAGTTTCTCGGAGAACATGACGGGCCTCCATCAGCTCCATTGTGCGCTCACTCAAAGTCTGGTAGCTCTGATTCATTTGCACCAGCCGCACTTCGTGCTCAGCCAGCGTGACATCAAGCTCGTCGATATTATGCGCAGCACTCGGCCCAACCGTGACCAACGGCGCCGAATCATAGAGAGGACGGACAGGAATCACATCCTTTTCCTTCTGAATCTGAGATTCAAAGAACCGGACACGTCGTGCCATCTCTTCCGTTCTCCGTATCTCACCGACAAAAGAACGTTGAAAAGGATTGACAGCAGGATTTAACTGTACAATCGTTCAACGGAATACCAACAGTCAAACCAAGCGCACGTACGTCCTTAAACTGCACATTTCCCAATTCTCCTAGCTCTGCAACTGTGTCATGGGCAACTTCAGTTGGAATAAGGAACTGCATCAAACTCATCTGTTCCGAACCTGGTGAACGTCATCAGTAAAACAGAGTTATTATAGTTCAAGTTCATGCGCACGGAACAGCGTGGGGTAGTCGTCCCCCATGGTATGGGATTCGTACGTCTTTCAAATAAACGAAAGCAAGGACAGAAGGACGTTCAAAACTGTTGGAAAAGTAGTGCCACTGCTCGGCCGAGTCGCAGCAGATTACACAGGTTGTTTGGCACTATTTGTGCATCAAATAAGCGTTCTGCCGCTGGCTGTAAGCATGATGAGCATTAATTGAGGAGGACGGTCGCTCCGATTAACTGGTCAATCTCCTCTATATCAGCCGGCCTTGGGATCATTGGGATATCGAACGCGTACTCGATATTTATCTAAAGTATTGTTTGATTTCTGGCGACCTTTGTCATGCAAAAGACTGTTCTCCCCCTTGGCTTACTCGATTTTAGCCTTGCTCATGTCCGACCAGCAAATTGGGGATGTCGTTCACGGAATTTACACCAGGCGGTAGCCCTCGCACCATCTCCTTCGCCGTCTTTTGAGCCTGCTGAGGATAAAAGTGTTTTTTCAAGGTGAGTTGTCGTTCTATATCAATTGGCCAAGCTCATGCAACCCAGGCGGCGCAGACGCGGGAAAACACCAGGCAATTTAACGATCAGGGCCTCTGAAGAATCAATATCTTCCCCTATGTTCAAGCTCCCCAAAAATTTCACATCCCCAATGTCCGAGCTCGAAAGGAGAGTTCTTGCGTTCCAAACCATACAAGTGCCGTTGGATGCCACGGACTCCCAGTCGGTAGGTCTTTGCATTCGAATGTAACCCCTTCTGTACACTTTTTCATGTGAGACAATTTTTGATCAGTTGGAAACTCCGGGGTCAGAGGCAGCACCTTTCCCTCGTTATACGGATGAGGAGCTGTTCTCAATGTACGAAGACTTATTGGACACAACACTTGCCCAACAACCCGTAGAGGTTACGGAGTCCTCTGTGGAAAACAGAGATACACCGGCTATGATTGAAGTCAGACAACGGGTCCGCATTTGTGTGCGTCTTTCAAACCTTAAAAGATGAAGCCAAGCATTACAGACCTTCATAGGTGCGAGAAGAAGACTTGAGTGGCGCAGAAAGTGCAATACGGCTTGCGAAGGTTATATCATAATTCCATCTCGCTTTCATATGCTCATGGACAGCTTAGGATTCCGGTATCATACCACCCGAAGACAGTATCAATATGGTGCTTGGATATCACGCGTTGCATGGAAATATAGAGCGATTTGAAGGCTTTATGGCAAATATTTTATCCGGTTTGTATTCCATTCACCCACTTGCAACTGTTGACCAACTGTGTTGATGCATAGAAAAACCTTCCGAGACTCAACGAGATCTGCATATTAAGTCATACCTGCGAGACCCAATTGTCTTTGCATCGCGCACATTTCCCACTCGCGGAATCGACCTTCTACATAAGTATGAGGCTTCTGGGCTCCATCCCCCCATGAAGTCTTATACACGTATTATTTCCTCCCTATTCTCCGTCCGCCCCTCTCCTTCATCTCCTTCAATATTATCAACACCGGACGTACCATTAGGAAGACTGGCTGCACATTCACAAGCTTGGGACCTTTTCGCGCACATGCGCTACGTTGCGCACCCTACCCCAGATGCCCATCTCTACGCACTGATGATCCGTGCTTGCGGTTCAGCTCCTTTATCTCCTGAACCCGAGCGCGCTCTAGACTTGTGGACTGAGATGCTCGAAGCGGGAATTGTGCCTACCAAAGGGGCATACGACGCAGTGATACGTGCATGTGCGAAGGCCGGAGGAGAATGGGTTTCGGAGGCAATCAGGTTTGCGCGGCAAATGCGCAACCGCTTTGGAGGTAGTTCTTCTGAAGTTGGTGGTGGGGACCTTCAAGGGATTGGTGGGCCGCGTACTTGGACGGCTCTGCTGGACGGCTGTAAGCGTGTGGGTGATCTAGGGCGTGCTAGATGGATTTTGGCAGAAGCTGTAAGAGCTGAGGGTCTAAATGAGGAGATGATGCAGCACATGTTCCACACTTATGCCGCGTATAGACCTCCGTTCAAGAGGGGTGCAACCAGAATCGTGGACGACGGGGCAGTTGTAGCACCAACTGCCCTCCAAGACCAAGAGGAACCGCTAGCAAGCGCTACTGAAGGCTCATCAGACTCGCCTTCAGTATCTGCGGATGCTTCTTTCGACTCTGATGCACTCCCGACCGATTTGTCGCATATGGATACCATGCCTTCATTTTCACATCTCCCGCCCCAATCACCAGGCGAGGTTCTCGCAGAGGCCAGGGCTCTCTTCGATAGAATTCTTCAAGATACCAACATCACCTCTCATTCATCATCTAGTGCGCCTGTCGGCTCCCTCGCTGGCAAATTCAATGTCACACTGACGCCACGCCTCCTCAATGCGTACCTTTCCGTATACTACTCGCATGCTAGTATCGAAAATTCGTGTGACGTATTTGACAGACTGTTTTCTTCTTATGGCGTCGGCCTTGTGGGTGACTCACGCACTTATGTCGATGCCCTCGAGAGGTGTGCACTTTCAAGGCCGCGCGAACGTGACTTTGCAGGCAAATGGGTGGATGAGCTATGGACGCGCTGGGAAGAGCTTGAGCGCGGGTGGGTTAATGGGGACAAAAAGTCGACAGTGACTGCCAGGCTAGTAGAGAGAGCACATACTGCTGTCAGAAGAGTTTATCTCCTGTGAGTTTTCTATTTTTCAACTTTTGTAGTCATACTAATACCCTCGTTCAGGAATGGTAATGTTGACCGTGCAATTGCACTAGTCCGCACGTTCATGTCGCGGTATCCTCCGACCGCGCTGCTGCCTCCAACCCGCAATCCATCGTTTGCTCAGATAGATGTTCCCAGTCAAGATATCACGAGCAAACGTAAAATTACTCTCTTTGCAAAACCACCCATCCTCTCGACACGTACGGTTCTCAGTAATCCATCTTCTACGCCTCGTCCCCTCGTCCGCCTCACATCAGCCATTGGTCCACCTGATGAGCGTGTCCCACCTTTGCTGAGTTTCGCGGATGTGGAGCTGCTGCACACCCGTTTAGTGGAGCAGGGTAGGGGAAGAGAAGTAGGGTTTCTCAAGTGGGCGTGTAAGGCGTACGAGGGAGCGCTGAGAACACGTAGGGAAGCTGTCCTTGGAGCGCGGGTCCCCGTGGGAGATGATGTCCAGTGAGAGGGGACTGTCGTGCATACCAATATTTTAGTCAACTAATTGTGATAATTGCAACACTATGCGGGGATGATTTTTGTGTTCTATGCTTACGGAAGAATGTGCCGGACCTTGCTACCAGGCTTGACGCCTGCATAAAGTTCCAAGAGGGGTGAGCACGACGTGATCGAGAGCCTTAATTGAGGATGTCGTCATGATTGTATGCAATAAGATCAGACGGAATATTAATGCGTGTAGATCAATGATGACGGGGACTCTGTATTCATGAAATATGTCTTGCAAAAGCAGTGTGTGCTACAGTCCAAGCAGAAGTCCTTGCTCAATCCGAATCGTAGATATCAGTGTTGGAAATATCCTAGTTCAAAGCAATGTCCACGGAAGCTCCCGCTCGAGCGTGATTTCCGTATAGTCAGGTAGGCATTACCAAAGCTCATGCGAGCTCCGCGAAGCCAACTCTGGAGTTCTCGACATCAAAAGCAGAGTACACATTTCTCATGAAGACGTCACCGAGGATCCATTGATCTGAAGATAAGTGAGCGAAAGCAGCTCTAAATAATCCAAGACCGACCGACCTCCAACTTCATCACTGCCGTGGATAGCACCGATGCAGATTGTTCCTGATGAATCCATAGTGCCCTGATTTAGAGTCTCCGCGGAAAGCGGAAACGACTTCCCCCCAAGGGTGATGCTCACAGCTGGCATGGCATCACACGGTACTTGAAACAACGTTGAGACAAACGTAACAATGAAGCTGTCGAGCTGCTTACACGCGTATACACCTTTTTCTACTTCTGTCGCATTGATAGTTGCGTAGAGCTGACTGACGTCGAACGAATTGCCCAAGATCAATGAGGTCCCAGAGTCGACAATGGCAGGGAATGCATTGACAACCTCTTTCCCATCGATCTCGATGGCATCACCAGTAATCTGCCAGGCCCCCTAATAAATGCATGAGCGATGCCTGAGCAGCACCGCTTGATTTACAATTGGTGGCTCACCTCTTTAATTACTGGAGTATACGTGAATGAGCCTTGATGCAATGCAGAGTTTACCCCACCAACGCGAAGCTCAGAGCCAGAGGATGCAAGTTTGAACGCAAATACTGGTTCTGGGACAGCTCCTTGTGAAACCAGCGTGTGGAAAACGGAGTCTGCGCCAAACTTGGAAATTGACTTGAAGGCTAATCCCATAAGCCCATCATATTTTTCCGATGAGAAACCTGATGCATTCAAGGCAACGCCAATAGTTTGTGCAGTGGCCTATGACATGCTTCATGAATTAAGACAAGGGACTGCAGAAAACTACAGACCTTGAAGCCAGCAAGCGAGACGCTGTCCGTATATAGATCGCCTGTAGCCATGGAATTATCCATGTACTCCACTTTGAACGGCTCGCCAAGGGGTTCAGCAGAGGAACTAATTTCAGGATTGTACCGCTGCTGTCCCCCGCATGCGTTCCCGCAGATTGATCCAGGTAGAAATAAGTCCGTAGAACCAGTGTCAAAGTTAACTGTGGCGTTCGCATTAGTGCATCCTACTTAATATCAAGTAGGAAATACGAACTAGTAAACGTCTGCGGCGGAGTACCGGCTTCAATTGCTCCAATCCAATTTCTGTTTGCATCGTCAATAAGCGGCGCAGAACCTAACGCTGCCGCACGCTTGGTATGCGAAGGGGAGAAGAGGGCTGCGCCAGTGTTTCTTTCAAACGCAGCAGCGTTCCGCTGTAACTTGCTAAACATTTGATCAATAAAGAATAACACCGAAAAAGGGCAGTCACCTACGCCTCTGCGCTGGAAATATGAGCCCTGAGTGAAGCAGGGTCAACACGTCCGTCAGCGGTTTTGAGAGTAGATTTTTTCGTTAAAGATATTGAAAGAGGGTGTGGCTGCGGTAAAGCAACTGCTAACGCATATAATGCAGCGATTGAGGACAGAAATAAAGAACGCATTGCTGTGGGTGAAACAGTCAATCCACCTTGCCCTTAGGTGGTGGTTCTTATAGCGATTAATTTTTCGATTTTTGCGGTGCATTTGCAAAATATGGCAGCTGTGCTGCAAGTGGCAGTCAACCGACACAGACTTCAAGAAATAACCACTGTCGATCGATCAATACTCTGAGTCTCTATCCGCAAGTCCGCAAAGTCCGTCTGACCGTCGTGCGCTTCCTGATATCGACTTGCCACATACCGTTCCTGTTGTGGCGTAGCCGCGTAGGTATTTCGCATATTATGCGTGTGTCGGCCAGCAGTTCATGGAGCCGATTAGGAAAACGGGTTGGCCGAGCAGCTGGATGATCACTGGGCCAGTTTTAAAGTCGGAAAGGGGATGACACCTTGAACCTGTGCTAGGGGTTAACTTCAAATAAATAAGGTTGCTTAATCCGATTCAAGTGCACAGCAGGCGAAATGTGTTATGTCTGCCAGACTAGTACTGATGGCACTGATGGATGATGGATAACGATCGCTGTCCTGAGCAAGTCGAGTCACTGACTGCGGTACCGTGGTTAGAACGCCTTCCGTTGACAGGCGTTGACTAAGACTTTCCTTCTCCGACCGGTGCTCACGCTTTCCCACGGTCACCACACGTTGATGGGCCCAGTGCACGGCAACAAATTTCCTAAACTTCACTGTGATCACCGATTAGGCGACTTCTGCCATCGTTCCGTTCAGTCAGCCTTGTCCTGTATATATCATGCAGAGTAGTTAATCGATCTTTCAACACCATCCATTTCAAGTGCAATGACTATCACTCAAGATTCATCCATACAATCCGTCAACGAGACAATTCTCCCTCGAAGATACCAAGAGGAGATTTTTCTACGCGCTCAAGAATGTAATGTCATTGCTGCACTCGACACCGGTAGTGGGAAGACTTTCATCAGTATCTTGCTCATCAAATGGATCGTGCTACAAGAGAGCGCTCGCGGCAAAGTCATCGTTTTTCTGGTACCCAAAGTGGCGCTGGTTGAACAACAGGCCAACTTCATCGCCGCACACACTCCTTTGCGAGTCAAGAAGTTCCATGGATCTCTCGATCTGGAGCTCACAGATCGTGCCAACTGGAGGACGTCCTTCGAGAGGTCCGACGTCGTCGTTATGACTGGTATGTGTACCTCCAAATTCATATCTTGCCTTCGATAACCGATGTTACGTTGTCAGCACAAATATTCTTGAACATAGTCACCCATTCGCACTGGAGTATCGACAGGGTATTTAGCTAACCTCCATTTGAAATCAATCTTTCTTACACGCAAGACAGGTTTCTCTTCTCGTCTTTGACGAGTGTCATCACACTAGGAAAAATCACGCTTACAATGGCATCATGCGTGAATATTTCCAAACTCCGTCGTTTCAGCGTCCAAAGGTGTTTGGCATGACTGCCTCTCCAATTTGGAATCCAAAAGATGCTCAGGGATCTCTCATGACGCTCGAGAAGAACCTTGACGCTATCGTCATCGCAGTTCGCGAGCATGTATCTGAGCTTCTTCATAACTCCCCTCGTCCCCTTGAGGTATTCTACCCCCCCAGTTCCGGAATACTAAGTCTAGACCTGATGAACAATCCCACAGATAATAAAGGAGTACTACCCCCCGCCTAGCAATTACATCTACCTACATCCTAATCTGTGGGACTGCGTATCCTTATTCCGCTCCCCCGACGTTGCTATTCCGTGGGAGAAGCTTCAGATGAAGTATCATGTCACCCGAAACAGCCTGGGTCCATATTGTGCCGATCTCTACCTATACCACGATATCAAAGCACGAATCTCCCAGATCGTCAATGACCTAGAAGCGTCAATCAAGGACAAACCACGAATTAATTATGACGACGACGCATACCCTAGCATGGACGTCGACGACTCGTCAGAGACCGCTATCGTTATTCCTCCTGACCTCGAGCAAATTGACTTCATCCTTTGTGAATTCCGACCATTCTTCGAAGATAATTCTGTACCTCCTGCTGTACCAATAACTGTACCTCTCGCATGGTGCTCGCCCAAAGTCAAGGCACTTACAGAAGTGCTACTCGAGCATTATTCTCCGACTTTTCAGGGAATTGTATTTGTGGAGCAACGGCAGGTGGCGGCTTGTCTGGCAAAGATCCTTTCATGCATACCAGAGCTTCGAGGCAGTATTCGGTGTGCGGAGCTTGTTGGGCATGGTGGCGGACATGGGCACCGTGGTAAGCATGCAGCCACCGCCAATGTGAAGGGGATGGGTCTCGCACGTCAGCAGGATGTTGTAAAGTCCTTCCGTGATGGTACTTTAAACTTGCGTGCGTTAACATCTCTATGACTGTCAACATGCTGATCTAAGGGTGTGTGGTCACAGTTATAGCAACGTCAGTCGCCGAGGAAGGTCTTGACTTTCCCGTAAGGACCTTCGTTTTGTTGTCGCGCGCCAGCTAATCTTCCCTCAGGCTTGTGACCTCGTTATTCGTTTCGATCCGCTACACCACATGGTCGGGTATGTACAATCGCGTGGTCGTGCACGCACCAAAACCTCTACTTTCGTCATCATGGTGCAGGAAGGTCACATGGCGCACCTCAATCGTTACAAGATTTTTGTTGATAGCGAACCCGAGCTCAAGCGCGTTTATCAGAGCCGAGAAAACCCTACTCGCCCACCCTCACCAACGCCTTCCGACTCAGAAGAAGGTGAAGTAGAGGAGGAGAATCCGGTTGATTTGGCCGCACGCGAGCGTTATATAGTTCCTTCGACGGGTGCTGTGCTCACATATGGTTCCGCCATCAGCCTACTGAACTATCTATGTTCCCTAATTCCCCATGACGCATTTACGCCTACCCCACTTCCAAAGTATAGTGGTGACTACGCCATTGTGCTCGAGCTGCCATCGAGTCTCCCTCTTCCCATCGACAAATTGATCTTTCGCGGGCCACCCCGATATTCCAAGCGAGAGGCCCGGCGCGCAGTAGCATTCATGGCTGTCAAGGAGCTTCACAAACTGGGGGTATTCGACGACTACCTACTTCCATCGGCTGGATCCAAGGGTAGGAACTTAGAGGATGCCGATGGCAGGAAACTTTTGGATGTGAGTGATGTGCCCGACATCATAGATGTTCCGGTGCGGGATCCTTGGGCTCTGGGGCCACGGTTGAGGATGCACGTCATTTCCATCGACGGCGTTGACGTTGCAGGACTCGTCACTGGCACCGAGTTACCGCCGCTAGAGATTATGAGCGAAGGCTCTCTTGTCACATTACGGTGCACTGACGAACTCGTATTTGACGAGGACGAGGAATGGGAGAAGTTGGAGATGCTCAACGAGTATACCAAAATGGGCATCTGGTTCTGCATCACTGGCCGGCCTATTACTCTCCCTATCACTTGTTTCCTCGTTCCACTGACTCCTCACAACTGTATCGACTTCGACGCAGTGGAGCGCGTTGTCAGCGAACCCCTAGGATCGTATGATTGGTCATCTGTAACTGAAGACGATTATCATCGCACACTGATCATGAATTGCAATCAGTTCGGACGAGCAATGGTTCTGCACAATATACGGCACGACTTGACGGCACTATCTATACCACCACCTGGCTCCCGTGAGTCTTCCTGCTCCACCTACGAAGAGTTCTTCGTACAGAGATGGACCAGGAAGACCCGCGAAGCGGTCGTTCCGACCGACTGTCCCTTGGTTGAAGCCACTTACCTTCCGCGTCATCCTTCTGGTCTGTATCGACCAATGCATCGATTACAGGACATCGACATGTATAAGCGTCAAATGGCACGACCGGGACTGCTTGTTCCTCAAGGGGCTTGTCGACGATCGCATTTCTCGGAGAACGTGTACCGTGCATTCCTCTTCCTTCCACGCATATGCCGCCGCGCTACGGACCTATATCGCGCTCAAGAAGAACGCTTTGAGCTAGGATTACCTGCCATGAAGGACGAGCTTCTTATTGAAGCGTCGACCTTGCCCACGACAAGTGCAACGTGGAATAACCAGCGTTTGGAAACGCTGGGAGACTCTGTTCTCAAGCTCACCGCAACTGTTCATGTCATGAACAAGTACCCCCACCGGCACGAGGGACAGCTATCTCAGCTGCGCCAGAACAGTGTATCGAATCGGACTCTGCTGGCAAGGGCATTGGAGATTGGGCTCGAGAGGTACCTCACCTCGGAGGGTCAGAGTCTCCACGTGTGGCGCCATACCATCGCAGAAGATGATGATCGCATGGAGCCTTTCACTTCTGCAAGACGGCATGCTCATCGAGCATATCCTCGTCGAAGCTTACAGGATTGTATGGAGGCAACGTTAGGGGCTGCTTTTCTGCATGGTGGGATAGATATGGCTCTCCGTGCAGGAGATGCCCTGGGGATGACCGTGGGTGGCACCATTCCCTGGACACTACGATACTCTCGTCCGCCAGAATCGTTGTCTGCGCCACCTCTTTTCGATGACCTTCAAGCTAATCTCGGATACGAGTTTCATCGAGGCAATCTTCTAATTGAAGCCGCGACCCACCCTTCTTTCGCAACTACTGCTGGATCATCTTATCAGCGATTGGAATTCCTGGGCGATGGTGAGTAAACTCGATGCCTCGCTTCTGAACCAGTGATTGATGGTCTGCAAAGCTGTCATCGACCTTGTCGTCATGAAGTATCTATTCAACAAATTCCCCGAAGCCACTTCAGGTCAGCTGTCAGCCGCTCGTTCGCGAGCAGTGTGCGGGCCAACTCTAGCCTCTATCGCTGTGAGAAGGCTCGGCCTTCACAAACATTTGCTCATCAACAATGTTGAACTGAGCACTGCGATCACAAGACATGTTCCCTTGCTCATGTCTCTCTCCCCTGAGGACACCATCAGCAAGGGATGGAAATACGATCCGCCGAAGGCGCTGAGCGATGTGTTAGAAAGCATTGTTGGAGCGGTCTTGGTTGATACTCGTTTCGACTTTGAGAAAACGGCGGTCATAGTCGAAGCGGTGATCAAAGATGTATTGGAAGTCCTAACGACGGATCTACCTCGAGACCCCGTGTCTGAATTGATGGTCTGGGCAGCTGCGGCGGGATGTAGGCGGATATCCTTCCAGTGAGTTCCCTGGATGGATGTTTGTCCGCCCTCACCACTCATTATTTCTCTAGGAAGACACAGAGTAACCCAGATCTTCGGCGAAATGATAGCGTGTCTGTGGTCGTGCATGACGTAGTTGTCGTCGGCCCTATTACAGCTACCAACCTGTCATTGTCGAAAGGTCTTGCGGCGGAACGCGCACGCACTGTCTTGGCCGACTCGACGTTCGACAAGTCTCTCGAGAAGTTGTGCGATTGCGTGCGGGACTTGGCCGCTGTCGTACCAGAGGTGGTAGAAGCTATCGTCGATGATGATGCCACTACTCATTCAAAGCTAACTGATGAAACTGAGGAGGGCTTTGCTGCCCTCGCCAAGCTGAAACTGCTCGACGGGGAGGCTGAATCTGCTGGGGACAATGACGAGTACGAGGATGATGTGGTAGATATGGATGTAGATGAATGATTAGGAAGGGATGTTGGACAAGTTTTATTATTATTATTTTGATGTGTGTACATCAGCGGGACGTTTCGAACTACATAGTCCTTTGTAGTAAGCGGAAGCGCAGTAGCAAAACCCCGCTACAGTAACAGTCGAGTGCTACAGGAGCTCGGGTACACTTACCAATGGAGTGATGTGTGACCTGTTACCATTCCGAAATACTTCGGCTCTCCATCTTTCAGAAACCATGTTACCATTGGACTGACATTTGCGCTGGGAAACTCCATTCAACCAGAGAATGTCAAGTTTAATACATCAGTAAATCACGAGTTGTCTTTTAAACCACTTTTATCCCACTTTTTGCGCTACATATTGAAGGAAGCAGCACAAAGTCAAAAAAGTAGAACCTAATTTTTTCCGTAGATCTCGTTACTCATATCCTGCTCATTCTCAACTGTTTCACACTTATTTTTTTTGGGATGCATTGAAAAAAGAACAATAGTGGGCATTAAAAATTGACTAGATCAAAAAAAAAGGTAGTCCAGGAGTGCAAAACAGTAGTCCAGAAGAATGAATAAAGTCCTCCAAAAGTGTGTATATTAGTAAATATAAACAATAGCTTGAATTGGGGCGGGGGTGTATAGTGTGTAGTGTATCAGTGTCTGGTAAGCGCAGAGAGCATAGGAAAGTGCACGAAGATGAACATAGCCAATATTCTGCCGGTGTTGGATGTGTCAATAGTAGAGTACACAACAAGAAAAAAATACATACAAATCAGGGTGTGCCCACCCTTGGGTTTCAGCTCCTCAGCTGGAGCATTCTTGAGCTTTTCAAGTTGGGCTGCTTCATGGTGCTGGTGCACCAGGGCAATGACATCCATCGTGTACTTCGGCCCCCGCCTCTTGATGGACTCGTAGTATTCCATTGTCACCAATCCGCAGTTGGCCTCCGAAAATGCTGGCATGCCAGTGCTATCTTTGCTGCTGGATTTATTGCACTTGATGGGGGCTTTGCGAGCCTTGCTGGTATTACCCTTTGCACTGCTAGTGCCTATGCTGTGGCCATCTGAAAGAGCCTTGGGCTTTGCGACAAAGTTGTGTTCGAGCTATGAAAATGAATGGTTAATTTAAGTTAGAATATTTAGATGGGACCTACCAAGGCGGCACATGCAGCGATTACAGCCTGCATGCCCTTCAATTGCAGGTCATCCGTGTTGAGCGCAGGTACATCAAGGAAACCAGAAATCAGATTAATGTGACAACCGTCGATCATTTCCAACATAAATGCAGACCGGTAGATCAGGTTTGGGTCACGAGCCTCTGGATCTTTGTAAAGGAAGGCCCACTCCTTGAGGAGGCTTGCTGCCAGTGTTTGTCTCAGTAGCATCCCCTAAGGGACGATTCTACTAGCTCGCCTCTTGAGGTAGATATCCTTGTGACTCCCCGGAGTTCGCATTCCTGTTTTCCTCACCCACATTGGGCCTTATATCGCAGACTACAAGGAGCAAGTAGTACTTGCATGCATAGTTCGAAGGTGGTGTGCTAAGTGAGTATATCTTCTGATGGTCCATTGTGTTTGTTCTGATACTAAAGTAGGTGTCTTTCACATCGCAAGAACCTCGATGAGACCAGTCTCCCTCACTCAAGACTTCACGTTGACACGCTAATCGAGGAGTGCGACTTCGATACATTGTGGGTACAGTATGGTATAGTTAGCGTCCTCATGGTATGTCAATCATTCAGTTCTAGCTCTACTTACTAATTGACTCATTTGCAGCCATTTACGAACGATTTCCCCTGCACCGACATCCACGAACTATCCACACCCGATTTCCTCCATCAAATCATCAAGGGGGCATTCAAAGATCATTTAGTTGAATGGGTCGAAAAATACCTCGTACAGGTGCACAGAAAGACACAGGCTAACATTATTCAAGACAATATTGACTGACATTATGTTTAATTAACCATAAATTTTATTTATTCTAAGCTTGTCATAGGATCACAGCGGTTCCACCGTTTCCTGGCCTCCGTCAATTTCCACAAGGGCGCCACTTCAAACAATGGACTGGGGATGACTCAAAGGCCCTCATGAAGGTATTGTATATTTTTCTCCTTTGAACATTACACTACTAACTACTATGTCAAGGTATACTTGCCAGCAATCAAGGGTTACGTCCCCGAAGATGTTGTGCGCACATTTTGTGCCTTCTTCGAGTTTTGTTACCTTGTCCGCTGCAACATAATCACAGAGAACTCGCTTGACACAATCCAAGATGCACTTACCTGTTTTCACCAGCATCGTGAAATTTTCAAGACCACCAGAACCATTCCAACGTTTTTGCTTCCCCGACAACACTCGATGTCTCACTACATCCATCTCATTCAATCCTTTGGTGCTCCAAATAGCTTGTGCTCTTTGATCATAGAGTTGAAGCACATCAACGCAGTCAAGGAGCCTTGGAGGTGATCTAGTTGGTATAACACGCTGGGTCAGATGCTGCTGATTAATCAGCGTCTAGACAAGTTGGCAGCATCACACGTGGATTTCCGCACTCACGGAATGCTCTCAGGCACTTGCTTGTCATCTGTTCTGGCAGCACTCGGTACATGTTTCATTTCTACTACCTCATTTACTATTTAATTGTGTCTTCATTGCTAGAACCATCAGCAAATGTGCCTGCGCAGGCTGTACAACCTCTGTCCACTAGTGCCAAAGGGCACAATCCAAGCCAACAAGAGCTGCCCGCTGTGCACCAAACTGCCAGCATACTCGATGTTGATGTTGCTGCTGAGTGACTTAAGTGGCATTGGCGGGATGAAACACAAGTACATTTGTGTGTCCCCCAATTGGAGACAAGGATACACACACAAAGACTGCGTGTTCGTTATTACTGACTCAAATACTCACGGAATGCCGGGTATGGATGTTGCCCGGGTACTTACCTTTTTTTCTTTTTGGCTCAGAGATAGATATTATCTGTGCGCAGTCGTACACTGGTTCAATCGAGTTGGTGACACACCAGACAACAAGACTGGCTTGTGGATGGTGGAGCCATCCTCTATTGAGAATCATGCACACTTTGCAGTGATTCACATCGAGTCGATTTTTCGTACTGGGCATCTTATTCCTGTGTATGGTACCTGAAACACTCCCCTCGGTCATCAAATTTCACCACACCCTCGATATGTGAACAAATACACTGATCATCATGCGTTCGAAATCAGTTCTTGATATGTCACTTTTTCTATATCATATCACTTAGCTTTTTTTATGGCGCATACTGTTTTCCAATTTCGAACTTTTCTATATTCAATCACACAAAGTTTGCGAGTCCAAAAGATAAGTGTGAGAAGGGACACAAAGTTTGTGGGTCAGAGGATAAGTGTGAAAAGGGAACACAAAGCAAAAGGTCTCTTATTAAATTGTAAAAAAAGGCTGAAAAGTGAACTCGTGATTTACTGATATAAGAATTACAGACCATCAGTGCAGTGATTTCCGTAAAAGTTCGCCCTGGTGATAACATAAATTTGGCCATAACTAAGCTACCTGATATGGGTGGTGGTATGAGCCAGGAAAATGTGTCACTCCTTTGGGTGGCAGTAATCATCAGTTGTGGCAAAGCAATTAATGGCAATTGCCATATGATGATGGCCATATTTTACAACTACAGCTCCAATTGTGACATCAACCCCATCATCAACCTTGTCATCACTGCTATCTTCATTATTATTTTTTCATCCCCCCTAGAAATACCACTAAAGTGAGTAACTGATGGTGCTGTTGAAGCCACTGAAAAAGAGAAATGTCATGTTTCACCGACTGGAAGACTTGGAGACAGTCCTAGATTCACCTACACTAGGCCCAGTAGTCATTGATGTGGTTAAGACTGAGGTGAGTCTATCAATTATTGATTTTTTGAATGTGATCTTCTCATTTTCAACCCAAGCTTGAGGTGTCAGGGTGACAAGGGGTCTGTCAGTTGTATTGCAGAGAATAACCATCCCATAACAGACCATCAATTGCATCCATAGCCTTCACATGAGCATACTTAGTCTGTAGGGCAACTTGGAATTTCAGCATTGCTTCATATTGAGGATGGTCTAGGACACTTAGTGCACTGTTCAATTGTATATTGAGTAATTTGACACAATAGACAAGAGTTGCCCCTGCAGAGAATTGCTTGACAGTTTTAATAAAACCAGAAGAAATAACCACATTTTGTTTCTAAGTTCTCATTAGATATAAAGGCACATATAGTTTGAAGACTTACTGTATGTTCCATAGTGTGCCACAGAGTTACAAGTTTTGTATTCTCCCTCAATAATATGATACATTTAATCCATTGCTTCCCTTGATATGGCCAAACCTTAGTGATTACTACCTAACTTTCACATCACACTAATGGAAAATCACAAATGGAATCATCAAAACATCTGCAATAAAAAATTCTAGGCATTTCAGAGGGCCTAGTGACCAGAAAAACAAAATAAGAAAAGAATGAAAACTGCCATGGAGCAACAACTATGTGAGTAGTGTTGTTTTATCATTGCCGCAACACTACATAATCTTACCATGCAGAATGGTGCTATTAGACTCTCACTTCATTGAAAATTTCCCTATCAATTTTTGGAAAGTGAACCTCAATGGTGCTTGTGTTTGGAAGGCTGTCAGGAAAAAGTATACCACTTTTCCTGAGGATCTTGAAACTCTCCAAGAAAGTAGCAAAATTGTTGTACCATTAAGGAACCTCCCCTCATCCATTCAAGTCAGTCTCAAATGACCTATCATTCAATCTGATGATTTGATTTAATCATTTTATTCACACTAAAGTTCAAAAGTGTCTACAGATATACTGGGATGCTATTATTGCCAGTAGTGCACAGCCTCATGGTGGCAAGTGTAATGCCAATTGTTTTTTCATTAAAGCCTTTTACTTTGGTATATGAGAGATGTCCAGTGCCTAGCCCAGATCATTGCAACCATTGACACATTATTGAAGTACATTGAAGATTTTGTTGCTACAAAAATTGGTTCAGTGAGTGAGCAGCATGCACCTTACTATCAGGCAGCTATACAAAGGTATGTGTATATTCTGGTCTGTTGCCCACTAATATACTGACTGGTTTGATCTAAGAGCATATGAGCTTGTCAAAAATATTCTAGCTAGTGATCTGCTGGCCCGCCCTAGTCTTGACATGGGTGAGAATTTTTTTTCTATTACTATCATACTATCAAAGAAGGAGGATCAGGTCAGGTCAGGTTCACATTGACTGAAATGACAACAGTGTGATTTGGTGTTTTGTATTCACTATTGTCAATTGGGAAGGAGGGGAATTCTGTGTACTACAGTTGGATATCAATATTCCAATATGACCCAGCCAAGTATTTACAGTACTGACTTGTGTTGTTGCATACTTCAGTGCTCTTGTTACTAATGGGTGTAGAATTGTTTTTACATGCTTTACTGATAGTCTGGCATTCCTTCATGCAAACCCTGACTTTGTAATAGGATATTTTTATTTTAAATCATAATTCTCTATATCACTCCTTATAACATTCCTTCATTCATCCCTCCAATTTCACAATTTTTGAGGATTTTTAACAACATTACAGCATTCTGTATTACTTTTTTCTCGGCAGGAGACCATTGTTCCCAGTCATTCCATAAACAATTTACCTCATCTGTCTTCATATGAGAGAGGTCTTTGACCATAAATCCAGTGGAAACTGAGTCAGGTTCCAAATAATTGGATGAGTTGGCATTTTTTATTTTTATTTATTTTTTATTTTTTTGATTCCAATTTTTGACCTATGGAGAGAAGTACTCTAAGGAGGACAATACTATCTAGTCTAGGGGGCCCCTAGTGCCCCCATTTTGCATCTCTAAGCGCGTGAATGCCCTGGAGTGAGGCGTACCTCCCCCAGTCCGCCGTTCCCGCCGGCCGTTTTAGACATGCTGCTTCTACGAAGATGAGACGACTTAATGACCTGATCGCGGTATATGTGAGCTAACAAATGGAGAAACAGTACGTGTACTCGACTACATATGCGGATAGGTACAGGAGTCAGGTTATTGGGTGTATGGGAAGAAGATGCGAGGACGCTCCTAGGTGGCGAAGGGTGGGGGTTCTTTTTCCGGGTGGTTAAGCCCAATAATGTTCTGGTTTGGCCCCATGTATACGAGTGTGAGGGTGATGGTACAGGGAGGTGGTACAATTGTACAAGTGTGTGCTTGCGGGGTTAATTTGTGAGGCCAAAATCTACAAACGGAGAATCATCAATACTATACAGAGCGGGGTAGTGGTATTTCACCGAGGGTGGGCTTCAGTCTTCCTGTCATGTTCACGTATCTGGTTAAGTGTGGAGCAGCTTCTGGGTCGGTCAGAAGGTACTGGAGTGAGGTGACCTTGCATCCCAGCGCGCTAATTAGTGCGTGGCGTGCTCGTTGATAGCGGGGGCATTGTAGCAGGTAGTGATGTACTGTCTCATCAGTACCAGGACAATTTGCACACGAGGGACTGTCGGATTTGCAAATGCGGTGAAGGTGCTTGTTGAGCAGAGCATGGCCAGTGCGGAGATAAAGATAGAGGCTGGTGAGGCGTTTGGAGAAATTGGTTGATAACTTGACGAAGGAGCATTTGAGTAGCTTGGGGTCTAACTGATTGAGGCGGAAGAAACGGGGGGAGTTTTGCCACATGCGGCTCCACTGTTCGTTGATCTCTTTCTGCTGCGTTTCTCTCAGTGCCAATACACTTAAAGGTAGGGGTCGATCTCGAAGGTAGCGTGGAAGGTGGTTTGTTGGGCTATTATTGTTGATTCCTTCTGCTGCTGACTTGGCGTGTTTGTTGGCCTCTTCGTTTCCATGGACGCCAGAGTGTCCTGGCACCCAGCACACTGTTACGTCGAAATTCGCGTGATCTCTGGCGATCTTCTTCATCATTCTGCGAAAGTTATCCGCGAGATATGAACCAGGGCGTGAGTGAAAATTCTCACCTGCTAGTATTGATGCCTTGTTGTCGATCGAGATGGAGAGAGGGAACAACAGGTCCCTCTCTGTGGCTAATAAATGGGCGGTGAGGGTCAGGCCGACCTCCTCGGCTTCGAAGATGGTATGTTCCTCTCTCGTTCCCAAACAGTAGCGTAGCGTTCGGGGCATCTTACCTGCACAGAATAGGACCGCCGCCGCTCCAATATTGTCCTTGTACCCTGACCCGTCGCTATAGACTTGAATTTGATCCTTCAGGTTTTCGTGTTCTAGAGCGGCCTCTGCCTTGCTGGTCGCTATATGAGTCTTCCACAGGTTTCTGGTAGATGGTGGTCGTTGTGCCGGTAAGAGGGTTTCTATGTGATTGGGGGATATGGTGAAGTGATGGGTGAGACGATGGAGAGAAGAACGGTGTGCTGCAACATAGTGGCTGGCTGCGTTGGACGTGGGCTTGAACAATGGGTGAGTATTGGGGTGGGTGGCGAGGTGGGTGATAGCGCGGTGACATGCATTCTGCAGGGCAAGCGTGATGGGGAGCAGATTGGCGTGGGTCTCAAGAACATCTGTTGCCGTCGTCTTCATCGCCCCCGTGATGGCGATAGCCGCTAGACATTGAACTGTTGAGATGCGTTTAGCGATGCCGATCGACCCTCGTTGCAAGGAGTCGGAGCCTCTGCGGAAGACGGGGAAAACCATAGGTCAGCTGCATATAACATTTTGGGTAGGGCTACGGCCAGGTAAAGCTGGCGCATTAGTTGCAGAGGGATGCCTTTGGCGGAGGTGGAGAGACGGCACAGTTGGAGGACATAGGCCATGCCTTTTGCTACTGCATTGTCCGCTTGAGTCTTCCACCATAATTCCTGGTCTAGGACGACCCCGAGGAAGCGATGTGATGGGGAGGGGCGGATGACTGAACCCTGGATGGTCATGTTGGGGCGGGCCTTGCGTCTATTCATAGAAAAATCCATCAGTGCGAACTTGTTAGTTTCAAAGCGAGAGTTATGAGTCCTTGACCAATCATACCCGCCCCCAGGGCGTTCTAGCATATCTGCAAGAATTGAATGCGTTTCCGTGAAGTCGCTGGCCACAGCGACAAAGGCAGTGTCATCTACAAACACTAAGGTCAACTCTTTTAAGGCCGCACGTCCCCGTTGAGGCGTTGCAACATCTACTAAATCGGAGCTATATATGATGTAAAGGATCATGGACAGGGGGTCCCCCTGTCCGATCCCATTGGTAACGGGAAACCAGTCAGATGTATAGCCGTCGAATTTGAGTTGTGTCTGGCGGGATGTTAACACCTGTTCAGTGAATTGCACGATCTCTCGTGGGATGCGCCTCATGCGCATGTTGTGAATCAAGCGACTTGTTACCACATTGGGGAATGCCCCCTTGATGTCCAGGAACAGTACCGAGGCCACCTTGTGGGAGCGCCAGGCGTTCTTGATGGTCTCTTCAAGCAGATGGAGTGAGTCAGTGGTGGATTGCCCCGGCCTACCCCCAAAATGTGTATTAGGTAGCAACTGGTGACACTCGAGAACGTGCGTGAGCTGGTCAGCGACTATGGCTGTTAACAGTTTGCCGGTGGTGTTGAGCAAGGCGATAGGGTGATATGCTTTGGGGAGGGTGTAGCTGGGTTTCCCCGGTTTGCGAAGGACCACGGTAGTGAATCAGCGCCATGGCTGGTAGTAGGTATGGTGCGAGAAGGTGGCGTTGAAAAGGTACTTGAGGTACGGGATGAGGGTGTCAGAGCATTCCTTGAATACTACATTACAGATCCTGTCGGGGCCTGGGGCTTTGTATCTGCTGAGATTGCCGATCGCACGCTTGATCTGATCTATGGTGATGGTTGGCATGTGTTTGATGGGGTCAGGGTACTCGAAATCTGGGGGGACCGAATCAACCAAGGGGGGTGGAGGAAAAAAGGACTTAGTTAGGATTTCACTCTTCTCTTGATTAGTAATCGCCTCATTATTGGATCCGTCTGGGTTGACATAGTTGAGGGAGGGGACTCGAGTCTTGCCGCCATCACTTGGTTCTGACGATATATATTTGTTAGCGGTCCAAAGGTCCTTACCTTCAATGTCCTCCAGCCAGTCCAGCCAGTGCTGTTTCTTCATCGCCGTAATCTCCTCCGCGTATAAATTCTTGGCCTCCTTGAGTTTGTTGTGGCTTGCATGGAGGGGGAGGCCGCGCATCTGGTAAGCGATTTTACTGAGGTTCTTGACCCGCATTCTAAGGTTGGATAGGGATTTTGTCCACCACCGCTTGGAGTGGGGACAGGGCTTCGTGTAAGGTACGCACTTCTCCATGGCGGTCGTAATCGATCACGTTAGATGATTGGCGGCCTCCTAAAATTCGGCTTCCGAGGCCAGGGGTTGGGCGGGTTTGGAGGAGATAGTCTCCTTGAGGCATCTGTTGAAGTCAGTCCAGTCTACTCCCCACCAGTTACGGCGGGGTTCTTCTGCTGTGTGTGGTGCTTCTAGCTCCAGGGTGAGGAGGATGGGGATATGATCGGTCTTGGGTCCACGAAGTTCGGGGGCTGTTACGCAGGAAGTAATGGCGTCGAGTAGATGTTCGGTGCCAAATACATTATCCGGGCGTGTCCAGTTTCCTGAGTTGTTGGACTGCAAGGTGGGGATGCCGGCAGGGAGGAGTTGAAGCATGCCATAGTCGGCTATCAAATCTATAAGAGGGTTAGTGGTCGTGTAGTTGAATAAATGGCGGTTGCGGATGTCCTCCCAAAGGGGATGGTGGCGGTTAAAGTCCCCTAACCACAGCATGTGGTCAGAGTCGGCAGATTGGATGGAGGCAATGTTGTTTTCTAGAAAGGTATCAAAGGTAGTTAGTGTGTCTTGATGCGTGCCGTCATTATAAATATTAAATACTGTACACCGGCCGTATGGGCCTGAAAACTGGATGGCGATTACGTCTGAGGATGGGTATTTGATCTGCTTCCAGGTATTAGTGTCGAGTTTGGTGCTAATCAAGACGACGGCTCGTGTTCGTTGTAGTGGATGGGTGAGATGTTGAGAAGGGTAGATGACATGCCAGTGGTGGTTTGCGCTTGTATTGCATAAGAAGTTGATGTACGGTTCTTGAATTGCGATAATGTCCCAGTTGGCTATGTCCGGATTATTAAGCAGAGCGGCCTGTGCTATCATAGAAGTATTTAAGTTTTGCTGCCATAGACGTAGTCTGACGTTAGTTTCGTGGGCGTTGTTATACATGGATGGGCGTTGTTGGAGGGCTGTCGGGGGTAGAAGGGGATCTGGGGTTGAGAGGGGGGGATATGGCTCTAAGGGCCTCAGTAGCGGCCTGAGTTGGGTTTGGTGTTGAGGGTCGAGTCGGCGGGCTGATACTAGGTGTGGGAGGTGGGTTGAGGTTACAATCAGGGAGTGGTGCGGTGCGTGGGGACGTTAGGGTAGTCTGGCGTAGTATGTGGGTAGTTTTTGTGTTTGTGTCTGCGATAGGGAAGGGAGGAGTACGGTGAGAGTGGTGAGGTCGGCGTGGAGTGTTCAGGGGGGTAATGACTTTGGGAGGTCGAGGTGGGGAGATGGCGTGAGTCCAAGCCGCTTCAGTTGGGAAGTAGGGCATCTTGTTTTCTGGGAATTTCTCGTCCAGGATGTCGCATCTACGTATGAACTCCGGGCACTTCCTGCTCCAGCTGGTGTGGTCGATGCTGCGGCAGTTAGTGCACCTTGTGGTGCGGAAGGTGTTGCAGTTGTCAGTCTGGTGTTGTTCTGCGCAGGTGCTGCAGGTATCGGAGGGATCTGAGCAGTTGCGTGCAATGTGTCCATAGCGCTGGCATTTAGCGCAACGAATGGGTTCCTTCTTATCTTTGCGGACAATGATGTGCTCGTTATCAATACACAGACCGTCTCGTAGGATGTTGTTGGCTGTGGGAGCATCGGTAACTTGAATTAGCGCAAAGGCTTTCCTTTGTTCTCTGGATCTTCTGGTCGGAGGCTTGATCCAACGGATTGTTGAAAGTGAGCCCGCTGGGAGTTGGTTTTCTGTTTCCACGCGTTGAAGGAAGCTTTCATTGTCTATCTGCAATTGGATTGGTAAGTATTCTAATACTAGAGCGAAGGTGCGAGAGCGAAACGATACTGTTGAATTAAATTGATTCTCGAATAGGGTGCGTCCCATTGGGTTGTGTAACCAGGCTGCCAATTCTTCCGAGTCCAATTTGACTACCAGCCCTCCATTATTGAGGGTTGTTATGGCTTTGATGTCTCCGGTGGGGGTGTTGTTGTCTCGGATGTTGGTGAGGGCTTCTTTCAGGCGGTTTGCTATGTCTTTGTTGGGTGATCCGGGGGGGAATGGTGTCAAATCTGGTTTGAGGTCCAAGATAATTTGCCTCGCCCTTATGGCTGCGCGGCCAATGGCCTGGTCCGCTTTAGGTGGCAAGTGGGCCGTTACTATGGTGCTGTACAATTGTGGAGACGAGGTCGAGTTTTGAGTGGCGGGAGGGGTCGATTGCATTTGCGTGGATAGGAGATTGATGCACTCTTGGGTGACTTCTAGTGAGGGGGTGAGCAGTTTGACGGTGTTCTGACAATCCGTCACTGAGGCGTATAGTGCGTCCGCTGCTTCCTCGATTCTTTCAGCTGCTACTGATAGTCCACCTTCTTGTTCCCTTCTTTCATCTCTTGCAATCCTGTGGATCCTTTCTGCTTTGTCGAGTGACAAGACTAGTTCCTCCTCCGCTTTTCTTGCTGTCTTAGCTAGGGTTTCCGAAGCCGCGTGTACACTGGCAATTTGTGGAGCGAGGGCAGCAACTGTGTGATCCACTAAGCGGGAGGTCAGGGAGTCGGATAGAGCTTTGGACAGGGTGTCAGTCAGATGTTTCGCTGCCGCATCTGCAATGTCACATGCGATGTGCTTCTTTAGGAGGAATGCTATGGCCTGGATTGCGGCGTTGACTGGGACCGGCGTAACAGAGGACATCTGTGTGATGTGAAATAGGATGGAGGTAAGGTGGGTTAGTGTGTAGGGCTGGTCCTGTTGGCATAGTAGTTTTGAGGTGAGATACTTCTCTGCGCTGTCAGTGTCCATGACGGAGTTTGGCGTTGCTATGATTTCTTCTAATGAGGTAGGTGTGCGGATCGTTCTGCGAGTATTTGGGCCGTTGATTGGGGTCGGTGATGGAGCTTTGGGTGGACCTGAGCCAGCGTCTAGGGAGGTCCTACCTAGGGCCATATTAGTGTTCAGGAGGTTAGTGACTTATCTATATATTGTTTTTTGGAGGTTTTAATGGTTTTCTAGGGTTGATTGAGGCTGTTGGGTATGCCGTTGGGCGCGGTGAGCTCGAGGGGAGTCCAGGGTCTTTTTTCAGGGTGCCACTTGGTAAGTGACTAAGCCGTTTTTTTTGGCAGTGATTGTACCCCAAGAGACAGGTCTAGAGCCACCTGTGCATATTTCTACAAACTGAAAAATTAATCAAATGTGACACACAATGAAAATGTAAGATTCTACTGTAAGAAGCATGAAATATGCTTCTAATCAATTTATGTTGGCCCTTGAGGCCGATACCATCACAGGTTGGAAGTTTTGCATGCCTGTCATCATCTAGTATAATTTCGGATAGGACAGGGCCATTTTCATCATCCTCATCATCTGAAGCTGCATGGTCTTCATCCCCTGAAGGGTCTATCAATTTGAGTGAACAACCAGTGAGCACACTGTGTAAAATAGAATGAGACCCATACAAAATTCAGTTTTGAACCATTCTATGAAGGATTTGAATCTAACGGCAGTCTACTCCTTGATACCGCTTGAGCTGACAGAGAACTTCTTACATAGCACCTTAGAGGACATGTACATATGTATGTCTGAATAAATTAGTGGCTTTGAATAAATTTAACGCGTCAAAGAAAAATCAAAATCGTGTTAGAAATTCAATGAACGTCCCTATAAAAACCCCGCCTCACGGTGTCTAAGTCCTTTTCTTCTTACCATCATCAACCAAGACCTTCCAATGGCAAACATAAGTAGGAAATGTAGGTCTAGTAACACAAGTACTGACATACCGTTAGATGCAACATAACTACCACTTCATCCATCTGAACGCAAGCAACTACGCTAATGCTGCAGGAGGAAATCAGGTGAGCGGTTCTTCTTGACATTTTGAGACTCAGATTCATGTCTATAGTTTAGTTAGCCTTGAGATAACAAAGATAATTTGACTACTTACACAGTAACAGGCAATGTCTGACTAGCTTTTTTCTTGTGACTCACAAACATCACTACTCGACAAGACATGATACACTGGATTTAGTTCGAAAAGTCCTCAGAAATTTTCTTGAGGTTGTTCTTATGGTACCTTTATGCAAGTGAGGCTCACAGACTTGAACAACACCGATAATCATATCAAACTTACGTAGCTTGACTTTCTTCTGGTGTCCCTTCCTTGTTCCATTTATTCATGGCAAATTTCACCTCCTCCTGGTGAAGATGTCATGTTGTCAAACCATTCTATGGCATGGCCCATCTGATACTTAAGTGAATGTTCTAAGCCTTTCCTTTGGTGCTTGGCTTTGTCATACTGATTGATTTCCTGCTTAAATAATTTCTGTGCAACATCCCATTCAGATAGTGTGTTCTTGTAGAATAATGCTTCTTTTGGATGACTTGCAGCCTCTTGTTCATTCACCTCTTCCTTGTCTCAGATCATTTTGGCATAATATTGTTTTATCCCCTGTACATAGCATTCATTTAGATTGAATAAATAAATATAATTAGACAATTGTTACCTTTATCCAAGGAAGTAGGCAAGGACATATCCTCCTCCTGTTCTTTGTGAGCAGCCAGTATAGCCTTGTGAACCTTCTTCACCACAAGCCTTTGAACAGATTTTGATTGGCAGTTATAATGTCCTTCTGGTAAAGATCCAGAATTATTTTGAAGGTAGTAGCTTAGTCAGAAGACATTGTAGTGGATTAAAAAAAACAGTGTATGTGCGATATGAGGGTGGCCAGCTGATAACACTGATTTGAATGAGTATTTAATATCATGTGATCATGTTCAAATGAGAAATTCTGACAGTAAATTTACGATCACATGACATAAAAATAATCAAGAATGAGTTATACAAGAAATTGCAGACTTCAATGGTGATCTCCATAGGGAGAAGAACTTTTCTTACCAGCATTCTCCCTTGCTTTCTGAACATGCTTGATCATTTTTTTCTCAAGGCAACTGTGGAGTCATTAATTTTGAAGACCACTTCAATTTCTTCTTAAGAGGACATTCCACATCACAAGACTTGTGGGGCTCAGTCTCATCCAATATTAGATTATTAGAATGCATTAGCACAGCTGATTAGTTTCAAACAGTCAAGACTTACCTCAATTCTTCCGTGGTCCAAGCATCTTCATCAATATTGGCCCCACTGACTGTATTTTCAATATCATCCCAGTTATAAAGCTTGTTTAAGGTCTCCACACTGTAATAAGAAGTCAGATGCCCAATAATAAAATTGTTAATGCCACCATAAAAAGCTTAGATCACTTGCTAAAGGTTCATTGCAGTGGCGACCTACTATTCAGTTCACTTACTAAAGGCTCCCTGTCTGCTGAAATGAAAGGCAGAAAAGGGAAAGATGGCTTACTTTAATAAACCCCAGTCAAAAGTCAAGAACTTTGTGAGTCTGAGTAGGTTTGCTAATGAAAGCTCAGTATTGTTGCCTTGTCTTTCAGCTAGATTTAATGTAGAGTGAAGGTGAAAGAATCATCAGAAGGATAATGAGTTTATGTAGTATATTCCTGGAAGCCATTACAAGGGTTATCACCAATACTGTGTATATGAATCCCACATGAGGCTGTGGATCTCTATTGTCATATATAAAATAAAGATCACACATTGGGTGTGGATATGAGTAGTCATCTCCATGAATAAACCCACATCTACACTGATGGATGTAAGTGGAGGTATTATTACAGATACTCATGGGTATATCTATATCATTCTCTAACGGCAGAAGCACTTGTGCTTTGGCTCCTTTCTTAGGTATAATTTGCCTGGGAGTTGGCCTCCTATGGTGTTTTTAAACCAGTTCTTCTCATGATCTTTTAAAAATGTAATAGAAGTAGCAGGTGTGAAAAAAAAAACATTTCCCATATATCCAGGAGTGATATTATTAGCATTAATATCTCTAAGAAGCCTCCAGTTTCTAATTCCATGATACAGATCTTCTGATAAGAAGATGATGATATCCCCTGGGCCATATCTGGATGGCATGTCAAGATATAAGTTAAACATGAGCCTAAGGAGTGCTTACTTGAACTTTAATTTTAGATCTGTGATGTACGCCTCCCCACCTGTGTATCTCTCTTTATTGAAAACTGCAGTAGGTCCTCCATCAAGCCCATCCCTATGTGACACAGCCTAACCATAGTCCTGGGTCTGTTTGAATCTACCATCCTGCTTAAAAGGCCTTCTCATAAATCTGGTAATCATCTGGGAAATATACCATAAATATCTCACCAAGGGCAAAATCAAGGTCCTTGGTCTGGTGAAAATACCACTCAATAGCTTAATGAACTATTGCACTACAGAGCATATCCTTGGACAGGTACAATGCTGTTAAATAAGTACATTGTACAATGAGCATTGAATAATTGATAGTAGTAGCACTTACTGCACACTTTTAGCCTTTCTCAGGCCAGCAATGAACTGGGTGGGATACACCACATCACTTAAATGTGATTTGGTTATCAAAAAGAGTATAGACAATATCATTGTAAGCAAAATTCTTCTCTGGCTTCTCGAGAGCATCAGAGCTCTGCTCATACTACATGAGGAAATCTGTTTAATTGTGACAGCCATCTTGCTCAGACTTGTGAGGGTAAAGGTGGTGGTGAAGGGTTTTGTCTAAAACTTGAGACTACAGATGGCAGTTAGATTGGAATTAAAGATAGTACATAAGTAAAAATACTGGAATACCATCATACTGTACTTCCATACCCATGCCTCTAGTAAATTTGAGTGCATCCTCTGATTGGCCAAGCTAAGACCGAGAAGGTATACAATCATCTGTCTGTGAAGGTACAGATGGCCCAGGGTAGTAAAAGGGTGCAAGCTATTAGAGTGACTCCTCAATAACAGTAATGTATTTTGGCAAAATTAGGGGCCTATATGGTTGTCATCCTCGGCCTCGCAGCAATATGGGTGTCGGTAGTGGCATGAGGAGTTGGTGTATGGTTGGACAACTGTAACTGAAATCATGAAATACCCATCGAACATCTTCAATGAAGTACTCACCCGGTTCTGAGCCTTGGGCAAAAATAAGGGTACCTTTCTCATCACAGAATTTTGCAGAGCATGCATCTAACTCACAATTTTCCATCATGGACATTGTCTTAATGGCCTTCATCTGATCCTTCTTGCTGGGTTTGATTGAGCAGAAAGTTTGGTGATATCAATACCTCGCAGCCTGTAGACAAGTGCATGTCCACTTGCTGGGAATTTGGACTGATTGTATATATGTTATTGTGTTGTAGAATACATAATGAATGAGTTATGGATGATGGTGTGAGGCGAGAGAGCTCTAGAAATGAGGTATGTCAATCTATGTGTGAGCACATTATATTAATCTTCTTGTGTCTCATGCTATATCAATCATATTTTTACAACCACACAGATTGAATTAGCTAGTTAATTCCTTGCACACCCTTACCTTATTGATCCAAGTATCTAGATATATTTTAATTGGTGAAAATGAGGGCCTTTCAGCATTCAGTCATTTTTTTTCAAGATCTTATGCCTATATAAAGCAACTCAGAATGAGGCTATTAAAAATTTGAGTGGCTATACATTAGTTTTCTAGTATACATGAAGATGAGCACTATAAAGACAACAACGAAAGGGTGTGGAACTCTGAGCACGACCCCGATTGAAACCAAGGGGGGAAGTGTAACATTGTTGCCGGCGCCCAAGGACGGAAGCTCAAAAAGAAGGTGGAAAGGGATAAAAAGGAGAAAGGACGAAGGACGAAGGACGAAGGACGAAGGACGAAGGACGAAGGACGGCTCCAAAAGTGAACCAATAAAAACAAATGCGACCAAGCAAGACCAAATGGAACTGAACCAAACAAGGGACTCTGATGAAATGTGGATGAACGGAAAAGGGACAGAGGCACATGACGTGAGGTATGTCCCGATATAGACCTAAGTCCTGGTATACCTCCATGATGGAGATTCTATACGACACTAGCATAGACCATTAAGCCAATAAACTCATTAGCTCAAATTACTCAAGTAGACAATTGAACTCGTTTTCTAGCAATACATATTCCCTAAGCCTGTGTTCAATGCTTTCATGAAGCAAAGTTCTGCCAGAATCTGACAGTAGCCTACAGAGTTATTCTGCAGAATAGTAGATAAGTTGGAAACATCAAAACCATCTGCAGAGGCTATTTAATCTATAGAAGAACTTTGAACAAGAGTAGCAGACCATTTTCAAGAAGAAATATTAATTGAAAATACTAGTAGTAATGATTAAAGTCAAGGAAAGAAGCATCAAACATCAGAATAATAATAATAAAGATTATATCTTTTGCTCTATAAGCTTTATTTCTCACACCACATAGCTTAGTTTAAACTACCAAATATGTCTGCAATACCACATTATATTTCTATGCTCTGACTTATTATAGTTCAATTACATGAAACTAGACAGATATTAAAACACTTTTTCCACACTGTAAATAACTAGAGAAATGACAATGAATCAGCCAGTGCACTACTGTTGGAGAAGTGTATGTTTAAGTGACATAGTAAGAGTTGATGTTACAAGTAAGCTATGAGTGGTGAAGCATGTATGTGATATTATGATTTGTGGTGTGATGACCACTTCCCAGTTAAGCTTACTTTACCATGTTGGTCTTATCCTTACTATCACCTAGAGTGACTTTGAATGCAGTTTCCTTATCCTCCCTCTCTCTCTGAGTCCTGAGTTTAGACCAGAAACTCTTTAGAGCCTTACACTGTTTACCAGATATAGCAGCTATGCAGCAAGACCCAACACTTTCTGTTTCAAGCAGATTTGTTGTACCCACAGCAGTATCCAGATAGATGACTCAAAGTATTAATACAAGTGTATAGAGCGTGAAATTAATTAGAAGATGGGGCTATTGTGCAATTAGACATTGGTTTTGATTTTTTATATAAAATTTAACACTCACATTTCATCCACATGCATCTGAATCAATAACACCTTGCATCGCCTGTATAACAAACATTTCCTGCAGATCATAAAACCATAGTAAATCATAAGGGAGTAGAGTAGAGTAGAATAAAATGTATGAACCATGACGAGGTTTGCATCAATATTCATATATCCATATGATTCCTCATCAGGCTTTGGAATTTGCTGAAGCAAAGTGAATGTCAAGGTATCAAGGTCTCGGTGTAACGAGCTACCAGTAGTAATCCATGGTATGGATAAGGGACACGAAGTACGGATGAGTGAGAGGACAAGAATCTGTGCTGAGATCCATGAGCGGAAGACTAAGGGGACTCAAGATCACACAAGATTAGACACAAAGTCCAAGTGAGTAGAAGGAAGTGATATTGTCAGAAGACAACACGACTATTTATCATGATCTGTAAGAACTCGGAATCCTCTAAGCGGCAGTAGTACAGGCGAGTCCATAGCATAGTAATATGTAAGAACAGCAAGCGGCCTCATGTATGGGAATGTACATGTAATACGGACTGTGGTTGATCAGAGTGACAAAAAGAGACAAATGACACACCAATGGAGATGGATGGACAGGGACTGAGGGCAAATGATGGTATCTGTTATGGTTTGCGCATCTGTTAGGTGTCCGAAGGGGACAGATGTTGATGGAAGAGGTCAGATGGACGTGGATATGAATACCTGACCAGGTGAGCTCCAGATCATGTGTAATGAACGATTGTGAGGCTAGCGCCAGAATGTTCGGTACACCGCAGAACATGAGAGAAGACTCACCTGAGGGAATATAACCTAGAGAAAAGAAAACAATCAGTAAGGTACACAAGGTAAGATGATATTTACCTTGATGCATGCAGAATGCTCAGTAACCCTAAGTGATGGAGAGTGGCAGGAATTTCAACTGTGGGAATGTTGTGGCTGCTGGCTATATGCCGCAGTGTGTTTGATTCTATTTGTCTTGTTGATTGAAATGTGTTCAAGTCCCACACAATCACGTGATCTGTTGGTTTGAAATGTTCCAAGTCCAAATTTCATTGTCTTTTGTCCTTCCACTGGCCGGCACCGGTTCTACGTCTTGAGCTTCTACGTCTTGTGCTTCCACATCATGTGCTCTGCTTCATCTCTTACTTTGTCTGGTGTCTTTTCTCTTCCCTATGCCGCCAAAAAAGAACCCACTAAGAAATGTGCTGCTGGGGGCACTGCCGACCGATTCAGTGGTCCTCTAAGTCCTCCCTCCATAGTGTCTGTCTCATCTGGCTGATTGAGTCATTAGTGGTGCCTAATTTGTTGTGATGGTGCTGAAGGTGACATCATACTGTACCAGTGCAATAGTTGCCCACACGTCATGTGCAGCCACTGTATCAATGTCCCTGCCGGCCATCTGGATGCTGTATGACACATCAACATTGTTTTTGTCTGCTTGTCCTGTCATTCTGAGTGTACCCGCAGACACACGGCTCCCTAGTAACTTTGTGAGTATCTGTCTTTTTTTGTTTCTTTTGACAGTGCTAAAAATTCAATGACTACAGGGATTCTACAGGCCATCCTGTCCTGCCGGATTTCCTGCAACTCAAAGGAAAATTTGAGACTGTGTCATGCTCACTATAGGCCTCTACTTCTGTCGCCATCATTCACTTCATCATCGGCGCAAACGATGAAGTGATTACGCCCGTTCCCATCCTTTCCTGCTACCTGGAACACTTTTACCCCAATGGCGGCTTACCTGGAGGTCGTGTTTGATGTTGCAACACACCAGAAGATCAACAACTATACTCGCCTTCAGGACACGAGGGTCGCTCACCTTAAGCGACATCTTGTGCCCGCTGGATGTGTTTTCGCATTTTTTTTCCAATCACTCTAAACAAGACAGCAGTTGGCTGTTTGCAGGCAAGGTAAAGGGTAAATTTGTTGCTATTGTTACGACTTGGATAGTTCTTGCGTAACTAATCCAATAAAGGAGTTCTTCGTGTTACGATGTTCGGTTCAGACACTTGAGGGGCTCTCCCTCTAAGTGAAGTTCGAGTATAGACTAGTCTCTATAAGAGCTAGATCGGAATCAAGTATCTTCCTCAGAAGATGATCAAGTATCAGAGAGAACCAAGTAGATTCAAGTTAGAGAATACAAGCGTAACTACTGCGGTATTTATAATGGACAAAGGAGGCACGGACCAGGCCGACTATGGAAGTGAAAGGAGTCAAGAAGAACATCAAGGAACTATCTGGAATGTTCATGCAGTGCATGTTGATAAGCAGTCAGAGATAACAAGAATAGACGGAAGTATCTAGAATGTTCATGCAGTGCATGTTGATAAGCAGTCAGAGATAACAGGAATAGATCGGAGAAGCATGATGATGAGAAAATGATGGGGTCCGCTGTAACATTACCCCCTTCTTATCGTCTGAAGTCACCGACTTCAACAACTTTCCAACCTCGCATCGTCAGTAGTAGACGAGATCCGCATCAGCGTTATGAAACTCCAACAGATCGTCCCCTGTGCGTTTGTTGGCGAGCTCCTCTGCTTCTCGCTCAATTCGTTCGATAAGTTCGTCTTGGTCCGCTTCCCATTTAGCAAGTGCGTCATAGAAGCCTTCTTCGTTGTGCTCCATGGGGAGGACTCTTTCGCCGTTGAGTTGGCGGCAGAAGACTGATAGGTGTCCAGGCTTGAACACGAGGCACGCTCTGCAGTAATATTCTGGGCAGTTCTTGTGACGATGTCCCATTTCTTTGCAGTGGCGGCAAATGATAGTTGTCATCGAAGGAAAGAGGAGGCGGTAGCGATCTGGATGACTTTGGAGGGGTTACGATATCTGGTTGTGAGCAGCGGTCTTTGTTCTTTGGAGGGGAGCGTGATTTGGGTTTGTAGGGTGTTTTCTTTGCGGAGCTTTACGACGTTCCGAACGCCTGAGCGTGTTCTGCGGTGGGAGGACGGGTAGTGTGATTGTCGGTTCAGGAGTGACGGGGATAGCAGTAGGAGGAGGTGGGGGTGGAATGGCGACCTCGGTTGTGACTCGTTCTGCGATGGTTTGTATGGCTTGCGTTACATCCTCCTTGAAATACAAGGGAAGGAGATGGAGAGCAAAGGTCCGTATTTTTCTTTGACAATAGAGGATGCTGCGCTGAGCGTCGGCATTGCCTACATTTTCAGCGATGGTTTCCAAGAGACTGGTGGTGCGGATGATATTGACAGTGGTAAAGGTGGTGTCATCCTCTCTTTCAGTGAGGATGCGTTCTATTTCAAGAGCATGTTGTGGGGATAACAGGGCGGATTCTACAAGGGAGGCAGCGTCGATCTCGTTAATGAGGTCGAAGTATTCAGCGAGTTGGAAAGACGAAGACATGGTTTGTTTTGCTAGAATCGGTTCTGGAGACGAGGGTTCAATGGAGAAGTCGGGCTAATTTGAGGCGGTTTTTATAGGCTTTCAGGATCTCTAGGGTGTTCTGGAGTTCCTTTTCGGGCAGCCACGAGTTTTCTGAACTGGGGTAACCCTTCCATGACACGAGGAAACGGTGTCTTCCTGTTACGTTTCCCTTGTGGGCGAGGATCGCTTCTATCTCGTATTCCTCTTGTCCGTTGATAAGATCAGGTGGTGGTTCAGGATGGTTTGGGCCGTGAATTTCAGTCTCCCGATAGGATGATAGTTCAGAAGCATGAAACACGGGGTGAGATTTCCAAGATTCTGGGAGGCGGAGTTTGAATGTGATAGGGGAGAGGACCTTTTCAATTTCGAAGGGGCCATATCGCTTCGGCGCGAGCTTCTTTGATGGGAGATGGGTGATAAGATGCGCAGCAGATAACCAAACTTTATCTTTAGGTTTCCAGGGTTCAAACTTTCTTCCAAATGATCGTTCGGCCATACGTTGCATTGCTAGTTTATGACAGGCAAGGGCTTCTTCTCGAATCTTGTGGAGGTGTTTTACTCGGTCTTCTGCGGCAGGGATAGTGGAATCGGGGAAGGCATAAGGAATTCCTCAAGGCTCATAGCCCATCATGAGGAAGAATGGAGAGGTGTTTCGGGAGTTGTGTCTTCGGTGATTATGGACGAATTCTGCCATAGGGAGATGTTTTACCCAATCTTGGGGGGTTGATCGGCAATAAATGCGGAGATAGGTTTCAAGTTCTTGGTTTAATCATTCAGTTTGTCCATCAGTCTGCGGGTGGTAGGCGGTTGAGAGGGCAACTTCGTAATCAAGGAGTCTTCCGAGTTCTCTTGCGAATTTTGATGTGAATTGGGGACCTCTGTCGGAGATGATCTTGTCATATAGACCGAATCTGAGGAACACTTTCTTGAAAAAGAGTTTGGCTACTCCTTCTGACATGATGGTTTTCTTGCAAGGTGAGAGAATTACCCCCTTCGTAAGCCCATGGTCTACCACGACCATGACAGAGTCAAAGCCCTCCGATGGTGGGAGGTCGGTGATCAAATCTACCGAAACTTGAGCAAAGGGGCGTAAAGTGGAGGAGGAAATAGGGTTCAGAGGGGGAGTCGTGGGGTGCGTATCGGACTTCATTTGTTGACACATGGTGCATCCTTCGACATATTTCCGGATGTATGTTCCCATCCCAGGCCACCAATAATCTCGCTTAACTAGTTCTTCAGTTTTAAAGCGTCCGGGGTGTCCGGCAGTGGGGTGGTTATGGTGAAGATTTAAGATGCGATGACGGAGATTTGCGGGGACGTAGGCTCGGTTCTTATAGAAAAGTGTGTTGTCTTTGATACACCAGTCAGAGAGTGCGGATTTCATAGGAGGGGCATTGAGCCCGTCTAGGGCCTGTTGGGCCGCTAAGATAATGGGATCCGAGAGGGGGTTCTGGAGTTTCAGTGCTGCGGCAAGGTCGATATCAATGAGTCGTCCGAATAATTCATCAGGAAGGAGGGTAATATTGGTGTTATCAGTTTGTCCTGCAGAATGATCCGGTCGTCGTGAGAGAGCATCAGGGGCGGCGAGTTTGCTTCCTGCAACATGATGTAGTTCTAGATCGAACTCATTGAGGGTCAGCTGCCAACGTGCCTGCCGACGTGTCAGGTTTTGTGCTGATCGAAAATAGAGAAGATTCTTGTGATCGGTGAAAACTACTACAGGGTGTGGGTTCCCTTCAAGATAGTGGCGCCAAGCTTTCAGGGCTCGGATGATTGTGAGGAGTTCTCGATCATAGATCTGATAGTTTTATTCTGCTGGGTTAAAGGATTGGGATAGATATCCGCAAGGATGATAAGCACCATTCTCATCTGTTTGTAAAAGAACGGCTCCTGTAGCAACAAGGGAGGCATCGGTGGCAAGAGCGAATTGTCGCGAAGGGTCGGGGTTTCGGAGCACAGGTTCAGAAAGGAAACATTTCTTCAGTTTCTGGAAGGAATCTTCACAGGCTTCTGACCACATGAAAATCGCATCTTTCTTTGTTAGATCGATCAAGGGTCATGCGAGGTCGGAGTAATGGGATATGAAATGACGGTAGAAGTTACAGAATCCAAGGAATGATCGGACTTCTTTTACTGAGGATGGGACTTGCCAATCACTGATACCCGAAAGTTTGGCGGGGTCCATCGCAACTTGTCCTGGTCTGATAATCATCCCTAAATAGTCCACCTCTTGGGCGTCGAAAGTGCACTTTTCTGGTTTCAGGAAAAGGATTTCTCTTCGAATGATTTTGAGAATGCGGCAGGTTCTGTCTTGGTGTTCTTCAAGAGTTTTTGAAAAGATCAAGATGTCGTCCATGTAGACTATCATCCATCCTTCATCTATCTCTTTTCTGAATGTCTGATTCATGTATGCTTGAAATATGGCTGGTGAATTGCAAAGACCGAAGAACATGACTTTCGGCTCAAAGAGCCCAAACGAGGTTGTGAAGGCGGCTTTCCAGCGATCATCGGGATGAATCAGGATGTTGTTGTACCCCGATCTAACATCCATTTTCGTGAAATAGTTGGCGCCTTGTAGTTTCGCGATTAACGGAGGAATCAAGGGAAGGGGGTACGCGTTCTTTATCGTCCATTCATTGATGTAACGATAGTCCTGACAGGGACGAAGAGAGCCATCCTTCTTCCCAACAAAGAAGAAGCCACTAGCTTGAGGAGATTTCGATGGTTGGATAAAATCTTTCGAAAGATGTTCATCTAAGAAAGCTTTCACGGCTTCGGTTTCTTTCTGGGATAGGGGGTAGGTTTTCGCTGATTTAGGGACATAACCAGGTTTGGTTTCGATTCTATGATCCACTCCTGGCCTAGAGGGCGGTAACTTGTTTAACCCATCTTTAGTGAAGATATCGGCGAAGTCGTGGAGATAGGATGGAACGAGTTCTTCGAAAGTCTTTTTCTTCTTTTCTTGTGCATCCCTTAGGGCAAATTCTTGAGCCTTGTTGCTGGTCTTCAGGTATTCTTCATCGGTAGTTTTCCTCGAAAATATCCATTGATTTCTTATTGGTTGTGTCGAAATCGCTCGTTTAAGCTCAATTGCGGATGTTCCATCTTGGGTGAGAGGAGTATCGAAGGAAAGGTTTTCGATGATTCTGACCGTTGACCCATCAGGAGAGTATTCGACAAGCACTTCATCGTCGTTGATCGGATAAGTGGAGATATCATCCACTTTTCGGGCGAACAAGGTTTCAGTAGGAACATCGTCCCAAACATCATCCTTGGTGTCGTATTGAGGAAGGGGAGTGGGAATCTTCCACATTTCTTGGTATTCTCGTTCTAGCTTCCGAGAGTGTGGAGTTGCTGGGAGTTTGAGGGTGTCTTTTACCCAATCAATGTCGGGATTCATGGCCGATAACCAGGGTTTACCAAGAAGAAACATATCTCTTTCTCCCATGGTCATTACGTTGAACTTTCCGATCATGAGGCGTTTGTCGATTTTTATGGCTAGGTGACAATAATGGGTACATTGCTTCTTCGAGAGTTGTCCATCGGCGTTTCGGATAGAGAAGGGTTTATTGAACTTATGAATCTTGATTCCATGTTTCCGGACAAACATCCAGTTGATGAATGTTGCCCCTGCGCCGCAGTCTACTACGGCGGTTGTGTGCAATGCTTTATCGGGATGTACGGAGGAGAAGATGGTCGCCGGGACCCTAAATTCTTTAGTCTTTCCTACATTCTTGGCTATACGTACATCGATATATGGAGTATCTGACATTGCGGCAGGCTCCGAGGTTAAAAATCCAAGTTCCATCTTTTGACAGATTCATCGTCTTCTTCTTCCTCGATTTTGCTGGAAGATTCTTCATCATCAGACGCTTCGCATCTTACCGGTTGCTTTCCTTTTCCTTTCTTTCGGTCATCTCCAGAATCTCTAGGATGGAATGTGCGGTCGTTCGCACAATGTCCGACCTTTCCGCATTTGAAGCATTTTCCTTGCCTCATGTATTCTCGTTTCTCATCTTCGGTTAGGCGGTCTACATCCATCGCGTTCTCGTCTCTAGGGGTGCCTGAGAAACGAGTGGGTCTTCGGTTATCGTTCCTCCTTTTGTTGTGCTGATTCGAGTGATGGGAGTTGTGTGAACGGAGGAGTTGGTAGGCGTTTTCGATGTTGATAACTTTCTTAAAAAGTTTTTCTGCATCTTCAGGGACTTCTCCGGAGTTACATAACTTCATTACAATGTTGTGGTTTAGACCGGCGAAGAAATAGTCTTTTACGGCGGCAAAGTTATTGATTCCAGCTTTTGAGGTGAGTTGCTTGAAGTTGGCGATGTATTCGCTTAAATCGTCCTTCTGCTTTAGGTTGCGGAGTTTGTGGAGGGCTGTTCCTACAGAGTCAATCGGGGAAAAGCTCTCTTTCATCTTGGTAGTGAAATCCTTCCATGTCCCAAAACCGTTCTTTGCTCCGGTGGTCGAGATTGGGTTCTCCTCTCTGGTAAAGGTGATGAAATCTTCCATCCAGAGAGCTGCTGCTCCTTCTTTCATGAATGAAAGAGCGAAGATGATTTTTCGCTTGTCGGTGTCGTAGATTTCATTGTTGATTTCAATGTATGAGTCAACTAGGCACAGCCATTGGGAAAATTTCTCCCTGTCTCCGGAAAAGTCAGGTGGGTATCCAATTTTTCGTTCAATGGGTTTGTCTCCTCTTCCTGCCATAGTGGATACTTGAGGTTCGGGTTCTTCTGGTTCTTCGGGTTCTTCGTCGTAGTCTTCTTCGTTGTCAAGGTCAAGCGGTGGAGCGTCAGGGATTTCTTCGTCCTTATCAACAGGTGGGTTCTGGGAGTGTTCCTGTTGCGACGGTTCTTGGTTCTGGGATAATCCTTCCTCAAACGAACTATATCCTATTGGTGATGCAATGACCCCTCTGGTTATAGCGGATGGTCCTGCTAATAGGGATGAGAACAGGTTCTGAGGAGTTTGAGTGGGAGTTCTTTCTGTTCTGGGGTATGGGTCTCCTCCTAGAATTCTTCCGGCGGCGTGTCTTGCCTTAGCCGAGTTTAGCTTCTGGGAAGATGTCTTGTCTTTCTATTCTGGGTTCAAGGTTTCAGGGTGAGTGGGTCCCTCGGTGATAGAGGGGTTCAGAGAAACTTGAATCTTTTGTTACGACTTGGATAGTTCTTGCGTAACTAATCCAATAAAGGAGTTCTTCGTGTTACGATGTTCGGTTCAGACACTTGAGGGGCTCTCCCTCTAAGTGAAGTTCGAGTATAGACTAGTCTCTATAAGAGCTAGATTGGAATCAAGTATCTTCCTCAGAAGATGATCAAGTATCAGAGAGAACCAAGTAGATTCAAGTTAGAGAGTACAAGCGTAACTACTGCGGTATTTATAATGGACAAAGGAGGCACGGACCAGGCTGACTATGGAAGTGAAAGGAGTCAGGAAGAACATCAAGGAACTATCTGGAATGTTCATGCAGTGCATGTTGATAAGCAGTCAGAGATGACAGGAATAGATCAGAGAAGCATGATGATGAGAAAATGATGGGGCCGCTGTAACAGCTATGAGCGTCTCCCAGGTAATTAATTTATGTATTCTTCATATTCTTTGTTGATTTGTGTTCTAGGTACTATCTACCATGTTCACACCTTACATTTCACTTCTCAAGGCCACCAACATCATTTTTCTCATGTGGCTCTATTGTCGCATATGAGGACTCCTTCATTGAGCTCAAGCAGGCCATCCTCGACCTCAAGGTAGCCTCAGCCATCATTTTTCCTGCGACAAGGTTCCAACCACTCGTCGCCACCAAATTTTTATTGGCCATGGTGGAGCTTGTTATGGTTGAACAACTCGATCTCCAGAAGACGTTTCCAATGTTGCTCTCCCTTTCCAACCGCCTTGGACAACATACCAACATCATCATCATGATGGCCATGGATGACACCATCCAGCTATCAGTCCCCACATTTGTGCGTGCCCACCCGCAAACAAAGCCATGGGGCATCAAGGTCCCTGTGCAATGCCCTCTCTGCGGATCAACAAACAGCTGGTCAGAGAAGGTGGGTGTGATGGCTCCAGCTCAGGCCACTGTTATCAACTATGTATACACCTGCACGTATGTTGAATGTGGTAAGCACCAGTGAAAGTCTCCCCATAGGTTCAATATTGCAAAACCTCCGGGTTTTCTTGTTGGTGTGGCCAAAAGCAAAACCAGTGGTTGGTTCCAGTCCCCTTTCACCATTTTTCCACCTCTGCCTCCTGTTCAGTCTTCACCGATTTCACCCATGTCGTCCATCACCACAGCCAAGTGTAGCAGTGAGAGTGTAGAAATAACTGAGTCTACTAGGAAGAGGGCACACAACTGAAATATTTCGCACTAGTTACTTGTGTAGATTTTTTTGCAAATGATTTCATTGGTTGACCTGAATTTGTGCATGTATCCTTGTGATGTTTAAAATGTCACACAATTGTGCGGAGTGTAACATGATTGCGCAGAATGTCATGTGATCATGTTTCAAAAATTATCTCTCATTTGTGCGGCTGACTGTTGGCTACGTGCCGCAAACCTTTGACCTCCTTGCTCTCCTTGCTTATTCTCATTGCTAAAAACTCAACATGAACAAATGGTACAATACTTTAGAGGCAACACTAGCCTGCCACCAGGATAACTTTGTCACTGCTTTGCCACACACTCATGGAAGTATTTTAAAGACAGTACACAATGAGATTGTGACAATGCACAATTTACTGACTTTGACAAGAACACAGCCACTGCATTGTTACTGGGGTTACATCAGAAAACTACAACTTTTGTTGAAGACAACCCACCCCAATACCAGGGTTGAAGCATTTCAGCAAATTCAAAACAAATCAACCCTCATACCGCTCTATGACATGCACGCATGCCGTCGGAACTGGCCACTCCCAGAGTCACATTTAGACAAACTTTTTGGACAAAAAAGTAAGCGGGCAGAGGAGAAAAGTTGAATGGACCAGGAAGAGAGGGAAGGAGAAATTAGTGGAACTATGAATGAGAAGTTGGGAGATTGGATTTTTGTTGATGACACTGGCGCATCTGTTGTATCCGAGTCTCAGGCTGAGAGTCTTAGCCAGCCTGAGGATGACAAAATGTTCGAGTCTATGAATGCCAGCTCTGCCAGTGTCCAACACGAAAGCGACAGTGGTGACAGAACCCCAGTACTCCATGAAACCATCCATGATAACACAAAACCATGGACGACTGAACAGATTTTTGCATCCTTTTATAATGTCCTTGCCATCGCCCTCCTCCCGCAACGTCCTGAGCTCACTCAGAAGTGCAATTTATCTCATGTCTGGAGCACATCAAACTCCTCATGCCCAGTACCCGGCGATGCAATAGCGCGCAAACCAGACCTCACCTTACTCGACGACATTGAGGCTAGATGGGACACAATCAAGGCCGTATGCGAGCTGACTTTGAGTCCCTACTTACCTTCATATCCCCTTGCCAAAACTCTCGACAGTAAGGCTTACCTGCTTCTCAAACACCAACCATGGAGATACTTCACACTGTTGGTCTCCATCTCCAATGGGTATCACGAGCTTCATGTCCACCTATATGACCACTCTGGCGGTGTTGTCAGCCCTTGCATCAATATCAATTGAGAGCTGGACAAATTCTTACAGATATTTTTGCCCATCGCATCTTGAGTGTATCGGGTTCGACCCCATGATCAGTATCTTGAAGCACACACTTCACCACAAGCATCGACCCCCTGATTTCCACCCCACCAAACACTCAAACTCACCTGCTCCGCACCAGACTGCTACCCTAGCAATCCCAGATGCACTGATCGTGGAAAGTGAGACTGCCACAATTGAGCAAACTCCCATACACCACAGAGGACACAGAGTGCAAGCCTGCAGCCAACATCCCTCCAAGCATGGTCCCCCCTGTAGACGAAGTCCCTGTTGATCCTCTCTGTGAACCCCTCCCAGAGCCAATCGGAAACATATGAGTAAATCAGAATACGTACGATATACATGACCGTTGTTGACCCTCCGAAACCAAGCCAGTCTGTCTGATCCCTGCTCATACCTGTTCTCCTCAGTGACTTCTCGGTCCACGCTAAGCTGACTCAGCTGAATCTCTTGATAAACATTCTTCAGAGTATCTTCATCTGCTCCTAGTCTCTGCATTGCATTCCTCGTCCTCTGATAGCTTTGAACACACTTGTCTATTTTGATCTGACAGTAATTAGCCTCCTGCTTTGACCTAGTGCCCGCCCATGTGGAATCTGCACTTTGAAAATGTTGACGGCAAATTATTGCTTTGTGACCGAGAACCTGCCGTAACTTTTCCAGGCAATCATTTGCCTGACCCTGCCTTAAATGCAATTCTTCGGCTTGGAGAGCACCTACATAGGCCAAGGGCTAAAGCATCAGGGTAAGGTATTGATGATGGCATCCATATACCCATGGCTTCTGCCGCAACTTCCTCACCGGTCTCTTCAGAAGCAACTTCAATATCTTCAACTTCCCTCACTTCTTCCTCCATATCTGCAGCACAAAATCTTGTGTCATCCATGTGATCGGTACCTGCATCAACTTCAATGCCTTCTGTCATGGCATCAGCTACTTCATGAAATTGTGAGATCCTTGCTGCCAGTTTTTGTCGCTTTTCTTCAACCACTGCCTTCTGAGCAGCAGATGTGTTAAGACCGTGTTCAACGGGTAGGACCAGAGGGGCTTGGCTTCAGCTCGTGCGCTGCGCCCTTTACCCGAGTACGTGCCCCTAATTTGTGGGGGATAGATATTGTTGGCTGAGGGGTAATGGATAGGCCGGATGAGGGAGGAAAGACTACCAAGACTAATGTCCGGGTAGAAACTAACAGGGTACGGACTACCCGAAGGTAGAGACAGAAGAGTTTAGCTTTAGGGATATAATCCCGAGGCTCGGAGGATCGGACTAGGATGATAATCCTAAGAACCGAGTGTTAGCATATCAATTCCTTTTCTTGCTTGTTATCTCTTGATCACCTTCGGTACCACACTGTCCAATGCTTCTTGCCTTCTGCACCTTATGGTTCATCTGCTTGTCGATCCTCCGGTACTATGTTACATAATCATTCACGCAGATACTTACATTGTCAAGTCCTCGTTTGACACCTCAGTCTTGTTCTACACAATACTGAGGTGTGTAGTATGTTCATTATTCACTTACACTCTTATTGATGTACCCTAGCACTCACTTCATTAGTACGCTTAACGCGTATACCAAGAGGACACGAGGAACGAACAGAGTCTAAGTTAATATTCAAACTAAGGAAATACTACGGGTTACAAAGGGTTTATATACTGTAGTGTATCCGACAGGTATCCGGCCAAAGCGCAGTCCTCGGAACATAAGGCTATGTGGAAAATGTACTAGTGGACAAAACATACTGCGGACGATCGAGAATGGAGCCGGATATTAAATGGAACAAAGGGAACAAGTTAAATGAAAAGGAAATGAATAGACTAATGGAAGGATCAGAATGAATCCGGACATTAACTGTCAGAAGGATCTGGGCATATAGGGGCAGCAAGAAGCATATACAAATGGGGACTCAGGGGAAAGAATTCCAGAATGGACCCGAGGAACCGGATGGACCAGACCAGACGAGAAGATTCAGGTATGGGATATGACAAGATGCATCTTTGGGAAGCTTCCGAATATCTACTCTCAATGCATCCCTAAAGTGAACATGATATAGTGATGTACTGTGCATCCTCCAAATTGATACCATTGATGAGCCAAGATATTGATCCACATTTGCCAGTATCAGCATATTCTGTCTCGGTTAATTTTAGCCAAATTTCGGCCGTTGTTGGGGCTTCCAATCACCACATCAGATGGTACAGCATATGGAAGCAAAAGGAACCTCAGAAGCACTTACCTTTATCTATCTTTAGCTGGATTATGTCAAGATGCTCTCCACGTTGTTCCATCACTTGTGTCTCATCTTTCTCCCATGAAGAGACTTTGCTGACTTCCAAAGAACTTGTGAGCTCTTCAAATGGGACCTTGGTATCAGCAATGCCCTTATTGAGACATTTGTACTTTTGTAAAAGCATCTTAACTGCATGTGGCATTTAACTAATGTAAAATCAATTCCAAATATGGGAACTTACTAATCTGGACAAGTTTTTTCCAATTTGAATTCCACATGTGATTATCAAGAATTTCTTGACAGTGTGCTTGGCTCATAAAACATGCTGTTGGAGAGATCTTGTTAAAGGGAGCCCAGAGTGTCTCCAGAATTTCCCCATTGACCTGCCCAGCTCCTGCAATGAAGTTCAGGCTATATCTATAGAAAAACAAGCAAGTTTATGAGCACTGAGGTGAAATTTCCCCACTACAGCCACAATCTCTGTGTTGTCAGGGAGGGTCAAGCCATAGTAGATGTTAACACATTCTGCAAAATGAAGACTCCACTGGCAGCCCACATCATAAATTACAAGGGAGTCGTTGATTGTTTCGCCAGCATGCTTAATAGCATTGCATATGGAGTAATCTATATTCATGTGGCTTGAAGTGATTTTGTCATCAACTCTGTAGATTAGTAGTATAATAAATAAGACTTGTTGTTCGCCCTTCTGAAAGTCTACTATGCAGTGGGGAATGAAACATCCATGTTGAGCACAAGCCGAGGCCCCCACTCCTGTAGCTCGGAGGTTGCTCCAGTTTGTGTTTGCTACATTGACAACACAATGGTTGCTACAAATGGATCTCTTCCAACATGTTCAGTGCACTACTATAAATTAAGAAAAACAAACTCACCTCCCTACTCTGTAGCTGAGGCCAAGTGAGCTTGATATTCTCGCTCTGCAACCATATAACCTAATCCATCTGAGAGAAAGATGTTGAGTTTGGGCTGTCGCATGTTCATGTGCTGAGTGGTGAAATTTCCATCTACCACGAATCTCTTCATGATAAACCACCTGCATTGAACATCAAAAGTCATGCAATATTGAACAATAGTAATTTTATGCAACTAAGACAGCCTGGCCAGAGTGGCCTTTGTGCACTATACAGTATGACTGGCCAAGCTCTTACAGTGTTCAAACAGCTGGCCAGGGCCTCTGCACTGGCCAGCTCCCATGTACCAGGTGTACCGGCCAGAGTTCACCGGACCTTGGTCAACAGCTGTGAGGGCGTGTGCACAACATAGCAGCTGACCGGCCGCTGTCTAGCTATTGTTGCCTTGCACAAGTAGTAATAATTGACTTGCCTTTCATACTTCTCCTTCCAATGAAGAAGCATGTTGATTCCTGGCTGAGGACATGAAGGGCAAAAGAGGGCGAGATCTCCTGGGCCAGGTCTTGATTCTGTATCATGGCCAAATTTAAACCATTTACGGTTCTTCAAGTCACGCCACAGGCGAGATACCCTCATGAGTTCGTGATATTGATCCTACAGATACTGTTAGTATTCAGATTACAAGTATATATTCCTCACTCACTGGGACAGTATCTGGACATGTGTTATTGGTCAAGAGCGTGAGTTTCTCATAGAAGCTCCTGGCCGAAGTCTTGCATTTCAAGGTGTCAATGAGAAAATGATCCAGTACTTCAAAGGTAAAAGCAGTCCTAGGCCGCATGGAACTGGCAGGAAATAGTCCTGCACTGAGGAGCTGCATATGTAACATCATCCACTCTCTTGTCTTGATGCCCATCCATTTCTGAAGCTCCATGTGAAGGACAAGGCTCTCCCCGTGGCCTAAGTACCATATGAATCCCAGCTGAGCAAGAGTGACATCATGGAAGCACATATTGTTCCAAAATTGGATTTTGTGGAAAGGTAATGACTGATGCGATCTGATCAAGCAAGGGTGACACCAGCCATGGTCACCAGTGCAAGTCACACAATTGAATGTGGCCTCAGCACTTTGACAAGTCTCGCAGATCCCTGCACGAGCAAATGTTTCTGAACCTAAGATGATGTCTAGATACACGTCTCGGTAATCAAGATACTCTGCTATGAAGTCGTTTTGTGTCTATATGGTGTATGAGAAGGCAGTAAATAGCGAATTAGATACTCCTAGACATATCTTTGTTGTTCTTGGTTGGTGACCAGCCTCTGTGTCCAGAAAAAGGTCACTGAAACATTCCTGATATGCTTCAGCATCCGGAGGTTCTGCAGGGTCCTCTCTAATATGTTTCCTTGGGCTGGAGGAGGAGGAGGAAGGTTCCACAGATGTTTCATACAGTGGATCAACACAAGATTCAACCCATGAGGACTTTTTACTCCTGCTTGTTGTAGGTTTGTAGAAAACATAGTCTACATCCAGGTCTTTTCGTTTGGATAGTTTCTCTTTCAATATCTGACAGTGTACACAGTTATCGGAGATGCTGAGTAGAGAATATATGTAGCTACTCACATGGCCTGCGATTCTGCTGGTACACCTTCCACCTTCCTTATTCCACTTGTCCTTCACATTTTCTACCTCCTTCCATTGAGCAGGGCTCATATCATTAAACCAGTCCCTCATGTATCCTGTACAGAATTTAATTGAGTGTTTTACCCCTAACTTTGATTGTTCCTCCTTGTCATAGTCATCCATTTCCACCTTAAATCGCTTCTGTGTCACATCCCAGTCAGTAAGTTCCTTCTTGTAGAATCCAGCGTCCTTTGGACAAGCTGCCATCTCCCTCTGCTCAGGGGACACACCACAAGGTTCTTGGTCCTGTTCATCTCCCAGGATCTGTTCTTCAGCTTGTATATCCTCCTTGTTGGTCAAGAACTGCAGATAGTAGCACCTGATAGCCTTTTTGTATCCAGTAAAATAAGTACAATTAAATATCAATTATGCAATGTGAATCTTTTTCAAATGCTTCGGCAAGACAACAGGATCCTCCAGTAGGCCTTGATGGCACTGCAGCGGTGAGTGAAAGTGATTCTGTGTAGCATTCTTGTGTAGACTACCAATCTGTATGAGTGTGAGTATAAATGCTCATCCCAAGGGGATTGCTACTGAAGGAGTTCTTCACGATAATGCGAAGGAATCAACCCAACGGGCTTATGATCTGTGCGGCAGACGCACAAAGGAGGATCCGATGTAAGACGGAGAATGTCCAGACGGAAGATGGATCTGACGGAACGGATGTCTAGCGGTACAACTGTGACTGTCAAGGTACCGAGGTGGCAAGGTTTCGAGGTTTCAAGGTTTCAAGGTCTCGATGTAATGAGATACCGGAAGCGATATGTGGGACAGAATAGAGTTGGTTAAGTATGGAAGAGTGAAGGTGTAAGTATCCATACTGGGGTCCGTTGCGATGCGGAAGGCTAAGGGGACTTTGGATCACACGGACTTAGATATAAAATCCGAGGGAGTAAAAGGAAGTGATATTATCAGAAGACAGCGCGACTATTTACCCTGATACGTAAGAACTCGGGATCCTCTAAGTGGCAGTAGTACAGGCGAGTCCATAGCACAGTAATATGTAAAGAACAGTAAGCGGCCTCATGTATGGGAATGTACATGTAATACGGACTGTGGTTGATCAGAGTGATAAAAAGAGACAAATAATGCACCAATGGGGATGGATGGACATGGATGGACATGGATGGACAGGGACCAAGGGCAAATGACGGTATCTGTTACGGGTTGCGCATCTGTTAGGTGTCTGGAAGGGACAGATGTCGACGGAAGGGGTCGGATGAGTATGGACATGAATACCTGACCAGGTGAGCTTGTCATATCCCATACATGAGGCTTCTCGTGGCCGACGATATCTACCCCCCCTGTAAATTAGGGGCACGTACTCGGGTAAAGAGCACAGCGCACGAGCTGAAGCTAAGCCCCTCCGGTCCGACCCGTTGAACACGGTTTTAACAGAGCTCCGGATTATGCATGATGGGCATTTGTGAGGCTAGCGTCGGAATGTTTGGTACAGCGGCTACAGCTGCTCCAACCTCTGGTGCAGAGCTGGATCCACCTGGTGCTGTCATTGACAAAATGCCAGGTTTTTTTGGTGGAATAGCCCATGGCCATGGCCTAGTCTTTGGGACAATTTCTTGACTTGGAGGATCTTCTGCCTGTGTACTACTTGGGGGCTGTAATTGTTTTTTCGGAGGACGGCCACGTTTGTGGGGTGCCTTTGCCTTGTCATTGCACACTTGGGCAGAAGCCTTTGCCATCTGAGTCCTACGACAGAATGTAGCAGACCGGGAAAAATGAGTATGTGAATTTGGTTTTTATGCTAGCGACTTGAAGTAGGCACGAGGCAAGTGTCTACTTCACCAAATCACTCCATTCTTTTTGCAGTCATCTGTGCTCGAGTTTTCTGACCAAGTAAGTGTCTTACCTCTTGTCAATACTGTACCTCTGTGTATGGAGGCAACTGTGGATCGCGCGTGACACACCGCCACAGTTGTAAAATTAGCAACCTTGTCTGATTGCCCGTGACGTCGGAACAAAATAGCAACCAACATCGTAAGTATGTCGGAGTGGCGTCGGGTTCAAACTCTCGCGGAGGAGAATTTTGACTTAGCACGAGTAGACTACTGATTAACTGTAGTGTACATTGTCAGTCCATACCAAACGACAATGGTTCAACAGGGCCCATCCTCAGAGCTCATCTCTCGCATCCATCATCTTGCTGAGCTGTTAAAAAATCTGCCTACAGTCCTTCCACTCAACCCCCCGAGTTCGCGATATGGGTTTGGCCTCGACACTGAACTTGTAGAGGAGGAGGGAGTTTGGTTTGCATTCAATAGGAACCTCGAAGTCTGCTTTGAGACTCACAAGCTTGGGCCGAATGGAACCATTGTTTTCCGCGAACGAGGAAAGCAGTGTGAAGTGCTCATCCAGATGTTCAAACTTGCTGTCAAACAATTGGAGAAGGACTCCGAACAAGAATTCCTGCGTGAAGTATGGCTCGAGAGACTGATAATGGCCGCAAAACTACAGGGAGCAAAAATTCCTGTGAAGTGAGCTATTTTTCATTTAGAGTTTGTTCAAAACTCACCTAAGCTGTATAAGGTGCAAAAACCCAATGGTTATCGATAAGGATGTCAGCGCTAGTCCGGAAAAACGGGCAAAAATCCAATGTGCGCAGCCTGCACGAAGTGGTTCGTTTTCGGGGGTCATGGAGATCAGTGAAGATTCATCAGATGGTGGCAAGCAAATGAAAACACGCACCGTTCCAATCCAATCCAGTCATAAATTGAGGGTCGAACTATCCGAAAAAATCAAGCTTGCACCTCCTAACTGGAGTACCACTGTGCCAACCCAGCTCACCTTTCACGACCTGAGGTGGAAACCACTTGAAACTGAGAGGGAGAAGAAGTTGCAGTGGGAGAGGCTAGATGCCTTGACACGAGAGTCCTGGGAAGAGAAGCAAAGTGAGGAAGAAGAAGAACGGGTGGAGCGAGAACGGAGCCAATGTGAAGGAGCAGCCGAACGGCAACGCCGTCACCGTGAGCGCAAAAGAGCTGCTGTTGCCGCTGAAAAGAGACGAAATGAACCATCTATCAATCAGGTAAGTCAATAATCACGCACACGGAACAATGACTGACCTTTGACAAGGCTTTGCAAGAAAACTCTGCATCTGTGACTGCATTAGACGTGGTGGAACTGTCTCGATCAGATTCACATTGGAAGGATCAGCGAAATGGAACACGTGGCGGAACAAAGCAGGGACAGCACAAGCGGACAAACTGGTATCACCCTCTCCTTTGGATTCATATTGATGCAGCCGCTCGTAAATTTGATTGGTCCCCGCAAGCCATTATGAAGGGACTCTCTCGAGAGCATCCAGCCCTTTTTTCCCATCTGAACAAAGGCACCGTTCAAAAGTGGATAGACAAGGGCTCGAAGCGACAATGGTCCAAGGTGACCCTTGAAAATGTGCAGCGCCGTCATGCATTGGCTGGATCAGGGCAGTCTGGTGTGCTGGCAAAACATCCGAATGTTGTAAAGGAGATCATGGAGAAGCTTCAGGCACTGCGTAAATCAGGCCTTGTAGTCAATGTCATCATTGGAAGAGCAATCATGTTAGCGGTGATCAATCATCGAGCTCCTGATTTACTTACATTGTTCAAGTGTTCTGAGGTTCGTGTATTGGTTCTGATACTCGATTATGTGATTCAAAGCTAACCTTATCATAGAGTTTTGTTCGCTCATTTTTCGAGAGTGTGCTTGACTGGACTCCTCGCAAGGGGACTCGTGTTGCCGCCAAGCTTCCAGCAGATGCCGAAGACAAATGCGAAGAGTGTTTTTTCCGCCTTGTATATATTATCAAATGGCATTCGGTACCTCCAAAGGTAAGTTAAATTAGCCTTAGACACGAGAGTCTCAATATAATCATCATTCAGTTGGTGGTAGGCTTTGACCAAATTGGTGTTTATATCCTTCCGAGCAGTGGTACCACCTTTGCAGAACGTGGTTCGCAGCAGGTTGACATTGTTGCAAAGGATGAGAAGCGAGCTTACACATTACTGGTGGCAAGTACTCCTGAAGGGACATTTCTGCCCTTTCAACAGGTTTGGTCTGGAAGCACGGAACGATCTTTACCATCACCCGGTGCTCATAAAATGATGGAAGCTAAAGAGAGAGGCTTCGACTTTGTGTTTGCAAAGAGTAACAAGAAGGGCAGTCATTTTAGCACGTTGAAAACCATGAAAGAAGTGCGTGTTCGAATTTACATAATATTGTCGCAACTTTGCTCACAGACCACCAGTGGGTTGAAAACATTTTTGAACCTTATCGTCGCAGTGTCATCGAAATAGATTCTGATCTCGATGATGATCAGGTCTCCATTATTTACCTTGACTGTTATCCCGTGCATGCAGGTCAAGAATTCCGTACATATGTCTTTGATGGCTTCCCACACATTATCCTTTGCTTCATACCTGCCAGTTGTAAGTGACGAGCCAAATTTCATTCATTTTATAGTGTTGAGAACTGACAATACTACCATAGGCACAGGAATATTTCAGCCGGCTGATGTAGGACTTAACCGTGTTATCAAGCATCGCTTGAAACAGCACCAAACTCAGTTTCTTGTCAACTCGCATCAGCAACAGATCAATGATGGAATAACACCAGACCAAGTCAAATTCACAACATCATTGCCTATTTTACGAGATGCATCTGTAGCTGCAAGTGTGGAGGTCTATGATTTTATGACGAGTCCATTGGGACGTGAACTGGTACAAAAGGTATTCTTGACTGTCTCGCCTTATGGATCAACTGAAGCATACATATTATGGCAGTCATGGAAGAAGTGTACTACAAAAGAGTGGAACCTCTCGGCCGAGTGCCTTACAAGCAAGAAGGCACAAACGGTTCTCAACTCATACCTGCGCAGCCACCCGAAGCTTCGCGACGAGATTGAAATTCGCACAGGCATCATTCACGGCCTGGAGGATGAACCACCCGAGTCTCAGCTCGATGCTGAGGCTGATGGTGATGACACTGACATACCTTGTAGTGCTGTCATTCAGGATATTTTCGGGATCGAAGGGCCCGTTGATGTTGCAGCTGCAGACACTGCACAATTTTGTGTCCATGATGTACAGCGAGGTGACGGGCACGGACTGGTTGCAGCAGGAGACAATGAGAATATATGGGCACTAGTAAACGAGCAGGAAGTTGGCGCAGCGGCGAAAAAGTAGTTTTTATTCATTTTGCACTGGATTTTTTTTTTGATTTCTACAATGTACCTACAGTTAGCAACCGACCTCCCTGTGACGCGTTACGGTGGGGTAAATTAGCAATGCAACCAAGGCCCTGTGACGTGTTACGTTGCCTCCATACACAGAGGTACAGTATATAGCTTACTTTGTTACTGAAATAAAAATCAATCTTTATAGTTCTACTGACTCTGAGGGCAGGTGACCACCAACTTTGCCGAATCACTTAGTTTTTTCGCTGGTTGTCTGCGCCATATTTTTCTGATCAGGTTTGTTGCTTGCTTATGTCAATAGCTTGCTTCGTTCTTGAGATAAAAATCGATCTACGTAGCACTACTTTTTTTTCGAAAATGAATGCATTCTTTTTTTTTGGAAATTACCACCAACCATACTATTATGCAAACTGCTGTAAGTAAGGGAGCCATTTGTTTTAAAGAAAGTGAGCATAAAACGAGAGAGCTATGGCTGAAGATTGTCTATGAAGTTCAGAAGCTGATGTGGTCGAGAAAAAGTTGCTGCGCCACATTGCTTACTCACACGTAGACTATATTCTATGATAGCCTCGTGCCTCGATCTTGAACTGATATACTCTTGAGTAACCATTTCAAGGATGGTGCCCTGTTTAACTGGATTTTGCGTTGATTACTACTGCATTGGAGATAGCACATTTGACCAGAAGACCAGAGACTCAGACCCTCAGCAAACGTGATCAATGTGAATGTCACCATGGCATACACTTCAAAGTTCTCCTGTAAAGTCGCATTCTACCCCTACTCCACATTGAACGGGGGGAGCACCTGCTTCCTCTCGACAGGCCAGACCTCCTCCATCGTCTCCGCATCCCATATGCGCCCACCACGGAGAACATATCTGACATTCCGCGTGTGGCGGATATCATCCCACAACAGGTCAAAGCCAGGGGGAAAGATGACGAGATCTGCAAGTTTACCCCCCGAGATGGAACCCAGGCTGTCAAAGAGGCCAAAGGTAATTGCAGCATCAGCAGTTGCTGCGCGAACCACCTGCGACGAGGTCAGGCCAGATCTGACTCAACAAACAAGTGTGATGATGGGGAAAACGGACCTCATAATTGCTCAGCCCGCCTGCTTTGGCATAGAACATTTCCTGGTGGTACATAAGTCCAAGAGGCGGCTCGCCATGCGCCCCGATATGAGCGCGGAGCCCTCGGTGTACCATATTCGCAACGGATGCAGAAACATTCCATAATGCCATCGCTAAAACGAAAAGGTTATTCAGCTTGTCATTGAGCACGAATCCACATGAAGCATACAGTTGAATGGCCGACTTGTGCTCTCTGAAATCCCTTCGAGGATATCATGCTGTGTGTGCGTGCGGAGTCTGAGTGCGGGAATGAATTGCTTGGAGCATACAGTGGAATTCTGAAGTGGAAACCTACTTGGGGTCATTCGGAATATCCTCTGTTGCCCAAAGATATTGCTCCCCGAACATGCCTCCATAATCGACGATATGTGTTGGAGTAGATCCAGTTCCGCTCATTGTGTAGAGCGTAAGGATATCATCGTATAGTACCGACACAGGAATATTGTGCTCCACCGTCGTCATTCCTAGTCAAATCAACAACCACTCAAGACTCAGAGCCGGGCACTTACCATCCATAATATACGTTAAATCCCAATCATAGTTCATTCCCTATGCCCTCAATCAGCGGCCCGCTCGACAGAATGATATAACAGAGGTATACTTACGCCTTCGGGCACACACAGCATCCCCACTTGACGCGCAGCTGTTAATAACCGTTGCCTTGCAGCTCTCGTCGGCAAATTGTAGTTCTTATAGCTCCAGCTCGCATCTCCGGCCTCAGCCTTGATCCTTACAAGTGCTTCACGTGCCTCGCGCATGCTTGCGATGTCCTGATGGAAGCCATACTCGGATGCGCCATAGATGATTGTGCCGGTATGGAATAGCCGCGGGCCAGCCATAAGTCCGGACTCGATGCGTCCGCGCTCGACGTAGCCAAGGGAGTTATGTAGACTCGGGCTGTAGGTTCGGGAGTGAAGTGGTAAATGAATATACGGAGAAAGTCACATGAATCACGCACTTGTGTAGTGTAGTCACGCCGTAGGCAAGGAAAGTCTGCATCTCCCATGACGTCGCTGGGTACTTGTCTTCTGTGCCACTCCAGTGGGCGTGTGCGTCGATGAAACCTGGGACAACGTACCCTATGCGTCACGCAATATCAGCTCTTTCTTTCTCAAAATATCATAGATGAAACCACCGACCGCCCTCAGCATTGATGATAAACGCCCCTGTCAGTCCCTCACCAATACCAGGGCCCCCAACAGCCTCCACAACCCCGCTCCGAATCACAACGCTCGCGCCTAGCCTTAAATCCTGTGAGAGCACGCCGTTCTCCATACTCAAAACTGTCGCATTATGGATGACAACCACATCAGCGTTGCTCGTTGAAATTGAGCTCTGCGGCTCATCCGCTATTGGCTTGCGCGCCTCGTTAGACAACCGTTGTACATCAGGGGTATAAGCAACATCCACTGCCGTGACATCCAGTAAGCCCCGCACACAGTCAATTCCGAAGGTGGACGTGTCAGCTTCGATTGCGCCCGTGCATGAAGGAAGGCGGGAAAGCTGGAGAGTATGGAGGTATGGACCTAATTCGTGTAGCAGTTAACAGGTCAGAATGTAATATACAAAATTAGGGAGAGGAAATTTTGAATGAGAAATGAACGTACCAAGAAACCATCCGATCACACTTCCGTCCCCACTAAACACAACATCATGCCCACCATCCCCACTCAGACGCGCCAAGTTCTTCGGTGCCTTCCCCGGCTTGGCCCACATCCCCTTCTCAGAGTCCACTGAGGAAGGTGACGCGTAATATACATGAAAGAAGCTGATAAATGCTGCACCCCCTGTTGCTTGGTTGCGTCCAGCTGGCCTTGAAGATTTTGAGGGTATGGATCCGGATGGGGAAAAAATGAGCTCGTCCGTTCCCTTCCCCCGTGCAACCACCTCCTCAGCACCATCACGCAACGAGACCCGCAGTACACTGTCAGATTGTTGGACGAGGACTTCACTAGCCTTGCCATCCACGAATGACAGCTTGACAACATCAGACGGATCGATGCTACTTTGGACGTAGCGCAGGTTGTTCAATTCAACCGTGCCTTGGGAGCAGGAAAGGGACGGAAGTGTGATCTCCCCGACCCAGACTCCCGTTTGCGCAGTAGCCACCACGTTACCGGTCAACACATCCCCGCCCGTCTTCGCCAGCACAGCTGTCCGCACGCCATTTTCCGCAGATCCACTTACGACAGCACCAAACCACCGCCCCTTGGGGAGTCCGACGACCTCCCACACTTGCCCACTCTCCAAATCGGCCAACTCAAGGGTTGAGAAACGCGTATTGTCCCAACGCGCGTGTAAAACGAAGGAAGAAGCGGGAACGAAGGAAGGTGAGTAGTACCCTGCGGAGGGATGCAGGTACGGGATACGCTGGGCAGGCTTCGAAGTCCCAAGGAAATTGGCGTCATCGATGGGGTCTAACGTAGCCGGGTTGATATGGGAGTTCCCAAGTACCTGCACCCACGTCTGGCCTGCGCCTGCAAATACAGCACGCTCGCCAGATTCATCCAGCGCAAGCTGAGTGAAGGCACGCACGCGCTGCGGGCCTGATTCAAACTTGCGCACATCAGTCTTCATACGCCGCGTTTCCGCGAGCTTCTTCGAGATTTGCGCTGTGAATGGGATCACCTTTGGCGAAAGGTCTGCGCTGCTGGTGACTCTAGTCGCAGCGACAAGTTCCCCCTCTGCGTTGCGCGTCAGTGGGACATGCCAGATCTGCCCAGCAGCCCAGATGATGATGCCCGGCGAGGACGAAGAGGGCGTGAACGCAAAGGACGGGTAGGTACCCATCGGCGAGTAGATTGTCGAGAGGTCGTAGGTGAGACCGTGCCAGATATGGTGCAGGGTACCTGTGTTAAGATCCCTGTCGAAGGAATACAAGATCAGCCAAGTACACGTATACAAGGATAATATCCGAAATCTCATGAAAATCAGAAGTAGATCGCCACTCACTTGAGCACGAGTGCTTCCTTATCCCTCACACGGCGCACGAACGCAAGGGTACGCCCATCGCGCGAGAGTGTAGGCCGGCTTGCACCACCGGGGAACGCGTCAACGAGTGTCTCCTCCAGGCCCGTGGTCAAGTTGCGCTGGAAGATCGCGTAGATACCCTTATGAACATCTACATCCACATAAGAAACGAGTACATAACGCATGGATGAAACAGCAGATACTAACGCACCTTTGGAATACGTATAACTCCCATCGACGTCTATCACATTACCAGCATAAATCAGCGTATCGTCGCCCGCCCAGATGAACTGCTCGTGTCCAATCTGCTGCTCCACGTAGTCTGCCTTCGTCCACCCCATAGGCAGACTCTTTGATACCAAACGCTTTCCTGCGCCTATCTCGACTTTTGACTTGGTGTTCACGGCGGGAACAGGGAACTCCCATCCTTCGCCAGCCCCAAGCGAGCGTGAAGAGTAGTACCATTTTGTTGCGATGACCTTATCTCCTGAAGGATGCCAGCGCGGATCAGATACCCAGTTGTACGTTTCATTTGTGATGCGTTGCGCTATACTTTCATGAGCATCGCGCCTTGATGGATAAATAATAGATATTGCTCACCATTTACCCTCCCCTCCCTTGTCAATCTCCTCAGTTTCCTTACACTCGTCTCCTTCATACCTCGCGCGAGCAGCTCGTCATCCTGGATCTTCAACTCGAGCTCATGTGACGAGCTGACATGAGCGCGGGTGTCCATGGCCGTGCACCCGTCCGCTGCCCAGGGCATCACCCAAAGATTGTCAGCGCCGAGCCCCGCGTCGCTTTTGAATGCGAGCCTGTCGCCTACAGGCGAGAACCGTGGATCCGCATCGTGTGGCACACCGGTGAGCACTGGCACCGCTTCTGTCCTCCCTCCTACTCTTCCAGCAGCTCCCAAATACGCATCAGCCGGCAGGCAATATACATCGCCTGCCATATCAAACACGATATCCCCACTCACGGGGTGCACGTCAAGTCGTAACCATGTACCTTCTGTCACCTCGTACGACAGTGTGCGAGGGTAGGGGAAGTCCACAGAGATGTCCCAGGGTTCATGTGCACGCAGAGGAAAGTCATCGTCTGCGAATTCGGATGCAGGGTCGTCCAGCAGGGATCCAGAGTACTTGGAAGTGAGAGGTGGGGTAGCAGTGCCGGGGAGGGCGAAGCGATAAACCCACGATGCAAGGCAGAGACATGTAACCAGTTTCACTGTTGCTAGTTGTAAACGACGGGTTTTCGTTTGTTCCCCATATCTATGACCTGGAATCGTGTAGTACGCCGAGACTTGCTTCGTCGTTGTTGCCAGTGGCGGTGGTAATCCACCTTTCTCCGAGTTTGAGTCACTGGTCTCGAGGACCATTTTCACTTCCTCCTCAGAACTAACGTCTGAGTGAGCTGAACAAGAAACGGTCAGTGGGAGATTTACATGGGCGCTTCCGAGGCTTCCGAAGTAACTTGGACTGTTTGTGCACGCGATATGCTCACATGTGACAGCAGCATATGCAAAGTAAACTGACATGAGAAAAAAAAGCATACATCAATTCAATCATGTACAGTACCTTGATACTAGATAGTAGATAGTCGATCTCTGATAAAACAAGAACAAGCCCTTTGTTAACGCGCAAATAAAATACAGCTCATGTTAAAGACTCCTTTTCTGTTCCCTCGGCTTCTTCTGCAGGAGGAGCAGGTCCTTCTTGTGTAGGATCATCCTCCCCCTCTGCTTCTTTCTCTTCCATTTTCTCTTCCGCTTTCTCACCCTCCTCTGCCCCTTCAACCTCATCCTTGACATCTTTGCTGCCAATGACAGTGGCGTTGATTCTGGCCAGTGAGAGATTATTCAAGGAACCGCCAAAAACTTTCGAATAGAACTCACGTTAGCATGACATGTACTTTCTCTCCTTCCTCCTCTCCTTCCAACTTGGGCAAATCCACAGTCATGCGCTTGCTCCCTTTCCATCCGAAGCTCCCAGTAGAAAAGCTAGACGAAACGAGTTCAATAGCCTCCAAGAACCCAGGATCCGTCGGCTCGACGTCAGTGGGAGGCCTAGTGTGTGAAATGTTGACATGTAAGGATTGCGCCCGCGACTTGAACGCAGTGGCACCCATCCCCGTCTAGCCATGCCGCACGGTGAGAATTAGGGGCTCAAGGGTGCGGGGACACAAACCTTCAATCGAGCTGCACCCTTCTTGCCGGCGCCCTTGGCGCCCTTTCGAGCCTCTGTTCTGGGCACCTTGGCACTACGTGTCTCGCGCTTGTCGGTGGCAGATTCTTCAGCAGCTCGTTTTCTTCCTGCACGCACATTTTATAGAAGCTGTTAGTGGCACAATTAAGTTGGACTCACCAGCCATAGTTATAGAACGGGAGATGTTGTGAAATGGGTGTTGGAAGTTAAAAGGTATGTGCTTGAAATTGTCGATCCCGAATCGTCGCGTCTGTTTATATCGTTGTCAACCGTCAATAAATACCACAGGTGGGCGCAAGGTGGACGTGTGACGTCACGCGCGTCGTCACATCCCTCGAATATGCGCTTTGACCAGCCACCTGCCACAGACAATAAATATCTTGCAATGTTGACACCGCCAAAGAACATGCTGTACAATGCACTGCCATTGAGAGTACTGAGATCTGAGACACTGCACAACACAAGAAATGCATTGATCAAACGAACAACAGGATACAACTACATAGGTTGAAACTACTCATCGGCGAACAACAGAATGACTCCACTCGCATTTAGTAGCTCATACGCTCTAAGAACTGTTAACCGTTTACCTGAAATGACTGATGTCAGAAACTTCCTGGAAATCTGTCGAGGAACGAACCTTTAGAACAAGTACTGGCTTGTAACACTTGACTCGATGACCGGATGCAGAAACTCGCGCAAACCGATCCCACCGTTCTCCCCTAACTTTCCTGCCCCTGCCCCGCCCGACGTGCCATCAGTGGACGGGGCTCCGAAGAGCCGACCATAACGTCAGATATCATCATCGTCACTGTAAAACTCGTCTTCATCTTCATCAAGGGCCGCAAGGTTTGTCAGGTCGACTTTGTAACGAAGCAAGCCACCTATTCCACCGAAGCCCTTTACGAATTGTGCACCCTCCTGCGATCGATTAGTCACAAACTCGAGGTTTGCTCCGAACTCCTTGTATTTTTCGGCAAACCATTCAAGGAGAGGCTGTGGCTCGCTGGCATGTTCCATTTCTAGACCAGTTGATTTATCTAAAAATCTCTCGCGATCTTTCTCCTGTTCTTTGTTTGCGTGGATAATAATTTCCTCTGGCGTTATCCATGAGCCTCATCAAGCGGACGGCAACGATAACAATTGTCTCACCTCCTGCAGCATTGCGGAATATGTGACGTGTGATATCCAAGTTCTCCCACACGATTAGAGTCTCGACCGCGCCCAGATCAAGCGCCTTCAACGTGTCATCAATACCAAAGCAGTACTTGTTTGTGTCCTGGCTGATTTCATCGAAATATTTCTGGATAAGCCTCTTCTCCTGCACGAACTTTACATTTGCCAGCGCATCTGCTGCAAGCTCGATGGCCTGTGTATCACATTTAGTAATTATATAAAAACCCGAGAAAAATCGAACCCACCTGGTTGAAACCATTCTCACCGCCGTAGCTCACATCTACAACCTTGATCACCTTTGCACCCAAGCGTGGATCAAACATGTCGCTCTGGCTGAGTTCGGTCTTGAAGTCGGCGCTTCCCGCAAGAACGAGTCCGGTCACATTGACCTTGTCGTTTGTGATGAAGTGCTGCACAGCGTGCTCGGCGACCTTTCGAACGTAGTTGTGGCGCTTTTCATCACGCAGACGGGAGAAACGTAGTGCAGACTGTCCACCACGGCCATGCTTCTTGGGAAGATCGACGGTAAATTTATGTACGATATCACGAGTATTGCCTGAGAGTGTGCCGAAGAGTGTGCCATTACCATCCATGACGATGAAACCAAAGCGAGAGTCGGACTCGAGGAGTTCAGATAGGGCTTCGGTGTGGAATTTGTTATCACAGAGGTAAAGCGACCTGTTCCATGCATAAGATCAAGATCATGCATCCGATGAGATACTTACGTATTGATCGGTTTGTGAGGTTCAAAGTCGAATGACACCTTCTTCTCTTTACCTTCATCGGTGAGGATGGTGCCCACGAAAAGGACAAGACCGTTTGGCGGGACTCGGTTGTACAACTTGAGACGCTGCTGGGTACTGGTGATGGCTGCAAGTACAGACAATCTGTTTACTCGCGACTTGATGTTGCTCGCAGTACCGTATTCCTGCGTCAACATGGCTGAGGCACGAGAAATCTGATCCTGTAGCAGATGAACTGGAGTGAGCAAGTTGGCAAAAGGGGGTTAGATCGGCGCACCTTGGGAGGAATGATCAAGCTGATCATGGATGTCCCCGCTCTGTACAGTGCGCGATCAGCGCCCATCGCTGTTGGCCCAGTGAAAATATGAAGACATACCCTCGTGCAGAGTCCAAGCTCTTGATGAGCTTCTTTACTTTCCACATCTGAATGTTCTGCTCTGCGACGTCTTGACTCATGATGGGCGGATCTTTCTTCTAGACGCTTTGTAGTTGATTTTCTGCTAGAAGAAGACGAAAAATGCGAATGGGACGCCTTGGCTGTCCCGTTCAATTTGATGTCTTATGAAGGTCAAACTTTTTTGCCGGGTGGTGGCGGATTTAGGGTAGGCTGCCTCATGGCCAGTGGCGGCCTTCCACTCCAATGCGATGACTTCGCCGAGTACATTTCCAGTCTGACTCAACTCTTTCACCAACCGAGTCCTTGTAAGGTCTGCTGGTGCTATCTAGTCACATAAATCTGCAGCTGATCCGCTCGGAAGCGAGCTACCATTCATCTCAAAAGCTTTTCATCGCATCATGAGCAGCACAGCCGAAAAGCGCAAGTCAAATGTCCCTCCTACCAATGACCAGAAAAGAGTCAAACTACGTAGCGGTGCCGTTGCAAAGGCCAACTCCAAATCCCAAAAGAGCGAAAAGGACAAGGACACTAGTGGAGCGTCATCGACAACTGAGAACCCCGCGGCCACCGCGCAATCAGCAGCTCCCAATAACCGTCCCAGAATCCGGAAACTCGCGCCACCACGGCCGTTCCCAACAGTGGCACTGTCCGCACCTGCCACAGCACCACGCTCATTGCATACTGAAGGCAAGAATAACATCTGCGTCACGCGACGTACCAAGCTAGCAGCTTACCTGCGCCGGTGTAAGGCTCTGATTCTCGAAGACGGGTTCAAGGAGATTCGATTGAGTGCAATGGGTGCCGCTATCCCGCATCTCGCGCTATTGGCCGTTTCTCTGCCTCAGATAGTGCCGGGCGAGCTGAGCGTCGAAGTGCAGACGGGTAGTGTGGACGTTTTTGACCAGATGCTTGAAGGAAGCGAGGATGAAGATAGTGGCGGTAATGACGAGGAATTCAAAATGAGAGTCAAGTCTACCATGCATGTCATCATTCGCGTAGGAGGCTCGGGGGACCCAAAGACGATAAGCAATTCCGCGAAAGGAACTGCGAGTGCTGGCCAGAGCGAAGAAAGTGTTCAACCACCAGAGCAGCCGGAGCAGATTATTCTGCAGGAGCCTGAACAAGAAGACATGGACCAGTCATAACAGGAATCACGGTAGGAAGCTATCGTCGCATTGGTTGGTTACTGCTCATGAGTACCATAGGTCACTTGTTGTCCAACTTAGCCAGTCGGGCTGAAGTCACAAGGGCGTTGCTTGGCTAGATCCCATCCCAAATTGTGTTGGGATTTGGGGATGTAATACGGACCGACACGCTGTTTCAATCGTGACATCGCCCTTCGCCGCATGTACTCTTTGCTGTAATGTTAACAGCGCCCCGTGGTCCAGTGTGCTCGCGTGATATGAGTACAACACGGGAGCAGGACAGACCTCGAGTACTTGATCTTCGTGTTCTTGCCTCCCACGTCAGCGAACCTAACGCAAATGAATGTGCATTTCCGTCTTGCTCTGGTGACGTATTGCAGCTATTTGCAGATCGATGTAGTCGGACTTCTCATTTTTCAAATGAACGTGAATCCTTACATCGGTCTGCAAATACTTAATGCTGCATAGTTCTAATCGCCAATTTGACCTTGAGAAGTTACTGCATCATGCGGCACAGTACCTTCCAGGACCTGCGAATGTTCAAAGAATGAACCCTCACTAAATCGTGCGTGCCCCTCCATCCTAGCTCTATTTGTCGATTGATCTACCAGTAAATGGGCGCATAACCTCACTACACCCTAATTCATTCTTGGAGCCTTCAGTTGGCCTTAGACTACATGTTCCCCACTAAAGTTACGCAACCACACGTATATCTCTCTGACAAAGGGCACAAGCGAGGCCGAGGTCGAGGCGACCGATTTTAGTGAAACATGACGAAATTCTACTGGCGCTCGATGGCGATCCGTTGAAGCCGTTAACCGCTGCCTCGGTGAGAAGCGTCCTCGAATTTCTTTTTTTTGTGGCTACCTGATGTTCTTTTCGCAGCATAAGGGTTGTTCAGAAGTCATCAGTACAAAGGGCCATTTTTAACACCATTGCTGATAGTTCTGCTGGTATGACGCATTGTACTTACCGTAATTGTCCAGGCCAGGCGCTCCCTGCACGTCGATGACAGCATGATGGGAATGCGTTTGGTGACCTAAGATCCGGGTGACCAACTAGCAAAAATAAGTCCACCGACGCTATCGCGTTCTTTTGTGATGCAGCTAGTGCATTTTATTTACATTACATTAGGAATGGAGCTTTGAAAATCATGTGGCGCTTCGTCGATCTCGCAAGCTACTAGGCTAACAAGAGGCAGGTGTGTGTATATGAGAACGTTCTCATAAGTTTGACAGGCTTCGCGAACTGATGCGACTGGTCGGGTGCCGCTGCGCTAACTAACAATAAGTGAAGTTCGCAAAAGTATCGCAGCACGGGTTGGGCAGAATGCCCTATCATGTCTAGCTTCACCCCGCACCCGAGTAGCTGCGACTTTGTGCTTAAAATACATAGTTAATACAGCAGAAATAGCAGCATATTCTGAGATATAAATAGCTTACATTGCAAGATAGAGCCTCGCAGCCAGGTCATGTTCTTAGGGTCGCGTTAAGTTCCCTTCTAAAGTAAAGTTAAAGTTGTGACGTCGTGTCGTTCGAAGCTTGATCCACGTCCGAGGTAGTTAGACCGCTGCAGAGCCCTCAGCATACAGTGTCAGGGGGTTTCTTGACCTAAACTGGCTCCCGCTCATTGATCATTGCTTGCCGATAGTCTTCTCGACCCATGGGCGCCGCAGGCGGCGGGAGATTGCGTTATATGGTGGAAAAATATTGCACTAAATTTACAACATGACGGATGTCGCCGGTGGGTAACCTGGTGAACGAGATAGCATGATATTAGTGGCGGTAATAAATAACACGATGAGCGACATACATATTTGTAGTTCATATAAGCCTGTCGAAGAGCAAGCGTATACTTATCGATGTGAGTGCTATCAAATTGCAAGATAGGGGTTATATGAAAAGTTGACGTAAATCTTTTCGATCTTCCCGGTGGATGCTGCGCAGGACTATTATGTGAGGATGAGCATTGTAAACTTGCACGCACGAAAGGTGGTTGGAAAGAACGCTTTCGTAGCTCCTACAGTCTATCCCAACATTGGCATTAGTTGTCAGCATGATCATAGTGTTGACCGCAAGTGAGAAGAAGCACTGGGAGTTGCTCGACAGAATTAGTCCCGGCCTCTGACTGAACGAGACTATGCACTGTAGAAAAGGATCCTCGAACTTCGATTATCAAATTTGTATACATGCTCAATCAATTCATCGATGAACGAGCTTCCAAATGGTACAGAGTATTCAAGAGAGCTAGACTCACGGAGAAAACAAGAAAGTAGAGAGAAGACTATGGCGAATGCAACGCGAATTCGTGTATGTCCGATTAAATTATCGCGGCGCTTCAAGTTTCTCAGTGAACGAGGAGCTCAGCCCCATGCTAATCCCCAGCCATGACCTCTCCATTTCACTTTTTGCAACATGGGGGAATGCGTCTGCCTCCAAATCAGACAGGAGGTCACAAGAGAGTGACGGCGAGAGGGAAGACGATGAAGCGGGAGACCACACATTGCCAAAATCCTCGGCAAGCTCGGACGCGGTGCGGAGGAAGATCTGCGGCGGTGGAGCCCATGATTGGGTAGGAGACGCAACCTGCGCAAATGATGACGAGAAGTCGAGCGTTGGCAGAACAAAGTTGTCCTGTACACCGGGAGAGGTCGTCAACCCAATCCCATAGTCCCAATCATCCGATTCGATGTCTGAAAACACTTCGACATCAGCATCTTTGTCGAAGTCCAATTCTGACAAGGATGCTGAATCAAGCTCGAGGGTGGAAGCAACGGACTGGGGACTAGATGAAACATGTTCATCATCGATGGCGCTCATCTGCGAGGAAGCAGACATGGTGTCTAGGTAAACTTCTTCGGGAGTACACCATCCTTGCCCGCTTTCTCCTATGACACCGCGCACTTGAGCAGCTGTCCAACCTGCAAGTGTGACCCGGAGAATTGTACATTGTTCATCACTGGGGTTATCTGCTGAGCCGGGACCGAGACTGGGACCAAAGGCGTAGGCATCAACGCCGACGCCAGGATCATCCCACACGTTCGCAGCATCCAATCGGGAAAAAAGAGTGGACACGCGAAGCGAATGGTTACGATGCATCCTATGTTCAGCAGCAATGGCAGGTACAGGGAGAAGCGGATGGAGTGCGCTAGTTCCCGTGGAGTACGCAGATAGGGGCAGACGAGCGGTGGGAGTAGGCGCGAGAGGAACGAGAAGGTAAGTCGTTACTTCCGGCAAAGCAGGTTGTGGCAAGTAATGGTCAAGTTCAGAGATGTCGATCTCGGTGGGGATCTCAGCAACGATAGACCTCTGCTTTGGCTTGAGCATCTCCTTGGTCTTTGGGGGTACCATATTTTCCTTAGCTTTGCGCAATTTGCGCGCCTCGTTCTTCTTCTTGCCATTAAATTCCCATTCAGCCTCCCAAAGTGCACGGGTGGCAATAGGAACGTTATCCACGACATTCTGGAATATGGGGCGCGCAGAATGAAATGAACGGACAGTACCAAGACCAACATTAGCTACATTCCCAGGGATGGAAGGCGGACGGGGAAGGCACGGCAAAGATAAGGGGCGGTAAAGCGCATGTCTCACAGGGAGCGAGTACGAGGCTTTAACGCTCTGAGTAATGGAATGGAAATGTGCAGGACGGACGAGCGAGTGACTCGGAGCGACTGCGACAGTTGAGGCAGAATGCGCAAGTCCTGGAGTAGTTAAATGAGCAAAGAATCTAGAGACGAGGTTACGAGAGTTTGTAAAAAGTCGTTGAGCAGTGGACGGCTGGGGTGCTCGCAATGGTGGTGTGAACGCAGGGATGTGAAGCGATCGAGCAGGACCAGACCCGGGGGCATAGTGTTTGGTTCCACCGATGCCTTGTCTAAGGTGACGAGTGCCGTGCGAGACGGCAGACATCGTGAAGAGCTATCAGATGGGGATAGTCAAAGTCAAGGTTGCAGGTAAGTTAGTAGTTGCTGTGCAGTGCTTGCTGTTATATAAACCCGTTAATTGTGTGCCGGACGAACACGCATTGGCTGAGTAAGCAACTCGGCATTGCTTACGATCTAGATATATCACGTGGTCGCGATTCTCTTGACGCGACCACGATGAACGCACAACAACCGACCGTGCCTTCAGCCTTACTTCCCGAAATCCTCGAGTTTTCGCCTCAGCTCATCCTCGACGACATCATCAACTATGCCAACGAAGCGATAACAAACACCGTTGATGCCTTAGAGGGCTTTCTATTTCGCTGGGCATCTGAGCGAGAACAAAGAGTTAAAGAGGACTGGGATAGCACGCAAGAGGTGGAACAGGGCCTCGTTGCTTTCCAAACACTTCTCGAATCACATACGGACATTGCCTTTGATTTTTTCGAGACATGGTCACTCCGTAACATATTCGCCATTCCTGCCGATCTTCCCATCGTGGTTCCTCACCAAGAGCACCTTGATCTCGATTGTCCGCCAGAACGTGAAACAGAGCTCATGACAGAGATAGATGAACTGCGAAGAAAACTAGATGCTGTACGTTTCAAACCTCGCCATTGAACTCGCCTGTTCTAATGGTGTGCAGCAACGTCGCTTGAAGCGTTTGTTGACTCGCGCAGTCCGCATGTCTTCAGCAAAACGTCGTCGCTCTGAACGTCGCCTGGAACAGCTCTCTTTCCTTCAAGCACCCCAAGTGTCTGAACTCGCGAGCCTTCCAGAGCAGTACCGCTCCATGTTCTCAGCAGTATCGTCCCTTCCGGCTCTTACCCCTGAAGCCGTCGCTGCCTTTTCGCAATCACCATTGGCAGACCCTGGCAAACGGCCATGGGAAGTGAGTAAGATGGGTTATCTCGACTGGGCCAGCAAGCAGGTACTTGCCAAAGCACAGCAGTGCGATGGTGGTGCTGGTAGTTCGGCAGTAGGATCATTGGTGGAATCCACTGCAGCAGTAGCGAAGACTCAAGATCTTAGGCGACTGATGGAAGCAAACTCCGCTTTAGAGAATGCTTGACTGCGGGGGAGGGCGGTCCATGACACTATTCTACTGCAGATCATAATTTGTAGTGGAAGGATCAGTCCTGTATGTTATGTTATGAGGAAGTAATATGTACAACCTTCTTTGCGAAGTGCGATTTCGATGTGACCCGGTCTAAAGTAGTCAATTGTTACTTACGTACTACGGCCCGGTGGGGACGGGAGGTGTTTCAATTCGTTCCAGCTGCACCTCATGAAGACCGTCATGATTCCAAGAACGATAAGTACGTATACTCACTGCCGTATGATTATATGCCTGACAAGCATATAGAATGTTATTCCTTGCGGTCGCCACAGCTGGTGTAATCGTCACAGAAAATATAGAAGCAACGGCTATTCTCCTTCTGTTCGGTCTGCCCACTGGTCATCGCTAAAGCAACGCAACGCATTCGTAGGATTCAATGTCATATCCACGTCAACACGTCGAGACGGAGAGGGTACCCCACACGTCAATAAATGCGAGACATCCGTCTTTTTTTTTCTCCGCGATCATGGAGACACGATCATACCACATACCCCGCAAGACCCCGCATCGAACTAATCAGCTGACTGGACAGCCAAGGGCTTGTGCGTTTCAGGACTCTGCATCAGCTGCATCACTCCAGGCACTGATCCATGCCTTTCGCTCCAAATATTTTGAAGGCATGGTCACGGGTACACCGGCATACACCCGGTTCAACGTTCAGCTCTTGTTCCGGCCTTATGAAGCGGCATTGAAGCCATGGCATTGGTAAGCCCAACGAAAAGCATTGCCACCTTGACATGTCTGACTTATGAAGTCCAGGTGGTTTTACTGTCATTAGCTATGCAGTCTCTTCCAATCTCAAGGACAGTCATTCACACATTATCCTGACATGTACTCGCCTCAAAACCATTAGCAAAATTCGCGCCGCAACTCCACGCATGTGCATACCGTGCTCACGGGCCGTGGCTTCTACATACATCTGTTTTTGGGATGATCCGATACAATGGACTTCTCTTTCGAAGTTGCCAAGGATTATCAACCATTTGATAGCGATCAGTCTTCGTGATCGTGACACGAAAGCTCACGGTGGGGATGTGGGCACCTATGGTTGAAACACAAAGATAGGCTAGTCTTCGTTGCCAGGCTGTCGCCCCGCCCCCACCGCATTCGTCACCGACATCTGATCATTTCCCTAATGTGGGTATGTCGGAACGACAACTTGGGGTTCTTTAGCTGCGCGACGCATTGTCTAGGTGTGGGCTGTCGTTACCCTCTGCGGTGGCTGAATCACTATTCCGTGCGTTGGAAGCATGTACGTAGCCCTACGTAGCCCGCCCATTCAACTGAAACAGTTTCAAATTCCAGACACCGTGACAAGTTGTGCGTTCTAGCCAGCTGACGTTTATTCCCCCGGCCACCGTCACCGTATCGATCAGTTGTGTCGAGAACTCACTGACACGTGCAAGTTGGACGTTGTGATTGGCATTTTTTGAACACCGTCGCGCCTGCAAATCACATCAAGACATGGCGAAGCCGGTACATGGGCCTATACTAAGGCTTGAACCCCGCAATATCACGGTCACTACTGAAACTCTTAATCCCCGAGCCTTCTCCCTGGATCATGTCGCAACCCCGCAACTCATTCAGTCTTATTTGTCATCCTTGGTCCTAAGTGATTCTTGGCACTTGGCACGCCATTGTTCTAACTTGATATATTTTGGTATGACTTTCTGGAAAGGTTTTCCCTCCCCCCCGCGTCTATAACCCCCCTGCCTTGAGGCACGGTCACTACAAATTCGGAACTCGGGCCCGACAATGAACTCATCAAACGTTCATGGTCTGCCCACGCCAGACGACAAACAACCCCTAAAGAACAAACACATTACAAATGCAGCACCGCTTTTCGACATACGGTGGCGCTGCCATATATGGGCTTTGTCATTCACGAACCTTGTCCTTTATCGCGCTCCGCGACATCGAGGGAACAGAACGGAGGAGTCTCGAATCCAAAGCCTGGCAAGTTCCGAATGCGCCCTCATCCTCGAAACGTTGACGACTAGACTCTAGTACTTATCATTGCCGATAAGTGGGTCCAAATCATAACCTAACTTCGTTGTAGCAATCTTCCCTGTCATACCTGTGCAAACCCCCTTAAGATCGGCACTGATAGGTGTATTTTACATGAAACCCAAGCCCTCTTGTCAGGGATGAACACCCTTTGAGTAATCGTCCCCCGGAGACCAGGCGCGTCATGGCGGCATGTCGTAAATCCGTCGCCTATAGGCACTACTCTAATTACTGTAAGCAGCTCCATGGTGTACATAAGTGTTTTCGTACGCGATATCAGGGGTAGTGTTCAAAGACGATTACGCGCACAAGTACGTTGTCATGCACTCATCTTTTCCGAAACGTGTGTGCCCTTTGAAAACGACACTCAGGCTGCGTGCCGTCATCGTCGTCGTCTTTCGCAGGACAGCATGTCGTAACGATGCACGCGGTATAGTGCCTTAAGTAATGCATGCACGTTCATGAAGGACAAACTTGGAGAACCGATTATATATATTCATAACGATAAGGCAGATTCTGCCAGTGAGAAACACAGAAGAGAAGGGGGTGTCAATAGAAGGACGTCGTTCCCTAGTATGAAAAACTTGCACTCTAAGCTCCTCGGAGTAAGGAATGAATGCGTGCGACCCTTTGACAGTCCTTGACGATCCAGCATAAAGATAGGTGCCGGTGACATATCCATCGAGGGAATCTGTACGACGGGCGCTTGGCCGATACGCACGGACGAATTTCGATACGGATGTGAGTAAGTCGCGTAATGAGTTGGCAAACAAAGATCATCGATCATCGGCGACAGGGGCAATGGATGCACACTTTTAAAATAGCTACACTCCTGGAAGGGGTGCATCCAATTCGTAGAGGTGATATCCACGGAATGTCCAGCGCATATCTCCGAACGCACTAGAACGTCGAACGCGCACCAACAGGATGGTGAAAGAGCCAATTTCGTAGCTGATCCAAAAATACGCTGGCGCGCGCGAAGAAAGAAGCAAGATGGGTGGGTCGGGTACCTGGAAACTCTTTGTGCGGTGCAGCGTGGATGCGAGGTCGAAAGAGAAGGGACAGGGGCGACCGGAGATGATCGATGAAGCTTAGCCACTTCTCTAGATTGAACAACAAGCACGGACTTGTTTCCTGTGCCATCGAACTAAGCTGAGCTGGCGTCAAGTCCATGTCTGCCGTGTCAGTTGGAAACGTCTGTCATATCCACGAAACGCCCGTCACATCCACGAAACACACCTCACATGCGAACGCACGTTTGAAGCTGAACGAGAACCGACAAGAATGCCAGCACCTAAATTGAAATTCAGTAATATTCCGCTTTGAGGTACATAGAGTCCCAACAAGAAGTCGAAGATGCGCAAGTGCTGGAATGACTAGGCACCCATTGAATACATATCAGGTATTGGAAGCATCTGCGGAAACGACCGAATGAACCGGAAACACCCTTGTGCGCGAAGAAAGAAGCAAAAACAAGACTCGGAGTCGTCGGGTGGGAAAACTCCGGGGTCGATGATCGCTTTCATGCAACGTGGATGGGAGAGTAAAGAGCTAGAGGTGATCGGAGGTTGGTTGAACTCGATGTTCTCCCATCAAGATAAGGTCCTGATAGTACAAAGTCTACCTAGCGCACCGAGGATCTAGCGCATAGATCTAAACGCCAAAACACGAGAATAAAATTTGCCCAAAGCATCAACAGGAGGACACCTAATGGAGTGAACTGAGCCAAAAATGCCTTTTGTATCCGACTGAATTGAAAGAAGCAAAGCTGTCGGGTGGGAAGATCCTAGGATGCGAACGACAAGGTCAAAGGGAGTACCGGCGGTGATCGATGATCCTCGGCAGTTTTCATTTTATTGCTTCGAGAATCGAGAGGTCCCGAGAGGACGACGTACATAGATCACCCGTCGGCGACTTGTGCAGCTCGTGTCTTCTCATTTATTGCCATCGACCATCGAGATCACGGACCAGGGTAGAGCACTCGTGGAGCTCGTGTAGATAGTATCTGCTTCTGCTATTTCCGTTGCGCAAAGCTTATAAACCTCGCGATGACGCAAAGCAGTGTCATCTATCAAGGAACTTTTGTACTTCGACCTTCTCCGGTCTGAGAATAGATCACCCGAACTCGGCTCCACACTCCGGATGTTAATGTGGTGCAAAAAGAAAGGAAGCAAGGCGGTCGGGTATGCGTGCCCAGCTGGGGAACTAGTCACTAGGGCGTAACGTGAATATAAAAGCCAAGTCAAATGGACGGAGGGACAGGACGAATGATGACGATACCGATGACCAGGTGACCTTCGATCTGCTAAACATTTTTGCCAATCTACGTCATGTTCTGGGAGGACAAAGCGGTGGCGCATAGAATACCCCAGGCCTCTGCAGCCTGCGAGTTCCACAATCGTGCTGGAGTACCATCGGGGAGTGGTCGCAGAGCGGACAGGACAAACCCTAAAACAAGTTTTGAACATCCACATTGCACGATGTACCTGCGGAACCAACCGAGCGGAAATTCCCTTGTCCGCGATGAAAGAAGCAAGGCGCCGGTCGGGGCAACGTACGTAGGTTGATGATGATGGGTATTCATTCATCCATCGACGCCATGTTCTGGGAGCAAAAAAATGGCCGCTTCACTTTAACAGGACAGAAGTTGAGAACATAACATACAGACGGCGGATGAAATGGCACGCGATTAAAACCCTGGAACACGAACGAAGAAGCAAAACAACCGAGGTGTGCCTGGATGATCACTGCGGTGCTGAATGCGAAGGCAGGAAAACGGAACGATGAGAAGACGATCCTGGGTAGTATTTTTACCCACCGATGTAACGTTCCGGGGGGACCAAGCCGTTCAGCATGATTTAGAATAGCCCGCAACCGCGCGAGTTGTGCCTACTGAACCAGCTACGCCAAGCCGGTCATCGGCGTTGATGCGCTGATGGCGTGACCAGTGGTAGACTTAGAACCCCTTGACGACTTGTCTGCTATTTCGGTTGCGCCAAGGATGGTAGGTATCAGCAATGCAATATTTACACACACACATAGAGTCTCGCTCCTCGGATGTCCTTTGCTCTTGACGAACTTGACGTGGCAAAACCACTAATGCTAGCGACGTCATTATTACCAGTAACCACGCAAGAAGTCGAATGCTATTCAAAGAATCTGTTTTAACAGCAGGAAGAAGAAAAGAGAGCATGTTCGCAATGCGTACGTTGTCGTGACCGCGAGGGTGTTGTAGATGTTTAAACGTAGAGCGAAGCTTGAGCTCTTCTCGAGTTCCGCTGATCCAGTTGGCAATTGCGCCAAGCTGCATCGTGGTATGTAAGCTGGTAACGTTAGGGAAAATTTCGCCCGGACCTATTCCGCTCTAAACGAACTTGTTGTGCTAACAACTGAATGACCGGTGAGCATCACCGATTTCATCGCATGGATGGTCCGACTGAAGGGTCCTGAATGGACAAATAGTATCCATATCCCTAGATGGATGAGCCAGTTCCAGTTGGGCAACGTTCGTAAGTTGGATAGTTTTGGAACTAGCACCGGGAAGAAATCAATGAATTTGAGGATATATCACGATGACTGTGCTGAGGTGGTGCAGCGGTGATGACAAGGGTGGTGTCAATCAATCCTTGGGTTTGATCGTAAAGGAACAAACAGTATACTCATCCCTACTATGTGTATATGAGCTTATTTCCAGTTGGGCCAAACTACAATGACGTTCGTAAGCTAGTGACGTGACAAGGAACATTAAAAATTGACTCGGACCTTCCGCTCCAAATGGTGAACTTGGCGTGCTAACACCTGACCGTTGATGAGGGATTACCGATGACATCGCTTGAATGGAATGCTGGGCTCGCTGAAGCAGGACGATTAGAAGGTCGAAGTTTAGTTTGACAGTGCAGAGATGCCACGAAGGTGAGAATGTTAAGCAACGAGTGAACTCGCGGGTCTCTAAATGATCCTCTCGAACTTGGCGTGTACGCCTGCTAGGACTGGATGAGAAAGCGACGTCAGCGGGCACCAAAATGGACCACAATGTCTCCGTAAAAACTCGTTGAACTTTAGCTGACAGAACCGTGGGGTGGTACACGACGACACTGCGGAAACGGAAGTGTCCGGAGGCGCTGCCAGTGCCAAGGCTGAGCCAAGAATCCAAGGACGGCTGAATGTGTAGTCACAAGGGAAATTTGGACATGATTTTGCTTGGGGTGATAGAAGCGTACATGGAGTTGGGAGAGGAGACGGATATTAGGAGGGAGCGGTTGAGATAAGTAGAGGGGTAGATTGAAATGGAGATTTTCCAATTGTAGAAGGTGGAGACGCGTCAAGCCGGCGAGGAAGAACCTCTCTCACGAATGCATGGGAGAAGCCGTCGTGACTCGTAGCTATACATTGTTTGACGAGTCGGGACCGGAATGAGTTGGTTGTACGGGCGATAAGAGGCCGACGCACGGGTTCTCGACTACCCCGCCACAATAGCGGAAGCAAGTCCTAATTTAGTAATAAGATCTCTAATCTAGATTCAGATCTATAAGACCCCGGAGACTGCAATTTTATTATATTGTGTTTCATTTAACAGAGAGGATTTCATGGTTTTTATCAGAGGACCTTGTTGGCTTTTTTTCCTTTCATCACCCGCAACCATGATTCGAACCAACAGCATTTTATTGAATTCACCTACACAGTCACCAAGACTAACACCACAACACTTGCCATCATATTCATCCTCAAACGCAAGTAGCTGCTCATCCTCAGAAATGCACGTGCAGATCCACCGCAGCGCAAGCACACCACGTCGCATTAGATTCGCACCACTACCTGACCAGAATCCCATCGACGTCGACCCAGTACCACAAACTGAGTCCCCAATACCATCCACAATCATCACCACAGACTCAAATCCCAAACCCAAATCTTCCTTCTTCCGTCAAATCTTTAAACGTTCCTCTCTCGTCATCGATGCGCCCCCTCGACGCTTCTCCACAGAAGACATAACATCTCGTATCCTTCGTCGTCCTCGAACTCCCCAGGCACAACAACAGTTCGGTTCCCCACTTTCTCGAACACCTTCCACAACCCAACCAAAACGTCCATCCACCGCCCCATCATCCTCAAAACCACGTTCCTCAATAAACTCACTCGGCTCAGGCGGCGGTCGCCATACAATGCCCCCAAACCGTACCACTCCCCCAACATCACCAACATCCCCCACTTCCCGCCCATCAGTCCCAACAAAATCAGGAATGCGCATGCTCAACGGTCGCGTATACGGATCAAAACGTCAACCTCCAGCAGACCCCTTTGCAAACGTTCGTGACGAACCAGAATTCGTAGAATGGGGTTATGGCGGCATGGGCAGCGTAACCCACAGTAGCGACTCAAAGTATTCCGCACTCGCAAAGGGCGCACCAGCTCTACTTTCCCACGGTCAAGCTCAGAAAATACCAGTCGGCGGAGGCCGCGGTGGTGCTGCCGTAGCCGTGGAAAGGAAAGGTGCCGGCGATGTCGATGACGATGACGGCAGTGGCATGGGGTGGGTTCGGAAGAGGAAACTAGAGAGAGAACGTCTAGCAAGGGAGAAGGAGGCTACCGAGGTCACAACTGTCCTTGATACGTATTCAAGGCGTACAAGCACTGACGGATCTTCCGCCGTGGACAGTACAAGCACTGATCTCTCCACTCTCGCTGCCTCTTCAGCTCCTACAACCCCTCCTAGCACATCCGATACCCTCCCCCAGGACGAAGCAGAGCAAGAACAGCATATCTTGCAGGCCGTCAGATTGAGCCCTACTCATCATCACCATAAACGGCCCTCCACTTCATCGCCCGGCGACCTCGTGGTGGGCACCACACATTCCCCCGTCGAGCCTGCTAAGAGCAGCCCAAGCACTACCAGCGAGAGCAGCAGCGATGACGACGAGACTCCCAGAGAGGATGATGATGAGAGCGAGGTCGAGGAAACAGAGGTACGTCTTGTATCTCTTCCTTGTGCCACCCTCGCTCACCCATTGTTTGTAGGATCAGCGAAAGACATCGCTAGGTGCTGGAGTGGAAAAGATAAGCAGGCATAAAGAGGGTGTCCACTGAGCGTGGATTTCATGGCCCGTCTTTTTAGAGGCACAAAAGCGTTCCACGTCGCCCACATCATCGTGCGCGCCCTCGCACTCGAACCCGACCCTAACCTTATACTTTTGCTGTTCATATTCACCCCTGCTCTGTCGCTTATCTTGCTGTTCATAGTCTTCCTCTTCCTCCTCGTCGCATCATCGCTCAATCGCTGTACATATCCTCTTGCGCCGCCCTCTACCCTACCAAGCCCGGCCTCGCTGTCAATAATGTTATCTTATCCTGCGCATATCGTTCATATTGTCTTTCTATCATCTCATCGTTCAAGTTGGGTCTCTCCAACCTGGAACTACCCCCGCGCCATCTCTTCGACTTGGGATGATGTCTCCCATCGGTTAGAATAGGCGGCTGTTCTCAACCTCGTGTTCTGGAGATTATGGTCATCTAAGGTGGTTCCCTTCGCTACATCCTCCGCAGTCATGTACTGAAAATAGTCCAGGACATCATCATTCTCTCCTCTAGTTGCCAAATTCATCCTCGCCTCTAGTGCCAATCTTCTCCTCGCCTTGTTGTCACCGTTCATCTCCGCCCATATTCGTGTCCGACGTGAAAGGCCCCTAACCGGCGTTCGTTCAGAACCCAATGATTGTTATCATTTCACATTCTTGCTCGCCGATGTTTCGTGGACCCTCCCCGGAGCACTATCCCCAACTGCGATTTCAAACGGCATTATCCCTTCGTCTTCGTCATCAACTTTAACTTGAATGGACATGGGGCAAACAGCTTACAAGTGCTTCGTCATCGGCTTCGGCTTTATGTTTTGAGCCCGTTTCGGCAATTGATACCGTCAGCGAGTGACGAGTTCTTGTCTTTTTGTTTTCCCGTCTGCGTATCGACTCCCCGCTCCATCGCCACCGCCACCGCCCATCTCTATCCCCATGTGCCTCGACATCTCCATATGCCTTCTCCCCTTGTCCAAGAATCGCACGTCATGTATCCTTCTACATATAACCCTGTATCCATCAACGATCGTCCTGCCCATTTAACACGGGTATAGGTATGTCTTGATCGTTCATGTCTAGAGTACACAAGGCTTATCGCGTGCAGGGCACTCGTCTCGCCTCGTCTCGTCTCGTGCTACTCAGTGCTGAGAGGAGCCACAATCGCTTGCTCTCCCGTCTCGTTTCATCTCATTGTCCCGTTTCAAGTTACGACTCTTTTCTTTTCGTTACTCTTTATCACCATCTCAACCTGACTTTTTATTCCATTTTTTTTTTTCATTTCAAGTCATCATGGACTACACGTCGCAATGCATTAGTTATACCCACTTCACTTTAGCAGTTTAGCTCCGTCTCTGTCTCTGGCTCTATTTCCTTGTTATTTTTTTCGTGGTGTCGATTGGCTTTTTGATGTAGATATGTGGGGAGGGGGATCGATGATCTACCTGGGCCCAGGAGTTGGTGGGGGTGTTGTAGCGTAGATCACGACGATTAGATTGCATATTGGTAACATAACACACATACACACAATACACACTGTTCGTGCGCGATAACTCGAGAATTTGATCAAGAAGTCCTCGATCGATGTTGTAATCTGATATGAGGCGAAAAGAAGAACCTCTGAGCGATGGTTCAATATTTCATTCAGGGTCTAATAATAAGTGAGATGGTAATGGTAATTTTGTATTATTAGCTACTGCGCAGAGGACACACGGACTTGAAACTCCACAAGTACTAGTGGCTTCAAGTGCAGAAGGCATGCCGTGCATACAATACATCAAGCACCTAGACCTCTCGATCGCGTAAGTTCGTTTGTACATAGGGGGGTACGTACGAGGAGCCGCGGTGGTGGTGCATTCGAGACGTGTTTGTGTTGTTTCCAAAAAAACAATGGTCCATTTTATGTCCGATGTGGTGTTTTCTCGACCTCCTCGTGGTGTTGATCGTGTGCCCGGTGATCACAGGGTACGTTACCCCGACGTGTCCGCGGTAACGATAGATGGTTCACTCGAGACATGTGTTCAGGCTGGTGACGTGACGTGGTCAGCTATTCGCCTAGTGCCAGTGCAAGTCAAGCCGAGTTAAAAGGATATTAGAAGGGACGTGTACATGACGGGAGGGATGAAAGTCGTTGTCGATATTGACTCTTGAGGAACTCGGATGCGTGCATCAGCTATTCGCCTAGTGCTGCAAAAGTCGAGACGAGCGGAGTTAAGAAGGAGTTACTAGTAGACTTGTAAATGAACGCTTCGACTATTGAGGACTTTGGACGCGTGCAGCCGGGAAGTGCACGAGATTGCACACCTACATAGTGGTGTTAGGACCCCCAAGTCTGGTTCTCGGATCATGTCAGGAGGAAAGGGCGTACAGCTCGACCAGAGATGTGATTTGGTGACTTACCGTGGTCAGTTCAAAAGGTTGCAGACGACCAAATGTAAAGTGAAAGGGGCCATAGACGTGAGGGAATGCAGCGTCCAATCTTAAAATGCAACGAGATAGCAAATCTGGCTGCGTTGGGCGTGTGCCAGGTACAAGTTGAACGAAATTGAAGAAATGAATGTCACTGTCGACATTGACACTTACGGGTCCAATCCAGAAGCATATGAGATGGCAAATCTGGTCGTATGCCAGGTAATTTTGCGAAGCATGCACAGGACCCCAGGGTTATCTGGCTTTCGGATCATATGTGATGTCATTGAGAGAAATTTAGCGCGACCACTCAGAGGGTGAATCACCCCGACCCTAGAGGGAATTTAGCCCGTCCCGAGAACTCATCCGCCAGACCTGAGAGGGAATTTAGCCCGACGAGAGCATCGGCTAACGTAGCTCTACACACCTGTTCCTCGAGATCGTCCACGCCTATCTTGAGCCCCTCGCCAGATTGACGATTCCAATCCACGAGTCTATCAGATCACCGGCGGGATTTTAGCCATTTGATGTAGTCTAAATATTACGTGGGGTTTGGATGAGGCGGAGGAGCGCTGAGGGATTTTGGCTGCTAAAACTGGCGTATTTGGTGGAATCGGAGTGAGATCTGGTTCGGGTGAGGTTGGATGTAGTGAGGGGTTTTCGCTGTTTGCGGGTGAGCTGCCTGCGGGGTAAGAGGACTACCCCAGTGTCTGGACTTCTGGAGGGGTGGGAGCGCATGCACGCCGTGGCGGTGTTCGTGTTGCTGACGAAGCGGGCACACCGCCTGAGCTGGAGTCATCATACGAAGACCATGGTCTCCGCTGCTGACCTAATACTCGAATATGACGGTCAATATCTGTCGATATACTCATTATCAAAGACCAAGCAATACGCCGTGCCCATATGACAGGCGGAAAAACCATTTGGCGTGCAACGTTACAATATCATTGAACATGTGGGCATAACTCACAGGATGATGGTCGTGACACATCACGCTTGGCCCGGTCCGCCGCACTTTGACAGTATTGCTGTGGAATGCCGTACATCCTGTTCATCTAAAGAGCAGAAGTATCTCACCAACTTGCGATTGTGGCAAGGCAAGCGCCGCCATCGATTGGTAAGATTCTCAGGGAACGAGGCACGCAGGCAGGCGCTGTCAAGAAGCTTCGCGGGTTAAGGGCATGAGATCACCTGATATGCAGGATGAGTTCAAGAGGATCGTTCGTGAACGCAAAAAGGTAGATTGATGTCTCGCTTACCTTGGTTTCGACTTCCTTGGCGTACACGTAGATGAACGGTGTGAAGAGAGAGAGGATGCTCGATTTCTGGATCTGGCTCAGAAGTGGTTTTGAGAGTGTTGGTAAGTAGATGTGAATATTGGGAATATGAAAGGCATGCCGTGAGCCGCCACAATGCCACCATAATGACAGGATCGTATGAGCTGGGGATGATTGATCAGTGCTATATCTGACAACACACAGCAAACGCATAATGCATAGGGGCTGGTTTTGTCCGTGCAAGCACGGACACATGCATCAGTAAGTAACTGATATCACGAGGCTAGGGATGCATTCATACACGCGTAAACGAAATGAAACATGCATACGATAGGCAATCTTATGCAATATGACTCCGCAAAGGCGAATGCGGACCTTGGACACTTTGCCATCCGGGAGTCCAATTCGAGTAGGCTAAATCCTGTGCGGTGGTTGTGCGCGCATATGCGAGCCACGATGGATGGCATCGGCCGTATCGTATCGATCAACCAAATAAGTATCTCGTACACGACTCCTTTACTAAAATGAATATTCGGTAAGCCATCGAGATACACGTACTCCTCGAAAATTTATGGTGGTGTAACCTGCATTTAAAATGCAGGTCCTGGCAGGTTCAATGATTGTACGCACGTTTTTGGCGCATGAAATTGGGGGCTCCCCGAGCAGCCGGATCCGAGAGGTGTAACCGCTAAAACTCACCCTCTCCTGACAGCCTCGTGGGTAGCGTGTGTACGGTCACCCCACCTTCACGTCGAGGGTTAAGGCTGAGGTTGAAGCGGGCCTGAATACGCACACGGACATCTGAGATCGCCGATCAGCTCCCACAAGGCGCGCCAGACAATACCATGTGATACCTTGTACTAGTATCTGTTGCAGAGTATGATTTGGACGTGAATTACAAAAGAGGATGCCACCCTCGTGGCGTCTTACTCACTCGGAGCTTTAGAGTCTAGATCTTCATGATGAATGTATATGAAGCAGATATCCGAGAGTGCCACGTAGAGATCTGATTGGCAATGATGGTCTTCAATCGGAGTGAGTCAACCTATCAATTGTGAATTCAGTACTTCGAGACAGCAGACGATACACAGCTAGAAGTTACAAATCTGCGATCTTCACCGTGTCTCTAGCGTCCCGACGTTCGTCATGCTGCGAGCAAAAGTTATTTTTGACTCATCTAATAATATCGTATTCTGTGATTCTCTTGTATTCTCCGCCGCGCTGTTTTTCGCCAGCAACAATGACAACGAAAGGAACCCGCGCGCCTGGCGAAACTTGTAACGAAAGTCTGGCACGGAGAAACAATCTCCCGAGCTCTGCGAGTCTGCGATGTCTACCTGCAACGTGGTGACATGCGTCAACACCCATTAAAGTTTTTCTCGTGCACATTTCATCCGTGGACGAAAGGTAACGAAGGTCCGTGGACTCCGTCACCAACTCCCCGAATCACGAGCAACATAGGAGAAAGATGGGAACTTCACGATGTCCTAGATATGGTATAGCAGCAGCTCCCGCCACCTAGGCTTGATTAAGTAGAAACTCACTTCCACGATACGAGAGTTTTGGTTTTGGGACAAGTGGCAGCTAGCTCTTGGATGCGCAGCATTACGGCCTCATTTTTATTCAAATGGTGCGCTTGTGGAACCAACCGAAGGGGCCGGGAACACCCTGGTGCACGAAGAAAACAGCAAGGCGGTCGTGCGCAGTGTCAGAGGGGCCTCTGGTGCTAGTCATTCATTTCGATGCAGTGCGAGGACAAATGGATGACGCTGCCGAAATCCATCGAAACAGGGTCCTGATAAGACAACAGCAATAGAGGACTCCTCGGCGATGTGTGAGCTCGTATCTGTTGCAAGGTCCGTCTCATTCGGGCCAAATCCAATGCAGCGGAAAAATACCGAACTTAAACGCACGAGAAAGAACTTTGAATGAGCACCAGCAGTAGTGCAAGGGCCTAATTTCAGTATCTGAGCGAAAAATACCCTTGGTGCATGAAGAAAGAAGCAAGAGGATCGTGCGTAGTGCCTGAGAAACATCCTTAGCGTTGATCATTTCGATGCAGCTCAAACGGACAGAGGCGTACCGGGGATTAGTGTTCATTTATTCCATAGAAACGAGATCCTGGGAAGACAAACCAGCATAGCTCGTGTCTGTTGGAAGCAGGACGCAAACGCACGAGACAAAACTTTGAACGAGCACCGATGTTCGGGCGGGGACCTAATTTCAGTGATTGAGCCAAGAATATCCCGAGTGCATGAAGATAGAAGCAAGGCGGTCGATGTGCCTGGGGAATCCTTAGGGATGAGTACCTCAGTGCAACGTGGATGCGAGGACGAACGAACATGTGTAGGAGACCGAAGGTTGGTGTTCATTTGTTATGCCGAGATAAGGTCCTGATAAGACAAATTCAGTACTTATACATAGTTCCCCTCGGTGACGCCCGGATGTGAGCTCGTATCTGTTGTTCCATTTGCGCCATGCTGTGTCGACGTTCGTAAACTGATGACAACGAGTTACTTCCTCCGCTCTAAACGGCGAGAATGAGCTTGACTTGCCGATACCAGCTGAGCCTGACGTCATCGTGTGGACGGACACATGGAAAAGTGAGGTGTGAAAACTATGATGAAATCAAAAGTAAGAGAGAAAAAGTTGACATATCCCAACCAGAAAATAAAGACAAATAGTCTTCGAAACTCCGTTCTTAAACGTGAATGCAAGGTTTTCATGACGCCCTGCACTTGCTTTCCTGCAGGTAACAATACCCTTAAAGAGGTTTAATATGATGAAGTGTACTAAGCACCTTATATGCATCATGAAGCGCGCGATTACAGTCCGGTAAACAAACAAGTGATGGTCCGGGGCATGAAACTTGTAGTTGTTGCCATCAGCGTCCATCTCTTGTGTTAGCAACACTTCCGAAAGTGGTACGAAAGTCGCAACTTATGCATGCATCAAGCAGTCATTTTTAGTGAGGATCCGATGCATTGTGTTATAGAAGTTATGCATTGAAATATGCCTTGTTCTTGAGCGCTTGAGCCTTTGCATCAGATGAGACAACGAAGGGACAGGCAATCAGCAAGAACTTACCTTGTAGACGCCGATTTCTTGCGAGCGTTCTCCGGCAAAGCGTCCTAGGTACTGCCCGCTCTAACTTCTTACTTTCGGAAGCAACGTGGGAGATGAGCTTGTCATCTGTCTGTGGAGAAGCAAAGCAGCACGCCCGCTAAACGTTCAAGTGCCGAGATATGCCAGTATGACCGTTCCGGATGACAAGGATTACACCGACCTGCGCGTGCTGTCAAGTGTATTAATATTGATCCTTCTTCCGCCAGGTGAAATTGGTAGAGCCCGCTGAGAGAAGGCGTGCACGACACACGCCTTCTTTCAGCGTGCCGAAGCAGTACTGACCGAAGCTGTCTGGTGAGCGCGTGAGCACGGGAGTCCGAGTCGACACCTTTGGTCGCGCCTGCATATTTGTGTATGTTTGTCTGTTATTTGTTCGCCATTTGGACCTTTCACTTTCCTGCAGCAATACCAGTTCTTGCGTCGAATCGGGCCTCGATTTGGCTCCTAGTATCATTCTTTCTGCTAGTTTTGGCGACTGGTGCACGTGGAGAACATTCCAGTGCGTCGATCCGCGGTCTTTTATGCCTTGGGTTTTGGTTCCAGCACAAGTTTGATGACACACACACCCAGTCTTCCAAACCCATCAACGTTCGTCGTCTATAGGAAAGTCTGCGACATCAAATGTCTCTAACACTTGAACGGGTGTGGTACTTGGAATGATGAGCTACGTCGAGGTGTAGGGACTATGAGTTTCCTCCTATGTCGCAGAGGTGCGCATGTACTGGGCATTTTTATTATACATTGCAGCCTATCAAATTCTCTCGCATCTCATTAAACACCCAAGATGAGGCTGATCGCCCTCCTTTTGTGCAAATTTGGCCGTAACCAGGGTGTCATATACATTCGGGTGAGCTCGATCGACTTGACAAATAATGCCAGTGTGTTTCAGCTTGGTCCGAGCCAAGCCGAAGCTTTTGATTCCAATACGAACAAACAACGCTTGACCATGACACGGTCGGTCGCGACTTAGAGTCCTTTGATTCCCTACCTATCACAAAGCTTTAATTCACAGAGTACATGCGAACCTGACGAATCTTACAACTTGCCACGCTTTTGTTTTGCAGATATATGACCTAGTGACCCAACCCAAGTCACCCAACTCGCATACAGTTGTATTTTTGTTTTACCAAACCTAAGATCCCCCATCGATTCTCCACACCTCCATCCCACCCTCGCCTCCGATGCCTACCACATCCCCCACCCAGTCCACCGCAAGTACCTTCATCCCATCCCACACCCTGAAGCTGGTCACAGCACCTTTCGTGCTCCGGAGGTCCCACAGCCGTGCAACGCCATCATAGGCACCAGTTACCACCTGCTGCTTTCCGCTCTCAGATGTAGCGATGCAAGATGGAGTTGCAGGGTGCATCATGATGCCTGTAGAGGATGAGAGGGATGAAACGCGGATATCGAAGATAGACACAGCGCGGTCTGTGGATGCAGCGAGGAGGATATTCCCGTCGGGGGTTTGAGCAAGATCGAGCATCGGTCGCTCGGGGACGTTCTGATGGGGGAAGTATTCAGCTTGTTTCGGGCGACCCAAAGACAAGGCTTACAATAGTGTCAATGCACACACCACTCTCGACGTCCCAGGTTCGCACCGTCGAGTCAAAACCACAGCTGTAGGCCTTACCTTTTGCAAGTTCACCAGCAGCAAATAGTGCTTTCGACACACGCGCAGTGTGCGATTTTAGCACCGCTATAGGTGCTTTCCGTTTTATGTTTACGGGGGCGGTCTTACGCCGCTTTTTCTTGTCATCGCCACGGTCTAGGGGTACTTGGTGGTCATCAGGTATTGATGTGTCCCAGACACCGATGAGGCCATCCCATGAAGAGGTGAGTAGATGCGAACCAGATACATCAGCAGATATGGAGGATAGTGGACTGGTGTGTAGATGTAGAGAAGCGACAGTGGATGCACTGGGACCCTCTGAGCCCACATGTATGCGGGTGAGACACGCGGTGAGGTCATGCGACGAACTTGCTAGAATACGAGACTCGTTGTCCGATGACGGTGATGGCGCGACGCAGACAGAAGTGATGGGTGCTTGGTGCACGGGGATGTCGAGAACGGGATTTTGAGAATAGTCGAAGAGACGTAGGTGACCGTCATACGATGCTGTTACAAAGTGTCTGTGGTGATAATTTAAGGTTTAGCAGATGGATTGCAAAATGATGTACGCTAATGGAACATACTGAGGTATTCGGCATGATACCGAAGACACCCAATCCTCGTGGGGAAGCTCAGACATGCGCTGAGGAGGCATAACACTTTCGAAATATTCGATCTCTAATGTGTCTTCCTGCCATAATGTCAGTCTCTCTCAAACCAACTTGGCCACTTCGCTCACCTCTCCGACACCCTTCTCTGCACGCCATTCCCATAGGGACGTTCTAAGAATCTCGCCATGGACAAGGAAGTCGAATGGAATAGGCTTGGGGAGGTCGAGTGCTTTGTTGATGAGCTGGGAGAGCTGGTAGCGCTTCCAGTCCAATGGGATCATGAATTTTTGAGAGGGGAGCGCATAGGGCGTCTGGGTCGTAAATACGACGGGATGTGAGGGCGCTGTAGACGAAGATGTCGACGCCATGGTTGCCGGTGAGCGCAATACCTAAGTACGCCGATATGATACATGATATTTTTTTGTGACTGTACATGTCACGGTATGTCACATCGACGCGCTAAACTGAAATACTCATGATGGCGATTCGCGAGGTTGGCGACCTGCCACTGAGGCGGACAAGTCATAAGACACCAACAAGATTCATCAAGCATAGCTCTTCCATGGCAAGAATTAGCTACCTGCTCTTGCTGTTAAGTAATATTCATCCTACACACGCATGGGTAGAACGGCTGAGAGGGCGTGGGCGGGCTCAACCTCGAAGTAACAACTAGTTTAAGGCAAGGATGCACATTGCTCAAACTTGGCGCGAAGCTACAAGGCATGGTAGAATTCATGGGCGTGTACTTCGTGTATGTATGCTTATCTTGAGTCAAAACGTGACTTCAGTTTTCCCATTCATCGCCAATTTCGATGCTCGTTGATCTGAAGCAAGTTTCTAGACCAGGCAAGGTTTACATGATAAAGTGCGCAGGGCGAGATAGCGGAGCACTTACCCACAAAAGGAAACCTCTCCCACAATTGAGAGCAACGGTTCAATCTTGTTTATATAAACTTTGCTCAGTGGTTCGTCCGTCTGAAAGTCGACCACTGGCACCCGGAAAGATGCGACTGCCAGCACCGCCAAAAGACAATCAACTTGTCGTTTTTTCGGTACCCCCACCAGAGTCAATTTCTGCAACACAGGAAGATGAAGTAGACTGAATACGTCGATGAACTCTTGCCGAAAGTTATCCGACATGGGGGAGGGGAGGGGGAGGGTCATAAATTCCAGCGTCGTCGAATCACAGGCTCTAGGGGCAGGAACATCACGAGAGAATATAATTTCATCAACCCTGATGGTCTCCAGATGAGAGAAACCGGCTATAGTGGAGCATATAGCGCACGCGGAAGCATCCCGGAGGTGGAGATGACGTAGATCTTTGCAAGTAGGGATTGGGAAGGTCCGACAAAAGCCATCTTTGATGTATAGGCAGGAAAGATTTGGTGCATAGAATTTGCCGAGGTTTGACAAGTGACATTCCAAGGATCTCAACTGAGGTGTGTCAAAATTAAACCTCTGGTCATACACGCGTGGCATAACCACTGTTTCCCAACGCTTGCTCTCAGAAATGAGGATATCGAGAATTCGAAAGTCTCCCACTGATGACATCCAAGTGTAGTAGTGATCTAAGCAAGTGGGGTAGGGATACGACTGCGGTTTGCCAGTGTCAAGTTCTACGATGTGAAGTGTGAGGGGAAGACTACCAGAGCGAACAAGCCAACACTGGAGGAGATGTGGAAGAAATGGAGTTAATTCTTCAACTCGCCCGGGGAGCGCGACCTGGATGCGCGACCAGATTCCCGCCGTCGAATGTGCAACGACTCTCCAAAGGCGGCACACCCTGGTTAAGACTAAGGGAGGGCTGGCGACGTTGACCGAAATGGTGCCATATCCAGATGAGAAGATACTAGGACAATCCAACACGTCGTTAACGACGAGCAAGAATACCTGTTGTAGAAGTTCCACTGGCAGCCGATGGATGTACGGTTCTGTCGGCGTCACGTTGACAGGTGACCGAGAGATGTGTGAACTTGAACAAAAGAAAGACCATGAGGCATGGGTCTCACGGAACACTTTCGTGCACTTCTTGCTGAATGCTTTCATCATTGAAAGCAGATCTGGCGTTGTTAGGAGAGAAACACACGCCAGGAATCTGATATTTTCAAAGTTTGGGTATGTTTGTCTCTTGCTGCAACATCAAATGTTCCATAGAACTTCGAAGTTGTACTGTGATCAAAGTGCACCTCTGCGACCATGGAACAGGAAAATCACAACCCTTTCAACTACTCTGGCTCTCAACACCGTCGAGCTCCGCCAGAACGGCGTGAGAAGTAGCACATCTCATCATTCCAAGCGCCACGCTCGTTCGTTGTTACAAGCATTTGTAGTCTCGGTCGCGGAAGACCATACTCTTCGTCTATGGAACTTGAAGGATGGTGTTGTGTGGAGGAATGGGGGCCACCGTAACTGGGTGTGGGCAATCAGATGAGCAATTTGAATTTTGGTATGTAGATATAATTGCCTGGAAGGCTGGAACGGAGATTCGCGCCGTCAAAGGCCACGGGTTTATAGCTGGGACCTGGACTTATCTCCACGCCGACTAGTCACCAGCCCCGGCGGCTGGTAGATGCGAAGCATCAACCTCCCCCACGTCCCATTAGACACCCAAGAGATGAGGTGGATTGCCCTACTTTTTAAAGGCTACAACCAAATTGTTATACACGTGTTGCTCGACGGTTCCATCAACGATATGCGCCCCCGCACCATTGTACCGTTGGTCCCAGTACTCCGCATATCTTACAGTGCCTCGTAGGGTAGCGAGTGATAACAACCTCCCAGTATCTCCTCACTTAGAGACCGTTGGGCATATCTGCCTTCGGAAATCCGGCAAAGAAAAATTGGGACCGCTGGCACCAGGAAAACGAGGAGCAAGTTGTGTGCAAGTTGGACAGGGATGAATTTATACTGAATTCAAGGTCATTTAAATTCGGTATGTGCTACCATATCAACATACACCCACACTTACTGCATTCGTATGTGCAGACTGGGCCATCGTAGTTGAGACCTCTTTCGTGGACCTCATGCATCCTGCCTACTACACTAACGAATTGCTTGGCAGCCGAAAGACGAGACTTATGTTACTCGAGTTCATCGACATTGACACTTTGTCGGGCTATGGAACTCTGGATGTTTATTGATGGAGTCTCTTCCATCGCGCGCCCATTACATACTAGACACTAGGCTAAGTTCCTGACTAAGCCCTGCCTCTACTCTGCGGTTTTTTGGTGAGACTGATTTGCTGCTGCAAATTTTGATTTCGTATTTGAAAATGAAACAAACTACTACAGGAGTAAACAAACGTGTATACAAGAAATTGGTACTGGTATGTGATTGAATCATAAGTCCGTAGATGTACTAATTGAAGTCATGACAGTGTGAATAAGCACAAACAGACGCACTACAACGAAAGAATCATCTGGGCACGTCCTGGCGTTTGTCCATGTTGAAAGGCTTCCCATCCACATACTGCTGACCCGAGCAATTCTCCTTGTGAATTCTCAGAATGTCCCTGCGCAAGAATGTCCCCCCGCAGTCGCAGAAGTATCTAATCCCCATATGGGTCCCCTCCACGTGCTCGCAGAGGTTCTTACTGTTGAACTGCAGACCACAATGGTTCCATTTGCACTCTGCGCGCGTCGTCTCTTGGCTACTAATTCCGTGAATTTCATGCAGGTGAACGGACAGATTGATGCCACGAATCAAGTAGTTGCAGTGCAACCCGTGTTCATAACCCCACATACACTGGAACATCTCTTCGGCTTGATGGGCCACCTGAAAGGTGTTATTAGATGCAGCGATACACGGTCAGAATATTGATAATATAAACTTACAGGTCCTGGTGCAGTAGAGGCTTCAAATAATCCGTTGCTTGAGTAGTTATGGTTCGACATGGCAGTATTGAGGGCAGCTGTATGCTTTATGCAACTGGAGTATCTGAGTGAGCAGTGACAATTCTAGCGAGATGAGAAGGCATCAGCGATGTACTTATACCACCCAGCTTATCCCCCAATGTTTTAGATAATTCTACAGCATTCAGCGTCTGAACATCTTGAATCCACCTTGCCTATATTAAGACCAGTCGGACGGTCCGAACCAGTTACGTTTTAGACTTTTGTGGATCAAAATCAAGATCAGGCCAACCCGCCACTAGCCAACCTGCCAAGTTTCACACACAGCACCCCAGAGCGCCCCGTGCCCCAAAACGCCGCCTTACATAAGTAGGCGCCAGAAAAAGCGCCCACGATGTTTATCTATATCTCAACGACGAGAGATATTGTGACACGGTGCAAGCTAAGGAAATAATGGTATCACGCTCGATTCGAGGCTAGAGATTGCTTCTTCAGAGATAGAACGCGATGTTTTTGATTCACTTTCTCTAATTTAGCGCGCGCAGCGCCAATCTTTGATTCCATAGGATGGAATGTACACTAAGTTTGTGTCTGAGATTATCCTGACATTATGGCCTGATGTGATTCGAAAAATGAACGGGCAATTGTGACTGTCACGAGATATCATCTCAACAGGTCTCACAGCCCCTTCAGGTGAAATGTATACGTATTTCATAGATATCGAAAAACTATTATCAGTAACTCGCGCAGGGTCTAGGAACAGATTTCAAAACTATGGTACCTGCTTGGCTATGACTGGTTGAGATGGACCTTCGAGGGAACTATCATGAGTGAATGTCTAACGTGTGATAACAGGAAGAAACTTCTGTCAACGTGTTTCAAACCTGCACCCTCCAAGAGAACAGATTTTTAATACGTTAATAACTTGGCCATAGGTCCTTGAGATTTCGAGGATTGAGTCAATGTCCAAGGTGTGGTCATATTCAAAACGGTTGACGGCAAGTTTCGAACCTGTGGCACTCACCACTTGTCTAAGACTAGTTAAGATGGACATCCAAGGATCCATTCATGAGTGAATGTGCAAGCGTGATGACAGAATAAAACTGTTGGTAAGGCAGGTTTCGAACCTGCACCATCCAAGCAGAACAGTTTCCGAGCCTGTTATGGTGCCCGCGTGGGTCTCACTGCTAAAGGTAGATTTTTGAGGGACTATAAGTGATAAGTGAATGTCGGAGGTGTGCTCACTGAGAAACTCGTATCGACGGGTTTTTAACCTGCACCATGGGAGAAAAGTGGTAACAGCTTGGTTACGAGGGCTACTAGAGGTATCGTGGAGTGCAAGTGATTGAAATGTACGTCAGAAACGGAAAGAAAACCCGCAGGCTTTGACAGAGTCGTGCGCGTTAAACTCTCCTTCATGTTGCGGGAGTCGGGGAAATGAGGAACATGCAGGAAATAGAATATAATGGTGGGACGCCATGCAGATAGAAATTGTTAATGATCCCTAATGTCAACTATCTGTGTATTGAATGGATACACAACAAATGGACAGACAAAACTGATTGACCCACAAACAATCCAGAGCAAGAAACGAGTCCAGAGTCCAGCCTCTCTTATGGTAATATCAAGATGCGATGGTGTTTCAGTCGCCGCCGCCACCGCCGCGGTGACTGCGGGAAGTGGCGCAGATGTGGTGGCTTGCTGTGATGATACTCCACTGGTATGGGTACTGGGAGGTCGAGAAGAGCCGGCAGCTGTCTTCCTTCTCGCGTGATAGTTCCTCTGCGTGAAAATGAATCAGTGGCACAGAAGAACTGAGAAAGAAAGAAAACCACAGGGTTGGCCGCTGTGTAAGGGACGTCTTATACATGTCACGGTAGCTCTCGCATACCGATATCTGATGCACTGCGTAGCATGCCAGAGACGAAGTGTTAAGCCCAGCCGAGAGGACGGGATCACATACTGCTCAAGAGGAATTTTGTAATTGTACATAGGAATTGGTCACGTACATCAGCATCACCAAAAAAACCCGGCGTATCCGATAAGCATCTTGAATTGGCGGGCCTCGTCGTGTAGCATCAACCTAAGATATATACTTCAAAAAGGACATAGGTGAATAAACATATCACGTACATCTAGGACTGGCTTGTTGACATTCTGTGATGAGGGAGATCACATGCAACACTACCCCCGGACTGAATGAATTCATGCTTACATTAAGCGATAGAAGGCGGTCGAGGCAAGATTCTCTGGGGATGGCGGAGATACCCTGGCCTAGTGTGTATATGTGGTCATCGTAGCAGCCAGTGACGAACAACTTTCCATCCGTAGAAAAGGCTGCGGATTCCACCCAGGTTTCATGGTGGAGAGGTAGTCCGATAGTTTGATTATTGTCAAACTTCCATAGTCGCGCTGTTTTGTCGCATGATACGCCTACGAGGATGCGATTCTTTGATGAAATTGACAATTTGACTGAATTCTGACTGCTTTATGCCAGAACAGTCCAGGTGCACGTGGCTGTGTCGAATTTCCTTGACGCGGCGATGAGCGTGTTTCCATCCGGGGTCCGGGCCAGGCCGCCAACACCTTGACCGTCTTGAGCAACTAGCCTGTGTTGGCATTCTACACTTTCAGTTAGCACCATCTGGTGAGTAGCAGCCCACATGCCGCCGTAGTTGTTCCCTACTTCGGTTGGTCCAAGGATAGTCTCACCGCTCTCAACATTCCACACTCTGAATGTTCCGTCGAACGATCCGCTCATAACTTTCCCTCCATCTGGACTCCAGCAGACAGACCACAGTACTCGTGCGTCTTTTGATGACTTTGCCCGCGCCGACGTCCCCCAATCTAACTATGCCATCCTCGTCCCCGCTTGCTACTTTCTTGCCGTTTGGTGACAATGCTATATTGGGTGCTCCTCCACTACCTTCGTCTCGCCAGGCCTCCCCGACCTGCTTGCCGTTCTCCAAGTCCCACACTCGAAGTGAGCCATCACTTGAACATATGATAACCGGCTGTCCACCAGACAGGTATAAAACGCCATGGACGGTATCGGTGTGGCCTTCCAGCTTTTAGTGAGGCGTTCTCGTTGATGTTTTTTTGCTTCACAGAGGCAGGGAACTGCATCGTTCTTGTTCGTGGACTTTGCTTAATTTGACGCGGTATAATTTTCAAGTTATTTTCGAAAGTCACACAAATGTCTACCCACAGGTACCACAGGCAGGTACTTCGCTTCTACGCCCGCGAAATGAAAAATGCGATGAAGTGGACGGTTTGTAAAATGCACAGTGGAAAGTCCTGTTGGAGACTTCATTTTCGCGCTGTATCCTCGTGTTCGCTTCACAGCTTGAGCACTGGCTGTGTATCAGGCGCTCGAGTCTCGTTTTCTGACCATATCCGCAGTTTCTTCATCTCCGTTGACCTTGCGTCTGTTAGCCGGACCTACCTACATCACATCGATATCTACCCTGCAACAAGCTAAGAACGTGAAGAAATTACAGCTATCAATTGCGTGATCCATGATGGATTTAGCGTAGTACGTTTTGCATCGGTTTTAAATTTCATCAGGCGCACTTGCCACCAGAACCTTACATTATCCTTGGACATTATGTATTATAGCTCGATCCATCAGGCTCGAATCTCCGATGGGGGTGATTGATCAGCTGTTCCGCTCTCACACTGAAGTCCTCAGACCGAATCAAGGAGTCTGCAGATACGATGATGTTCATTGAGAATAATATGGCCATTAACCTATGAAATGAGATTCTGCAATTCAAAGAATTAAAAGTCGGCTTCCTGCGGTCGTAACGGTGCGTCCGAATTTTATCTCTCCCAGCGCTCTCTCATTTTTGCTTTTATCTAGGGATGGGCGTCGTATTTAGGATGTATCTGGCTGCGCCAATCAATGCGTCACCGTAGGATCAACTCCACGATACATACTGCGTGTGGTGGATTTTGCAACCACGCTTATCATCCTTTGACATCCGATAAGATGATGGTCCAATGACCGAAGCAGAGCAAGAAGGTGCGCGCATGAGTCGACAGATGCTGAGGACAATGAGCAAGAGATTGAGCATCGAGAAGCTTCAAGAGGGGCTGTTGGCCCCGAGACTCTCTGAAGTCATGCCGACAGAATAAAACTTAGGTGATTGGCCTTTTAACAGTATTCACCGATATTCATCGCGCGTGTGTGACTACTTTGCGGCGCCACGCCCAAAATCCCCAAAGTCTGGTTTCGGGGATTGTCTGCTCCTTTCTACTCCCCTTCACGCGGAAATAGTTCTTAGGTCAATCAAGGCTGAAACATCATTTCGGCCATAGAGGGCTGGTTGGCGGTGTATCTAGCATGGGCGCATGGTTGCACCTTCACCAAGTTCGCCGCTTTCTCACACCGGTTCTATAACAATATGACCCTGATCTCAACTTATCCTAGTTGGTGGGCGTTGATCAATTCATTTCGTACTGGCAGGTATTTGTAGGCTCGTGGAGAGCCAGTCGGATGATGACGGTGATGTCACGATCTAACCTTGGCTGCGGTTTCGTAGTTGTGACCCTTGCTGGGGTCACGTACGATTGGGGGAATGGCTGGTGTCCTTATAGTACTTCCAGCACTGACATCCCTACAAGAGGTAGGGTTAATGCCGTCACTGGAGCAGTCATCCTACTAAGAATTGTTTTATAGGTAGAACTGGTCTAGGTGAGTAGAGTCTCACGTTAGAAGAACAACATGAAAATACGATTAATTCGCGACAGAGGCAACGGCTAGTCCCTTAGGACCGGAGTGTATCTCAGTGTATGTAATTTCTGTTGTGAAGCGTGGTTGGCACTGAATTGTGCTGATATCCTAGGTGCCATATTGCCATTTGCTTGGCCTTCCAGATATACACAGCATGTAGTTGGATTTCGAGTCTGTTTTGTCAACCTTTCATTGACATGGTCTCCTCTCTGGTAGTGGTGTATACATCCCAAATCATGAGTCCGTGACAACACTAACTGGGGTCATGGCATAGCGAATACCATCAAAGTTACTGCGACGACTCGAGGAAGAATCATCTGCGTCTGTCCATGTTAAGAACCGCCCCCCCCCCCCCCAATGTAGGCGAGGCTTATATTACCACGGCCAAGTCGAATGGCGTAGCCACGTCAAAGTCCCCCCTCTGAAAACGTATGTCAGACTAGTCATGAATTTACTCCCCATCTGTATACTACTGTCACTGAACAGTTTTTCTCGTGTCTACTTAGAGTGTCTCTGCGCGAGAACGGCCTCCCGCACTCGCAGAAGTATACAACTCTCATATGGGCCTCTTTCGTATGACACGAGAGGCTCTCTTTGTTGAGTTCTCCACCACAATGATGCCATTTTCACTCGAGCATTTTGCCTGAGCCGTAAGTTCCGTGCATCTCACGTAGGTGAGCGGACAGATCGTGGCCACGCATCAGGTGGGTTGCAATCCAATCCATTTATATAACCCCACATACACTGGAATACCTCTTCGAGAGAATGCGGAGAGCATCTATTAGATGCAACGATGCATGGTGAGATGATTGAGAACTGACAGCCTGAAGCCACGGTACCAGTGCAATATATACATCTGATACTCCGTTGCTGGAGTAATTTCATGACGGGGGTAATAGTGGTATGTGTAATGCTTTATACAGCCTGGAGTATCCAAGGGACTCTAGCGCTAGAGATGAGGAGATTAAGGCAGAAGAGACACCTGAGGCAGCCACACCAGTCCTATCATGGCAATCAGCAATTTACTTATGCCAGCCCCCGGCTGCAATGCATAGATAGTACGGGTTTCACATGAGAGTTTTCAAAGACTCAAAGAGCAGACTTGCCATGAAGTACTGACGGTTGACCAAGCCAAGTTTACAGCATTGCTTGACGGCAGAAACAGGCCGCCTTGCTTGCTCTGCATCGTCATGAACTCCGTAAATCGTTAGTACACTGCCTTGCCAAGTGGAATTGCTCGTGATGCGGCGGTGCGCCACGCCCCACAACAAACTTTACACGCCCGACGAACTTGAAGTTTGCTTCTCAAGATCGACAAGTAAAATCACCAATGTGTAAGTGGGGAAAGAATGGTAGACCATTCTAAAACTCACTAGAGCGAGGACACTTGTCACAAATAAATTCAGTGTTTGTGTCGCGCGAAACTGTTGTCGACTGGTAGGAGGTGAGCTCTAGGCAAAACGTATTCAGTAGTGAGACAAAGAAACAAACCGATTCTGATTCACTTGCTCGTGAAAATACACCATGTATGTTACACTTATAGTACATGTTCCGCAGCGACATCAATTGAAACCCGGCCAAAATCCTTCCCAATCGAAGTTAGAGTTTCAAGCGCTTCAAAAACTGGTCAACCAAGCTCTTCGTGAAGTCCTCCACCGCTTGGAACCTGGCGATCCCACACGCTTCGCTTTCAATGTGCTGCATCAAGCCTGAAACCAACTTGTACTTCCTCTTGCACTTTGGGCACTTGAACTCATCCGCGTCATGCGCAGGAGAGTTGATGTGGGAGTTCAGAGCTCCCAAGGTACGGAAAGTACGGTGGCAAAGATAGCACTCGTAGGCAACGCCGTTGAATGCGCGTTCTGTTACATAGTAAGACACGACGCGTGGCGCCCCACCTTCTATGCGGCGAGAGATCGAAATCGTAGGTACTATCTTGAGTGCGTGGACTGCCGCGGTCACTTGGGCTCGTGAGATATTGTGACACGTTCCCGACTCAATATGAAGGGCAATAGAAGAGGCGGTCTTGAACTTCTTCGGGCAGAGAGGACACTCGAAATCCAGACCCCTATGCACAGGGGAGGATGAGTGCTGCGCGGCAGGATCTTCGTTAATATATAAGGCGTGGAGGCGAGAGCGGGCTTACCTGGTCCAACGAAGTTGGGGTGGCGAAATCGCGCGAGCATATGAAGCACCAATTGTGCTTTGGGCTGGCAGCAAGGTGTTGATAAAGGCTTGCCAAGTCAACAAACCACCTATTGCATCCGACGCAAAGTGGTTCTTCGTCGTCGTCGTCGTCATCGCTCTCGGACGCATTCTCATCCGAGTCACTGTCGCTGCGGTGCACCGCAGCGTTTTGCATGTGCTGACATGAAACATGCGTGAGTTGGCGCTTTCGAATATAAACGACAATATGCGTAATGCGCACCTGATCCAGTCCAGTGAAAGTCGAGAATAATCTGTCGCAATCCTCACAAAATGGGTGGTCATCTTTGTCGCGACAGTGGGCAAATAAAGCCTGAGTGGAACGGAATGAACGGTCACATTGATTGCACTCTGCCATGACGGTGGAAGTCAAGATGAAGGTCGTTACAAGTTTGTCAGAGTATTTATTCAAATTTCAAAGCACGAACGTAAGATAGCCATGAGGCCCTTGTGGGGCTGGGGCTATGTGGTTGGGTAAATAGAAGCTTGAAAGGGGCACAAGTATTATATTGTTCAAGGTGACTCAATTGCGATAAGAATACCATGCCACCATCCTCGCGATAAGTACGTCACGCTACGACTCATCTGACGAAGGGGCACGCGTCGCAAGCAAGGTCCTGATAACTCTGAACAATTTTTGGCCCAACTAGCTAGCCATCTTCAGCTGCTACTGGCTTGCAGCTGTACGAAACAGGGTAACGGTGCGCAGGTATCATGATAATCAAGCAGCAAGACAGCGAGAGAATGGAAGCAACAAGAACATGCGAGCGCGTGCAAGAAGAGACACGACAAGTGAGTTGTCAGGCAGGAGACCTAAGACCGTTAGGTTTTAAAACCCAGGAAAGCTAGAGAATGAGCACGGAGCAAATTTACAGCGTTGCGGGCGACGAGCGACAAGAGGAAATTTGTTCTGGTTTGGAGTTGTGGCTGTGACCCCGGCTAGGGTGTGCCTACTGCGTGTTTCGCAGCACAAGTTGGTCTACCTCGTTCATTTCTGCCATATTCTTGCCCTTGTCTATCGTCTAGTCTGCCCATCATGTCAACAGGTCTCGGTTCAGAAATCGTTTCTGTCATTAACAAACTACAAGACGTATTCTCCGCCGTCGGTTCCTCAGCATCCCAAATAGACCTACCACAGATTTGTGTGCTTGGAAGTCAAAGTAGTGGTAAGAGTAGTGTGCTCGAGGTGCGCACCACAACGTTCGACGCATATCAAGTGCTTCATTCATTTTAATACATTAGAACATTGTTGGGAGAGATTTCCTTCCTCGTGGAACTGGTATCGTGACACGGCGACCACTCGTCCTTCAACTCATTAATCGTCCCGCAACTACGCCGCAGCCGAATGGCACACCAAATTGTATGCTTCCTTCCTTAGCTCAGTCCAACAAGCTGACTCCTGTGACAGCACAACTAAACGGCAGTGATAAGCAGGCGAACGAATCGGAGTGGGGCGAATTCTTGCATCTTCCTGGCGAAAAGTTCTATGACTTCAACAAAATCCGTGCCGAAATCGTTCGAGATACAGAAGCCAAGACTGGTCGCAATGCAGGTATCTCACCGCAACCCATCAATCTGCGCATATTCTCTCCCAATGTCCTTACCCTCACTCTCGTCGACTTGCCCGGTCTAACCAAAGTCCCTGTTGGAGACCAACCCAAAGACATTGAAAAGCAGATCAAGGACATGCTGGTCAAGTATATCTCACGACCAGCATGTATTGTCCTGGCCGTCACCGCTGCCAATACGGACTTGGCGAACTCCGATGGTTTGAAGCTAGCTCGGGAGGTTGACCCAGAAGGAACGAGAACGATTGGTGTTTTGACCAAGGTCGACCTGATGTAGGTCTATGCTTAGATGAACGGTGTAGTTCTCGAGGCTAACGCGTCAAAAGGGACCAAGGAACGGACGTTGTGGACATCCTTGCTGGGCGCGTCATTCCGTTGCGTTTAGGATATGTGCCAGTGGTAAATCGCGGGCAACGCGACATTGACACATCCAAGACAATCAGCGCTGCATTGGAGGGGGAGCGCAGCTTCTTCGAATTACACCCTTCATACAAAGGGAAGGCCCAGTATTGCGGGACGCCTTTCCTTGCCCGTAAGCTGAACATGGTGCGTGCCTCGATCACTCTTCATGCGTCACTAAGACCTTCCTTCTGTTTTAGATTCTGATGCAGCACATTCGTGCCACTCTGCCCGACATCAAGGCCCGTATAAGCCAGCAGCTTCAAAAATACACTGCTGAGCTGGCTACCCTGGGCGGTCCTATGGGTGACGCATCCTCTGGCAACGTAGTCCTTTCAGTCATAACAGAGTTCACAAACGAATTCCGGACAGTCATTGACGGTAACACCAATGACCTCTCGCTGAATGAGTTGAGCGGTGGTGCCCGAATCAGCTTCGTCTTCCATGAACTGTTCAACAATGGTGTGAAGGGCATCGACCCTTTCGATCAGGTCAAGGATGGAGATATCCGAACTATCTTGTACAATTCTTCGGTGGGTCTGTTACTCGTGTAACACAGAGACTGTTGCTTAAAACTTCTCCGCAATGCAGGGTCAAACACCATCACTTTTTGTTGGCACGCAAGCCTTTGAAATCATCGTCAAGCAACAGATCAAGCGACTGGAAGAGCCGAGTGTGAAATGTTGCCAGCTCGTATATGACGAACTCATTCGCATTCTTGGACAACTGCTACAGAAGATCGTACGTATTCACGCGACCCAAGATTGCAATGATGTGCTAACGGGACCGTACAGCAAGCCTTCAGACGTTTCCCTGCGCTCCGCGAGCGCTTCAACTCCGTTGTAATTAATTTCTTCAAGACTGCGATGAATCCCACTACGAAGCTTGTGACTGACATGGTTTCGTACGTCCATAACGGCTGAAATTACATTTTTCTACATTCTTATGCACTTGGTCGTCAGGATGCAAGCATGTTATGTCAACACGACTCACCCCGACTTCCTTAATGGACACAGGGCAAGTTCATGCGACTTTGATAACATTTCATGCGCTCATACATGCTGCACAGGCTTTGTCGATAGTTCAAGATAGACTGAACGCCAACAAGCCTCCAACGCCTGTCCCAGACGCCAAGTCAGGGAAGCTTCCCCCAGGTGCAATCAACAACAACCGTGACTTAGATGTTGATCCCAAGAAGGAGGAGGCAAGTTTCTTTGGCTCGTTCTTCTCCTCAGCCAAGAAGGGGCAACCAAAGAAGGCTGGTCCCATTATGGAGGCGGTGCGTTCTTCTCATATACCTCAACATACTGCAACTTATATTCGCGTTTGTTAGCCTCCAGCGGTGATCAGACCTTTGTCTGCTCTCAGCGAGAGGGAAACAATGGAGACTGACGTTATCAGTGCGTCATTTTCATACTATTTTCACTTCCACAATCAATCTGACTTCCTTATTCAGAGCTACTGATCCACTCGTATTTCAACATCGTCAAGCGCGAAATGATTGATATGGTACCAAAGGCTATCGTGCTAACGCTTGTCAATCACGCGAAAGAGAACTTGCAACGCGAGCTTCTCCAAGAGTTGTATAAACCTGAAGTGCTCGATGATCTGATGAAGGAAAGTGACTTTGTCGTCAATCGCCGGAAGGAGGTTGTCAGTATGGTTACGGCACTGAACAAGGCTGAGGAGTACGTCGGATCTTCCTCCATCAGACTTGACGCTGTGCTAATCTTGATTTGTCGTGTAGGATCGTTGCTGGGGTTTAGACCCATGTATTATGGGGAGGTTTGGTGCAGTTTTGTACGACCTCGTGGCTGTTGTGCTGATGTCCAGGGCTGACTACTAGTATTAATACCCTCTACACATATGTTCTACCTGGTGTTAGATTTCATGCTTCCTATTGTTACGGTTTTTCATATCATACGCCGGCGTGCGCACTAGTGTTGAATGTTGATCGGTTAAGCGCGTGTTCTGCTGATCCCGCTTGTAGGTGTTCGATACGACGATCTTTCCAAAACCAACAGTCTGATCTACTTGCGATGTGATAAGTTACGGGTTACAAACGATATAAGCTTCCGTCCTCCATTACACGTCCGGGGATCTTTGTCTCATCTGCCAGATTTATGATATGGTGCCTCAGCCGAGGTTGAGCCGGAACATGTCATTGAGCCTGCAAAAGATTTCTGAGCGAAGTCCCAGCACCAGGTTGGATTGAACATACACGTAGAATGAACCGCCTTCCTTTGCTAGCACGAACACCTGGGAGAACTGCAACTCTTGGTCACCGTCCACCTACATCATCTTCAGCAACTAGATCCGATTGATCGACAAGAGGACGAACCCTTAGCAGTCCTGTCACATTGATCAAGAGAGTACTCATGTCGAGGGATGACGGCTGCGCGTCAAATGTGCTGATCTTATGGGCCACCGTTTGGAAGGGCAGCTCCTGAACCATACGGAAGAACGATGAGGTATATGTGTTAAAATACAATCAAACTTACACTCAGATGCTCGACAATGTTATCTCCACCTTGGAACTGTTTGCCCTCCCATGTCAGCATGGAGTGTGGCCGCTAGAAGTCGTCAAAAAGCGTTTGAATACCGGACAGTTGCAAATACATGGAGTGCTCACATACAAAGGGGCCAGATTCTGCCGGCCTGCCGCGAATTGTGAGTAGTAGAACTCAGTGAAGTTCTTTGCTATCGAAACGATATCCATCGTGTTTCAAGAACTGAAGACACAAACGATTGAAGAGATGGTGGTAGTAGGGCAAAGTGAGCAAACTTGCCAAGTACAAGTTGCAATCGATAACCTTCCTATTTGGGTTATCAACGTTTCGGCTGTGATTCTTCACTCACGAGATGGCGACTGTTTTCCAGGCTGCCCTTCCGCCAAGCAGTCCACCAATGACAGAGTCATCTCGTCCAACCATGCGCAGGAAGAGTTCTGCGCAGAATTTGCTGTCGTCGTTTAAGCCCACAAATGGCGCTGGTAATGCAGCAACGGTGGGCAGCATATCTTCAGCCACCAGCGTCGCTTACACCTCGGTCTCGACTCCAACTACGATTGTTGCATCCGGCAGAGAATGGGATGGCCAGTCTGTTCACTCTGATACACTTTCATCTAGTGCTACGGTGGTGAGCAATGGCACACCGGTCATTGCGCAGGGAACCTCTGTCGAATATCTCCGAGATTTGGTGCAGAAACGGATCATCACGTTGACTTACATGCGAAATGTTCATGAAGGGTGTGTTAGGTCTGCTCGTACAATTCTTCATAGATCTCATGACTGCCCCTAGGAGAAGCCATTGGTTCCATACGATCATGATGTCTAGGACTGAACTGGACAAGGCATTCAATAACTTAGCCATGCGCAAACGGTGGAGAAAGCGGATTCATTGAGTGATCTTTGACTGAGTTTTTGTACAACAGGACGTATCGGTTTGCTATCCTTGCAATGTCGCTCTCGAATCTGTTAGATATACCTCAAGTTCAAGACTTTCTTCGCGGATTGATGAACACTATGAACGAATATGACCAGGCGAAGGAGGAGCCTGACAAACAACCAAAGATCGTGAGCCTTTCTCCGACAACCCAGGGTCACTCACTGCTTACTGTGGGTCCTAGCGGTTATTCCGGTCCAAAGTCACAAAGCGGCAGGCTGCTGGCGGCTTCGCTGAATACACTGTACCATATACGGATGGATCGGAAACATCATATCTTGTTTCACCTCATATAGTGCGTTACCCGCGGTTTTGATAGTGTGTCATCAGCTGAAACATTCTCAGCCATTTCCTTTAGACTATCATCAGACCCTTCTCTCCCTTTTGGATGTTATTTCGGAAGTATACAACAAAATATCGCGAATACTTGGGCCTTCTCCGTTTCCAAACTCTGGGCAACACATGATGGGACCTCTCGGGCTTCTCGCACCACATCCTGGCGTTTCGTATCTGTTCTCCGGCGCCGACTCTAATGTGAAGCAAGTGGATGATGACTCTAGCTTGTGGGGTATCGCACATGTACATGGTGGTTACGGCGGTGCCCTCGGAAGCCCGCCACCTAGCTGGACGCCTGGGATGGGAGATATGCTCCTGAAAGTGGACACGAAATTCAAGGTGACACATTCTGAATGAGATGAAAACATGGATGTTGAACGCAATATGACAGAAAATAACATCAGCACTATTGAAGGAGCTGGACCAGGTTGCTCGAAATGGAATCAAGGATGAGTTGACGTCTCTTGACCCCCTCCTTCGGAATGTTGCTTCGCCCGACGATGGAAAAGAGATGTATGATTTCGAAGGCATTTTCTGACTCACTGGATTCATTCGCGGATATATATTGTACTTTTATATACCCACCCCACCTGCATGTATAATAGTGTATCACTCATTTCTTGATGGACATTCGTACTTTATGGTCGTGTCAGACTCAGTAGCAACGTGACTCAAAACGCGAGAAGTCACGCAGGTCACATGCGTGATTACGCGACCATACGCGTTCTACTGCCAGAACCTCTTCTTGTCTTGTCATCTTCTTGGAACATTCGGTCGAAGTCTTCTAGTATCCTATCATTCTTGACATCTATTCTCTACGACGAAGTTCAAACTTTCTTCTAACCGAGCTGCATGCCCACCAATAACGTTCAAGCTCTCCTTTCCACAAATATCCCAGATCCCAGCGATTTCCCTATGCCAGACTTGCGTCAATTGGATGCGAGCCTGCGGTGTACAATTTGCGGCGAATTATATGACGCACCCGTAACGCTTGCCTGCGGGCACTGCTTTTGCTCACTTGTGGGTGCTTGACCCCCTTTCTCATACAGTCTGTCATCTGAATGTTACTGGTAGTGTATTCGTGAACACATTGTCAAAGAATCAGAGTGTCCAAGCTGCAGGAAGTTGACAAGTGAGGGACAATTTAGGACAAATCCAGTTCTTGAGGAAGCAGTGAGTGCATGGAAAACTGCTCGGTGAGCCCGCTATCATTTCTTGTGCGGGCGCGGCCTGAACCGGTACAGCTCAACTATCCTCCGGCTTTCCCGTGAAGAGCAAGACCGTGCTAGAAAGAGTCGAGAAGAGCAAACACCCCGCCGGTCAAAAACCCCATTGACAAACGGTATGAAGCGCAAGCGGCGTATTAGCCTAGAGTCTTCCGACTCGGATGTCGTTGTGGTTCCTGGTCCTTCCAATTCAAGCCAGCTTACATCTTCCCCGCTGCCCAGTAAGTCTAGGCGTTCAAGAAGGAAAGACATGGAGCCTTCGTCGGATCCACAAGAGGAAGAAATGATGCAAGGTTTGCGCGTCCTTTTATATCGTAGCATAGTACTAGTGCTCAATTCGTACTCAGGAGGTCAGATGGTAAACTGTCCTATCTGCAACGTGTCTATTGTCATGGAGTACATCAACACGCATATAGACTCGGGATGCCAGAAAAAAATGTCTAATACATCCGGTGCTGCGACATCAGACGCCAAAGGCCAGTGGACAAATTTATTTTCACGAAAAGGAAAAAGCAGGGATAACGGGTGAGCGCTCATTTAATTCTGTCGGTAACGCGCTTAAAAGAACGTGGAGGAAGGATTGACGTGGACGATGCAACGGAGCGCATACCCAAAGCCTCCTATGACGTATTGAAGGACAAACAAATCAAAGACTTGTTACACGCTCATAATTTACCCATTCTCGGTGACCGAAAAATGTGGATTGCTCGACATCAACGGTGTGTGACTTCTTGGTTCTGAATCAAATCCGCAGTTCTCAACGGGTGTCAGCTGGGTTATGATTTTCAACGCCAATTTGGATAAGTCTGGATCTAACAGGAAGAACACGAAAGTATTACGCGATGAATTGAAGACATGGGAAGATGGTAGAAAGCGAAGACATCTTGTGGATAATACGGCAGCTCACATAGTAAGCCTTCCGTTCCTTCTATTGCTCAGACTGCTCATTGCAAATTGTAGTTGAATAATCAAGGGGAGTTTACACGGCTGATTGCCGAAGCTCGACATAACAAGGCTAGGAAAGACTCCACCTCGACAATCGTGCAGCAAAATTCTCATGGTGATGACATAGTTGTTTCAGATTCTGAAGAAGAGGATCAGCCCCTTTTGTAAGCCAACTATCCCTATCTAAAATTTTGGCTTGGATGTCACAGACATGTATTGTACGTTATGATCTGTTTATGCTTTTCGGCAGGTAGCGAATTGGAAGCGAACACACGATGTGAGGACACCCTTCCATTTTCCCGGCTACTACAGGAGCTGTGTGGGTAACGTGTATTCGGTTTCGTTTGACCCTCAGATTTGGTTCACAATACCCTTTCCCACTGACCCTAGTTCAAGTGGTACACTCATTGGCGTTGAACGGTTGTGTGGTTGAAAATCGAGTGCCTCCGTGGACCACTGTCAGGGAGCAGGTTTCCAAACACGTGTCAGGACACCCGAAGTTTCTCCTTTGTGCTGTTGCAGAACCCTTAGCGCCAGTGCCACAGTGGCCTTTGTTCCAGTGGCGATCAGTCCACTGTGCAGTAGTCCACAGTTGAACTGCTTTGTCTGACCGCCAGGCGAATCTGTATATAAACCTGACGCGTCCTAACGGTGCCATGATACACTCACTATCCATCTTATGAACATGAGCAGGCTCACCCCACCACTGTCGGTAAGCCTATCGACATCTCGCAGGCGATCTGATGATAACACAGCATTACGCAGCTCCTTAGTAATTTAAGCGCTGTATCGGCATCAACCACCACAGAGGTAAGTTTGGATGGAAAATGCCAAGTGTTGTTGCGTGACTTGACTGTCGATTCAGGAAGAGAATACAGTATTTGTCACCGAGCAGTTTCTCCCTCGCAAGCAAGATGCCGTCTTTGGTGATCAGTTTGTCTTCCAAACGTCAGAAACCAACCAACATATCCGCGCGAGGCTAGTCATGCTCTCACCATTCCCGTGTGACGCCCGTCCGTTTGCCAAATCGGTAGCGTTTCTTTCCAGTCGCTCTGGATCCATCAAGGCCGAAGTTGTAAGTGCATCCCACCAGGTGGTCACTTGGGTGACCGACCAATAATGAAATGACTGGATTTGGTAATCTTGGCTTCTCCAGTTTCGTACACCCGGTGCAGAGAATCACTTCTTTCGCCTGTATATTTTCGCATGCTCAGCCGGTGTGAAAATCATATTACCCCCCTCTTTCCGGGGCACCGTGTCCATCAACGACTACGAAAGTCTCCGTCGGAAGAGACAAATTTGTTGCGGTCGTGCTTTCAACAAGCGCATGCGCAGAGGTTTCATCAAGCTTGGTTCATCATGTGGGCTCGAAAATGATGACGAAGTTCTCATCCACGCCGAAGGAAAGATTGAGCTAAGGCTGAGAACGGAGGGTGATGTCAATGATAGGGTTTGGTCTCGGATGGATCGTGGCATGCGGAAGATTTTTCAACGGCGTCTAGGGTCCTCTAGGTCGGCGTTGGGGGGCGGTGGGGGCAGTTCTTGAATTCAGTTATCTGTATTGTATTGGTTCAGCGCTGTCAGGATACAGCTCTTAGTATTCAAGTTAGTGTAAATCGTGAAACTTGTACTTGTAATGGACATTGTTGTACGGGAGATCTACTATCCGATGATGTGACACGTGTTTGGATCACAGGCGAGGCACGCGGAGTACATTGTCGAACCGAAGTAGAAGACCGATTGTTCTCGCCTTCGGGTTGGACAAGATTGCAAGCGCGCTTTTTTGTTTCCGAATACAAGGCTACCCAAATAAGGCATAAAGGAAACGATTCGTAGGATCATGACTCTCTGGGTAACGTATGGGTGACCGCCTTCCCAAATCCTTAAATATGCAGAGCCTTGGAGTGTTTCCGACCCAAGGACGCCCAACTTCGTATTCTCGTCCGTGTCCGTACTTTGTCCGTCAGTCCATAATTTCCTCGTCATGTCCAGTTATTCCAGTTGTTCAATGTCAACCGACTCCGAGGTCAGTCCCACATTTCTTCAAAGATAGTGAAACACCGAGCTGAAATCTCCCTTAGAGTTCACTATCACTTGAAAAGATTCGCTTATTGGTACGACACAAGCTTTATTTCTATGTTTATGCGCAAGTAACTGACTTGTTACATAGAGGGTTCAGCCGACTGGCACTCATAAGATTCACTACAACGCTCTGAGCGACTATGACTTTGTGCTCAAGACACCGAAACCCATTGATATCTCGCTGGCGCTACCGCACTATCGTGCGCGCAACCAACCAGTCGACCACCGTCTGGCCATGTTCATCAGTACCGAGATGTCGCCAATTAAGCTTAAAGTTGTCAGTACCATCTATTGACCTTGTTGTATCATGTCTAAACGAACCAACAGTGCCGCTCTGTGCCTCGCTGCAAGTTTTTCCTCGACATCCGCACCACCGCTTCCAACGTGACCGTTTGGTTGCCTTCGGATTTCCGGGGTCATATTCGTTGCTCGGGCACACCATCTTTCTCAGCTGGTTTTGTCAACCGCTTGATGGCAAATTGCCGAGTTAATGAAGCAATGTCGATGGATGACAATTGGGACGGAGATGAAGTGTGGGTCGATACCCGTGGTCTCGTGACGTTCAGGATGTGGGACGTTCACACCAACGCTCCAGAGAGCCAGCCCAAAGAAACGTTGAAACGCATTTTCAGTTCGACTTCTAAGAAATTACCGGAAAGGAGCATTAATTGGGATTTTCTTCTTGAGGATTAAGAACCAGATTCTCGTCATTTCTCTGTTGTTCTTTTCGTTTCCTGACTTCATTTGAACACTATACACTTACTTAACACGCTGACCGGATTAGTCTTTAGGTTATCTCTCCCTTCTTACCCCAATCTGTTGCATGCTTTCGTTCACTCTGCACAAATGTAGCTCTTTTATACCACAACCACCACTGTATCAATATGATCCTCATCTTCAGACGGACTGACTTATCCTAGGCACACGACATTATAATCGATTCAATTACAATATTTGGTCACATACTAAGAAAGGGTGACATGTCCTCAGAACGGGATTTCTGGTTTGGGGAAACCTCCTGTGCATGCTTTGCTGTACCGGAAGACTTACATGGCCCGGCGGCTCTGAGCGAGCCGCCATAACGTTCCCTTACGCGTCGATATTGATGGTACACTGCCCAGTTTGATTTTAAATTAAGCTAGCTCATTGAACGTAGTCGAATGCAGCCCTACTTTTATGGACACTTGAAATACACGATTGTGACCAAGAATAATGATCGGAAGGCTAGCCACCAGCCCCCCAATTCGCGTTGGATCCCTTCAAGGACTAGACTCGTGTTCGTTTGTGAAGACACATTAGCCTGAAGGCAACCTGCCCGTGGCTGAAATTTGAAGCGTCAATGTGAAATACTTGAGCGCTCGGCTACCTCTGCTCATCATGTCCGTGTTGAAATCGAGCTGAAAACCCCTGGCGGCACTGTCGGTATCTTTATGATCCGGTACGTTTGAACGGCAGGAGCCTCGACCATTAGCTAAGTCTGCTCCTGTCTGCTCGCGATCATTAGCTGCAAGTGACGGAAATGCTGGTGGGAAGATGTGGCGGCAGCAGTGTTTTGCGGCAGTCATTGCATGCTCCGACACGTATGTCTCCAACCTGTGACGAGGTGAACTCGGCTAGGCCAACCCTGACTGACTTACATAGTAAAGGATTGCCCGCAGGTATATTTTTGGGATGCACATTATACCTCCGGACGAACGTCCTTGCCACGCAGTTCAACCCTAGTTATCCCTTTGGGCATGTGAAGGTCGATTAGCCGCAAAAACGGGCCCGGTTCGGCGTGGCATATCTCCTCAGGCCATAAGGGGGGGCAGTGTGTCGCATTTTGAGCAAGCCAACGGCCCAGTGCATCTCGTCGACAGTGGCAGGTAAATAATTGACCGCGCCGCGGACCTGATACTTCTGTTGCACCGCTCTTGCTCTTGTGGGTACGATTGACGCGAAGACAGCGGACGATAAAATCTACGCCCTCGGGCCTCCATTGGCATGACTGTTTCATGTGTGTCCATTTTTGGGGCCGCTTGTCCAGCCCGCAGCATGCCAGCCGCTATTGGCATTGCTATAGATCTGGTGGCAGGTTACAACTACACCTGATCATGTCGGTCTCCAAAAGCGCTCCGTGTCTCTCGTAACGTGCAATCTAGTTGTGGGCGTACGCCTTGTTGCAAGAAAATTTTACGGCAGACCACCAGATAACATGAGCGACGACGACGCTGATGTCTACATCAGACCGCCTGTCCACGGAAAGCTTCATGACGTTGAACTTGGACACGATGGGAGCGCCCGGAGAAACCTGATGGGGATGTGGGATGTAGGCCGAGCCGCCGATGGGAAGAAGCCATGGAAATTAGTATCCTAGAGAAATATCATGTACTAACACGGTCATAAATCACTTACTAGGGGGAAGGGAATCGCTATATTGGGAACAGCACGGCTGCACTTAAGAAGAACAAAGGGTGCTACAATCCTGTAAGATAAAAACTATAGATACAACTTGTCACAAAATCACTTAAAGAATTGGTACTTGCTACAGGCTGTCATGTCACCCGACAGGTTCTAGACACTTTTCTAGTGTCTCCACCAGGGCAGGGTTTTCCAAAGCAGCAGCAACACGCTCCTTATCATTCAACTGTTTATTTACTAAGGCATGCTGTCAAAAAGAATCAAGGAGGAATAGAAGAACGGCTGCTAACCTGCAAGTTCACTTTGATGGGATCCTGGCTTCACTCGGATATCCACTTTGAAACGCTGGGGCAAACTTCTCATCAATCGCACACGAATGGACAGCCCTGAGCAGTTGGTTAAGACAAATTCTCAAAGAAAAGTACAAGCACTCGCCAATCAACGTCGACATCCCACAGTGAGGTACGGTGGGCGTAAACTCGACCATGATATGATTGTCACCCATTTCAATCTGCTCTGCTGACACTACCCTGAGTTCTTCGAGAGAGTTAGGATGCTCAGGATCTGCGATAGAGCGGATCAAGTCTGTAGCGGTGTGTGTGATTTAGGTGAGTTTAGGAGTTAAGAAGGCCTGAAACGCACCAAATATCTCATCCTCGTCGATAGGCTCAACTTCAGACTCGCTACTGAGCTCGGGTTGATACTGTTCGTCAATCCATAGTGACTGCCCAGCCTCAAATTTTGATTTACGGGTAGAGCGCTTTGATAAAGCGTAAACAGTTGGGTTGGCGTTGAAGATTTCTCCGTTCATGATAGAAGATTATGAAAGATCAAACGGCATCTTGCAAAGCGCCCGCCGCGTGTTGGAGTGTCACATTGTCACGTGTCGTGACGCAGTGTGACGCGTCGAGAACGCGCCAATAATTCCCTTTACACCTTTACCCTTTGAGCGGCCATTAATATACGCCCTCTTCAATTGTTTCTCCAGTCTGGCACTCTCACTTGAATATGCCACCTAAAGCAAGTCCTGTTCACTCTCAAACTTGTCCGTCATTAACGCAGCCATTCATCAGCGAAAACGTGCGGACGCAGATCCTCGAGGGGCCCCAGCTCGTTCGACGCGGAGTTCGACGCGGACCGGTAAGCTCCCATAATACTAGTGACTCCCATGAATTGAAATGCAATGTGGAGGTAAAAATGCAGCAGCAAGTGAAGTCAGCGCCGGAGCCTCGTGCGTCTTGTCTTCCCACTATGTTCCGTCATGATGATAATAAAGGCCATGAATAGGGTTGTAAAAGGCAGTTCTGTGGATGGTGTAGATGTGCGCAAGCTTATCCGGGCTGTTGGGCAGTCTCCTTTACTCACCGTTCCGCAGGTGGCTCCACCCCAAAAGAAAACCAGAAACACCGGATTGAATGCAACATCAAGAGCGAAAGCAACAAAGGGTGGCGCAAATACGACGAATGTGTGAGTCTTCCGGTCCTGTATGCTGTAGTAAACTCATAGAAGGCCTCCTTACGCCCAAATTATTCGCTATTGGTTCGCCACGTTCACGAAAGAAGTAATGATGATGTAAGCCTGCGGCCAATATCCTTTTCCCAACTTTTTATAACAATACCATTCCATCACGTGCAGAAACTCACCTCAACTAGGTTTGCATTGAACGAGTAAGTCTGCCTTTAGTACACTTCAATCCTGACGGCCACGACGCATCAATCGTATTTCACGACTCGACCTTGACGTCTTTAACGACATCTCTTCATGCGCCTTTCGTCTTTGTTTTGCTGCGTCTCTAACACGCCCGCTCGCAGCGACGAAGCAGGTGAGACAAACAAGGTGGCGGTACGTGCAACCGCTAACCATCGTCTATACACCTCTGACGTAAATGTCGTTCCTTTGCTACTCTAGCCCAAAGCGTTCCAAGAAGCCACCACCGAACCGTATACCCCTCAGCGGGCGCAAGTCCTGTTTGACTCTTTTGCCGATGAAGACGACCGCGATGTAATTGGACCAGGGGGACTAGTCAACTTATGTGAGAAGGTCAAGATACCACTTGAGGGTGCACAGCCCCTTATCCTTGCGTGGCAGCTAAAGTGTAGCGAAATGGGCAAGTACACGAGGGAAGAATGGTTGCATGGAATGGGCTTACTTGAGTGAGTCTCTGGTTTATTTCTGCTTTGCTATTTCATAATTGAATGCATCAGAATCTCCTCATTGCCAGTTCTAGCCTTAGCGCTAAGAGAGCTTGACGATCTTCTTATTTGTGATAAGCAAGCACTTGCTCGCTCGGCTTCCACCTCAAGTCAAGCGAAGAAGCGTGGCGGTGCGAACACAAGAGAGCCCTACAACCGAACTCGTTACAGGGAATACGCTTCTGACCGCAAGGCTGCTTTCGCAGATCTCTATCAGTTTTGCTTCACGCTTGCGAAGCCACCGTGAGTTTTTACTTATCCCCGAAAGGCAATTCTTCCAATAATTCCTTTCAGACAAGCACGAAACATCGACATAGAGGTGAGGAGTGCTGCGTCCGCGGCGAACCATATATCTTATCACTCCCAATTATAGACGGCTACGGCGCTGTGGTCGGTACTCCTTGTTCCACGATATCCAATCATCAAGGAATTGAATACCTTCTTGACCGTACGTCGCTCTCACCCCTGCGTCGGATGTCACTGATCTTGCCATGCAGGAGAAAGGCACATACAAAGGTGCAAACAAAGATATTTGGAATATGGTGGGTGCTTCTATCATCTGGCATGTGACGTACTGATGCACCATAGGTCCACGAGTTCTGCCGTGCTGTGGACCCTTCCTTGACCGATTACGAAGCTGATGGGGTACGTCACATTATATTGTGCGATGATTAGGCGTATACTGAACTCTGTAGGCCTGGCCGTCATTGCTTGATGAATTTGTTACGTGGAGGAAGAGCAAGACAGACAATGGCGCGGAGCCTGTTCCGGCCAGGGAGGAGTGATAGTAATCGTCGCTGTGCTACTTTATCGATCGTATAATGTCTGTTCGATTGCTGGTACGATTGTCAACTGCGAGCATCATCTAGTCATTCGTGACAGTAGTCAATACATCTTTTACATTTGTTGGGTCCTGCCAGTCCTCGATACGTCTCCGGACTCGTGCCTTTTGTCCCGACTTCTCATGTTTTCCTCGCGTCTCTGCCATCTCTTTCTCAGCAGCTGCAATGCGGCGGAATGACGCAGCTAGTACTTCCACTGATACGCGGGGTGCATCTCTCACATCTGCAGCGAGGTGAAGCCTGCTCTGACTCTGAAGGTCTGCTTCGGCGCGCTTCCGACGGAGATCGAAGCGCGAGGGGAGCTTTCCGGTGCGAAGTGGCGTCGACGGGGGCAGGATAGCAGCGGATGGGTTAATGGTGTCAAGAAGAGGAGGTAAGTTCAGCGACGCCCGCACGGCTTTCCAGCGTCCCCCGATGATAGATTGAGGGCTGCGCGCACGAGGGTGTTTATTATGGAGGTTTGCTTTTGAAAATAGCTGGCGTGCCAGCACAGCAGCGAACAGGACAACAATGATGATGATAGCGAGCCGAGAGAGTTGCTTTTGGCGTTGTGTGCTGTGACCAGCCATGTCAGTCGGCGAGTAAGCCAAACAGCCTGAGAGTGTGGATTAATCACCTCAACATGATGATCTCGAGATGCATGGTCAGCCGCATCATACCGTACAACATCATGATATTCTAGGCGTGTCTGGGCGCGTTCGATGCACGTGACGAATATCACTCCGTGAACCCACATGCAATGATGCAAGCCAAATGCTCATCGTATTATTCAGTACGACTGGTCAAACTACCATATGCTTTCCTGCCTATTCAGTAGCTGTCAACTTCGACGGGCTTCACAGCTTGCATTTTCTCCATCGCCTCCCGGAACTCAGTCTCTGCAAATATGGCAGCTTCCTTGGCCACCTGCAGCTTCTTCTCCAACTCGTCCACCGTCATGGGCCTCATCTTGCCACTTTGCTCTGCCATGCCAATATTGTCGAAGCGGTGGAGGGTGTTGCCAACCCGAGGCATGAATATATGACGATCCCAGCCACTGTCGTTGAATGCGAGGACAGCGCGTACCGCGGCAGTGTTGATGTCGCGATGGAGTTCCTCGAGCTTGGACAACTGCACTTCCATCCAACGGGCTCGGCGCTCAAGGGCGAGCGTCAACGCAGCGACTTCGTCTTCTTTTCCAGCTGCATCATCGCCACCGTCGTCTAAGAAATCATCACCCTTGAGCATATCACGAAGCACGCCATCAAATGAAGAGCTGTCATCCCACGTCGTCCGAGGAAGCAGGCGCAGGAGGTCGGAAATAGTTTGTGTCAGTGTCTCCAAAAGCTGCTGGAATGAGGACACGGCATTATCGATGGAGCCTGAAGGCATGTTGGTAGCGAATGACCCGCCGCCCACAGAAAGGGCAGACAACGCATGCACCAGAGGACCATACTCAAGAGGCATCTTGGCAGCGGGATTGATCTTTGCAATATCAAAGAAAGGATGATTAGGAAGATCCATGCTCGGATTCCTCACGTCAATGTCGTCGATCAGATCAGCAAGTGACGTAGGTTGCACAGGAGAGGATGTGTCCACAGACTGTGCTCTCGAGTTGTTCGAGCTAGAGACGACTGTATTTGTGGTCCTGGGAGGTGGAAAATTCAAAGCCTCTGAAACCGAAGTCGATGGTGCAGCTGAGGTATCTCCAAGAGCAATCTCATCCTCCTTCGGGATCTTGATTGGACGAGTGATGGGTTTATTCTTCTTCGGCATCTTGGACAGTATGGGTGCCTGTTCCATGGGTTCGGATGCCTTGGGTGCAGCAGAGGATTGCTTGGCAATTAGAGTAGCAGGCACCTGGCTAGAGGAGCCTGCAGACTTCGTGGCTTTGACCGCCAATGCAGACTTCACGGCTTTCTGAGCCTTGGCCTGGGCTGCCCTCGCCTTTTCGGCTTGAGTCTTTTCAGCCAGGGCCTGCCTCTCCTTCTCCTTCACGGCAGCTCTCTCCTTCTCTTCCTCAGCCGCCTTCTCCCGTGCCTGCCTCTCCTTCTCTACCTTCTCAGCTTCCGCCTTCTCCCGTGCTAACTTCTCTCGCTCTTCTTTATCTTTCGCCAACTTCTCCTTCTCCACAGCCTTCTCTTGCGCAATCCGGGCCTTCTCAGTGGCCTTGGCAGCCGCCTTCTCTTGAGCAGCCTTCTGTCGCTCAAGCGCACGTTCCGTTGCCGCCGCCTTTTTCGCCGCCTTGCGCTCTGCTTTGGCCTGTTCCTTACTGGCTTCGGCGGGTGATGGTGCCTCAGCAGGCTGTGCATCAGGCGGAGGCAGCACATCGGCGTTCAGAGCGGGGAAATCAGCCGACGACAGTGCGGGCACTGGCGATGGTGAAGACGAAACGGAAGGAGTGACTAAAAGCGAAATTGTCGAACGAACAGACGGTTGAAAGAAAAAGAGGGGGGGAGCAACCGTTAGTCAGCATGCATCTAACCAAGGCTAAAACCATCGGGGAAGGGAGGGGAAAAGGGAGGGGGGAAAGAAGGGGAATCGAAATAATCTTGTGAAGAGAAGACGCAGATAATGCAGTGCCGAATGCGAAGGTCCCGGAGGCTCTCATGGCCGGTGGTAGAATTTGCGCACTGCAAGCATGGCGCTCGGTACTCTGACCTGGGACTCCCTCCCCTGAACAAAAGAAAGAGACTCACTATTTGGGTATGCGAGGCCCGGCGGGGGACCGTACGTGGCCGCGGCAACTGGAGCCGGGGTCGCAACTGTTGATTTACCATCATACGATGGACTTGCGGAGGATAATACGGGCGAAGCGAAACGTGCTGACATGATTGCGGGATCACTGAAAGGCGCAAACTGGTACTGAGGTTGATCTGAAACCGACAACAAAAATGCAACAAAACAGACAGCATCATCATACAAGAAGCATACACGTGAACCAAAGTGAATCAAATTGAAGAAAAAAATGAAGTGAAGTGAAGTGAAGAAAGAAAGGTAAAAATCGTCAATGTGTAGTCCAGCAGCTTACACAAACAGAAGTCTCCTACCAGCTGTAGCGTTATGCATCTGTATCGAGCTGGCACGCTCCCTGCTCGACTGTATCAACTCGCGGAGTTGGGCTTCGCTCACGCTCACGCTCGTGTCAAACGGCTGAAAGCGCATGGACTGTGTCTGTGTCTGTGCGTGCTGCTGCTGCGGAGGCGACTGCACCGTCTGCGCTTGCTGCACAAGCGGAGAACTGGTGGCATATCCTGCATACTCCCCATGTCCTCCAAGATTCCAATGCGACGACGTCATCGCAGGAGCCTCTGAAGCCGTGAAAAACGAGTGATGGCTATCACTCGCACTCAATGGGGATGACACGTGCACAGGCGAGCTCGCAGCTGTTGAACCTTGCCTCCCACGCGCGAATCCAAATCTTGAAACCTTCCGCTCTTCATCGGGGTACGATGGCGAGCTACGCGCACCGCCACCAGTCGAAGACCCTTCCGTCTCTCCGAACGGATTGAACGACCCAAGATAGCTCTCGCGCATTGCGTGGGGGTCATAGATGGAGCGGGCGGGATTATGCGGGTACATAGTTGGCACTGGGTGTGTGTGAGGGTGTGCTTGTGGTTTAAGCGCAGGGAATGCGTCCATAAAGCCACCGGCGAAAGGCACGCGTGCTTCCGCTTCAAGTGCGTTCAATACTGCCTCTCCATCCGCATTCACATCTACGTCTGCAAGCTTTGGGTCCAGATTGAAACTGAACCCACCATCACTCCCCGAGAGCATGCGTAGTGTGCGATCGAAATCGGGAAAGACGCTCACTTGCGTGCTCGAAAGCACTGTCTCGCGACGCGCTTTGACGTCATCAAGTAGCGCTTGTGCAGCGGTAGACATTTGGTAGCTTCCCATAGACATCTGTGGTGCTTGGAGGACTGGCGCAGCAGCAGTGTCCGCCTTAGGTGTACGAGTCGGAGGCGGAAGACCAGGAGGGGCATCTGGTAAACCTGGTGGTGGCAGAGAGGCAGGTGCAGCTGGTGTACTGTCTACACTCTCCGTGGAGCGTGGGCGTGCCGGACTAGGTGGTACATCCTGACTGCCAGAGCCTACATCATCCGAGTCAACTGCCATTGACGGGGAGGGCGACGTCGGCGGAAGTGGTGGCGGCGACTTGACCCGGAGAGTCTTGACCTCAGGGGGCGTCGGAGGGCGCGTAGAGACAGCGGGCGTCGGGGGCCGAGACGAAGACGCGATGGAGGGTGCTTTCGTACTGCCTCCGCCGCCTGAGCCAGCCTTGCGATCGTGCTGAGGGCGTGGGGTACGCGCTTGTCGCTGACCACCGCGTCGGGGACGCTGAGCAACGGTAACAGTAGACGTCGTGCTAGTGGGCGTCGGAGTGGCGGGTTTGGCCCATGCTGCAGTGCGCGGGAGGCCTGAAAAAAGCAATGCATGAGTGAGACATAAATAATTGCGTGATCACACGACGTACCATCCCCGTTCTTGGTCCCCCTGCTTTCTGTGTCCTTGATGGTATGCTTCCTGGAAACGGGTAAGCCACGCTACAAAAACGTTTCGAAAATCCACACGTACAGTGTCGTTAGATCTTCCTTCGTAAAGCAGTCTTTCTCATCTCCCCATTCGTGCAGATTCATACAGGTGTGATCAGTGCATGTCACACTGCGGAGAAACGCCATGCAATACTTGGTCGTCCCATAGCTGGCACGCATGACCTCTCGACCTCCTCCTGGGCTTGGGGCGCCGTCAACGGTTGAGATGCAACGTGCGGCATCTTCGCGCCGATGGTACGTAATGTAGAGTCCTACAATTGGCGCACCGCCCCCTGAGGGTGTACGCTTGACAAGTAGAATTTTGGATATCTTGCCATATTGCCCGAAATAGTCATTCGAACGAAGGGTGGGGATGAGCTATGTCGAAGAGTATCATTGGAGGGGAGAAGTGGTCAGATGAGAGGTGTAACATACCTCCTCCTTTGCAAATCGAGGACCGATACCAACGACATATACAACGTTACGCTGGACGACGCGGACATTAGCGAGATGGCGCCTACCGATGGCGTCAAGTTCTTTGCGCTCGCGTTCACGTTGCTTCTTCTGCTGAGTCAGGCGTTTATGGCTATAATACATCAGGAAGGCCTATATTGAATTTTAGAAGTAAATTGCGAGGGCGGGACGCACTCTTCTTTCGCAATAGGTTTGAATTGGACAGTTTCGTCGGAGTACTCACGGCGGCACGCGGGACAGCGGCCGTTGAGATTCTGCTTAATGTGATGCCAACAGAATCTACATATCTGAGTGGGGCTCAGCGCAACTACCTAATACGTAATGAGTGAGGGGATATACCTGGTACCCGCAGACACACGGCTTAAAATTAAGGTCAGAAATATCCATCTCTTCCAGACAGAGCGGACAATCTGCATCATCCTGGGGATCGGTAGATAAATAAGACAATAGATGGTTTATAGAAAAAATAAGGCATACAGCATCATCGTCGCTCCAGTACGCGTCCTGCACGCCGGCGAGGACATGGGACTTGGACTGGTGGGCAGAGTAGCCAGCGTGGACGACGGGGGCGGGGAGAGATGGGTGATGGTGCAACCTGGTCGTAGACATCTTGAATATGCGCAAGTAAACGTGCTCGTTGTGTAAGACGACGGTGAAGATGACAACAAAGGGTGAAATGGATGAACGAGTTGCGTTTGGGGCGTTGAGCAAACGCGACTGTTTCAATGAGGCTGCAGGACTTTCCCACACTTCATCTATTATTCATTGTTTGTCTTGTGGCGCCCCGATAGTATCTATAGCAGTAAGTTACCAAGAACATCGAATCAGAAGGAATATTAATGGCCATCTTCATTCGTCTGTCTAACTAATTGCATGCTCAGTTGGTCACTATACTCTACAGACTGGCGCCATCAATGCAATCCAGCCTCGAGCACGCTGTGGTCTTGGCAAGGGTTGAATAATTGTACATAACTTGCATAGCGTGTCCCCTTCCTGGAGGATATTATTGTGGTTCTGACATTTCCTCAAGTTCACCCAGTGTGCATTTCGTCGTATTCTGGTTCCCATGTATGCGGGCGAATACGTCGACATATCTCTGCTTTCAAGGCCTTATGCGGGTTGCTCAGGCCCTTCAGCACATCCGGTCCGGAAGTCACCTTGTATGTGGAAAATTGTTTTGGCCTCTCATACCTGAACTGGCTGATTCGCCGTTTTCACTTGCAAGTCACTCTGACCAATACAGAGAAACTGCAACTGTTTTGAGAGGAGGTATATCAGGCTTGCACGCATCAATCACCATGCATGATTAAACAGCCGGAGAGATGGTTCCCTGTCCAGTTATTTTCACTACCCATAGCTAATCCTATCTAACAGGGCCCTAACCACCGCGTTACCTCTCACGCTGAGAAGCTCCAATGAATCTATCTGGCCCAAACTGTGGTACTCGTCAGGCTCAACACTTTTTGAGATGGACACAGCAGGTCGGGCTCGTCAAATGCCCCCTGTATTTTCTAAATCATGGTGGATCTACGCCCAAACGCCGCGGGAGCCATATACAGTTTCATCTTTAAGAACCCGACATAGTCATCCACGTGAATATCTCTGGCGCTCAGGAGTCTCCGGTCATACAATGTGATGAGTGTCTATGCCTCTGATCATCTGCGGTTCCGTGGAGTTGTCGAGAGTGAGGCAAGGTATTCACTGTGGTACTGACTTCAAAGCCCGAGCAATTCGGGCCGCTGCTGATTCATAGTTTGGATAGAATAAGAATGTAATAATCTTGGATTCAACACATGTCAGGTTGTTCTTCAACCACTGGTGGTCCGAGTCAGCGTTGAAAGCTACGTTCTTTTCGACATGAATGATCCCAAGGGCAGGACAGTCCAATTTCAAACGTGATTGGGAGTGGATGCGGCAAGGTCTGATACTATTCGCATCTGTCAATTGCAAACACTCGAGGTGGGTGCATGTCCTGATAAAGGGAACTGCAGGCGGCATGTAACTACAGGAAATGTCATCATGACATCCAGACAGCCTTTAGGATGGTGCAGATCGTCTCTGTGGGAAGTGAATGCAGTGACATTTTCCTGTTTCGCGACAACTAAACAATATATCAATGAGTTGAGGACATAGTTCAATGGAAGGGACCTAGGGGTAGTACCCTCATAAGGCAGCCTAAAATGGTAACGTAAGCAGATGAAACGCGTGTTTGGGATACGCGTTATTTTCGACAACCTGAACGAGGAAGCAAATTTACGAGGTCAAAAGTTAAGGTCAACAGTAACTGAGACGTTCATTTCAAGGGCTTTTACAGTGCTGAGGTCTACAGAAACTTGAAAAATCAAACACGAGGATAAGAAAATCGTGTTTTATATGTTTGCTAGATTTTGTTTGATACGATCGATGAACAACGCACAAAGGACCCACTTGCCACGACGCGCGTCAATGGCCGCCACTCAAGCTCGCATTCAACCTTTACCAGTACCAGTCCTCAAAACCGTCGTACCCACCCCAGACCATAGCACAAGTTCAAATTCTACAGTCATGGCTGCAGAAAAAAAGCACTTCACGTCGAAGCGGTTTGCAGATGCGCCCATCTCGAAGCTATCCAAGGCTGGAATCAAACATGAGTATGTTCCATATAGTTTGTATTTCTCCCCATGTTGACAGGCCATCACATAGGTTTCTCACAGATGTCCAAGGTCAGTCTCGTGCACACTGTATAATGCGGCTGAGCTGATGCGATAGCATATGCCATAGACGCCACACTTGATGTGGGTACTGTTGACAATCAGTCTACTAAGCTAATGATCATACATTGTAGCATGCACTGTCAGGCATTGATCTCCTCGTGCAAGCCAAAACTGGAACTGGTGTGCAGTATGAATTCACTGTTCAGCCATCGACTGACCCCACACCTAGGAAAGACTACGGCCTTTCTCCTCCCTGCTATCGAGCGGCTCGCCACCTCCAAATCAATGTCCTCAGATGTGGGCAAGATTCTTGTCCTCGCGCCCACACGTGAGTTGGCACTTCAAATCGAGGAAGAGGCAAAGTCCCTCCTCGCGCACCACCCATACGGCGTGCAGTCCGTTATCGGAGGCACAAAGTGCGCGTTCTTCCCCATATCTTGGCGCATATCATGATAAATATTAATATTTGCAGCATAAACACTGAAAAAAACCCGTCTCAACTCTCCCACTGCTCGCGCCGACATCCTAATTGCCACCCCCGGTCGACTCCTCGACCACCTCACTTCGGGGCTCACCCTCTGCCCAAGTGTCCTCGTTCTAGATGAGGCAGATAGGCTGCTTGACCAAGGGTTTCGCAAGGATTTGGAGCGTATCGTATCATTCCTGCCTGATAGACGGGTAACAAAGCGGCAATGTATGCTGTTTTCTGCGACTTTTGATAAGGCGATCCAGGGGGTGAGTGAGTTTTGTGCGCAGGATTCACGGACGCTAATAGGTGGGGCGAGTAGATCGCAAAACTTTACCTAGATCCAAATTATAATTTCATATCCACGCTACACGCGGACGAGATTAATACGCACGAACATGGTGTGTATATCTTGTCCATAAACTATCAACAGACTGACAAAGTGACGCGCATGTAATATAGTTCCCCAAAGTTACCTCATCACGCCCCTCGAAGATACCCTTCCGACACTTGTTTCCCTCCTCAAGCGGGCGGGTCCTCAAGCAAAGACGATGCTTTTCTGTACAACGGCACGTGGGACGGCCGTTGTTGCAAGCATTTTGCAACAAGTATCTCCCGCGAACGCACAATCTATGCTTCCCCCAATCTACCAGATCCAAAGCCGTATGTCACAGGCTGCGCGTACACGTGCCGCACAGGAGTTCCGCGACGCCCCAGAGGGTGCGGTTTTGGTTACAAGCGATGTGACAGCGAGAGGGATGGATTTTCCAAGGTGGGTTTCATATTAGTATCTTGATGTATCCTCTGTCCCTTCGTTGGGTAACAACCATGCTCTCATCCGATCAATTTTCTTTCATGTTGATATGCATACACCGTTTCTTACCCCTGCAGTCTACTTTGTCTTCATTGCAAGCCGTACTAACCTCGTTATATAGCGTAACCCATATCATACAGCTTTCCCTCCCCAGTTCGCCCGCCCAGTACATCCACCGCCTCGGCCGAACCGCGCGTGCAGGGGCTAGCGGCGAAGGCATACTAATTCTTATGCCCGACGAGCAGTTCTTCTTGCGTCTGCCAGAGATCGCCTCACTTCCGTTAACGCCCTTCACACAGCTTGAACATACCGGCAATTTGAAGTTCAAGCTGGACGATCGTTCCATCGGCCAGGCGTATTCTGCTTGGCTTGGCTTCTACAAGTCCTGGCTGAAGCAACTACAGTGGACCCCTGCAGAGCTGGTGAAACAGGGTGCGGTGTGGGCACGGTGCTTGGGGTGGCCGGGTGTGACGGAAGTTGGCAGTGGTTCTAGTACTTTTGGTGGTGCTCCGGCGCAAAGAGGTGCAAGGGGTGGAAATGAAGTGGCGAGGTGGATTCCACCACCTATTGCGAAGCGCACGGTGGGATTGATGGGTCTGCGTGGAACGCCGGGGCTGAATGTGGTGGATCGCCTGGATGATGCGGGTGACGCCCCAGCTCGGAGTGCTGGAGGCGGAGGCGGACACGGACACGGACACGGACGTGGACGTGGACGCGGGCAGGCGCAGCCGAATGCTGCCACGCCGCACACAGAAGGAGCGAGCGATAATAAGCCTACGCGCGCACAAGGCAACAGAAGGGGCAAGGCAAAGGCAAAGGCGGGACAATAAGTTTTTGAGGATGCCTATGTCTCTTGGGAAGAAGTTGGTAGTTAGAGCTATTAGAGTCCGGCATGGTGCCTATACCTGATCAATACATTGCTAATTAATGGTCTTCATTCAAGTTGAGTGACTCGGACGTATGTCGCAGTACCAGCTTCTCTGAGCAAGGGACTTTGTCACAATGTTTAACTATCATTAGCATACATATTGCTGGCGCAACAGAAAGGTCCAGTTTGTGCTCCTGTCCGAGACGAAGTCATAACAGCCGAGGCAGACTAACGATGAGTATTCCTGAATTTGAGGTGACGGGGGCAGGGCACCACTGACAGGAATAAAGTGATACATGTTGCCATTCAATTGAGGAGTATGAGGAATGATAATGAATGATATGATATCGCGATATCAAAGCAACGAGCTCAAGTACATCGATGAAGCATCTAAAAATCATCATCATCGTCAAAGTCTCGCCTGCGCTGGTACTAGTTGATGATCACGATCAGGAATATTCCGTCTCAAGAGTTATGACAATGATGTAGTCAAATACTCACCACTATCGTGGTCTTCGTAGTTGACTTGGACCGTGCATCCTCCATCTGAATAAATCAGATCTAGTGGGCCGTACGCACTCACACAAGAAAGATTACCCACCTGATCAAGGAGGTCGATCAACTGCTTCTCGCTCACCCGTTCCCGCAGCTGTCCTGACTGAGCCATTCGCATGATGATGGTCTCAATTTGCCGTGATCTCTCGGGGCTCACGAGAGCGATGCGGGACACTGGTAGTGAACACGAATTGAAGACACATTAAGTCAGAAACAGGAAGTAGTACGCACATCGCTCTCGGGCAGCACTGTCGAGGATGGTCGCCATCATATCCCTGCGCATTTCATCTTCAGCTACCTTCCGCTTTGACTCCTCTTCTGCTGATGCATTTTGATTTTGTGGTGACAGGCCCTGTAGATTCTCCATGAAAGGATGTTAAGAAGTGTTTGAAGTCGTGAATTACGTCGTCTAAAGTCAAGAAGTACTGAATGATCAAGATTAGATATGGGAACTTGTTACTTGGTGCACTTTGCTTGAATTGCTTCCGTTACCAGCGAGCTTGTCGACCTAGACAGCGACGACATCGATCCTGTCCATGACTGCAGCACGATGTCGACAGCATACCAGATAATAAACCCGATTGCAACGCTACACGACTATGCTCAGCCAGTCACTGCCCTTAGCTTCGACCCCGTCTCTGACACGCTCTGGTCCGGGACCAATGCAGGCACGGTCATCGCGCTGCACACAATACATGGTCTCCGTGGCGTGTCTTTCCCCGTCGGCGGTGTTCTTCCAGTCAAGCAGCTCGTGGCAGGAGACAACTATGTTAGGGCACTTGGTGTTGAAGGTGAAGGCGTTGGATCGTGGGCCAAAGGTGGGATGAACAAATGGTTCTTTCGGTACGTGATTTCCCAATACTATGCCCGTGTATCCGCTCATGAAAGCTGCAGGTCAACCTCTACGCTTACAGCGTTCTCGGGCAATACGTATACTTCCAACGTCCTCGCAGCTTCAACCACTGCACCTGAGCTTGTTCTCTTGAATGCAATGACAGGCAACCCCGTCCGTGTTGCTCCCTCCTCATCTGTCGCAACGCATCTCCAGTTTTCACATTCCACGCTCCTTGCAGCGCTCGCAGATGGTTACGTGCGTGCATACGACCCCCGCACTGCGCTTTTGCGCGAGAACGGAGAGAACTCGGTATTAGCACATAGTAGTGGTGTGCAGGACCTCCAGACGAGTGGTAACTATTTCTACACAATCGGGTGGAGTAACAGGTTAGTAGCGTGTGATCTGTGTATGGAAATGCCACTGATACGTTGCAGACGCGGTCACGATATTCCTGATCCCCTGGTGAAAGTATATGACCTGCGTACGATGCGTCCTCTCCCTCCCATTCCCTTTCAGGATGGTCCTGCTTTCATCGACATCCTACCTAAACACTCTTCTGGCCTTGTAGTCACCTCTGCGCAGGGTCTGGTGAACGTTGTCGATGTATCTGATTATAGCAATGTCTCCGGGTTTTATCAGGTATGTCAGTGATACCCCCAAAACTCAATCGCTCATCTGTTGCAGCTCGAGACCACATCCTACATAAGCTCAACAGCTGTATCGTCCAACGGCTCGTTCCTTGCTTTTGGTGACGCGCTCGGTGCCGTTCACCTCATGACAGCCATCGCAGAGGATGCAGAACCCCTTTTCAATGGTTTTGAAGGTCAACCCATCGAATGGGCCGATGCTCCCGAAGCACCTGCTGATATCACCTGGACAAAATCAACGTGAGCTATCTTCCACCGTCCATACCCCTTGTTCACTTCAACACACCAAAGACCCCTCAACTCTATTGGCATGCCACACTACAACACTCTGCTGCTTTCCTCTTGGACACCACAATTTCTTCCACGCTCTGGGGTCTTGAGTCCGCCTCCACCTAAAATTCCGCCGCAAGTCTTAAGTACTATGAAGATGAACGACAATATAGCGTATGCGGCTCTTCCGAAGGAGTTGCGTGGACGGAGGAATCGTGTGCCTGTGACTGCTGCGAAAGATCAAGGGCGGTTCAGAAGTGGAAAAGGCAGAAGAGATGATGTGAGTGTGACTGTTGTTTCACTATTAGGTAGAATTAACATTTTGTAGCTCGAGCTGGAAGCACTAAGCATCGACGACAGCGTCGAGGAGGTACCCCGAATTTACCGGAAGGTAGAAATCGAGTACTCGAAGTTCGGTGTGGAGGATTTCGATTTCGGGTACGCGCTCTTTGTCTCCATTTGTACACTGGTGGCTTTGAATGATGTTTCTGTAGCTTTTACAATAAAACACCGTATAGCGGTCTTGAGACACACATCCTCAACTCCTACACGAATTCGATGCTCCAGGTCATGCACTACACATTTCCCATACGACGTCTCGCCAAGTCACATATCACAACGAATTGCCCAAGAGAACACTGCTTGCTGTGCGAACTTGGTTTCGTGGCACGTATGCTTGAGGACGCAGGCGGCACGAACTGCCAAGGAGGGAACTTCTGCAAGACCGTTGGTGTGCTAGCTCAAAGTCAAAACCAGATCGAATTGATCGATTACGGACGCGAGCCCACCGAAGTCGACTACGCCCACATGATTCAGTCATTCCACCGCTTTCTTGTCGATCATCTTTCACTTGAAGGAAACTCCTTCCCACACAATCCACGCCTCATACATCAGCCATTCCAGGAGGACACGCATTCACCTGCGGCAGCGCCTATCACACAGCTCCTCGGTATAGACGCGAAGAACGTCATCACATGTATAAGCTGCAAGGCTGTGAGGGAGAAGGAGAACATGACACATGTCGTCGATATGGTTTACCCGCGGAGAGTAAGAATACTTGATGCACGTACTAGCTTGTGATCTGATGGAGATAATCAGCTCACACCTTCAGATCCCCCTCCTGCAACCGATTTCGCCAGTATCCTCCGGGCTTCCCTGATTCGCCAGATGACTTACAAGGCAACATGTCAGACTTGCAAGCAATTTGCTACGTTCAGTTCGCGACGCTCGATACCCTCGTCGGAGCTGCCGCCCGTGCTTGCGGTCAATGCAAGTGTATACAATGAAGATAATCTAAAGCTATGGCTAGACAATCGACAATCGAGATTTTTGAGCCCATCGGTGGAGGTGAGAGGCGAGGTGGATGGCGTGGATGATGCAATGGGGGTTGTGTATGAATTGAGAGTGAGTTCATTTTCCTACTTGCTGCTGTTGCGCTCACTTTGGTTTGTATAGGCCATGGTAGTGCAGATCATGACGAAGGAAAGACATTCGCATCTAGTTGCAATTGTCAGGGGTGAGCTTTCCCCCTAGTTTTTGCCAACGCAGTCTCCACTGACAATCGACGACACAGTTCCTGAGGCGGAGGGCCAGCCAAATCTCAAGAGCGCCTGGTTTCTTTTCAACGACTTTGTTGTGCGCAATATATCAGAAGAAGAGGCGTTGAGCTTTCCAAGCACGTGGAAGGTCGGTTGTGACGTCTCTGCTGTGCACGACGACACTTAAGATGAAACAGGTCCCAGCAATCTTATATTTTGAGCGCGTTGATGTCCGACAACAGCTCGACTATAGCAGCCTTCCAGACCAATTGGACCCGTCGATATTAAGCCTAGATACCTCTATCTCTGTGTCGGTACATTCGTCTCATTCCGCTTTACTCTTTCATCTTTTGCGCATAGGAACCGCGATGAGAATATCATACGGCACGAGTGCCTCCGCTTCGAAGAACTCCCTAAACCTGGAACACTCGTTGCAATTGATGCTGAGTTTGTCTCCATGCAGCAGGTATGTTTTGTGTACAATTTTGCGTTGGACTGTCTTCACATATCCCTTGTCAGGAAGAAACAGAGTACCGTTCGGACGGTACTAACCGTGTCATCCGTCCCGCACGTCTCAGTCTTGCTCGCGTGTCCGTACTTAGGGGTGATGGCCCGAAAGAGGGTGTCCCGTTCATTGACGATCACATCCATACGAGCGAGGTCATTGTCGATTATCTGACTGAGTTTTCTGGTATCAAATGTAAGTTTGGTCCATTATTTTTTTTCTCCTTGCTGAATTTGCGACAGTCGGTGACCTTGATCCGCATCTGTCGCGGTACACATTGACACCATTGAAGCTTGTGTACAAGAAGCTCAGGGTGCTTGTTGACCGTGGATGTATATTCATTGGACACGGGCTCTCGAAAGACTTCCGCATAATCAGTATGTCCCAGCATTTAAATGAAGTCTACTCACCAACTCTCGTCATGGTCAGATATATTTGTACCACCAGATCAAGTCATTGACACAGTTGACTTGTACTTTCTACGTACCCGCCAGCGACGACTCTCACTCCGTTTCTTGTCTTGGTTCGTTCTACATGAACATATTCAAACTGACACGCACGATTCAATCGAGGACGCTCGAAGCGCGCTCAGGTTGTATAAAGCGTATTATGATTTCGAGGAGCGCGGCGTCTTTGACGAAAAGCTGGAGGAGTTGTACCGCGAAGGGAAGCAATATGTAAGTGACATTGCTGTTCTTTTCTGTTCCGCACAATTATTTACTGATTGGCCATGTCAGAACTGGAAACCGCCACCCCAGCCAGGCGCACGATCGAATACAACCCGATCGCCCGTACCTGCTGCGCAGGCCTCACCTATCGCACAATTCCCGCTGGTAAATCAGAACTTTGCGCAATCACCATTCAATGCTGTAAATTTCGCCATATCTAATCCAGCATTCTTTGCCTCTCCTGGTATGGGACAGTTCGGAGTCGGCGGGCAGAGCCAGAATTGGAACAACCAGAGGCATCGATGAGGAAGATCTCTTACATGCATGTAATTTAAGCAATGATTCTTTTTTGTGTAGCAATCGCATTCGTTTTCCTTGGTAGGTGTAGGTGAGATGTCGATGTTGCCATAATTCATGTCATTGGGATGTTAGAGTAGCTAGTTATCTGCATCTGAATGTGGAACAGAGCCGAGACTCGCCCAATCAATCTCTTCCCCATGTTTATTCTGTAGCCATTCATTGGCTTTCTTGAAGTGCCCATTTCCCAGGAAGCCCCGATGGGCTGAAAGAGGAGACGGATGCGGAGATCTGACCAAAAAAATCTCGAGGTCTGGATCAAATAAGGCGAGCTAGAGCGTACCTTAACAACAGGTGCTTTTCCTTCGCGGCGACACAAGTCAGTTTTTCCAAAGAAAAAATAGGGCATCGCTGGCGCGCATACCTCGTCAATTCCAAGTCTGTCGTATAGTTTTTGTGCAGGCAAACCCCAGGCAAAGAAAACAACCCCTCTTCCGTCCGGGCGGTCGAGCACTGCTCGAATGACGGCGTCAGTGAAGGTCTCCCAGCCTTTTTTTGAGTGCGAGTTGGCATTATGCGCCCGTACGGTCAGGCAGGTATTCAACCAGAGAACTCCAGCCTTTGCCGTGGGCGTCAGATCCCTATGCAAATAGTAAGCGAATTGTGAGCTCGGAGGAACGAGAGATGGGACAAACCCAGACGTGGGGACTTTGAAAGCGGGAATGTCACTTGATAGTTGTTTGTAGATATTCTTTAGGGAGCCAGGGAGCTTAGTCGGTGGGAGGACAGAGAAAGAGAGCCCTGAAACATTGTATTAGACCATATTCTTAGTGAGCTAGACATGCGTACCGTGGGCTTGTCCAACATTGTGGTATGGATCCTTGTCGGGTGGCACTGTAAGTGACGGAGCACGTATAAAATTATGCAAAGCGCACCTGGCCAAGTATAACGGCTTTTACAGAGTCGAGTGGTGTCAATCGTGACCAAGAGTAGATATCGTTCACTATGGAGGGTTTTCAAAGGTCTTATCGAAACCAGAGAAAAATCTCTTACGTTTTGGGTATACAGTGTGCGTATGATGCTCCGCAATGAGGAATTCTTTGAGCTGACGCAAATGGACTGTTCAGACGAGATGATGCCTTAGCGAAGGAGCAAGGAGACACCTTTTGGAAATACGGCTTCATGAATTCTTTTTCTAACGCAGTCCTCCAGGAATCCCCCATGGTATGGTGTTCTAAGTTCTCTATGACGGCCTTTATGTCAGACACACTGTTCTGACGCGATTCTTCTACCACTGTTGTGACAGTGACCGTCGAACTGCAAGCAAGTTGACGAGACTTTATTCGAAAGTACTTGGAAATGTGTACCTTTTAGCCTGAATCTTCCGTCTCTTGGTAGAGCTCGAGCCCGCAGAACTAGACGCAACGCGCTTTCGTGACACTGAAGACATAGGACGAAATAACATCAATATTGGCAAGACGCGACAATGCATGTTCGCGCCAGCCACATATCACGTGACACCAGCGCTATTTCAACTTCCTCCATATCAGCCGTGCTGTTGTTCGCCCGAGGTACATTTCGTTTGAAATTTGAAGTTCGAGCACATCGATGTGGATCTAGAGGATAGCCAAACATCGACAAGCCCCAGCAATGATCACAGCAGCAGGTGGGCAGATGACAGATGCTACTCAGTACTTCTGTCAGTCGATATTTTCAAATTGTCGATACACGGCATCCGGGCCCGGGAGAGCTCGATCTTTGACTCTCGCAGTGCCATATCTACTTGCAATTCGGTCAACATCGAGTTCCATCATGATCACGCGACTGAGCGCCGGACTCATGCTGTCTTCAAGCTCAATAAACGGTCTACAGTACGGACAATTCGGATTTGGGCGGTGTGAAGTGTACGTAGAGCATGAACGACATAACCTGCCACGACTATCTTCATTCGTCTAAGGTCTGCCTAGGGGAGACTAGTCAAAACTATCTCTTTCTTGACTTCATTTTCTTGTGTAGAGTGGTCTTTGCCTTTTCGAACCTTGTCTTTTTCTTCAGTCGTGGCCCGTCTTCGTCTGCGCCCTCAAGATCACCCTTCCATGTCGTGCGAGATCTCGATAGTGCGTCAGCTTTCTTGCCCCTTTGCCTCAGCTCTTCATATCCATCGCCGAGCACCCCCGTCTTCGTGCGCCCGACTGAGTGCAGCACATCCGCAAACTCATCCTCCAAGCCCCGACCTCGCTTCCTACCCTTTCCAGCACCCGTACCCCCGAGAGCCAAATCCTCTTCATCTTTTCGCCGCCTACGCGCATCTTTCTTCTTCATGATCAACCGAGTGAAGTTCTCCTCCTCGAAGTCTTTTATACGTTGGATCTCGCGAGCGCGGTCAGACGCGAGGGAGGGCATTGAGCCAAGGCCGGATGTACTCTCGATGTGCGGGCGCGAGGGGTCTTGGTGAAGGAGGGTAGAAAGTGCCTTAGGAACGGGCTGTCGTTTAGAACGCTTGTCAGCGGCAGCTTCGGTGTAGGGCATGGGCGCGAGCTTGGGAGGGCGGTAGATTCCATCGAGGTCTTCAACATCTGAACGAGCGTCTTGGTCCTCGTCGGAGTGTTGCTCGTTGTCAACGAGATTTTTGGGATTTGGACGGAAGGCGAGGGGATCTGAGAGAGGATATCGGCTAGGAGTTACTATTACAGCACAAAACAACATACCTTCGGCTACATCTTTGCTAGAAGGCACTTCTTCCGCGACTCTGACGAGCTTCTCGATCTGGTAGCGCATCCTGCTTTCCAGGACTTTAATTTTTTCTAGTACAATACGACCCTCTATCATAGAGTCGACCAGATCACCAGCACCAGAGCCTCGCGCCTCTCGATCGACAGTACTGAAAGGCGAACTGGCTGGTGCTCTCTCTGTTAAGGAGTCTCCAGTTGCTCGGCGTGCAGAGAGCAGGACAAGTGACTGCAAGTACGATAGAAGCAGGTGATGTTTGAGGGAAAGCAAAGAGATTCCGTCCTTCATATCCATGTCATCCGCAGTTTTTAATCTGGAACAGTGTCAATAAGAGCTCGGCTGTCATGGGCGCAAACTTTTACTTTTCTTTAAGGGATTGCACCAACTCTCGCACCGATGCCATACTACTGGTCATCTCATCGAGTATGCCACAAACGACCTGCGAGTCCGCCATTTCAAGCAGGGTGGTGCAGCTCGCTATTGCTTAGACACGGCCGTTGGGCCAGGATGCAGGATGTCTGGGCCGATGCTCGACTCGGATGAGGTCCAAAGTGCAAATTGTTGGGCTCAGGTAAATTGCCGCATCACTGCCGCAACTTGCCGCACCCTAACGCACCACTGCCGCACCCATCCCAAATCATGAGTACTACACTTATTTTCAGCCTGCGCTGTTCTCGTGCACCAAATAAATGAACTAGGAGTGTTTCTCGTCCGACTCCTCAATTATCCACTTCACACTAATGCATTTGAGAGGCTGAATTCAGAGAACAATTTTGAGCATGTTGCGGCACGGATGCGGTACTGGGTGCGGCAGCTTCCAATCAAGGTGAGTCTTAGTATACTGTGTACTATATATGAGACACTAACATTCAGACTGTCTACAGCACCCACCTCGCAACGGCCTGTCTCCCTTGACAGGCGCCCTCTGACTGCAATATCATATAGGCTTACCATGTGCACGTCACACCACCCCTCAATGGCACAGCCACTAATATCGAGGGATGCGCATCGATCTTTGCAGTATCACGCTTATCATTGCATCTTGTGCGAGACTCGACGTTTGCCTGAATGCTGTCGTTATACAGCCCTAGTCGCAAGGATGATTTTGGTACGTTAAAGGATTTTAATTCGTGAATTCTACTGATTGTATCATTATATCCTCCAGAGTTTTATCCGTCAATTACTTCGGCGCGGGACGCCATGCGAATGTGATACAACACAGCTCAATACTGTGGGTGTGACCCATAGTGCCAAGGAAGGTGCGTGACCTAATGACTGCTCGGAGACTGGGCATCCTGAATCATGGCCTCCAGCCTCCAGTTACAATCGCACAGAAACTGTGACTGCGCAACCTCTCACTGGTACTCCCAATGAACATGTTCGTGTTGACGGTAAGCATTTTTCGGCCCTTCTCTTTCACTGTGCCAATTCTTTATTTGATGACTCCAGTTACCGTCCGTGTTTTTGACTCGCAAAATCAAAGGCTCGAGTCGCAGCACTATACCTCGAATGCTCACACCACTCCGACTTTACAACAACAACCCGCCCCATCACAGCTTGCACTGGCGAACCAACCGCCGCCAAATGAGGCGCGAGATCAGCCTCATGAAAATGTGCGAATTCCTATTGACGAGCCACATGGACGAAAGGCTACGCACACCTTTGCTGTCTCTAGATACACAAGGCTTCATAGGCTGGGGCCTCGTAGTAGTAGTTTGTACTCTGAAATGAACGAGACTCAGTTTGCAAGGACAAAAGGCCACACAGATATGACATACATACCTTAAAGCCCCGGTATCCGTTTGCACAGGTTGCTGCAGAACGTGGTCGAGGAGATGTGTGACAGGGAAGTCAGGCAAGGCATGCAACCAGCAAAGACAGGTGTTGAATGATAGGCGGAGGCATCGAGGCGCCAAACCTGACAGGCGCGAGCCTGTGTGAGGGGTCGTTGAGTTGTCTCACCAAGTTTCGCGCAGCTGCTGGTAACGGTGCTGCAAGTGGAGTTGATAAGATGCGTGGTTTGGTGTCGGTGCAGTGGTGCGGTAGTGCACAGCCACTGCCGCACCCAACTACAGAATTGCCGCACCCGATTACAGAATTGCCGCACCCGATTACAGAATTGCCGCACCCGATTACAGAATTGCCGCACCCGATTACAGAATTGCCGCACCCTACCGCATCACTGCCGCACCCATCAAGTACATATATCACTGTAGTACCACTGTTAGCCTTACACAAACACCTGGAATATAGTATTACTTATTCTTAAATCATATTCCAGACAGTTGCGTACGACGTAGACGCATTTAAGAGGCATATAAGACATTGTTGAGTAGGGTGCAGCAGGGTGCGGCACAGATGCGGCAATTTCCTAAGGCCCCAAATTGTTCCTTACTAATACTATAAATACATCCAACCTGTGTGGTTTGTACTACACTATACAGTCCACATAACGGAAATGGAACACGCATTTGCAACGCCAGCACAAGTCGTGCATGGGCCATTCACTTATCACCAATGCATCTCCTCTGTTCAAGGCGGCGTCAGATACACCACGACGATGACAGCAACAGTGGATATACAATCGGCTTAGTCTGAGCTATCTACTCAAATTGCAATTCTTGTCAAACAGCTCTCGATGCTGCGCAGTGCTTCAAACGGTCGCTCAAGATATACCGGCTCTCAAAAATGGAAGGGAAAATGGTCAAGTAATTCGACAACAAAGGAGTGCTAATGTCTCGTGTCTGCTTCAAGTTGGCTCACTGGCACCCCACAGGATTAAACCAACCTGTGATTCGATTCCACTTCATATCATACGATAGTAATGGTACGGGTAATCATCCAGCAGGTTCAGATCCATTGGAAATCGGCCCTGTCCAAAGAGCAGGTGCAGCAGCCTTGCAGGACGGGCAGCCTACCGTGGGGGCAGCCGAGGGAGCCTCAATCCGCCCTAGCGATCGCGCACGTGGACGTCTACTTCAACACTGTTGACGCTGACACCCATGATGCAGGATGTCGTGGAACAACATTGGATCCGGAATTGAAAACGATGAAAGCTAACCACTTGGCACAAACACAGTATTCTGGATCTTATGCACTTCGGTCATGCAGTGATATACTTCAAGGTAAAGCGATCGTAAGTACATATTCCCAATCAACACGTTATTCTTCTGACGTATTTTCTATTCGCTTGCTGAACGCTGAATTGATGGAAATGTAGCCATTTTCATACGCTGACACGTCGCAATTTGACAATCAATTTCTCCGATCGAAGGTGGGGTTCATGTAACCCCCCGATGCTACTTATTCGGTTCGCGATGTGACAAGTTCCATTCCTTGAGGCGGACATAGGTAAGTTAAAATATGGTAGCGAATAGATAACTGCGATAAATTTTCTAGTCTCATCAAATTGAAGTAGAAGCGCTGCTTCTGGCGCAAATTCTGTTATGGACGGCTGAGCAGTGACGTAGCGAATTCCATCATTCAGCACTAACAGCATGAAATATAAATTGAACGCGGTCGCATCTCAAAATCCTTAGGTCAAACGCCTTAAAACTTTCAGTGAGTGGCCCTTGCAGGCAACGCTGTATCTGTTTCACTCAATCAACGCCATGCAGCTTTTCCTGGACTTGTTGTAGCCCCTTCGCGTACTCAACTTCACAATCAAACTTGGTGGTGTGTAGTTTCCTCGCACTGACGGCCATTGCTGATGCATAGCCATATTAGATACCATGAAGCCTATTCAGTTCGCCATCATCGCCATCATCGCTGCTGTCGCTGGGGTAAAGGCAACTTCTACCAATAGCACCACTGAGATCTGCTTAGCAATATGCTACGCTGAGGAACCTGAGTGCGGGGAAACGTCAATACCCGTCGAAACTAGCTCAGACTGCTGGACCTGCTGCTCCCTACCTACGGCCCCGGAATGATGTGCCCGAGTACTAGCCATCGAGTCTGTACAGATGATGTATCTCGTCTCGTTACCTATAGTTCTGACGATAAGTTCTGATGACTCTAGTCTGACTGATTGCAATCGGAAGAATGCCTACATGACTTTGATGCATCTGCGTATAGCGCAACGATGGCAAGTGGATAACGCAAGGCATTGGTGATCAACTTCGTTTAAAAAGGTAGGCCAGCCCAACAGAAAAATGTCGGACTGCTCCTGTTTGTTTTGTTGCACTTGCATCAGTGAACCGGTGAACAGATTAGAAAGGTATTCCCGCTACGTAAGTAGTGGGTCTTAGGGCCTCAACTTTCGATCGTTTTTGGCGGGGAATTGTATTTGACTGGCCGGAAGTTGTCCTAATCGAACTCCGGAATTCGGATAAAAATTCAAATATTAGTCAACATCTCAATCGAATGCCGATCAAAGCCGCTTGTTCTCCCACTTCATGAACATTTGCGATGTCGTTTTTCGTCCAAGGGCAATCTGTTACTATATCTCGTGAATTGTCTCAGGAACTATCTTCTTGTACATCGGAGTCGGCGTATGACTATAGGAGTGTTGTACGAATGGTCGTCGAGGAGAAGTGCAATATGAACATTTAATTTGCAGTATTGTGGTGGTGCAAAGCTCAAGTTGCAATGAGGAGTCGCGTGCTCCCACGAAGAGGTCATAGCCACTGCGCGCGAAGAAGCCTACATTGACTGGTGGTTCTCCGCATCGCCTTCGTAAAGGGCCGTCATGTAAAAACCGCTGTGCAGTTGCACAAGCATCCTGGATCAAGTCTGCCCTCGTCCTATTAGAGAGTAAGAGCGTTGAATCACTCTCAACCTTGACATTCCAACAAAACGTGGATGCTGGTTGATCGCTGCAGAATGTTACAAAACTGTTTGGCAAAGGACAGGCTGAGGGATTCATCAGCGCCTGAGACATGATGAGCAGGCGTTGTAGGGTGGGGCGAACTTCCGCTGGTGCCAGATGAACACTCTTAGTACTATACGAGTCAGATATCAGAACTCACACGATCGTGATGCGCTCCAAGTTGGAAAGAATGAATCTTAGATATACATGGACATCGTTATAGCTTTGCCACCACCCCCTCCGCTTCTCCTCCTCTAGCCTCTTGTGCTCGACGCTTTGCTTGAAACTCTGCAACTGCTTTGAGCCTTCCTTCCCGGCCTGGTCCACTCGTTCAACAACAGTCTTCGCATCTTCAAGCGAGGCATGTGAGGACTAAGCGATGAAGGCACCAGGCCACCGGACTTCATCTTCTTGCGCGATCGAACGACAAATGATGCGGTCTTTTCTCCGCGCGTGCATGGAGGGATTACAACACTGAAGGAAGGGAGTGCCTTGTACCTTCAATTTTAATTTTTTTTGCAGATCCGCGCATCTTTTGCACCTTTTGACGTCTATCTTGACGGATAAATTTGTGCGCCGACAGTGTCATAGTAGAATGGAGAAAATGAATATCAATAATGGTAGAGAATCTTACCTGATGCCTGCCATAAGCACTAGGTTGGTCAAGAACTTGAACAAGTTACACGTCATACGCCCGGCCTCAACCTTTCGTTATCCTCAGTCTAGCCCGACAGTAACGTTCAAATTAATTCATAATCAAGATATTAGTCGTTTGTTGAGTAAGAATTGTTCCAACTCACGGGTAACTTACTCACTGGCAGGGTCCGAAAAGGAACGGAGCTGCCATTCTGCTATGACACTGTCGGCGCACACCCGTCAAGATCTATCCGAGGACGTCAAAATTAAAGGTGCAGATGATGCGCCATCTGCAAATATTTGAAGGTAAAAGGCACTCCCTTCCTTCATTGTTGTAATCCCTCCATGCACGCGCGGAGAAAAGACCGCATCATTTGTTGTTCGATCGCGCAAGAAGATGAAGTCCGGTGGCCTGGTGCCTTCATCGCTTAGTCCTCACATGTCGCCGCTGTAGATGTGCCTCCACGATGTGCTCGTGGTATAAAGTCTGCCCATCATGAACTGTAAACTGCAGTTTTCATTCTCCAACTATCTACCCCGAGTATTCACACACTCACACACCATACAATATGTCGACCTTCTTCCCCCCCTCGCAGATGATTGCCCCCGGCGAGATATCTTTTGCCTCAGACCGTGCAATCAAAGACTTCCAAGGTAAATATCATATTCTCGAGTACCTCAGCTCAACGCTCATTCCGCGGTTTCCTAGCTATTGCTCGTGAGTACGCTGGCCAGCAGGCGGACCACCACCCTAATTTTTTGCAGAGCACTTGGATCACTTCAAAGCTCATGTCGAAAGTGTGAAGCTCGACGACGGACAAGTCCTCTACACGCACCAGATGGTGACTAAGGCTGACAAGGGCATCATAAACAAGAAAATCAGGATCAGCCTTGTTGAGGTCAGTCCATGTTGCTGGTGGTATTCGTTCACCCTTTTGAACGGTGTCCACACCCTCCACCCTAGGCCGACATCACCCTCAACACGTCCTCCCGCAGTCTAGCGTTTCATGTTTTTATCGATGTCCCTATCATTGGACACATCCTCCTCGTGTCGTCCATAATTCCTCTCAAGGTCGACGACCAAGTGAAACTTGATTTCGATGGAGCGGCCAAAAACCTTGCGTCTGGACACGCGAGCGTCACAATTGATGCAAACAACAACGTTATCCTGACCTGGGACTTCGTGGCTCTCAAAGTGGAGTCAAAGGGTTCCCACATCATCCTCCACTTCTAAACTTCGAGGTATTCCATTTCGCGGCTTCATTCCCGTGCAATTACTTAATTTATTCTACCCTGTAGATCTGGCATGTAACCTGTGGAATCTCAAAGAAGGTTCCTTGTTGAAGCCTGATGGGTGTGAAGGATGCAATTTCGCGGTAGCGCTGTTTTGAATTTATGCACGCTGAATTGACTTTATTCGGGACTCTACCGTTTAATTTTGACAATAGTGATCTTAGTTATCTGGTTAATTCTGCTGAAGATTAAACAATGATCAGGTCTACCAGGTAACCAAGAGCTCTCAATCCTTTCGACGTGGCTAAGATTCACTTCTGCGGATGGTGAATAAATTCACCGAGCGCAATCCACATGTAGTATCTTCCTAAGCAGAATACTCAGAGCGGACTTGCTGGGCGACGATGATAGCAGTGAATTTTTATCGCCTACAACAGTAACTGGTTGCTACGAGAAGTCGGTCGCTGTTTAGTTTAATCAATGATCATGTTTCAGGTCACACCATCTGACTACCTTTGACGAGGAATGCCATGATATCCAACTACTGCACACAACCGTGCAACCACCAGTATCCAATTCTGCTCAAATCATACAACAAGTCAGCCAATCATAATAATACATACATAGACAATAAACAGTCGTTGCTTCAGTTATAATGCTTCACCACGATACCCTCGATGACCTCTTCCTCGACATTATGTTCCGCTCCCTTCTTAAGATCAGACCTCCCATACGACGTCGTCCTTCCCTTCCTCTAGGTCTCGCACGACGGAGCATCCTCATTAGCGCACTGCCGCTCAATTCCAACGCGCTGCAACACCGGGCTCTCAGCACACGGCAACAAACGAACGTCATTGTCCGGCATCGCAAAATAGTATGCACCCAAACGATCGTAGTGGTGTTGGTCCTCGGGTGGCTGGATGACGCGGTGGATCGTGGGCTTGTAGTATCCATTTGTGAGGAAAGTCATCATGTCGCCCGTGTTGATGACCTTGTGACGGAACATCAGTTTGCGCTTGTTATTCAAGTTCTCAAGACAGACGTACCAAACCGTTGTCGATGTGACGGACGCCCAATATCGAATGCCAGAGCAGAAGTATCGAACAGCCCCCAGATCTGCTCTTCCAGAGTGCGTGAAATTGCCTCGCGGAAGCGAAGCATGAAGACAGGCTTGAAGGATCTGAAGATGGGCTTAGTGAAGTGTCATTCTTCTGTAATCATTGTAACACCATGAATTTTGAATGCATTAATGGTTTCAAATGACGAGCACGTGCCCCACAAAAAAGACAAGGGTAGCGGGCACTGCCACGGATGTGGCCTTTCACGACTTATTTAATGTAATATATTGTTGAGAATTGCAACAATCAGCGTAAATTTGTCGACCGCTTTCACACATATGGGAATGTTTGGCATTGTCGTGGAATGACCAATTTGCAAGCACACGGGCCTGGTAGCCCTGTTTGCTTCGAGGCCGTTTTCACTTGAATGGGTCTAAGAAACAATGCACGAGCACAGGTTCATGTAGTAAATATGGACCCAGCCTGAGAGGGACAAGGAAGGAGGTTGCAATGTGCGGAAGTGAAAGACACTTGGGTGATGAGTCGCATCCAGTCAGAACCACACATGGCCTGGTACGACGACATCGGGTGAGATCGGACATGGTTAACCTGATCAGGAAAATCGCCGTCCACAACATATCTAGCGAGAGGACACCGTATATATTGTATGCGGAGAACGGCCGGGTCTCACCTGGTAGGATCAGTTGTTCTTCTGATTTATCAGATTGGGCCATAGCACACAGTGTAGTAGAAAACATTGCAATATTATTGAATCTCCTCAGCTCGGGATAGCATCCATTGGAAGCATGTCGAATTATCACAAGCAAGTGTTCCACCTGTACGAAATTCGAATGTTTCATGACCAACTTGAGCTTGATTCATGTACGTTGAGCCCCACATCTTTATGTAAATTAGTAATACTCGAGTGTTCTGAACGTTTCGAATTCATGACCAAAACCTGTGTTGCCAATCACTTTCGCATCACTGGCATTTTATTCAAGGCCCGCTACATCACTTCGAACGTTACATCATATCTATTGAGGGGAACGTACGGATGAAACCCTTTGATGATGGGCCCATTTCAGCCACATAAGCGCTGCATGGTAGTATATTTAGCAAAAATGTCATCGTCATACGTACACCAAGTCCCTCTTCTTCACGTCCATCCTCTAACAGTATGACCCTAGTCTCAGACGACCCTAGTTATTGGCCACTCATCAACTCTTGGCGTATTTGCAGCTATTTCGTAGGTTCGTGAAGAGCAGTCAGAGTTCGGCGCTCATGTCTCGGTCTGACCTTGATTGTGGTTTTCCAGTTGCCGCCTTTGTTGCAGTGACGTATGATTGGGGTGAGCATAATGACATTAGAGAATTGCTGATTTCTCACAAGTATTTCCAGCCCTTACGTTTGGACAAGAGGTATGTTGATGATAGTATGACCGGAGCAGCCATCTCACTTAGATTTGTTTGTAGGTCGAAATGGTCTGGGTGAGCACAGTTCCACATCAGAAGAACAATATTGATTTGCGACAGAGACAACGTTGGTCCCTGATGACCGTTCTCTATCTGAGTGTATGTAATTTGCCTGTTGTGAATTTCTGCTGACTTGACAATATCCTAGATGCGCTATCTTGGAATTTTTTTTGCTTTGTATGTTCAGAAGGCTTGACAATTGGTATCGTGCTAATCTGCCATCTCTCACAATCAGCCTGGAAATACTGGGTATGTCTTCTCGCATTCACCGTGTTTATTTCTTCTGACAAGTTGCATACAGGCAGTGTTCCGACGATTTTGTTGACAGATGCAGTGAGTCTTCTGCACCGATGTCTGCTATTCCCATTCAATTAACCGCGACACCCTGTACTAGGGGTGAGTGTCATTCTTGACCAGCTTCTTCGTTTACTATCATGACTGCTACAGATGTGAGTCTGTTTATAGTTTGTGATCCACCCAACTTGCCATCACTAACCGGATTTCTCAGGCCGGATTCTGTACCTCGTGGTGGATTGGACGAGTGCTGTGGGAGTTCCAATGCTGTGTGGTGAGTTGTGCAGTTACGAGACCTATGATATTGACTTGACCGAAACATGTTGCAGTCATCATGACCACTCGGTTACATGCCATGTATCAACGATCCAGAAGGATCCTGATATTTCTCGTCGTCATGTCCTTGGCTGTTAACATATTCGACGGAGTGGTCATGGTAATGGCAACGAGGAATACTTCAGGGGGTACACTTAATTGTGAATGAAAACCGTGCATGGCGCTCATTGATAAATACCAGAGGAACTCATTCTCTCTTGCACCTATGCATGCACGATTAGCTATGCGGATTATACCCCACTTCTGACTTCCATTGGTTGGATACTCGGCGCTGTCTGGGAGGTCCTCGCGCTGTGTCTCGCAGTCTGGATTGCTGTAAAACACTTCCTTGAACTGCGACAACATTCGGCAGGAGGGATTATCGGCGACTGTTTCAGGGCGTTGATAAAATCTCACGTGCTTTACTTTGTGAGGTGAGTTCATATTGTGATTATGCTTCACTTTTCCGCTGAATGATTGAACGCGCTAGTTATGTTGCCGTGTCTTGCTTCAGCCTCGTAGTTAATTTGTCGCCAGCGATCTTAGCGGTACGTCAATCTTTCACTGACCTCTGCATGCGACCGCAGTCCATCATTTCTATAGGACCCATTTTCCCTCGAAACACAGATTTGTTTTGGTTTTCGTCAGATTTTGCAAGTCATACAGTCCTTTGTGCTAGGACCACGCCTCATCCTTAGCGTTCGAGAATATCACGCTCGGCTCGTGGCTGACTCTGATGCAGCAACCGGCATGACCTCAATCGCTTTCCAGGAGCGCGTGCATATATCGACAGGCAGTGGCGTGTAGCACGGGAGATGCTCGATAGAGTTGACGGTAGTCTCGTGCTGTGCAGGGAGCAGGAGAATCAGGCTTGTTTTCTTGATTTTGAGGTTTCGTCGTGGTACTTATTTATTTATTTGGTGCTGCAGCGCGGATTTCAAGGAGATCTAGACATAGGTCTTGGTACATATTTCGTCGTAATATATATTTACATGAGTTATTTGTTCCGCAGAATGTTTGAAAGACACAGGACAAGGTGTTGAGTCAGACCTAGGCCAACCCTAGGCCATTACTATATCTTTCGCATTTACGTTCGCAGACTCGAGTCCCCAGGCTGAGTTAGCGAGGCGGCGACGCTGTTGATTTCATTCGGATCCAGCCCTGAGGCCTGAGGCCTGACTGGTGTTTCTTAGTCAGATCCTTGTGCACGCTAGAACGAGAAGTTGTAATTTGCGAGGGGCTGCCAATAGGGAAAGGGGCTGTATGCATGAGCATCTGGGGATGCAAGGAGCGACCACGAAGATTCCATCGTACAGAGCTTCTTCGCACGTTGAGAACGTGCATTCTCCTCTTCGTCAAAGGGGACGAATAGGGAAAGCATGGAATGTGTCCCTCGTGGTATGTAGGCTGCTTAATGGGCATCGCTGTTTTGGTTGCACTCGAGGTTTGGATGGCGGCGACTTTGGTGGGGATCTTTCGGGTCGTCAACTTCTCTCCGCCCTGCTAACCTCCTGGGTAGCTCAATCTCCCGCGCTTAGAAACCATGTGTGTTTTTCATACGCAAACAGTAGCAGGGGTTACAAACGTGTCTTATATGTGAATATTTACAACAAGTCATAACTCGTCAACTCCACACCAAGCTAACAGAGGGATGATAATCAGAGGGGACGCTGAGAGGCCTAAGGTGTGATGAAAGAATAAATGGGTATAGAGCGCCGAGAGAATCTGGGGCGACTATGTATTGGGGCCAAAGATTGGGGAGAAGAAGTCGAAATCCAAGAATGAACTGCGACCAAGCTGCATTTCTCGGTCGTATGGAGGTGCTTCATACGTCAGGGGTATCACGCAAGAGGGTGTAGGGAGGCGTCGAAGCTTGGAAGACGAGATATCGAAATACCGTGATAAGAACAAGGGAGGAAACGAAACAGAACAAAAGCTGATCTGAAAGGTCGTGGAAGGTACCAGAAAGAGTGATGACGGTCGCACAGGAAAAATGACAAGAGTCGGACTATAAATAAGAAGAGAGAGAGATAGGCGGGACATAGAAGTTCGTGCGTCCGCAACTCGATAGAAAGAGCGACAGTAGTCGGAATGCCGAAGTTAGAGTGAGGTTCAGCAGAAAGAGAAACGGGATGGCAGACGGAAGGTGCACTCGTCATTCGGTAGAAAGCGGCCGGATTAAATGGATGAATATAGTTGGAACGAGGTTCAGCGATATTATACTCGAACATGCCGCACTGCCGAGCCAGATCAGAGGCGTCGTTTATTATGCTTGGAGCATCCCAAATGAAAAAAAAAAAGAATGCGTGTGTAGCTCAGCCGGATGAACAAGCGTGGATGAATTGTGAAGGAGAGGTTGGGAAGACATAAGGGTAGAATGGTGAGGATGGAACAGGGGAGTGCAGAAGACACTTGGAGAACAGAAAGGACTCGGACGTCCGGCCGGGAAGGAGGGAATGCCAGTCAAAAAGAAATCGGTGACCAGAAAGAGACGAGGGTGAAGAGAAAAACTTTGTTGCTCACCAACACAACCGATGTTAGGCTTTACTACATTCTGGAAATAAGAGGTACGAACATGACCCTGGTTTACCAACAGCGCGCAACATGGCCATTTTCTGAGTTGGAACGAGGATTGCGAGAATGTAAATGCAAAAGTGCGAGTGTGTGAGTAAGAGAATCGTCCGTGACTCAGATGGTGTGCTCGAAGCTTCAGAGCACAAACTTTCCTGAGGAGAAGAAGGTTCTGTGCTTGAACCAACATCCTCCAGTATTTCGAGCGTGGCACTGGGTGATGTCACACGTCATGAGGAGTGACTACCCCGTGAGCCTGCTGTCGATTTCTCTCCGCGTGGTCCATGTCGAGGCAAATACTCGTCGAATTCGGCGAAGGCGCTGTTACTAGAGTGAAGTCACGAAGAACACAAGGTAATGGGTAGTATTATGCGGCATTGCGGCCGTCCAAGATGCACCAGCGGGTCTCGACGCCGCGGACATTTTCCAGGAGACATACAACCATCCCCTCAAGATATTTTGCTATCGAGAAGCTCGCGGATGATGTGCACGTATCTCGGACGTGGCTCCTGGCGAACGTACAGTCGTCGCTTCAAACATAACTTGAAAGCATAAGAAGTGGAGATTACTCTACTTTTTCGTGTGTCCATAGGTCCTATGGAGATCGCCTTATCAATAAAAGTTCCTGACGCTTGCTGGCGCTCACTCATCGCGAAACAACCCTTCGATATTCGGTTTCAGTTAGCACGCCACTTGGTGATCGGATAGATGCGATTCAGACGCGACTGGATCACGTGACCAGTGATTTCTCTCAGAAGTTGATCGTCCGAGTCAGTCATCTAATCGATGCTCAAAACTTTAAGTACCAAGGCTAAAACCGTAGCGTTCCTCATCAGATTCACCCGCACCACCACCATCCTTCCTAGCGTGAGGCCTCTTGCAACCATGGTCTCGTCGCTGCCATCTTTACCTTCTATTCTAGGCACGGACCCCTCGTCCTGCATTCTAGATGCGTTCCGGACGGCGATTGCAAAGCGTATCTCACATGCGCTGCCACCCCTTACACTCGAACAGGCTTATACTGGAGTTGACTATGGAAAGAAGGGAGTCGATTTTACGGTTGCTCTTCCTCGGTTCAGGCTGCCGGGCAAGCCTGACGAGCTAGCAAAGAAAGTTGTAACGGATGTGAGTTGGTTGATCCTTTTGTTGCTTCGCGTCAGCTTGTTTTGTATGCGGGTAATGTAGTTGAGATGATAATTGCATGTCTCGCCTCTTCGATGTCTGTCTCGCCTCTTCGATGTCTGTCTCGCCTCTTCGATGTCTGTCTCGCCTCTTCGATGTCTCTCGTTTTTCTCCCTTTGCTCTGCAAGCACAGCTTCTGATGTTGCCTGCTGCCAGTTCCAAGCTGATGACTTCATCTCGTCAATCACCCACGACAAGCAATTTCTTCATTTCCAACTTAACACCGCCTCCCTCATCCGCGAAGTGCTTAATCAAATACATACCCTCACCTACGACAGCCCTACAGGCAAGCCGTCATACGGTACAAACACCTCTGGCGCGGGGAAGAAACTCGTCATCGAGTACTCGTCCCCTAACATAGCCAAATCTTTCCATGTTGGACATCTTCGAAGTACGATCATAGGCGCGTTTTTAGACAACTTGTATAAAGCATGCGGATGGGAAGTTGTCTCTCTAAATTACCTGGGCGACTGGGGCACACAGGTGAGCGCATCTTGACAATTTTTTTTCCTGAGAGTTGATCTGATTTAGTTAGTTTGGCATGATTACTACTGGATTCGAAAAATACGGTTCGCAAGAGGAACTTGAAAAAGATGCGATCAAGCATCTCTATGACGTCTACGTCAAAGTCTCCAAAGATGCCGATTCAGATCCCAATGTTAAAGTCGAAGCCGCCCAATGGTTCAAGCGGATGGAGGATGGTGACGAGTTGGCACTTGCGAACTGGCGAGTGTGGCGGGAGATGAGCGTCAAAAAATACATAGAGGAATACGAGCGATTAAACGTGTCGTTCGATGTCTACACTGGAGAGAGCGAGGTGGGTAAGGAGTGGCAGGATCGGGCTCTCGAGCGCCTCGAAGAGATGGGTCTCATCAGCGATGCCAACGGTGCCAAACTCGTCGATCTCGAAAAGTGGAAACTCGGAAAGGCTGTGCTGCGCAAAGCTAGTACGTATAAAATCCAACCACCTCATACGCATTTCTAATCTCCACGCGTAGATGGCACTTCAATATATCTTACTCGTGACATTGGCGGTGCGATAGAACGATGGGAGAAATACCACTTCGACAAGATGATCTATGTCGTTGCATCGCAGCAGGACCTGCACCTCTCGCAGTTTTTCAAGATGCTGTCATTGATGGAGTTCCCATGGGCAGACCGCCTTGAACATGTCAACTACGGCTTAGTGCTCGGCATGAGTACCCGGAAGGGAACCGCAGTCTTCTTGGATCAGATCATCCGCGAAGCCTCATCAGTCATGCACGAGCAAATGAAGCGGAACGAGGCGAAGTACAACAACATCGAAGACCCTGAGATGGTCGCTCGAGAAGTGGGCATCACGGGAATCAAGATCCAGGACATGGCTGCCAAGCGGTGAGCGTCATTTTGTTTATTTGAATACTGCAGCTTATCTAGCACTAGGATCAATAACTACACCTTCAATTGGGACCGCATGCTTTCCTTCGAGGGCGATACCGGACCTTACTTGCAATACGCACATGTCCGACTCACCTCCATGGAGCGGAAAAATCCAGAACTTATTCCCCTGCCGCCTCCATCCGAAATCGACACTTCCTCTCTCGCTTCCTCCCAACACGCACGCGACATCGCTATCCTTCTAGGATCCTACCCCGATGTCGTGAAGACCGCATTGAAGACCCACGAGCCCAGTGGCGTGGTAACTTTCGCTTTCCGGTTGGCGCACGCAATTTCGAGCGCTTGGGAGACGCTCATCGTCAAAGGGGAAGAAGATACGGAGAAAGCTCGCGCAAGACTGTGGCTCTACATTTGTGCGAGGGATGTGTTGGGTGCTGCGATGCGGCTGCTGAGCATCAGGCCTCTTGAGAGGATGTAGTGGGTGTTTTTTGTGTCCGCATTTAAATCAATCAATACAGAATACGCGATCGTAATTGTAGAAGGTTGGGCGTACTCGCTTCGACTGAAATTCTTGTTTGTACTTAGCGCACCGCGCGAGCTACCCTAGGTAATTATAACCGTCCATCACTGGAATTCAGACGCGGTGCAAATAGATGTTCACATCTTCAAGATATTTTGAAGCTTGTTTTTTTACTCAGTGCTGGCGCATGATTTAGGGCGGCATGGAGAAAAAGCAAAAAGCCAAAACTTAGGTCGAAAACATAGACTACTAGTATCATGGGCTTATGCATAAGGTCAAGAGTAGCATGACAGGATGTGTCATTTTGAATCGACGCAAGCAAAACAATGCATCTCGTATGTCCAAGAGGCTTCAAGTGAGACGGTCGATACCGACTGTCCTCAGGAGGGTAGGAGTATTGAATATTATTGAACACAAACAAACTTTCCTAAGTATTTATCTGTAACATCTTCCTTCATGCAAGCTATGAGAGATGCAGCTGCCGTCGAGGACACTCGGGTTACAGTGTTACGAATACCAGCTGAATCAGTTGGTTCGGACTGTCGCATCACGAGTACATTCACCACCAGAGCTACCACGGGAGATTGACCAAACCAGCGATTTGAGATCTCCCACAAATCCTTGATGAATCATCTGGCAGTTGTTCCTCACGATGGATACGAATCATACGATAGACCCGACGCGCGAGGACCGGCCGAAGGAACTTGAAGTGCAAGAGCGACAACAGACCGCGGATGTGAGGAACAATCACCAAAGCTACATGCTAGTACGTATGGAGGTTGTGGCTGGATCTGGCTGGAGAGGCCGCGGGCGGGGCATGCCGCGTCACGTCAATGCCACGTGTCGTTTGACTGTGGGGAAAAGTCGTCAATATCGATCGGTTCGAGGGGGGCATAACCAAAACAATGAAAGTTGGTTTATTCAGTTAACGGTTTTCTAGGCCGCCGCTCTAGTTAGAGCGTAGTGCATGACATCTATTCTTTTCAGAGCCCAGTGCGTTTCATCCTTTTAAGAAGCAGACCGACAGCAAGAGCTGCACAAATTGTAGCCACTGTGACTTACCTGAGCATGAATACGCATCCTCAAGCCTTCTACTAGTAGGCGTCGCAACAAAGGTGATGGGAGTCAAAAAGGAACGTTGAAAGGTCATGTGGGGTTGCATGAACCCTTTTTATACGAAGAAGCAATTCCCGCTACGTCAGTAGTGGGTTTTGTTCTGTCATCGCGTTTTTTTCATGAACGACCAAATTTTTTGGTGGAAAATGCACTTCCGGCCCTAAATCGTTCGTTAATGGTCTTTAGTTCGCACGCATATCGATTCTGCTATTTGCGTGTTCTGTGATTTTTCTTACCTCTAAGTCAATCATGTCTTCTACTTGTTGCGAGCTTCTTGGTTTTTTTCTGACATTCCAGCCGTTATTCGTGTCGACAAAACGTGTCCTGATTCCTCCGTATCCTTGACTTTTCTGCACCGTTATAATGTGCCGCGTTCTGTCGTTAATCACGACGGGGTGGCTGTGGAGTCTACTTCTGGACCTGCGCGTGTGCCTACCGTCGACGGTTGGTACAATTCCCGACAGCCGTTTCGTTTGGCCTATCTGAACGGGTGCGATGTCGAGCTAGGTGTTGATTGGTTTGCATCTGTGAATGCAAAATTTGTTGGGTCTCGATTTCAGCGTCCTTCGGAAATGGAAATTGCACGGCTTCCTGATGGTCACTGTTGGATTACTCAGTCTGGAGGTATGTACGTTGATCGTTTTTGGGTGCGAGTGTTAACAGAGGTGTGTAGGTACTTCTTCACCTGTTGTTACAGGCGGAGACCATATCTCAACTACCCAAGCGGGTCCCTCGTCTATAGTTACCCAAGCGGGCCCATCTGTAACGCAGTATGATATTTATGATGCGAATAACTTTTTTGAAGGCTACGAGGCGAAGACCGACTGGTATTGAGCACCTGCGCCTGACATCTTGTCTACTTGCACTTATATCATTCATCGTATCTCCGCGTCACGTCACGTCTCTCTGTATTGGTAACTCCCGCTGTGAATCGATTGTAGTTCGGGCTCATAGTATTCGTAGACACCAGCTTACAGGAGAATATGGCGCTGGAGGAGAAGGCCACTTGCAACAGCAAAACGACACGAGAGAAATCGAGACCGATAGTGATTGCAAAAAGCGACCGTAGCGGGCTCTGCCGCGAGCGGCCTTTCCGCGTTATCAAAGAATCTATCGGACAAGGCCGAATGTAATGTTAACGTCACTGTTTTGGCATTGACTTGTCTTCTTTCTCATGATCATACATATGCGAATCTTTACCCTGGCTCGAGTCACTCGCAGTTGACTTCCATTATTGTCTTGATCTCCTCGTGTGCACGGCCTTGCTCCTGCAGGCGCCTTGCGCCTTTCTCTTCCCGTACTATGACTTCGTATCCACCACCGATACCACCAAAGCGCTATGATCTCGTCCAGGCATTCGATGCCATGGCACTTGCTGGCAAGTCAAATGAGAGCAAGCGAGACCCTCTCCCTGCGAACAGGAACCAGGCAAGTAGTTTTATAGGGGGTTTCAGTCCCGAAAAGCTAGCAGTGAACGCGATGCTTGACGCGACGAAGCGACAACCCATACACAACAACGGACAATCCTCTCCACACAGTAGGGGCGTGTTACCCCCACTGCCAAATCCACCTACCTTTGTGGTGGCCATGCCATCTCCTCAGACGGGAAAACAGTCGTTGACTATGCAGCACGCGCTCAATACCAAGGCGCTGCCAGTCATCCCTTCACCATCGCGTCCTCACTCGGATTCTCTCCTTTCTCCTGGCATTATGGTCTACCCCTCTATCTCCGCGGGAGTGCGCTCGCGTCCAGCGCTCGATATCACGCCTAACTCTCGACCCCGTGCTGCTTCTGTACCACCTTCCCCATTATCACCTTCGGCGAACAAGAATACCGCACAATGTAGCAGCATGACAAAGGTTGGGAAGCAATGCTCCCGCCAAGTCAAGCTTCCCTCGACGCACTGTCATATCGACCCAATACCTGTCGTGTATTGTCATCAGCACCGTGACGCAATGTTTCATGCCCAAACCGGATTTTATGTCAGACGGAAAGGCAAGGCAGATACCTTTGTAGAATTTAGTGGTGAGCGCCATATTCATCTCGTCTGACACGCTCTTCAATATGGGGCAGATTATATACCACAATACCTCCAGCGTGATACCCAGTTAGCGCTTAGAGTAGAAATGGAGAAAGCTGCTTCTACTTCAGACGTCCCCGGTTATATCTACACATACGAAATCCGAGGTCCGTCGCTCTGAATCTCCAAGCTTCTCTTGCAATTTATATCATCATCTTCGACGCTAGACCCGAAACGCCCCAGTGTAATTCAGCTCAAAGTGGGGCGCGCTGTAAATCTCACAAAGCGACTAGATCAATGGGGCAAACAGTGTGGGTCGAAGGTGCCAATCGTCCGGGGGTGGTGGCCAGGCACAGTTGAGGACGATGGTGACGATGACGGCACTAATGGGAGCCTACTTACAGGAAATATCAAGGCGGGACAGCCGGGGCCATTATGCCACCGTGTGGAGAGGTTGGTACATATAGAACTTGCGGACTTGGTGGTCCACACACCATACCTGAACCCCAAGTTTCCGAAAGTTGACAACTCAGACTCCTCTCCTTCTTCTTCGGGGTCGCCAAAGAAAGCTACGATGAAGCCCTGTCTTGATTGTGAGCGATCAAATCTATGGTGGCGATGTATAATTTTGACGCTGGGTCTAGGTGGTACTATACACAGGGAAATATTCGCATTTCCGCGTCCTGAGAAGGGGCATTACAAGGGGCGAGAGTGGGAACTCCTCGTGAAACCCGTCATCGAGAAATGGGGCAAATTTGTTTCGGAATACTATGCTTGAGCTGTCAACGCAACATCGTCCCCGGCGGAGAGAGCCACTACAGCTGGGAAGCCTATACCCCCCAATTGATATCCACGGTGCTAGCCCAAGAATGAAACGCTTTCCATCGGAGCCCCTGGTATCAATATTGGACTCTTGAAGGACTTTTGTAATTCTGACAGCGCATATGATGCGCGCCGTTCGGTACGGTGCGATGATGATAACAATGTACTAGAAACACTGCCGCAACAGACACTTGTCGCAACAACCTGAGTTAGTACTTAGTCTGCCTTTGACGGACTATTATTTACTCAGCTGCCAGGTCTGAGAGTAAAAGTCCGCCCCGACGTAATGGGCGCAAATCTCGTCATGCCGAGGACTGAAACAGCGTATGCCATGGGGGCAGAGAGCGTAGCATGTGGTGTGAATTGCGTAAGCCTGTGCACTCCTAACTCTTTTCCGCGAGTCACTATTAGTACCTGCACGTCCTAGTCGGAGTCCTCGACCCTGCAGGGCAGGTACTGGCCCACTAAAACCGTCAATCACGAACAGCTTTATCTCGGGTCATACATACCGCGCGTATCGCCAATGAAAGCGCTGTATGGTGGTATATCTAGCCACGAACGCCATCTTCATACGTCCACCACTAGCAAGTTCCCCACTCACTCAGCACTGACGCCAGCCTCTTGAATATGACTCTAGTCGTAGATGATCCTGATATGTGGCCGCTAATAAATTTCCATCGCATTTACAGCTATTTTACAGGCTCGTGGATAAAACTTTCGTCTCACTCAAAGTCTCACTCGAAGTTTGACTATGATTTTGCAGTTGCAGCCTTGACTGCAGTGGTATACGATTGGGGTGAGCAACACATTTTTATTGGAGAAATTATTGATATTCATTCATATCATGCAGCACTGGCTTTCGGACAAGAGGTAGGCTGGCAACTCGGTGCATTGTCGGAGCAGTCATCTCACTAATTATGGTCTCTTAGTTTGAACTTGTCTGGGTGAGCAAAATCCTATATCAGAAAACAACGCACAGTTGATTCGGTCAGAGTCAACGCTGGTCCCTCATGACTGTTCTATATATCGGCGTACGTGCTAGCTTACGTATTGGCAAGTTGTGCTGACTTTAACGTATTCTAGGTGCGCTATATCGGAATACTATACTGCGTGTATGTTTGCAAGGCTTACAAGTTGGCACCATGCTAACAAACTATCTCTCACGGACAGCATCGCCATCCTGCGTATGTCTCCTTCCA